TTCTAGTCCTTTCAAATAGCTTCCAGAATGTTCTACAAGCTTTATAAGCATTCTACAAGGTTCTAAACTAATCTATGAGGTTCCAAACTGTTCTATAATTCTGCATAGCCTTCTTTCTCTTCTGACTATATATGATTTCATCTTTATTCCTTGCATATTGCATAAATGGGCCTTATTTCTTAGGAGACTACTTATTTGTGCTTCTTTACTTAGTGAAATATCTCAAATATTCATCCAGACAGTAGACTCAGATTTAATCCAAATACACATTTATTCCCACTATCTGCTTTTATAGAATTGACCAACAAAGCTATGTCCTGAATGTGGATGCTTGTATATAAAGCAATCGTGCATGGGGACTTGAATGAGCTGAAATGTAGGCTCAATTGTACATTCTAGTCACAGAGTCTGTCATAAGAACTGAGGAGTAGTATAGAATGATGATGGCTTGCTTGTAATGAAGGCTTCAGGTCTCGAGTGATCGATCCATTCCATAAGGATCAACAATATCCACCATAGTACTCTCCAAAATGACAACATCAGCTGCTAGTAATGTGCGACCACCAGGATCTTGTGTGCTCTATCTTGACTCTCAATCATCAACACTGCTCTGTTCCTCTAATACACAACTCTTGAAATGCACCCCAAGAACTCCACATTTGCACTTGCTAACATAACGTAGCCATGTGTTGATATTACCATTAGTCCATTGATCATGTTTTCAGCAATCAAGAAGATGTGTGATCCTGATCAAATTATGACAGGGATAAATGAGACTGTATATGGGTTTATGACTTCTTCGATGGACATGGCTGTGACGGTGTAAGTGGGTTCTTTCAGATATTGCCGAACACGTGTATTTTTGAATAAAAATGATTACATCTTTAGTGTCATATCTAAGTATTATCCTATTATATATTTTCTTTTATTGAATATTATTACTCGTATTGTGAGTCTTCTTCAAATACAAAGTTACAGGAATCTGTCCTGTCTATGTACCAAACCAATTTGGTGCAGGACAGCGGGGTGGCAAAAATGCGAGAGGCAGAGGCAGGGAATTTTGGGGGGAAGGATTCCATGGAGATGTCACTGATCAGTGAGTATGTAGGAGGCAGTTGGATGATTGGGGGGGAGGTTTTGTAGGAAGATAAAATGCCATGGATTGGAGTAAGCACAAGCTAGTAGGAGAGTTGCGGGTCACTTGCAAATGTGGTGAGAAAATGGGGGTTGCAGTGGCCAATGGTGGAGAGGAAAGTGTACAACAATACAGTGGGCAGAAAAGGCACTAAAAAGGAATTAGTTAGTGTCTGAGTGCTGAATAAATTTAAGCAAGAGGACTGCTGGGATGTTACGTGGCCTGTGGTGATGGAGGCTGAGAGCTCAGAAGTATGCCAGGCCTTTGAAAAGGGGATTTTGCTTGGGTGTAATGCATACAGTGGGCTAAGGGCAGGTGGGAGAAGAAAAGAGAAGAAGCAGAGAGCAGTGAGGCTTCTGCAAAATGCCAGCAGTGAAAGTTCAGTACAAAGAGTGAATGCGACTTTAGTGCTGATTACTGCTGAACTATAGACCCTACTCTATGGTCACACTCATTCCTCGCGTTCTCCTAGACTCTCAATCTATGTGTCAGCTAGACAGCTATCAAAATAGGAAGTTGTATACTGTGAGCATGGATGGGAAAGTATATTACAGAGAAAGCGAGTGACTAAGATCTGGCACTGAGAGTGGAGACTGAGCCTAAGTCCGAATTTGAAAGAATAGGAAAGGAAGCAAAATGGGCAAAAGCCTGTGGCACAAGCCTTCCGACATGAAGTGAAGAGAACCAAAACCTAAACCTAAACCAGGGAAGCATGAATGAGCTAGCAATTTCTAGGAGGTAGGAGCTTGGCAATGCATCAAGTGAAGTGATAGTTTCCATGGATTAGGAGATAAGAGACATACCAGATTAGTGAACTGGAGGCATGGCGATATGCGAGAGTCTAGTGTGGAGGGCAGGTTGGGCCTGGACATATGGTGCCATAATTTGGGCATGGTTGCAAAGGTAAAGTGTGAAAGCGTCACTGGCCCATTGGCCTTGTGACTTAATGACATCAAAAGGTACCCCACACAGGAGGTACTCGAGGGTACCACCAATGCGAAGGGAGTGTTCAAAGAACTTGGGCAGCTGCACTGCTGAGGCTGCAGCTTCTAGATGAGTTAAGAAGATTGTGCAGCTGAGAGGGGTGCATTTTTCACAGAATCAATGAGAAAACAGATGGTCTTGATCACGTGATTGGTTGATCGTGAGGTGATTGTTCAGGGCCCAAAGCAGATCGGCGTCATGCACTTGGGTTGCCCAAAACAATTCTTCACCAGCTGTCTTAGAGCTCTTAGTTCATGGAATAAAAATTACCATAACTTGGAAACCTTGGCAATCCTGGTCACGATGTATGCATGGTGGGGTGACATGAGTTTGTGGTGAGAAGTCATTGACAGTCTTGGTAGTGAGTTCGCATGTTCTTCCTAGGCCCCAGAAGAGAGAGGTGGTGCAAGCCCAAACGGCCGCATCGCGAGGAGTTGTGAGATTTAGTTTGGAGGGAATCGCTGATAGATACTGTAAGGTGCATGGTGGGCATTTAGAGCATTTGAAGCCTGCTGGTGCAACTGCCTTGCTTCCACTCAATAGCATGTCAGTACTGGCCTTTTGGAGTGTCCAAGGAAGTTGGTGTAGGATGTGCCATGCCTGTATTCCTGCAACATAGTTGGATATTGCAGCTTTCGAGTATGAAGCTGCAAGTGCTGCCACGAAGGCAGAAATGAGTATGGAAGTCACTGGCATGCGGTCCTCTTCAGCAATGCTCCTGGTGTCACAGAAGATGTGGAAAAGGAGAAGGCCAGAGCCATATACCTCTATGGTGGTGTCAGCCCAACTGAATTCCATTACTTGTTCAATGCACTGAATGTCTGCATCAGAGAGTGGATAAGGAGTGGGCAGTTTATTAGCTGGTATCCAGAGGCATAGTCAGTCGTATGCAAGGCAGTGGAGTCATAGCAGTGAAGGTATGGGCATTAAGTCTTGTGGGTAAGGACGAAGCATGGCTAAGGACTTCATGCGCATAGGGAGGGGGTTATCAAATTGCATCAATCCAGCATTGGCCGGATTGCTCATCCTGGTACTGGATGAAGGCAGAATCAGAGTGCTGATGCTTCCAAAGGGCTTCGGCTGCATGACATTCTCGGTAAGGGTCTGGGCATGAGGGGCGCTGGTGGTGGGTTGTGAAGTGGTCACTGAATGAAGGGTTGTCAAAGTCATACTCTGCGATGTAAGGAAGGAGGTGCTCAGGAAGCTCGAGGGATGGCAGGAGAAGATGTTTGAATGGGAAGATGCCGCATGAGGGATCGTCGGCGGGGTTGCAACTGCTAGTGATGTACTTTGTATGGATGCTGCACTGTGGTGGTTCCAAGGCATCTTGTATATATTGGAAAACCTCATTGACTCTCTGATTGCAGCTGTGGCCATTTCGCCACCCTTCGATGATGCCTTGGTTATCGCCGTGAATGAGGAGATACTGGTGAGGGGAGCTGGAGCATAGAAGATGGAGGGCCATGAGTTTGAAACTGACAGCCTCTGCCCAGTGGATATCTCACCTGTCAGCCTTCCAACCAGGTTTGAGCTTCCAAGCTCACCAGTGTAGTCTGATGCAGATCCCGATGCCAATGCCGGAGCTGGCATCAGAGAAAGCTTGGGGGTCGATGAGTGCTGTGGCATTTGCCAGGGGGCACGCGAGAGTTGGCTGCAATAGCGTGTTGTGCCACCAGCGAAGTTCTGCTATGGTTTATCGAGGAGAGGTGCGAGGTTTGAAGGAAGTGTCACCAAAGATGCCGAGCATGAACTCCAGGCCAGTCAACCTTGAACAGCCTGCCTTGATGATGAGTGAGGCATGTAGCACTTTTCCATAGAGCTGTTGAGTCGCACAGAGGTTGTGTGTCCTTGTTTGGTTCCAGCTATCAATGGCCACTAGGTATTTGAGCCTTTTGGGCTCACCAATTGCAACTGTTTTATCCTCGAGGTTTCACTCGAAACCTGTGAAAAGAATGGTGGTGGACCATGGAATGTCTTTGCTGGCTTCCCAAGGGATTCCGAGGGCATTCGAAATCTTGTTGATATCATCCAGATTATATGCATACTTGGCATCTTCTGCAGATTGAGCGGACTTTGAGGACAGGTCTTGTATCGGGAAAAAGAGGTCTTCATTGAATTCTTCTGGATGGTCATCGGGTAGGGTCCCTGCGCAGTACCAGATGCGGCCTCCTGTGTGGATTTTTCCCCCATGCTGTTGTATTGACTCACGCTTAGCGATCCTCTTCTCGTTGTATTTATGTAAGTGCTCTCGTAGAATCCGGAAGAATACATGGTCATCGACCCATTTGGATATTGGACCAATTCCTTGTGCTCGCATGATGTCAGTGCCGGCATCTGCGACATGGCCATAGATGCCCCCATTGGCGGTGCCTCCAAAGTAAGTTTGAGTGTCGATGGCGAAAGAGTCTTCAGCGTTTGAAAGGTGAACGACCATGCCAGCCCATTGTGAGTGGTGGACTGGAATGTTGCGGTATGCTTCAGCGACATCTCGGATGGCTCCTTGAGAGCCAGGTGGTAGGCTAAGTACTAGCAAAGAGAAAGGCATTGAACGTGCCCCACGTGCATGGATAATTACTAGAATCGATGTAGGAGTTTATAGACTGGTAGCTAGGTGTTGCATTATATGGGTAAGAGTAGTTCTGGATTAGTTGATATACATTGGGTTTATGAGGCTTCGGAATGAGGGACATGGGCGAGGTCTGAAAAGGACCGAGAAGGCTCTCTACTTCCCGTCGTGTGAAAGGCCCTAAGTATTGTTGTAGCTGGAGCTCATGAGATATGATATGTTGAAAATCATTGTATTGTTGCTGCAATGTAGGACTATTAAATGGGGTGTTGGTATGGGTAATATGAGGAATGCCAATATTAAAACCATGGCGGATACTATTAACAAGAGTAGGATACTTGGGTGTGAGCGCGCTGCTGTGTAGATACTGTTCCCAGCTGTCTGCGTGTAGTGGAGTGAAAGCTTTATGCTTTCTCAGCGAAAGGGCAAGCGTGGGCGCCATGGTCTTGTTTTCCGCAGCCGGAGCACTCGTGATGATGGGAGGAGCTGGTGGACGTGCAGCTGCCTCGTCGCTGCCACTCGGTACAGAGCTCTTGGTTCTGGTTATTGATGATTCGGCCTCTGCCATCTCAGTGACATCGAGCTTTGGCGCCGCTCCAGAGGTGCGTCGCCCTGCATCATGTGATGGGTTCGTTATGTGGTTGGATGCTGAGGCATATGGCACATACCGACTTTGTCGTGGGGCGAAAACTGTCCAGGCGCGATGAACATCATTTGTTGAGCCTGCGATCATCTCGCCGATCATCCATGTAATATTTGGCAGAAGGTGAACGACGACGCTTGTACCGTGGAACAGGAGACGTAGTTTGTGGGCAAGGATAGTTTCTGCTATTGAACTGTCTACCATGACTGGGGGTACCGCCTCCAATTTGGGCATCCGTCAGCAGTGAGAACTGCAGTGTGCGTGGTGTCATATTGTAGATGGGGCGAGTGAGAACGCGCCGATGGTGTGGGCATGGCCGCAGGGATGCGTGCACATTGGATGGCGACATTGAGATCATCGGCGGGTCGGGAGACACCGTCGGGACGCAGGGGGGGGGGGGGGAAGAGAAAATGCATGTGAGACGCGATGAGGGTGCGTGTGAGATGCAGTGAAGGTGCATGTGAGATGCAGGGGGGGGAAAGTAGCATGTGGAATGCACAGGATGGGTTTGGAGGGAAACAACTGGTGGGATGGGAGAAGGTTATGAGCGAACCGTGCTGAAGAGGATGGAAAGAGGGGGCATGCATACCTGCTTCTGCTGCGCTAAGAATATTTCATCTGCTATCTCAGAACACATTTGGTCTAACAGGTTGTTGTTGATGAGCGCGAGGGAGTACGAAGGCGACCCGCGAGAGATGAGTTCGTGCCAGTCGTATCTGGTTTTGGCTTGGTAGCGGAGTAGGGCTTCGGAGCTGTGAGGGCGGCTGTGGCTTGGGTGATGCTGAAGAGCATAAAAGAAAGCTGACATCATTTCGACGTGAGTCTTGGGCCAGTCGGCTCGCTCGATTTCTCGCAAGTAGGTAGGGACGGCTAGGGAGAACTGTTCCCAGGTCAGGTCGGCATCTCTGATCACATGTTTTAGGGCTCGTGTCGTGCTTTGCGGTTGTAAGGACGCTAAGCCGTCAGGGCCCTGTAACAATCCAAAAGCGTCAGAATTTGTGGTTTTAAATTGCTCTGATGCCACTCGACATCCTTCAGGTGTGAAGTAGTAGAGCTCTGTATATTGAGCTTTGACTAGGCGATCGGCGGCGAAAGCGGAAACGCGATGATACAGGAAGTCTGGCGCGGCGTGGTCCTCTAGTAGTGGGGGAAAAGCGGGACCTTTCTTGGGCGCTGGCTGGACTTCGTGTGGGGCTGGCAAAGGTAGGTCAGCCGGGACCGGCAGTGCTGCGACGTCTGGTTGTGGCGAATGTTGCTGAACGACTTCGGGAGGAGCAGGTGGATTTGGCAGCAGAGGTTCTGGGGGTTGAGGCTGGCCGTCTGGGTCGGCGCCGCCGGCGTCTATGCCTGCTTGTAGTTGGTCGGCCCAGGTCAGCCCATCGGACTTTTTGGGCGTTGTTTGCCGTTGTCCAATCTGCTAACAGCCGTGCTATAACTGCTTCTTCTGTTCCTAGCACGGGGATGAGGAGGTTACGGAAATCAGTATACGCATCGCTCGCAAAGTCGGTTGCCACCTGGGTGTTGGGGTCGACAACTAGTCTCTCGGGCATGAGAAAATATGTCTATGGTTGTGGAGAATCTATGCAAAGGAATGATTCTATGGTGAAGAGAAGAAAGGAAGGAAGAAGAAAAGAGAGGAAGCAGAGAGCAGTGAGGCTTCTGCAAAATGCCAGCGGTGAAAGTTCAGCGCAAAGAGTGAATGCGACTTTAGCGTTGATTACCGCTGAACCATAGACCCTACTCTATGGTCACACTCGTTCCTCGCGTTCTCCTAGACTCTCAATCAATCGTCCGCCGTCTTGACCTACAACTTCATTATTATAATCTTAAGACGCGGCAAATCGACACGCAAGGGACTCCCTAGGATCATTGATTCGCTATCAGGCCTTTATGGAAGTTAGTATACGTCAGTATCTTTACTACTTACGCGTTCATCTCCATGACTATGTTTTTCCCAACTTCAGGCCACACTTACTAGTAATAAGCTTCGGACTTGTGTACGATGCTCGAAGTCTGATCACAATAACCGAACGTATCTCATAAAATGCTCGGTGTGCGAACGGTCTTGGCATCATTGTGAGCTCTTTACTTTCCTCCAAACGCGTAGCCGTCACACGTTACAACTTGAACCTCAGCATGTCATATTCCACCCGTAGAAGACGAGAAGCTCATTGATATGATGATGATCGCCAGTAGGGATAGAAATCATAAGGATGGGTTGGACGCTTGGAAATGCCGGAGATGCTCGAAACGCGTTGCAGGACCCAGTACTGCACCTGCAACCAGCGTCACTGCGAGCCGTAAACAAGCAGATCAGTTGCAATTTGAGCCGAAGGTAGAAATAAAGGATGTCAAACCACACATGGGTCCCATAGTCTCGACGTCCCACGCGTCTTTGAGCGAGGCAGGTCCGTCTGTGGTCAAAGCTGAACGAAAACAAGGTACGCGAATTTATCACGTCGCGGCTTAGGTTGTCTGACGAAGATTGTAGCTAAGAACGATGCTCCGGCCATGGCAGCTCCCCGGCCCACAAAAGTTGAGAAAAAGCCAGCAATCCTAGTTTCACAACATGCCGAGACAGACTACATCGACTTGACTGAATCTCCTGCTCAACCGATTGGTAGGACGTCCTCACATCCATTCATGAATCATCATGTCTCCAGTGCTGGACCTTCCTCTCAACAACGAAATATAGCGTTAACTTCATATCGGGATCAAGCTCGTTCACCAAGTCTCTCTTCATACCGCTCTTCCTCAATTGCATCAACTCTTACTACCCCCTCCAACACTGCTTCTCCTCGGTCGAGCATAAGTCGAGGTCCCTCAACGCCCTTTGCGGAAATGTCTATCAAAGACAGAAGTGACCCTATTGCAAGTACATCTCGACCTCGGGAGCATTTAGATACACCACCAGCCCCACGTCAACCACTTAGAGAAGTAGACCAGTCAAAGACATCTGCTGCTCTACCTTATGTTGGCGGCAAAGTGGATATATCTGCACTCGTTCGAACGTTGCGGGCTGAAGGGAAACTCAATGCTCCTCCATCTTACCTTCTTGACGCAACCAGAAGCACTACAATAATCCCAACTCGTAAAGACCCTGAGTTTGTCATTATAGACAATGACATCAAGATGCGTGAAGTAAACGAAGACATTCGTGATTCAACCCCTCGGCGTATCCCATCACACAGGGACACTATGTCCGCCGAGCGGTCAACACGAACACCCTCTGCGCGGTCGTCGGAGTCGGGTTCCATGCCTCCTGTACCACTGGGCTTGGCTCCAGAGTGGATGCGACAAATGGACGCAGATAGACAGAAGGGCGAGCGAGATGATCTTGATCGTCTGTTAGCCAAATCCGCTCGTGTTCGTCAGCGACAATACCAAGAGAAGTCGGAGACCACGGCAAGAAGAAAGCCTGTGGCGAGGAGATTAGGACCTAAAGGTAGAAAGATGAGGGAAGCGCAGGGTGTGCAGTTCCTAGTTCGCGAATGGATTAGCGAGAATAAACATCCCGATTGAATATTGAGAGGCCAAATATCCGTGTCAATACATGAAAATTAGGCAATCCAATCTTACGGTAAGTATCTGCTAGAGACAAAAAGCTGAAAATTCGAGGTACAAGAAACGTCCATTTGCGAGAAGTCAAGAAAAGATGCCCGAGAATAATGAAGGTGGGTGTCAGGAAGAAATGAAGTGGAGTGATGAGATCAATCATAGATGGGTAAGGGAAGCAACCTAGACAGAGCGTCAGAATAAAGTAGGTAACGTAAAAGGCTTCATGACATACCTATCGGCATTGAACAAGAAGTTGTTGGAGATATCCTCACCCTCAAGGAAACGAGTCGGATACACCACTATCAATGAATTAATCAATCAAACTCAAAAGAGATGAAGCTATCCTACTTACCAAGATGGCCTCGTACCTCTTCAAGAAGTCGCTCCATTTCGTCCCTATCCGCTAGACTGAAAGGTTCAGACCCGCGATTGGCTTTGCGGCTTCGCGCTTCTGGCCCATTGGTCGGCGGCTGTGCACTAGATGTGGAAGCCTGGTCCTCTGCGTAATCCTTTGCCTTCGGGCCAGCTTCATCCGTAGGACTATCAGGTTTCTCCGTTGCTTGTCCTGGCGCACCTTGATCTCCAGATTCAGACGGAATACGTGCAACAGGTTCAGGGGTAGGCACATCTCTCATCTATTCACGCCATCAATTTGTGCCTAGAGTCATAAGAAATAGGGACATACAGGTTGGTTCAAGCGTTCATGGTGAATAATGAACTCCTTGTACTGTTTCCAAGTTGTTACTATGTCATCGGGGATTGCATGGAAAACTTTACGGAAGATCTCCGTCTGTTCTCATGTCAGCAATGTTATCTGAGCAGAAAGATTTTATCTCACGTTGTGTACAGCACACCCAATCCAGACCTTCTTCCAAAACTCGTCACAAATCGGGTCCTCAAAGCCGTAAGGATCAACGTGAGGGGTTGGCGTGGGCAGCACCCAAGGTTTCGACCCAGACTTGGAATCTAGTTTCGCTGTGAGATGTCTGCGCAGAGTAGAACGAGCAGCGGGGGCCTTGTGCTCTTCCTCGTCAGCCTCAGACGCTTGTGATTGGGGCGGCCCGTCATCATGTTTGGTGTCCGCACCAGCCGGTGTACCAAAGAGCTCTCCGGCAACATGAGCGGACCCCGGTGTGCGAACTTCGGCATGACCGTTTGATACCTCCCTATTAGCATCGTCACCGTGTTTTCGGACAGTATCGTGAGAGGCGGAATCTTCAGAAACCTCTCCATCAGCTTGACCATTGGCTAGGCCTTGCTCAGCGATCGTTTTCTCTTCCAACGTCGGCACTACGGAACTTGTGAAACCGGGCACCTTCTCGCCCTCCTTGTTGTATGTCGTGCGTTCTTCGCCAAGACTTGCCTCACCGGCGTTGGCAGTCGGGTCCTCCGTCATCAATCCAGTTTTGCTTAGGAATGCCGCCGTATCCTTGGCTACGTTATCACCCGTACCACGCAATACTTGATAAACATGTAAGTGAGCGGTTATTATACATAAAGAAAATACTTAAAACCAACCTTGCTGAATACCGCCGAGCGTGTCATGCATTAGGTCCTTGGTAGCAGTCCTGCGTTGGGATTTGCCCACATGCGTGACACCCGCTTCCCTACCATACTCTTGCTCTGTATCCGGGTCCCACTCCTGCATTTCATGCTCCTGCTTCGTCGGTTCGAATGCCATGAGGTCATCCTCGTACATTGCATCCACGTCGATGCCAAGATGTTCGCGCATGAGCCTGACTCGTAGTGTATGCGCAAATCGGCCGACCTTATACGGCTTCCCGGCCATTGTCCTACGAAGCCATAACTCAGTATTGTATCAGAATAGAAGGGACAGATCAAGCTCACGAGTCAATCATATCCGTGTCACGAATGACAGCTGCAAGCTCGGAATCACGATCACCGCGTTGAGACCTCTCGTTGATGTTTGCGCTTCCAATAATCGCGAGTTTATCGTCAACAATGCAAACTTTAGCATGAATGTAGACCTGCTCGGTAGTGAGGACGTCGTGGCGTAACTTTCCCCAGTTTCGCAGAGAAAAGAAAGAAATGTAATCATCGGGCTGCATGAAACGTCAGAATGTATCGATGACTCGAGAGTTGTTGAACATACATCAATGCCTTCTTTCCTCAGGCGAGAAAATATCGAATTCGGTCCTCTAGAGATAGTCCGGTTTTGGCATTCCAGGATTATTCGAATCTAAAATTCACGAAGGAGGTGAGATGGAAAACCCTTTGGGCATGTGTCACTATCTGCTCACCGCACTTGCGTCGCTATGATCTACTGGGAACGTGAAGCCGGGGAGAAGGGGAATCAATACACAGCATTTCCATGGAGTTCCTTCGCGATGTGCTCGGATGATGCGGTGTACAATGGCATCACCAATCTTGTTTTCTATCTTGACTTCGTTCACCACGGTCCTAAATTATAAATGAGCGATGGTTTAAGCCAGAATTGGAAAAAGCATACGAGGTGATGAAGAACTGATTTTCGATATACACGAAGTGCTCAGATAGTTGGATAGCTTGTGAGAGAACATTGTTAATAGCCATAAAATGTACAAAGGTTGCAACTGACCTTTGAGATAGGCATTTTGAATGGATAGCTCTGTCCTCTCTGGAGTACCCATTGACCAGCTGCCGGCCGAACGACATATCTGGAGCTCGCATGTACCTGTCAACCCCATAGCAGCGAGTTCACCGGGACGGAACTCCGGAGGAGGTAGTAAGAAAGGCATGAGGCGGGTATGATTCTGGGCTGGCATTCAACTTTAGTCCTGATACAACAGTGGTTTAACTCACCTTGATCCTCAGAAGAAAGTTCCATCTGAAGCAACACCGCTTAGCACCAGTTACCCAGTGAGAGAAATATGGTATACCTTTGTACAAAATGTCGAGCGAGATCGCGAGCGGGCTGTCCTACCATCTGCATAGAAACATCGTGCCTATGGGACGCTCCATTAGAGCGCGTATTCAGGTTTTGTAAGCGAATACTTACCATGGCATGCGAGGAACTTTGGAACGATCATACATGTCCTCTTCTGGCTTGTTCAGAGCGTGGAAATCTATAACCCTTGGGTTACTGTAGTCCTTGCCTGTTTTCGCTCTGAATCAGTACAGTCGGGGTAGAGTGGAACATCATCATACTTACCAGGCCAAATGGGTTCTTCGGTTTCCGCAATCTCAGGATCATCAACAAGAACATGTTGAGGCGTGTCCCATCTAATTCTACAGTCAGCGTAATCAGTAGTGAACAGGGCCAAAAAAAGGTGTACCGTCCGAAGCATTGATCAAGGCCACCCATGAAAGCGATGGCTTGGTCAATCACGCATAGTTTCTCGTGCTAAGGAAGGCGTCAGCACAGAAACAAATGGCGAAGAACACCCCTTACATGAGCCCAGTAGAACGTGCCTGTCTGGAAATGAGATGGTGACCGCTGTACCAAGATGTTAGGATGCAGTGAGATGAGCCTCTGCTTGGCATAGCTACATAACTGCTCAGACATGGGTTGGTGTTGCAATTTGGTGGATACTCACTTGCTGTCTGTAGGAGTAGTCCGACTGGAGACTTCTTGGCTATGACAAAGGATCAGAAGATGCATGGATATGGAACGTTGTAGAACGACTCACTAGAGAATGATATAGATATTGACTCCTTCTTTGGCCTTCTTTTCCAACAGGCGATCCAAACGATATTTGTCCAGACCCGGACGACGCATCTTCAGCTCTATAAAGTGCGCCAGACTCAGAATTCCATCTTTATCCTACATCACAGAGTCAACCTACCTGGGGAGAGCCACCAATCATGGATATAAATACTTTCTTTGGCCAATAGAATCGCGCGCGAAAGATTCCAAAAGTAATCACGCTATCAAAAAGAAAGTACATGAGTCGCACATAACCACTCGAGAAAGAATTACCGCTTACACCGTCAACAAGCCACTGAGCAGCGACATTCAAACGAATGGGGGCGAAGCTGTCGAAACGGTTTGTGCCCGTGTAATGTGACTCACGAGCAACCTTCTCAAGCGCAGCGATCCACTGCAGCATTTGACGCTATTCCCTTCAAAGTTAATTCATGACATAAACTTCTGGACGTGAAGCGCGCACCTCATTTTTGGCAAAGAGCTTCAGCCGCATCTGAGAGTTCTCAATATAGAACACATGTTTAGAGACGTCACCGCTACGCTTCTTTTTCTTTCCCTTGTTCTTTTCGTCGTCCTGTGGGCCATGAGGCTTCTCAGATGCGTCTTCCAGTGGGTTGGTATTGGTCGAAGGATCCAACATTGGGGTCAGTGGACGTTCCTCTTCCTCAGTTTCATCATCCGTAGTAGTGGTAGATGACATAGTATTTGAACGACGACGTTGCTGCTGATGTGAGCCTGAAGCAACTCCCTCTGCGGTTTGATTCATTTCTTGATGACCATCGTGATGATGAGACAATTTAAAGACTCTAGAAACGCAGGATTTGATCGAGCCCATGGTAGAACCAACATGACTTCGAGCATCAGGCGCCTTCTTCTCGGTATCATGGGCGTGCCCAGTGGGATGAATGGCACCCTCTGGTATATTCAAGAGGTTGAGACCTTGACGGTAATACCGTACTGGACGCTCTATCTTGAAGTCTTGGTCGACGATGAAGACATCGTAGACTGTCAACTGCAAGGATGTGAGAAAAAATTCTAATCACTGACGAAAAGTACCTACTTCACCCATTTCCTCAAGTATGACGAGATAACTTTCTCGTACAGCACACCACCTTTGGGTCTGTTTGTCCCGCCAGCTTGTATTCTTACGCCCATAACCGCCACCGCCTTTAGCCGAAGACGGATGTATTCGCAAGAAGCCCGCCTTATACTGGGAGCCCCCCGACTGAGCAAGCGCAATTGAGAGCGCACTGATCTCCAAAAAGCTGGCCAAACGGTTGGCGGCAGGATGAAACATCTATACAGCCACGATGTCAAGACTAGAGCAAGAGTGAGACAAGAGACCCTTACCACTGCACGAATTAATCCAATGAGGTAGTTCTCGAGTGCTTCACGTTGCAGACGAGCGAAGTCTGATTTCCCTACCTCACTATCTCTCTCTTTCAGCCATTTGAAATAGGGAAGGCCTATGGCATGGACGATGTCAGCATACATGAAGGGTATCAGCAAGACAAAATACCTACTAGTACGAGGGAAATCGGGCAATGTATCAACATTCCTGTTGTACGCGTTTGAAATGGCGTAGTGGGTGTGAAGAGACAGGAATTCTCGCAGCTGGCGGTAGATGACCCAGCGAGCGGCACCGTTGGCGTACTCGCATTCAATTCGGAAGACCGCCTTGTGACCATGCGTAGGATGCAAGCTATCGCTGACACGAATGCGCAGGCGATGGAAGAGAACAGGCACTCGTCGATGACCCCTTTCGTCCCGCTCGAACCACAGGCGCAACATCAAGGTAGAAAGCCCACCAGCAATCAGCTCGTCGGTAATATTGACAGAGGTAGACACGACAGCGGACGGCGCACTAGCCTGAGCTCTTGCTTGGCTCGCTACATGAGGAAGCAACGAGCGCAGTCGGCCCCACTTTGGAGCCCCCGTACCGCCGCCCTTAGTGTCAATCTTGATGTGTGGCAACGAACGAGAACGACCTGACAGACGTGGTGATGATGCCGCTGTTGACGAGTTTTTGAGATGAGGTGACTGGTGAGGTGTCGACGTCTCCGCTTCATCGGGTGCGTGTTCTTCTTGTTCTTGAGGTTCGGCGGTGAAAGGTGAAGGTTCTCCTCGAGGTGAGTCAGACAGCCATCGCACAGGGTTCCACGTCTCGGGAAAGTATCCTTCTCGTTCTCTCCGCTTTCCTTTGCGTTCCGCGATCTCTCGTTCGCGTTCACGCTGCTCTGGATCCTCATACTCCAGGGCACTGCGGAAATCAGAAGTGGGAGGGGCGAATTCATTTTCATCCACGTCTTCTACTGTCTCATCATCCGGACCTGGGACATGAAGGAAGGCTGAACCGTCTTCATGGCTTCCAGAGCGAGAAGGGGGAACGTTGGCACCAGACATGGAGTAGTGGTAAGAGATTGACCTCGGAGGACCGGAGGGAGTCGTGGGGTATGGATGACCATTGCCAGAAATCGACGACTTTCTAGCTGTACGTCGCACTGGTTGAGTTTGCGAACGAGAGGCATTGCTCGACCGAGGGCTGGTCTCGTTTAGGTCATTGACCTGGACAGCCGGACGATGTTTACTGGCCTGCCCATGCTGATACTTCTCTTCTTGACGAGGACGTGACTTCCCCTTCTCACTAAGAGAAGGTTTCCCATTCTCACGAAGTTGACCAACTCCGTCTTCGCCTTCTCTCTTCTCATCCTTCTCTTCCTCGTCCACTTCTTCCTTCCCTCTTACAACATGGCCTTGTCCTTCAGAAGGCATTGTCATCCCCGTAGTCTGAACCTCGTCTTTGGCTTCACGTCGCTTGAGAGAGGCCTGGAGGTCTGCAATAGTCGTTGATTGCTCTGCTTTCTGTGCGGGTGAGTCTTCATGACGTGGGGGTTGTGGATGAACACCAAGAGGAGGATCCTGAGGGTGCTCGTCTTCCGGTTGATCCGTAGGTTTCTTGCTCTTGAGGAGGTGAACAATATCATCGAAGCCTCTGTGCGGCTGCGTTATTGAAGCCATGCATATATGCGAATGGGAACTGGGTATGAACTTCAAAGGAGAGAAGAGGATCGAAGGTCGTTATGGAATGTGTCAACCTTCTATAGCAAGAATATTAGTATGATAACCTGAAGCTTAGAACTAGAACTTCGTTCAGTATTCCACTGTTTGCTAATAATAAGACAGAGAATTAGATGCATACCGTCAAAGTACGCTTTGATATTCTCGTTCCAGATATTGCAGTGTATCCTCTCGGAAATCTAGTACAGTAGACAACGAGAGAACCGTAGTTATGAAAGTCGTTAAAGTTAATGGCAAGCTTATATGAGTTGCTTCTCCGCATTTAACGTCATTTACCCAGAGCGTCTAATGTCATAGTGGCACACGTAATTTCGACGAAGTCAGCAATACCATTCCCTCGATATTCCAAGTTTGAAGATACGCATACTGATGAGTTCCGAATCCTAACTTCCTTGTTCTATGTATACACAGTACATGTCTCTTTACCTACGCCGAATGCAATACTAAGATGCGCCAAACGCACTCTTGTTTGCAGTCAATTCGGCACCCAACTTGTAGCCAAGAACCTAGGACGTAAAATGCTCACAATCAGCGCCTGAGTGGAATTAACACAGGCAGAATCACGGACGAACCTTATCCCAATCCAGCTTTGACCTAGTTATCGGCAGGGCCCGCCGGAGACCCTTGAACGTTTTCTCGCTCATCTCCTGATACGCATCATTTAGGGATGATTGGTATTTACTTTCCTCTGTTTCTATGAGCGCGAGGACTTTGGAGGCAGAAGCGCTAGCGGACGATGCACTGATGGCTGGTGGTAGGGGAAGGGAAATATTGTGCGTCGTCGACAATTGGACCTGATGACATCATGAAAATGATAAACCTTGATAGCTCCAGGTCGGTGAATGAGGATCTTACATTTCCTTGCTCGTAGTAGTGTACGTTCACATGGATCCTGCCCTCAAGCTTGCGCTCCTCTAAATTGATGGTATATTCGGATCGCCATCGTCCGGACCTACGGGTTGATCAGTTAAGGGAACTTGGAATGACAATGGGCCAACACGGCAATCCACATACCAGAAATTCGAAGGGTTATACTTGTTCGCAACAATTTGAACGATAAACTGGCTAGCATTACCTGGGATGGAAAAAACAGCCCCGACACCTGAATGGAAGTGTGCGCTGATGTATGATAGTGTTGCGTTCTCTAGCGCAGCTCTATAAATCAACGATCAGCGTATTACATATGGAAGGCGCATAGAACGTACGGACCTGAAAGGCTCAGAGTCGCTGTCGGGGTCGATAGGTATAGGTTCTGAAGCTTCCTGCACTACAAGTCAGAATATATGCGTTTCAAGACTAAAGTTTCGGGACAGACCAAGCTCAAGTGGTCGAAACGGAAACTTGTTCTTGACCTTGGGTCCCAGAACCGATCGCCATCATCCTCCACACCTTCCTCTTGCGGCGCCCGAGCGGCTTCACTAACGATAGTCTTGCAAACGTGGAACAAAGGTTAAGAGCTGCTCCAGTAATAGACTATGGACATTAACTCACTTGATGCTGATGTCCAGGGACATCTACAGTTATGAATTGAGTGACATTGTATTCTATCAGCGCTGGAAGGACACCAGTTTGTAACGACTCGTCGTCGGATATGATATTCCTAACGTCTAACACAAGACATGAGTTTGGATTTAATTAGTTGTATGGTTGTATGCACAACGTACCATTCAGAACATCATTGATTTGGCCAGGTGGGGACTGAAGCAGGAATTTGGAAGCTGCTACAATACGTTCCTCGGCGTCCATGTCCAGTCAACCCACCGTCAGGTAATATGGACTCTTGAATATGGAATGAAATATAAAATGCAGCTTGGAGGAACTGGTTAAAGTTTCTAGTGCTGTTGCGCCCAGTTGGTATAGGCGCATAGACGCCCATCTTGATCAATTACTCATTTCGGTGAAGTCTCTTTTCAAGCTGGCCCTTCTACTTACTGTCGTTCCTACCTTGGCCAAGCAACAGCCTCCTCGAAGCTATCCGACACATATGGAGACGATGAATGATATGCCTGATCTACTGAAGTCTTCTAATCTGTCTTCTACCTGCATAAATGAAAATACCTGTGGTCCTAGGCTGCGGCGATGCGTCTTCATAGCATCTCCATTCCTTCTCAAAAATGAACTCGATACCTGACCTTTTCCGATGTTTGAATTTTACGCCTTTCCGTCCGTCAAGTGTTCGAGCTCGTGCGGTCCTACGAGAGCTTTCCCTACATCGGCAGCAGAGGGCCGTTGGTAGCTAAAGTGAGAACGCTGGCTCCCGACTCTTGGCCTATTGTTACCACAAAAGTCTCAGTTGCTACTCTGTCTCACTCTTTCTCCGGAGCGGTTTCTCTCTTCGTGGGCTCTCCAGGCTGTGTACCCAGAAACGGACTTTTTGTGCGACCGGAAGACAAAAGCCTGACAGGCGAGTGAGGGTGTGCTGCCTTCCCCACAATGAGTCTATCGCCCTTATATCGCAAGAACTCCTATCCGTTGTTTCCGTTCCACCATATGAGCGTATAGTCTGAGCCACCCCTGTGGCTTGCCTTGGTCCGACTCCTGTGGGTCTCAAGCTCTTGTATAAAGCAAGGTGCGTGAGAGGGTACTGCCGCCTGCTCTCAACGTTCTGGGGTACGAATGCCTTTCACTTTGAGACGCTCCAAGAGGAAGGAGCTCGTCTTTTCTCGTTCTCTTGTAGAAGCTGTGAAGTCGAAGATCTTTGTTCCAAAGTAAGCACCACATATTCACTGATACATTTAAACTCATTTTGTGTCTAGCAAGAAGGACAGCTATGTTTGTGAGTGGCACAGTGACACAGATGTCTTAATTCAGGGCAAATTGAGAACATATCCGTGCTCAGATCGTTCGCCTACATTACGCCGCCAACGTTCGCGATACTCTCATTTACCAGCAGAGCTTCTGGCCTATATATTCATCCTCGGTGCTCAAGATGACCCCTTGTTCCCAATTACCATAACACACGTTTGCAGGTCATGGCGCGCTCTTGCTTTACAAACGCCTTCCCTGTGGCGTATCGTTTCACTAGATAACCGACTGCGTCTCTGGAATGAATACATCCGCCGGTCTCGAGCATGCACGCTAGACATTCGGCTTGTGCCACAGTCGCGAAAGAACAACGGTTCATCTTCACCAGACCCTCGTAGCCGAGCACATGGAAGATATTATCTTGCCGCCCAAAGCGTACAGAACTACCTTCATTGTGCTGCGCCACACATATCTCGATGGCGATCACTAGAGATCGAATTCCAACATTACGCCCCTTACCTATGGAACGGAGCGCTATCAGCCTGTTGCGGCTATGGTCCATCTTCATACGCTCCCCAACTCGAAAGCCTCACTCTCATTAACCCCAATAATGACGACACTAATGAATTCACTCTCTTCGGGGGTTATGCACCGAAATTACGTCGAGTCACATTGAACGGTATACGGCTGACCTGGCTGCCCGACGTGTTCGCGAACCTGAGCGCATTGGACTACACCCATCATGGGTTCACCCGTGGGAGAGATGCGGCGGCTGAACTGCTGTATATGCTGCAGATTTCCAACAGATTACGACAGCTGAAGGTGTCAATTCCCTCACGCGCCGGGGCCCACTCTTCATTTCCGTTCAGATTCCCAGCAGAGGACTCAGTCCTCCTTGCCCATCTTACAGAGCTCTCCATTATCATTGAGGATACAAACTTGCCTTCCGCGTTGATTCAGTTCATCGCGCATGTCTCTATTCCCAACATCCACACGTTACACCTAATGGTGAAGCCTACGACCAATGACACTCGACCAAGTCGAGCAGGACAATCGGATATCTCCACACGTTTACGTCAATTCCTTAAAGCGCTTCCACGATTATATACCCTCCGACGTCTCGAACTCGAATACGCCTGGCTATCAGACCCTCGATTCATTTTCATGCTCCTCCACGTCGTTCCCAGCCTCACTCATCTCACACTCCGGGGTCCACATATCACCAACTCCCCCTTATTTGAATTATGCGATATATTACGAGCGAGATACCGCTCTTCGTCCAAGTATCCGTTGATATTGGATGTGTTGGAGTTAGATCGGTGCGAACATGTTACCGCAGGTGCGTTGGTAGACGTGGTCAAGCATAACCTTGATGCTGGTACTGGACGGCGCCCAGGGATGTGTGTTCGGGCTGTGCACGTGAAGGATTGTGTTGGTGTGGACGTTTTGGCTTTGCGACGGCTGAAGTCAAACCCTAGTGGAGTACGTCTGAGGGTATGGCGGAAAGGTGAGGAAGTGGACTTCGGTACTTTGAACGCTAAAGCGACAGCTGCTAAGAGACATCGTTATCATCAAACAACTGAGGACAGTTATGTATCATTATCTACTTATTAACATGTTATAATTACGTAGGATACTTATTCAAAGGTGCAAATTCAGTACGCGGGTAACTTTGGGTGTTTCCATGTCATTGCTTACAACAAAGGGGCGCGAGAGGACATTGCTGGCTTCATAAGTAACAGGAAGGTAATATAACATCTAACATGTCTAATATTACAGCAAGCAAGTTCTAGTCGCACAGAACACAGACGCGAATATCGTCATACACGGGATGGGTTGACTGCCAGATACCCTCCATCGATTGCAATCTCCTGACCATTGGTATAGCATCCCGCAGGCGATGCGAGGTATATGACTGTTCCTGCAACCTCTTGCGCACTATCATGTGGTATGTATCAGTGTCAATAACCAATATTCAAACCACGCAGACTTACGTCCCCGGTCGTTGTTCAGGCACAGGTTGAAGACCGAGACCGACCTTGTCCACAAGGTCAGGTGTAATACGATCATGTGTCATTTCAGACTCGTATACACCTGGGGCAACCGCGTTAACGCGTACAGGGATCTTCTTGAGAGCAAACTCGGTCGCCATCATCTTTGTTAGATGGGAAACTGCTGCTTTCGAGCTGTTATACGCAAACTAAAATCATGCGATGTTTAGAAACAATAAAGCATGGTGAACAGAAGGACTGACGTGGTTCTGAGCGAGTTTCATCAGACTACTGATACTCGTGATGTTGACTACGCTCGATGTGTATCCTGGTTTTTCCTCGCTACCCTTCGCGAGCAGACCAAGGAAGGCCGTGGTAACAAAGTACACGGAAAATGTATTGGACTGGTAGAGAGATGACCATGACTCGAAGGACTCGTTGTCAAACAAGGCACGGCCGAGGGTTTCAGCATCTTTGTGCTCTGGCGCAGAGACATCGTTGAAGAATCGGGAGACAGGCCCTGTAATGCCTGCGCTAAACACTCGAACACATCAGATGCTCGTTCCGGCAGTGAGCAGACGAGCAGAACGTACTTGTTGACAAGTATGTGAAGCCTTCCTTCACGATTCTGAATCTCTTTCTGGGCTGCTGATATACTCTCGCGATCGGTTACGTCCATAACGAGACTACCGTAAATCAATTATGTTTGTATATTCGAATGAGCCAGTATAGACGTACGGTACAATCCTTCCCTGTCCTCGGAAAGACTGTGCTGAACTCTCCAGTTTCTTCTCACGTCGACCTGCAATGTAGACTTTGGCACCATTGGCTGCGAGACCTTGGGCGATCATCCAACCGATTCCAGACGCCCCACCAGTAACAAGTGCGATGCGACCTTCTAGGTCGTAAATCTTGTCAAATCTCATGCTATTGGAATCAACCGACATGTTATAGACACAACAAACTGGAAGGAGATGCGTTGGTTGAGAAAGTGGCAAACAGTACTACAGTCATGGTGAAATGTGGGGAAGGCGAGGTGCGGGAGCCGGACCGAACGTTTTACAAGTATAGCGATCGATCAGGCCAAGTTGAACGTTCTTGAACCCTCTTGCCCATGATCCTATCTGTGACCGATCCAAGGCTTTCACCACCCTTGCGCTCGAGGGTTTGGTTTGGGGCTAGACCAGGTTAGGATGCTCAACAGTCCAGTCTAATTGGAATACCAGTCTCTTCTCTTAACATCACTTTTCACCGGCACCGCTGGTGGTAGTATTAGTTCATGTGCCATCGTACCCCGGGCCGCAGGTCTAGTATCGCTGATTCTTTGCAGAACATGAGACGCCATTAAGGCATGATGAAGCCAGCATGGAGTTTGGCCGTGACCACCAGCCTGTGAACACGCTCGTTTCGGCGACGTGATTCAAACCTCAGGCTGACTCGTGAGGTCGGCCGATGAGAAGCGGAAGAAGGAAAGCTATGTATCACTCACATAGAACCAACGTGAGTCACGGTCAACCAAAGGCTTCCTCTATGTACCTCTCCAACTCACTGTGTATATAAGGAGGTCCTGCACGTTGTTTCCTCTCATTCAACTTGTTTAGGCGCTCACTCGAACACCCTCGAACACCTTGATATGTCGTTGGACCACTTTGATTGCATCGTCATCGGTTCAGGGAATGCAGGAAGCTGCGCTGCACTGGCAGCCAAAGATTCCGGATGTCCTCGTGTCCTCGTTGTTGACAAATGTCCAGCGGAATGGGTAGGAGGTAATGGATACTTCACCGCAGGAGCGTACAGAACTGTTCACGATGGTCTTCACGATCTTCTACGCATCGTGCACAATGTTGCTCCTAATTCCGACTTGGCGTCCACAATTGACGTGGACCCATACAGCCCTGAGGACTTTATCGGCGATATCATGCGTCTGGGCGAAGGGAAGCCGAACCCCGAGTTAGTCAAGGCTCTTGTAGAAGGGTCAAGAGATGCCGTTCAGTGGCTCGCCGAGCGCGTCAAGGTTCCATTTACCTTCTCTTTCAACAGGCAAGCTTATCTTGTCAATGGTCGTCAGAAATTTTGGGGTGGACTGGCTCTTAGCGTTGAGGATGGTGGCAAAGGTGTCATTGCTGCACATCAGAAGGCACTGAAAGATGCAGGCGTGGAGGTGTGGTTCAATACAACTGCTGTAGAGCTGGTGGAAGAGAATAATGCTGTCGCCGGGGTTATCGTGACACAAAATGGTGAACTGGTTACTTTGAGAGCACAATCAGTCATTCTAGCGACAGGTGGCTATGAAGCTAGTCGAGAACTTCGAGGAAAGCTCTTGGGATCTCAATGGGAGTTAGCGAAGGTACATCTCTTGTTCCCCTGATCTAGCTCGGAACTGACATTCCATTGCGTCATAGGTTCGTGGTACCCCCTACAATACGGGTGACGGACTTACGCTTGCGCGTGCGATTGGAGCAAAACTCGCAGGCGACTTCCAAGGATGTCACTCTACATGCTGGGATGCAAACGCAGCCCCAGACACCGGAGATCGTTTACTCAGTAACCAATTCACAAAATCTGGGTATCCCCTCGGGCTCATGCTCAACGCCCTTGGAGAGCGTTTCGTCGACGAGGGTGAAGATTTCCGCAACTATACTTACGCCAAATTCGGGAAAGCAATCTTGAGACAACCTGGAGGTCATGCATTCCAGGTTTGGGACTCGAAAGTGACGTCCTGGTTGAGGAAGGAAGAATACGGTGATGACATTGTCAGGAAGATTTGGGCAGACAGTATTGAAGAGCTTGCCGAGAAGCTTCATGCGGAGGGTCTGGAGGATAAGGAGACCTTTATAAGGACGGTCAAATTTTATAATGATGCTACCCATGCGTTCCAAGCCAAGTATCCCGACAAGGCATGGGACCCTGCAGTCAAAGATGGTCTTTCCACAAGTTCTCTCCCATTGCCGAAGTCAAACTGGGCACTCACAATCGAAGAACCACCTTTTCTTGCGGTCAAGGTCGCTTGCGGAATCACTTTCACTTTCGGAGGTCTTGCGATTGATCCAAACACCGCTTCTGTCCTTTCGGAGCAGGGCAAGCCAGTTCCCGGGTTGTTTTGTACCGGAGAGTTGGTCGGTGGTCTGTTCCATCACAATTATCCAGGAGGAAGTGGGCTCACAGCTGGTGCGGTCTTTGGGAGAAAGGCTGGTGAGGAAGCTGGAAAGACTATAGTCCGATCATAATGGGAAATATGATAGTCATGGGCGGGGCGAGGACTGTGGGGATATTTATGCACGATATACAGGCATGGCTTAACGAATGATTGTATGATCTTAGAGTTATAGTGTACCCAGCTTTGACTGTGAGGCCGTCAGGAACTCGATATGATGGGCATCCCAATGAACTCCATAACCATCCGAAGGTCTGGTCGGGGCCTGCGTGCTCTAATGTGCTATGCAAGCGTACTGACTTACATCAGGGCCACCATCTTATTCATAGCTACGTACATGCCAGATTATCCTCGATCATTAGTATAATTGCATCCCCACACACCTTGTGAAAACTTTTCAATATGTTCGTCCATTGTCTAATTATCATATCCTCCAGTCAAGGGCAGGTAAAAACGCTGCGAAACTAGTGAAGTACTCAAAATGGTGTTTGTTGGTGAGAGCTTCAACTTCTGAGTTACCCATACATGCTACAGGTCCGGGAACTCTTTCATATACAACTTGAACAAGCTAAGGAGACAGATACAATGAAATACTGTGAATATCGACGCTTTCACGAAGTTGGTTTGGGGGCCGCTTTACAGACGGCTTTATGGTACCGCCAGGCCGCCACTTGACTGCGGGCATTTTATATGAACACATCGTACAAAAGCCAGTAATATAAATGCATACCATTCCTTGTTACAATAGCGGACAAGTTTGCATCTGCGTGGCAAGATTCACTTTTTACATTCATTACCGTGGACACAATCACCATGACGTACCTTCCGCACGTAGGCATACTTTTAGTCCCGGGCTTCCCGCAATTGGAACACGCTGTCGGATACTTTTCATTCGCGAATGCAAAGTTAGACATGTCAGGACGATTTTCCTTCTTGCCCGTAACTTGAGCCTTGAGTTCTGAAGGTGGCAGTTTTTTACGAGACCCGGTAAGCACGTTGTCAATTCTCTCCACTTCACCTGGAAGCAAAGAAGGAGAGAAGTTGTCAGAGGTGACGTGAAAGGTGGGTATGATAGAGTCTGTTGGTGGTTCGAGTGTTCCTAGGAAATCAGGATGAAGACCTTGTTTGGGTGTCGTGTATGTGGCGTGTACGCTGTGACATAGCAAAACAGAATTTGTCGCTACATATTGAGAGAATTGGGGAAGTGCATTCCAGACTGACGTATAAATGAGGTCTGTTTCCATCGTGGTACACATATTTTGCCAACGACATGAAGCGGTTCGCGTTGGCTTTCGTGAGTTTCGCGTAATCTTCTTCGTATGAAACGTTCGGCTTGTGAGCTGCTCCAAATAACTGAATATCCTCTTTTCTTCTTTATTGAGCCATTCGCAAGACGCACCATCGCTACTGTCACCAAAGCACATGACAAGGAGAAAACGGGAGGTAGTGAGGTCGATAAAAATTAGGTGACCTCGGTCTCTCTAGAACAAATATAACGCACGTTAGCTTATAGATACAAATGATAAAGACTACGTACGACACGCTTCGTAGAACCCTTTACGATCTATGTATGTTGTCAGCATGATGGTTACAAACTGATTTCCGCTAAATAACTCCATGCCTACCTCATAATCGTAAAGAATAAGATGGTAGGTCTCGTACTTGTTTCTTTGTTCATTCCATTTCTCCACAGCATCGACGACTTTCTTCCGAGCAAGAAAGTCGTCCTTGGAGAGATCTTGCAGATTTTCGGGACCCCGCTCAAACTTTGCCGAGACTTCGCACTCGTAAACACCAAAGTTCCGGCACTGCATAAGTTTGGTCGTTGCACATGTGCCAGAAGGGTCCACGACATTGTTCGGGCTCCACCTAAATGAGTCACATCTGAACGGTCTGGAAATGAATAGGCGGGGAAGTAAGACGCACCCCGGCATGTCACCGAATATAGAGGTCAAGAATGCAGCCTGGTCGTTCATAGCCACAGTATTTTAAGCTACCCTATAGGTTACAACGAAATAGATCGTGGTGATGAGGGTTAGGCTTTCAGAACGAAGAATGATTCAAGTTGGAAGAATGTTATGATCGATCGCAAACTGAGCCACGTGCACCATGTTCATCTAGTTGTGGTTCGTTCGAGCTTCCTTAAACCACAAAGCTGTTTCAACGCAGAAAGGTGTGGTAACGCAGAAAAGAGCAGTAACACTGTGGGAGAAATTTGCCATAAGTCTAGTATTCGAGAATGTATCAGGAGAATATTCTACAACTGAGGTGCCGTTAGCACAATGCTAAGGCAAGTGCCAAGAGAGGATGCTGTAAGTTATGGAATCGTACACCCAGCGAGGTATAAAGGGAAGCGACAACGAGTTTAACTGCAAGAGGCAGTAATGTAGGTAATGCAGAATATACAGTAAGGTAGAGGTGGAAAGCAACGAACGGGACTTGTCCTTTGGCGCCTATTGGAACGCAAGCACGCCTTGATTCCGTTCAGGATCGCTCATACGAAGAACGCGAACGCTGGGCCCGATTGTGATATTTGACATATCTTGTGGGGTAATAAGGATATATTGCTTCCTGTTGGAGGCATTGGCAGTGTCGATCTGTGGAATAAAGGTTGGTCACCAGGCTCATAGCTATGTTGAACGAAACTTACCATCATCTTCATACTGATACGACGGTTGACCGCGTCCATGAACACGTCGAACTCATCTACAAAGATGTCAATTTCTATTCTTAGTCGCAACAAATGCGAGACATACCAAGGCAACGAATAGGGCAACCGATAGATTCCCATAGCGAAAGCAGCAAACAGATCGTCGAGAAGGACTTCTCCCCGCCACTAAGGGAACGAGGATCCTTCTCCCTATTGCCGCCTTGCGTTGGCACCATGTCGTCGGTTTGCACCTTAAACAAGTATCAGTCATTCTACCTTCTGCCTCTTTCACAATCGACAGTTGTAACCGACCTTGAGTTGGAGACTTTGGCTCACATGGTCAAAGAGAACCTTGCCATAGTAACCGCGTTGCGACAAGTGGTATGCAAAATAGATCTTGCAGCGAAGGGCGATATGACGACGGAATTCGTGCCATTTCAGCAGGCGAACCTTGATAGATCGCCTAAGAGCTTTGTTTAGGAGAGCCATGTTCTTAAGTTCGTTCTCGGCGGTCTCTAGGGCCGCTTTCTTCTTGTTCACTTCAACTGTCATCTCTTCGACAGTGGCACCATCCCTACAAGCAAGATGAGTCCATCATTTCAGAAACGAAAAGCTGAACAAGTACCGTTTCTCTCGTTCTTTCAGGGCATTCTGAACGGAATCCAAGTTGCGCTGAACATCCGCGACCTTCCTCGGGTTGGGGAACCTTTCACAGTATTCCTCAGCTTTGCCCGTCCAAGTCTGACAAACACATATTAGAACGCATCCACCATTATAGCCAACCGGAGCCATACCGTGAACTCCTCTTGAAGTTGATCGACGACTGTTTGAGATGCATTGACCTGCTCCATCGCCTCCGCCAATTTCTTCTCATAATGGGCCTTCTCGTTCTGAGCCTTCAAACGCAGAGTAACCGCCTCCTCAATGGATCCCTGCAGTATGGATAAGTGTCAGAACAGCCAATATACGCAATGTAATAAATCGTCGCACCTCAATAGCAGTCCGACGGCCCTCGAACTCGTCGACCTGTCTCCTGAGCGTTTCCAGCTCGGCCATGAGAGGTTTCTGAGCCTCATTGATAGCTTCCTTTCTAGTCGTCAACTCTTTGAATTGATTCATGGTGGACTCTTTGTCTGCTTCTGCGTCCTATTGGTGACCCAATGATTCGTCAACATTGTCTCGCAAGCAGAAAATAACAAAACAAACCCTAAGTGCATCCTGCAAAGTCTGAATCTCCACGGGCTCTTCCTCGTTAGCGTCCTCTTGGAGCCTGTCACGGAGGTCCTTTGCTCTTCTCGCTTCCCGTACAGCAGCTTCGCACTGTTTCTGAAGGTTTGCAAGTTTACTCTCAGTATGAGCAAATCGAGTCACAAGTTGAAGATTACAAACCTTCCACTCTTGCAGATCTCGTTGGGCTTTGTTGTATGCATCCTGTGCATTCTTGATCTGTTCAGCGAATTCACCATGCTGCTGCTGGAGCTTAATCTTCTCTTGCTGGAATTTGCTATTTAGAGGGTAATGAATGAGATACCGTCACTTAAATGACCACTGAGAGCACGTTACCGTTTATCAGCTTCGACATTCGCGTTACCCCAGAGCTGCATTCTGGGATCTGCGTTTGACAACTGTCGCAGAGTAGTTGACCTGATACCACCATCTCTGTAGAGCGGAACCGCCGTCAAAGCCAGGATGATAATATATAACCAGTCTTGTTTCGTACCTGTATCGTTGGACATTGTAAAGTTCAGCAGCCCAAGCATTGCCAGTAATGTTGTACTGGTGCAGCAGCCTTTCAGCATCTTGACGTGACTGTGCTAGGATAGTACTCTCGATACGGGAGGAGTTAATGAGGAGCCGTAACACGAATGGGTTGGAAACCTGCATGTCTACGTCAGTGAGTTCTCCCGCATCAAAGATGTTTCAACTCGACTGGCCTCAAGTGCGCGAAGAACGGTTAACAAATCTTCTGGCGGCTCTCCCTTACTATAGTCGAAGAGATCTACATCTGCCACATAGATACTTGGATCGCTGTTAGAAACAAGACATGATGTTAGACTCTAAATTGTACACCGGGGAAGCAACCAACGTACTTTCCGTTTTTCTTCAGAATCTTAGCAAGAACCTGTCGATCGTAGCTGTTGGTGACAGCCCATGCAGACATTGCCTGTCCCAGGGTAACACGCAGAAGCGGCGCCCATTTATGCGCATCCCTGACCTTCACATACTGACCGAAGGGCCCTACTGGTTGCTCGCCGCGCCACTGCGTCATCTGAATCTCCTGCATAACCGACTCCATGTTTCGGCCGAAAGTTGCGAGCTTATTCTTTTCCCTCTGAGAGCAAAGTTCGAGCTGTTGATCGATGGCGACAATTCTTTCCCTCAGTCCGTTGCGTTCTTGGGTAAGCCTCTGGCCCTCGGCTCCGGTTCTCTGAACGTCAGCATCGAGCTCGCCTTTTCTTGTCTGGAGCTCCTTGACACGGTCGTCAGCGGCTTTGAAGTTGATCTGAGCCTCGTTTAGTTTGCGATGCGTCTCTTCGCGTTTGCCCTGCGTAAGTGATTCCATTCGCTTCTGCTCCTCAGCAATCTTGCGCGTAAGCTCCGCGATGGACCTATTGGCGTTCTGAAGGTTAGTGTTCATTGATCTTTCTTCTTCCTACACAACGATGAGTTTTTAGCGAAATTGCAGGGAAGATCAGAACGCAGGCGTACTCTGAATGAGCTCAATTCTGCCTTGTTCGCCTTCATTGCAGCCTGCAGCTCTGCTCTACGGTTGAGCAGATTATCGATCTGTCCCAGGTCATCCAGCTCTTGTTCTCGCTCAGCTACCACCTTCTCAGTCTTCTCAATTTTATCCTATATAGACATGTCAGAACTATCCATGGCTTCGTAAAGCTCCTCAACGTACAGCTGACTCCTTGATAGACTTTTCGACCTTCTGCGCACGTCTCTGCAATTTGGTATGCTCTTCTAATTTCGCTGTAAGTTCTCCCTCCTTTGCGGCAACATGAGCCCACGCAAGTTCCTTCTTGAGCTCATCGGCCTTGTGCTTCTGCTCTCGGGCTTTCTTTGCCTCTTGGAAACGAGCTGTGGCCTCTTCGAGGGCGTCCTCCAGGTCCGGTATAGCTTCGGATTTATGCACAAGAACCTTGCCTGTTTGAGTGATGTTCTCCAAACAAGTCGAGTATTCTTCGCTGAGCTGGCTGAGCTGGGTGCCACGTAGGAAGAACTGGAAATCACTATTATTAGGCCGGTTTATCCGCGAACTTGTCAACAAACATACCTTGTACTTGTCGGTAGGTTGAGAAGCACTCAAGAATTGTCTAAAATACGTTAATGTTAGAGATACGTACATAATTTCAAGGTATGTCAACTAGACTGGTTACCTGGCAGAGTCTGTTGCGAAGGCAAATGAGCGCATATACGAGACTCGATGATGAAATAACCAACCTTGTGTGAGAATATTCATGGGATTGTCAACCTGGATGTTCATATGATCACAAATGGCAGACAGTTCCTCGCGCTTGGTCGAAATTATTCGGCCGTCTCTCGACTTAATCTTGTAGGACGAAGAACCCTCCCTGGTGAACCTACGAGTGATAACGATACTGTCGCCATATTCCTTGTGTTTGTAGGCTTCTTCTCCTTGATTCTTGATGACAACAGTAACCTCAGCAGCGCTGCGAAGTCGATTGTTGTTGGAATTTCTGGTCTGTAATACAATAAAGTATAACGCACTTCTCGCCTTCCCTGATGAACGACTTCAAGCCACTTCCACGGCCAGTCGTATTGGCCTTGCCTCCTAAGGCGACCGTCAAGGCAGAGAGAACGGCACTCTTGCCACCTGAAGACAAACATTCATGAAGGCTCCACGGTCGGTAAAGCACCAAATGTGCACTCACTTCCATTATGACCTAAAACGAGTTACTACTTAGCTGATGGACAATGAAGCATACCATGACTACGTACCGATGATGAAGTTAATTTGTGGTCCAAACTTGAATGTTAGATATTTGTGGCACATGAACTGGTGAAGCTCGAGTGACTCGATGATGCCCATTTCTGCAGCGCCCTAGTGATACGATGAGAGATCAGAGTCTTGAATCCGAGGACAGAAGAGAATAGACGTACACCCTGAGCCTGCTTTTTCTTTCCCAGCACCTTTGCACGGATTTGCTCTTCATGCTCCTCCTCAAACCTCTTTTCCTCATCCTCATCTAGAACTATCTGCTCAACCTGGTCCTCCCCATCAATATCCAGGTCACCGTCATCCTTATCTCTATCCTTTCCTTTGCCTTTCGGATCGCGTCCGTTGCGGTTACGAGCTTCGCCGGGCTCTTCGTCGTTGCTCGAGGACGTACGAGCGCGTTTGGAGGCTTGATGGCCTTCCTCCAGGTCTTCTGTGTCGCTGTCATTGCGCGTTGCACGACGTTTCGCCATCGTGATAGGTAACGGCGAATGGCAAAGTAAAGTGTGCGGACAGAACGCGTCGCGTTCTCAATCTCAATCAAGTATAATAAGGACAAACAACCAAATGTGGAAGTCTGTAAATGTTTTGGGAAACAAATATGTTCAAGCATCGCTCTAGCGGAGGTGCTTTTGGATGCGGCTAGGTGAGTACTTGTTTCTTTCACACTGAGTATCAGAGTACTACTGCTGACTCCACAACCCTTCAAGCCACAGTATATGCTTGTCTTTCACGCGACGCCTTCTCATTTCTCTTCATGCAGGTTTCTACTGGCCTCTCATCTATCGCCGCTGTCCGACTTGTCCTTATAGTAAAACATATGACGGCTCGACTTCTCGGGGATCTTGTCTCTATGCTTCACCTTCACTCGCTAATGACAACACCCCTCGGATGATCCTCACTCAAGCTACTCTCACGCTTCTCGGTGACTTCTACGACTCACATCTTACGCATCTCCGTATCTATCTCAAAGGAATTCCATCGCCTTATTTCTGTATACCATCTGTCCTACGCCCGCTTGACTTGATCATTGATCCATTCATCTACGGCCATCCGATTCGGCACCCATCTTAGCTTACGAACAACACGAGTGACCCTGTAGGTGATGCAGGCATGTGTTGTAGGGCTGTCCATACGAGGCTGAAACGGTGGGAAGGCGACAGCTCGGATTTGACGATAGGTCAGGTGTGGAGCATCTTAGGCTCCTGGTAAGTCGTTGCATGGTCATCTCACCCTCGTTCGCCCTCGCCGCCTCTCCCTCTCATCCCTGCCTTACCGATATCCATTAATTGTGTATTTGGGTTCTCTGATACAAGTTAGGGCCCCATCTTCTACGTAGGAATCCGATCAGCATGGGTATGTGGGTTTGACAGCGCCTCGAGTGCACTTCTTTTGCATGTGGACGCCGTGCGCATTGTATTAGCAGCTGGCTCTGACCGCATGGACGTAGTATTCTGACGCGCTCTCTGTACATCGGATTGGGGAGTAATGGATGGAGAATCAACAGCATGCACTGTTGTCGCTATTGATTTCACCGTCGAGGGCCGTAGATTTTATGGCAGCTGTCTTAAATATACTGCCATTGCCTTCAGTCGGCTTCGCGTTGTATGTGTGCCCTTCTTCTGTGTCTTTGTCAACGCCTGCATTCTCGTGCCATTCTCGCTCGCTACTCTGACGATTCCCTTCTGCGCTTGACTGAACTCTAATACCATGCCTCTTTGATTTGGTCATTCCAGGGCCGTGAATGCATAGCAGTGCATGTAAGGTACATGTATTGGTGTCCTAGGGTTGTCAACAAGCTATATATAAAGAGGGGTGGGGTGAATTGGTCCAGCATAGCTTCCCCTTTCAACCACCCACTTACTCTCACTATTCTAAGCTGCCTTCAGTAAATCTTGACCATGCAAAGCACAAGACAACAGGGACTAGGAGAAAGCAAGAAAATAGAGGAAGAAAGGGGAGTAAAGAGTGAAGAAGTCAAGCAGCTTCCACTCCTGCCCTTGGAGATACAATTTGAAGTTATATACTGGGTCCATGCACTCAGTGTTACTGCTTGGAGTTCTATAGAAAGAGTGAGTTGAACATGGATTTCTGATATTGAAGATACAAAGTTATGACATGCTTTGTGCATATATAGCAGAGGACTTTAGTTGCATGTTGCCTCACTTGCCATGCCTGGCATTCACATGCATTGCCCTTTCTCTACAGACATATTGAACTGAATGTTAGAAAAGCTCCACAAGCTAGTCAGCTATGGAAAACATATGCACATTATCAAAAGATATACTCTGCATATTTGAAGAGCCTTAGAACTGATTTTTCTATAGAAATGCAGAATGAGATAGATAAAAAGGGCTGGTCCATACCACTCTTTTCTATCAGATTTAATAATATTACCCATCTTGCTATATATCATCTTGATCTTGCCTGGGTTCATTTAGACTTCTTCAGAGGTCTGGCTCTTCTGCCAATACATACTTTGAGTCTAGTCAATAGCACACTTTCAATTAAGCAGTTTCAAAGGATGTTATATTCATGTTCTAAATTGCAGCATCTGAAACTTTGGGGAATTCATATATCTTCTACAATTTCAAGCATTGGCACAACTAATACAGATAAAAAGCAGTTCAGATGTAGCTTGAAATCACTAGAACTAGCAGGCCCAGATCTATCACTATTGCAGTGGTTATTTGATAGAGGCTATATTTCTAGTCTTGAACTTCTTTATATCAGGTCATATAAGAAAGATAAATTCAGAACTGAGCATATATCAGCAATCAATCATATTCTGTCAAGCTCTAGATTATTATTGACAAAATGCCACATTAACTTGCCTGAGAATGCTGAAGGTGAGAATTTTATTATACCTTTATTTTCTGCTTATATTCTGACTACTTTAATAGCTATTAATTTTCAGCATAATTTATGCTTGCAATATCTAAGTCTAGATGCACACAAAGAAAAGCTTCTATTTATATTAGCATCACTTTCATCTGTGCATTCAAAGATGCCAGTAACTGTAAATCTTGATTGGCCATCTAGTGATAAAGAAGACTGCCAACAGCTTGAATCAAGCTTATTGGCTATAAATGCAGCTAGTCTTAAACTTGTTAGCTTGTCTCCAATGTGGAACTCTAAAGATGTCAACTGGTTTCAGCTATTTCCTGGACTAGCAGAGAAAGGTATTTTGTATATTGAAGATGAGTATTTGCATATTTGTAAAATAGATATAATTGGTGAAGTTTAGATTATGTTTTACAATAAAAACAGATACAGTCTCACTATTAGTTTCAATATACTTAGCAAAATAAGATGTAATATATTATAAAAATAATATAAGATATTATATCTATAACTGAGAGCTCTTCATAGACAATGCTTCAACTTTTATATATCTATTTGCTATCAATAGTGTGAGTTCTTTTACTCTTACTAATTTGAATCTGAGACTTATAATTTGAATATGGTATAACATATATATATATAATTTATATAGTTTAGTGAAAAAAGAATACATTGAATATATATAAAATATTAGCCAATCAGATAATATTAGTATAAGTAAGCAAGTTTAAAGTGCCAGAGAATACTATATGATACTCAAGTGTCAGAATATAGCTATAAATTATATAATAAGTGGCTCAAAAAGAAAAGAAAAATATAAGAAAGATTTAAGTAATATAGAACTTAAAAGATATGATCTATATGCTGAGTTGTAGCAAAAGATGTTAGAACTCAGACATTATATGACATATAAATGTAAGAGTTTTTGCTAGATATTTATAATATTTTTAGCCTATCTAAAAGTGTAGTAATATTTACATAAAATCTTTCTAATTAACAGACTATCTATACACCCTAAAAGTCTCTTAAAATTAGAGTTCAATAAGAATATATATCTCACTAGATATCTACTAGATTATTTGCAATAAAAAAGTGAGAAAATGATATGATAAATAATGGCCTATCTTTTTCACCTTTTTCTGAAGTAAAATAAAAATTGAAAAAGTCTGACTATTTTTATTCTGAGCTAAACAAAAAAGTATGAGTTTATTTGCAGCATTGTTTTGTACTTTTATTATATTTGAAAGGCAGACTTTACTTATAATTTGTTGCTTAGAAAAAAGAAATCATACTGTCAATAAAATAGAATAGAAAATACTCAATGTACCATTGGAATTTCTCAGCAAGTGTGAGACAACTTTGTTAGGTTGCGGGCTCAATTCCAAACAATACTAATCATTGTTGCTTTGTTGTTATGGGACACGGGCACCAAAGCGCCGCTGGTGGGAGGACATCTGAGTGCGTGTCCCGGGACACGATGGACCCCAACCACTGCGGCGGGGAAAGGCGGAAATGTGTCGAACGGTGATTGGGAGGGTGGGAGCAGTCGGGAAAGTGCCGGACAATGTGGAATAGGGAGAGATAGTCGAGAATGAATTGTTGATGGAAAAGAAAGTGCCGGAAAGTGAGGAAAAGCAGCCGAAATTGTGATGCGTGTCCCATGAAGAGCCAAAATGCGAACTCTTCATGGGACACGCTCTGCGCCAACACTCCAGCCAAAAAATGTGTGTCCCATGAAAAGCAAAGGCTCATTTTCTTCATGGGACACGCCGCTTATTTCTCGGAGATGCACTGCGCGGCATCAGGGCCTCTGATGGAGGAAACCCCATCCCAATTAGGCAGGTATGTAAGTAAATGGCCTTTGACCGCTTTCTCCACCCTCTACAGTCACGCTAAAAATCGCACATTTTGGTATATAATACTATGTACATAGGAATTAATGTCTAGCACAAAAAAGGAGTGAAAAAAGCACTGTTGAGCATACAAACCGGTGAGGAACATTCACTTGGGCAGAATGCCTCACTTAGGCGCTCCGGGGTCCGGCCTCCGGCATTTCCCTTTGCGTGTCCCAGCGCGTTTTAAAGGTTGCTTCGTGTGAGGCTTCATCGCCTATGGACTGTTCAATTTGCTCAGACCGGGCTTCAGTGATGTTTTATGTAGAAAGTACTCGAGTTTCGCGTTGAAGTATCGTAGATTGCCAACTATTCGTGGACAGGCATTTTTGAGTGTTTCCAGCAGGTGAATCTGTCGTGATCTTGTGGTTGATGCCCCGGAAAGATTAGCCGAGTTGGAGTATCGGTTGCAGGAGGACGCTCGCTTGGCTGCTGGAACGCGTTGTCTTGTTCTCTCTCCTCCATCCTCACTTTTTGGCTTGCCCTTTCTTCAGCCTTGATATTCCGAGGCATCCTTTCTTTTTATCGTCACTCTTTTTGCCATTCGCTCCTTGACATTGCTGCTCTGCTCGCCGTTGAAGTAGCCGTCTGTGACTCAAGCTTTACATGGCACCAGAAACTATCTACCAAACGCCTTCTCTCGCCGGAAGACCACCTTTTGCGACCGACGACGATTCCGTGTACGATAACCAGCCACAGACACCCACACGGCGAATTAGACAACCTCCCCCTCCTGACCCGAACGCGCGCACGTCAGCCTACAACATGTACGTAACCGCGCTCGACGTCAGGTTGAACGTTGGCACAGGAAATACTTCATATTGACTTTTGACTCCTTTCACAAAGGTATGACAACTATATAGATGGAGGCGCATCCAACCGCGACTCTGGCATCGGAGCGCTGGGAATGGGTCTCATGAACGGAGATATGGACGACGAAGACCCGTTTGACGATCGCAACAAAGCATCTCTTAATTCGACGTCTTCCGCGAAACAGCAACCTATTCCTCTCGCTGCACCCAAACCTGGTTATGCTGCTCCCGTAGCAGCTCTTAAACTTCCCAGCCCCACAGCCAGCCCAGATGGCCGTCTGCATTCTCCCACTCAAATGTCCCAAGTTGGGGGCGTGAAACCACTCACTTTGGTTACCAATATGAATGGCCCTGGTTCACCTCGTATCCCTCCACCTGCCGCTATTAATGTTCCAAGCACTCCCCATCCTCTGCAACCACCCATGACACCCATCATGCCGATCTTTGCTCGCCCTTCTCCCTCTCCCGCGCCTCGCGATGTCAAATTTGCTGCTGGTAGCGCCATCCTTCGTGGAGACAAGGAGGATACATTGCTTCCCAGGCGACAATCTCGTTTCGGCGAACAGGGTGACAACTTCTGGCGTCGCTTCTCCATGGTTGTCAAGGTAGAAAGCACCCAGAAAGAAAGGTAAGCTTACTTCTCGTAGAGGCTCTTGAACATGTCTAAATCATATATCGTAGTATCTGGCTGAAGAAGACTCGAAGTGGTGACACCCGAGCGTCGCGTTGGGTATGGATCATCGGTATCATTCTCCTGCTTGTGAGTCCCACTTTCAACTCTCCTTAACCCTCACGTTCCTTACTTACAATTCAAATTTCACAAAGTGTGTTGCCGGCGGTATTGGTATTGGCTGGTACATCGCACACAACAACACTACACACTCCGCCCCGACAGCTATTGGCGGAAGCGCCAACGAGAAAGCCATCGAAGAGTCAACGGCCCCTGCAGCGGGTGTTGCCACTGCCGCGAGTCCTCATGTGTCACCAACGCACACCGTCGCTAGACGTGATCTGCCCCTTATACCCACTGGTGCCGTCCATATCCCGCTTTCACAATCGAACGCAAGGAATAGCCACGACTCGATCCTCATCCCTGTTGCTCACAAGCGGCACAAACGACACGCTCTAAACCGTACCATACACTAAGACATCTACTGTCCCTGCCTCGTCGTACTGGTCATATGGTCTTGTCTTGAGCTCGACCGTGGGATTGGTGTCCCTAACGACCCGCTTCCCGTCCACTCTTTCACGTCCCCGCATGCTCCCCTCTCTCTCGCCCCATACCTTTGCCCCCGTCTATCCACACTTAGTGCTCCCGTGAAACGTTCCTGGTCTCATGCAACGATTTCCACTAATAACGGATATACCCACTCACCCTTCTGCTCGCTTCGATTCGGTTGTTAATGCATTTCTTACGACTTTTCGTGTATTACCGTCTCCTTTCCCATTCCCTTACTTTTGATCGGTCTGCACCCGCCTTCTTCAAACAAGACCTTCACTTACAACGCATCATACATTCGCATACCCCTCTGCCTGCCGCCCATCTTTTTTCTGGATTCTCGTGTACTTACTTACGCCGCAGCATAGTCTTTCATATAGAACACCTTTTACTAAGTTCTATAACCACATCGTTCTGAATATGCATGCTAAACGACTGTACGTTTGGATACGTAAGTAAAGGAGAGAATAAAGAGATGACAGCGAATGTAACGAATAGATTACAGAGCAATCCGTATATACCACAAGGAATAAGGATACAAAAGGATATTGCATGCATCTGCCTGAAGTCCATGTGGATAAGCAATGAGAAATCGTCAAAGTCAGACCCATACTGTTAGTACGCACTAGCCAATTAATACAATAATGGAAGCAGAGTACAGTCCAAGTGGAAAACACCCGGGTTATCGAATTCGCATGGCTTTTCCCTTCCTTGCCGAACTCTTAGGACCTTCTTCTACAATGACCTCGTCGTCGGAATCCTCAACGGATGTAACACCGGTGGAAGTGGCAGCACCATCTGCCTTGAGTTGCGCTTCTCTCTTTCCTTTTTCTTCCGAGAACTTCTGCCACTCTATGGAAAGCTCCTCAATGCGACGCGACAGCCCGTCTCGCATTCCACCAACGATCTCATGGCCCCAGTCTTTATCGCGTTCGCTTGATTGATACTCCGACTTTTTTGTCTTTGACTGCAGAACAATGCACATATAAGTAATCACTTGTCGAAACCGGTAGCACGAGGAGGTACATACCAAAATCAGACGAGTGTACCTTTCAGGGTCGGATAGGAACCTCGCCACAAAGTGCAATACGTAGACGCCACAATCGCAGTAGTTAGGTTGGTAAGGTACCAGAGCTTGCTTTCCTAGTGCCTCGGAGGTGTTCTCGAGACCTTTCTTGTCTTTAGCCTCTAGCTGGAGGTACTTGGACAGTGTCCTGACGACCGCCTTATGCTCTGAACCCAACGAATCAAAGGTAAAAATATATGTCCTGGGAGCACGTTCAGGTTAACCAAGATACTAAGGAATAAACACCCGTCGTACCTTTCAGGTTGAGGTTCCCCATGGTTAAGAACAACAGGCTCTTCTTCTTCGTCTGCCCCTGGAGGTTCTTCAATATCCACATTTTCGACATCCACCACATTTTCCTCTCTCGCTTTGCCCTTTGTATTTGCTGAGGAAGCGTAGAATAGGGAAGGTGGCACCGGACCTATACCTGAGCGGCTGGCTGAATCTGAAGGATTGTACTCAATCTATAGCCATTAATAAGTACCAGAACCAATGAGTGATCAGCAGTCTCATTTACTCACCTCAGGCGAGAACTCAGGTCTGGGCTCAGCCCGAGAGATACTAGAGACCGAATCGCGAGATTCCATGGCAGTCGTTGTGTCCTCCTCTACCGTTGGTTTGTCAATTTCCATAAGATCGAGATCGGTAGGGTATGCAAGTTGCATGTCGCTGATTGAGGATAGAGGACTTGAATCTCGCCTTGGAGGTTCCAATTCATTGAGAGAGCATGAGCGCTCCAGCATTGTCTCGACTTCCATCGTTTCACCTTCATCGTCTGCCTTCTTCGTACTCTGTGTCCCAGAGTCATCGTGCTCTTTGTCGTCGCGCTCTTCTTCGCTATCCGGTACAACTTCGTTTTTTGGTGAAACGGGTCGAGACCGGGACGTCATAAAATTCACGGAGACGGAAGCCGCCATAGATGACGACTCTTGTGCTTGAGGTTGAGAAGAGTCTTTAAGCTCAGCCTCCAAGATGTCATCGTGCCGTTTGCGTTTCCTTGTCATGGGTTTGGAAGCTGCGACGCTCTCAACGAGAGGAGGTTCGCGGAGGATGTACTCCGGATTGCAAATGATTGCCAAGTACCAATGCAGGCTGAAACAGTCTCATGTATGATTGACATTGACACATTCGAACGAAAATACTCACTGTTCATTGATGGGGACTATGATATACTTCTTGCTGAAAAGATCAATTTTCGATGTCCATTTCCGAACACTCTGGTATCCTTGCTCTTTGCTGCGTCGTACACTGTTAGGCAGGAAGGGTAAAACATTCGTAGAATTATCACATACTTCCGGACATTAATCTTCTTGTAGAAAAACGAACTGAAAACATGTATCTGATCTGCGAGTTCTGGTTTCTCCCTCCTCACCTCCTCCAACCAAAGCCTACGGATAGAAATAAGTAAATTGAAGAGCTAGCACACAAATAACCACTTACTTCAGTCCAAATTCGATAAGGGTATCATTGAGATACTCCCCGGGCTGGAGCCGTTTCCAATCTCCTCTCGTGATGTTAACAGCACCGGTCCCCGAAAATGGGTATACGAGTATACTACAAAAGGAGTTAACAATAAACATAAAAAAGTCGACAGAAAAGACATACAGCTTGTCCGCATCGGCAGAACGACGCTCGGTTTCTGGCTCTTGTTCGAGCTCTTTCTGCCGTGCTCGAGTAACGCGAGTCGGACGAACGGGAATCGGAGCATCCAATCTGCCGAAAATGTTGTCAAGCAGTCCGCAATCGTTAATAGTAAAACTCAAAAGCGAACCTCTTTGATTGAGGTGGACCTGGAGGATCATTATGATGCTCTGCTGCTGATATAGCAGGAGATCGAGGACGAGAGACAGACGTCTGGTTGTCAAGAGCGATAGCGTTTTGGGTGACTTCCCATGCGCTCTTTGATGCGTATTGGCTGCATTAAATGTTAGTAGCAAGATGTATAGAGTCAACGGTCACTAACTCAAGTGTTTCAAATTTAGCGTCATATGTCTCGAGCAAGTTGAGCAACTGTACGTAAGACGAGCCGTTTTGCCAGTTGGAATGCCTAGTCAGGAATTTCAACGTGACGCATCCGTTCTCCCCAACGGACCCTGAGAAAAGGGAATTAACAAAAATCAGCTTTGAAAACAGTCACGATCAATACCCATTTGAAAGTTATCAGTATTATGCGTCTTGGACCTGCTCTTCTTGAACCAAAGCTTGAGAAGGATAGGGAAATCGTCTTTCTCGTGTTTCGAACGCTAGTAGTCAAGACATTAAGCGGGAAACGAATAGAGAATGAAACTATTATATACCTTGTATTTCGACAAGTCTCGCAATGCGACACTGAAAAGCGTGATTCCTGGCAAACCTTTGTTGATAGAAAGCTTTCCATTACTGTCCACCAGCAGCCAATATAGGCGATCTTCACTTTGATGCATCTGTGTCCCGAGAGTCCAGGCTTCCAATGGTAAAGCTGTGGCGATTTCTGCTTTCCTGCCATTCGTCTTCACTGACATACGCCGTGCCGATTCGAATGAGGAAGCAGTAGCGAACACATCCTTCTGTGTGGTGGTTACCACCGGCTGCATCTCGAGCTGACTGCGAAGTGAGAGCCAGTACGACTTAAAAGAAAGACAGCAGACCTTTTGTGATCTAGGTTTCATGGAGCTCTTCACCGGACCTTTCTGCACTGAAACGTTCCTCAAGTCGAGCTGACGGATAGTTGGTCCTGAGGACGCAGGTGAAGGTTTGGCGTCGAAGATGGCAGCTTTCTGTTTGACTATTCCGACAGGAACTTCCGCCTTTGCAGCAGGGTGAACTCTCGGTTCGTCTGAGAACTGCTCTATTGGGTCATCGTCCACGTGAATAATATCCATCTCCTTCATCTTGCCCTTCAACTCGATCTTCCGTTGCAGGCGTTTCGTGTCTTCCCCGTCTGGCGCCAGTCTCCTCTCGGGCTCCGAAGGAGACATCTCGAAATCATGGAGTTTAGGCCGTGGTGAGGTCAAAAGTAGCTCGTCGTCCGAAGACTCATTATTGCGCGGGTGCGAAACACGGTTGACAATCACACCCCTGTCTTCATCATCGATATCTATGATTTCGGGCGCACTTGCAGAGGTATCATACAATCCGGCATGGCTTGAGGAAGGTCGGGTATAGCTTGCTAGTGAATGCACATAGGACAATGTGAGACGTATATTGGATAGTAAACTTCGAAGCTCACAGGTGGAAGGATTCGCAAAGAACCTGGATGAACTTGGTTCTACCTGTTGAGGGTGGTCTACTTTCTGCCGCTTAATTGGCCGCTCGAAAACGATTGCCTTCGCAGTTGTGTTGCCTGATGCTTTCGTACTCGCATTGCCGCGGCGAGAGGTTAGGCCACCACCCGAGGTGAGTGTCGTGCCCATCCTACCGCTGAAAGGATTGGTGGCCGCTCCCCGGCTAGTGGGAGTCTTCATAGAACCCTAGACAAATCACCGCATAAGCTGAATAACAACTGAAGTTAACAAGTACCAACAGGTGTAGGAACGGGGACCGGTGTTGGTCTAGTCTTCCACGGTCCCGGTTCCCTGCTCGGGCTAGGGTGTATATCGTATCCAATTTAGCATAGACAGGATAGCTGACTTAGGGACATACCCTGCTCGATTACCCGACGCGTCTCGCATACTCGAGGGCAAACCCGACGACATGGCCTGGAAATTACGGCTAGACTCCTTGTCTCTTCCATTCAAATTCATGTCAGTGCAACATAAGTGGGAAAAGAGACCGAGTATGAAGCAAAGGACCAGCAGCCGGTAGCAATTCACACTCCCAATTCGCGTGTGCGGAAGACAGTAATTACATTTAGCGCTCGATACACTAGCACATGGGCGTTACGTAAGAGTGCAGGCAGTCCGACGATCTGTCCTAGTACTAGTATGTACTTCCGTTTATGCCTGGCATTTATTCAATGAAACATCCAGCATGGGACACGGCCTGCTAGAATTTTAGTCCGCAAGTTCTACATACAGGAAGACATCTACTGGACAAGATCTCCACACTGGCCATGTAATGCAACAAGTCACAATCAACGAAAACACGTTTTGTTTCCTTTTCTTCTTCTCTCAGATGGTAAGTATATCGTTTCTCTGTCACGAGTTTCAGCAACCTCCTCCAGACGATCACCCACTTCCAGCGGCCTCCATGTCATCTCCGTACGATATCCTAGGTACCGCCGCGAGCTATTAGGGATAACCACGGAGGCAATAACACGGAGGCAATAAACCTCTGGAACTTAGCGCGCGTCCGCGCTCCTGACCACGTTGAGAATTCAAACGTTCAAGTTCAACTTGAACATGCAGGCTCTGAAGAGATTGTCCCTCTTGCGCCGTTTCTCCATAGCTGCATCTCCTCAACTTCAGTCCACCAAGAATACTGTGTCACAGTCGCCTACCCAACCTGCCAATGTAGACTGGGAGGAACACGAAGAAAAGTTGGAAGACTATGACCCCGCTATCAACGGCTACTGCCCAGTGGTGCCCGGTGACGTGCTGGGTTCTTACCGCATCTTTCGGAAGTTAGGATGGGGTGTTTATTCCACTGTATGGCTTGCCGAGTCCCAAGGGTAAACATCTCAACGTCTGTTCAGGTATAATTCTCATATATACCATTGTCTTGTCAGTTCTCCGGATTTGTTTGCCCTTAAGCTTATGACGAGTTGCGCTTACACTTCTCTTTTACTTCCTCACTCGTTGATTATCTATCTGTCTTTCTGCAGGAGTTGCCACCGAGGCACAAGGGCAACTGCACGAACTCGAATTTCTTCAACGGATACGTGATCAGTCTCCCCTCCACCCTGGACATGCTCACGTCATCCAGATGAAAGACAACTTCTATCATCAGGGTCCCCATGGACGACACCTTTGCGTCGTGACGGAGCCGCTCTTCCAAAGCATGAGTAATTTTCTTCCTCGCTTCCCGCACAAGATCATGCCGCCGCGTCTTGTGAGATCCGTTGCTCGTCAGATTGTCTTGGGATTGCAATATCTCCACGATGAGTGTAACATCATCCATACGGGTGGGTAGTCGTGCTGTATCAGCTTTGAAATAACTGAACTACATCTTATATTATATAATATGCGGCTGCCAGACATCAAGCCCGATAACGTCTTAATGGTCGCTCCAAACAGTCAGAATTTCTTTAGAGATAACCATTCTGGACTAGGCAATCCGCCGGAAACTTTTGTCGCCAGAAGCCCGTTGGGGGGCACTATAACTCGCACCCGTAGCGATCCTCTCTTATCGCCAATTCCTGAATCGGTCTCTCTAGACGATGATATATGGAACCATTTAAAAGTGAAGATCACCGACCTGGGAATTGGTACGTGTACACCTGTATTGGGCTAAACATCGCGACTGATGGTGCCCAGCCTGCTGGGCGAACAAGGTATCTCAGCATTTTACCGAAATTATACAAAGTCCACCCTTACGTGCGCCCGAAGTCGCGATCGGTGCCGGATGGGGAACGCCTGCTGATATATGGAGTTTGGGATGTACGGTGAGGTTCTTGCCCTCTACTCAGCAGGATCATAAATTCTGATTCTTAAAATTCCCAGACATATGAATTATACATGGGACAAGCTCTCATTCCCGAGGATGTGGATGAACTGCTTGTGCCTCCACTTCACGTCTCGCTGTTCGGCCAGTATCCCGAGGAGCTGCTGAAACGAGGCAAACACAGACACGTCTTCTATGATGTCAACGGTCAGTATATCGCTCATTTCTATCCGTTGGTTGCTCAACCATCGCATCTTCTAGGCTCATTGAAAGTAACGATTCCTGAAAAGCCATTCTACGCAGACATCTCCAAGCGAAATGCACCGGATGCAGAACTATTCACTGACTTTCTACGACGTACATTCGCGCTGAACCCGGATCAGCGTGCAACCTGCCGTGAGTTACTGGAGCACCCATGGCTCAACCTGTGCGTACCTCGAATTTATCATTGCGTGGAACTGACGACCTATTTCATCCCACAGAGAGAAGTGAAAGATTGTTCATGTTTACTTATGTTCATGTTCATTTCCATGTTGTCTGCAAAGATTCCGCGAGATTTCCTGCAATCTGTAGGAATGTTTACATTGTCCAACAGTTTCTGTGAAGTATCGGAGCTTGCGATAGCGGGCCGTTGGCAGATGATGATATATGGCTTCGTCTTGAAGTAAAGATCACCGACCTGTGTGTCGGTAGGTGTACATCTATGTCTACTTAAGATTGCGATTGACATTACCCAGCGCGCAGGGCTGACAAGGTATCGCAGCATTACTGAATATATCCAAAGTCCAGCTCTGCGTGCACCCTCGTGCACCCTAAGTCGCAATTAGAGCCGGATAGGGAAAGCCTGCTGACATATAGAGTTTAGGAGGCACGGTAAGGTCTCCGCCCTCTACTCAGCAGGACCATGAATTCCAATCCTTGAGGCTCGTAGACATACGAATTATACATGGGACGACCCCTCATTCCCGGGGGGATGTGGATGAACTAATTGTGGCTCCACTTCATGGCATACTGTTCGGAGAGTATCCCGAAGTGTTGGTGAAGCATAGCAAGCATCGCAACTTCTTCTTTAACCCAGATGGTTAGCATACCGCTCATCTGTAGCAGATACGCGTGGTTGTCACTCAACTTTGTGATTGTAGGATCATTTAAAGAGACCGGTACTTGGTCACCATTCGACTCGGAGATTCGCAGGCGAAACGCGCCGGATGCAGAGCACTTTGTTGACTTCCTGTGGCTTACATTTGAGCTGGACCCGGATGTCTCGATCCGTACGTCTTTTCGCTTTTGTCATTGTACGTTGAACCTGACAGACTAATATGTCACACAGGGAGAACTGGGACTCCTTCCGTTCCCGGAAGACTCAAGGCTGATACCATCTCTGGCAGTTTTGCTGGAAAACGGATTTGTTTTTATTTTGTTATATCGGTCCCTTCTATAACCACCACTTATTGTTTCGCGCCGTTGCTTCACTCTTCTGATTATCCTAATGAATCTTTTCCCAACTTGTACCACTGCTTTGACTTGGGCCCAACTCTTCATCTCTCAGATGGTAAGTACTGTATATCTTTTCTCTGTCATGAGTGTCAAGCAACTTCCTCCAGACGATCACCCACTTCCAGCGGTCCACCATGCCATCTCCGTACGATATCCTAAGTACCGCCAAGAGCTATAGGGATGATCACGGAGGCAATAAACCTCTGGAACTTAGCGCGCGTCTGCACCTTGAAATCTCTTGATCATGTTGAGATTCCAACGTTCAAGTTCAATTGGATATGCATGCTGTGAAGAGATTGTGCCTCTTGCGCCGTTTCTCCACAGCTGCATCTGCTCGACTCCAGTCCACCAAGAATACTATGTCACAGTCGTCTACACAACCTGCCAATGCTGGCTGGGAGGGACACGAAGAAAAGTTGGAAGACTATGACCCCGGCTCTATCAAAGGCTACTGCCCAGTGGTGCCCGGTGACGTGCTGGGTTCTTACCGCATCTTTCGAAAGTTAGGATGGGGCGGTTATTCCACCGTATGGCTTGCTGAGTCCCAAGGGTAAACGTCTCGTCATCATGAGCCTCTTTCATTTGCAATAATCATATACCGTTACCCTAGCAGTCTCTCCAACCCGGATCTGTCTGCCCTTAAACTTATGACGAGTACGTTTTGAACTTTTGATTTGTCTTCAAATGTCCGCAAATACTTAATGATTGATCTTAAGGCGTTGCCACGAAGGAGCAGGAGCGACTTTGCGAACTCGAATTTCTTCAGCGGATACGTGATCAATCTTCTGTACACCCTGGATATGCACACGTCCTCCAGATGAAAGACAACTTCTATCACCAGGGTCCCCATGGGCAACATCTGTGCATCGTCACGGAGCCACTCTTCCACAATATGCACAGATTTTCTTTACGCTTCCCGCACAGGATCATGCCGCTTCGCCTTGTGAGATCTATCTCCCGTCAGATCGTATTAGGGCTACAATATCTCCATGATGAGTGTAACATCATTTATACAGGTAAGAAACCGTACCGTATAAGCCTTGACTTAACTAATGAGTGGTGTACCCCGACAATTACCTGTATCTGACAGACATCAAGCCGGACAATGTCCTGATGATTGCACCGAACGGTCAGAATTTCTTTAGAGATAATTACGCTGAACTTCACAATCCGCTCGAGACTTCTATCGTCACCAGCCCCACGGGTGCCGCCATAACTCTTACCTGTAGTGATCCTATATACTACCCGTTGCCTACTGTGCTCTCTACAGAGGATGATATATGGCTCCGTCTTAAAGTGAAGATCTCCGACCTGGGTGTCGGTAGGTGTACATTTATATCTGGTTAAGATTGCGATTGACATTACCCAGCGTGCTGGGCTGACAAGGTATCGCAGCATCACACTGAGTGTATTCAAAGTACAGCTCTGCGTGCACCCGAAGTCGCAATCGGTGCCGGATGGGGAAAGCCTGCTGATATATGGAGTTTGGGATGCACGGTAAGGTCTCCGCCTTCTACTCGGCAGGATCGTGAATTTCGATCCTTGAGACTTGTAGATATACGAATTATACATGGGACGACCTCTCATTCCCGCGGATGTGGATGAACTACTTGTGGCTCCACTTCATGGCATACTGTTCGGCCAGTATCCCGAAGCGTTGGTGAAGCGTGGCAAGCATAGCCACTTCTTCTTTAACCCAGATGGTTAGCATACCGCTCATCTATAGCAGTCGTGCGTGCTTGTCGCTCAACTTCATGATTGTAGGATCGTTTAAAGAGACCGGTACTTGGTCACCATTTGACTCGGAGATTCGCAGACGAAACGCGCCAGATGCGGAGCACTTTATTGACTTCCTGCGGCTTACATTTGAACTGGACCCGGATAGGCGTGCGACATGTGGCGACTTACTCGCGCATCCATGGCTTGATCCGTACGTATTTTCGCGTTTGTTATTGTACGTTAAACCTGACAGACTGATATGTCGCACAGGGAGAATTGGGACACCTTCCGTTCCCGGAAGACTCAAGGCTGATACCGCCTCTGGCAGTTTTGCTGAAAGTCATCTGCTCAATTATATCTGCTGAACATATGGATTCCTTTTTATCTCGTTACATCCATCCCTCTGATAACCACCACTCCTTGCTTCACATCGTTGCTTCACTCTCCACATCATCCCACGAATGTTTTCCCAACCTGTACCACTGCTTTGATTTCCACCTCTCATCTATTTGTATGATCGTTCGTTATAAGGTAGACCGCAATCAGACTCGACCAGGATCCCCAACTCCAAGTGTAACGAAGGCGTTTGTAGTCCACAATTGTCTGCAAAAAAACCAACTGTTCGGATTCTAGAAATTCTCACAGATTATGTTGCTCCACTGTCCACAATTCGATACAATGTTGCAGGGCTGAGACCCGGAAGCGCTACTAGGCGAATCACTCTCGGGCTTTCCTGTATGTCAGGAATGAATCACCCGCATTTCCACTACAAGTCATCTTTTCTACCTTCTCTACGTTTGCTAGTCGAGATAACATAATTTATCATGACTCCAGACAGTCCACTTAACATGGTTTTCATTTGGCTAGTCTGATTCGTGACGAAAGCGACAGTGCAATTGCTATTTTCTATAACACAAACAGGAATAACTCCCAGCAGCACACTGAGAATCCTTCAGAAGCAAGAGTACAACCGTTACTGTGATCACGGTATATGAGACAAAGGAGAAAAGTCAACTACTTATAAGAATAGTCCGTGGGTGTCCAAAAAAGGAGGATGAGGATTCAGAAGAAAGACAAGGGGTACATGAGGAAGGACAGAAAGACAGAAAGCATCACAAAGTCATTACGAACGGTCGTTAATGATGGTGGGTAGATGGGTGAATGTAGAATAGGTGAGACGTTGCAGGGGTCGTAACAGGTCAGTGCAAGGATGGAGATGCGAGTGCGTGACGGAAGCGTTGGAAAGCGGAAGGTATGCCGAGGAGAGGGTCTTTAGCATCCGTCGTATTTGGAGTTTCGGGGGAAAGTATATCCTGCCTGGTCCCATGTCGTGAGATTGGGGTTGGTGTATGCATTCAAATGTCTACAGAACGCGGCTTTAGAAATGATTAAATCAGAGAGTAAACAAAACATACGCATTGATATAGTCAGTCGTAGGATGATGTGAAGGACTGCAACCGACGCCTTCCTTTACATCCGATCGTTGGTACACACGAACGTAGTCGACATACATCTTCGACGGGAATGTCATATGCTTGAAGTCTTGCTTCTGGAACGATGCTGGATAGTGGCAATTAAGTAAGTGATTGGGTAGGTCAACCAATTAACATGTAAACACTTACGTGACATGCCCAAGTTCAATATAACATACTAAGTTGCATTCAACGTCAGTCTTTGTGTGACCTGAGAGGCGGGGCACAGACATACCATAGGTTCTTCAGAGACCAATCGCTGACTGACTTGCGATATTGAGTCCGGACCAATAGTTTCTGCAGTCATAGTCCAAGTCCGCTTTCCCTGGCTGAACCACGTAACATAACCATCATCACGGTTGTTCTTATCCGACCACCACTCAAAACCGTACGGCGCATACCCCTGACCATTATAGTCCGCATTGTTGATATCAGTAACAGCAGACACCGCCTGCTGGAATTGGCCACCCTTGTACGAGTTGAACTTCGTGATCGTAGGATCATAGATAGTCGACGCGTCCGAACTGTTGTCAAACGAATACTGGTAGTTATACGGCGCCAGCTGGAAACTCTGCGAAACCTCTCCTTGGAACCGGCTCACGTCAATCTGCATCTCCAGGATATCGATTTCAGGCACACCGCGACCGTCACTCACGGAAGGACCAGGGTGATCCGACCCTGGGCATGTGCAGGCAGAGAGTCGCTGCCCAGGTAGGAAACTCAGTGGTCCACCGGAGTCCGAGCCTGTAGCTGCTACACTCGGATTGCCGTCGTGATCAGTCTGGTTTGGGAATGTCCCAAGGTCGCACGTATCATAGCTATACGGCCACATTCCCTCTGTCGTGGCACCGTAGCCAGCCCGTCCCTGTCATACCAATCAGTTCAAAATTCACACGACGCCATGAGGATGGACTTACCAAATTGCCCATCGTCCATGCACCTGGCCACAGACCGGGTGCCGTCGGCGCCCCAGGCATACTTATCGAAACCTCGATGTAGCCTGTGGTGAAGCAGAACTTGTTCCATGACGACAGCATGCCGCTGCGGAAGTTGAGATCGTGGTTCTCTATTTCATCCATCGTGATCACAAGCTTGCCATCCTGCGTGGTGAGCGCCTGTCACGAGCAGTCAGCTACGACATTATACCGCGACACCTGCCAAGCAGTCGTACCTGAGGGTCATACCACTCCAAGTCACCCGTCGGCCAGTAGTTCAAGTTTACCGCTTCCCAGAACGGATCATCGCCAGGCCAGAATGTCCGCCCGTCCGTCTCGAACTCGTCGCTAAAAATCAGGTTGTACGTGTGTCCGTCCGTTCCGACGTGGGTATGAAATTGCTTGTCCGTATCCTTGTCTATCAGCGAGGGCATATTCGGCAGATTTGGGACCTGGCCAGTGCCATTTATGCCACCAAGGTTGAAACCAGTTATTGCACGATCTCGCCCTCGTGCCCAGACAATGATGGGGTATCCGACAAACAATACCAGCAGCCCGACGACGAGAATAATGAGGGCAGATGCATTCGCCCAACCTCTCCCTGAGAAGAGCGTAAACGACCGATCGAGTGCTGCGTCGCGCACAGGATCTGGGTTGTGTAGTGCATCGTCTAGATCGGGGTCTTTCGTGTCCCACATGTATGGTGGGACGGTGTTGGTGTTGCCCGCTATTGGAGCTGCAGACGCTGTTGTCTTCTCCCCAGTCGTCCCCACAGATGCCTCCGATGGCGCATTACTGAACCTGGAGGATGAATAGCCGGTGGCTTGAGGGTTCGGATTGTACTGGAGGCAAATTTCGTTAGCAAGCGAAGCAAGCACATCATGAGAACCAACAGCTCAAAAAGAGTCAGATCAAGCACTCTGAAGCTATGGGCTCATAGCCTGCCGCAGGGGAATATGCAGAGCAAAAGGCTGCTCGCATCGACTATTAGCCAAAGACACAGCATCTGGCGATGAGCCTGCGGTCGTGCATGCCGGGACATGAAAAGCAATAGCGAATGAACCAGTAAAGTCCAATATTACAGCCTCGCAGTCATCCTGCGGACCAGAACAAGGACAGCTGGAAGAGTGAGGATGAAGTTGTCCCATATTGAATGATCTCCAAAAGTGCAAGGTGAATCGCACAATCGTAATACCAAAGCGTTGTCATGATGAGTTGCAGAGTTGCAACAATTATAAGAACCACGTTCTAGCCGCCAGCAAATCTTGCTTGATATAAACAAGATGGCGCCGAACGATGTAGTGTGGAACGCCGTGTGGGAGATCCACACTACATCACCACGACAACGCTGCGGACCAGGACGATGAAAACGAAATGAGACTGAAAGTGTCAAAATGATGGCTTCCGTGCATGCTGATGTTGAACAAGGTGACAAAGTGTAAGTCGATTGCCTTTAAGGAAGAGCTAGACATAGCAGTCGTCCGATCTGCGCGACGACACTATCGTCTGGGGAAGGCTCACACCGCCTGTTGACGGGTGGCCATCGGCACCACCAAATGTCGAGAGCCCCGACATGAACGGCTTGGAACCTGAAGCGCATACAGATGAGATAATGGAATACTCACCGAGTAAGGACCGTAGCCTCCACCAATCACTCCTGTTGCGACACCGTGCGCCGTTTCCTGACGGTACGAGTTTTGGGTATAGCTATTTTGTGACGGCTGGTATGCGGTCGCTTGAGCGGTGTACGAGTGTGTTTGTGATGGTTGTCGACTTGGACCAGCCGATCTTGGACTTTGGGGAACCGCATAGTATTGCTGGTTCGGCGGAGGCACTCTTCGTGGAGGATTCGACATGGTGGTACGTTGAGAGCGAGAGGGCATTCTATGGGAAACCAGTGTCAGCCTCGAGTGGGAGCTCCACCCTCAGCCGCAGTGTACAGGCGTCTGGCGATATTTAAAAGGACAATCAGCCAACAATCAGGAGAGATATAGATGGAGATATACAAAGCCACGGGGAGAGAAAATGAGTGGGAAAGAAAGAGAAAGTCGAACTGCGTGGGCCTCACCAAAAGTGTGAGGCTGCCGTTCACGCGCATGTTTGACTTGATCAAGCTAGGTCGCGTCCCCGCCACGCGCTTCGAACTATCTATTTTCGGACACGCCGGTGTTCTATTCCCGCTCTTCACTTTCCCCCTGAGCAGTCCTGTCGGACACGCTGGGATCCATAGAGCATGCCATTCAAATGCTATCGACTGCCTGCGCATATGCATGTTCAATGGCAGAATGGGAGGGTCTGAGTACTGAGTCCACACCTCTTAGTACAACGTTCACAATGACTGCGCGCACTTCATTGTTCATGCAGGCACTGCATCTCCGCCATATATAAACTGTCTCTCCGCGGAGCTCACACTGCAGCTGTACTTGAAAGCTATTGAATTGGAGTTCTGTACATTATTCTTACAGAAGAAGGCTACGAATACGACGACCTGTGCCGCCTCCATTGAAATTGCTTGCCGGTCATTGATTATCAGTCTCGAGATCTCGTAGGCTTATGTCAACTTAGGAGGACGGATTTCTGTCTTGTTTTTTTTTATAGCAAGCCACGCCACCACGGTGAATGAAAGATTGCACGTATATAGCTTCAGAATGCCTTAAATATGAAGTTGCGTAGATCGTTATCTCGTTCGATTGATCAACTTGATCGGCTTGACAAGTTTGAATCTTTCGGGCCTGTTTCAACCCTTCATCATGAAGTTTCGAAGCCTGATGTGCACCGCGACCATTGTCTAGCATGTCCATTGACTTGTCCTTAGATCGTATCCGAAAGCTGCAAGAACACCTGCCAAAATACACTCGACCGACATGTCACATAGCTGGGACAAACGGCAAAGGGAGTGTTTCTGCACTCCTGACTTCGATCTTCCGGGCAGCATCCCCACCATTCAAGGTGGGCCGATTTAATAGCCCACATCTCGTTTCGGTGTGCGATTGCATCACAATTGATAACGAGCCTGTGTCTACCGACACGTATTCCGAAACCCGTTCACGAGTAGAACATGCAGACAGGGATAATAATATCGGAGCTAGTAACTTTGAAATCCTCACCATGACAGCACTCCTGATCCTCGAGGACGCCGCTGTGGATGTTTCCGTCATCGAAGTCGGAATGGGCGGCGGGCTTGATGCCACCAATGCGATTCCAGATGATTGCATCGTCGTTTCCGGACTCACAGCAGTCGATTTGGATCACCAGGCCTTCTTGGGAGACACGATCTTAGAAATTGCAAGAGAAAAAGCTGCGATCTGTCGCGCAGGAAAACCTTTTGTCGTAGGACCACAAAGGTATCCCGAAGTCATGGGTATAGTTCAGGAAACTGTGACCGCTGCCGGCGGAGAGCTTTTGAAAGCTTCGACGCCAGACATTCGAGATTGGAACGAAGCTATCGACGGACCAGCTCCTTCCATTAGCTCACTACTACCGACGACATTCCAGAAGCCTCCACCACAACCAGTAACGATAGGGCTAGCTTGCTTCCCGCAGCCTTTGCAGCTCTTGCTGCCACTTCAAGGAAAGCACCAGCTCGCGAACCTGGGAACGGCTTTGTCGATGGTTTCAGCTCTCTTGTCGCACCCCGCGAGCGCTGAACGTATCTCAACCAGCCTTCCAAATCGTCTTAATCCAGCCGCTATCCGTCGGGGTGTAAGCGCAGTTAACTGGCCAGGAAGACTCTCCTTCCACAAGATAACATTACCTCTACACAAAAGGGACCTAAACCAAGAAGAATCGCTCGCTGCCGAAGAATTGTTGGTTCTGGTGGATGGCGCACACAATCCTGCCTCGGCCGAGACATTGGCAACGTACATCGATGAACTACTATCTCAAGTTCTTTCAAGCACACCTGACCAACTCACAAGTGTTACGCAATCTGGACGTCGCCGGATCACTTTGACATACCTCCTCGCTTTATCTCATTCACCACCCAAGACACCCATCCAAACCCTCACACCACTTCTTCCCCCACACATCCCCAAAGGGCGTTCTAAAGTAGACATCAACATTAACGTCGGATTATTGAGGTTCACACCGCCAGAAGGGATGCCTTGGGTCAAATCAGTGCCTCCCGCCGAATTAAGGGGCGTAGTCTCGTCATTAGTCCCTGATGCAAATATTTGGTCTCCCAAGGACGAGGATACCCTTGATAGTCAATTGACCGAGGCGTTAGAGTGGGCGTATGGGAGGCAAGAGGATAACACCGGTCATCTTGGTGAAGGCTTGGTTGTGGTGGCCGGCAGTTTATATCTGGTAGCCGACTTCTATCGGCTACTAGGAGTGGCTTTTTGATAAGCATGCGCTCCGGGTCTGGAGGCAAAGGCCGACCGACATGCATGAAAGCGCAGGTGGCTCGGGGGATGATACTGCGATCGTCTTGGCTGTCAAGAAACAAGCACCGCGGGTAACAATATGGTGGTCAGCTTGTTGATAAAGATAGGCCAATTGATAGCTCTTTGCTCTCTCTGCAGGACAATGGTGCTTGTTGTGGAGCAGACATATCATGTCAGAGCCATGAATACCGAAGTTGCGAGTGTGGGGGACTTTATACCATTATCTACCCAAACCAGTACTGTATTGCCAAGGGAATAGACGAAGCTGATCAGTATTATATACCCGAATGTCCTAATGCAAGCCCATACGAACGACAGACCCGCCCCCTGTACTACCATCGAATGTAAAGAAGTTCGCAATAGGTGATTCCCTAGCAGCCAGGGCCTTGAGGATATCCTGAGCAAGCATGCCACCCACAACAGCGCACACAGGTGATATTTCATGCGCAGCAGTAATCACCATCGTCCTAACAGAGTAAAAAACGAAAATCGGTCCATCAGCTTATCTCAATTGAATAAGGGCTATTTATCGGGCTTACTCGACGAGATCTCGGGGAATGGTGGATAGCGCTTGTTTGTTGACTTGAGCTCTTGCTACAAGCGCGAGAGCGAGTGCCTCAAGATCTGACGCATGGTCAATACTATCAGGCAATTTTCCGTACTTTGCTTGATAGTCCCATAGAGCTACGGGCCGCCGATGAGTTCTGAATAACATAGTCTCCTCAGTGATGGGACGAACTCACCGAGTACAGTAAAAACTACGGCTGGGTTAAGTTCTTTCGTTTGTTTTCGAGTCAGACCTGTCCATCTGTGCCTCAAAGCATCCTTGAGCGGGACGTAAACAGTGGTATTTTTCACATTCTTTGCTGCCTCCTTGGGAGCCGCGCGATCTCTAAAGTAGAGTTTGAATATCATATTGGATTTCCATTCTATTAGTACGCTGTACTTACGGTGCGATGTAGTCGTGCTTGAGCAGGTCACAGAAGATGTAACCGAGGAGGCCATAGGTACCTCCGGCATAGAATGGCTTATTGAATCGCCTGCAAATATCGTTGATCTTGATCTAAAAGAAGGAAATCAATTCATGACCGTCTGATTAATCGACAAAAGGCTCCGTACCAAACCTTCGCGATCCCAGTCCGTTACACAAACAAGATCGGCGGTGTTGATCAGCAAGTCCAGGTTTTCACCCTCGGACAATGAAGGATCAGAAATGGTCTCCACAGTGACGAGCGGATTGAGACTTTCAATCCTTGGCTTTGCCACCTCGACCCTCTAGAAATATCGGAATCAATAGATTATTTCGTAAACACGAGCCACAAAGGTGCTGCATCGCGAGGAGGTGCGAAAACATCAAAACGTAAAATGAGGGTTAGAAATGTAGAACGCAGACTCATAAGGGCTGAGTCAAGTGAGATGAGCCCGCAAAGATGCGCCGGCCATTAACAAGGAGACAAAGAAGATTGCGCAAATCTTCTTACAAAGTGCTTTGAGAGCGATCCCGGCGAGCTTGCGTTGGGCTCCGGTCTCAGGAACACTAAACGTCCAGCTTGTGCGGACATTGAACGGCAGGTATCCGACAAGCATAAAAAAACTGCCGAAAAGAGGGCCCAAGCCCGACTGAGTGAAAGTCTTTACCTTCTTTCCTACGTCTTCTTGGCGAAAGAAAAAGTTTGCTCCGAGGTCTTCCTCTGCGACGTCCTCGCTATCAATGACAACAAGCTTGCCAATACCAGCCAAGACGATATTCTTGATTGCTTCAGTTGCTACTCCCTTTAGTCGGAAAACCAAGATAGTGGCATTTCTCATCCTATTGAGTTCAAATCGGGAAATCAGTACAGGGTTCTTCAGAGGTGAAGACAGAAACGGATCCGTGTGACCTCATCAGACAGATATGATCGGTCCATACAGTGATTCGTAGGAAAATATCCTCAGAAGGAAGCAGGCCATGATTGTCGAGCGTCCATTGAAAGGATCCATATGTCTTCGGTTTCCATTCTTCCCCTGCAAGCCACTCAAGACGCATGCACAAAACATTTGTCGATCCATTTGAATTGAATTCTTGGCATAACGGACCGCTTCAAGGAACGATGCACACCATGACCAGAACCACGTGAACGGACTCACTTTTGCTGGGCTTCTAGGCCCCAAAGTCGGATCTGCCGGTCATAGACAGCAGCTTCATCTATCAAACACAGAGCACACGTTCATATCGATCAGTGACGCGTAAGACATGGAACATCCACCGTCGAGTATTCGACAGAGACGCGACGCACGGCCAAGAATGGGGCACTATACCTTCCGTGATCTGTAGCGGGACGCTTTTGTTTCCAAGTTCGGGAGCGGACATATTAGCAACAAAAATACCAGCCAGAAAGGCACAAAAAGATAGAAGCAGGTTATAGGAGTTCTGCAGAAGACGTAGGTTGGGAGTAGAAGACAAACGTTGTGGAGTTCCTACTCGTAACCCTTTTTGGGACAATACAGCGCCAAGTTCGGGAGTTGCCGAAGGCTCCTTGGACACAGCCTTCGAGTGAGACTGGAGCTGTCAAATGTGAATGGAAGAGTGGGAGAAGAAAGAAGATAAAGGATTGAAGAGAAAGCGAATAGGATAGCATTGCGAAGAGTTCAAGTAAGTACATAGAATACATAGCTGCTAGCAGACCGTGATAACTTGGTAAACCGAGAGGATAATAGACGAAGGAAATTACAACTAAGGGTAAATGGGAGCGAATTCACCATTATATATAAGGAAAGCGAAATCACAACACAACCACCACGATCAACCCGGAGAATGTTCAGAGTCCAGAACGCAGTTCTTAAGTTTCAGCTAACCAGGGGCATTCCATCCGCGCTGGAAGTGCCGTCCCGGTCGTCGTCCAATCTGTGTGGGGGAAGGTCAGTGATCGGGGGTCTTCTAGTTTCTCCGACCATGAGAAGTGTCACTCACAAATAGTTCCGTTCGATCTCAGAGAGGATTGACAGGAAGTCCCCTGAGAAAAGATCACGGTCCCATGAGCAACTAAACAAGTAAAAAGCACGGTAAAAATCTTACATAAATATGCATGCGCACGTGCCGCCGACTGGGGGGCCGTTTCTGCCTTCTTGACCGCATCGAGGAGCGTCGAAGCAACAAATCGCACTTTGTGGACCTATGAAACAATGTAGTCAGACCTGGGAAGGATATCTAGCCGCTGCGACCGCGTGCTTACCAATGAAGGTCCGTTCGTGGCGATGGATTGAATGGGAATACTACACAAGAGGATACAATTAGGCCAGGACACAAACACCGAGACAAAGAGCTTCCCACCTGTGCAGGATGTTGAGAAGTTCACTGGCTACGACTTCCCTATCTTCGGCGACCCGAGACTCGTCTACGGCGCCCTGTAGCGAAGTCACGAGCTCGTCCCGATACTGTTCAATTACGAATCGCACGAGTTGCTGTCAATGTCAAAGGGAACGGTGAGCCGACGTGGCACTAGGTTCAGCCAACTAAGCTATACCCACCTGAGTAACATAGAGATTGGCCTGCATGACAAGGAACGGATTCAGGGCATTGGCACGAGAAGCGTTGGGGTTGTCAAAGAAATCTTTGACTTCGGCGAAAGTCGCCTGCCTGAAGCCGGGGCCCCCATATTCTGGGGGTATGTGAGCTTGAGGGTGAGCTTGCTTGAGACGCAACGGCTCCGGGGCGTGTGCCAATGCGGCGACAATCCTCGAGTGGAGAGCTTGGACTTCCTCAAGTCGCGCAGTGAGGAATTGACCTTGGGGCGGAGATCGTTTATCTACCCGAATCCGAACCAAGATCTCGCCAAGGAGTGCGAATATTCTCGAAATATAATTGAGCCCAGACACAAGTGCCGTCTTCCCATGGGGTTGAGGAAGGTACGCGCTGGGAGTAATGCTGCAGAAAATACGCGAGCAATTGAATTTGCAGAGGGAGCCGGGGATAATATGGTTAAATCTCGGTTGTGCTGTAGGGACTGTATCAATCACTCACTATTCGTCGTCAAGCTCTCGAGGGAAATTGCACGTGGTGTCCTCGTCTCGGAGGCAGATCGGGCGACCCAGCAGAATAGACATTGATTTGTCCGCTACAGGCAAGTAGAGAGAGGTGACAGTATTAGCAATCGAGAGATTACGGTGAATTCGGTGACGCAAGTAATACTGACCACCGAATAGCAACCAAAATGTTCGCCGCCGTACTTCACACTCAATGAGTTCGAGACCTTCATATGAAGATTCCTCGTGCATGCGTAGAGTGATGGCGATGTGTGCCGCTTCACCGAAGGCTGCATGCTGTGTGGCATCGTGACCCTCGCAGAAGTGGTACACGCAATCGCTATAAAAAGATATAACAAATGTAAAGGCAATTAGACGGGTACAAGGGTAAAGGGTACCCACAAATATCGAATTACGACGTGCATTGACGTAGGGGGATCGTAAGAAGCTACGGTAATATGTCGACTAGCTTCGTGACAAGTCTGGGCAAGCTTTCGAACGGCGTGACGCTCCATTGGTAGGTAGGACCTGGGAACCTGAACAAGAGTAGATGCCACGGTTGACATGACGAGGGCAAAGAACAATGGGTCTCGTTCCTCTCGATGAGCATGGACATCGGCCATGAACGAAGGCTTATGCACGCATGGTGTTAGTGGATAGACAAAATCAAAGAAGAGAGCAATAATCAGTAGAATGGTATCACGTGGAGCAACGTCCTCCAGTCGATGGGGTCGATAATAGTAGGAAAGCGGAGGAATAACTGTGGGCGGGGGTATCGGGAGAGATTGGTGCTGCTTATAGGACCAATTGAATAGAGGATATGTGCTGAATTGCTCTGCTGGAGAGCCAAAAGGCTGATTATCGTCATGTCGTTGTGGTGGGCGTGAAGACAGGCCGTTCGCTGAAGGATTATAAGAAGAGGCCGACATCGACGGCATTGGCGGATATTGCGAATGGAAACCATCTGCAGCGATAGGGTATCGAGAAGGCGGTAGTGACGTAGTGTGCATGGATTGTGGAATACTATTCAGAGCAGGATCAAGAAAAGATGAGACAGGTGTTGGTTGAGAGATTGGTGACACTGAAGTTTGAGGTGGGCTTGTCGCGCTTGGAGTGATCGACACCGGAGATTGAGGTACATCTGAGCCATTTGTACTATTGCCGTTTTCCTGATGAGCCGCAGCTTGAGCTGCTGCGGCCTCTTGCAAGCGACGTAGATAGCTGTGGTACATCGTCAGACAGCATATCGCACTCCCCGTCCTGTTAGACCTACAGATTTGGTGGTCCTCTCTTTTTGGGCTGATATTCGTATGTGCAAGCGATACCGAGTGCGACGCAATGCTTGCATGGTTGCTTGGGATCATCCGGATTCTCCCGTGCGCACCTCACCTTGCGAGCCCTGCAAGCATCGCAACCTGAATGGCTAGTCAATACTGTACGCTCCAGAGGTTCAACAAGAATACGAACTCTGTGACTGTCGCCTGTATTCGAGAGAGGGAGTATTAGCTCTATTCTTAACCGAGCGAGTGGAACGCAGAGACATCGAAATATCCGCCCAAATCGCGTATTGAAGTGCGGGGGATGCGGGATTGATAAATAAGAGTGAAAGGAACTACGCAAAGGAGGAGAAAGAAAGGCAAAGAGGAGAACGAGGAGGGAGAGCTTGAAAGTGAACGGCGAAATGTCGGAGAAACGGACACTGACTTTCTCTTGATCTTGCCGTTTTCGGACGCGTCCTTCGGTGTGGCATCGTCAGAGGGAGGGGTGGGAGATGCAGGTTCTTTTTTTGCGCGGGAAGGGGCCATCGAGAAAAGGGAAAGGAGGGACGAGAGCGGGGAGAGGCTGAACACGAGCAGGAAGAGATACTGAACTCAACAGGGAGAACGCAGATGGCGGTAGGCGCCGGGCAACAGACGAAGTGATGCGGGGTAGTGCGGGGTAGAGCGAACAGTTGGCCTTCTTCCTCTCCTCCTCGACGGCTTCGTATAAGAGTGAACGGGGATGACGGTACCCTGTTTGGACCACGAGTTTTCTTCCTGTCGACCTCGCCCTTTTGGTAGCTTTCCTCGCTTCTCAATTAACCCCAATATCAGATTGGCATCACCCATGATTATGATTTTCTTCCTAAGAACTATCATCTGCGCATGCTTTTCTTCTCGACTTCTCTCCAATTTTTGGCCACGGGTACACCCCCTTCTTCTCTCCGGCTCATTTCCGGATATTCCTCTCATTCTATCGCATGCCTGTCATTGCCCTTTTGCAGCTTCCTCGGATACAGATCAACGTTCACAAGAAGTCCCATACTGGGACATCGTTCGCGATCTTCTCCACAATTCTTATTATAATCAGAATAGCAGCAAACATGTACAGTAATCTATAGCTAGTCAAAAACCCTACCAGCTCACCGTAACCCACGACTCCACCCGACAGAACTTCTTGAATTCGTCTATACAGCCGCCATCGCCGCCAATATGTACACAACAGGCCCTCGACAGTCCGGTCCTCCTTCCAGAAACTATTTCCGCCCAGGAGGGGTCCGCATGAATACGACGCGCTTGGTGCAATAATGCCGTGGCCCATGATCGAGGGAAGCCAGCCCACCAAACCGCCAGCAACGTCGAAGCACTCGGCGAACTCTAGCCCGCCATCGTCGCATGACCCGACAGCGCCATCAATCAACCCGTTGTTGGTCTATGTCCCAGTCGGAACCAATTAGGTACTGCAACACTCGTGCAGCGATTGGACGTTGCCCTCTTCCAATAGAATCACTTGGTGATCATCAGGCCCGGTACTTTTAGTGTTCCTCTCCCTTTGTACGCGAAGAAGACGTGGCAGACGCGTTCCTCTTGAGCCTGGTAGTTCGATCTTCCCCCTGCGACGGAGCCTCGGCCGCCAGGAACTCTTTTTCAGCTTTCTTCGGTCTACCGCGACCGCGACGTTCCGCATGCAAGCTGACTTCCTCTCCCAATTCCGAGAGCATCACATTAGCGTAATTCACGTCGAGCCATTTCCTTGCACGATGATGACGAATAAGCCTAGCGATTTTCGTTCGCGTTGCCTCCTGTTGTTCGTCGCCCCAATGTGCTTTGTCTTTGAGAAAGAACTTCCAAAACCTGAACGCCATAGCTGGGTCCTCCGCTCGAGTAGCGGTGATGACGCAGTCAAGCGCCATCCTGACAGATGGTACATACCCGGCGCCCTGAAGAGAATCTACAAGGTCTTTGGCGTTCTCCAGCTGCTCCGAAGCGACATTGTGATCCTCATACAGAGTAGAAACGGTGGCCCTGATCAGTGAACCCATGGTTTTGTAACTGAGTTGCTTCACGCCAAGCTCGCGCGCTCTCACAATCAATTTTGCGACCAGGGGCATGTCACGTTGAAAGATGGCATGATGGATGATCGTACCAAACGATACAGCGTCTGGCTGCAAGCCCCGCTTGACCATTCTCTCGATCATGTTGGCAGCCTGAGAAGGACTCTGCATGGCCATGGCAGACAAGGCAACATTGACATCGCAAATGTCAGGAACCTCCTTCCGAGCGAGGATGATCTTGAACATTCTGAAGCCGTCCATTGTCCGACCCAGTATGAAATAAGCTCGTGCGAGAGCGTTCAAATCGTAGTGATTAGCTTTGTGAAGAGGGATGCGCATCTGTTCAAACTTGTCAATGACGTGATCGGTAAATGCTCGGAAGTCTGTAAGGCGACCTTCCCAACGTTCGACGGTCTCTTGGGTAGCCTCCACATCCACAGAGACTTGCGGTGTTCGATGACGCTTGGGATAGAAGTCATGCTCAGCGTCAACCAGCTCATCCTCGGGTAACGTTTCGGTGAGATCGGTAAGTGCTTCCTCATCTTCGCTTTCGTCGATGTCACGATCATGCTTGAATTTGGATCTTGAGAAGTCGTTCCTGAAAAGGTCCTTCTTCTCTTTGCCATGAGAGCGCACGCCAGGTGTCTCGGAGAACACAAGCGCTTTTCCCTCAACTTCCTGCTGCCTTTGCTTGAGTTGCTCAACCATGTCCTGTCCGCGCCGAATTAGGTGACTGAAAAGACTGACAATGCGCAGCATGGTTTGGGCATTCCCGAATACCAGCTGGGCTCCTTCACGTTGCGTGTATCTCTCCCATAGTTCTCTGGCCTGACCTGCAAACCCGACGGAAGCAATAGTAGCAACGACAAGAGGCTTGTCGTGAGAAGGTACGTTGATATCGTCTTCGACTACGCGAACCGCAAGGCTACGCGCAATACGGAAGTTTTTGCTAGTGAAGACGCAGTATTCCAAGAACCACAGCAAAGCTGGTCCACTCGGCGGTTGATACGCTTGACGTTCGGTAACAGCGGGAGAAGTTGATAGTTCGTAAATCTTCTCCGCATGTGCGCCTGCATTGCGAGCCTTAGCACGCTTGTAGAACTTGACGAGCATCTCCTCTGGAACCATGGGCATCTGGGGTTTGGAAAAGAGGCTGGAAAGCATTGATGAGACAGCTTCAAAGTCGGACTGGAAGTCCCTGTCCAACGACCACCACATGATCTCGTATATCTGTTCAATGAGGACAGGATGAATGACCTCACGGGTATCCAGTATTTGTCGTAGAAGGTTTCGTGCTTGTAGTTGCCAATCGTAACGCAAGCAAGCCTGCACCATGGTCCGGACCATGATATACGTTACATCTTGCGAGGTCAAGTCAAGACCCTGCATTGCTGATGAAGGAATAAACTTCTTGTCGATAAGCTCTTGGAACAATGCCAACGCCTCATCCTTCCTATCCAAGGAAAGCAGCCTCTGCACGAACCCGTACAACGGCCATACTACGTGGCGCAGGAGACCCTCGGTTTCCTTCGTAACAATGGAACCCTTAAGATTGAGAGCATGCTCTATGAGGTAGGGCGTAAGCAATTGAATAAGCTTTGGGTCGAGCTCGGAATCTTCGGGATACTTGACAGTGGCTTTGGCGGCGTAGCCAATGACGTGTGGAGGCATGATACGGAGGTTGTCTTCACTGTGAAGCGTCTCGACGATCATGAGAATCTTGTCCTTCGCCAAGGTCTGGTTGCCCTGACGTGTACTCTTCAATAGTTTGCCCAGTACCCACAGACGTTCCCAATGAGAACGACCTACGTAACGCTTCACTACGTCCTTTGTAACGTAGTCGAGATAATCGCTCCGCCCACGTGCAAGAGCTTCCTTGATGACCCAACGCAGGGCATAGAAGGGTGTATACGCAATGAGGCACTTGTCTTTATTGCGCTGCTCGAAGTAGGCTGGTATGGGATGTGATCTCCAATGTCGATGTTTCCTCCGACGCTCTTGCCTCTCTTCCTCTGACAAAGGCAAGGACCAAGTAAGAAGCTTAGCCTCCTGCTGTTCTTCTTTCCGCTCACTGAGGCCAGACGAGTCTTGCGGGTCGCGTGTGATATGCAATGGAGGTTGGACTGGAATCGTAATCTCTCCATTTGCCACTTTCTTGCGATTGGATATGTAAAGTGCCTCTGCCTTGAAGGTTCGCGTGAATAATAGAGGAGCTTGAAGACGTTTTGGTGCACGAAGCAAACAGCGCCGACAAATGAACATAAGTCAGCTAAGCAAAAAATAAAACTTGTCAACGTCGTGTATGTTTGCAAAGTAAGTTGTTCATACCGCATGCCGCAATGCCAGATGGTTATTTTGTGAAGAAAGCTCTTGACCCCCGCCTTCCTCCTCGAACAAGACGTTTGGAAACTTTTTGGTGTGCACCGTCAGCGAGACTTACAGCGTAAAGGCGCCGACAGCGGCATGGACGTGACAAGTCGTCGGCCAGTCACGTCACAGCTATTTATTCCATCCCCGGCTGCTTCCGACCATCCTCGTTTGGCAGCTACCGTCTTTCTCAGTAAGTTGGAGGCAGTCTCAATTCCTGAGAGAACGACTGGGTCCAATCTCTTCATGACAGTATGTGTAGGTTTAGTCTGCTCTTTGCCAGAAATTCTCGGTACAGCTGCTTTCAACCACATGGTACTGCCCATCCGCTTATGTTCATCGAAAGATCCAGCCGACTCAGGGCCCCAGGGGACAATCATCTTCGAGAATACTTACACCTCAGCCGCTTTCAGCATCATCCAAATACCCGAAGGCGGTTTTCCTCGGTCCCGAAAGGCTTTCGAAGGACGACTGTCTGAAGGAAGCTTTCAACTTTCCACCTGACCTTGACGGTGATCTGTTGCTTGGCACTGAATGGGGTACTGTGACGTCCTGATCAGCCAGTGCTTCCCGATGCTCATCATCTGACTATGTTCCCTTTTCTGTAAACAAAGGCTCTCAGAGTGCAGCGACTAAAGCTCATCTGTCGAGAATGCGATGGGCGGACCCGAAGACAAGGTCTGTGTATATTTTCTCATCGGGTAACCAGGGTCCTTGCTCTAACGATTCTCGACGCAAGTTTTGTTTACCGTTGCTAGATGATCTGCTAACAACGTTAAAGCGTCCGAACTCTCACATCAACTTCAGGGCCCTTATTTTTAAACAAAATAGCAATCATAGTCCTGACATCTGTGACGTCGTTTATAACAGGAATTATAACAATCGACACCTTCGGCGCGGCGGTTGATTCTCGGTATCACCTTGGTATCTTTGCGGGAAACTGACTAGGTTTAACTTACTCTACCGGTAGCCTCGTCTATATGATAGACAATAATGTCATACGCCGTCTAAGGGTCTGCCTGATGGAATCAGGTGAATGAAGACATTTGGGGTAAGTCCATTCCAGAAAGCTTGCGGCTCTAAAACACTGCGCCTGATCACTCAGAACCAATGTTCCACGCAGCTTACTGTATCGACCTTCAGCAACCTGAACTTTGAGTTTGTAGCTCGAGCTTATCTGATAAGGCTCCTGTTCAGTCCTAGTCGCTGGTCTATTCAGTCTTGGTTCAGTTCACGTGCGGCGATCGCCATACCTCTCACGGATATGCTTCCAGGACAAACAGACTTATGTCCGATAGGAACTCAACGAGTCTGAGCATATCCACGGACTTTGATAACATACACTCTCATAAGACCACTTTCTAGCTACGCTCTAATCCCTGTTGTGTGTCATAAGTCCTCGCTCGGACGAAGTAATGTCGGACATTCCCTTAAGCTTCAGGTGAGTTCACACGCAGTACTCCACCTCAACACGATTTGCTTAATTCCGTCAAGGTTACTATACCTTCATGCCTACACGAGCACTCCCGCAATCATTTGACATTCGACATTGTCATTTTCTCTGATGTTGCTTGATGCTACTTCGCGATGATATATATGGTCATGAGCATCATGCTCATAATTGTATGGCCAGAAACTTTGGCACCTGCATATTGACGATGGTTATAACCGTAGTTCAATGATCTCACATGTGTTCGTGCTGGGTGGATTAGTACGGGAGCAACATAAATATATCCTTTAGCCTGTTCCTGCCTGCAGGAAGTACCAATGGCAGGAACGCACCGTGGAATGCATAGCGATGATAATCACTGAATCACTCTCATTACCTTCTGCCCTTTTCAACACCATTTCTTTATATCTCTGCATTTGTTACTTCTACAAACGAAGGCAGAAAAACCCGGCTGGGTGAGCAAAACGATTGAAAAGCTTCAGGTGTCCTTATGAGGCAAGTGAGTAAGAACGGATGATTGATCAACGCCACGTTCTCGCCGTTCAGTTCCCGATCACCACCTTAACCACTTTCCAAGCTAACGTCTCCAGCTCACTCATCCTGTCAGCCTCATTTGCCTACTATACAACGTTTTCTATCCTATCTTGTGGATTTATTTTAGGGAGACCATTGTGACATCTATCAAAGGCGGGAATAGATGGGCGCATCGCAATCTTCCGCCTCGCAGGCACCGTCACGAGGACTTCATGTTTTACGCGTCACACCGTCTTCGCCAGCTTCTCAGACGAACATAGAACCATTTTTTGACTTCATCGTTGGCTTTAAAGGGGACTCTTTAGCGGAGAACCGCACGCTCGAGGCCGCAGAGCTGGAGAAGATTGTGGAGAGCCACGAAGGCCGAACATTGAACCTCGTGGTGTGGAACAGCAAAAACCAAAATACACGAAGTAGGTTACACTCATACATATGCTATCGTCTTATTTATGGTAAATTTATCTCTCCAAAGTCGTACCAATCGTCCCGTCACGAGAATGGTCCCTTCCACATACGTCAATACCTGATCCTCAGGAGCCCGAAGCTCAACGAAAGCCCTCATTGCTCGGCTTGAGCATGCGAATGTGTGAACCCGAGACGAGTCTGGACAATGTCTGGCACGTTTTGGACGTGCTTGAAGGAAGTCCTGCGGAGAGCGCTGGCCTGGTGCCATATGGTGATTGGATCATTGGTTGGTCTGGTGGGGTGTTAAGTGCGGAAGGCGACTTCTACGACGTGGTGGAAGCGGTGAGTATTTCAATATTTCTGTGCGGCATGTGGTGTAACTCATAGGATTAACAGCATATTGAAAAGCCATTGCGAGTTTACGTATATTCGTATGACTTCGAGTACGTTGCAACTGTTATTTCCAAAGCACGGACCGCTGACGTACCTTGAATTAGTACAATCCGAGAGGTTGTTCTAGTCCCCAATCGACACTGGGGAGGAGAGGGCCTTCTTGGATGTGTCTTCGGGTATGCTTTTTCGTGATATTCATCTCCGAGTCGCTCACATTTCTCTAATCAGGTTTGGTCTTTTACATCGAATACCTGCCGTGCCGGAGACCCGCGAACCAGGCTCGATACCCGAAGAGCTACTGGAACCGCCAGACGAATATGAAGAACAACAACTCTTCGTCCCTGCTGATTACGCTGATGAACCTGAACTGCCAGAGCACGCCGAGGCGAGGATACGCTGGGAACAAGAGGAATGGGAACGGGAAGCTTATGCCAGGAATTACATGCATGATTCTGCCGTCGATCCTGCTGCTAATCACACCTCTTCTTCTGCTTACGATGACTCGGCTGAGTTTGACAATGAGTCTCATTCAACAGACAACATTCATAACCATAGTCCCATGAAGGGATCACCGACAACGGAGGAAACGGAGGATGAGACTGGTGAAGAGTCTTACAAAATCCTTGCGCCGACCCCTGTGAGGCCAGCTTTGAGGCAAGACTCGGTTGAGTCAACAATTATCCGAATTGCTTCCTCCCGCTCTTCGTCTTTCAGTGTTGCCAGAGCGTCGACGCCAACGCCGACTCGACCATTTGGGTCATTTGTGAATGGTGATTTCTCCAAGCGACATTTATCCAGTGTTCCTCTTTTTTTACATCTGAACTTTGCAAGGTATCGGCTTGAGCCCTCGCACTCTTTCGTGGGATCATCGCACAACCGCATTTGATCTCAGTGCTACCAGACAGCTTTCTAGCAGCAACTCTAGGGTGGCAAACTCAGGGCAAGCTGGTGATGACGATGATGACTTGGACGGTACCTTAAGCGTCGCAGGTACCGACTTTACAGAGTTGAGCGAAACCACTTCCAACAGTCTCACCAGTGTCGATTAGTGCGCCTTTCTCTATTGGATTTCGGGTTGAGGACTAATGTGATATCCTATTTCCGAGCCTTCTCCATATCTACCGTCAGACCTTTTGGTTGCGCCAGTTCTTCGCTCCGCCAAGGTACAGGTTCTCAGGGCTTAGAACAGGCAAACAGTGAGCTTGATGCGACCTCAAATAACTTTTGGCTTTTTCACCTGACAGCGTCCGAGGTGGTGGCGGGCCGCCGGCACGTCGATATATGCAATGAATATGCTCATGACATTCATTTGAGAACAGGTCCTTATGGCCTGCAAAACGCGTTGCCATGCTGGCATGTGTTTTGGCACGTTTTTCGTTGCTGCATGCGCAGCAGCCTCTGTGAAGCAAACCTTCTCCATGTCCAAGAGTCTCCAATGCTTCATCAAACGACAAGGACAGTTTATGCATTCATACAACGAATGACGGAATAGGTGCCATATTTCACCCCTTGCGAACTGCTCATTCTCAAATAATTCAGTCGGAGGGCCGTTGTGAACGTCCCATGCCTATTGTTAGCCGCATACTGGTAAAAATGGATCCCCTATGTGCCCAGGAATATGCGAACCATCGGTATCAGCAGTTTTTTCGCGAGAAATCAGCTCTATTCTGCCTCGCCGCGTTCTTCGGATTTTCAAGCATGAGAATCCGGTATTGCACCAACCGAATATTTCGCGAGATGGCCCGGTGACTGTTGCCAACCTACTGACCCCGATTGAGCCATCTTTTCAGACTTAGTGACAAGTATACGCGATACGAAGCAACGCACCTCAGGTATAAAAACGCGTCGTGTTCTGGAACGTTACAAGCAAGCTGACGAATTTGTCCACTGCGCCATGGCTCATCTCTTGACTTCCCTGTTGGCATTTCTGCTTTATCTTCCATTGACCTTCGCTGCCTTTGGCGTGACAACGTCTGGAAATAATTTGTTGGTTGATTCTGGTGCTGGCTTGGTGACCACCAGTAAGTTATTTAGGTACCTTCGTACGTCTGGCCTGGTGCTGAGTAGCTGCCGCAGTCAACAGATCAAACGGAGACCTAACATCTTTGAAATTCAACGGCAAGGAATTGCAAGACCAAAGCAAGTTCACACAACTCAGCTCTGGTCTTGGCTCGGCAACCGTTACCTCGTCCGTGGCAAACAATATCGCTGTTGTGACCATTCAGACGAGCACCATCGTCTGTAACTTCCTTGTCCTTTAGTGAATGCAGACTGACCGGATATTTAGACTCAATACTATATTGTCCGCTCTGGTACTAATACTCTATACATCGGAACTTTTGCCTCAGCTGAACCCTCCGTTGGAGAACTGCGCTTCATCGCTCGTCTCTCCAAGTCGGCACTGCCAAATGGGCCGACCCAGTCTGATATCAGTGGTGGGAATTCAATTGAGGGTTCTGACGTATTCATGGTGAACGGTCAAACACGCTCAAAGTTCTATTCCAGCGTAAGTTTTACTGCTTTACACAAATATACAGTAATGGCTTATTCGGCTTTTCTCAAGGTGCGCTTCATCCAAGATCAAGTTCATGGAGTCACCGGAAGCGGTGTTGGAGCATACATCATTGTTCCTGGCACGGGATACGAAACTAGTTCCGGTGGTCCCTTCTTCAGAGGTGAGCGCAGGCCAGGTCTTTCGGAATACAATGTTAAGGATTTTGCTTTCCTAGACATTGATAATCAAGGAGGTGACCAACAAGAGGTGTATTTCTATATGAACAGTGGCCATGAGCAAAGTATGTTTCATTCCTCGACCAAACGTGTAGCATGGCTGAACGACCTTCTGCTTATAGCTGAAAGCTACCGCACTGGCTTCTTTGGACCTTACGCGCTTGCTATTACCAGTGGCTCCGCACCTTCGGGCAACCTCGACATTTCTTTCTTCGACAATTTGGGTCTTCAAGGATACGTTCCTGCCTCTGGCCGTGGTACTGTGAGAGGTAGCTACTCCGGAACGCTATCCGGACTCCCTATCACAATTGGTTTCAAAGTACTTATTTGCTGCATACCAGCTTACGGATAGATCTTTTCTGACCATTTTATCGTAGAACTCCGCCGCTCAGTATTGGGCAACCGGCTCTGGGTATGTTTCACTGATGGTTTGCCGCGTGCCGCTGTTCACATTTATGTGCATACAGCGGTTCATTCACCAGTCCGCTGATAAAGCCCGGAACTTACACGGTTACCCTGTACGAGGGGGAGTTGGAATCTGGCACCAGTAGTGTAAGTGCAACTAATGTTCTATTGGAATTGATGAAAAATACCGTCATTCCTTTCTTCCAGGTCTCTGTCTCTGCAGGTGGAACCGCATCTGTAACGCTCAAGGCCTCGGCCAGCAGGCCTTCTACTATCTGGAGCATCGGTAAGAGAGATCGCACCCTTCGTATATGGGATACGAGACTGATATCCTGTCAGGTACTGCGGATGGAACACCCGCAGGTTTCATGAATGCTGATAAGATCGAGACGATACACCCGTCAGTAACCTCGTCTTCCGGTTGAATGTCTATGTCATGATCATTTCCTATAGCTCTGACTCGCGCATGAGCAATTGGGGGCCAATTACCTTCAATATCGGCAGCTCGGCTTCATCATTCCCCATGGTAGAGTATTCTGACTCCAGATGATTCTCAGAACTAACCCTAGTCAAATCAGGCTCAATTCAAGAACGTGAACAACCCAACAACCATCCAGTGGAGTGCCTCTTCCTCCCAGATCGGTGCCAGGACTCTGCGTATCAGGACTACATCTGCTTTTGCGGGAGGCAGGCCCCAAATCACTGTCAACTCTTGGACGTCTAGTGCGCCCTCCGGTGAGTGTTTTTATTATTCCTTATGAGCTGATTCATTCAACATCACTTGCATTGCAGCCCCTACGGCCATCGACTCCAGAGGTACGTAGAATTCTGAAGGCTATAATAGAATTTGCACTGAGTTGTTGACTTTGCAGGTGTCACTCGTGGAACGTGGCGCGGATTGAATCAAATCTACGACTTCGCAATCCCAAGCGGTACCCTCGTTGCAGGTAGTAACAGGATTCAGATCAACGTGATTTCTGGCAGCAGTGGGGATGGATTTTTGAGTCCTAACTTTGTGTACGACTCAGTCGAGCTGTTCTGAACCGGCTCACTTTTTCTGTGGGGCTTCTCATCATGTGTAGATATCATAGCGCTGTGGATATCCTACTGAGAACTTCTGCTATATATAAAATTGTGTCCCATCTCCAAAGGCAGCTATTGCCGATTAGACTCAAACACCGCCGCTGAGCATCTTGCGAAAATCGTCTTGACCTTTAGACCGGTTGCCGGCGGTAGAGGGTCCAATGCCATCTGTAGATGCCGATGGTGCTGGACGTGCCGCCCTAACGGCCGAGATAACAGCAGTTCCGCGACTCTTTTTACTTCCCAAACCTGCTCGCGGGCGCGAAGCAGCGGCACGGGGCATGAACAGACCGGTGCTGGCCGAAGGCGTATCTATCAAAGCTTCTTCAGAAAGCTCAAGGGTTTTTCCATTGAACACCAGAGGTTCAGGGTGCAGTAGCAACTTGCTTGCCTCCTATCATTGTCATGAGGAGGCTTGCGATAGAGGATATGGAAAAGAAACGCACTGCAGGGTTCTCCAGCTCCGCGATGGCCTCGTTCTTTTCCGTGAACGCCTCGACACGCTTGATTGCGGCTCGCTTTTCCAGGGCTTGTTGCAACAAGCCCTCTTGGGTGCCATCTGGAAGATTCTTGATACGCACAGAGCGGCTCCTGATCTCCACCTTACGACCTGCTGTAGTCCTGTGACATTGTACAGTGAGCGTCTCGCTGCGAGTAGGCAAGAAATTGAATTACTGGGGTTTGGAACGTCTAGTATCAGCCAATGTGACTGCTAACCGTCGCTTCTTCAGCTCATAGTTGTTGGCCGCCAACGCGGAGACAGCGTCTTTCTAAACGACGCGACCACTACTATTTAGATGCGGCCGGAAAAGAAGAGTGCAGGTTGCTCACCGCTTGTTCAAACTCAACGAAGGCAAAGCCTTTGGGTCTCTGCTTGTCGTCCAGAGCTAATCTCACATCCTTGACGGGGCCGTACTAGTTCCATGTAATCATATGTGAGGGATAGTGTGTTAAATAAAGACCAATGAAACGAACCGTGATGAAGACCTTCATGAGGTCATCCTTTGTAGCGAACTTGCTTACACCAGCGACATAGAGTTCGCGATCGTTTGCATCCACGTCAGATCTTTCCTTCTTCCGCTCCGGGTTGGAAATGAGTACACTCATACGATGTCCGGGCTCGAGTTCTCTTCCCTGCAACTCGAGAGCGGCTTCAGCAGACGCCTATGCACAACATAAAAGTCAGATGAAAGTTACGTTACTCATCGGATATTGCGGTTGCACATACTGGAGAGGTGTACTGGACGTAGCAGAATCTCCTTGTGCTCTTGAACTTCTTACTTGGCCATCTCACGTCGAACAGCACGCCGTACTGAGACTCGGTGGTGAGGACGACCCAACGCTGCAAAGATTGCTTTTCGTACCTTTCCAAAGAGATCCCGAATGAACGCATCGTCAGCACTCTCTGGGAAATTCGTAACATACAACGTCGACTTCCACCCCAAATGTACTGCAATCTCTTGATCATGAATGCGTTTCTTGTCTTTCGTCAAGGCAGCCGGTACACTTTCCTAACCAAAACGTGAATGAAGAACCTACTGATGGAAGAAACATGATATACCCTGTCCATGAACTCTACTGTCGCAACAGCCAAGTTCGCCAGTTGAGTAATCTTGACCTCGCGAATCGGACCACACTGTTGATGATTCAGTGTTAAGTGCCAAATGACAACAACAATATAATATATCTTACATCTTTGAACAGGGCAACCAAGTCATCATCAGAAGCATTTGTAGGAAGGTCTGCAACAAAGACTGTTGAGTTCTCTCGGTCTCTGTGGATAGGAGCTCTACGTCAATGTGTGGTCGTTATAAGCATCAACCTATTCACCCACCGCTTGAGCTGGATCGGCTTGAGGGGTTCTTCGAATTCAGCATCACACATTAACATTTTATCTTGCTATGTTGAAATCGTTCATCACGTACCTGTTCGGGCCTTCTTACTCTCCAGCCCGTCAGTCTCCACTTCGTCTTCTGCCTTACGTTTAAGTCCGGCAGAGACCGATGGCCGCTCTTGTTGCATGTCAACGTCTACGGGGGCAACTTCAGCCGATTCTGCACCGTTCACGCCGGATACGGGGCCGGCAGATACAGGGACAGAAGGCTGCAATTCTGCCTCTACCTGCATAGCAGCATAAGCAGCCTTCTCCGCCTCCTATACAAGACCAGATCATCTATTTATTTCATCGTCGATAAACAATGAGATAGACGTACCTTTGCACGTCGGACGTTGATCTGGTTTCGAGCACGCTCGATTCGATCCATGCATTCCTCAATATCTTGCACCGATCCGTGCAGATGTTCAAACTGTAGCCATGCCTCCCATATAGCTTCAGGCCAGTCAATGTTCTTCGAGGCGATATCCTTGAATGTATCCCGCGCTGTGTCGTATTGTTGATGCCTCCTGTAAAATGTCAGATCACGCAAAAGATCAGGCTGTAGGCTCAAAATGAACTAAAGGATTAATGGACGTACACAAGCACATTGGTATACTCCGTCCACGCGACGTAACTTGTCTTATAATGCTTAGCAGCGTCTTGCCAAACGGAAATGGCATGCTCTTGCAACGCATCGTTCTCCATACACTGATAAGCAGTAATGAGATCTCATCGCACTCGTTATAAGCCTTCAGAAGACAACTTGCCACTGATCCAAAGAACTTCTCCAGACGTAGCCTAGGATCGCCACTACGTGCAGCTGTAATTCACGTCAGTCTCGTGATATGCCGAATAGCTGACGAGGTCGCACCTTGACGGACTTTTGCGATACCCTCTATGAGTACCTGAACCAGGGTCTCAAGCGCATCTTCACCTGCATGGAGATCGTAAGTTGGGAACCTATCCACGCCAACCATAGGATAACATACCACCCTCTTCAGCATCCACACGCCGCTTCTCGTATCCTGCTCTTGCGAGAATGAGCGAAACGAGCGCTTCAACATCTTTGTGAATTGGAGGGAATGATAAAGCAGTATCATATGCAGCTAAACATCAATGCATAGAAGACAGGCAGTCAGAATCTTATCGCATTCGAAGTCTAAGCAGTAGACCTACTGGGAACTGAAGGGTCTTCGCTTTCGACGCGTTCCTATGTAAATGTTGTGTGGTTATGAGTGATTTCGATGCGACAAAGGACGTGAAGCGCTCACCAGGAACCGAAGATAGCGTGCCCAGAGCTCCCCTGACCCAGGTATACTCTTCGTTGCGCGTCGGAAGATTCTCGCTACTTGTTCATCATCCAGCTCGTTTTGTCTCTAGAAAGAACCATGATTAAAAACCCATGCCGTAAGTAAGTGTCAAGAGAAGATAAGAGTATAACTTGCTAGGAAGTCCAAATACCCAATCCAGAAGGTTCGAAGGGCCTCTTCTGCCCCAGGCTCGCCTTTCCATCTACGTTTGTCCGCTTCAGCAACAGCACGTTCATACAAAGTAGTAAGTATGAAGAGGTCCTGTTTCTTTGGTCTGAGCTCGGAGGTGATGTAATAGTTGTAGCCTTCTAACGAGTATCCTCCCTGTCTCTATATGAGGTTGAAGGTTAGTGCCATCCCATTGTAGATGGAAGTCATGCGCACCAAGGAAGTCTCAAGAGATTCACGCCTATTCCATGCTTTGACAGCGGTAGAACGCATCTTGGACGCTTGCACAAGAAGTGTCTCATATGCATCTGGCGGCTTATATGATGTAGTGAAGGTTGAGTAGGCTTGGAAAGTCGACTCGTAGTCGGCGTGAGGTTGCTTAAGTCGTAGAATAAAGAGATCATCGAGATGAGAAACGAGGGTTGGCCTGAAAATATCCTCAGTTTGTGCGAGTGAGGCTAACGTGAATTACTCACCGTTCTGCTGCTGGAACCTGTTCGAGTACGTTCTGTTCCCATTCTCGTTGTATGTCCCATAGTTCTTGGCTCTGTACAAGTACTGAGCACATATGAGCTCAGTGATGAAGTAATCCACACACCTCAGTAAGGTGTCCGATGCCTTTGTTCACGACGTCCGAAATGGCATTACGAGTCCATTCGGTGGAGAAGAGTTCACCCAAATCTTCGGGTTTCGACTCTGTTTCGGTAAAGTGTGTGTATCGTTCTGTCAGGAACTCAAGATGTTTCTTCAGAACAGGTATTGCTATATAGGACGTCATTATGAGAACGCCTGGTCTTACAAGGAGGAGAGCCTGCGTACAGAGATAGTCTGCCTCCGCTCTCTCGAATAACCCTAAGACATCCAACAGTCCTTCCGCACTATCCAAGTCTGCCTCCTTTAGTTTCTTCTCAATCAATGGCAGCCAGACGTAGTCCCCTGCAGCCCAGAAACCGGTCACCATTTCGAGTGCTGCTTCCACTTGGTCTTGCAGGCCAGTCGCTTGTGCAACGCGTACATGTTCGGCATGATTGGCAATCTCATACGGATTCTCAGTGAGTTTGGTGAGTATAGACGACAGAGCATCAAGAGCATTTGCCTCGTCCATGGTCATCTCCGAATCCATGGCTGCGAGGAGGTGGTGGTCGTGATTTCCAGAGTTGCAGCCACAATGGGCGCCAGAGTTGCGACTTCATGAGGAGCTCTGTTTACAAAATAGGCAAGTCCTGTAGATCATCCGGATCACACTGGCCCAGAGCCTAGAGGAGAGCTCGGAACTCCAAGGTCTCAAGAATATTAAAGACATTCCGGTACAAACGACATGCAAGTGTAGTATGTCTAGCTAATTTGGACAGTCATGAAAGACAATAATTTCAGAGGAATATCACAATTGAATATAACAGTAACATTTCGAAATAGAGATGAGGAAAGGGCTGGTCTAACTGTCTAAGGGTGTTCAAGTTAATTGTATCCAAAATGTCTGATGTCTTTAGATGGAGTGTGAAGTAAACCGTGCGAAGAAGTGTTTGCAACTGGGAAAGAGGTAGGTTTACGACGAGTGATATGCAACCTTTGACGGCGTACCGAAGTAAGCTTCAGGTAATAGTGTCCGAGCAAAGAATGCGATAAAATTTTGGAGGACAAGATTGTTGAGGGTCTTAATGCGATACAGCCAAAGTAATGATCCAATTCGAGGTAAATGCCCTACGACAATGCAATCATGTTGGACGGAACTTGACTTCAACCACTTCTGGCCAATCGTGCCAATCATCGCCCTCACCTGCGTCCCTCATGAGATATATCCTCTAGTAGATCAAATGAATGATGCAGGAAAGGAGCAAGGGAGGTAGATTCAGTTGGTTCGTAATCTACGACCAATCGAATAACAGTCTTGGGTATGCATTCTCTGGGTCTAGTCTGTACCAGATAGTGATATGCCCGAATAACACGAATCTGCTAGGTTCTAGCCAATTACGACAAATAAGAGAGCACAAAGGTAGGAAAAGTGTATCATCATAGATGAACTTGAGGACACTGGGAAGGCCGTGATGTAGAATTATGGCAAGCAGATGTAGTTCAATGGCGAGCGGCGTCGAGATTAGTTCTAGATGAATCGAGAGGATTAGAACGAGGGCTACCATGAGGAAGCTAAGATACTTATCGTCCAACGATTGCCTTCTGACAATATTCTAGAGGGAGCCTATCATAGAGGGCCGGAGGCGTGAAAGGGTACTACTAAGCAACGATTCACAACAAGTTGATTGATTACATATTCTGCTGAGCATCTTTCTGTGCTAAGTGACTTATGTATGGCTCATCCCTTGATCATATCAGTGCCTAATAAGCCAGAGTAGACTGTAACACGCAAAGTACATTTCAGACAATCATCATCATGAAATTCCTGAGATCCGAGTCCTCTTGAAAGAACGATTTGTAACAAGCTCATTGCAATCCGAGTGCGAAGCCATATCATATTACATCCTGCCCTAGTACGTTGCAACATATGTGCAAGCCTCACGCAACAACTACGAAGAATATTTGTCAGAATCCATACAATGTCGCTGAGCAATATACCATGAAACGCGCAGTTACTAGGAAGTTTAGAATGCCGACTTACCTCCCCAAAAGCGCTGACTCCTGGCAGATTTACCGAAATATACATCCGTCTCCTGACGTAGCCTGAAGCTCGAACGTTGAGAAGATGAGACAAGGTTGAGATTGCGTCCAAAGATTATTGATTCAATGGCCATTACAGTATTTCCGTTTCAATGTGGGCTATGGCGCGTTTAGATACACGTGGATCTTGCTCATCCTACGATCGAATGGTGTTATATGATCTACGATCCACTAAGAGCTTCGAACGAGACGGACTCGGGCTGACTAAAGGCAGTCTTACTAAAGGTACTCTCAATGTTCTCAAGTGTTACAGAGGACGGAGCTCCAGGCGTATATAAACATCTAAACTGCCCCCGAAATGTGTTTCAGTCATCTACATCATCGACCTGTAACACGAAGCTTGCCAACTCAACTCACCGTACAAACCAATGGCTACCGCAGCAGTCCTCCCTCCTCAAGATGTTCCAACCATTATGAACTACTACTCTCCCATTGGTGAAGAGGCACCATTCCAGTATGTGCACGACCCGCCGGAAAACACTCCAAAGGATAACATTGGTACCGATCCTCACCCTGTCGTCGTGCACAATGTCCGAGGCAGAGAGTCTGAGTTTAACTTGGACAAGAATGGCTTCCAGTTCGTCAAGCACGAGAGTGTAGAGAAGGACTTCGTTGACGACAAGAAGATTGAGGACGTTTACTACAAGGAAGTCGAGGAGTTGTTGAAGAAGGAGGCCGGAGCTAAGCGGGTCTTCATTTTTGACCATACCATCCGGTAAGTATTCGTGATCGCAACACCGAGGCAATTATACTGAACTAGACTCTAGGAGGAAGCCTGAGAGTGACAAAGTCGGACCAGGCCAGGTGTACCGTGGACCGGTGGTATGTCATTTCCTTCTGTTTCGGAAATTCTTGTTTGACATCCTTTTAGGAACGCGTGCACATTGACCAAACCTTCGATGCCAGTGTCGCTCGTGTCCACCGTCACCTCGGCGAAGACGCTGAACGACTCCTGAAGTCAAGGGTTCGTATTATCAACGTCTGGCGTCCTATCGGACATCCCGTCGCACACAAGCCTCTTGCGGTGTCCGATTGGCATTCTCTCGACACCGAACACGATCTGGTGCCAGTCCGTTTCATCTACCCTGACAGGGTTGGTGGAACGTTCAGCGTGAAGTACAACCCCAACCACCAGTGGTATTACTTGGGTAACCAGACGCCGGAGGAGGTGACTCTGATCAAGTGCTTTGATTCGGAGGTGGATAGGGCGAGGTTGACTCCTCATTCAGCTTTCCTGGACGAAACTAGTCCGAAGGAGGCTCCTCATAGAGAGTCGATTGAGATACGGGCTTTAGTATTCGACTCCGAGTGAACTAGTGTAGCAGTATGATAAAGGCCATTGTACGTTGTGTAATGCAGGATTCCACGCATGAACGCCATTTGAAGTTGAAATCGAGAAATATCAAAGGCTGACGTTGATCGATGCTTTTTCCATTTTCTTTTGCCATGATCTTGCAGAGTGATATTGAACTGGTCCGTATCCTCCTGTGATCAACGTATACGGGAGATCCCAGAATATTCATTGAACCACTAATGCGTTGAGGTGAACAATATGAAGAAAAGAGAGAAGGATGTGCTTTGGGATTTATTCGTCGACATATGCCGATGTAGAACATGGGCGCTTATTGAATAACCGGACCGTGGGAATGTTGTGAATGCCATGAACTTCGTTCTGAATCTCGCTCGGTACTGCACCTTCCACTTCGTCGAGAGGCTGACGAGGCTATCTTCTCTTCGAGACACCATGAAGTTCAGTGCTCCGAGGTCAATATCTCCTTCACCGGTCAGGAGGTACGCTCATCATTAACAAATGTGCCATATACAATGACGAAATGTTTGGTATCGTCACAGAGAACCTCGGCCAACACGACGACGATCTACGTTCGGTTTACCTCCAGACTCCTCAGACGAGGAGTACGGCCTTGCAGAGTCAGACGAAGAATCCGTTTCTACCTTGTCCTCCTCCGCTTCCTCAGACTCGTTCTGCTATGCTTCAGAATCAGAAGTACCTCCTCCGCAACCGTAAAGTTATACCCAGTTTTTAGCGTCGGCTCTCGCCATATCTGACCTTTTGCAATCACGAATTTATACAGAAAGCCGAGAACCGCTGGACGGTCTCTGGAGGATCAGTACCATAAAGAAGACACTATTGCCTCAATACGTCTAAGAGTGCGCCATAAAGACCCGTACGAAGAATGGGAACATCAGACGAGAAGGGACGCGTTTGTAAGTCGTGTTGATCCTTCTGCATGATGGCATCCTCTCATATCCTTCACACGTACCATGCTGTATAGCTTTCTGCTCGCAACCAACAGACTCGCATCTCTTCCCAACTACGCCGTGACAAGAAGCAGTTACATTCCAAAGATGCCAATCGCCTCGCCGCCCTTCACACGAAACAAATGCAAGAAGTTGAAGCCGCTCTTGCCTCCTTCAAGTTACAACAGCAAACCGAAGAGCAGAAGCTCCGAGAACAGTGGCGAGAGCGTGACCGGCAGCTTTGGCAGCGAATCGAGAATGTGATTCAGTTCGAGGAGAACAAGGTAAAGGCCAAGTTGGAGGCAGAGAGGAAGAAGCGAGAAGAGGAAGAGCGTAAGCGCAAGGAAGCAGAATTGCAGAAACGATTGGCAGAGGAGAAGAAGAAAGAGGAGGAAGAGAGAAAACGGAGGGAAGAAGAGGAGAAACAGAAGGAGCTGCAGAGACAGGAAGAAGAGAAGCGTAAACAGGCCGAATTAGACAAACAGAGGGCTGAGCATCTCAAAGCCGAGGAAGAAGAAAGGAAAAAGCTTGGTCTGACAACGGCTGAGGATGATTGGCGGAGGGCACGGTCAGCGTTAAAGGTAAAGTTGATTGAACTCTGTATCTACTACGTTCACTACTAATTGATTTCAAAGGCGTTAAAAGCAGGACCTATGAAGACGGTGAAATCCAATAAAGAGTTGAAATCTCTCTGGAGTGCCGCTCGACGACAAATCACCCCCAAAGTCGGGCAACTCACCGATGACCCGCAAACAGTTTCCCGAGTTGTACGTACACTCTTCTAGTCTCACATTCACATTCTCTAAGTCCCGACTCATCTTCGTGTTAAGTCACAACAAATTGTAGAGATCATGCGTCCATCTCAACCATACCCCCCAGAAGTCTATCTCGCCCTCCTCTCCTCCCTCTCCAAGACCATCCTCATGCAAGCCGAAACCGAAGTGACAGCAGAGAAACACAGTGCTCTCCCAATCGCCCAAGTCACCGTGAACCTACTCTGGACACTCGAAGGTTTCTCTGAAATATTCTTTGCGAAATTATGCCAACGCGTCGGAGGCTGGCCCATTCCTTTCAGTATTCCTGCAACCGACGTCGATGGGAAGACTTTCAGCAATGAGGAGAGGACTAAAGCGATGGGCATCATGACGGTTGATGGTCAAGATGAAGGTCTGAGCGAACATACAGCAAGAGTGGCAGGAATCATGAGGGTGTATTTCCATATCCTCTTCGCACCTACACCAAAACCTCTAGACCCTCTCTTCCGACTACCCCGATATTGGACATGGTTCGCCAGGATATTAACAGACTCAAAACTCCTCGAATCGCCCGTAGCTCCCGAACTCATCTCCAGTACGTCTTTCTTTTTCCACACCCAATAATGCTCACATAGTAAATTGACTCTGCCTGATCTTATTCTTTGTTTCAGCCGCGTTGGAAGTAGGCGGGTTCCAAGCTCGAGATATCTGGGGTCAACAGTGGGTCAAGCTCCTAGGTATCCTGTACGAAGGTGTCACTACTGGCCTGCATGGGACCGGCCGCCTGATTGGTGGAAGCGCTGCGCCGGGCCCTGCTGCTCGTGGCCGGGCTGAATTGGAGATCGAACGGATTATGGGCGTGATTCCTTAAATCTTTGGAGATGCAGGGGGGTGTAGGGGTAGTTTATTGGCCTGGATTTTTTACGCTTTTCAGTTGCTTGCGTTTTCGTTCGTCTTTGCAGCTTTTTGATGGCATATGTAGTTGTAGTTTTTTCTATGTCTTTCTACACTTAGCTTGTTCGCAACTATTGATACCTACGCATTCTATCACTTAGATCGTGTCTCCCGCCAGTGAGTACTACTAAGTCTTAATCGACATGAATCCTGAATCCCCCTTCGAGATGTGAAAATGACTGATTCTCCCCGGCTTCGTCATCGCTCAACATTTGCAGTAAGACTTCCTTCGATATAAATCCTACAAGTACAATACAAGAATTCACACTACAATGATCAGATGGATTCCGGAGGGACAAATGCTTAACATCAAACGATAAATTCATTCAACGTCCAATGAGTGAGTCACAAAGCAAATAGCAGTCGAACAAGGAAGTATCACAACTTGGACTTGGCCTCGAACTGCGACTCCGTGACACCCTTGCCCATAGCAGCCGTTGAAGAAACGCCACCAGTGACGGTCTTCATCAGGTTGTCCATGTAATCCGCACCGCTCCACTGTCAAGTTGTTAAATCATGAAGTCAGTATCGAGCATCCTTGGAGAAGAAATAAATAAAGGGAGACAGACCCTTTGGTGAGTGAGTACGTCACATGAAATTTCTCGCTCCTTGCGTTGAATGAGCTCGACGTATGCTTTCATGCCCTCGGTAGCGAACGACTTTGCGAACAAGTCGCTGATGTATGCGTTCGAGTGCAGACCAGCGAGCTATTAAACAACCGGTTCAATCAGTATTTCCATATCCTGACTCAAAAAGAAAAGGAAGACATACCGTGATGAACTGCCAGACGAAGCCAAGCTTGCCCAACTCCCAAACATATGCTTTCATATCAGCCTCACCAAGACCAGCAGCATCCCAATTGAACGAAGGACTCAAGTTGTATGCCAACCACTGTTGAGGGTAAACAGCATGCACTCCGTGAGCGAACTCTCTTGCTTGAGCCAAGATAGGGCTCTTGGTCTCCATCCAGAGCAAGTCAGCATAGGGAGCGAAAGCAACGGCACGGTTGACGGCACATTGAGTACCACCTTGGTATCGGTAATATCCCTCCCGAGTACGTGGTGCGTCCCAGTCCCAGAATGGTACCGACTTGAGACCGAATTCCTTCTTGGCAATCTGGACGGCATCAGCGTAGGAAACATGTGCGATACGTTGGTTGAAGCGTTCAAGGGTATGTGCGTTAGCGTTAGTCTGTGCACGAAGAGCGTTTGACAAGGTAGTGGAGAAGAGTTGGATGTTGGCCTTGTTCATCCACTCTTCTTCGACAGCCTCCAGGGCAGCACCGGTCTTGCCAGCTCTATCAGCCTCGGTCAGGGCGGCAACGAGAGGAGGGAGGTCAGGGTTAGTCGAACCGAGGACGAAAGGATGGTCACGCTCGTCGATATTGCTCGTGATGAGGGTCGCAGCCTCAGAGTCTGTTCGTGCAATCACCAGGTTATCCACGCCCATGACATCGAACTGTAACCGAATAGCGACAAGACGGTTGATGTGCTCGGAGATGGGCACAAGAACCTTTCCAGCCATATGTCCGCATTTCTTGGTTCCAGGCGCTTGATCTTCAACGTGAATACCAGCGGCTCCTTTCTCGACGAACATCTTTGCGAGTTTCATGACGGCGGTAAGACCACCATGACCGGTGTCCGCATCGGCAACGATGGGTCGGAGATAGTCGATGACGGGCGTCTTTGCGAGCTCTGCCTCGGACAAGTTTGAACGGTATTCGCGCTGCTTGCGGTCGTGGAAGAGTTGCGCCATGAACAACTGTTCGACCTTGTTCGGTACGGTGTTGGAAGGGTAGTCTATCGACAAAGGTGAGGCAGAGCAAGGTAATGACGTCATAAGTTCAAATCACCTGCAAGGTCAGGGCCGGGTTCATTTGTACTTGACGCGGTACTGGACGATTGCCAACCAGAGACGTAAACGCTCTCAAGGTATTTTGCCATCTGGGTAACCTGTATGGGGTCCAGACTATACGTCATGTTAGCTCTAAGGTCGCCAAGACCTCACCCCGCCAACTTACGCGCCATAGGTGTGCGAGGGTGTACCCTCCTGGAAACGTTTTGAGAGGATGCCCCAGAGCTTCTTAGCCTGGAGGTTAGACGGGTACGAAATGGGAATGGTTCCCCGCTTCGAGACGACTTGAGCAGCAGTGTACGGACGCGTAACGCGAGCGAAACGAGAATCCTACACAACATGTTCAGCAACGATTCTACAAAGAACAATCGAGAGAAGGACAAACCTTCCACCATTGCTCGACTTTGGCAACCTCGGCCTGGAAAGCAGCGCGTTCGTTGAAGCTCATGGTGGGCGTAGAGAAATGGGAAAGGGGGAGGAGAGGAGGGGATGCGTGGGCCTGAGGGAGGGGCTAGGTCATATGTATACTTGAATAGCTCTGGAACCGGAGAACTGAAGATGGTCCCGTTCGGAACGCGGCCCATGTGATTGGGACGAGCCTCTTGGAGCGCCGGAGCACGCCGAGTGCGGGGCACCAGTCATCGACCCCGCGTCCGTCGCAATTCCGAATCCGGAAAGCGGCGCGCCGCCCGCCGTCCTGCGCTATACTTGGCACCTGCTTTGCTCTGCATGTCAACAGATGCCCGTATTCCAGCTACATTCAGAACGATAGGCCCCTCCAAAAAAATCACTCATCGTAACCGAGGTCTAATTTACACAGCTTAGCAGGTGCCGAGCTCAGGCGAAGCTTGTGACCATTTTGTGACCGGAGACCAGTCGGGCCTTTCCTGGACATTTCTAGTCACAGTCGCGCCACGACAACGATGACCGATCCATTTGGGCCATAGAGTAATTGCATGCAGCAGTAGTACAGTACTGTAGTTTGTCAGATAATGGCAAGAGTCAGGCTACCTACGTTCACCTCAAGTGTGTCAAGAAGACACAGACGGCCGCTACAGATTGGAGGCCTTTCAACCTCTCCCGTTTCGAGGTGGTTCTTCGCCAAGCACCTTATTGCATGCACGTTTATGCCGGTATATATACTGACCATCTTGTACTTGAGACTATGCTCAAGGACCATGCTGCGAGCGATCTCCTTGTATTGCTTCGGTATGTGTTGCCTCATCCTCAGGCAAGTACCAGGGAGCACCATGAAAAGGTACAGATGGGAGTTACTCAGGTGCTACTACTACGGAAGCGTTGTACAAGACGGCAGTGTCTAGACAGTGGCCGCGAGGCTTGCATGGAAGAAATACGGCGTGACGGGGAGTGACAGAATGCCAGAGCGTCAGGCGGGTCTGCCGTCGAACCGGCATTGCTTCGCGTAGCGCAAGCGACTGAATGATTTTTTTGGAGGGGCCTATCGTTCTGAATGTAGCTGTCATACCATGCAATCCCTTTTGCATTCCTACTTGCAATACGGAATCACCGCGTCCGGCCGAAGTCTAATGCATCGAACCTCCGGAGCGTAATAACGCTCTAACGCCTTGGTCTTCTCAAGCTGTAAACGCTGTTGCGGACACCTATCTGTCGTATATATGGAGGCTGTACTGATCGACCGACGGACTTTGACCGGGTTTATTTGGGGTTTATGGCGCTCCCCGCAAAGCCTTACTCGTATTGCCGCACACAGATTCAGACTGTCCATCTGAACGTCGGTCCACACGCAGGGTCCGTGGGTCGCGCTTTGATACGTAAACTTCCAGAATAAATATTGCAATGTATAACAGTCCACCGAGAATTACCGCCTGTTCCCATCGTAAACCAACCCAGCGAGTCCATACCGTACAATAAACGCAAACACACTCCCCGCAATCTACCGTACTACTCAGTATATGATCTCGTACCGTGCAACGAAAGCACGTACCTGGGTATATATTAAGAGCTTGACAAGCTCATTCTCCTTCCTTGGCCCAAACCTCACCAATAACGTATTTAAAATCGTCAAGTTTGTCGTTTCAAGCAACCCAGTCTCCGGGTCCACACTGAGCTCGATAAATCCAAGAGCGGAGAACACTTGCAGAACAAGTATCGCAAGCTTTGACGGTGGCTTTTTGCTTTGGGGAAGTCCAGCTTTTGACGGGTATAGCAGTCCGGTTTCCTTATCGAATCTAGACAATAGACGATCGTGAGTACCGAGGACAAGAAGTTTGGTGTCGATGCAAAACATACCTAGGAACACGATGACGAGGGCAAGGTATCAGACCAAAAAGTTGAGGGCATGAAAGCAAGAAGTTGAAAATTTGGGGTATGAAAAACAGCAAGAGCGTCTTGGAGAAATGTGCTTGTATTCCGACGACTGCAAACGCCATGCCGGTAACATAACATAGCGTATCGCCCGGGAATGCGCGCGCGGGGTACCTGAACAAAAAAATGTGCTATATCAGCATTCCATCAAGTGAGTTGGGTAGGAAGGATAACGTACCAGTTGTGGTATAAGAACCCAGCACAAACACCCACAAGCGGCAACATGAAGTACAAACTAAACATATGTCTTTCTACCAACTCCCTACTCCCATAAGCCATTCCAGCCTTCCACACTCCACCAAATTCGACCTCTGCTTGACTGCCAAGAAGATGAAGAGGAATATGCAAGTCGATTGTCCAAGGTAGGTAGAGAAGGTCGTTTAGAATGACGGAAAGCGCGATGATGAGTGCTTGAGAGGTCTCAGATCCGTTGATACCAGCTAGAATGTTGATGCTATTGGTGGAGAAAGTGGAGAGGAGGGACATGTAGACGTAGTACAAAGGTCCTGTAAACACATATGGTCAGTATACTCTGAGCCGTCGGGGATCAACAAACAAGGGGCCAGTAACGAACCCAGGTTGATGAGACTTCCGAACAACCAACGCAGAGGGATAGGTACTACGACATTGGTGTTCCCGCGTTCGGAGTAGTACACAATAAGTAATGGTATGGACGCGATGATTGGGATGGGCAGCTTATGCCTCCATCGAATGTCGAACACGTCATCCAAGAAGCCGAGCATTGTTGCTATGAGAAGGGATAGCAGCGACGACAGGTACACGGACAGCTAAGAGGATAAATACATGTGAATTTGCTCGACAAGCAGGAGGGATGTATGGATATCGACCTTGTAATGGGGAAATTCGGTCACAACGAGCCCTTCAGGCGGCTTTTCCTGATGGCCCTCATGAAAGTCGAGAAACACATCGGAGAATGCGAAAGGAATAAAGAGGATAAGGAGAAGGATGTATATAGATGCGCATACGAGGCCTTGACTCTCAGGTCTAAAAATTCCACATCAGACACTCGCCACAAGTGATAAACAGGTATAGGAACACGTACATCTGACTATCATAAGGCTTCAATAAATCCCTCCCAAACAGCCTCGCCTTCACAAATGTTGGTCCAACGGCGGGAACCAAATACAGCGTCGCAAGGAACGCGAATATCGCGAAGCCCAATGACGCGTGTAGGGCAGGTAAAGGAGGGAGGGGGTCAAGTAGTGGACGTATGAGCAGCCACGTTCCGACTGGAAGTAATAGGAAGAGGAGAATGGACGGAAGTGGTCGAGGACCAGGTGCCTGTGCCATGACTATGTATCATACTCATGAGCGCGATCGACAAGCGACAATATGAGAAGTCACAAACCTATGGAAGTTCCTCAAATGTGGGGAGGCAATGGTTAAAGTCAATCGGGCTTTATGACCTGGACAGGACTCGATCATCAGTACGAAATCTATGCATAATGCGGCAGAGAAAACAAAATTGGAAGGTTCAGAAAAAGCGATATGTAACATCTAGCGTACCAGCACATAAAAATGTACCGTACTCAGACTGACGTGCAAATGTATAAAGAGGTTCATCCTTTTAAGGCTCGAAAAGCAAAGTGTGCAAAAAATGTGAGTGAAAGGTAGACGTACAAAAAAATCACTGTGGGATCCCCGCAGAGCTATGAATTGCTCTATGTTGAGAATACTTTGAACGTGTGGAATTGCGAAGCTCTGGAGAATACTCCTGGCTTTACTGGTGAAATGGTGAACATGGTGAAAGAGAGAGTTTCTGCGCGGACGACGTGTAAAACACTCTTCGAGAGCGCGACGTGGACTTAAGAGCGTGCCGGCCATATCGGCCCGACTGAGCGAATACAAACCTATACAAACGCAACTTGGAATTATTGTCTTGGTCGTTGTATGTCTTCGCGACATTAGCTTCGTTCGTTCTAGGGCTCATCTCAATGTAACTATACTGTTCTTCCTTGTTCATGATTGGCACGACCCTCGTCGTGCATGTACTTAAAAAGAGGCTGGAAGCCAGCCTACGGCCATGGCAATGAACACTTGGCGCTAACATTTGCTCGAGAATATGCTCTGTCGAAGACAAACATCATGAATAAGAGCCGCGTGCAAGAATATTCGGGATCCTCGACGCCTGCTAGTGGAAACTGCTTTACATGTAAATCAAAAACCTCTATTGGACGTCCTTATATCTCTTACCTGGCTGTGCTTGTCAGAAACATCACGGACGGCAGTGGCGTGAGGTGTCAGTGTCACGTACACATGGCTATACTTACAGGACATGCAAGGCAGATTTCTGACGCTGACGCATACCACATCATTGTCGCAAGATGCGATTGTTCTGCCCAAAGACCAGTCAAAATGCTCGTCGAAACAGAAGCTGCATCCCCTCGCTTTGTTTCTCCAAAGGGGCACTGGAGTCATTTGACAATGAGATCGAGCTTACCGAAGATCCAGAAGCGCGAAAGGACATGACGTCGATGACGCCTCAGGTATGTATGCTCTTTCATAATGCGCATAAGTGCTCTCAGTTGGATGTCTCTAGGTCACGCCGGGTGATGCGACCGGAGAACGACAATTACCTGTGAAAGATCACTGCAGTACTATCGAGGCCGCTATGCATGTACAAACGCAGATGTCATCTCTAAAGTTAGATGACGACATCCTCGATGCAGCCCTATTCTCTGATGCAGAATTCATTCCTTTAACCATGCCCCAGACCTTTGCAGATGCATCTCCCCGGCCAGAGTTTACGCCATTTACGGTGCCTCACCTGTGCGCATCCTCACCATATGATTATGAAGGACTCTGGACGTATCCTCGACGCTGCGGCTGGATCATTCATGCTAAGGATACTATGTGCCACGTTCTATGTCCGCCGGGAACGTGTAACCAAGGGAGGAATATGTTTGAAACCAGATCCAGGGAGCCTACACCATTGATGCTTTCACGCGTGGATAACACACCTATTCTCCCCAGCGATAAGGCGGCTTTCTTACAGGCATGGCTATTCTTCGGCGTGCTTCATGAAGTATCGTCGCTTTGCGGGCTCAAATTTGACCTAAAGGAGTTCGTGAGCACGGGGGATGTCACAGTTTCTACGGCAAGGCTCAACGGACTACCGAGACGATGGTTCGTGGCTGCAAAGCAGAAAAATCGTCTTGGCGATAAGCCGACCATGGAACAGATATTGCGGATTGCGAGACAAGCTCGCATGATGCTGACGCAAGAAATTAACGACGATACCGGTTTGACCAACAGATTCAAATATACCTATTCCGAATGCCGGTTATTGCATTCTCTCGATATCGTCGTTCGTATAGTGGGTTTGTATCTATTAGTCAACACATACCTGCCTGGGTTCCGGACTACAGGAAAGGAGGGGTGGGCACAGCAACGGGTTCTGCGGTCTTTGGAGGCGGACGACATAGAAGGAATGGATCAGCTCTCCAATTATGCTTTGGACGAGCTTGCCGACAAAGGCTGGTGCGAAAGTGAGATAAGCCTGTTTGCGCCAGATGAGCTGGCTTTCGCAGCCCTGCTGGATCGACCAAGAATCAGAGATCACTCTGCCTGTGGCGACCAGATCTGTGGGGCGTACCAAACAGACGAAGCGACGTACAAGACAAGACATGTGCACCACAGCTGTGACTGCGAATTTATTGGTATTGGAACTGATGTACTGGTCGATGCCCTGCATGACGGAAGGATACCTAAAGTGATTGTAACGGAAAATCTGGAACTCAAAGTTGTCGCAGATAATGGTTATCCTTATATTGCATTGTCGCACGTTTGTATGCCTCCTCCTTTATAACTTCTCAACGCATAGCTCGTACTCACGTTCACTAGGGGCGGATGGTCTTGGAAATCCCAAAGCGAACGCACTTCCAAAATGCGAGCTTCAGCGATTACGAGATTATGTAAATGCCTTATCCCAGATTCAAGATCCCGAGTTGAAGAAGTCTTCAGGGCCTTCACCCGTCGCCTTTTGGATGGACACCCTTTGTATACCTGTGGACGCGAGTGCAAGGCAGTACCGCAAGAAGGCAATTCAGCTTCTAGGAAAAACATTTCACGAGGCGAATGCTGTCTTGGTGTTAGACCATGAACTCACAATTGCGGAATGCCTCACAACGTCCTTTTTGGAGCTGGGAACGCGCATCCTTTGCAGCGGCTGGATGAAACGTCTATGGACGCTGCAGGAAGCGACGTTAGCAAGTGAATCACATGGCGTAGAGAAAATCTACTTTCAAATGCGCGACGGTCCGTTCCTGTATCAAAAATACGGCTGGGACAGGAAGTTGGGTTGAGGTCTTGACCAGGATACGACGGAAATCCAAGCAGAGGAGCGAACTCTCCTCTTGGAAAGGGGTGTCATGCTGTTGTTAGGCAGTCAGATGCCGTCAATCCGCGGTATGAGGGAGATGCGCCCGCGATGGTCCCCATTTCAAGTCATCTACTCCGCTTTGGAGCATAGAACAACTAGTAGGGTGGAAGACGTGCCTCTATGCATAACGTCTTTGGTGGGAAAAGATGTCACTGCCGTTCTTTCTGCTACAACTGCGGAAGATCGTATGGCCCAATTTTACATACTCATGCGAGAGATACCAATGGGAATTCTATGGTCCGAACGACCAACAAAGCTCAGTCTCAGCCCTTTCCGTTGGGCTCCATTCTCTATCAATGCGTGCAAAGAGACAACTTACATGGGTTGGGAAGACGGAGTTTGTGACGCATATGGCCTTCATGTACGGGTTGGAGGGTTCATCTTTCACAAAGAAGATATTGGGATGCACATAGAGAAAAGCCGTGATACAGGAGCTGTTACTATACCCTGGATTTTCGCCATTGATCTTGAACAGCCGCAAGAAACCTGTCTCGTTCGCCCAACCAGGCGGTCGCAAATGATGACCGTACAACAGGACATGGCTCTGTTGATAAGACCGGATGATAAGCACAATGGAGATCCTAATGGGACCGTGGTGGTGGTAGAGGGAACTGTAGAATATGATGATGAAAAGGACGGGAGCAAGTCAGTGGAGTTTGTTTGCAGGATTATTGGATACGTGGAACTACTAGGGCGTCCAAAAAATCCCAGCTCTGAGGTCACATTTCGAGGTAAACTGACATCCTCAGATCAGAGATGGCGTGTTACTTGACTTGGAGAGCGGGGCAAGCGTAGATAAATTTTCTTGAAGAGTGGCCGCGCCGATGGGTAGACTTCAAGTTCAATTGTCAAAGTCGGACTTCTTGTATGGACGTAGCATCGACTTCTCTGGATAGATCATATTCCAGGTTCTCTTGCAAAAAAAACCTTTTTGTAAGATGAGGCCAACAAGATGAGCAATGATTCGACTCACCAAGGCGTGGTGGACAATGATATTCTTACGTTTCGGTCTCAGTGATCGCTCATAGATCTATAGGTCTCCTGTAACTCCGGCTCCAAAATCCAGTTATATGAACCCCATGGCATACATCCCACGACCTCTACTCGCTACTGCATGAACACACACACTGCGGCGGCATCACACCACACCATACCATCACTTGTGTTGTTACCACGACCCCGGGCCCGCTACACCTGCGACTCCACATTCATGTATCCATATCACCCGACGCCCTTCTATACCTTATCATCATGTACATTATAACACAGTCGAGCTAAGGCGGAACGCGAGAGTAGGCTGAGAGCTATGCAGGCGCGAGCTAAGAAGGGGTTGTTGAGCGACGAGAAGAAGTTGATTCTTGCCACGGAAGAGGCGGAGAAAGCTGCGAGGAAGGATGATTGTGTTATTGGACCGTCTTTTATAATCTGTTCTTTTATTTCTGGTCTATGGGATATTTATCTTGGCTCTGTGACCTATCCTAAGGCGTGAGGACGTCAGACAGAGATATCCTGAGGTACGAAGGTTGAACCTCTGTCTGCACTGCCTGTGGGAGACTCGTAAGGTCCAGCCCACTGGCAGACCATCCAAACCGTTTGGTTGTACGTATACTCGTCCAAAAAAATATCACTGACAAGAATTGGGGAAAAACTCCCGGTATTTAGAAACTGATAGTTGGAGATGACGACGACGCATGAGGGCTTTTAACGGAATGTTCGTGAGCAAGTATCAGTTATGACAGTAATATGTCATCACCTCTTCTCGCTGAACTTACGCAGAAAAACATACCTTTCAACGTTTTTATAGAGGTCGAGTTGTTGTGGCTAGTACTAAGCCGAACGATGACAGGCTCTCCCCAGTTGAGTACGCTCTATCCTATCCATACTTACCAGCTCTCTGTGTATCTAATACGATGATCTTGTACCTCTGGGCACAAGACCATGATACGACTATAATTCGCAACATGCAACTTATAGTACTAGTTCAAACGATCTTCTTGTCAGAAGTCATCTCAATTTTACTACATGAATTAGGGTCGATAAATAATTGATGATGAAGGGAAGTGTGGTATCCTATTCTACAGAGTAAGGTATTGCATAAATTTTCTGAACGAAACAAGTCTTTCTAAGGCTCTCAATTCCATTGTCATGCTTTCTCTGCATTCCTCTATCCATTCAGAGTTGTCGTCTATCAGTGCGCGCATGAGCTCGTTCCTTTGATGTTTGACCACATCGATTTTGAGCCTGACAGCATTAAAGGCCGAGCGCAATCTGTCCAGGCCGCCTGAAATCAAGGAATCGTATTCCGAATGTTTCTGCTTGGCGTAGATCTCGTCGCGTGCCTTTTCGTTCGATAGGAAAGCCTGCTTGGCTGAGGCAATGTGTGACAGTTTTGGATGCATCCATTCACCAACTCGACGGGAGGTGTGAGTGTCAGGATTGTGTGTTGAACAAAACCACGTAAGAACCCAGAAAAAGGACTCCAGGTCGTGACGGTGCAAATGCGTCGGAGTCTTATCCGATGATCCGAGTAGTTCAAGGGCCATGAACGGCCCAGTTCCAGTTCGGTATTTCGCTCTTCGTCGACGAGCAATGACATCAGTCACATCAACACTATCGTCATCTTGAGTGGCAACATATCTGACCTCGTTGGTCTCCATCTCCGAAGGGCCAGCAGGCTGACGTCTTTGGCCTTTTAGCTTCATCCTGTTGACACTTTGTAGCTCTTCCTCATCCACGCACGTCAGATCGTCTTCACCAAGGAATTCCCTCGTTTCAGCGAGGTCCCAGTCGCAAAGCACGCCAATGACGCGGCCATCTCGTCTGTGAAACATAACGTTGCTCACGCTTATGTCACGATGAAGGACGTTCGCGATCACCCAAGCCCAGTTGTGACCTGTTCGTTAGAGACATTAGTTAAGAAGGTTACAAAACGAACGGGATGTAGTTCACACCTGTGATAACGTCCCGAAATACTTGCACCAACTCCTCAACCGTGTCGATGAAATCGAGAGGAAGGTACTCTCTGAGGGCGAGCATTCGAAAATCCCGCAGCTCATCATTTGGCATAGGCATGTCCATGCAAACACGGGGAAAGTCGAGAGCCGGATTATCCATCTGCAGCGCCACTGAGCACTTGAGATCTACAATAAACTCGAGCGCGTCTCGTGCTACTTGGTTGTCGCTATTCGCTAATGTTCTTCGTATATGTCGGATATGGCCCTCCTCACGCCGGTTAACCGGCTGCCAGGACATCTTGACGACGAGCTTATCGGATCCGAAGAGGTCTCGAGTACGTCCGGAAGTCGTGACAGGAACTACTGTCGTTCCACGACCTACCGTTCCGTACGCTGTTAGAATTTCTCTCTCGCCGTCTGCATCGAGATCGAGCTCAATGGTATCGATATTTCCGTTATTGACGTCGCGAGCGTCGGGGATTCTAAGCTTCGCACCAGCATACCCAATGTGATCGCGTGGCACATCGACGATCAGGGGACAAAATCCGAGGGCTGCATCATCGGCTGAGCTGATGGCGGCCACCATCAAGAGGAGGTAATGAGGTTCCTCGAGGAAGTCGAATTGCACGGACTTCATGATTCCCAAACGATCAGCATACCAGAGACTTATCTTCGTATTCTCAACAAGGAAGCCGGTCGCGTAGTTTCGCGCCCCGTGAGATAGTAATTCGTTCAAGTATTTGGCTGCCTGAACCTCGTGGCCTGTTAAGTTCTTGATCGACTTCTCCCTTGATTCAATTTTCATAATTATTTCTTCGAGTTCCGAGTCAAGCGATTGGCCCTGCATATCACAAAACACTCAGTCACAGAATACAGTCAACGGGAACGTGAATTCAATACCTGTTGAGCAGGGTCAGCCGTTGCTGAGACAGCCGCAGTCTGAGATACCTGGCTAGATGACCGTTCCACTTTTGATGCGGGAGTGGAGATGACATCTCCTGCTCTTTGCACCTTACGGTTGACCTTCCTTGTAGCCTTGCCTTTCGGTTTTAAACGCCTGTGACTCGCACTTGACGAGTTTGTGGATCCTATATGGCCACTCTTCAACTGTTTGGAAGATGGTCCTTGTTCAAGGGGGGTGTCGGGCTCCGCACGCTTTTTCCCCTTTGAGGAGGCAGAAGGAGGACTTGGATGAGTCGCCTTCTTGGCAGGCTTGGGCTTCTGTGATGAAAGAAAATGAATCATTCCTGGCAGCAAATGAAAACGAGTAAAAAAATATACCTTCAACAACTCTGAAAGACATATTGGGATGTCTACCTCGGGCGGACGGTCTACTCCTTTATCCGTCTTTTTCAGTTCGCCGAAAAGCCCAAGGGGCTCCCAGGCAATTGGGTCCTCGGAACGCTCTGGCAATGCCGCATAACCAAAGTCAGGCTTCAGCTTCGCTCCCTTTCCTACAAGTGGACGATCTTGGAGAAATCGCATAACACCTGGAAATCGTGAGGCCCTGAGTGCCTCGGCAGCTGCAGCATCCTGCTCTTCCCTTTTCTCTTGCACGATTCTAGCGAGATCCCTGAATAACGCCTGGAAACAATGAGACGCAGACGCCTCCCCAGCGTATTCGCTGTATCTCTCGTTCTCCAAACCGCTCTTTACGTATCTTCCAGACTTCAGGTACCATGAGCGCAAATTTCCAGGAATGACATAACCATCGCCTGGGATATCATCTGGAGCGTAGTTCCAGACACTCCGAACGAATTCCAGGATAGGATAGTTGCGTAGGACGTTCTCTTTGAATTCATTGCGAACCCATCGTTTGATGTCGGAATCGAACACTCCTTCGTCCTTGATTAGAATGTGCATCCCAGGTTTGTGGGGTGTGCGCCCATCTGCCAAGGACGGTCAATCGAGATAGGAATAATTGAAGATTGACCCAGAACTTACCGTAGGTTGAGCCAAAGGCCACTTCGTGGGAGGGAACTTTTCTGTCAGGAGTAGTTTGTCTGTTTGGAATCTCAGAGATCACTGTGCGGTTACGGAAGGCCTCAGGATGCTTCTGTTTGATGGAAGAGAGCGATCGTAGCTGATTCTTGCGCTCTTCTTGCTCTGTGGCATGAGTGGCAGAGGTTGAGTAACTCGAAGATGACATTGTTACGTCGGTGTTAGAGTCAGAATAGATGAACTCTGTGTAAGAATGGTCCGAGTGGCAGGGGTAGTGGTTGCGGAGTAAATATGGGTTGAAGAACCTCATCTTGACGGAGGGGCCTTTGTTTACACTGTGCGACCACGTGCGCGCAAAGTTCCTGTGGCCCGTTACCTACCACAAATAATGCAGGCAGGTCCAAGCGTCGACCCTAGTAAGCTTGCTATCCTGATTTGACCAATGTTTGTCGCACAGAGATGCGATACTCTTTCAGACATCTTGACATCAATTACGCACCGACGAGAGCGATGCATGGAAACATACGTTTATGTATTCGTTGGCGAACGTATAAGCACCTCTGGTCCTGTTGCTAGAGGGAGCTGTGCGTACGAAGCTCGTCAGATCTTAGAGGTTACAGTGACGCTTAGCTGGCACAGTTCAAGTTCAACAACTCACTGATTCCATTTTCAGTATGACGGGATTAACCGAACTTGGTATGTGCACAAACCTTTCCTATTTTAAAGTATTGGTTATTGAGTTCATGAAACCACTCTAGCAGTCTGGTATGGATACTGAAATATCCCTGGATTACTAGGATATGATATACTTACAGACTTAAGAGACAGAGTGCAGCTTGAAGCTCGCAAAACGACTGGCGCCACCGAGTTGTTCTATTCGCACGGGCGCCAAGTATATTGACTTTCGTCCTTCAGCTTAAACGACATCGTCAACAACTCAAAAAAGGGACCAGTGTCTTTGTGCTGCTAGAGTGACTGTTTCACAAATCCTCTGTGTCTCACATATACCTTCCTCGTGTCTTTTCTCTGTTCGTGATCTGCAGTTATGTCCGACTCCGACCAAGATGCCTCCGTTCTCGGTAAACGTGCGCGTAACGGAGAACAGGACGTGAAGCCAGAAGCAAAGGACGTCAATATCAAGAAAGAGGGGCATGATGAGTCCGACGATGATGTAGGGCCTATGCCTATGCCTGCAGGACCGGGAGAGAATGGTAGTATCAAGAAGAAACGAAAAGGTAGGTACTCTAAGTGCTGCATAGCGCTCGGTCGAGGTTATTTGAGTTTTGACTCCATTCACAGTTCTTCCTCACGAAAAGTTGTATCTGGACCATCTTCCCAGCGCGGATAGATACTACAAGAGCTTCATGCACCGAGATGTGATCAATTTTTGTGTCATAACAGAGTATGTTCTTTTGACCAATCATCCCTTGCCCTTCTGTCTTATACACTAGGACTATTCACTAGAACGGGGTTCTTAATTACGACCTCGATAGATGGTCATCTCAAGTTCTGGAAGAAGCAAGAACAAGGGATTGAGTTCGTCAAACACTATCGCGCACACCTCGCATCTGTAGTTGCCGTCAATGCTAGCGCCGATGGACAACTGTTTGCTAGCGTTGCAGAGGATGGTACTGCTAAAGTCTTCGACGTGGTGAACTTCGGTATGTCAATGTTCTCTAGGGTCTGAAATAGTCTACTTACACATTCTTGCAGACATGATCAATATGCTGACACTGGGCTACAGACCTCACGCGTGTTGCTGGGTGCACGGAAGAGGCGAAGCGCAAGGTCTACTCGCCATGTGAGTCGATTCGTCATTTCGAGTAGCAGTTTATGTTGAATGACATAAAGCTCTGAACAGAACACAGGCACCATTCATCTATATGATGGCCGAGATGGGAAGTTGATCGAAACTATCGACAAACTACACAAATCCCCGGTGCATATCATAACTGTGCGTATTGTTGTACGATTCCGCGTTTCATATTGCTGATTTGATTTTAGTACAGCGACAGATATAATACAGTCATCTCAGCAGATGAGGCTGGTTTCATTGAATACTGGCAACCCGTTGAGCCTTTTGAGCAGCCAAAACATATTCCTGGCATTTGGTCATACAAGAGCAGCACTGACCTCTATCAATTCAAGAAGGTTTGTCTCATATACTCTCTCAGCCTGTTCACCGCTCTCATGCACGCACTGTCTTCTACAGTCAAAATCAACCCCGACATGTGTAACGCTCTCCCCCGACTCCTCTCATTTCGTCACTTTCTCCCTCCCTGATCGTCAGATCCGGGTATTCAACTTCCTCACAGGAAAGATGACCCGTCGATACGACGAGTCTCTAGCAGCCATTCAAGAGATGCAACAAGCGGGGACGGCCGTGTATAAAGTTGAGGATATGGAGCTTGGACGAAGGTTAGCTGTTGAGAGGGAGTTGGAGTTACCGGGACCTGATGGTCGTGTACCGGGTATGTGGAGTAATGCGATTTGGGACGAGAGTGGGGCATTCGTGCTGTACCCTACTTTGCTTGGTATCAAAGGTACATTTTGATTCTGAGATACGGTTTCACATTGAGGCTGATGAAGTCATATCAGTTGTCAACACCGTGACCAACCGCGTTGTCAGGTTGCTCGGCAAGGACGAGACGGTACGATGGATGAATCTGTCACTGTACCAGGGTGCACCGGCGAAGAAAGGTCGGACAACATTGGTATGTTCGATCGAAATCCCTCCGTTCTTCACAGAAAATCCTGACTTTATTCATTCCGATAGGCAGCAGCAGCATCCGCCAACCCACTATTGGCAGAGAAAGGCGTACGAGATCCCACTCTCTTCTGTACAGGATACAAAAGGCAACGGTTCTACATGTTCACACGTATAGTGCCCGAGTACGTTTTGATACATTCCTTGCGTTCCCACTATCTCGATGCTTATGTGCCTTTTCCCATTGTTTAGGGACAAATCGGGCGATCGTGATATCTTTAACGAACGTCCCACACGGGAAGAACAAACTATCGCCACCTCCACGCACGCTCTCAAGACCGGTCCCCCACCCCTTGCCAACGCAGCCACTATCCACACTACCGTCGGAGACATGCATCTTCGTCTTTTCCCTCAACAAGCACCGAAAGCAGTCGAAAACTTTGTTGGTCATGCAAGAAGTGGATATTACGAAAACGTTATCTTCCATCGTGTGATTCCAAAGTTCATGATCCAGACTGGTGACCCACTTGGAGATGGAACGGGCGGGACGTCAATTTGGGGGCATGAATTCGAAGATGAGTTCTCGGATGATTTGAAACACGATCGGTACGGTCTTGTTTCCCCCTCCTTTCGCAGTAATTATGCAAGTGTTTCTGACTTGACTTTGTTTTTGGTATAATAGACCCTATACCGTCAGTATGGCCAATGCCGGACCGAATACCAATGGATCGCAGTTCTTCATCACGACGACGGCAACACCTTGGCTTGACAAGAAACATACGATTTTCGGTCGTGTATTGTCCGGCTTGGAAGTCGTTCATAATATCGAGAATGTGAAGACTAATAAGCTGGATAAGCCCTATGAGGATATCAAAATCATTAACATTGATGTCGAATAATGGATTCATTCTTGATCACCTCATGTACCCAGCATTGTTTGTATATATACATGTGCCCTTCGTTTGCTTTGCTTTGTGTTGACCATACCTGTCAGCGCTGTCCGTCACAGGGCAACTCGGTCAAACGTCGCTTGGTGTTTCTTGACTATTCCTTCAGCTAGTAGGTTACAAGAATTGATTCGTTGCGAGAACCGCATCCGTAATTTGTCCTCGATCCGGTTAGGACGTTGTTCAAGTTGTCCTTCATTGAGACTCGACGGACAGGAGAATTTTAAAAGTACATGCTCTCGAGGGCTTTCCCGGATTCCATGGAGGGTCAGACAGTATTCATATACGTCCAGCTGGGTATTTGCCAAAAAGGATGTCTGGTTCGGGATCTCTGGGATATAAGCAATGGGGTATTCGAGGATCACGGCCGCGAGAGGGACGAGGTCGGTTACTTCGAGGTTGTTTAATACAGGAATGTTCAATATTGCGGGCAAATCCACAGTACTAAGGTTATTTTTACGTTCGTTTTGCAAATTGAGCGTGAGCGACAAGGGGTCGAGGATGCCTTGGGTTAGAGACTTGGGTACTGGAGTCTTGGGGAACGTCAGTCGAATTCATGCTTTGGATGGACAGTAAAGCTAAACCATTCACCAGTTGCGGAGGGTCGCTTAACTTGACGAATTCTGTCCAGACTTCAGGGGCACCCTGGTCTTCGAGAAACTCGTTATGGAGCCTGTCAAGGAGAAGAGGCGCATTCACGATGAAATAATCGTCCAAAGCCAACCCTACGAGTACGACAACATGCCGGTATTCTGGCATCTGAAAGAATAACGACGAGGGCAGACACTTAAGTCTCACTGGAATTGACACCTTCAAGTGTGCTTAAGGCCGACCTTGATTCGCAGAGCGATAATCACGTCCGAAAGGACATCAACGGTGTTGTGTTTCCCAGTTGAGAACGCATCAAACATATAACCTGATCTGCATATGCATTAGCTCTCACTTGGATGTGGTCCAAGTCCAATGAATTTCAGTTGCAATTACCTGATTCCAAGAGCGACGAACGCGATGCTGAGGGCGAATTGTTCCAGCTTTAAATGAGATATTTTCCGGAAAGCAGGGAGCTTGTTGACTGTTTCAATTGTTGTGTGGATTAGATGGACGGGATCCGTCATAGTTGTCATTGACATAGTCGTCACTTAGATTGAGCAGGTCAAGCTTAAGTCTGGTCGAGTGCGGTTTGTATTTAAAAAGCCAGACGCGATCGCCGATCGCGTACACTCGAAATTCAACATTTTGATGTACGTATGTAGGTGAGGGTTTGCGTGTTTCACATCGAACGCAAGGAACTCATAATGCACGGAAAATGTACAACACTATTCTATACTTCTACAGGTCGTCTTAAGGGCATTGCGAACGAATTAAACCAAATGCAAAACAAAGAAACACAAAATATCAAGATGGTGCACGAAGCTGCTGGACAGCTTCCCCGCCTTTACTCCAAAGATCGCCAACCAATCGTGACAGTCCGAAGAAACTACTGAAAGTCGGAACAGAAATTGTCTCCGGAATGGAATAGATGGGCGAAGCGACAGCCCCTAAGCCACTCTTTAGACTCTGAAGAGTAGTACGTGAGTCATCGGAAAGAATGAAGAGTTTCAACAGCCCGTGAGGCTTCTCTTCTGTAGTGTCATCATCTACAACATCAATGCGAATACATTTGGACATTTGAGGTTTCTCAGAGTCCTGTAGTCCGACAAGACATCCTTGACCGGGAAAGAGTACAGAATCAGAAGAGGACGTTGTAAGAAGTCGAAGAGCAGGATCATCCAAATCCAACCCAAACAAAGATGCGATGAATGAGAGGAGTGGAATGCGAATGCGAGGATGTGGTGGACCACCAAATGGAGATGAGCTGAAGGACGATAATGATGCAAAGCTTATATTTGACTGAGTTCGGGTCCGTTGGTGAGTGCCATCCAGTCGGACATTGCAACTCCCCAACTGTACAATTCGAGGAGGGGATGGGCCTGTAATCGTGCGGAGTGGATGATCACGAAAGTGTCGTGACGGAATATCCCATCGACTGGCACGCTCTACTGCAGCTTCCAACTCCGACTCATCCACCACCACCTCCTCCCTTAACTCCTCCGTCCAGTCCCAAAGTTCGACCTCAGTGTCAAGATCGGCAGAAGAGCGCACAAGGGGGCTATTCTGCCACGACGCAGACGCATAGGAGGAAGAACTGTGCAGTCTTGGACGTCCGTGGTTAATGATGTAGGCATCACCAGAGGCATCTGTACTACGGCTTATGGTCCGTTCTCGAGAACCACCCGGAGAGCTGAAGCTGAAATCGCTGGGAACGGAGTAAGCCGAGGAGCCACTCGGACTTGGCGGGATAGAGGAAGGATTGGGGAAGAGGTAGATCGAACGTTCAAGGTCAAGTGTCAAGACACTTTCTTCGGGACGACTCGAAGAGACTTGAGCCTCCGATGTATGCGAAGGTGATTGCTGAGTCGACGTGCCCCGGGAACGGGGTATGAAGTATGCGGACATTGTGTCAATATCCTTGTCTCCTGTATTGCTTTCGTTAGGGATTTACAGAGAGGTAGCTGCACTGTCAACAACAGGGCTAGCTATAGGGGGTATACGGTATTCAGAGAGGTTACTAGCGTTGGCAGTTAGTTTGAAACAAAAGCGTAAAGACAAGAAAGCTGGTGAGACTTCGGATCCCAGGCCTACAGTATACTGGGCCAATCTTAGGGTGATCTCAGGCGGACCACCTCGAGGAGATTCATGATCGACCGAGGCCACGTGGCTGTCGCTTAACCTGTTCGGAAATGGTTGTCAAGTTCCTGCCAGTGCGTCTCTTCGACTCGACCTTCAAGCTTCAAGTTAAAAGCTCTAGATTCCTGTAACTGCATTGACACCACTCTCATCAGCCTTAGGACTTCCTTTCTCTCAAGGTTTTCCCTCTTTGTTATAGACCTTGCCACTACTGTGATAAACAATAAATTGGGAAGGCAATGATATCACCAGGGCAGGCACCATGACCAGAACATGCACGCGAACAACATGCCGAACACACGAGTTCACACCAGCTTCTACTCGGACTTAGTCTATTTTCTACCAAGCAGGCCTTCGCCTGGTGGATGATACACCCCGGACCCTGCGCTTACTCGCAGAACAATTGCATCTCCGAAATGACTTCTTGGATACTTCGAAACCATGTTCCGGAGGGTTGAATATGAACGCCTCGAGGTGGCTTGCGCCGCCCCCTTCCGAGTACTATTAGCTGGTTTGACTGCAGGCAGACTGTCTGTTCCTTACCTCCACCACGTACCTCCACCTTCCTACTCTGTACGCCTCTCGGGTACTTTTCTTGTCGATCCTGACGACTGTTCGCATCTCATTAGTGTCGTATGTTTCTCTTACTCGCTTTGGACGTACGAGGTGGAACTGACAGTTGACTTGGAAGACAGCATGAGCCAACCTACCGCTGGCACACCTGCGGAGTTGTCCGCCTGGCTCTTCTTCCAGCTCGCAGCTGGTCATGTCGGCCTTCCCATCCTCGTTGCTACTCTCATATTCTCCAAGACCGCCAGACAACACCCGACTCTGGTCAATGTTTGCCTAACATACATCATATCTGGTGTTAGCTCCGCACTCTTGTGAGTAACTCATGTTGTCAATTGTAGGTATCAGTTGAGTCTGATACATCTTCTTCGCATCAGGTTCTATGTCGGGAAACATAGTGGACCAGAGCCGGGTCAGTCAATATGCGTGGCTCAAGCCTCGCTCATGGACGGTCTGCCCATTTTGTACGTCGAAATGGATACTGTTGATGGACATGCTACTGATGCCTGAACGTTACAGTACGACCACTGCCACACTGTCTCTCGTGCTCTACCTTTGGAAGTCATTGATATCAGATGAAGAGTTCTTCGTGCCGTCTCGGAAGAAGCTTATGGCTAACATCGGGGTGAGTCCTTAATCGCAGCATCTGCGGGTGAATGTCCTACTTATACCGAATAGCTTCTTCTCGTACCGTACCTCATGTTCGGTATTTTTGTTGGCACCACAGTCGCTGTAAGGACTCCTTTCCCAATCATACTGTGTACATACTGAACGCAACACCACAGCTGTCTCTCAAGCATGTCGACCAAGTCAACCGAGAACAACAATACTTCTACTGTTCTTTAAACTGGGAACCGTTGTACGTTATTCTACGCAATGAAGATGAAGTGAAACTATACGTGATTTATGCACTTCACAGGAGTCTCGCTGTTTCTATACTCTCCACTCTAGCCTGCTTGGTGACTCTAGCATTGGAAGGTACGTTCGCATCTGATTCTTGCTTCTTATATTCAAGTCTTCTGAGCTGGTTTTTCTTATAGCACACATGATATACTTTTTGAAGAAGTATTGGCAAGCAATTCAGCGATCAGGATATATTGAAGAGATAGACTTCCATTTGTTCATTCGGGTCGGAATCTTCACGTTGTATCAGACGGCATCGATCGTGTGAGTGGTCTCTTGGTTATCGTCACATATTGTCCTCACTCACTGTGATTCAAGTATCGACTTGGTGTCTATTGAAAGCAACTTGGGTGTTTTGCCACAAATGTTCTCTGCCTCAGGTAATTCTCACTTATCTCGACTATATCTTCCCACTGCATCGTTTACGCATTGAATTGTCATGTAGTCAGCATGGTCCTCTTCCTCTTGCTTGCCTCCCATCCCGTGAGTTATCCTACTGCTCTTCAACATTCTCCCTCACTGACCTTTCCCCCTCTCTTCCAGGCCATCATCCAAACCTGGTCATTCAGAAGATCCGCCAACAAACTCTCACTTCCCTGGTACCACTCACAAAGCCAAGACTCAGTCCCGATTCAGAACTTCCGTGCTACCAACGCATCAGGGTTGTCAGCTGTGACTACTCGTACTGGTACTTCTTCGACTCTTTACACGAAAGATTATGAGAACAAGGCCGCGCCGCCGCCGCATGTGGGTGCTACTACGAGGGGAGGCCCGGGTGTGACTATCATTGGAAGACCCGAAGACGCGTTTTCGAGGAAGATGTGGCAGAAGCAGAGATCGACTATCTCGACGTGGGGGTTCTGAGTGAGTTGTAAATGAGTATGGACTGTGATATGTGAAGGCCTGGAGTCTGTTGTACTCTGATAGGAAATGAACCATTTATGGACTGTACATTAGCGTTTTCAGTTTTTCTGTGTTTGTGACTCATGCATCCCCTCTTTCGCAGACGCATGACCATCCATGACTTTAGTTCCTGTAACATACCTGCATTGGATTCAGACTGTCGTTACCTACACTCGTTATCTTGTATCAAACTGTTGTACATTAGCAATCCATATGAGCGGCTCGACGTCGCGCGATACTGTAGTATCAATGTCATACATTGGGCTTAAGCACCTCTAGCATCGTACCTAAGGTTCTCCAGGTTCCGAATCCCATCGGTCTCCTGTGCGATCCATTTCTGTGCGCTATGCACAAAGTAAATCATCGTAGGTGTGATTAACCACCAAGCCACGTCCACCGGACCAGTCTCCAGAATGAAAGATAGCAAGACTGGAATTGCGGATAGTACATAGAGTATCGGGTAGGAAAGAGGTATGAAACGACGGTGCGAAGAACGTTGTGCTCGTTGGAGGAATTGTCGTATAGGATGAGAACTCGGCATGAGATGTAGGCTCAAATTTGCGTGGTAAAATAGGTTGAGTGTTATCCAGAGATTCAGGATGGGTATAGGCGTGAATGGTGTCGAGAGAGAGCCGGGGAACAATGCCGCTATTGGTGGTTCCTTGTGTGACTTTAGAAGATAAACTAATTGACTAACAGATGAGTAGTGAGTTTGTTTGTTGCACATTCATTAGATAGCGGTCACTTACAGTGTGGCTGAGAGCCCCAACACGGTCTGTAGCAGCAGGCGGTATTGTGCATTACGCGCATCGCTCTCTTCTTTCAGTTTCTGAATTAATTCTTCTTGTTCTACATGGTCCAAGCGGCTTAATAACAAATCTTCTCATGTATTTAGTTACATACCTTGTTCATCCAGTATGTGGATATCCTCATCCTGAGTATCTTCAGTGAATTTGAAAGGTATCCTTTGGCGGATGGACATTGTGGTTAACAACAGTCATGGAGGCTGCTGCTTACTGCAGCTCAAACCAAAGCCCTCAGCGACAAACACCTGGTCCTTCCAAATAGGGGATTTGATGGCATCACCAGCCAATCATTTTTCGACTTGCCAAATTCTACTAGCAGCTCGATCATCCTGACTGCTTTGACTTCGATTTGTACAGTCTCCGCGGGGCTTTGGAGACTACGGCTTGCTACTTTATTTAAGAAAAGACAATATGGAACCTACTCAACCAGTCATTGAAGATGGCCAATTTGACGATGCTCCCGACAACGGTGCTCCTATTGTAACACCTCAAACCGATCCTAGAGAAAATCATCGATATATCGACGATGAAAACATCCTGGAATGGTCCTCAGAAAGCTCAGGAGAAGAAGACGAGTTTGATGCTCAGGAAGACTACATGGAAGCGGAGGCTTTCGAGACATTGAGGGCCGAAGACGAGGACTGGGAAAACGCAGAACGAGGTGAGTTGTTTCGGTGTCACTTATTGTACGTTGAGACGAATGAAACCAATTTAGATTTTACAAAACAGTATAATCGCCTTAGACAACACGTCGCTGTACGAACGGGTGCTGCTCAAGGTGTCCGTTCCTCCGTAGCTGGAAATGCTACTATGGCTGCGCTTCCTGCCGTAAATCGTCCTCGTCCTGCAAGATCGCCCCTTACGACGACGACAGATGCTTCTATTCAGTCCAAGGACAAGACAGAGAATCAGTTACAAGCATTATCTAAATACTCGTCTAGGTTACGGAACCTTGACATGCCTTACGATCTTGGCGTCGGAGTCAACAGGAAAGGTCCTTCTGCCACAGCGAATCAAAAGGACAAGAGCGATCGTGCGACGAGTGAGCAGGTTCTTGACCCCCGAACTCGGATAATCCTCTTCAAGATGATTGGACGAGGGCTGCTTTTCGAGGTGAACGGCTGTGTAAGCACTGGAAAAGAGGTATGGCACACTCTTCATCCAATTTTTCATTTTTATAACACGCGCGGTTGTCCTGTCAGGCGAATGTCTACCATGCACTCACACCAGATAGAAGACATCTGGCTCTCAAGATATACAAGACCTCAATATTGGTGTTCAAAGATCGTGATCGCTATGTCTCTGGCGAATTCCGATTTCGTAAGGGTTACAGGTAACGCCCAAAGTATTCATTCAAGTATCCAATATATCTGATGATCATTAGTCGCCATAATCCTCGCAAGATGGTACGTGTCTGGGCAGAGAAGGAGATGCGTAACCTCAAACGTCTTCAAACCGCCGGCATTCGTTGTCCAGAACCTATAGAGATTCGCGAGAACGTGCTTGTTATGAGTTTCATTGGCGATAGAGAGGGATGGTATGTTCTGAACACCCTTGTATTTAACGAGATACTCAATTCCTTGTGATACAGGGCATCGCCTCGACTGAAGGACGCTGACTTTCCTGCCTCTCGAGCGACCGCTCTCTACGTAGAGCTGATCCTGATGGTCCGCAAGATGTTCCACGAGTGCAAACTCGTCCACGCCGATCTATCTGAATACAACATTCTTTATCACATTGAAGACTCAGCTCCCTCGAAACCCGAAACACAAGAATCACAGAACGAGGAGGCAGAGAAGGAAGGGCACCTCTACATTATTGACGTCTCTCAATCTGTTGAACATGATCACCCTCACGCCTTCGACTTCCTCCGTTCAGATATTCGTAACGTCGAGGACTTCTTCTCCAGACGAGGGGTACGAACTCTCGGTTTACGTCGCACATTCGAATTCATCACAACGCCCACGTTTGAAGGAGAAAAAGACGATGAAGCGATTCTGAAGAAATGGCTCGAGGAGGCTGAACGAGAGCCACAGGATTCAGGAGAGACCAACGGGGCTCAGGCTGGAGGAAAGCTTGACGATGCTGTCTTCATGAAAGCCTATATTCCTCGTACTCTGAATGAGGTGTACGATCCTGAGCGCGATGTCGGAGCGTTGACAAGAGGTGAGGGTGAGAAGCTCATTTATCAGGACACTATTGGCATCGTGGCACCAAAGGATAAGGACTCCGATGGCGAACGGGCTTCAAGGCGCATAGTTCGCTTTGAAGCAAGCGATGGAGATGGTAGAGGGGAAGAGGAAGAGACTACGGAGGAGAGTGAAGATGAGTCTGGTGACGAAGGCTTCCGAGAGCACAAACCTAGAGGTCATAGACATGAAGACAAAGACGCAAAAAAGGTAGGACATACCGTTGACATAAGTTGATGGTCGGTCATTAAATGTCTCTAAACTTTAGGAACGCAAGAAAGCGACGAAGGCTGAAGCCCGAGAAAAGCGAAAACACAAGATTCCGAAAGCAGAGAAGAAACGAAAAGTGAAAACAACAGCACGGGGAAGGTAGAATTTAAACAAGGACAAGCAACTGTATTAGATGTGTTCAGCAGATGTACTTTTTGGTCTATAGCTAGTAGCTTTTTATTCACGCATCCGTGACGCAACCATGACTTGCATCTTCCACGACTTTGACGTACTTGTACAGTGCGCCCTTGCTAACCTTGAGTGGGGGAGCTTTCCATGCCTTGCGTCGTCGCTCAAGCTCTTCCTCAGGCACTCGCAGCTCGATGGTGTTTGCAACAGCGTCCACAGAGATGATATCGCCATCTTTGACCAAAGCAATGGGACCGCCGACCTGAGCCTCAGGCACAACATGACCAATGCAGAAGCCATGGCTCCTGTTAGAGGAAATCAGCATCTGTCGAAACGAATGAATTATGACAAGTATGACTCACCCTCCACTAAATCGACCATCTGTCAGGGATGCGACGTCCTGCCCCAGCCCAGCACCCATGATCAGACTCGTTGGCTTTAGCATCTCAGGCATGCCTGTGTGTATCATGTCAGGCCAAACCCAAACGGACGACATGCAAGAACATACCGGGTCCACCCTTGGGCCCGAGATATCGCAAAACGACCACAGTCTTTTCTCCTTTCTTGATCGATCCACTCTCGACTGCGGCCACAAAATCGTCTTCGGTGTCGAAAGCGCGTGCCTTTCCAGTGAAGCCCAGACCTTCCTTGCCTGTGATTTTTGCCACAGCACCTCCAGGAGCGAGGTTGCCCTTCAGAATCCTACAAGACAATCCACCTTGTCAGTCAGTGAGGAAAGGGGACTAAGAATGGACCAACCGCAGATGACCGGTTTCTTTGATTGGGTCTTCAAGAGGGTGAATGACCTTCTGCTCCGTGAACGACAGCTCGCCGTGTTCGTGGGTCCATCGTTCCAAGTTCTCGCCAAGCGTGCGGCCGGTAACGGTCATATTGTTCCCGTCGATCAGGTTCTTCTTCAGCAGATAGGCCAGAATTTCTGTCAAAGTTGAACTCAGTAGTCGGCATGGTATTCCCAGGAACAGGAACGTACTGGGAGTGCCCCCAATTTTATAAACGTCCTCCTAAAATACTATCTCAGCACTGTAATATGTCGCCCGAAACATTCAAAGCACTCACCATGACATATTTTCCCGAAGGCTTCAAATCCGCAATGAACGGCGTGCGATCTGACACCGCCTGGAAGTCGTCCAGCGTGAGTTTGATTCCGACCGAATGCGCAATAGCAATCAAATGCAACACGGCATTGGTCGAGCCTCCGAGAATCATCGTCAGCACCTGAGCGGACAGTCCAAAGGAGGTCAGGAGGTCCAAGACATAACGGAAGCAATTCAACCGCACCATAGCATTCTCAAACGCAGATCGAGTCATAATGTCTCGCGGGAGTATATTCTTTTCTAGGAGATTGAGCATGACAGACCCGACGGAAGCACATTCCTTGACTTTCTCTGGGCTTTCTGCCGGGAAAGAAGATGACCCAGGAATGGTCATCCCTAATGCCTCCGAGGCACTTGACATGGTGTTTGCGGTATACATCTAAAAAAACACGAGACGTTCAGTTTTCGTTGTGGTTATTGAGAACCATTAAACGCACGCCGCCACAAGCACCAGGCCCTGGACAAGCATATCTGATGGTGTTATATCGTTCATGCTCGGCAGAATCAGTCTTGCCCTCTTGAAGATACTTGCCATACGCCTGGAATGCCGAAACGATATCAAGTTGAGGTGCACTTTCACATGATCCTGGACGGATGGTGCCACCATAGACCATCAGACCGGGACGGTTAAGTCTACCAACTTTGACCAGCTTAGTAGATTTTGAACAACGAGTAGACAAGAGACGTACGAGCGATTAAAACACCAGGCATGTTCTTATCACACCCTGGTATGACAACCACTCCATCAAGCCAGTGTCCGCCTGCGGCAGTCTCGACCTGGTCGGCTATAAGGTCGCGCGACTGGAGAGAGTAGCGCATCCCGGAAGTACCCATACTGATTCCATCACTGACTCCGACAGTACCAAACTGGTATCCAATGATACCTTTGTCAACCAAAGATTTCTTGACCTTCTGTCCGAGTCCCAGAAGGTGGCCATTGCATCTGTATGCGTTGAGAAGTCATAACATCCGAAATGCCGAGCTAAACGTACGGGTTACCCTCGTACCTACACGAATGAGTGATACACACGTCGTAGTACGCGTCAAACACTTACCAAACACTTGCTACACCGACCATTGGCTTGTTGAAGTCTTCATCACTGTTTACACCTTCGGTGGCATATAACATTGCTTGGCTTGCACCCTGAGCTTTGGGTTGCGTGACCGTTCGACTATACCGGTTCAGTACCGGCTTATCAGCATGCGTCCCCGCGGTCGTCGCGAATGACCTCGAAGGCACAAGTTTGCCATATCGACGAGGAAGCCCTGAAGGTCGTATGCGCATTTTGGTTTTAAAGCAAGATTTGACTCGCTGAACCAGTCATAACTTGGCCGTTACGCAGTGTCACACAAGATGTCCCATTTTGGTAGGTTTCGTATTCTTACTGTGACAGTGACATATAGGCGTCTAATCTCTGTGTGTCCAAAAAGTTCGCGGCCCTCACCGGCGGCAATTGCAGCTTTGCAAGGGTACCCTCGAAGGAATAAGTTGATGCTCATCGTTTTTCCTGCCAGTACTAGAGTTTGAACAAAATGAAATGTCATAAAAAGCACAAAAAGATGTAGGATCAACTATCCATCCGAGACCGTGCTGCGTGACACAGCCAAGCAGCTTGACCTTACCAGAAGTTCAGTATGAACAAGATTGGAAATCTGAAAGCAGAGTCATAGGCACGTCCTGAGCCGTAAGAAGGTTAATCAGCTCTATACATGGTAGTTCTAGGGTCTAGAAGTAAGAGGCATGGATCGAGTAAGGTTTGAAACCTTAATTTTCTGCGCATTTGATTGTCGTTGCCCAATACCAGAGCGTGCGTCGGAAGCGAACGACGAGAGTTCCGGAAGGGGCCCGTATCTCCTCGAACAGAGACAGTGACCGCGCTGCTCGAGTCAACTTCCAAATATCAAAGCTGTACGTACGCGCTTTGCTTCGCGGGGTTGAGGCCGAGTTTATCTATGTTTCCGCATCATACTTAGGGGCACTTTATCTTCAAAGCTGTTACCATTCGCAGCACACATTTGTGCCTTTTGTGGGAAGGGTGCCTAGGAGCTGAGTTCGAATAAAACGATATCAATCGTGTTTCGGGTTTTCTCCGTGACCGAGAGGCGTGACGCCCAAGGGGGCGGGACGGCTGCTGACCGTCGTACTGAACGGGACTGACATTGTAACGGAGCGAGAGCTGCGAGAACAGCAAGGAGGGAGTAGACACCAGGGTTCCCCTAAAAATCTTTATTAAATAGTAATATGCATAACGCAAAGCAGAATCGCGTCGCCGTGGCGGTAGCCTGTTTAGGAATTATGGCGGTCAGCACACAACGTAACTGCAACCGACCCCCACAACGGTGTAAACGCGACTCTCTTTTGGAAGACGCGACTCGTCTTATAGCAAAGAGACCTCGAATATCAACGGAGGCATCCTTGCAGATGGCCAGTTCCTAATGACGGTAAGAGGCTTAGTTACGCAGTCCCAAATAGTCATTGCAACGGAAGCAAACCTTAGCGGAAAGACTTATTCAGTCGATATCGAGGTCCGTCGCAACTTGTGTTCCTCACAGGAGAGTTTTGAGCTCGCCGCCCCTCTCTGCGCTCGCTCTTCCCCCTCAAATTTTCGTTCTCCCCTCTGCAAAAACTCCCTTGGCGATATACCCCTCAGGTGGCGGATGGGCTCTTCAGCAGCGCGACTTCTCCTTCCTTTAATCCTTCGAGAGAGACTTTGCCACCGTTTTTAATTATCCCCACCTGTGGCCTAGGCATTCGAGTTAGCCGAGGTCGTAGATCCCGAGAGCATGAATCCGAGTGATTCTGGCAATCGAAGAAGTCAGCGACCGAGTAGTTTGCCGCTCTCGCTACACGCCTCCCTACTTGCGCCCACCCTGCCAACACCACCACCGCTTGAGGAGCCAAGGGAGGCACGAGATTCCCACATAAACACAGAGCCGACGCACGAAAGCGAAACCACTCGGCCAGATCATGAAGACGAGCACATTCCGCATACTCAAACTAGCGACCAATGGCGAACGCAGAGTTTTTCACAGACAACTCGGACACCAGCTGCAGGCGAACCCAGTGGGCGACAACGACGAGTTACTGCACCAGCACCAGCAGAACACTCCAGAAGTGGTCCATCAAGCACAAGCGAGCACACTTTCACGCCCTATACTCTCCCGGGGCCTTCTCGACTGTCGCTGCAAAGAGACTATACTCTCCATGGAACGTTAGCCTCCTATGCCACTGCCCCATATTTGCCCGTGTCGTATGGGTATCCGACATCGACACTAACTGGTCCATTGCCTCCGCCTGACCGCCTTGGCTTCCCTGCTCGGCTAGCCGACGAAGCTGGACCATCACGGTACTATGAAGGTGAAAGCAGTCACCCCGCAGACTTAGGTAGTCCACCTGAGTTACGAAATCTACCTTCATTAGTCTCACAAGAGCGTACCAGCATTCGAGGACGACCGCTGACGATACATCCAGAGTCTTTGCGCAGGCGACCGCTTGAGATCGGACGATCTCATAGCTTGCCGAGAGACCCACGAAGCAGCTTTGACAATCATCCAAGCGGCATCTATGATTCATTGAATTATCGTACGTCGCTCTTCGTTGTTCACTTGAGGAAAAACGATGATTGAAAATTCCGTTAGAGAGGCGCAACCCGCCATACTTCGAATCTGAGCACCTCGGTGCCCCACGGTTGTGTTTATCGCCGCCTCCTGTCTCGCTTGTCAATCCTGAAAGACACAATGTGCCTCCATATGTCGAGCGTGAACATGGTGAAGCGGCTCAGTCCCCTTTACCACCTCCACCAATACCGCCGCCTCCTATCTCAATTGGAGGGCTTGAACTCCGGTATCCAGAAAGTCCCGAGTTTCCTCAACCGCGGCAAGTAGTCTTCCAGCAAGATTTACATCCCTTGGAAAATCGTCCTCGAACGAGGATCCCGTCAGATAGTCCCATTCAACTTCCGCCGCTGCGCGCAGCCTTTCCTATTAGTCCGGAACAACCTATATTTTTATTACGACCGTACGAACCTACCCCGCCAGGCCCCGTTGAATTACCACCATTTTCTTTCGACGTCGGACCCAGTCTCGACCGACGACATGAACGTCCGTCCATTCTTGAGCCATCCAGCCCCACTGCTAGCACGAGTACACTTGTGCCAGAGGTGCTGGATATTAATCCACCGCGCAGAGGCCGTGGTGCTCGTGTTGGTCGTGGACGACGGAAGAGACAGCGAGTAGAAGTTGAGCCAGAGAAGCCCGAAGCATCCACTGCGACGTTAGTTAACAAGCCAGAGGACACGTCTGAGTCGGAGGACGAAGGGGGACCACTGCGTCACCGTCTTCGACCATATAGGACACCGACCAAAGTCGCAATCGCGTGTAATTTCTGTCGACGTACGAGGGGTTTTGTTTGTGATGTTGGTTACATCTCTGATATGTGAGATATGACAGGTCGCAAATTGAAATGCAACGGCATGCGACCAGTGTGTGGCAACTGCAACAAACGAAGTGAACCATGCCAGTATGTTCTTCACCCCAAGAGGCGAGGGCCAGGAAAGAAACCTAAGGAAACATCTGGTCAACGCTCTGCGCAAGCGACAGAGGCTCAGCAACCTCAAGAACGTCCATCTTCAGAGACTGCACCTGGTTCTGACAACCCTCCACCGCCCGTAATGCCTATTTCTGAAGCTTTCCCTCCGCCACAAGCAGCACCTCCGATGCCGACGGAGCACGTCTTCTCACTGGTGCATTACCCACTGGCTCTTACTCCGTTGCAAAGGGAAGAAGAGCGGAGAAGAGAGGCAGGAGAACCACCACTTGGTTCTCTTCCTGGCCCATCGACTTCTCGTGATACGGGTGGGGAACAAGAAGAATCCACGTCCTCGGACTTTGACGAATACCTTCGCGACGACTATACGGAACCTAAGCCACCTCCACGGCCTCCAGATCCTCCCAAGTCGTAGAATGGCAGTTATACTCTGGTTACATGAAGACATAGACGGCGGGCGCTCATGCGAGGGTGAGCCAACAAGGTTTGTTCGCAGCGAAGCCGTCTGACAGGTGTTCGCACACGAGGAAAATTCTTACAAGAGTTATATCTCACAAGCAAGGACACTCGGTTTCAGGATAAAACCCGACGAGGAGCATGGGAAGTCGGTGAGAACGTCTGTTCGCCGCTCTTGTTCCCATCGCTGCTTCTCCGTTGCTGGGCAACTTGACAGTTGGTACACGAAACATCCCTGATCCTCCTTGACCCCGAATTAATTCTTTGCATTCTATTCTACACATTGCTACTACATTCCTCACTCACTGCTAGTTAGAATACTTACAGCCGGGCACGACCCGTTCCGCTCGTTGGCAGCATACTGTTAATAATAGTCGATAATTGAAAGCCTAGAGCTGTACATATTCGTAGGGAAAATCGGAAGAATTAACGGATTCGGAGCGACGGGCAGTTCGCGGGTCCGGAGAGTGAAAGAGAGGTGCAGTAGATCCGTTGACCTTTTTGAGCAAATTGCTACCGGGGCAGGGACAAACTTCAATGTTCGGATCGCCCAAGCGGTTGTCCCGCATCACACTGTGGCTCCGCTTTAGCCGCCGTGTACTTGCAGGCGAAGTTCTGGATCTCCCCCGCAGACCCGCATATCCCTCCGTCTGCTCTTCTTTCCTCTGCCCTCATCGTCCGACTACGTCTGCTCACTGTCGAGCACGACGTTCTCCCTCAAACTGGCACAATATCTCTTCCAAACGGCGACTTTGTTGGCGCTCGCGTTGGCATAGTCGAGTGGCGACCTGACCATGGAAGTCCCGTCTTTGGGGTATACACTGATGGTCGCAGGGAGGCGTACGGGCAAGACGTCTTTCTTGAGGCTTCTCCTCGACACTAGTGTCGTTTCCCCCACCGCAACGGGGGAGCAGCTTGCTTCGGTTGCCAAGTTCGTACAAGGTTGTGGGGGACACACCACTCATATCAGGAGCACCTCGGTCAATATCGAACTAGCACGTCCAGACCGCGACGAGTCGAGTCCATTGTTCCTTACGCTAATCGACACTCCTGCATTAGACTTCGAGGACGAAATAGCGTCGTCGACCATTGTATCCGACATATTGCGGCATGTCGACGCGAGGTTCTCGGAAAGCGTCGAGGATGTGAGCGCTTCATTGATAGGCGCCTAGACTCTCTAAACCTTCGCTCTTATCGCAGGAACGCAAGGCGAACACGGGGGACCATCATGTACACCTGTCCGTGCTCAACCTACGAACCTTCAATAAATAGGATCCTATCTAACTTTTGTGCAGGTGTATCTACTTTCTGGACCCAGACGAAATTGTTCCACCGTCGGTATCATCTCCCGCGGTACCGCTAGCTGTCCCCCGGGCCCGAACGAATAGTCTGTCCAAACCAGATGTCGACTCCGTAATTCTGGAGCCTCCAGTACCTACCAACCCGACCATCTGTCGTCCTACGCTTCCCCTCATTGACATAACGACGATCCGAAAACTCTCTGCTCGTGTCAACGTGCTTCCTGTTGTCGCTCGCGCTGATACGTTAACTAATGATAGACTGGCCATCATCAAGTCCGTCATCAAGTATGACCTGGCGAAGGCAGGCATTGGCTTTGGTATCTTTGATTCGCCTGATGCGCAACTGGCCCCCGAGCTTCCATTAGACGCTGCTGGATCGTCCCTTCCGTTATTGCCCTTCGCTTTGATTTCCCCTGATATTTATTCGCATAGCGACGGCGTCACCAAACCGGCACAATCTCGACATGATCTTTACCTTCAGTACACTCCTTCAAGTAACGTCACTCGTTCGCCACCACACCCGGCCTCAAAATTGGTCCTGCGGAAGTATATACGGAGCTATAGATGGGGATGCTTGGACGTGATGGATAAAACCCATTGCGATTTTGTCCCACTGCGTGAAGCTATATTTTTCCACATGGAGGTACTGATCTTTTTTCTCTCTGGATACGGGATAGCTGGTGGCGAAATTGGATCTAACTTATTCTTTCTTTTTTCCTGTGGCGTCTGTGCCCTATGCTTTCGTTTAGACCCTGCAAAAATACACAAGAGAGTACCTCTTTGAGCGATTCAGAGCTGATTATCTTGTCCAAAATCAACCTCCGCCTCGGGGGCACCTTCCCTCCGCCAACGGTGCTCGACTATCTGCCCTTCAACATGGCTCAAAACCTATTCTCGCTATCGACACCAATTCATCAACTCATCTGGTCAACACCCGACATGCTTCACTGGCAGTCCCTCATCCTGTGCTAAACGCAGACTCTGTTTCTGTCTCTGCATCGATATCCGCGCAGCCAGTGCCTGAGTTATCTCCCAATACAGCCAATTCCTCAAGTCAGTCTATTTTCTTCAACGTTGAGATTCGCTTTCCCCTTTCTTGCCCACTTGCTTTCAGTATTAACACTCTTGACACTGTACAACATGCTCATGTGGCTTGGGCTTTCTTCGTTATCTAGGATCTGGACGACAGCGCACTAAGAAGATCACGGTTGCGTGCAATTTTTGCCGTTGTAAGTATTTGTTTTTCTCTTTGGGGTCGGTGTGAAGTATCATTTAACGGCCGACTTCGCAGCTCGGAAGTTGAAGTGTGATGGCGGACGACCAGCCTGCGGACAATGCGAGAAGCGCAGCAACAATTGTGATTATACTGTCAACCGCAAGAGCCGAGTCACTAACCGCAGGCGAAAGAGTGACGATGCAAGCGAGAGTGACCGGGAAGGGGAAGGCGATAGTGGCGAGCCATCTGTCGAGCTTGAACCTTCCCTCTCGCCCGAGGTCTCGTCCAAATCGTCACGTAGGAATTCAAATGTCGAGTTGGGTATGATGGACATCAAGTTGCCGCCTTTGGCTAATTCAATAGACCGTCGAGATGAGCCTTCACTCACGTTACCTCCAATCACCACCTCTGCTCCACCTTCTTCGGCCTCAATAGGTGCACCACGATCGTTGATGACCTCAGCGCCTCAGACAGGCGTAACGGAGCTAAAGCGTGAATACGTCAAAACTGAACTCCCGCCGATCGCTACTCTTTCTGTACCAGAGGATATGCAGAGTAACCACACCTTCCCTCCGCTACGTGCTCATGCGGAACCGCAGACGACCGGTCGTCGGCGAACATCTTCTGCGTCCACGAAGAGCGGGAGAGGCATGAACGGGTATGGGTCGAAGATCGTGGCTTGTAACTTCTGTCGAGGTATGTATAGCTCCCTGTCGATCCTAGATGACTTTGTTGATTACCTCTATCACAGGTCGGAAGACAAAATGTGATGGCACACACCCAACATGCGGCAGCTGCAAACGTAGAAACCAAATCTGTAGCTACGTTAACGACCCTACTTCTGCAAATCCAAAAGGCAGACCCAAAACTGCACCAGGACAAGGACCATCCGAATTTACTTCTAGTCGTACCTCGCCAACCTCCTCTTCCATGCCACCGTTATCCTCCGTTCCCAACGGGTATATACCTGTCGAGAATAATGGTGGGTCGAACGACCTGAAGCGGAACATTGATCTGGACGTGTCCATGCCCTCAACCAAGAAAATGCGTATGACGGAGGGAGTGGTCCCTACCGTTGCAGTAACTGTAGCTCGAATTCAATGAAGACTGCGTGTAGCTTCGTTTCTGATTGTGCCTTTTGCCTACAATTTCTTGCATACAACTTTCCCATCTTTCTACCCCACCTATCTATCGGCATAACTGACTTCACGATTCATTTTTACATTTTTATTTCTTTGTTTCATTCAACCAACACAACCCGTATATCATCACAACAATCATTCTAGAGCGGTTCTCGTTTCTATCTGCGGTCCTTTCCCTGCTGCTTAGTATTTACGTTCTCTGGCCTGGTAACTTGTGTGTTCCGAGTACGTCTTTCTTTGTTGTTTTCCCATTTTTCTGTTGTTCGTCTTATCTTTTCAGGGTTCTGAGGGGTTGTCTTTTTATTTCTTGTTGTCTACTAGCCCCTGCCGTGCTGCTCGCTTGGAAATTCAGGTGTACAATAGTGTCTGTGACTGTGCCATCGCTAGCAACTACATACATAAACAAGAACGGACTAGATGAGCATGGTGTGTGTGTGCTAGAAAACCTTCAGGAACGCCCAAACTGTGATCAACAGGCCATGTGAAGCGGTTCGGCTAAATAGCATATGGTGTTTCGGAGGACGGTGGGGAAGCGGGTCTTTTAGAAGCTTGTTGTCCTCTCACTGACAGCGTTTCTGGCCCATCTGTAATTCTCCACATTCCTTTTTCTAATCTCTCTCCCAAGCCCTTGCTTTCGCTAGCGACGGCCTCGGTGGCACTTACGTTCCCTGTCTTCCATTCCTTTTCTCTATCGCTTCAACAATTCAATACCCATCATCATGTTCTCGTTCCGTCGGAAGCCCAAAAAGGACGCAAACCAGCAGCCTCAAATCCGCACCTCGCCTTCACTGCCGGAGTTATCTGCTCAAGGAATTCCTTGGCCTGAAAGTTTGGTTGATCCTTCTGCGCTTCCGGAGCCAGTCTCTCCTTCGAAAGGTGCTGAACGCACGAAGTTCAACTCGGAGCGCAGTGGTGTTCCAGCGTTCCACAGACCATGGGTGTCTTCGGGAAATGGCAGAGACTCACCGTCGGGTGGCACGATCTCGTCGTTGTACATGTCACATCCTCCATCTGCGTTTGAAAATCGCAAGGGATCGTTCTTCAAACGATCACGTCCGAGTCAGCGGAAAGCGCGTAACCCGACTACGTTCAATGTCATGGTGAGTTGCTGCTTATCTCGTCAAGGCGACAGGACATGATTTGAAACGAATGTCTTGTGGATTCGGGTTTTGCAGGTGGTGGGTGCGCAGGGTACTGGGAAGACGTCCCTGCTAAGACTCCTACTTGACACTGCTGACATCTCACCAACTGCCACTCCGGATCAGAAGGCTAACATGGAGCGCTTCCTCAAAGGATCGACAAAGCGGACGGACAGCATCCAGACGGCGTGCGTCGAGATTTGCGAGTCCAAATATGACCGGGTATTATTGTCGGTCGTCGATACCCCTGGGCTGGACTTCCAGAATGGACACGAGTTGAAGCTGGAACGTCAGGTCACCCACATTGTAAAATATATGGACACCCAGTTTTTTGATACCCTCAGTGAGGAATCCAAGGTCGTCCGGCAGAGCAAAGGCGACCAACATATCCATTTGTACGTGGATCCATTTTTGGCTGCTCTCCGTTCAATGTCTTATATGTGTCGAGGACAGGTGTATATATACCATTGATCCTTCCAGTATCATGACTGCGTCAGCACGACGCGTGCTGTCAGCTCTTCCAACACAGACACGTTCAGAAGCCACCGTTTCACACAAACCTCATGACATCTCAGCCACCCAGGAGTTTGAGGATGAAGATTCCGAGGACGAGGACGACTGGGTTAACCTCACCATCTCACCAGCAGACATCCGTGTCATCCGACGATTGGCCAAGAAGGCAAATGTCCTCCCTGTTATTGCCAGAGCCGACTCGCTAACAAACGAGAAACTTGAATCTATCAAGAAAGTGATTCGACGAGATTTGGATGCAGCCGGTCTGGACTTTGGCGTCTTCGGACCTGCAAAGACTGAAGATACTACACCAAAGCCGGAGACACACCAGGAACAGGTGAATGGTGATTCCAATACAAACGGACACGCTCAGGCGAACGGAACAAGTAACGGAAATGGCCATCATGCCAACGGCGGCGGCGGCGGTGATGCCGAAGAACATAGTGCGGACGAACAAGAAGAACGTCGATCACGTCCCGTCATCAAACTTCGAGCTATTCGTCTACCCAAACGTCTCTCCCGCTCTCGCTCGCGGCTGGAACTCGCAGAATCAGAAAACGAGCCTACCACGGCAGAAATCACTGACAACGAAAGTGTCGCCAGCATCCGATTCTCCGCTCACGTCGTCGCCAAGACGGACCTCAGCGAAATCCTGCCCTTTGCTCTGATTGCGCCTGAGCATGTCCAGAGACGAAGAGCGCTCAAAGCAGCTCCTCCACCGGCTTCGATCTCTGAAGATCAACATTCAGAGTCAGCCCATACAGACGCGGTCACATCACCATCTGAAGATGGTCATGCGATGTCTGTTGCAGAGTCTACGCTCACTTCACCTACTTCTCCATCGATGAACTCCTTGAGGAACTTTTCGTATCTGAGTGGACCTCCTGCGGACTTGAGAGGCGTCTTTGTGAGGAGGTACCGATGGGGAACTATTGACGTACTCTCACCCGAGCACTGCGATTTCGCAGCGTTGCGGACTGCCGTCCTGTCGACACATATGAAGGTATTTTTAGGCTTAATGAGTTGTGGATATGTGACATGTGTTGATGATATGCCGTTTGTTAGATGCTCAAGATTCGCACGAAGGAAGTCTTGTATGAGAAATTCAGGACTGAGAAGCTTTTAGCTCGTCGTGCTACTCAGAACATCGGGGAGCAGGAGACACGTCGTCTACTGGAAGGTACGCATGCTTGTCAATCTCATTACTGAGCTCTGCACGCTAAGGCTTCTTTGCTTGCAGACCTCGGATTATAATCCGCTTATCCATTTACTGGCCCATCTTGCTTTATCACCCTCAGGCCTCAGGGATTCCTTTCGCTCTTGTGCTTTCATTTTTTACTGACCCGTGCTTATTGACTATCTTATACCTCTCTGCGATTTCGTGTTTCCCTCGTATGTTTGTCCATTATCTCTGTCTGTTCTTGCTTCATCTAGCTTTCGACTTGATCATCATGTATGGTAGGTATACCCTTCACCTGTTCCGGCTGGATCCCTCACGTTTATCACATTATCACTTACATCTCTTCTATCTTCTTGAGGAGGACTAGAAATATTGAAACTAGTACATATTACATCATGCGTCACATCTATCTCTGGTTACATAGATCTATTGTTTCTCCTTCCAATCTTACACTGCTGCACTAGGTTTCTTGCCAGCCAGGTCGTCGATCTCCTGCTGTGACAGCCCATTGAGACGAACGAGCAGGTAGTCGACCTACGTCATATTGATCATAAGTAGAATCCTCCATTCACTGTCAAAAAAGAAAAACCTACCTCGACTTCCTTTGTCAACGGAATGATGTAATTCTCATACAACTCGACTACACCATCCACGTCGATCTTCGCTTCGTCTCCTCGAGGTTCACCATCCGGTGCAAAATCCTGAGCGTAGACTAAAGCTTTCTTCCGAAGTCTCTGCAGGAGCCTACGTTCCACTTCCGGCTTTGTGATGAGCGCGGCAAGAGCGTCTCGGTTTGGCTTTAATATATGTGGGACGAACGCTGCGGGATCGTCTAGGAATTTGGACTCTGATACGAATTTGCCTGATGAAATCAAAAGGATCCGTGAGACGATCGAACAAAGAAACAGAACACCCTGGAGCGGTGACAAGTCATTCTCAATTCAGATAGAGACGTACCATAGTGAACACGTTTACTGATAGCTTGGAGAACTTCCATATCAATGACACCCGCACTTCCATAATTGCCATCATCTTCGTATTCCTCATCGCCCACAATCCCATTCGCGCGTTTCAAGGTTGCGAGAGCCAACGTAGCTTGGCGTGTTATACGAGGGACGATGGAACGCGCGTAGAAAGAGAGGATAGATGGGTTTGCGTTTACTTTGTTTGGGTATAGCACCTGGGGGTATTGAATGGGTTTGAGCAGAGGTTGTGGAAGTTGCTCAATGGGCGTGAAGGGGTATTCATCCGGACTGTATACATGCATGCCGATCATGGTTAGCATTACATGCACTCGGAGTTGACAGCATACAAGGAGGCGTACCTGGTGTATCGTCTAGCTTTTGCTAATTACAAGCAAACACAGAGGGGAAGAGCCGATTGATGAGATTGAAACGAGAATCCAGTACAAGATGTTGACGTACCATGGAAACCCTCAGTCTCCTTCAAGAACCATTCCAACATGCTCCCTTCGAAACCCAGATCTTTCAGCTCCTGAAAGGCACCACGCTGGTATAACCTAGGGTTGTGAGCGAACTGGGCACGTTCTATCAGCTGAAAGATAATTGTATCCTCGAGACGAGTCAAGATCCCTCTGATCTTATCGAGGTCAAGTGGGTTCCCTGCTAATGTGAAGTTGAAGTGTGCGAATGACATGACTATGATACCTTGACTCGAGACAGGTATTGAACAGCAGGTTTAGATACGTTTCGAGTTAGAAAGAAAAGTTGGAACAAAGAAGAGATGGTGGTGGGTGTGAAAGGTATATATGAGACTCAGATATAGAGCTGATCGCGAGGTAAAACTGAGCGGATTGGCCAGTTGTACTGTATGCGTATGGGAAGCTTCCACGAGTGTCTCCAGCTGACATTCTGAATCACTTCCAGTCTGATTATACGTTCCGAAGCGCTGCAAAGCAATTGTTCATGGGAGTATGAAGGTATGAAGTCCGTATAATCGGAAGGAAGACAGCGTAGACGACCAACACTCCCAACGCAAAACGGAGGGTCTAGAGTGCTCCTTTTCGCCTCAGATGCTGAAATAGAAAGTAGCTTTACTCTGTTTTAGAACGACTACGCTAGCCTATGTCCTGTAACCAAATTCTAGGTTTGACACTATCTGAACGGAACAGAGGGGACTCGGGCAACTGGATCCAAAGTCAAAGTCATGCAATAACGGAGACAATTACTTGGAGTGCTTGAACGGCATCTTCATGAAGAAGACGGACCACCTCCTACACAGAAAACCAATCAGACAAATCCTCAGCAATATAGACTGTGAACCAAACGTACCGATGTCGGCTTGATCTCGTTTGTCAAACCGGCCCCGATTCCAGCCCACACAACAACCCTATCCTTCTCACCCTTCTGCTCACTCTCCTTGAATCTCTTTATGCGTTCCTCCATACTTGCGCCTTCCTCCACATCATCAACGATCTTGTTCCTTATTGCCCTTCCGTTCACACCCTTAGGCCAACCCAAAAAAGTCATCACCTCGTCAAATGCCATTCCGCGCACAGTAGAATTAAGATCAGCATCCAGAAGCATTTGCTTCTTGACTGGAGGCCAAGCGCATTCTGGTGTGAAGAGGAATCGAGTACCGAGTGCGACGCCGTCTGCTCCGAGGGTCAGAAGAGCAGCGATCTGGGGCCCTGTGGCAATTCCTCCTGCTGCAACGAGTAAAGGTCCATTTGGTAGCGCTTCAATGACAGCAGGAAGTAGTTCAAACAGAGGAGGCGTATGTGCGCCACCATGTCCACCTGCTTCGATACCTGAAGATACTGTCAATGACTTATGTCGATACGGTGTGTATTGTGATATCACCTTGCACGATCAACGCATCGACTTTCCATTCGTTGGCAGCTCGCAGAGCCTCGGCGACAGTGTTGATTATTGTGAATATGAATGTCTTTCGGCCGTGTTTTGCATCATATTCTTGGACCTAAAAACATCATCATTTCAATTAGAATGATTGGACAACAAACAAAATCCGTTGCATACTATTCGAGCATATCTCTCGAGGTGGTCACCGAATGCGAGCCAGACAGCAACCGGCCGTTCCTCAAGAACAGCGACGATACGTTCTTCCGCATTAGGGGCAGAATCAAGAACCCAGCCTACGAAGCCTACGCCAGCCGGCACAGGCGATCCTGCAGGTGTCTTGAGTCTCTCACGAAGTGTTCTCATTGTGCTCTTTAGTGTCGGCACGTCATCGAAAGCTGTTTCGGTAACACGATAAGCAATATAACATACTATCAAGTTGCTTTCTACTGACCGGTCCCTAGGAAACCGAATCCACCGCTTTCGGTGACTGCGGCAGCCATGTCATTGATTCCAGGTACTGCCATGGCGGCACAGACAATAGGTGTCTGGATATCTGATAGGAGGAAGGTCAGAGATCGAGTTCATAGGGATGATCAGTAACTTACTGAGGAGCCTGGTGAGGCGAGTAGTGATGGGTCGAGCAAAAGACATGATGGTGAAGCAAGTGATTGGTGGTGAGGAGATGAGACGAGTAGGAATTCTCAATGCTTCAAAGAGCTGATAGTTATATAAACTCCTCTTGTGGACCCTGGCTGTGCACGATTGTCATGATTGAAAGACCATCACCAACCGCCTCCAACGGTCATGCCGGGCGTAGGGCCCGTATTACTGATTCAGTTCTGAGACTGGTCAAATACCGCCGGTCTCCATGCGTGTGCTACGGGCATATTTCCTCGGACCAGTGGGAAATGGAAGACATGGGTCGGGTGATAGATGCAGCAAGAGGAGTCCTGAGTTGTTTCAAAGTATAATATTAGAGAGTCCACGTTGAAGTTACCCTGGGCAACATACATAGGAGAAGCTTGAAACAAATTTGGATAATAAGCATGGGCTGCAACGGCATGTTACAGACAGACTATTGTGGTTGTATGGGTCCAAGTCGCAGACCGGTGTATATCGACTAGAAACACATAGCCGGCCGGTGGACTCTGCAGATACGGCAGTGCCGGCGGTCTCAATTCGCCGATTCGTTTGTCGTTCTTTTCGGTGCTGTGAGGATTAATTTCAACTTGAACATGGACAATTGATAATTAACGAAGCTGTACACTCCATAACCATGCAGATCTCCACGATGTCAAGCCTAGTCAACCATTTACTTGAATCCTCCTACGATACGAGGAGGGTAAACGTATGTTCCGCCTGGTTCATTATGTAGTCTATGACGATGCTTGCTCACAGTGAATGCTCTCAGTCTCACTACTGAGTATACCTGTACCTTCCGCGTGCCGGAAGGCTATTCTGACGCAGGGCAGACTCGGCAACGCAATAGCATGAGGATGAGGTATTTTTATTATTTTTATAGCCATCTTCAACCCACCCCTCGGTCTGCACGCGATAGATTCCAAAGTCTGGTACGTGTACCCTCGTAGACATCGATTGTCTCATAGCATAAGTCATAAGAAGCCAGGTTACCCCACGTTGACACCAACGTTCTTCAACTAGTTATCGATTTATCTTCAGAGCCAATGGAGTTCCGACCAATCAAGGCGGAAAGCCGTCGGACGATTCAGAAATTCTATACAACCCGGACCTAAGCGTTACAGTTCATCCGTCCTTTCTCTCACGAATTGCCCCTCTCACACCTCACAATATCATCGAACTCTCCTTGGCTCCAAGCAATCACAATTCTCGCATTAGCAGCGATGGAGTCACGACTGAATGCTCGCGGACCGTCATTGTTGACCCTGTTTTCTCCATGGGCCGCTAATGGAAAAAAGTATGATGACATGCGCCGTTGGAGAAAGACGGGTCAACTTCAGCGATATCTGACTATGGTCGGCAAGCCTCGACCCACCCCAACGGCTTGGTCCTTCAAGCTAGCGCTATAAAAAGGAGCTTTTGAACGCACCTCCTGTGTTTCTCCCCAATAATATTACTATCATGGCTCCCGTTGCGACTCTTCCTACGTCTGAACAAAACCCTGTCCTCCTTGCGAAGGCCAATGCCAATGGATCCAAGGCTGACTTCCATGCTTCAGAGGACTACAATGGCAATTATCAGTTCGCGCCTATTGAGGAGGCCCAAGTCTCCAGGGCTATGATCAAGCGGTAAGCACTGAGGTCGTTTGATTTTGAGTACTTGCATTGATTTCCGCTTGGTAGATACTTCAACACCATGTACGATCGCGCTGTATCGGACGTTGTTATCATCGGTGCCGGTAGCGCAGGTCTTTCTTGCGCTTACCATCTTGGAAAGTCCCGACCCGATCTCAAGATTACCATTCTTGAGGCTAATGTCGCTCCTGGAGGAGGTGCATGGCTCGGAGGCCAACTGATGACGCCCATGGTACGTAAACTTCAATCAACGCTGTGCTTCTGGTTTTATTGACATCGATCACCCACCCCTAGGTTGTTCGTAAACCTGCCGACCGCTTCCTCGAAGAACTTGGTGTCCCGTACGAAGATGAAGGCGCATTCGTCGTTGTCAAGCACGCTGCTCTCTTCACGTCAACCATCCTCTCCAAAGTCCTCGCTATGCCCAACGTTGTTCTCATGAACGCGACAGCCGTTGAGGATCTTATCATCCGCGAAGACTTCGAGGGAAAGCAACGCGTTGCTGGCGTTGTGACCAACTGGACTCTCGTCGCTCTTAACCACGACACGCAGTCTTGCATGGACCCCAACACTATCACTGCCCCAGTGATCGTGACAGCTACTGGACACGATGGCCCGATGGTGCGTCATATATCTTGAGGAGGCCCCTGTTAGAGTAACAGTTAAATGACGTTTTTGTGTTCTTGTAGGGCGCCTTCTCTGCGAAGCGCTTGGTCAGTGCTGGGCTTCTCAAGGAACTCGGTAACATGAGAGGTTTGGACATGAACCGTTCCGAACCAGCGATCGTGAATGGAACTCGTGAGGTAACTCCGGGTTTGATCATGGCAGGTCAGTAATTCCAATGCATCTACTCTATCGATCTCATTTAGCTGATCACTGGTAATGATGATTAGGAATGGAGCTGTCAGAGCACGATGGTGCCAACCGGGTATGTTTTAGCATCTTGATTGGTATGCAGTGAATACGATGGACTGATGCATGTTCGTTTTTGTTCGTAGATGGGACCGACATTTGGTGGTATGATGGGTAGCGGTGTCAAGGCTGCTCATGAGGCCCTTCGAATCCTTGAGTCTGCCCGCATCATCAACGGAAGAGTTGTAGGATAGGAAGTTGTTTGAACACAATCACAGGATTGACAAGTATAAAACTACATGTATTGTTAGGCAATGAACAATTGAAGAGTTCCTTCCGACGTCCTTATTGTTGTTTGTCGGGTACCGTGTGTGCTTGATGGGGCTGATGTTCGAATTGAGGGCGATACAACAATCGGATCTTCAATCTAAAGCATATCACAAAAGATCATTGGTTCTAGAATACGCATTATGGCACGACGTCTTCTGGGAGGTCCTCTCCTTCTATGACAGTCTCGCCATCTTCCGAGAACTTGACGTCGTGCTTATGTCCTGAAGACTTGCCAATATACTTTGTGTGGACTGTATCATACCGATCAGCACAAAGCGTCAGTCTACGAGTAATCTAATGCCGCTTACATCCATACGCTGCAAGTTGGCCTTGCGCGTTGAAGAAATCCACACGGGTATAGGCCAGAGATTTACCTGACACGTTCATGAGTTGAAAAGCACCTACCAAACCGCTGTAGTCATATTGAGAAACGTACCAATACCAGTTACAATTGCCTTGGCGGTCAACTCCTCCCCAACACGACCAGCTGGTTTGACAAAAGAGGTACCGACATCGACCGAAACTCCAGTCATATATTGGCCTTTCGTGGCAACCGCGAGCGACCCCAGGGTGTCCGTCAAGCTCAGGATGTAGCCTCCGTGTGCAGTCTGCGAGCAAAGGTAAGTGACAGATTGCTTGTTGTCAGGACAAAGATGGCCTACCCCTACTCTATTCACTTCTCGAGGCTTGTGAGTTCAAGGCGATGCAGGAAAGGGGGGGTCATGGCGTACAGTTGTAAGGCTCTATCTTGACTGAAGCCTCCAATAGACCTGGTTTGGCGTTCAAGATCTTAAGCTGGATATACATCATAAGGCTCTTAGCTGGTGGCTGTTGTGTATTGTGACTCGGTACGCACGTTGGGAAAGCATCGATGGTCGTGTCCTGAATCGAAGTATGAAGTATAAGTGAAAGATCAAGGGACGAATCCATTCACGTTGCGTGCCTTGGTTTTCTACAAAGGACTTCCATACCTAGATATTGTGACGATGAACTCAGAGCGTTAACGATCATAAGATTCAAGAGAACTTACACGTCGAGTAAATCGCATACATGCTGACATTCTTAATAGCACACGCTACTATGCAAAACGAGTAGACTTGAAACGAGCAGCTGGGTAACCAGGAATCAATACTGGCAGTGGAATTGAAACTCTACATTCGGGGGTTTCAAGCTTGTCCTCGCGTTAATACACGTGCTGGGAAACTGCCTATAAAAGGCAATGGCTTGTCATGCCCCACACCACCACCCCACTGGCAATTCAATCTGAACCACGGTCATGAGTTGTTCATGAGAAACTGTTCCCCTGCGCTTTACTTTTTAATACGATCAGCACTTTAAAGCTAGAAGCTTATTCGTTCTTTTATTCTCTGGAGGTCTGCATGGCTAACTCGGAAATCAATGATGAATTATCCTCGCGCCTACAAAAGTTGTCGGGTCTCTTGCTCGCAATGAAGACCGAATCTAAGGAAGCACCACGCATTCGGGAGGAACATGAGCACGATAAACAAGCTCGTAGAGAAGAGAAGGATAAACGATTGGAGCAACTCCGAAGTCAGCTGTCTAAACTTAAACCATGTCGTGAAGAGAAGGACCAGCAGACTGGTACATCTGAATCCTCTGCATCTGAAAGTGGTGGTGAGTGGAGAATGCAACTTAATTTCTGTCCGGAACCTAGTCACAAGGTATTCAGGGATATCGGGAAAATCTTCTCTTCTGATGAAGAAATCTGTTGACCAGTTCCGCAACGATTTAGGAGGCATCCTTCGGACTTTCCATGATGGTGCGCGTTTCCGTACAAATATATCACTTGACAAGCTTGAACTTTTCGGACTCAATAGAACTCCGGGAGGGAAAATAAATAAACAGCATACCGAAAATATTCTCTCCGCAATGCATGGTTCTCGCCATTAATATAGATACGTATGAAGGTTTGACACTGTTTGGGCTGCTCCCGTGTATTCATGTCATTGATAAATTGATAAGGTGAGGTGAAATGGAATCCGAAGGGCAGTCCAGCGAGCGCTGTTAATAACTGTCAATTTTCAAACGTCGCAGCGGAAAAGTACTTAGTCGCGTGAAAGGAATTCTGGATTGCGATCGGTGCTAGTGAAGCAAAATCGGGGGTTCGTAATTATGAACTGATAACAATCATAAGTCTGGCCCACTCGCGGCAAGAAGAACTGACAGAGTTAAAGCGGATCGATGGATTCGATACGAATACCTTCAATCGATATGTTATCAATCGATTGCGATTGGCCGAGGAGAAGGAACTAAAGGGGGGTACACCCGGACATACCCCTATTCGTAACGAAAGCGTTCGTGCAAGAAAAAAATACAAAGTGCATACAGAAAAATACGAGGAGAAAGTGCTAATGGAGATACAAAGACAATGGGATGGAAACCTCAGAATACCAGCCTCAGCCCAACTATGTACAAAAAGAATAAAGCGTCAAAAGTCATCCTGAAGATCGCTCGAGATCGGCGCGTTCAGTTTATCGCAAGCAACTCGACTTCGAACTTGAGCGTGCTATTCGGTGGTATTACAGGTGGGAAGCCACGAGCACCATATGCCTGTGGGGGGTGTCAAAAACAGGAAGGGGGAGCACGCGATTAATGGGCTCACATAGTCTGGTGTTGCGGTAAGAACCGCCTTCTCGCCAAGGGATAGTTGTAGAACTCCTAAATCATATCAGATTCAATAATCACGTTCAATGCACGTCCCTGAGCTCTGCATACCCTCATCCCAACCCTTGATCACCTTTCCGACGCCGATCTGAGTGATGAACGGGTCTCCTCTACCACATACACCAATTAGCACTTCAAGCTCGGAGTAGAGGTACAACGACGATGACGGACCGATCTCTACTGGAGTCAAACTTCTTGCCATCCAGAAGGGTGCCAACATAGTGTATCTTCACGGTGTCTGAAGAGTTGCATGGTAAGGGGATCATCAGAAATCACCGATTGGAGAGAAGCACTGACCGCCCTTCTTGGGGAAGTGGACTCCGTCTCCGGGGGAAATAACCTCGACATTGACACCCTATGCGTCGAGCTCGTCGTCAACATCGAGCAGGACGCACACAGAGAGACCCACCATTGTTAAAGTACTGGTCGATGATTATGGAGATTATCAGGGAGGGTGCAGAGGTGAAGCTGGCGCTTTGCGGATGCACTTATACTAGCTCGGAGGCGGAGTACGGATCTTGATCCGATCTGGCGTCACCCGGACAGAGTTCTATCCCTCGATCTTGTCCTGCCATAAGAATGCGGCAAGTTTGCAAGGAGAAATGTCTAGACCGTGTTATCGACATCGATGGTCAGCGATAGAGTGCAGTTGTAATGCCAGTAACGAACGCTTCCATACATACCAGTCACGTCCGTTAGGGGTTCCTCCGACTATCGATCCCCGTCGTATCCCAGTTTCGTAGCTTGAAGGCAAAGAAGGCGCGCTGTCACAACAAGATTTTAAAGGATAAGCTCGGAAGCCTTCATTTAATCCCAGTCCTGGGCCCGACATGCCTTACCAGGCCCCCGCGAACACACCGATCGCTGTTCTACCAATAACTGGCGAGAGACCGGACGCACAGATAAACGCTTGATATTCAGCGTCCAATCGAATACCAAGTGGCCGTGATCAAGCGGATAAGGCATCCTCGGTTGTAGAGGGGGCGGCTACCATTTCACCTACTTGCCCAGAGCTGGAAGATCGTCGTGAGTTTACCGGTAGAACTGACGGTCGCCTTTATTCACTCGAACTCCACAAGAGAACGCGGGGTAGACGAGATAAATGATCTCAACTTTCACACCCAGTGAAACAGAGAGCGTTCCAGAACCACTGATGGTCGCGATATTACAGTCGTCAGACAGAACCAGGCATGACGCAACTTACTGCAACACCGTTTATTTCCGTTTCATGGAGCATCACTGAGGAATGCATCTGCAGAGAAGACCATTCGAGACAATACGTCGGCACCGAAATCTAGGCCAGAAGATGCAGAACATCAGCAGCACACGCTGAAGAAAAGAGCAGGGCGATGGGAGAGAGACAAGCAACGTGGTCGGTTGCAGCGGAGTGCGATTGGAAGATTCGATCGTAAAATCAAAGAGCAATAAACCTGCCCTGCCTAGATCCATATGGACGATGGGCACAGCTAAATTAACCGTGACCACCCCAGATATTCAAGATAGTGGACCGACCGCAAATAGCCCCGTGTTTGCGAAACGGCGAGAGAGCTGTACGAGGGAAGGACGGACCGAGCGCATGGAAAATGAAATCAGAGGGACCTTTCCTCGTACAAGACCTCCGGCCTGCCCAGGACAAATCAAAGATCTGTCCTATCAGATAGGAGTGGCTGGGCGTAGCAACCATGAGAGCAGGTGAATGACCGGTGACAAGCAAGCGTTCGGGCAATTGGACGATAAAGAGGACAACCGGTGTCTCAGAGGCCAAAGCGCATCGTACCCTATCGTACCACGGCGGGAGACAAGCTTCAGCCAAACTGGCCATGTCCTGAGAGCGAAGCGGGTTCACGGCGTATACAATCGGCCCTGTCCAATAGCGTACTGGAAGAGAGAAAAATCCCTAGAGAACGTTCCACAGAGAAATACTTGGCCTGCGAGAATCATGCGGAGCGTTATCCACGACATATAGAAGGCAGAACGGCACCTCCGAAAATAGCATAAAATTCATAAGTTGTTGGTGAAAGCAAATAGCTTCAGAGGCAGAAGGTCAACAGGGGGTCAAGGTGAGAGCTTGAGGAGAAGAGGGAAAAAAAATCAGAGATCTCATGGTCGCCGGGTTGCAACTCCCAAGCGACCGGGTGTCCACAAACCGCATAAGCGCCCATCAAGTGCTGCTCGCCAAAAGCGGAAATTTTGCTTCCGTCAATTAGTTCGCCTGCTTCGAGTCAACAAGCATAAGGTTCGATTCGAGGAAGGTCTTTCATGGAGTCCCATCCTTCGGTAAGGCAAAATTGAACTCTGTTGTATCTATGTTTACAATCTGTTTAGTACAAAGCCCTAGAACCCTTACTCAAAACCTACCCTCACGCTGCGGGTGCTCTTTTTCAAACATACAATGACCTGAGCCTAGGTACGTTTTCCATTCAATATATATTTGCCTATCTATACCTCTGAGGTTCTTGAACCTCCAGCGCAACAATGGAACGACCTGGAGGTTATGGACGTACCGGAATGCTCTAGGGGTGCATTCCGAGGGCGTCGACCAAAAACCGTAGGCCATCTGCTAGTCCAATGCAACGAAAACTCACAGCGTCTAGGATGATCTATTATACGTGATTCCTTGTTCACTTTCCGAGTCACTATCTATGTCCTGGTGCGTTCCCCCGACCAAACGGTCTCACAAGGGTTCCGATTCCTGACGATGTTGAATTGCTAGGTTCCACCAAGCATTCGAACGGCTTGGGAAGCCGCCTCACATCTATTTAGCAATCAATACCGAAGATTCTTCTATAGTTTATTACAAGTTGAGCCCTGGGATCGTAAAACCACCGGTGTAGAATATCTTCGGGCTTCGAGAATCATGCGGAATTGGACGTACTAACACCGCCCCCTTGGCAACGCCCAAGAGAAAAATTGCCAGAAATATCGGCAAAAATACCAGAAGGAGCTAGAGATACAGGAATACATGACAGTATGGGTACCCATCTACAGTCCTCTACCAAAACGTCTAGCATCGTGCAACGTCAACAGTCATATTAATGCATAAGAGAAGCCCTCGTATCTCCTTTGTCACCTTCGTTCTCCTTCAGCAGCAACACACAGACACCGGCGATTAGGAAGATCACTATACTAGCATATACGGGGAATGAAACATTGATCATAAGCAACGAGCCACCGAGGATCGGGGCAATCATGCCACCTCTGTATAATTATTTCGTGAGCAGACGGACGCAAGCGAATGATATGTGTGTGACCTACATTCGGGATAGGGCAGATGCAATCCCACAAGCAGTTCCTCGCACTGTGGAAATAGTCAAGATGCAGCCACGATTGAGTAGTTGTCATACATACCTTTGGTACCGAATATCTCGGGAGTCCATCTAATCCAACCTAATCAGCACTTCTGTGTCATGCGAAGAATGGGAGAAGGGAACGCACCCATACAACACAGCCCACATCGTCTGGTCACAAGACTCCATATCAGTAATCTCTCCCCGAACGGAAGAAACAGAGAAGAACGTACGGTCGCGCTCAGACTTATCCCAACGGTGCTTGCTCGTACAGCCCACGGGTTCTGCGCAATCACAAATAGCACACAGAAAAAGGCAGTCACGAAGGTGCTTCCGGCGAGTGACCATCTGCGACCTAACCGAGAATCTACCATATAGGCTCCAAGCTAGATGGACACAGATAAACCATTGGGCATGAGATTTGACTTATCGAGCATCCATCATGATAATAGGGGCGTACGATTGCACCGGGACAGCCTCCCACAGAATAGATTACGACATCCCACAGGCTGTCGTTCAAGCTCTTCGGCACGCCTTCGTCTCCCATCCCCGGTCGACCTTCAAGTAATTTCGGCAAATAGACATTGAACATGGTGTATGCTGGATAGTCATATCGGGATTCAGTCAGTCATGTCCCCGTCTTTAAGATCCGGAAGACTTGCCTAATGACATCGAACACCACACAGCCCACACGAGAACTGTTGTCCTAAACCACTCAGGGGCTAATACCATCGCGATACGGTCTATCCACGCGCAAAGTGGTTTTCGGAACCATCGCGGTAGCTTCCAGTATACTTTTGACTTGATTTCATATAAAGAGGACGACGTTGAGTATCGTCTACTATTACGAGCCCGTGTGGGATGTGGTCTTCGGCTATGCTCAATGAGTGATTCTTCCGCGAGCGTAAGATTTACGTTGTGTCGACCTTCAGGTACTATTGGAACAGGGCTCGCATCGAAGGGGGTATTAGAACTTCCAGTAGAGTTGTAATCCTTCTGTTCCCTGTCAACAGAGTCTCGAAGGAGATCACGGCTAGCCTGCGAAACCAACGTGCGTGGGCGATCGACAACTGTGCCGTTGGTAGGCTGGTCATGGGGAGGGTCAGCCTCAAACAGGACTTGAATCCTCGTAGGAGCGTCTTCGTGATCGACTGATATAGTACTTTCGAACTCAACATCGTGACTGTGACCGGAAAGAAGAGATGCGCGAATTGGTTCTGGTGTGGCTAATTCCTCACCGAGCGGTCCAGGTGAGGACGTAACGACAGGGTGATGGTCTGCTACGTCGTCTAATCCAAGTGAAAGTTCTGATCCGTTGAACTTCGAGATAAGCTGTAAGGACTCGATGGCTTCTTCCGGACGACCGGCGTGTACGAGATAGCGTGGTGACTCATGAAGCCGGAAGAAGACTATGCGTGCTATGAACATGGACATGGTCTAGTTGCAGAGAAATGAACGGTGAGGTTGATACTTGAAGGGAATGAATGGACTAGCACATACTATCATGCCAAGTGCGATAAGAAGGTATTTCCATCCCATGTTCTGTGTCGCTATATCACATAAGGCGGGAGAAGGAGGGCATGAATGGCCTGGTATCACGAACAAGCCCACGATTGCGGAAAGGACTGCGCCGAAGGAAAAGAAAACAGAAAGTGCAGTAACAAGGTATTGCTTTCCGTTCGGCATATGCTCTAGAAGCAATGTGCCGTCCGTCGGCATCGATCCCTATAATAAGTCTTGCATAAGCTTGATTCAATAGTAAGAAGGCCTGACCATGGACCTACTCCCACAGCGCTACCGAGGAAGAACAGGGCTAAGCATAACAAAGGGAAGGTGTTTGCGAACGACGCCAAGACGCCGAATAGGGACGTCAGGAATAGCGTTGCATTGAAAGCAGTTGTTCGACCCATCAGATCAGAACCTAGATGAGAAGGTTTGGATATCATCCGGACAAGGTGATATGGAGCAGTACACTTACATGTTCCCCAACCCACAGCACCAAACATCATACCACCAAACATGGATGACGACAAGAGTCCAATATGTTGGTCGCTCACTGCAAACAAATACGATTCAATATTAGCATGAAGTTGAGAGTACGAACAGCCTCGACGTAGACTGTCAAAGATGGTTTGAATGAATCGGCGCTAAGTTGTGACAGATGCCAGCCATAGAGATGCGAGTGCCCACTGAAAAGTTAGGCCGAAAGAGCATCGACACACCTAGGAAGTGTCGTTGCACTCGTGGCAGGATTATAGCGACTGCTTGAATCCACATCTAAAGGTTCAGTAAAAGATAAATTTTCAGCTATAGAACAGAACATGATTCCGGAGGCTCCCGATGATCCATGACCCACATCCTTAAGACTTCGATCCCGTGTGGAGTGTTGGACCATGCACTACAGGAACCTCTTAAGTCCAACTCACATTGTCGGCCAACCATCCTTTGTGGTTCCCAAAATTATTCTAGAGCACGTATTATCCGTCTCGACTAAGACTCACCGAACCCGCATAGCGACAGTAGCGTCCACTGGTAGCTTCCTAGAAATGGTCGAAGAGCAGGCTCCGGTAAGTGCGCGATCGAGGATACCAATGTAAACAACATACCCATTCCAATACGGTCAATGGTTCTGTCCAGGGGTGTTCTAGAATCAAACGGGTCTAATTCTCCGGGCAACAAGCTTTCTACGTCTTCACTGTCATCCATTGCTTCATAATGGTTCATCCCGTTGCTAGTCCACAATCCTGAGGCGCGAGGTGTGAGGGAAGCCATCCAAACATGGGGGGGTGTCTTCTTATAAATGAATGTCGCAAGTTCCGGGATGACAGGAGTTGTTGTCGTTTCTGGTCAGAGCACCGCCAGTCCTGCGGGGAAGTCGACCAATGCTTAGCGAGCAGAAACTCGATGAGTCTGCTGCGAAACTTGAAGTAACCAGAGTTCTGGAGAACTTCAAACGATGGTCCTCACAAATGTGAAGTATGAAACGATGAATGTCGATTCAAAAAACCCGAGCACACTACGAGTGCAAGATGGATGCAGGCGGTCCACTTTGCAATATTAACCGCCCACGAGCCGACTCGGCGACTTGGTTTCCTTCTCAGGATTCCCGGGTCCACCGGACTTGTTCTTTCTTTACTCCCTCCTGTGCGGCACACTGCTACAGTATCTTATTTGCGCTGAACGTTGAGTAGTGGCTTGCGAGGTCAATACCCGCACTTGCAGTTCTCTTCACTTCAGTTCACTAGCTTGCTTTCATCTATTCTGCAGGCATTGTTGGATTGATCCATCGGTTGTCGATTTCCCTAGGTGTCGTCCACAAGCAGATCAATAGCCCCACCCGAACACATTGCGAAGTCATGGCTGAATCATGAACGTAATTTACTGATCTGAGTGTTTGTAGGCACGGTATTCTGTATGCCTTCTGCAGCTGTTGAATACTCGAAATGACGACACCGTGAGCTGCTGTCAACGCGAGGGGCTCCACCTCCTCTTGAGGAATGCTTATCGCCACAAAGCAAGGCTAGTTTTTCAATGCTCGATGACGAAATTGCTGAGATGTCCTTTCCAAGATCCACAGCACTGCAACCGAAGGTTCGACTATGCATGGCGACTCCTTCCAGGTCAAGGCAATTTTCGTTCATTTGTTGATTAAACGATGCACTCTTCAAACAACGTAAGATAAACCGCATGTTGGTCCTGCGCACAAGGAATCAGTGACACGTTCTCGATTGAATAGGAAGCTGATTAGCAAACATAAGATACTGACGCTATTTCCGAGGCCAGCAGTTCCGCCTGAGTGCGGATCTCCGGTATTACATGTCAAGTTTATAATCTCTTAACGGAGATACTATCACTCTGTCATTTTCGAGCTAGGAGACCACCTGTGATGACATCCGCTGTTGATCAAGCTCCTGCTCCGTTCATGTTGTCAGCCGTGTATTTGCAAAATGTGGCCGCTCTACGTCCGTCACCCTCCGTCTGTTGCGTTCTAAGATGGATATTTCAACATTCGCATCGTGTACTGGACGCCGGTCTAGAAGGAGCTGCAGACGATCTCAGATTGCCTTTCACTGCTCTGTCCTTCTAGGGCATTAATCGATTATACGACCCTTCAGATATTCGCCTGCGAAACATTGCTAGGCTCATATAGTGTTCCGAACCCACCTGGTTCAACCACTTGAATTGGACTTCTGCTCCATCGTCAGTGGCTCATACCAAGGCACGGGGTGTGGTTTTATCCTATTTTTGTACAAATAGTCGTACTGCGGTACGCAAGCTATTTTTAGTTCCTAGTTCTGTTCCGCTATGATCTCACCGGCAGACACCAGGCCCACTCTATATAAACCCGTGGGCCTGACAACCCATCTTCCCACTTTTTCTGTTCCCACTACTACCGCAGAGGTTTCCTTGCCTTCCATCCCTTCGTTCCTGAAAACAATGGAAGTCCCAAAGCCCGCCATGACGACCTCCAGGCAGCCCGAGGCGGTCCAAATGAGTGAGTTTTCCCTTGTTGTTGTATTATATCGTTCTTTCCTTATCGCTGCTCCACAGGCATGATGGCTCCTGCTCGTGTATCGCCGCAGCATGTTGAAGAACCCAAGCGTGGCCTGGCCGCTCGACTTCGGGGAGGAGGAGCTGCTAAGGTGCGTTTCGTCGGAGGAAGGCGGAACTTCGTTGTTGATTTGATCCCTACAGGATTGCATCCTCGGCGCTCTTGAGTGCTTCCTTTGCTTTGGTGAGTAGCTGAACGGCATATTTCTCTGTACAAAATATACTAAATGGTGTCCGTCAGAATGTTGCAAGGTAAATTTCCTACGTCTCGATGCTACTTTTCTGTATTGGATATTGAAGTTTGTCTTTAGGATTGCTGCGAATGTTGTGCCGACATCATTTGTGAGTCACTTCATGATTTCTATCGGAAGATTATCTACTCATGCGTTATTAACAATAGGCTGCCCGTGTGAGATGTGCTGCTGAAATACAAGATGTGCACTGCTATACCTTCACTCTTGGACCATATCGCTGTATTACTATCACTGTTCTCGCTCGCGGTAATACGCGGATTCCCAAATGGATTATTGAAACCTGGAGACTCAATACATTATGTGTTATGCTTGTCTCATGCTATGGTGCTATCAAAGTATTGGTGGGTGCTTACTGTCCCAATATTAATAACCCTAGTGGTCGGCGAGCTGTCGAACATATGATTGATGTAAACTCTTTCCATGTCAGATATGGACGTTTCCATAATTAACATTGATAGCATTCTTGTCTCGCTTCATTCAATAGGTTCCAGCCTCTTGATCCAGACCGGACGAGTTTGCAGGAAGCAATGTTTTACCATAAGTGAGCGGCATGTGTGGACGCGTTGTTTGCGACGTGCGTTCGCTTGTTCGTTTAGGCGATTTACAGCACTACCAGAAAACCTTGATGTACGTTCAACGGGACATCTCGCGCTCTTACCATGTCCTAGTTCCGTCCTCCAATGCCAGAGCATATGAAGGTCCGAAAGTCGTGATTGTTAGATTTTGTTTAGCTGCCTTAGATTTAGGCTCTTCGATGGCTTTCTGGTGCTCAGCAATGTAGGCATCGATTTGAGCTAGATCAAATTCAAATCGAATATATCTCAAAGAACAGCTCAAGTTCAACCTCGTAAGTAGTAATATTGGAGATTTGAATACTAGCTCACATCCTTGTAAAAATGCTAGTCTGAACAATTTGTAGTCAGTAAAAGAGCCACACATCTGTGCCACATGAGAGCAAAATGGTAGTATGCTTCAAGCTTGAAGACCTCGGGATCCGATTAGAGGGAACTTTGCAACAAAACTGCTGTATCTTTAGTGCGTATCATGACCATCATGACAGTCTACGCGGATATATTCAAAAGAATACTTACGATTTTATAGACTTCCTCGCAAGGGCAGTTACACAACTGGATTCAATGGTCCCGCTTGATATAACTATAATGCTTGGTCTCACTAGTTTGGATACACGATCACCATGGCTTATTCTGGATGAGTGCTGTTATTCGTCGTCACACTCTTACTGCTTGCTTGGAATGATCTTTCGCATCATCTATGACTCACTGCACTAGTTGTCTCATTCCCCTCCAGTTAGCTCAGATAGCGCCTGCTGTATGCCCGCTGTTCCTCGAAGCATGTAATGGACCTACTTCATCTGGTATGCTGCTCGTCAGTGTGATCCCACAACACTGGGACGCTTGTAAGTCATTGATCCATTCGACCCCGAATACGGCCTGCTTTTGAACGCTGCTTTGTCAATACATCCTATTTTCCGGCAGGTGGGTGTGAATACGATTCTTCTGGCTGTGAGAGTTTCCGAGGGACATCGTTCAATCAGGGTTGTCCGAATAGTGACAAAAGACACCGCCGATGACATTTTTAGCGGCTTCGAATTCGACATACAAAAGGTGTTTTAATAGCCAATGCTATTCGTTTCGCTCTCAGGCAACCCTCCTACATTCACAACCCTCTTCACCTAGTCAGATTTCGAAGGATGAAAGTCCTCGTTGTTGGGTCGGTAGCCTCAACTTGCAGCTCAAGTGAGCCGGAAAACTGATGTACATTGATCTTAGTGCTACTGGCTTCGCTGGTTTTCCTGCGGCTCGAGCCCTAGCTCGCGCAGGTCATCTTGTGTATGGTCTGGTCCGCTCTGCTGAGAAAGGCAAGAAACTGGCTGCAGAAGAAAGTAGGCGGCTATCTAATTCATGTATTCTGCTGTCTCTAACTTGGTGTTCACATATTACAGTTATACCGATTGTCGGCGATGCTTTGGACCCAACGCCGTGGCTGCCTATTGTTGCCGAACTTGATACTGTCATCGACGCCGTAGGCGGAGCTGTTGACCTGAAAGCGATTGGCTCATCACTTTTGTCTGCTGTTGCGGAAGCAGCTCAAAAATATCGACCGCATGATGCACCCAAACTGTGAATATATCCTCTTCACCTACTTGGTGATTTTCTGTTTGACTGTTCTACAGGAACTACATCTACACCAGCGGTACTTGGGTACACGGAGAGAATCGCTCCAACGTCGTTACCGATACAACGCCACTCACTTCACCTACACCATTGGTTGCCTGGAGACCAGCCCATGAGCGAGCCGTGATCAACAACCCCATCCTCAACGGCATCGTCATTCGGCCAGCGTTAATCTACGGTCGTTCCGCTTCTATCCTTGCTACCTTATTCAAGAATGCATACAATGGGAAGGTCTCCTGGTATGGTACACCTGGAGGCCGATATGCTCTGATCCACGTAGATGACCTGGCCGAACTCTATGTCCTGACAGCTGAAAGAGCTACGATTGCAGCTGGAAAGATCTTCGACGCTGCTAATGACTTTACTGAGAGTGCGGATGATCTTCTTAACAAACTCGTGCTGATTAGCGGCGCGAAGGGCCCGTACGAATACGTTGAACCCAGCAATCGTAACTGGTTTATTCTGCTGTCCTTGATTTACTCCATCCTAACTATTCCTTGCATTTTAGTATTCGAATCAGCCATCACAACGACGACGCTCATTCGCCCTTACCTTGCGCGCTCAGTGCTTGGGTGGCAGCCTCGTAAAGCAGGATTGGTTGATTTCCTTGAAGTGTACTACAACGCTTGGAAGGCTAATGAGGGCCTCTTGACGTTTACTTTGACGTTGGTTCCATGATGTTCTCCAGGAGATGTTCTCCAGGAGATGTTCTCTTGATCTTTTTGCTAGTAATAATTGAATTGTATACCGAGTATCGTTTCTTTCAGGTAAGAAACAAGGTAGTTGCCACTCGTGATTGCCTCTTAAGTTCGTGTGTGTGATTACAACTAATCACAATAGTGATCGCTGAACATACGGAGAAAGTTGACTACTAAGCGAAAACCTCTGCACAAATTCCAGCATGAGCCTATTTGTCTGCTCCGGTCGCTCGAAACACGGTGCATGCCCTACGCCCTCGATGATATGTAACTCCAATTTGGGCAGGTACTTCTTGGCGACTGGAATGAGCTTCTCCGTCATTGAGTGTCGATCCAATTCTCCTTGAATTATTTGAACAGGTATATCCTTGATCTCCCTCTCCCATCGTTCACTGTCCTGGGTACGGGTGACAATATGCGTTCGAATGGACGGCGACTGCATCAGGTACCCGCCTATCCATTTGATCTTCGTTTCAAATGGTAAGGAGACACTTGGATTCTCGACGCAAGACTCGACAAACAGCACGGCTGCCTTTGCTTGAATATCCGCCGAGTCCTTGAGGAATAAGGGTAGATTCTCCTTCATGAAAGGATGGATGTATTGATGATGAAGAGTCCGGGTTATCATAGGACCACCGGGTAGGAGGACACCGCTTATTTTCTCAGCGCCGTAGGCGTCCACGACATCCACGGGAACGAGCCCTGTGGTTGTATATTGGGACACGGATGCCGATGACAAGAGAATATCTTCTTACCACCCATACTCCTACGGAATCAGTCAGCAGGGTCGGCATACTGATCAACGAATAGCGCTTACCAGCCACAAATGAAAGGCTTCTTCAATCTATATGCATCACAGACGGTCTTAAAGTCTTCTGCAAATCGAATAGATGCATATGAATTGAAGTCTTCTGGATGCCCGCTCCTTCCATGACCCCTCATCTCGTACCGAATCATGTATAGGTTCTTCAGGAGCTCTGGGTCGGAGAACTGCCTTTCAAAAGCGAGTGCTGTACAAGAAAGCCCATGGATAAAGACAACTGAGGGTTTCGAGGGATCACCGCATGCGTCTGCCCAAATCTTGGTACCGTCGTTCGAAATGAGATACTGCCCTTCGCCCGACATGACGGGGCTCCTGAAATAGAACTGAAGTATGTACTCATTCGCGCTTTCATATCCCCATCTTATGCTGGCTCCGTGAGAGCAATCTGTCGAGAGCTTTCGGCAGATGACCAGGAAGAATACAATGAATGAAGCGCTGCAGAAGCAAGTCAGATAGCGGGCCTTACTATTCCTGCAATCATGGATACTGTTAGGCTCAAGACCTCCCTGAATATATGCCTTTCCAGCGTGCATATACTCACCCCTGTCTGTTCATGTGAATAAGATGCACATCAGTTCTTCTCGATGATCCGTCTTGAATCTGATGCGCCACCAAATGGTGGAGATATATACTCTAAATCACCATATCCACTGTATAACTTGACATATGACAATAAGGTTCAATCACCCAGTCCATAGCACTGGTAATACAATTGTCATTCAGTGTTTACGATACAATGATTGTCGGATAGATCACCTGAAAAGGATACGGAACAAATATGCGATTTATGTCCTCCCATTGACAACTCTGCCTACGAAATCCAATATGAGCTCGTTAGTTTCCGTCGGCCTTTCGTAGAAAGGCGCGTGTCCAACGCCTTCGAAAATATGAAGGTCCAATTTAGGAAAGTATTTGCGAGCAATAGGCACCATCTTTTCAGTATCTGCATGCGTATCTTGGTCTCCCTGGATAAGAAGTACCGGTACGTCATGGATCTCCTTCTCCCACCTGTCCGAAGGCTGAGCACGATTGGCGCAAAGGGCGCGAACCGTAGGCGACTGCATTGCAAATCCACCCATCCACTGAAGCTTGGTCTCGAATGGCATGGCAGCAGGGTCAGCGACACATGAATCCACGAACGCAGAAGCAGCGTTGCCGATAGAATCCCCCGAGGAATCCATCAACAAGGGAAACAAGCGCAACAGTTCCGGATGGAAGTATTCGTCGTGAAGCGCGCGAGTAATGGCGGGACCTCCAGGGAGGATGACGCCTGAGATAGTTTTCGCGCCATAGGCCTCAATTACGTCGACCGGAATCATGCCTATGCTGACATGTTAGCAAAAGTGAGCGACAAACTCAGCCATAACTAGCGTGCTTACTACCCAAACTCCTGCGAATACGTAGTCGTTTATAAGCATAGGATTCATTTAATGTGATGATGTGTATCCTACCATCCAAGGATAATCGGCTTGTTCAAGCCAAATGCGTCGTTGACAGCCTTGAAATCCTCTGCGTACCGTATGGAGGTGTGCGCCTCGGCGGTTGCGGGATGATCACTCCTGCCATGACCTCGCATCTCGTATCGGACGAGGTAGAGATTGTCGAGCAGATTCTTATCCGTGAACTGCTTATCGAAAGCGACAGAGGTACAGCCCAAGCCATGAATGAAGACCACGGCAGGTTTGGAAGGGTTTCCTGAGGCGTCGGCCCAAATCTTGGTGCCATCGTTTGAGGCAACGAACTTGCCTTGAGTGGTCATATTGCTAGCCTCTCAGTGGTGGTTGGCGATAACCATGATTGTCCCGCAACGGTGTCTCCTTTAAATACTCTAATGCGCGATGAAGCTGTGCGTTCCGGTACTTTATATTGAGGCCTGATGAAACAAAGGCAGGCCGTCATATTAGTAAATCCGAGTCGGAACCACGCTTAGTTTGCATGTAGATCAATGGGGTCATAACTCCGGACACGAAGCACTGCGAGAACAAAAGGGAGGATCAAGTCACCAGAAAATGTGAGTGCAACACAGAAACCATCGCCGACCTGTTTTGACACCCTATAATAACGTAATTGAGGGGGGTCAACCCTATAGCCGCAAGCAAGGGGTGACGCCGATTTGGATCTTTGACCTTGCAGATGCTACGCGAGAACGTCAGCCGTGACACGGCCGAGATTGGCATCAAGATGTCTCATCGTCGTTTGAAAAAATGTGTTTAATTGTATATTATTCAAAAAGTACTTGTGTACACAGCAGCCAGGCTGCCAGACTGATGTATTCAAGTTGTTGACATGTCCTGGTGAACATTACATTGATCTCTAGATATACTACCAGATGAAGTTAGTTATATACTCATGGCACAAGCTCGAGGGACGTAAGAATAGTGCAGAGAATGTAAGTCATAGTGCATTGAAGGCCTATCCAATAAGCTTAAGTACTTGAAAATAAACTGCAGATGAACTAGTAAGGGATTGGAGAAGAGGTCTGCAAGGCAAAGAGAGCGGAGGCACGAGAGGCCAGAATTATTCGCGTGGATGATTCTCAGCACACCACATTCAGCTACAAGTTTGAGGGAAAGTCGGCCAGACCAATCATCCTGGAGTGCAAAACCAAGCCAGACGAAGAGAGAATGTAGGAAGTTGCGACCACTCAGTGTATGCAGAGAGATATTTGTTGACTGTAGACTGAGTGCGCATTCTCACATCGCTGCGTAAATATTTCACTGAAAGTCGAGGGCCGCGTTCAAAGTGCCAAGACGGAGAAAAAATATCTGTGATGATCGCATGGATCCTGCTGATAAAACTGAGATATTGCAAAGTAGTGCAGCAACACTGCTGCAAGGTTAGATGTCGATTAGACCGTAGCTCATGGAGGTGGACTCGCAGGTTTTGAATATGCAGCACGCGAAACATGAAGATACGATCGGACGCGACGCATTTGGGACTTGTCAAATTACATAATATGCCGCCAGCTCTTTCGTCGTCTTTTCACGCAAGACTCATTTCTCAACACCTACGGACAAAACAGATATCAATCCAAATGTTTTTAAGGCTTCTGAGTCCGAATATGAGCTCAGAAATACGACACAATGCAGAGGGAAAGAGTACCTGCTGTCCCCAGCGCTTTCTGAGCACAGCTATTGATAGCCTTTATGACCTGCCTCAAGCGAGCAAGGTCAAAGATCCAAATCGGCGTCACCCCTTGGCCGCAAGCCCCTTTACTAATGCATCGACCGGCGTTGAGCGAAGAAAGATCGATCGCCTTGGAACCCACTCTGTAATCCGTCGACTGAACATACAGTATGCAATAGAATCTGGGCACGGCCACCATACGCATTCAGTGGAGAGGCATAGAAAGGGTTCATAAACACTCAAGTAATATGATATCTAGTTAAAGTCGTCTATATGAAAGTGTACGAGTCTAGCATGATGATGCAAAGTCGTGAAAATCGTTGTGAAGTCAAACTTCTAAGACCCATTACTGGCAACTTGTGCCTAAAAAAAGGGAACTCAGCTTATCATACTTCTACAGCTGTCGTCATGGTCTTCTCATTCTCGCTCTTATCATCTTCGGATGGATTTGGCTTATGAGGCCCTCCAACGACGCCAACCCCTCTCAAGAATACGACAGCAATGAGACTCGCTGCAGAAGTGAGATAATCAGACATCTTGTCAAATAGTATGAAGGATTCAACCTTACCTAAGGCACCAAACCCTAAGACTGTCCATTGAGCCGCTTGATACGCATGTAATTGTGCTTCGCGAGGAGCATTGGACCCCTCACTGTCGATAACAACACCGTAAATCAGGGACTCCCGAGCCCTGACACGGTCAAAGACAATTGTTGTGATCGACAACCCGAACGCAGTGCCGAGCTAAGTGAGTATGGTGTCGAGTAAGCTCTATGGCGTCACGCGGTGACAGAGGTGAAGTTAGGACTTACCTGAGCCATGGTTTGAAACAGGCCTCCAGCGAGACTCTGCTCATGCGGGAAAGCGAGCTTGGCTATGAATAGACTACCTCCGGCGAAGACGAAATCAGCGCCGATAACGGTGAGGACAGCTGCGGGGAAGCCAAATGCCCAGTACGTTGCAGCTGGATTAATGACAGCGAAGAGCAACCCTGCGATACCGGTACACAAGCAACCAATAGCTACAAAAGAAGAAATTTAGACCGTTTGTCAAGCGAACGAACTGTTCTGAGCTCACCAATGATGATGACGCCAGGGATCTTCCCTACCAACAGGCCGATAAAAACGTTGCACAAAATTCCAGCTGGAATCATAGGAAGCATACGGATCATAGCCAGAACGGGCGAGTAGTGCTGGTAGCTCTCATAGTACAACTAGAGATGTAAGAGGTGAACATAATAAGCCATGTATCATGAAATTGCATTTACGCACCACAGCCCACATCGTCCAACTCTGGAAAGCACACATGAGGAAGAAGACAATGCATTGCATGGCAGCAAATCTGCCATTCCCTCGACACCACAGAGAAATTTTCATAAGCGGCGGTGGAGTCCATCTGGAATGCCTCTGTCGCACGCTAGGGCGTTCAAGGTACCATTGCCAGACGAAGAATGCAACGGTCAAGATTACGCCCACAACCAGAAGGGCTATGATATCTGCATGTCCATGGTGAGTCTCGTCCTGCGTTTTAAATAATTATTTCATGTATATTATGACTCACAAGATGTCGACCACTGTCTCGGGGCAATTTCACCATCGCTGAGCACGAAGACAACAAGTGTCAATCCGACGGTGACGAGAACAACTCCCAACCAGTCCACCCGCTTATCTTGCTCGGTAGAGGGATGATCACGCTCGACCAAAAGGACGGCGCCGACGATGCAGATCACTGATAGTCCGGCGACGACGAAGTACATGGAACGCCATGTCGCACTGCACGAAGAATAAGCAATTTTAGATATACAACAAATGCTTGCAAAATGAAGTCACTTACCGGGCGAACTCAGTGAGGAGACCACCAATAGCGAAACCCAACCCGGCTCCGAGAGGTTGACCGGCAGAGAACGTAGCGAAAGCGAGGGATCGCGCATTTCCGGGAGGGAAAGCATGAGCTAGAATGCCAAGCTAAACGTGAATGATAAGTGGACGAACGCATGCCCATTGACATTAAGATCACTAACGGAAGCAGGTATCGTGGCGGCAGCACCAAGACCTTGGAAGCCTCGTAGAACGCTGATTGTCACGAGGTCTACAAGTAAAGAACGTCAGAACAGTGGTCCAAGTCGCTCATCGGGGTCGTATTCACCATTTGCAAAACCACAACCCAATGCAAACGCGCCCTGAAATACGCAACCAACGAGGAAGATCATACGTCTACCATAAAGATCCGCAAGACGTCCAAACGGAATTAGCAGACATCCCTGGCAACGTGAAACCATAAGTGAAAGTCTATATGTAGATATCGATCAACCTCACCGAACTCAAGGCATATGCAGAGAGAATCCATTGCAGTTGGTCCTCACGAATGCCGAGCTCTGCTCCTACAACCGGAAGAGAAATCTGGGAAGACGATGTAGTGACAGACTACTGAAGAGTTAGAATGATGAGCTGGAAATATGATCTGTAGAAACCACGCACCACTATCAACATTGATAAAGTGCACACGGATGTCAAAGCAATGGCTTTGAATGCGCTTGGAGGCTGGACAGTCAAATCGACATCGTACCCCTGCTGTTTATCTGAAACAGGAATAGGTTCAGATGGAGTGCACAGTCCCGAGCTATCTAGGGCTTTTCCCATGATCGTGGAAGGTAAGGCAGAGTTTTCGAAGAGGCATGGAACTCGATCGGCTGAAGATCAGTGAATATATACGGGTTTCACAAATCGTTCGACGCGACACGACGCATCGTATCAGTGGTCTCAGTCAGCGTGCCAAGGCGAAGGAGGCCGAATGGTTAGCGTTCCTCGTTCTCGAAGAATTCATTTTACAGTCTCGTTCAGAATCGGCCAACGGAACAATGCTGGGGGCTACCGAACCTATGCCGGAGGGAAATTGCAGTGCTGGTCAGCTATTGCCTGGGCTCTTCAGTGAGGCCAGTCCGATGGTACGGACCTTACCGACTTGAGGCCTCAGACTCCTTCCCGTCGACGGCGGCCGGTAGGGTCCTTTATTCTCGATAACTTCGAAGAGGTTCCTAACTTGTCTGACGAGCAGGTATGCCTATAGGTATGCATTACCGTTAATCTTCTACCATATATGCATATGTCAGTATCAGTCAAATCTTACCTACCGCCCATCGTCGACGAGAAGGAGCCTGGAGGGGCCTATCATTTTGAATGCAGCTATTATTGAAAAAAAAAACATGTCGAGGAAAACATTATCGGAGTGAGCGCTTCTATTATAACTGAGTTTCAACGGAAGCACATCTCGAGAATTTCATCCGAGGATGGAATATTGAACTCACACTGTCGCCTTGGCTGCTCCTTCTTTCCTTTCAGTATGAATCTCCCTGATCTGCCTCCAGGATATGCTGCTAGGCTTCCTCAGGTCCTAATATGTTCTTTTCCAGTCGAATGTCAGGATGTCTTCACACAGTGCGAGTTCGGCTGAAATGACCCACTCAGAGTTCCGTCTGACCGTTTCGGACACAAGAGAACTGCCTTACGTCTTGCAACGATGTGTGGATACCCCCCGTGCTAACTGGAACTTGCGTGTCCCTTCTCTGTTGCAATCTCTCTTGGCCAAATCGAAGTTGGACGTGGCTCTTTTATTCAGCTGGACGTAGGGGTCACGCTGCCGAGTACTAATGGATTTACCGCTCTTGGGAAAGACTGCGGTTGTTACCGGTTCTTCTCGTGGGATCGGCGCATCTATTGCTCAGAAACTCGCTGCTGACGGTGCAAATGTCATCATCAACTATCACGCAGATGACGCCCCAGCTTGTGTTGTTGCCAATACTATCAACGCTCGTGAAGGCGGTCGAGCAATCGTGGTGAAAGCAGATGTAGCAACGATAGAGGGTGGGAAGCTTCTATTGGAGAAGTGTACTGAGAAGCTAGGAGTTCCGGATATCTTGGTCTTGAATGCTGGTGTTATGGGGCATAAGCCATTGGCGGAGGTTGACGAGGAATATTACGACCTTCACTTCAATACGAATGTGAAGGGTCCATTGTTTCTTGTCAAAGCCGCTGCTGGAGTTATGAAATCAGGTATGTTCCACGATTCTCACTTTGCGTACCAAGCTAATCAGTCTTGTGAAGGCAGTCGAATTATCTTTGTGTCAACCACCCTCACCAAGGCAACTACCATCCTTCCTATGGGTCTGATCTTCGCTGCAACGAAAGGCGCAATCGAGCAAACAGTTCGTGTGCTCGCGAAGGATCTCGGCGAACGGGGTATGACTGTCAATGCGATCGCGCCAGGTGCTGTCGACACACCTCTGTTCCGTGAAGGCAAACCTGCACACCTAGTAAACTGGATCGCACAGCTACATCCTCAGAAGAGAATACCGGTGCCGGACGAGATCAGCCCGATCGTTGTATTTCTGGCGAAGGATGAAGCTGGTTGGATAAACGGTCAGACTATCATGGTGAACGGGGTGAGCACACTTTGTACCTGTGAACATGGGAGACGGCTACATAATCTCGATAGGGATTCGCAGTATAAACAGAAGACACGTAGTCGTGACGATGAATCAGAGTTATTCGTGTTGTTTTCTTTCCGTAGTTCTGTACATCAGGATTTTCTTCTAACGACGTTGTCACTGAGTCTTTCCACAGTCGATAGAAGTATATATTCAAGCTCATCCAAAGAATATATTATATTGAAGCAGTACAAGTGATTCGTGAATCCAGGCCACAGGATGAAAAAGATGTAAGACCTCTGGTAAGGACCGCGACGCCACGTCGACGACTTCTACAAAACAGATAGCGTGCGCTCCAGCTAGAGGCCTCTGTAAGCGTTCCTCTTGGGCTTGCGGTAGACTCCTGCGAGAAAATAAGTTCGGCAAGAGGACAATAGTGCGAGCCCTTGAAATGAGTGAGGAAACGATTTTCGCTGGAACGCCTGGCTTTATACCCCAGGGGTTGATCACGTGTACAACATTCGGCAACTACCGAGACCATGTCGGCGTGCGGTTCGCAACCTGAGGCCTGAGCAGTACTACCTAGTACTACGTGTTTGGTCGATCCTGTGGGTTTACTTGACATCGCAGGCAAGGATTGTGCTTGAATAGGCCGCTCTCGAACATTCTATAATGGATATAATACCACGCAGGTATGGTTCTTTAGTACTTGAATCCTTACGTTTGCTGTATATCCGCTTTTAGTTGGCAGGATCTTCACTTAGAACTCCCAAGTGAAATGCGCTCGGCCAGCCTCACTACAAATCAGCTCGCCTTTTATATCGAAGAGCAAGAAAAGCTTGTCAAGGAACTCAACGCCAAGAGAATAAAGCACAATCTATATATCGCTGCCCTCAAAGGTCGTTGCAATGCGACGGCATCTCCAATTAACTCCCTCTTACCCGTGGATGTGCTTTCTGAGATATTTATGCACCTTGTTCTCACATGGTCTGAGTCAGCTCGTCCCTATTCATGGTTCAAGGTTGCCCATGTTTGCCGATATTGGAGAGATGTAGTGTTCTCCTCATCGAGGTTCTTTTCCTACATTCGAGTGCCAACCGCAAATCGAGAACATGGTCCTGAATGGCTACGGCTCGCTCGTAACTGCAGGTTGCATCTTCACATCTCCGACGAAACCTGCAACACGGGCGGAATGCGCCACCACATGTGGGAGGAAGTTTTGCCTCATCTTGCTCACACTCAATCGCTTTTGCTACAACTTCATAAACCGAATCACAAGGAATATGCATGGCCTCGCTGCTCAATGCTGACGAATCTGACGTGGCTCACGTCTTCGGTAGTTTCTCCAACATGTGTCAAGGATGCTTTCGATGCAATGCCTAATCTTCAAATATTGGAAACCAGCACGGGTACCCTAGGCCCTGACTGGACTCGATATTCTCTTCCTTCTACCATAACGACATTAAGGGTCAACCATGCTAAGAGCGTTTCTTATGGAATCATGGAAGAGCTCTTCACAAGACTTCACTCCCTGCCTTCCCTAAAGCATCTGGATCTACACGGTCTGAGTCGCAATGACTATTCTGCAAATCTCTCTCCACGTCGTTGCTATTCACTATACCGACTCGAAACTTTGACGCTTCATGGTGCAATGACACCGTGCTTTGATGTTCTCAATCGCGTAGACTTGATTTGCAACTTTGACTTGGATTTGTATCCCGACTCCCCAAACGACGTGAAAAACATTGTATCATTGCCTGCCATCCTCCTAGCGAAGTTAAGGGGAGGATCAGATGATCTTCCACTACCGCTTTTGCGCACATGCGCTTTCGAGGGGGGTAGAATGGACGACGCTGGTCACTGGGTAATGAACCTTCGTGGATGGCCCTTCGAAGTACCATCGGAATTCCCCTGCACTGCATCCCAGGGACCTTACGGCCCTCCTTTGTTATCTCTCGCTTTCTCCCTAGACCTTGAAGACGAAGAGTTCTTTGATGTAGTCTGTTCATTATTAGTCGATCTTCGCCCGTTGTTGGAACAGACTCAGCGATTGAAAATCGCCTACGATGTTACCGGATCCTCCAGCCATGTGTTCTTACAACGGGTCATATTTTCGCATTTAAAGCATGTTCGCTCCCTGCAAACGGCCTTAGAAGCTCCTGGCTTTGACCCAGCGGAAGATGATGTGCCAATTTCACAACTACCTTCACAGCTCCATCCAGTGAATGACGATGGGTCTCCGTTGCTGCCACAGCTCAGAGAACTTTACATCGCCCCCGAGGAAGTGTGCCCAGAGTTCGATTCGAGCTTTTGGGTGCACTTGGAAAATGATTTACGAACAAGAAAGAGTATAGACCTCCAAGTGGATGTCCTCGTTCTCGACATGATGCCGTGGTGCTATCTCCCCAATCATGATTGGCAATCTCAACGAGTCTACATAGAAAATTGCCTGAGATTGTCGGGAAGCTGATTGTATATCAGCGGGAGAAGGATACTTAGTTGCTTAGATGATATATTGGTAGAGACATGATAGAAAATTTGTATACTACCCACCATTCCGTATTGACAGGCAGACGGGCGGGCCCTTGATCAAGCAGTATGCGTATTTGTGGCATAACCCGAACGAAGATATGATGCTAACTCGAACGTCGCAAGAAAGAAATTCAAACCACGATGTGAATTCGGCGATGTAGGACGACAGGACGGTATGCATGACGGAAGGTATAATGTTCTTAGTCCATATGACGCACTCTATGCATGGAGATTCGAACTCGTTCAGTTTCTCAAACGTTAAAGCCCTGTGGAACATATCATTAGTACGTTACGATGATGAACCCGGTCGAAGTATACTCACCCCATTGACATACACCTTTTGCCCATTGATCCACCCGGCTTCGTCCCGGGCGAGGAATGCAACGATGGGTGCAATTTCATCCGGACTCGCTAGCCTCTTTTGAGGATGCAAGTTAGCGAAGAACTGAATCTGTTGTTCAGTCTTTCCATTCCTGAAGAGATCGGTGTCGACGGGACCTGGGCAAATGGCGTTCACCGTGATACCTTTCGCACCAAGATCCTTCGCGAGGACACGTACGAGGTGCTCGACGGCGCCCTTTGCGGAAATGTACAGAAGATAGTTGGGTGGGGGTGCGGTGTTCTTAGTGAGAGAGGTGGAGAAGAACATCACACGGCCACCTGTAATTGAAAGGAACTCATTAGACAAAGGTTCGAGAGAACAAGGGAAAAAATAGAGGGTACATACCAGGTTTCAAGTAAGGGACGGCAGCCTGTGTGACAAAGAGGGGGACTTTGACGTTGATACTGAAGTGATCGTCAAAGTCCTTCTCGCTCACGTTCGCCAAGACATCATTCTTCATCAATCCAGCGTTGAACACGAGAATATCCAACTTCCCAAACGCCTTCACGCCCTCTTCCAGCAAATGCTTGCCTCCCGCAATGGTAGAGACGTCTGCACGGACAGCGACAGCTTTGCCAGTGCCCTGAGCATTGATGGAGTTGGCAAGTTCCTCAGCAACGGCGGCGCTCGAAGCGTAATTAATGACAACGCTTGCACCGTCCGCTGCCAGACGTTTGGCGATAGAAGCGCCAATGCCCTTGGCAGAACCAGTGACGATAGCGACTTTTCCGGAGAGATCAAGAGCCATGGTATTATTTCCAGAAGGAAACTAGATTGGAAAAGATGACAGCGAGGGATATACGAGAACGTTTGAAGAGGGCTTGTGCAGGTAGCAGTTAAGCCTGGACAAAGTGCGATAGCTGTTATATACTATGGGGGGGACTGCATAGAGATTAAAATATTGCCACAGAACCCCGAGAGCTGGGAGATACAGTGGACCATAGATCATCGATCATCCGCCGGTTTCTGAAGTTCTCGGCGATCTTGTGGGTCCTCCAGTGCATCCAAAGCGCCCACCAGAGTTGTTTTCTATAAGTTTTGGTATGATTCATAAGTTATAGGAAAGACACAAGGATCAACGGCGCCAGAGGGTACGCAGCAGGGGGATGTGACCTTTGCCAGACAGAGGATCTCAAAGGATCACAGGTGGACGGCCCGGGGGCAAGACGGCGACAAGATGCTGTTCTGCTCAATAAGCTACAACTTCAGCGGTATACCAAAGATCATCCTGCTGACTACATTAACAAGTGATAACGTCCAATCGATGACATGGAATTCCCATACGCCGGCCTTACCTCAGCACAAACAGAGGAATGACGGAAATATTACCGCGTAGCTGTGAACCATGGCACATCTCCACCCAGAATTCCGTCGCATCAGATGTGCGAAAACGTCGCTGTAAAAGTGGGGTGGACTCGAGACGACCGTGGACGAGATTGAACTGAGTGTGACAATGGTTACGTGCACTGTACGCTGTGACAGGTCGCATTTTTGCCACGCGATTTGTATCACGACCTGTGCATCGTGTAGCTGAATTTCCTCAACCTGTTTTTCCCGGAGATATTGGTTAGAGAGACTAACAATCAAAGAGGATCGGCCTGTCTGAACGACACAGGAAAAGATCACTTGACAACTAGTACTATGACATAGATATATTCTGGTTTTACCGGGTTTTCATGATGCAAACAATCAGAAGCGGGATACCTCTAGCACACCCGAAGAAATGAGCATCATTTTCGGCCAACACAACAATCCTGGAGCTAGGCAGTCACCTGTAGTAGAGAAACATGGTAAGTCTCTGAACAACGTCGCCTGCCATATCAGTCCTGCCAAGAACACGACGAGAATCTTGCGACGGACAAAGCCGAACGGATCGTGGCCCAATGTAGACGATGTTCGCAGTTCAACAATAAACTTATTGTCATCCGTTGGCCTGCAACTAGCATTTAAACGTTCGCGTCTCCCCTCTCATAGAAACACACTCTTACCTTGAAACCAAACCATCTACAAGCTAACCCTCGAGGAATTTACCTGACTAACTAGTACTTTCCCTGCCTCTATCAATCCATCTTATGGCTCACTTAACAAATGCAACGAAAAGCATGGACATCATCGATACCAGGTATGTTATAGTATTCCTGAATTCTTGCTTCGGATGCTTACAATGAATATTCCACGAACTCGATAGCCTTTTGTCATCACTAGAGTTTGTCGCGTCAGAGACACGCCTACAAGATTTAACTCTGGACGATATCAATGCTCAAATTAAGGAGCATGCAAATGAAATCAAGAACCTCAACTCGAAGAAGGAGATAGTTGAACATCGTCGTGCCATTGCCTTTTACAAGGGCCGTCGAAATGCTATCACATCACCAATCATCGTCACACTACCGCCGGAACTGCTGGCCGAAGTGTTTCTCAATTACGCTCAATACTGCTTTCCGAACATAGACGAGGAGCGTACTCATTGTCCGTATCAATGGTTACAGGCAACACACGTATGCCGATATTGGAGACATGTCGCTGTGTCCTTCCCTCGAATCTTCTCCGATATAGACCTTGCAGCAGGAAAGGAGGAGCATCTCTGTGAATGGCTACGCCATTCGCGTGAGTTTCCCTTGACTGTCATTGTTAACGGGGAAATTGGCTGTTACCGTGCACTTTCTCGTAAATGGCAACTCCTTGCTCCTCATTTACCCCATACTCGTTCACTCCACCTTCCATTCAACCCACCTCAGGATATTCCATGGCCTAGAAGTCCTCTTTTGACGACGTTAGTATGGACAGCACCAAGTCCCGAGCGTACGTTTATCGAGAAAGTCTTCTGTGCTCTGCCCAATCTCCAGGTCCTGGAAAGCACGACAGTGACGTTGGGACCTAATTGGGCACACCTGCCACTCCCAGCCTCGCTGAAGACGCTCACAATCAAACACTCAAAGCAGTCGACATGCCTTGCGACGATACCTATGGAGGAACTTTTTGAAGGGCTCAGCACTCTTCAGGACTTGGAGACCCTTAAGCTGATAGACATCAAACGAGTCGAATACCCTCTATGCCCCGACACTTCGGCCCCCGTTTTCCGCCATCCTCTAAAGACCTTGGAACTTACTGGGCATATTAAGCCTTGTTTCTCCCTCCTCCGCAACGTGAAATCGGTCGATCATCTGACACTGAAGCTACTCATCTCTATCAAACATAATCATAATGTGATACCTCTAGCCGAAACCCTCGTCCCATTTCTCTCCCGCAACAGACCACGCACTTGTTTGTGCACCGCCGACATGTCTCTACGACATAGCAATACTCTGATCTTCACTGCCTGGAACACCGAAATGGATCTGATAGCTCAAGGTGCCTACGGTCCTATATACTCGAACCCTTCCATTCTGCATGTTAGGCTTTCCTTTTACGGCGTCCAAACCGTGCGGGACACGGCAAAGTCGTTCTGCGAGACCATCTCACCATCACTCTCCGGCGTAGACTATCTTATAGTCCCCGTTAATGGTTACCAGCGTGAGGGGGCTCCATGTTGGGACGTATTGAAGCCCGTACTACAGAATGTCCGGCTGTTGGATTTCGTTCTGAAGAAAGCGTCTGGCTTGGAATTTGGGTCATATCTTGGTGCCATTGCTGATATCGCTCCCTTGGTCCTGCTTAACTCCACTAGTACATCAAATCCCGACCTATCAGAGTGTAATTTCAACCGCCCATCGAGCCCTCGCCATTCACAGTTGGATCCAAAGGCCACAGTCTGCAGTGAGGAAGAGCAGTGCGGTAGCTCGAGTTCGGTTCAAGACGCTGGCAGCAAATACCCTGCATTCTCTCGACTCAGTGTCATACATGTTACTGGTAGAAAGAGCGACTACCGGTGGGCTTCAAACTTCCTCAGGGGCCTAAGGGAAGTGCTGCAAACCAGGCAGTCTCTTGGCTTGACCTTGGACGCCCTCGAACTCCTACTGCCATCTGACAAGTCGAACTCAAACCCCTCTGCAGAGCAGGACAGTGATCAAGCTGTGCTTGATGCACTCACAGGACTAGTTGGAGATTTGAGTTTAGCCCGATTTCCTTCCACCTAGATCGAGGGTGTGGACTTTGTAACAGTGAAGAATGTTGAGATTTACCACGAGACACTATATCTGCCGTGTATTGAGGATGTATTCAGTACACAATATCATTGCGAGAGTTGCGTATGAACAAACCCAGAGAACCCGAAGACGTAAAACAATGACATGAGCAAATGCTTTTGCACAATCGGCCCAGCACTAATGTTCAGTGTAACCATCAGTATATCTGGCGAAGGTGATAAGAACCCTGCCAATGTTGTTGGTGGCAATAGTTCCTCTGCTACGAGAGGAAACAAAGACGATGATGGTGCAGCATCTTCCGGAGCTGAGAAGGAAGGTGGGGATGAGTGAACGGTGTTCTTTGATTTTCTTTTGAATATACGAACAATATTCAGATAGAGATAGCGATGTCTCGTTCTTCCTTGTGAGGTTATTCATACTTGGAGTCACCCGCGGCGCACTTGCCCGTGGAATGTTCGGTTGCATACATTGTATGTATGTATGCTCTTGAAATGGTAATGATCTTGACAGCGACGCGCCCGAAATGTGTCATCTGGGAAGTTCCTCGTCAGCCTTCCTCTACTTTGTACGGGTTTTTACATTTATTAAAAACTAACCCCTCAATGATATTGCAAGTGTGACAAATTAGGTCCTCGGGGGGTTCGGGTGTGGGGTGGTTGGTATTCTTGCGTATGGGATGGATAAGCGAATGTTGGAGAGCTGTGCAGGAACAGAGAAGGACAGCGCGGTGGATGTCATGATAAAGGATGCTGAGAATAGAAGAGTCTACAGGGAAGTTGAAAGGTGAGACACATATTGAACACAATACTGAAATTAGAAGATCGCCTAAGGGATGGATGTTATTGCGCGAGTACCTCTTCAGTATGTTGGCGACGGCTGAATAGCGATCGCAGGCGAGGCAAATACTGAGCTGCGAGGGAGTGAAGAGTTTTCGGTAGTGATAGGACGCCCGAGAGTTTGCCCTCAAGAAGAAGATATCTCAGTATGTCAAGGACGCTGCGGGGTGTCTGTGACGAAGTTCCCCGTGAACGAGAAGGTGGTCGTGTTTCCCCCACAGTAGCTCACAATCGAATTTCACCGATGAACATGCAATCGTTCAAAGCAGGGTTCGCAGGAGAAACCACTCCATACGATCGAGCTCGAGCGAAAAATTACGATTGCATATACTTTGGTACTGAGTGGCAAATCTGGGAATGGTTTTCTTGAGTGAGGTCAGTCCATCCAAAAAGTTGGAACATTATCGTCTCCAAGAAGGCGAAAATCAGAACAATGGAACATGTAGTTTGTCAATAATAGCGCGAGACTTACCCGATCCGCCCAAGAACAAGCCTGAAATTTGGTCGATATGGCCAAGCGAAGGTATGTCCTCTGCACCGAGCCAGGCCGTCCTGATTGCGGGTCTCCAACGCCATTGCACAGGAACATGTGTCGGCCACGTTCGTTGTTCATGGCACCCGCTTTCCCTCCTCGTATTCATCAATACGGAGTTCGTTTGGTGAGAGAAGAGGAAACGGCCCGGGACTGCTACTCACAAAAACCTTCCGACAGTATCTGGAGAACACTGGTATAAGTAGTACACTCTGTGTATCGAAGATCTTGACAACATGACGAAAACGTGAGGAGAAGATTCTAACCTCTATATAAGGCAGTGAGAGAATACAATCGACATAAAGACAGAGAGCATCGAAAATCAAACGCACTGCAGATGCTATCACATAATGACCAAATACGGCAACAGGAAGGAAGTCTTTGCACGACAAGCATCAACACCCTTTGGATCAGTACCTACGTACAGTTGAAGTTGAGTTGAAAGACCACCATTGCGTTAGATTAGGACGTTTTAGCAGGCTGTCATATTGCTTTATACTCACACCCGGTACGTCATCTAGATTGATACATGTTACCACTGAAGAATAAGTCCTTGAGCCTTTGTCTACTCATTTCCCAATGCGACGGTTTCTGAGTGGAAAATTGTGACTATACTGTCTGCATTTTTTTACATGCTTCGACTTAGCCTTCAACACATATGATACTCACCACTGTTTTTTTTTCAAGTACTTCAGACAGACGTTAATCGTCACGTGGCATCGCTTAGTAGTTGGTTGAAGACAAGTGACGCCGCGTCACACTTGAACGGCGAGGTAACCGAGAACAATATAATTACGCCTTGAGCCTTGGTTTCTTTATCTTTGTTGTGAGTATAAGTCCGGTCTTCATTCGTTTCCGCATGCTGACCTGCCGTCACAGTATCCGGGTTGGCATTCTGCCGAGTGGCCAAAGGTATGTATGGTCCACACACACTCTTAATTAGGCAGTAAACAATGGCATCTTTCAGTGTGGTTTTTTTTCAGTGTGGTTCTCGCCATTGTGATTGTTCAGAGCTGTATAAATATCAGCAGTCGCCTTCACTCTCTGTACGCTTTCATTTCCACTTTTCCCATCATGTGTACTCACCTTGACGCTATCGTACCCCCAGCCAAACAACGCAGTCCTGTTACTCCACCGGCCTCTAAGGCTCCAGAGGGCACGCACTCGACACCCATACACCCGAGGCCAGAACGCAAACCTACACACAAACACCATCGTCACGACGTTGCTCTGGAGATGCATGATCGCTGGGTACAAACCTCATATGACCAGTTCATGGACACCAAGTATGTTTCCGGCCGCAACCCAACCGCTGAAGAGGCTGCTGAGTTCTTGAAATTCACCGCTGCTGACCTCAACGTCACGAAAGAAACGGATATCTATGCTCCTTTGGTATGTAATCTCTGTAATGCTCGTGAAACATTCTGACCACATGTGAATCCTTAGTGTAAGGTCATGCAATCAGCTTTACCCGAGGGAACTCTGGTATGCAAGGATACGGGTGATTGGGCTGATGAGTCGGCCCCCGCGTCCACTTCTGCACATTGGACAGGCGATAGTCCCAGTGGCAAGAAGATTGATATCTGCTTCTACGAGGATAACCAAGCAGTCCTCGATGCGGTAGCCGTTAATCCAACTACCACTACAGTCACAGACACAGATCGCCTTGCTAACATGGCCCGGGTTGCCTGGACTGAAGTCGTTGCCTTCTTAGAGGCAAAGGTCAGCGTAGATATCTTCGGGATGAAACCATCCCGACCCTTCTTGCCTTCTTCTGTTGATGCCACTATTATGCGAGGCCAGATTGCGGAGTATGCAGCAGAAATTCTCCTTCAACAGCATCGTACGCATGTCTTTATGATATTCGTGTACCAAGACACAGCTCGTCTGGTCCGATTCGACCGCGCTGGCGCCATTGTCTCCGACTTTTTCAACCTCGTTACTGAACCGATGAAGTTGCTCAACTTTGTTTTTCGGCTCGGCAGGATGTCTCGCTCTGAACGTGGTTTCGACGACAACGTGGTGTTGGCCTCAGGTGCGGAAGTCGAACTCATGAAGAATCATCTGCCTCCGCAAAACGACCAAACTCGACTGGCCACACACATACGGAACGCGCTCTCTTCAGAGTCACGTATTCACAAAATTACTGTTCCTGGCAAGAACGGAGGGAACGCGCAAAGCTTTCTCGTCGGTAAGCTTCGTGCAGGGAGCCGATACCCAACGGGGCGTGGTACCAAAGGGTACATTGCGTTTGATTTGCAGAAACCGCGCTTCGTCTTCGTCAAGGAAGGCTGGCGAATCGATTCCGACGATGTCACTTCCGAGATGGACATCTATGCTCAACTGGAGAAGAACCATGTCGAACATATACCCACAGTCATATGTGGGGGCGATGTCGGAACGCCGGTTCAAAGAACAGTCTCTCAGTCTCTGCTCACTTCAAGCTCCGAGGTGACGTTCGCAACTCGTATTCATTATCGAATCGTTCTCGAAGAGATAGGCCTGCCGCTGGAGGAACATGTCCAGGGGCAAGAGTTAAGTCTAGAAATTTACTACTGTATATTGGGTACGTCAATTGCGACATAACCATGCATGTCTTCGCTAATACTGGACCAGCTCACAAGCAAGCTTACGAGAAAGCTAATGTCCTGCACCGTGACATCAGTGGTAGCAACGTCCTCATCATTCCCAACGACCAAGATCCGGGCAAATCCAAAGGTATGCTGATTGATTGGGAGTTGTCGAAGACGGTGGATCAACTGAAAATGATGCCTACTCAACATGAACGTTCGGTGAGCAGGCCATCATTCGAGATTCGCAAACTCGGGCTGACAGGTTATCCAGGGCACATGGTATTATCTCTCCGCACTTCTCTTGAACTATCCCAAGAAACCCTATGAGCTTTCCGACGACCTGGAGTCCTTCGTGCACGTAATCAATCTGCAGAACCTCCGCTTCAGGCATCATGACAAGAGTCCATGCAAGGAGGACAAGAGTGATCTTTCAGATCACCTCTTCCGCGTCTATCAGAAAACCAAGGTCGTAGAAGGATTCCACATTGGCAGCGAGGACAAACTAACCCAGATGAAGAGTGGCGTACCACCGTACACGATCACCGTCCGCAGTAGCATGTCGACTCTGGTGGAAGGCTTGATGAAGATGTGTCAGGAACACTACGCTGCGCTGGATTGGGATGACCTCGCCAAGTATGCTGTAAAGAAGGAGGCAGGCCCGGTCGATGAGAGTGATTTTATCCCTGCAATCTCACTCCCCATTCCCAAGAAGATCACTCTAATCCCGACAATCCCGGAGGTGGATGAAGCGCAACCTCAGCCTGCAATCGAACCACCAACGAAGCTTCTCGACACTCACGAGCACATTGAAAGTGTCTTCGCGATAGCATTGGGTGAGAGAAGTTGGAAAAAAATGGACAAGACTCCAGACCAGTTCATCGGTCTTCCCTATGGTGCACCAGCTCCGCCGACGGGCAAAGGATCATATGCGCCCAGTCAGGACGTCAGTCAGAGCAAGCGGAAATCTGTCCATTCGACTGAAGAAATCTCAGGAGAAGCCAAGAAGCGTAAAATTTCTGCTTTGCGCAGCGGTTATAGGGAGCGTTAATTTTTTTGTGAATACTCGCGTGCATTACTCATAGATTGTTTATCGTGATTGAAACTTTGGAATATATGGTGTCCATTTTCACTGGAAGAAATGGACGGAGATGCCTGTGGGCCCCTCCCACACCAATAGAGTCCCGTTGAGCATGAGCTGCGATGGTCTTCTCGACTCCTGAGTCTGAATCGTAGTCGTAATTATCAGACTCTTTGCCCGGCTATCGCGCCAGCATCGGAGACGTTGAACGAGATCGCACAGGAAAAGATGAGCGAGATGGAGGGTTAAATGGCTTCCCGGAGAGAGCCAATTCTCCAATGTCGCCATTCTATATCTGCCTCCGTATATAGATTGGCTTGATGTTGACGAAAGGCACCACTTCACTATCATCCTGCTTTCGCTGCTATCTGCAGCAAACTTCCCGTAAACAACGACTCGAAGGCATTGTTAGGCGACCTGTACAAACTTCCGGGTGCAGGAGTATCGGGCGTGAACTATATTGCACTGAGACCAAGAAACGCTGAGTCCATTAGTGGAATCAAACTTCCAAAGTCCGAGAAGACGAGAAGGCGATTTGAATGTCTGATATCGGTAGGTGGCTTGCATATCCCTAGTCGAGAACCTGTGGAGTACGCTGAAATGCATAATACCCAGTTGGTACGTGCGGAAGCGAACATCAGTATATGTACGGTCATGTTCTTTTAGTTGTCGCTTCAGCATTCTTGTTGATCTGTACGGTTCCTTGCAGACCGTGCTCGTGGATAACGCCGATGTATTGACGTAGTCTTGAAGCAACCGAAGATGATGTGGGGTCGTCGGGCGGGGTGACATAAGGAGAAATCTGACCTGTAGTATCAATGAAAACGTCGCGGCAGTAGCATCGATGACCGGCGAATAGTCACATATTCTCAGTATAACTCGACATTAGACATCCTGACATCTGAACCTTGCTTTGAACCTGCAGAGGGCCATAACAGCTGGGAAGGACTCCTGAGCACTGAAGCGTGAAGTCAAACAAATAGAACATTACAATCCCTATCATCAGGGAATCATCGGCCGTCCCAGAAGCTCCACTTTAGCGAAGGGCATAAATTGAGTGAGCATAAAACTGCCTTTGGTTATGGCTTGGGCTTATCTCCGTTGCCAGCTATGCAGAGTCGAGGCGGCATTGCAGTTCGAAAATCACATTAAATTGCTGTCGCGATATCTTGACGATATCTGTGCACCATCTAGAACAGTGAGTGACATATCATGGGCACCACAGAAATGTGGCGATTCACGACCAAGCGACACAAAATACAGTATACAGGCTTTGGGAGTCCAATCTCGGCTGAAGGTGGCTGAGATGGTGCAAACACTTCTGCTCCACGAACACTCTGGCCAAGATCTGCTTGGATAAGTGCACTAGCGAGCCTTCAGAGATTGTAGCTCGTATGGTGGGTATTTCAAAAAGGTGGCCTATTCTTCAGAAACAGCTATAAGTTCCCCAGTATGTATATGTGGACGCGTCGTTGGAGTATCAGAAATCGAAACATCCGACGCGTGACGTCATACATAGTGGCTCCTAAATATTGATTGAACCGTCACATGAAGAGCATTGAGTGCAATAGTCTTCTCAACCACAAACGACGATGATATACTCGGGCGGCTGCTTCTGCAGCGAAATCAGATACCAACTCGACTTGGTTTCACCGGATGAAGCGCGTACTTCTCTATGTCACTGTAAGAACTGCAAAGTGAGTGCTTGTCATACTTCAAGAAGCACCATTTGCCGTGTATAGTTACTAGAGCTGAGAATCATGATTCAAAACTTGAACGTTTGAACTTTGTAGAGGTTCTTCGGATCCGCATTTGGGCTGACAGCCAAGGTGCCGAAAAATAACTTCACGGTGACGAAAGGGAAAACGAAAGTGCATGTGAGCGATAATAACGGGTCAAGATTGTTTCGGGAGTTTTGTGAGACTTGTGGTTCTGGTATCCTGGAGTACGGCGTGAGTGAACTTACTAATAGTCTCCCTGGTCAATATAAAGTGAGGGACTGATGTCGTCTTGAAACAGGAACAAGCGGCGCCGCACTCGAGGTATATAGCGGTAGGGACTTTGGACGAACCAGGGGCGCTTCCACCCAAAGGAGAGTTCTTTTGCAAGTATAGGGAGACTTGGTTGCCCGAGTTTCCCGGTACATACGTCTAGAAGCTATTCAGGACGAAGCGTGGGCTTACCTTGTGATGTTTGTAGGCGTGTTTCACAAACAGGAGATACAGAACTAGTAAGCTTTGAAGACATGCGCAACCGGCACCCCTAGTGGTTTCGTGCTTAGGGCGAGGTAGTTCAAGTTGCGGCGCACCTGGTATTACCAACACATATATCGATCTACGGGTCATGACAAAGGCACCAGCAGAGTATAACCAATCAGGGGACGCAGGGTGTGAACGTTGTAACCATAGCCTCGTTGCGGCGTTGAAAAACTGACAGTCCCAAAGTGTCAGCCGTGCAAGTTATGGTGATCCAGACCCCACACTGTACAGCCTTTTAGTGCATTCCAAGCTTCGTATCTCGAAGCATGTCATACGCGTGCCAGAAATTCCTGACAGCATGACGATACGCGCTGTTTTGTTTTGAGACGGAGCGCCCTCCTGGGTCTTGAGCTTGATTTCTTGGTATTTTGGAAGCTTTGAGAACGTTCTCTTGTATAATCGTGAGTTGTTTGTGGTCACAAGACAGGAATTGTGGTGATGTCGAGCATAAGAACCCACGGTAAGCTTAGACGTATGCGAGTGTCATATCAGAATAGCGCCACGATGCCGTAGCTCCGAAGACGACAGACAGGGAGATCCGGGAAACGAGAGGCTCGATGACAAGAGCAAGTATTGTCGACGATGAAAGGTCTTGACAAGAGATATCTAGACTGGTAGGCTGCGGGTTGAAGATCTGAGACCAGGGTACCAAGCACTGCAGACAGAAGGCAGCCGCAGGAGGAAGATCAGGCAGTAAAGCGGAAATCTGAGATGCAGTGTATTGCTTAGTCATCCACACGTGGTTCGGCTAGGACGCCCAGTGAGGATTCGGGCGAAGTCAAGAATTGATTCTGGGCGAAGCTGCTTGACCTCCGACCACTATCACTCTCTTTCTGGTCGTCTTTCAACCCAGTCTGATTGTCGTTGCTGATACCCTGTTTGATCTTGTCTACTCAATACATGTGTTCAATTTGAGTCTGTATTGAAGTAAACCCGTCCCTTAACTTTCAGCAAGCCGAGATCAACCCTCAAGACCGAAATCCTTGGCATCTCTTCTGGGGGCTATAAACCCTATCGGCCCCGCCTATATCGTCCTTTCTCTCGCGACGCTCTTTCACGACTTCCTACGCTCCGTTTACGACTAACGACCTCGTTTTGCACATCTTCTTTACTTGAATACTCCGCAGTTCACCACCAGACGGCTTTGCAAGTATGCGGTTCTATCCGGTGAGCACAATATTGTCTTACATTGTTGGCACTGTGCACCCATCGATTTCTTTTCTAGTTCGAGGTTTCTATACCTCATATCATCTATGCCGTCCTAGGCGGTTTCGTCGTCTTCGTAAGTAACTGTAGAACTTCAGAATGATGCGTTTACTGACACCGCAACAGTTCGGAATGTTTTCCCTCTTCATTCGAGAAAAGGTAAGACTTTTCAGACCCTCGACTTGACCTGCAAATTAATGCTCGTGTAGCTCTACATTGGTGAAGCATGTTGGGCGTTCCTTTTCGGCGTGGTTATAGGTGAGCGATTTACGCCGCTTAAGATAATCTATCACTAAAAGCTGTAGGTCCGTATGCTGCCAACATCTTTGATCCTCGCTCTTGGGGTAGCGGCAATGAGGAGACTATAAACACTATCACTCTCGAGTTCACTCGCGTCGTCCTCGCCATCGGTGTCTTCGCTATCGGAGTTGAGCTTCCGAAAGCATATATGAAGCGACATTGGAAGAGTTTGTTCTTCCTTTTAGTTCCGGTCATGACATGGGTACGTTGCATTGATCTACTTACGCTCAATCATATGACTTATATCTATATCAGGGGTGGTTCGTATCCGCTGGCCTGATATATGCGCTGATACCAGGATTGAATTTCCTCTCTTCATTGGCAGTAGCTGCCTGCCTGACGCCTACAGACCCTATCTTAGCTGCGGCTGTTGTGGGTGGGAAGTACGCCGATAAACATGTGCCTGCTCATCTTAGACATCTACTCGCTGCAGAGAGTGGTTGCAACGACGGAGCCGCATACCCCTTCCTCTTCATCTCGCTATACCTCATCATCGACAAGGACACTTCACATGCGATATCGGACTGGTTCCTACTCTTGTGGCTCTGTAAGTGTCTTATATTGCCGTTCTTCTTTTAGGTTTGTCGCTAACTGTACTAAAGATCAGGTTATCCTAGGAATTGTAGTAGGCGCACTGATCGGATGGGGCTTCCGACACCTCATGAAGTTCTGTGAACGTAAGGACCTTATCGATAGGCAATCCTACGTCGCCCAATACGTATCCCTCGCGATGCTCACGATCGGTATCTGCTCCTTACTTGGTACCGATGACCTTCTTGCAGCCTTCTCTTGTGGCACCGCGTTCGCATGGGATGGTTTCTTCAACAAGCAGACTGAAGAGGCCGTGTTCTCATCCGTCATCGATCTGTTGTTCAACATCGCTGCTTTCGTCTTTGTGGGCGCATGGATGCCATTCAATGATTTCTCTGATCCTCATTTGACGTTGAGCGTGTGGAGACTGATTGTCATTGCGATTTTGGTCTTGATCTTGAGGAGACTGCCCGTTATGATTGCGTTGTACAAATGGATCCCTGATGTCAAGACTTTCCGGGAGGCAGTATTCAGCGGACATTTCGGACCCATGGGTGTTGGTACGTGCTAAGTGCTATAATATCTAGATTTAATCACCCACCTCAAAGTCATCCAGGTGCTATCTTCATCTCCACCCTTGCAGCAGAACAACTTCCATCACCACGCGAACCTCCCGAAGGCCAACAGGAACTCCTCGCAGCATCAATTCAACCCATCGTGGCTTTCATGGTTCTATGTTCTATTACCATACATGGTCTTTCCATTCCTTTCTTCTCCCTCGGCCGTCGTGTACACACCGTCTCGCGAACCTGGTCTCGACACGATACCCTAGGTCGACATGCCATGCCCGAATGGGCTACCGATATCCGTCGTGTTGAACGTCCAGAAGATATTGTCGTTAACCGTGACTTGGACATTGAAAGGGGTGATTCTGCGTTGGATAAGACGCTTACTAGAAGTCGGAGAGAGAGTATGACTGCTCATGGAAGTAGTTCGAGTGAGGCTGAGAAGGATGCCGGGGAGAGTAGCACTTCACCAACACAGAGTGCGGAGGAGAGAACACCTGTACAGGAGGGTGAGGGTGGGTGGGATTCGAGGCAGGAGACACCACGTGAAGGAGAGGAAACTGTCGCAGAGTGGATAGAGGGACCGCACAAAGTTATCGAAAGGCGAGCTGGTCCTGGTGAAGAGGTGAGTCTTCTATCGCGTATTCCATGTCTATTCACTCCTTGCTGACCGCTGTCAAATTATTAGGTGGAAGTCGAAGTTGTTACGAACGCGCCTGGTCCGGGAGAAACTGATCGAAGTACTCTTCGTGTCGCAGGAGATGCCGTACATGATACCGTGCACGAAATCCGACGCAGACTAGCCAATGCACCGGGCGAAGTCGCCCACGCGCCAGAAGCTGTCGTGCACTTTGCCGAGGATCTGGAACGTGGAGCTGAGCATAAAGTCACCGACATAGAGAACAAAGCTAAAGATGTTGTCGGAGTAGATCACGAAACTGCTGGGGCTGGTACCAGTGCTGGACATGCAGAGGAAGAAGAGGAGGGTTGGATGTCAGATCGTGAAGGTGAAGCCTCCACAGGAGGTGTCCTCCGGTCAAAACACAGGACGTCAAAGATCAAACCCAAGTTGGCTATATCTCGACCTTTAAGCAGTACACCTGGGTCTCGACGACGACCGTCTTTCAGACGAGGTGTCCTGACCGGTGTACGACCACACCCAGGCCGAAGCGCTAGTGAGCCTGCGGTCTCGGACACTTCTCATGCACCTATTCTTGTTACCCCACCATCAGAGGAAGAGTCGGACCATGGTCGAGGTCGACGTCCCACTCCTAGAGAGACTCGCTCAGCCACTCCAAGTTCCCCACTGTCACCCCCGACTCCGCGTTCATTACGACATGCACGCATAGACTCGTTACGTTCACTTCGACCTGGATCGCGAGAACTCTCACCCGCTCGGTCTATCCGGTGGGCAGATGAAGAGGAAAGGAATGGTGTAAGGTCTCCGTCTTCACCTAGTACGCCTTTGCCTGGGAGTCAGGTGCCTTCTGATGATGAGGGTAAACCGGACAAGTCGGATGATTCCCCTACGAGTCAGACTCAGGTCCGGTTCGATCTCCCTGATCCGCCTGCTAGGGAACATCGATAGTATCGGTGACATTGTCGTGAAGGGGTAATGAACAGTGTATAGATAGATACCTCTTATACATCACTAGGCGGTGCTGGATAGCCCAAAGGACCAACTTGGTTATGTGATTGATGGACGTTGGATTTTCTTATATCTCTAGAGTTGTTAGTTGCTTTCTCTTTATCTCTTGCATTATGCTCACTGTATCACTTTGATATCCCCGAGTATCGTTGCATATTCAAAATCCCTCCCTTCTATCTGTTTTTCTTCTGCGATTCTTGTTACCCTTTGCTCACGAGCTCATCATGATCATGATCCCTACACCAACAAGTATATATTGTATTTCTAAATGTGCATGTCTTGATTGGCATTGGTCTGTTGGTAATTGCATATGCATAACTTGACAGCCACCTTCGTGCTCTATGGCTGGTGTCTCACACGTGTATAGGAAGAGAAGTCATACTGCTTCCTCACGCATGATCAAGATGCGAGAAGTCCCAACCGAACGCCATCTCCACAATCCGCCTCAGGAGAGCTATCCAGAAACTCAGGAAAATGCCAAGGCTCGCTCTCAAGTCTGTGCTCTCCAAAAAGTCGAATGCTATTGCTGCCAGTACTGCACGTGGCTTGTGGTCTGCAAGTTGAACTTCGAATGGCGGTCTTATCGTCCCTGAAAATTCCGGGAATCAGTATACATACAACGCGTTGATCAATCCAAAAGTGGTGTAGAGACTGAAGCTGGACACGTACTTTTCATATTAGGATCACCTTCTACAATCCCGAGGGCCGCGCGGAGGCCCGATGTGAATCCGTCTTCATGAAAGCCATAGTTGAGCCATGCCCCAGCGAATGAGATGCCTCGAACGTTTTGGATTGTAGGTATCTCTTGCTGTGCATGAATCGCCTTCGAGGTCCTCCGTCAATATAGAGAAGCATCAAAGGATGAATGGGTCGTTTTACGTACCGCACTGTCGAAGACAGGATGCTCGTACTTGTATCTTCCGGCGATGAGACTTTCAGTCGGTTCAAATGGCGGATTCAATGTCACGAGAATAGGACCATGCTCTTTCTCGGAGATATGCTGGAGCTCATTCATCCAATCTAGATGGATATGTGTCATCAGGCGCGGCAGGGGTCATCAGGCGTTGAACGTACATGTTCTGCAGATGATCGTGGAAGGTCAACGGACGAAAATACTTGAAGAGTTTGGTACTTACAAGGCAACTTGGTTCACATTTGCTTTCTTCCGTCCGTTATCGTCCATAGCGGAACTTGTCAGATAATTCCAACACGCCCAAGCCATTCGGCTACGAGGCATAAGCTTCACGGTCCTGATTTAGATCTAGGATTATCTGCCATTATTCAAAGAAAACTTACACGTATATCAGAATGCAGAATCGCCTCATTCTTGTTCCACTTGAACGCGCCTAGAATCCTCTCTTCTTCCAAAGTTGCACCACCATCTCCTGCGCGTAAGAGCTCAAGGGTATTGTTGGAATGACATGCAAGGATAACATGGTCGAAAGATTCCGTTTGGCCGTCTGAAGTCGTCAGCTTTACTGAAATCTTGCCCTGAGAGGTAGTGGAGGATGCCGAGGTGATGGGCGTTGAGAGATGCAGTTGAGTATTTGGAAGGCCTGATATGATCTGGTCGACGTATACACGGCTGAAAGTTTCGTGGTAGGAGTGATAAGAGCAAGGTAAAGAGGTGCCTCAGCTTACCTTCCTCCTCGAAGGGTCAACCAGGAAGGCTTGCCTGTGATTTGGAGCAAATGATGGTTATTCAGAAACTGAATCTAGATATAGAAAACCACGGTCGACATCCAAGTCCAACTGTCAAATCAGATAATTCACTTACTAGTGTACGAGCAGGGAAATCCAGAGCACATTTGTCCGGAGGCGTACTCCAGATGGCGGCTGTCATAGGCTGTGTTTCCCCCAATGTTAAGAACTCAAAGAAGGCTTCAAGCTCAGTGAAGCAGAACATACGATCAAGTAGTTGTCACGGAACACATCCGAATACCCTTCGCGTTCCAAATACTGTCCAATCGACAGTTTGGCGCCATTTCCCTTCGATTCATGCATGACCAGTTGCCTTGCACAAGCATTGAATCGCAAGACGTCATACAGAAGTCGCCACATTTTCGGATCAAGCAATCTAGAGGGTTGAGTGAAGACCGTGAACAAATTGTTCCCTGCCCATTCGAAAGCACCTTGGTCGCGTGAGACACTGAAAGTCATTTCTGTGGGTAAGATGGCAGAACGAAGATGTGGATAGGACTTCAGGAAATTGATGAAGTTGGGGTATGTGCTCGGGTTGAAGACGATCTATACAACATTAGCAAACTTTGTGGATAGTCTGACAATGTAGAAAAAGTAGTACAAATCCTCTGCAAAACACGTTAGTGTACTGCAGCTGTAACAGGATATATATTGAACTTACGTATCGACATCAACTGGTTCAGATTTTCTAGCTGACTTGTACGAGACGGTATTGGCGTGGCCACCCGGACGGTCGGAGGCTTCGAAGAGATGAACTTCATGGTCACTAAATTCATTCAACAACTAAAAGAGAGCAGAATGATCAAAGCTGAGAAGCATCAGTGACCGAAACATACCCAAGTAGCAGCAAGACCAGAGACACCTGAACCTACGATGGCAATCTTCATCGGGGACGGGAAACTCATTGTTGTCAATGGAAGCTGTGAGATGATAAAGAGCTTTCCTCGGACAGGCAGGTTCACATATCCTGACACATAGCCAGGTGTACTTCGAACTACATTCTGCCCACGTCCCTGGTCGACGTGTCCATCAAAGATGCGATCTAGCAGACTTACGTCCTCCTTGTAAAGTTCCGAATTACATTAATGAAATAAGGCAAATGTATGGTTCATCCTGGAGAGTCAGTATGTCTACACTTTTGAAGTAATTGTAGAGACAAAAAGTTGTGATGATGACCATTGACGACGTTCAAAATGCCTCATTTGGGTTGTGAGAAAGTAACCCTCTCACAACAGCACGCTACGTTTGAAACTAAGCGAGGAACGTAGATGCTGGATGTTGTGCATGGAGTTCCTGCAAGTTACCTGAACCAACATTGCAGGACCCTCCGCGGGCATACGGCAAGCCTGACGGATAGAATACGAAAATCCCGTTATACACGATATTTCAAAGTTAATGGAATAGATAAGAAGTGGTGAGAAAAGTGGAAGGGTATAGTTACGACTCCAGAGAAGTCTCGCGCTGAAACGAAAGCATCTCTCGTACATACTGTTCCTGGGAACACTTCAGGAAAACGTTACGCGCCTGTATTATTGGCTCTTGCATCCCGCTGACCAGCAGCCTTGGTAAGAAGTTTCGAAACACCGCCAGCCACCTGCGGCCCGAGAAGCTTAACCCGCAGCGCCGAGACCAGTTGATTTAATGATTCATCCACTTCGGAATGGACTCCAAATTCGCGAATATACCCGATCAGAGAAAGGCAACGCTGTACGGTTGTTCTTTGGACTTCCACATCACCTGTTGCTGTCCCTGCCGCCATTGAAGCGGCCAGACTGCTGCAGATCGTCTTCCAAGCCCTCTTGAGTGAGTATTGCTCCAATTGTGCTCGACCAGAAGCTGAGACCGACTGTAGCTGCAGTAATTCAAGAACAAAGAAGCACAGCCCAAGATTATTTATCTGGACCATGCTCTGGTTGGCCAGAGAATCTGTGACGTAATCCAGGCGCAAGATTTCTGAGATATGAAGAAGCATAGCTTGCCGATCTGTCACGGAAAGAAAATCAGTCAAAAACATCTTGACGTCCAAGAGGTATGCTGTACCCGATATAGACATCCAGCGACAGAGATCTTTCGCAGCCTCTACAAGTAGCGTAAAGAGATCTGGGTGATCCTGATTATTAGGTGTTGCTAGTCGTATGTACCAAGCCAGAGGAGGGTGTTGACACAACCACCGAGATATTTTGCGTTGATGGTCTTTGCTCCAATAGGACCGATGGCCAAAGACTACCAGAATCGCTTCGTAAATCCACACTGGCTGTAACCCATTAGGTTCGCAGTTGAACACCTCGTCTAGCTCGTTGACAAGTAAATCGGCTATCATACGGAAGCCGCCAGCGGGAGACAGTAGAAGCCACGATTTGGCACTGGACTGGATTACGGGCCTGACATTGTTTAAAGGGTGCTCGACGAGGAAATCAGATAGGCTTCGATGTTTACAGTTGTGGCCAGTGCAGAATCGACTACGGAGGAGGTGATAGATCGCAGACAACAAAGCCTCTCCGTGAAGCATGGGCAAGACGCCTTGAAGCTCAGATTCCAGCAAGGCAGTAAGGACATCAGTGTCTCCTGAATGCTGTAGTGAATATGCTTCACTGTGTGACGCCCATGTCGGTATCGGAGTACGCGTGCAAATGACGTCTGAAAACGTCCTGGGATCAATCTGCAGACAGTGTGACAGAGCAGTTCGACCGGCAAGTGGCAAAGGGTGCTCAGAGATGGAAAGAAGGATGGTAACTGCATCCGCCACCCAGTTGTTATCCGGCAACATCTTGAGAGAATACTCAGACAACTTGCGCAAGAGTAAGTCTGCGACAATGTCCACAATAGCTGTCCACGCCTTGATATCCAATTGCCCATGCAAGGTCATCCTCCACCTGAGGCTCAGCCCCAGTTCGTTCTGAATCCGATTGTCAATGACCTTCAAAATGAAGGGCATAATGTACGCTTCATGGTAGTCCAAAATTTGCATCTGAGGTGTCTTCAATTCCAATGATGATTGTGAGAGTAATCCTGAAAAGCCTTGAGCTAGAAGTTGATCATCCAGTAATGCAGCATCTATCGCAAGGAGTATGTCAAGGTCCTCGTGCCATGGAGCATTCGTTGCAAATGATTCTTCTTCGAACAACGAGTACGATTCGGTTTGTCGCCCCATAATGTCTCCAGCAACCGAATAATCCGAACCGGTATCGTACAGAGGGCGTATCTGCGACACGTGCTCATACAATAGAGCACGTATCTGCCTCATGGTTTCCTTGAGGAATGTAATCTTATAAGGGCAAAGTGGAGAGATCACCGGCGCGATGACGATGCATACGAACAAGATAGCCCATATGGAAACCAGCATGATACTAGTGGAACCTATGCTCGAGTGTATGTCGGACGCAAAGATGCAGAGGCCTGCGAAGAACAGGGCTAGAGCAAGTTGCAAGAGTAAAGGTAGCAAGGCGGCGATCTCGAAAACTCTCCACTTGATGATTCCCAAGTAACGGAAGTAGCGGATTCGAAGACGAGTTTGGGGAAGGGCAAATCCTCCGGAGAGGAACTCGCGAAGCCACTGTTTGACGAGCATGCCGAACGAAGCAGTCACAAGACTGAGTATAAGACTCGCAAACCAGAAAATATTGACTCGCCGAGCGGCGAGGGACGGCTGGAAGGGGCATGTTGATGCAGCGATGCAGGCAATGTCCATAGTTGGTAGAGCAGTACTGGAAGGGTCGAGGAGGCGCAGGTAAATGTGCGAGAGCAGAATATTATTCACAGATGTCTGGTCTGGCTGGAGTAGCTTATATGACTCGATCAGCAATGTGGTCGTCACGGCTGAGAACAAGCCGGCCTGCAGAAGTGCGACATGAGTTATGACTAGGTGTGGAAAGTTAAATGTTACCCACGAAGACAAGTAAAGTGTCAATGTCTTCCTTAAAATCCTCAACCTTTTCTTCATCAAGTGTTCTGACATGCTTATCCATAGTTTTCCATGCTGATTCGGGATGACTAGCATCAACACGCTCAGCTTGCTACAGTGTTCGCAGGATGAGGATACAAGGGAACATTTAAATCATGGAAGCACGCACGTCCGCCCGCATTACTTTGCGTCTACGGTAAAAAGGTGGAAACATTAACGAAACGCTAAGGCGAGCTCACTTAATCTGAGAAATGAGGCGTAAGTGACGGTAGGTGAAACAGCAATGCAAAGGAGGCGTGAGATCTGAAGCTGAACTGATCAATAATTGATTGCACTTTCCTCTTTGAGCCTCGGAACGCAGACAGAGGGTTACAGTCGTACTTGGGGGGCAGTGTGCAAGTTATACTACGACCGCAAGCTGACTCTAGTCTCCGGTATATACCACGTCTCTCTGTCCGTCGATATTGGATTCAGGCACCCTGTTTAGCCATGCAAAGACCGGCCATGATCCTCCAGAGAGAGCTACTCCACCATAATCGCGGTGCTGCTTACATGTACCCAAATTATCCACTCGATTATGAGATCAAACTTGGCGATATTGGTTGGTTCGGATGGGATGGCCAGTTCATCCGTCTATTCAATGTGATGGTGGATAGCAGCGATCCTCGTAATACATATGGCCTTCCAGAGGATTACGAGTGGCTCGACATTCCTACACATCTCCGACAAAATATACCCCACGATCTATCCCCCGGACAAATCTTATGCAGTAGCAGTGCTGAAGTCGTAAAATCCAATGGGCAAGTATATTGATTTTTGTGTAGAACTCTGCTAATTGACGTGGTCACATTTCGCAGCGAACCCGCTGCAGATGAGTCTGAGCCTGTGGTGGGTATCATCCGATTCCTGAAGGACAAAGGTGGCTTCGTCGTCCCTCAGTCAACAGGCTTCAGGGAAATAACGTTGCCCGAGGCCAATGACCTCATGCACAACTACATGATCGCTCATCGCGAGGGTTGGTTTCGTTTGGCAGTGAAATGTCACCATGTTCTCCACAGAGACGACTTTGTAATGATAACCGGAGTGGTGAAGACTCAACAGTGGGCAGTGGGCCTTAGTCGAAAAAAGGATACACAAGTCACAGTGCTAGGCACAGCTTGCGACGACCCTACAGAGCTGTTGATAGTCCGGCCCACAGAGCCGTCGTGTATTGTTCGTGTTGGTCCTCGGATAGGCTTCTACCGGTTCCCAACCTTAAATTCAATTATGGCCAACACAGTGGCCGACCAGGCCCTGTTTTTGAACTTTCTCAAAGCTCGCTCTCGAGCTTTTATGCCTGATAAAGTTGAGGCTACCGCAGGTCCTCACACGCTACCAGATGGACCGGACGACGGTGATCTAGGGCACTCTGAGGCAAGATCAGATGTCAGTTAGACCTACGTTGTTTCTATCACACTCCTGACATGCATCATTTCGTAGCCTAGCTCCTGCATAGACCCAGCCTTGGAATACATTTTAGAGGTCAGTATTCTCCAAAGTATTCTTCTCGGATATTTCTGACTTGCTTATACGCCAGTCGTCTGACTGCGATGTTGCAATCACAAGTGATATGGAAGTCTATCGCTTACTACACGTACGTGTGTCTGATACAAAGTCAGTACGATTCTAAGATTGAGTTGAGTTTAAGGGTGAACCGTGGCCGGATGATCTATTGTCTTTTCTCCGTCTGCTTGCACCCCGGATCGAAGTGAAAGTCACCGATTCCGGAACTCGATGTGAGCTTCTAATCATCCAATTCAATTCAACTTGTGTTGACATCACTTCACCCGGCAGACGGGCGATTCCCTCTCGATACCGAAGTGACTACGTCCCATCCCGCGGAAGGAGACCAATGTAGTGTGGAAGCATCGACTGCCCCAGAACTTCCTGTAGCACACGACTTCTTCTCGTTAAACCTGACTTGTCGTCCTAAATCGTCTCAGCATTCTCTATCATCGACTCAGTTTTCCTCTCGCGAAATAGTTGCATTCTAGGTTTTGGAATAATCTTTTCGAGGACAATTGGATCGGTAGGATATTTATTGACTCGTTCGTTGTAAATAATTGTAAGCATCTTTTAGTTTGTAGACACGAATCAAAAGTCACAAGCACATCTACGTCTATATTTCCGGTTCGAAATATTTCACCAAACACTTATTATCCTGCTTACGGTACAGGTAGATTGGCTTGCCACGCCCTGCGATCTGCGCAGGTAGACTCAAGTCCGCCAGGAGAAATATACAGTAAGCGGGAAGAGATGAACGGGGTCGAGTTTCATCGCTTCCCGTCCGTGAACTATAAATTGTGAAGAAGATACGACAAGTGTAGCCTCCCGGGCAACAGGGTAGTGACCACAAATGGGTCCATTTGAATAGGAACGTCGGCAATATTCGTTTGGAGGTCGACTCAACACCATGTCCACTTGACGGCAAAGTCAAACAGAGATTGATATCGACTGTGGTTGACGACACTATACAGGGCCACCGCTGCGCCAGGGATATGAAGTTAGGAACAATGTTAGTTGCGCAGCTAATCCAGGCGTTCGAAGATCTAGATCAGTAAATGCGAGCATCTCCAATAATTTGGTGGTGAAAGGTATGGTGCCAGTAATATACTGGCCAGGAATTTGATAAAACCACTCTGCTTCCGAGACGTGCTCCGTAACGCAAAGGCGAGGGTGATTATACACATAGCCTGCTGAAGTGTCTAAGGTCATCGATGGATTGCAGCTTCGCCCTTAGAATTTGAAGGCAGCCTTCTGGCACAGGCGTACTAGAGCGCAGGAAGTAGTCGATATGAACATTTCAAATTGTCGAACTGCGAGCGTCATAAATAAAGCGCACCGCATTGATACAATTTGAAAGGCGTACAGCAAGGACGATATTGACCTCAATTGGGAAGGGTAATTTCGACTCGGAAAGATCGTCCATGACATAAGCTAGATGAAACCACCACATTTACATACTGTAGATGTGAGTTAAAGTGAGAGAAGAACGTTCACTGGCCGCCAGAATATAACGGCTCGGCATGTGCATGAACATGCGAGTGTTAATTATTATACCGTATACCATGCTCCTCGTATATGAGGCCGTGGAGAGCAATGGATGGGTACATGAGTACGATAATGATGAGAAAGCAAGAAGCAAAATAAGTGAGCGTGCATGTATGTATGTGAATTGTGAAAGCGGAGAAATGCGATGGGATGCGAGATATAAACAGAAGAGAGAAGGAGAGAGGGGGAAAAAGTAGAGAGAAATATACAATGTCCAATCGATCCAGCATACACATAAAAGCCGAGATATAACTCTCCCGCGAAAGAGCTGAGAGACTACTCATCCACGCGAGCTTCATCCTACAATAGCCCCACATCGTGCGCATTTCTTGTCTGTGTCCAAGCTAAAACTCAAATTTAGCTCTCCAAAAAAATTTGAATCATAGAGACGAAGAGGGACGTACAAGAGACATACGAGACCAATAGGAAACAAAATCACAGCGGTGATGATACCACACACACCAAACTTTGTCACAACATCATGATCTCCCCTCGCACATTTCGCATATACTAAACACACAGACACAACCCACTCATCAGCAACAAAAAACACTCAACAAAAACGTACTCATATACTCACATTGTTGTTGATACTGAGCCCCAATCTGTGCATCCATTTGCATCTGCTGCATAGACCCCGGCGGGAACTGAGGCTGAGGTCCCCGTCCACTCGGTCCTCGTGCAGACTGTGCCGATGGTTTAGGCTGAGGATATGGATATCCTGAAGAGTACTCCTGTCCCGGCTGAGCCTGCGGTGGTGAGCCCATATTATGAGGAGGAAAATAACTATCACTAGCAGGTTGTGGGAAACCCGGTGCTGAGGGTTGTTGAGTAGTCGTAGATTGGGGATAAGAGGAACCCTGAGATTGCAGTTGCGGTTGTGATTGTTCTGGGTACGCAGGTGGAGGACCCGCGGGAAGTGTCTTTTCGTCAATCATAGTGATGGTGGTTGTGGTTTAAAAGCTGACAGCGGAAGGCGAGACCTCCTGTGCAAAGCGGGTGAATATAAAATGTGTATATAGGGCTAGTTGGAGCTTGGTCGGACTGGGCAGCAGCAGGGGAAGAGTCGGAAGTCGGAAGCAGAGATAAAGTCAAGAACGACAAGGTCAAGAGCAGGCACAGTCGACGGCGGCCTCACTCATCGTTGTCAGAGGCTGTGCTGCTATCACCCAATTTCGGGCATGCATAGGTCATGATCGAGGCATCCGGTCTTGTGTTAGAGCTGTGCGGGTTGCGGAGAAGGTAAAACTACTGCGGATCGTCACTGCGGATAGCCTTTGGAAGAAAAATACCATGGGGAACGAGGGGTGGTGTGGACTTTCTACATATGGGCGGTTTTTGGTTATTTGGGCGGTGCTAATACAAGATCTACAGAGGACATTGAAAATAAGGAATCAACTTTTGGTGAATGCGAGTTCGAAGATGTGTAGGTAAAGGAATAACGAGGTCGACCGGCGTGGGAGGAATTTGAAATATGTGAGTGGGAAGGCGAAGAAGCAACAACGATTCTACAAAAGTATAAAAATGACAACAACAACAGCGACAAGCAGAACAGTCGGACAATAGTGAAACAGAGTGTAGGTAGTTATTAATACACAGCACAATAAGTAGAAAAAAGGGATCAAGGGAAAGAAGGCTGCGAGATGACCAAATGAACGAACCATAATGAACCCGGAAAGTTGAATAAGGAAAGAAGCAAGCGGGTAGAATAACTTGATGGTGTTGTGATTCCGGGGAACGTTATTTTCAGAGGTTACGAAGGTGATGGGCGGGATAATGGGCGGAATGACGAGGTGTTCGGGCTCGATGTGGGGACGGGGGACGGGGAATTCTTTCAACGATCCCACTTGACGATATAATCATGCGGAGACTTCGCTTGTTGATGTGTCGAATACGTCGACTCGGTCGCGAAGCTCGCATATCCGCCACCCTTTCCACTCACCGGGTCCTCCGACACCGTCACTTCTCGTTCTACTCCCACTTCTAATTGGGATTGCTGTAATCAGACGCGCGACAAAAGTGGGTGTCAATATCGATCCTCGAATGGAAGGAAAAAAAAGGAGGGAGGGGGGTACGTACGGTAACCCTCGAAGGCTGCATCTCAATATCCTGGTCATGTTTTGTTGCTTTTCCGACCATGAGGAATGTAGGCATAGTCGTGACTTCGTTATCTGTTCCTCTCCCACGAAGGATTCTTCGTGTGTTCAAAGTCGCCAAGAACGAGTTCACGTAGACTAAATTTCCCATGTCAGCAAGCTGAGCGCGAGGGTTCAAAAATTCTGAACATACGTTTGCTGAGAATGAAGTAGAACGCCATGAATATGAAGTTATCTGGCATGACGTCGTACTAGAAAAGTAAGAAGAAAATTTAAAGAAGATCAACCGCATAAGATCAGCTTTTCCCATTCATTGATCGAGACAGATGCGAGACCATGAGAGAAAACGTACCAACACCAAAGTCGTCAAACTAACAGCACTCGTCAACACCCCCGTATTAATCGCATACAACGTCATCCGATTGATCAACGAGTCGTCCCTAAAAATCAACAAGACCAACCATCAGTAAGTCATCTCATCAGACTTTCAATCGCCACGCATGTGTCGAGACGTCGTGCCACAACAGATAAAAGGAGAGAAGGATAACCGAGGAAGAAAACGCACTTGGAATATCCAGTCTTCAAATGCCTCAAGAAAAAGCACAAAGCACCAGCGGTAGCCATGTCTGTAGCTACTCCCAGAGAGAGAGCAGTAATACCGATGACTTTGAGTTGATCGACGTCAGCGAGAGTGGGTACATTGAATCTGTGGAGTTGATGAGGGATGTGAGTTGAGGGTGAATGGAGGGGAGAAAGCGGGATATAGGAAGGCGGGAAGTGGGAAATGGAGAGGGGGGAACGCGATGTAGGGAGAAGGGCGAGGACTGATGGCTTACGCTTGTGCGGTATATACTAGAAAACAGAGATCACAGGAAAGAAAAATCAGAAGGAAAAGAAGGAATATGAAGAATGGGGAGGACTGACCAGAGGCAGCAGCGAGTTGACCTGCAGCCAAAAGAAGCTACGATACAAATACAAACCAATAATCAGATCTAACCCATTCTTTTTTTGTTTCGATTGTTTGAAGGGTTGAAATTAGGAAAAAGAGATCAGAGAAAACACGTACGATGGCGAGGGTTACAGGAACGTTATGTTGACTGACTAGAAAACAAAGTGATACGTCAGAAAATCGTGAAACTGACCGTAGAGGGACCAGGTGTTGGTAGAAAAAAAAAAGAGGACTTACAGCGATATACTCGCATTGCGAAACATCCTTTCACGAGGGCGCCTGCGAGTGCCTATCGAGTTCATTGAAGGTTATATGAGTCATTGCGCGAGGAGTCAATGACTCCATGAGGTTGAAGACGTACCCCGAGTGTGACTTGTAGCTAACGCAAACGTTTCATATCAACTTTAACTCAAGACTCATCTACAATGAGTAGGAACGTACGATAAGTGACCTACGGGAAGCGAAACAATCAGGCAGAAAAAGGTGGTAGCTAAGCAAAGTTGGAACTATGGGGGAAGAGGAAAGGAATCGTACCATAGTGGTGGTCGTAATAACGCCAATGGATTCCCCCAATCTCTAATAATTATTGATCGATGGGTAAGTAACTTGATAAAGACAGGAATGGGACTGTGGAATGAAGAGGGACATACGTGATGGCGTAGGTGTATACTGCATGTCCGATAAATGCTTGATCAACAAGCTCCAACATCCTATAGAACGGTTCATGTCAATATGACTCGATCGGACGGTGGAATTCTGAAGTGCGAGAACATACAATAACATGGCCACCTGAACCCGTGGATACAAGAACACGTCAACCAACTAGACATAACATGGCAAGAAACGCGAAAGAGATTCACCAAACATTTGTAAAACCATGTATCAAGAGGATATCGGTTGACATACGTCCACGTCTGCGAACATATCACACCGAGCAATCTAGATAATGACACAAAACCCGAGTTAACATTAAGCTTCAACGCCTTGAACGCGACACAAGCCAGTCGATGTGTATTTCATTCAGAGCAAAGAGTGTGACGCACGCGGCAGAAGCAGAGAATCCGATAAATGTCGCTCCGATAGTCGTATGCCTGTTGAAACTCGACAGGACAGCAGCAGGCGAGTTGTCCGAAGCAGCAACTGTAGCCATTTCAAAAACAAGAGATGGTAGCTAACGGCTACAGAGCCCAGAAGAATATTGTAGATTCCGGCCGAAAGCCAATGCGGTCGAAGAAGCCACAATACTAGTCACCAGTAAGGAGATCAAAGCAGGGGGGAGGGAACCCTCTACAACACCCGCGTGAATGTCTGCTATGCCAGAATGAGAGAGCTAAGCGAGCGACGGAAAGAAGAAAAGAGAGAGAAAGGGATACGAAAGGGAGAGTGGTTAGTGCGTCGAGACGGAGGTAAGGGAGCGACTGTCAGAAAGCGCCCCGTGCACGAAAAATCGGACCCCCGAAAGATGGTTGGGAGAAGGGGTCTGAGAGAGAATAGAGCTGGAGATTTGATCATGGCTTGTGGACTGGAGAAAAGGATCTGCCTCTCCAGGTGGAAGCTGCTCAATCCATCTCATTTCCAATTCCCCGCGCGCACATCGAGATCCGCTCTATCCCTGGCGCCCAGCGTCTTTTTCTCTCGTCCCTCTTTTCCTCTCCATCGCGACCGACGATGTCAAGGGGCAACCGGCTCAAACCACATGCATTGAGGTCCAATGTTGATTATTCCTGTCTCTTCTGGCAGTTGCAATGATGTGCAGAATTGACTATTGATCTATTGACGACTTGAGCATGTGGATCCAGCATGTTTTTCTGTTTTAGCAAGATGGACGCCAGTGTTTAGTCTGTTCCTCACTGTTCAAAAGGGAATGAAGCAAAAACAAAACGCCTTCTAGAAATGGGCAACTGGGAAGGTACGCAGCTCGTGTAGCGCGGAAACGCAAATCGCGATATTCAACGTCACCATCAAGTATCATTCAAGTGTGAACACTGCTCGGCCGACCAGGTAGTACTTGAAAGCAACATACACTTCTCGGCTGTGGAAGGGTATGACACAATATTTCATGTTCCCGTCGACATTCCCAGTGTCCCCAACACCATCCTCGTCAAGGCCCTTACATCATCCACATCTCGACAACGCCCTGACTCGAGTCCTGAAAGTCCTCGCAAGACATGCGAAGGTGTAAGTACCCTCCTCACTTCACCCTTCCGCTCCTCGGCTCCGCGCATCTGCATCTGCATCATCCTCGATTTGCCAAAACTACGTTTCAAAGCATCTTCATCCTCCCGAAACATCTCCAGCCCACTCTCCAAAAGTACCCTTGTCATACACTTCGTAAGCACAGACAACAACGCAAACGGCGCAAGTTCATCTTCCACCTCCGCTCGAGGTCGGTCTAGTTTCTTCAGGCACAGCGCATTTGCAGTTGAGCCTGTAGGTTCGATTCCACCATGGAGTCGATCTAGGTTCCAAGAGGCCGAGAGACGTTGAATGGCCCTGACGAGTTCTGGATCAGCGATCGCCACCAAGTCCCTCGACGACGCCGGTATTTGTGGCATTCCAGATAACTGAGATGACGACGAGGTTGTTGACTTCATATGTTCCCTCGAGTGAGATGGTAAGACACCACTGATTGTTTCCTCTTTCGGACGAACGTTGGAGGGAGGAAGGGTAATAATATTTCGAAGGTCGAAGACAGGTCGTGAGATCTCTGAGAACTCCCCATGGAAAATCGTACAAACACCCTGGTGGTTCAACACCGTAAAGTCCGAGGCCGGAAGCGGCACGGATGATTGCAATGGTTCTTGCTTGACAACCGCAGATTCCCTAGGCCTCTTGATGAAGAAAGGTCCTCCCACTTGAGAGCGTACGGGATCTCCAAGGCTATTAAGACTCGGGTGCAAAAGGTAGTGAAGTCCACATCGGCGACAGTAAACTTCCGTTGATTTCTTCACATCAGAGCTGTTCATCGGCACCCCCACCCCTCGCACGATCTTTTTGTTCTCTGGGGCCAGTGAAATCTTCGTAGTGACAGCTGTTCGGGGGAACTGTCCCTCGTTTTTGAGCCAGCAATAGATATCGCTGACAGTTAGAGCGATGTATTCGGTGCCGCCCTGATCATCCTTCTTGCTTTGTTCGTATGCTTCGTGCAGAGCCCTGGCACGTCCCCACTAAAAAAGATAAAGATAGAAAGAAGAAAAGGGACAGCGGTGAACCGGAATTCAAGGAACAAAATAAAGTTCCAATGAATGAGATACGAACCTCGATTGCTTTTCGACGCCCATGCACGAGGTTCAGAAACTGTGCCGGGGTGACAGCAAGATGATACGGAAGTTGCCTCGGCGGTCGACCTTTCACATCTTTGCAAAGGGAAAAGAAACGCTTCAATTTGCGTCATTGCTCTTCTGTCAGGTTAGGACGCACCTTTCAATGTTATAGGGAATTGAGGCAACAAAGCTTTCAGCTTGACGACGTAGGCAGGATCTAGCAAGACGTTGGAAGTTAGTAATAGCACTAAAGTGACCCGTAATCGTGACATCAACATCAACAGCATCAAAAAATGACCGAGCTCCCCCAAGACGGCGAGAAAAGCTCTCTGGTTCAAGATTCGAACCACATGTCATCCCCGCGCCCATACCACACAAGGAAAACGGAAAGCAAGAATAAGAAAAGAAGACCGACCTGGATCAGGACTCGAATCCTTCTGATCCCCTTCCTCATGGTCCTTCTTGACAGCTTCATCATTATCGCTCTTTCTATTGCTGTTCGGGTTCCTGTTGTCGCAAATGGATTCCGATATTAGAGCCTCATCGGAGTCTTGGATTTCCCACGTGACAATTCGCTGATCCTCTCGGCTCGCAGGGAGTAGTAATTCTGTCGTCCGATCTAGTTCGACATCAAATACTTGTTCGTCTCCGAGGACGGGGGTGCTCAGGTGTAACGGGTCCAGCTACATAAATCAAAACAGAAATAAGAAATAAAATAAGCATATGAATCAAATGAATGTGAGAGTTTATTGAAGGGGAAGATTGAAATGAAAAATGAAACGGACCTCGACCCAATGTTCTACTGTGATGGGAGGGTTCAGACCGTCGCGGCCCGTCCAGTGGAATCTGAGGCTCGCAAGGAAGGGGCGGTCCGTTGTGCTTGTAAGTACGAAGGGAGGAGCATCGAGGGTTATAGGTTGGACGAGGGTAGATGCTGGTGGGTCGGTAATGCAGGAGACGGTTAGTTTCTCTAAGAAACTGACGATAGGGAGACTCTTTTGGGTTTGTAGTGAATGTCAATATATTGATAGGTTAGATAGAATAGAGAGATAAAGACGTACATAAGATGGTGACGAGACACTGAGTCTCCAGAGATGTGTGTGGTCTGGGTGTATTTTCGACCGTTTCTCTTGTCCTACTATGAGGATGTATGCGCGTGTCAAGTAGAGATAGAACATACCTGGTGGAATCCATTTACTCCGGTCCTGAATAGTAACTCTTGCCGAGATATGAAACCTAGTCCCAACACCACGCATAAAAGGGTTAGGCGTAGACGAGGTTTCCTTCGAAGCAGCCAACTCGGTTTCTTCCCCCTCAAGCATGGACAGTTCTCCATCTGCGGGTGCGGGTGTACTAGACGATGTGATGGATTCCATGAGTGCGGACTGTGCTTCACTCCGATGGGCATAACGCATCCTCCAATTTGGCTTCTTGAAAACCTGGGACTTAGGCTGAAGGTCGACACCTGAGAAGATATCGACATTCTCATCATGGACGTGGATAACACGCCGCTTGGGCTCTCGGCCTAGGAGTGGTGCCAATGCGGGAGTATCTTCATGCAGACCCAAGGTACGAGTTAAGTGAATACTCGGAGCAGGTGTAGGTTCCACCTCTGCAACAGGTGTAGCTGTTAAGGAGGCGCTTTCTTCGGTCTTGACAACATTGGACTGAGCAGGGCGAGCAGGAAGTGAGAGCAAGTCCCGACCTCCACCAACGGCGATTTCAAATAACCGTCTCAAACCAGGTAAACTGATACCGGCGACCTCAGTTCCATTAGCAACGACCCAAGCCTGTTCCTCGTCTTCTTCGATAAGAACAGCGCAACTTTGCACGCAGTCATCGTGACTGCCGTATTCGCGCAGATGTCTCAAGCGACAGTGGTTCAATAAACCTTGAAGGCTGGAAAAATCCGTTCGAGAACAGTCCTGACAAGCTAATTTGACGATTTGTGGTGGATTGGTAGATGTGTTGCGTAGGAATAGAAGCTTCTTTGGTGGGGCGCGCACGGCGCGGTTGAGTCCTCGAATACGTGTGGTAGTAGTGTAAGGAGCTCTGAGAGGATTGATACTAGGCGTTGACGCGTTAGAGATAGTAACCGGCCGTAGATGTTGGGCGATCTGCAGAGCTTGTACTTCGCGAGTGAATAGAACGTTGCACGGGGCTTCAATAGCGCCTAATGCATCGAGAGCAGCAGTCTTCATATCAGACTCGGCATGATCTGAGGCTAATGATGTCTGCGTCAATTGTACGAAACTTTCGCAGACTGTGAGGAAGGTAGGTTTACCACCAATTGCACATTTTGAGCTCTCTTGGAGCAATAGAGCCCATGCTAAACGAGATTGAACTGTGGAAGCTAGTCTTTGCCTAAGTGATATCTCTAAGTCTACTTCTTCGAGGAGGATTCGCCTAGGGGAAGGGTCGATAAAGCTAATGTCCCCTGCGTCTGTGGGAGATCAATTAGCAAACTGTTTAGTAGAATGAAGTTTGGTTCGCCTCACCATCGTCTTCAACTAAGAGCTTTCTTCGCTTTGGAGGTCGCCCATCCACGATAGTCTCTTCATCTGAGGCATAGAACATGGAGACAAGGTTCAAGCAACGATGAGGGTGAAATGAAGAGCGTGCCACAAGGTTTTTGGGAAACGATCATTGCGCGCTTTTTAAAATTATAGGCGCCTTCGAGTCTGTGCTTTTCATCTTCCTTAACTGTGCGACGAAGTTCAAGTTGCAATTATCTTTTTCTTCTCACTAGATCCCGAGGTCTATTTATTCTACTCTACAACATGAGCCTCTCTTCGTTCCTTCTAGGGGTTTCAAGTGTGAAAGGAAAGGAAAAGGCGATCGATACTGGGCTTGATAACCTCTTTCGTTCAACTGTGAGTGTAATTTACTTGTACATATGCAGGTCGCCTTGTCTTATAACGAATATATAGGCTGTTGCCCCTGTAGTCGCTAATAATCCTTCAGAAAAAAGCACAACCAAAACTCCGGAGAAGGACAAGAAGAGGAAACATCAGGAGACTGAGATAGAACCGGCAGCTGCATCGTCCTCCAAAGCAAAACGACCAAAGTCGGAAAAGAAAGTAGAATGTGAGTTGCACACTCACTTGTGATCATTGCAATGTCCTTATTAGACTACATATATCTAGCCGACTCGACATCGAAGAAGTCGACAAAATCTAAGTCTCGTAAAGAAAAGACTCGTTCGGACGAACCCACATCGGAACAACTAGAATCTTCTAGCCCTCAACAACAACACAAATCAAGCTCTCAGGCGCGAGATTCAGAACCGGAGCCTTCTGACGATGACGAAGATCCGTCACAACTTGTTCATGAATCGTTAGCCAATGGCGGCCAACGCAAAGGCAGAGGGCGTCATGCCCAACACAAGTTCGTTCCTACAAACGAGACGTCAGAGCAACGAGACTTGCGTACAATATTTGTCGGCAACGTCGCCATCGAAGTTGTAAAGAGCAAGGTACGCCATGTATGAGACGTGTTGCTATTACTCGCTGACATTCCTGCCACTGTGTAGTCTTTGACCAAACAACTCAAACGACACATTCTCTCTTTCGTGCCAGAAGCGAAGATTGAATCCGTTCGTTTCCGTTCAGTGGCTTTCCAAAAGCCAACAGCTCCACTTACCACAGGCGAAGACGACGACAACGCTACTGACAAGTCGAAATCCGCTCCCAAAGCCAAGGATAGCCGACAGCATGATCGAGACCGAGCAGCGTCCTGGCGTGCAAATAAAAGCAATGGTGACTCTGACGATGAATTTGCGCCAAACGCAGAAAAGACCTTCCTCACTCCAGCAGAGAAGAAACGCGTCGCCTATATCAAACATGAGTTCCATTCTAGCGTCGACTCAGTCAACGCTTATATCGTCTTCGCACACCCCATACCTGAGGCTGCCTCCTCAAGACCATCTAACCTTCCCCCACCAAAGCCTGTCATGAACCCTTACGAAGCCGTCCAAGTCGCAGTTCAGAAGGCTGACGGGAGTACGTTCTTAGATCGTACGATACGCGTAGACATTGTTGGGAAGAGCGGCAAGAAACAAGGCGAGATGAGTGGTGACCCGAAGAAGACTGTATTTGTGGGCAATTTGGATTTTGCGAGTAAGGAGCAGGATTTGAGAGTGTTCTTTGAGGGGTTGGTTGTAGCAGAGAGAGGTCCTCCATCAGCGGCTGATGAAGATCAATCTGAAGACGAGGAGGAAGACGAGGAGGGGGAAGAGAAGAAGACTGAAGGTGTGAAAATGCCCAAGACGTGGGTCAAGCGTGTGCGTATCATACGAGACAAGGATACACAACTCGGCAAAGGTTTTGCATATGTTCAATTCGTGGTACGTCCTATCTCTTTTTTCTCACTCCCGACGTTCAAGAATCTGATCTCGCCTTGTCGATAATAGGATCGTGATTGCGTAGACGAGATACTCTCCCTCGAACAAGATCGTCTGAAGTTTGCCAAACGTAAACTTCGCGTTCAACGCTGTAAGACCCTCCCAGGCGGTACCAAAGTCAAACTCTCCACCCCTGCCAAACCACTTCCTTCTACCGGTCCCACTCGTCCCAAAGCCCCTAGACCTTCTATTTCCTCCTTAATAATCGTTCCCAAAGGCGACCCCTCATTAGGACAGAAAATCTCTCATCTATCTAAAGAGGATCGCAAGCAAGTCAAGCTGAGCGATGCAGACCGTGTAGCCAGACGTCTGATGAAGAAGAAAGCCAAGGCTCTGGCGGAGAAGGGTGTGAAGGCGAGGGATGATTTGAAGGAGAGGAATAGGAAGAGAACTAAGGAGAAGAAGGTTGGAGGAGGTCATGGTGGGGAGAAGGCGAAGAAGAGGGTGAGGAGTAATAAGGCTTTGGTGAAGATGAACATCAAGAAGTAGTGTCCTCAGCAGTGTGGTAGATCTGCTTACTTGCTTAATTCATCTGGGTATCCTTTCAAGTGAATGTGAATGTAAAATGAAGCGATGGACCTAGCGATACAGAACGACTACAAATGGTATGTATAATAAGTTACCGAGAAAGTACAAACATCGAGGTGAAAGACAAAACTAGCTACCTCACAAATCACTTCTTCGTCTTCGTCTTCTTGCTACTACTTACCTCCTTTTCCTCGCCCTACATTACCAAACCGACAGCATCAGTTCCCCCGTTTCATTCTCAACCATAATGAGTACATACCTTCCGTTTCGTCCCTTTACCCTCCGCCTTGCCTTTTGCACTTGCTTTACCCTTGCCCTTCCCTTTCCCAGCAGCTTCATCTTTGTCCTTTGCTTTTGACGGAGATTTAGGTTTGACGGCGAAGAACCCGTCTAATCGACCTTGTTGTTTGGCGACGAGGAATTTGGAGAGTTTGTCTGCACCTTTTCTTACACGCTCCTCGCTATTGGTAAGGAGTAATTATTTAAGTGAGAATTGGGGAGAGAAGGGAGGATAATGAGATGGAGACGTACTTGAAGCCTTTTTCGGTGACGAGGAATTGCACTAGCCCTTCGATGTCAGGATTCTTCCACTCAACCTAAGAGACTGCCAGTTAACTAAATACACCCGAGAAAGCTGCATAATCATACCTCAATTTCGTCTGCAGGAGTAACATCAGGAGTCTCGAAGATTTTCTTTGCCTCTTCCCAAGGCCACTCTTCAGGGATCTGAATACCACCCTTCTTCTTCTTACCTTCCTCCGCTGCCTCGTCTTTTGCTGCTGCCCTGTAATCGCCTCCGTCAGAAACCTTATCCTATGAACTAAGGGAAAGAAGTGAAGGGATGAGTGCGCACTTTTCTCGTAATGTCTCAATGACCTTGCCTAGGCTCCCATGTTCCCTGATCATTTTGAGGGCGGACTTGGGACCGACACCCTTGATAGGTTCGAGGTAATCGCATCCGAGGAGTATACAGAGCTCGATAAACTGTATATGTAAGAGATCAGATTTGGATGCAAACAGACCTTCGGAAATCACTGAATCGTACCTGCGACATGTTCATCTCAAGCCCCTCCAACGCTTTCTGTAAGTTGATTTCGCTGATAGGCGTTTTACGAGCTTCTGAAAAAGTAAGATGCCGGTAGAGGATTGGGGCGCCGAACGTCAGGGTATCCATATCTTCTGAACCTGCAGCGTAGACCTAGATACAATGAGAGTTGAATAAGCTGCGAAAGAGATGTGCTTAGTAGGAGGGCGTACTTTGCCGCCACGAGCGAGTTCTGCACATTGTGCTTCCGCTTCTGAAGGTGCCTAGAAGGACGTGAATAATACGGTGAGGAGGCGGCGATTGGTGAGGACGTACAACGACAAAGGGAATACCCATAAGGCCAAGTAACCGCCTGCATTCCTCATTGTGCTCTTTTGTGACCTTGACCGTTCTCCTTGAAAAACGATCTACGTCCTCAGCCGTTCCTGTCTCCTTTGCCTCTTCACCTTCCTCCTTTGCTTCCTCTCGACGTTCAAATCGTTTCGATAGCTACCGTGTTTTGTGAGTATGGGAGCATGTATAGAAGTAATCTGATAACGTACCACACCAGACTTCAGTTCTGGAGGCTTTCCATCAAATACATATGCAGGCTTGATACCGTTCTCGACCATACGAATCGTTCGGTAGAAGAAACCCATGAGATGACTGAGAGCAACATTGGTAAATGCACCGGTGACTATATCTGGATATCTGAATGAATGGCAGACCTGGTTGTCTCTCCCGCGTCATTGGTAAGAAGCTCTCCATCCTTCTGACGCACCGCAATCAAGAACTGATAAATCGACATGGACGCGTCGATCGCGACTTTGCGTCCGAAGAGTGTCTTCATTTCATGTTCCTAGGTAACTGTTAGTGAGTGAATGGTGACTATTCTGCTTGTTACTTACAACAATGGCCTTCGGAGCATGTTCAGACAGAAGAGCGGTGAGTCCTTTGATACCCATTAATGCGACTAGTTTCTGGTTGACGTTAGGAGAAGCCTGAGGTAAGTTGTCACGACATCGCTGTGACGGGACGCGTTACTGCCACGCGAATATTGTGACCAGGCGCGTCGCTTTTGTCACGGTCGCCCAATTCTCTTTGACCTCAACGACAAACATTTCTTGCGGTATCTAACCTGGACGCATTGAAGATACGATAACACGACTGTCCTTTGGCGTAAACCGGACATGCGCGGATATCTTATTTCTGCTCTATCTGACCCACATTAATCCACATTTCGCCGAGCTCACCCACATGTGTTTCGAGTCTACTCCTGCCAAGCCCTTCGTCACATTTATTTGGCTAGTATCCAGCTTAGCTAGCCGGCGCTGAGGGCCTTTGTGGTTAGGGGTAACTAGACGAACACCGGGTCACTCGCCGGTGTCTTAAGCCTACCTTTCACCGTTACCGGTGGACCTGAATTGACCATTCACTAATCACAACCAGAAACTGCAGGTTCAAGTATTGCGAAACACCGACGCTGTTAATTAGACTGCCTTGAGATCACCAGGCCATAGTCTTCTAGCCCCATCATACGGTCTCAATAGATACTAAGCACTGAGTACCCGGCGCTTTCTACCTGAACCCACTGATCATTCCGGCTCGGACTCTCCTCTCGTCCTATGATTGCTCGCTGCTCCTGAGCGTATCAATAGGGATCGGATGCAGGTGATATAAGACAGAACCATCCATCTTCAACTCCCTCGTCTACGAACATCATCGAGCAACGCTTTTGCAACAATTTCCACTGGTCGCACTCGTCCCCTATAGCTGCTAACTCCTGATATGTCTCTTCCACTCGTCAACAAAGTTGCTATCGTTACTGGTGCCTCTAAAGGTATCGGTGCCGCAATAGCCAAACGTCTCGCAGCAGACGGCGCCACAGTTGTTATCAACTATGTTAACAGCGCCGACGTCGCCGACGAACTTGCTAACTCTATCAACGCGCAGGGTCCTGGCAAGGCCATTGCCATCAAGGCCGATGTGTCGAAGATTGAGGGTGGCAAGAAGCTGTTGGAGGATGCCATAGAAATCTTCGGGCAGTTGGATATTCTTGTGTTCAACGCTGGATTGATGAAGAACGAGGTACTTGCGAACGTGTCTGAAAAGGACTTTGACGATCACATAGACATTAACGTCAAAGTTCCCTTGTTCGTTACCCAGTCTGCAGCGCGTTTCTTAAAGCCAGGCATGTTCCTTATTTATAGTTTTGCAGAGCGTCAAGTAATTAATGATCTCTACGTATAGGTGCTCGTGTCATGTTTTTCTCAACTGCCCTTACTCTCAACAGCGCCCCGCCACCCAACTACCTTCTCTACCTCACCTCCAAGGGCGCCGTCGAACACGTCGTCCGAGTCCTTGCCAAGGACCTTGGAGCAAAAGGCATTACTGTGAACGCAATTTGCCCTGGTCCTACTGACACGGATTTATTCCGTGAGGGAAAGACGGAACAGCTGATTCAGTTCTTTGCGAACATGCATCCACAGAAGAGAATTCCATCTCCAGACGAGATTGCTCCTATTGTGGCATTCCTTGCGCGGGATGAAGCGGGCTGGATCAATGGACAGAAGCTGTATGTTAATGGCGTAAGTTTTCGGTATGGGACTCGTTGCATGGGGGATGCTGATAACGTGTTTGCTTCTAGGGTTTCAATGTGTAACAGTGTTCGAGATTCGAGGTCCTATAAACTGCACTTTGTTGTTCAGTGTAATCATTGTATACGTCTCTTATAATACCGTAGTTAATTGAAAGTTCATTTGATGCATTGTGTTTAGGGTATTGGCGTAAGCACTCGTTCTACGGCTTGCGTCAGCAGGCGATGATTGTCGGACGTATCGTATGCCAGGCTATCGTTCGGGGACCGCAAGGCCAGCTTGTGAACCCCTCTTAGTTAGGCGTGTCCTTGGTAAACGCCTTCCATCTCACTGTCTGTCGGAACAGCAGCTCTCCATAACTTCCTTGCGTCACAGTTTGCGGAAGCCGTCGTGTCTTGCAACACCCTCGGCAAGTTTTAATGGATGACCTCGTTCTCCTTAGTCCATCGTACGATATATATATATATGCGGTCTTGGTGAACACTGGTCATTGTGGTTCCTTCTAAATCGCGTCGGCCACAATACTGTAATTACAGCTTTCTTCTCCAAAGTTGGCGGCATGCTTTTGGACCAACCTGAACTCACTGCGGAAGCAAGCCTCCAATTAACACCTAAACGAATTCGCAGTCGGAATCAAAATGCGATCTGATTCGGAGATCTGCAACTAAGTCGTTACGAGGAGGGTAAAGTATTCTACGCACACATTAAGATATGTGCGTCCTCGAAGTCACTCAGGAGACTTGGTACAAGAATATAAGACTGTCGTCGTCCTACGGAGACGTTCAGTGGGCGAGGACTCGACCACCATCGTCCAGAATTCACCGCCATTGAAGGTCCTAATCTGCAACAGGTGGCGTGAGTTACTCATAATTGCAAATGTTCCCCGCTAGTACCTGCTACTGTGGCGCCATATGCCTCGTGGATCACAATTATTGCAGGGTCCTCGACAGGACTTCCTCCAGCGCTGAACCAACGCACTCGATTTGTCGTATTCTGGATTTCGACTGGTAATCGATGACGCGTCCCTCAGCAGTGTAGGCTGACGTGAAGACGGCTAACGACAAACCTTCTTGGCTAGACCTGATGTTAACCCTCCATATCATAAATCCCGGAGGACAAACTGAAATGAAGACGGGGACCTTAGCTGCAGATGAGGCGGATCGCTCTAAGATGACGCAGAAGTAGGGTGGTCCGTATGACTATCTCACCGGGTAGTGCCATGCAATGCGAATAAGTACGCGCTCTGCTAAAGCGCCACTGGCATTCATATGTTCGATCCCACGGGTTTGAATCAGTGAATTAACACATAGTACTTAATGCCTTGCTAGGCATGCTTTTGGAATGTATCTATCGTTAGGCAGCTCTCAATCGATAGTGGCTTAATTGGGACCTTACTTTCAATACTCAGTACTACTACTTAGTATAGTCTGTTGCCATGGAATCCAAATGCCTGAGAAGAATGCATGATTGAACACGGTAGGAAAGAGACGCCTCGCGCACTTGATCAGTGATCGATCTCCGTCTTCCCCGCTTCTACCAAGTTGGACTTTGTGAATTACTATCCTTAGGCGTCAGCCTGCATTCTACGTGAAGGTTTGCCGGTCCCTAAATGACTTCAAATGTATTCTTTGAGCCAGTTCTCATGCTCATCGTGGTTCTTTGTCCTCGTGGCTGGACGGCATGACTGAAATCCACCGCCGAAACTTTCAGATTGATTATCCAGACATCGTGAAGAACAAACCGGGAATTTGGTCTATGTATGCGGTCAGGGTCCGCTTTTCCGTTATGTATTAGCTGATTGTTTATCTCCGACCCTACATCCCGGGTTTGTGTTTCTCAGGCTCTCCTGTGATTTCATCCGTTGAAAGACATAGAACGCCTCATCGCAAGCATGTGTAGACGCGCTGTTCTTTGTTTTCTACTCATTCTGACATCCTAGGCTGGCCTAATGTGGATCGTTTCTTCTGCAAACACCCAAACATGCTCGCAAGGCTGTGATATTCGTCGCAGCAGTGCACATGGTTCCTATGCTTCTTCTCTTGGACAATTGAGAAGTGGTAGCCCGTCTGTTCCGAAGGTTGTCATGACTCTTTGGCCGATGAACTTTTTCGGCGCACATTGTACTCATCTTGAGGAAATGATAGACATGAAAGACGCTCCGTCTTTCTATATAATCGCAGCGAAGACAACTCTCAATGTCATATCCAGAGTAGTCCTTCTCCTGGTATTCAAAGTATTTCCTTCCACACATAAAGCTCAACGATATGGCTCACAACCAGAACAACGCCAACCAGCCGAACCCAGCTGCGAACCCCAATGCAGTCCAAGCCAACTGGCACGCTCAGAACCCGTTCTCCGAGGCCGCGCGCACTCGCGACCCAAACAGCCTTTATCCAGGCTGGGGTCCCAACCCCTCCGGTGATCCAAGACTCAACCCACAGCCCTCTTGGGGGTACGTCTATCAGGTTGCTTACTCTACTCATAATTGACTGACTAGCTCTCATGCAGTGGGTCCGCCGCTCCCCGTGTGAATCCTAACGTTTACCCAAACGTACCAGAGCACTTTCCCAACCGAGGCAACCCCAATATGTATCCAACCTATCCAAACCCAAGCACTCAGTCTAACACGAACCCGCAGCCTATGCAACAGAAGTATGTCCCTGCGATTTATCTTGCATTTACGATTCTGATACGCCACCCCAACCAGCGCGGCATACGAGCACGCTTTCCAGCAATACAAGCCTGACGCCGTTACACAGGCAAGGACCTTGACCAATGAGGCCATTTCTCAAGGCTATTTCGCTGGAGCTGCCACGCAGGCCCGGCAGTGGGAGCAAGAACATCACAACCAGCAAGGTGTCGGCGAATGGAGGCGAATCGAGAAGGAGCGTAACAAGGAGGCGCAGAAGAAGGTGAAGGAGGCTAACGAAGCCAACGCCCATGTTGGGGCAGTCGAGAATGCCATTAGAGCTTCTAAGAACAAGTAACCTGCTGCCCGATCTAAGATGCTCACTGGCGGCGGCTTTTTCCTCTAACATGTTTTGTTTGTATCATGTATCGAATCCGTACTAACGTTTTGATTCTATGAATGTACCTGTAGTCTTGCTCATCGATCTCGGGTTATTGATATTACTCCAGCCTTCAGTACTTCAGTCCTTACAGTCAACGTGGTACGTCATGATAGGGCTGGTATGAGACATTCAGAATTGTATGAAAGGAATGAATACAAGTATATATCATGTACTGTGGATATATTCGTCATCTCCTTGAACTGATGGAGGGTATTGTTTAAGAGGAAATGGTCAAGCCCGCTAAAGCAGACTCCAGCTCGGCATCCGTTTCATCAACCTTCTTTTCAGCAGCCTTGTCCTTACCTCCGACGGCGTGATCCGCAACAACGTCCTTCTCATCCTCCAACTCGCGTTCATCGCCCTCTTCCTCATCTTCTTCGTCCAATATTAGCTGTCCTCCGCGATCTTCGATAACATTCCCTAGTGTTGACAGAGTCGCGTCATCAAGGTCCTCGTTCCAGAGGAGACTCAAGCGCTTCACACTGGGAAGGTGCCGTTTAACGACGTCATGTAAGCGTTGATACACTGCTGCGTCGAGATCATTGTTATCAAACATGAGGGTATGTAACTTCGTATGGATGCCGCTCTCCAATGCCCCCATGAGCAGCTGGAAACCAGGAGGGTATACGGAGCAATCAGATACATCGAGGTATCTCAAATCCTTCCATTCGGATAGCGCGTCAGCGAGAGCATGCCAACCATGCTCTATACCGTCATCCTCCGTTGGATCATCGTCCTCCTCTATGTTACGTCCAAGATTGTCTCGTAAGTTGAGATAGCGCAGAGACGAGCATTTTGCAAGCCCACGAACTAACGCGGTAAAACCTGCTTCGCGAATTCCGTTCTGTACCATCCGAACTTTAGTCAGATTGCCGTGTGCTGCAAAGGCTGCCGCCCAGGCAGTTGCAGAGCCATCCTCCAGTCGGTTTCTCCCACATATCACGACTCGTAAGTTGGATGGCATGCCTGCCGCTTGGCTTAGTTTTGCGGACTCTAAAAGAGCATCCGCAACAACTTTTCCACCTGCAGGGCCAAGGCCATTATTGTCAAGTTTGAGAACGCGAATGGAACAATTGTGAACAAGGAGAGGGACCAATGGATGAACAGAACGTCCGCCAAATGCATTATCATTAAGATTGAGCTCTTGAAGTGTCGCAATATCCTTCAATCCATTGCAAAGGGCAGTGAGAGCAAGGGGAATCTCGTCTATCAGTCGACCAGTGAATATATCTGAGAAGTTCGCGACCTATTGCGCCACATCAGTAAAGTGGTCTGAAAAAGATAAAATCTGTAATTAACCTTCAAGGTTTTCATAGTCTTGAGAACCTCGCCGAGAGCTTCAGCAGCTTCGACGCCGATGGTATTTCCGCTCAGGTGGATTTCTTCTGTGGTATCGACATCGATCTGTTTGAGGTAGGGCTCGATATCCAGCCGAGTATCTAGCTTTAAATTGCGACCTAGAAGAGACAAAACACGACTTTCTGTTGACATCGCTGGTTAGGAAATTTGAAGGTGATCGAGGTCTAGAGATAATTGTATGGACAGTGGTGGTTTGTAAAGAAGTCGTGATTCGATCGCCGCTAAACAGATGTCTTTGTATTTCAGGGCACGTGGGAAAGTAAGAACTCAGCATAAGTTCCGGGAAAACTGTGGACGATGGGTTCCACGTTACAATTGCGTACAGACGGTGTGTTTTCCGACCTCCATGAGTGACGTTTTCGTCCTAAGAATTACCGGATGACTGTTGATAATCCAGGTCCCACTTAGTAAAACAAGTTGGCACTAACGACTTCTAACATCACGATCAACAGATCTGAGTTCAATTACAGAATGTGGACCGCCATGCAAAGCCATCTATAGCATGTACAAGGTGTCCCGTTTGCTAAACTTTAGTACTAGTTGCAGCAGTAGCCTTTTTGACCTCTGATGATACCGCCAGCTGCCACATGATCACTACTAAGTATTAGTACGCGATCGATCAAGGACGCCGTACATATTGGGCAAACTCTTCTGTAGTCATGACACTTACAGTATCCAAGACATCAACTGAGACATAATCGCCACAATGAAAGTAGATAGTATATGTACATTAGTACGCCGATCTTTGAGGTCTGAAGGTTCACGTAGTAACGTTAGTGACAATGAAGTTCTACCTTTAATTGTACATTGTCATGTTCGAATTCATTATGATCGACGCACACCACCACCCAATTATCTATCTCCCAAGTATGCTTCAGGTCAGTAGTTGTACTGGGCACCGTACTTATCCACAGCTACAACCCGGAACCGAAATATGTTCCAGTAGCATGATGGTATCAGACTTTCAAAGTCCGAAAACAACTTGGAGCTACGCAAAGTGAATACAACAAATGAACATATGCAGCAAAGCAATACGAGAAAAGAAACGATACGACATAGCGAAACATGCGACAGGCAGTGAGGGTATGCGACCCAAACCCGAAAAATTCTTGGGTATTTATACAATCGACCTCAGTGTGGTCAAGGTGGAGTGTTCTCCTTGTCCCCGAAGACCTCCCGGACAGGACTCTGAGATCCGAGTTTCATTACCTTTCCCGCTTTCTCCAGCTCGAAACTCATGTCTTCAACACCATCCCACTCCTCTTCAAGTAAGCTGGGTTCGATCGATAAGGGTGCAAGTCGAATGGGAGATTCGGTCTCGATAATTGCATCCAAGGGATGAATACGATGTTTGTGACGTTCAGCAAAAACCGCAGCTGCGCCCCCAGGCATGGGCAGAGGCGGGTTCAGCTTCGTTTGTGGGACTGGCAAAGTCGTCTCGAGGCCAAGGGCGTCGAATTTCTGTACGAAGGCAGCAAGTGCTTGTCGTTCTTCCTCCAGCTTCATACGAGCCTACGTAACATGAAGTCAAGAATAAGCGAATGTCCGAAAGGTGGGGAATGTCGTTACTGACCTTGCGTTCTTTGTCCAGTTGCTTCACTAATTCATCAGCCCACGCTTCCTTCTCCTCCCTCAACTTTACCTCCCTCTCCACCTTCACAGCCCATTCTCTCTCTACATCCTCTTGAACCTTCCTCAACGGTTCACCGAGATTGTCTTCATAGCCTTTGACGACGATCTCTAGTTCCCTGATGGTCTTCGTTTGTTCCGCTAGCAATTTATCTTTCTCGCTCTCAGGTGCATCGGGAGGTAGGACAGGGCGAGCTAATATAGCTGCTTCGAGCGAGAGGATCTGTGTTGACTGCGTTTCAATCTCACGTCGCGCGGCCAAAAGTTCCTGTTGAAGCTGCAAGTCATTGTTAGAGCCGTGGCGGGAGTTCAAAAGGAGATAGACTTGCTTGATATGGTGACATATCAAAGTCGACCTTGGCAGGACTCGAAGGTCGAGTTTCATCTCCCTTGTTCTCGTCAACCGTCTGACTTGTCAGGATCAACTTGGTCAATTGTCGGATACGGGCATTAAGATCATGCATGGCTCTTGACTCGTCAAGTTGCTACAGACGAATAGTAAGTCGAAACGGTTTTTTTTCCATGAGAGTTGAGTCATGATATAGACGTACCTCACGAGCAGACAACCTGCGAGAACGAACTGGAGCTTCTGCCTCACGTTCAGAGAGTCGTTGTCTGAGCTCTTCGATTTCCTTCCGGTATCTTTCAAGCAGCGCATCCGTATCCACGACCTCTTTCTTCTTCGCATGGAGCTAATTCGGAAAACAAAAATAAGGTTCTGCTCCAACGTATCGTTGACGGACAGTCTACACACCTGAACCTTCTTGATACGTTGAGCAAAGAGCAAGGTACTCGTAGATTCGGGAATAGCATCCTTGCTCGGGTTGATAGTACAAATCACGGAAATTCGGGCGTCACCGGACAGGGAGGGTTGCAACATGCGCGTGAGTTTAGAGTTCCGGAAGGGTACATGGTCACTTTAGCACAAGTCAGAATCCACAGATCGAAGAAGAGATATACGAAATCGCCCTGACTTCTTGTTCTTTGCAGAGTTCTCACCCAAAGTTGCGATCACAGATCCGAGTGTCAAGAGACTGTAATCAAAATGAGCTGAGGGACAGATGGAGAGACATGGGACGTACATACCTGGTGTTGATGTACTTGCCTTCACGTGTCCTGTCTTTGTCGGAAGTGGCTTTCTCGGAACCAGCCAAATCTATCAAGCTCTGCAAGCAAGGAACTCAATAAGATCATGAACACACTTGGGCAAGTTTTACATACCAGTACAGACGTTTGCACACTCCGTCCACCTCTAGCTTGAAGCCTGGACCCGCCAGGCGTAGGCGGCCTAAACCCAGGTGTCTGCCTTCCACTTGGTGTCGCCCTTCCGTCCGGACTACTCCCTCCAGAACCCCTCTCCCTACTCTCAATAACAACTCTAAATACACTATGGCTCCGCGAACTCCTCTCGTTCCAATCCGTAGTGGCCGTCCTGCGATTACCTTCACCCCGATCAAGGACCTCTCGTACACTCTTCAAGCTAGTGACGACTTCCTCTCGGAGGGGCGTGAGGACGACATTGGGACCTGTTCCGTGGATTTGAACTGGCTGAGTTGTACTTGTTGAGTGAGGAGCAAGGAGATCATGGATGTTTTCATTGTAGATCTCTAGGTAGGAGCAACGCAGGAGGTATTCTCTATTTGGAGTGCGTCGGATGTAAGCGAAAATATCTTTCATAGCCCGGGGTATAATGCCGAGTTGGTCTTCATCTCCGCTCTGCCTAACCATCAGCCACGAGCTCCATAAAGTATTTCATGCTATAAAACGCACCAACGTAAACGTCTTGCCACTAGCGGTTTGACCATAGGCAAAGATGACGGCGTTGTAGCCTTCCATAGCGGCACAGACATGACTGCGCGCAACAGCGTTATACACCGGTTTGTTCTCTGATCCGGTGAGGATCTCATCGAACATAAATTCTTGAGGCGACTTTCCGCATTGCGGGTCAAGTTTGATATTCTTGTGAGTGCGCTGCCAGACTGATGGAGCATCACCCGGTCGTATCCTATCATCAGACCGTTAGCTCAATGGGAAAAACAGCTGGATAGTGTTTCTGAGCTGACCTAATTGAAACGAGCACCTTATCCTCGGCCCCGTAATCCTTCAACAGAGACTCGTCAATCTCGCCTGATATATCCCCAGGTTCGACAGTCTCAAAGTCGACTAAGGCTTCTTCAGGGTCAATTCTACTAACATCCATCTCGCTATACATAGGACCATCCATTGGACTAGGATCTCTCTTGGGCGTGCTAGGTGTCTTCGGCCTCACCCCATCGAAAACAGATTTCTTCGGCGACGAAGGACTAGATGTCTTCAGTTTGTTGATGTTAGTCGTATTGAGACGCGTCCTGGACTCGCTTGAAATGGAGGCTTTGAACTTCTTGGTACTGTTGAGTGCACTTGGCGTCGTTGCCCGTGAGAGGCGCGTCGAATCGTCGATTGAAGCTGACGAGAGGGGCCGTTTGGGAGTGAACGGAACTGGTCGTGCTAGTCTGCTTGGTGTTGGTGGTACTGACATAGTGAAATGTCAGTAGCTAAATGGGCGTGCTGTTGTTATTGTGCTAGTTCTGGTGGTCTGTGGTCTGGGTGGTATTGATGCGAAGCTGGATATCAGCAAAATATCATAGTATACCTACACATAGGTTTAAGAAACGAAATTTACAGCTCCGTTATGTTCAGGCTCACCGAAGTAGTGGTTCAGGACTTAGGTTCAGCTTCCCCACAATTGAGTTGTGCACTGTACTTGCTTAACGATCGAGGCGCGCACGAACCGATACTCCAACCGTGAGAGACTGGTATCCCACGTGACCGCGTACCGTTACGTTGTGTCACGCATGTCACGCGTTCAAAAGCGATTTTTTGCTTTTTACACCTTCTTGCTCTTGCACTTCGCCTTGCCTTCTGCGCGTATGTTCCTCTATTGCAACTCTCCCGATAGAAACTGCTCCTGTGATCTTCCAGCTTCCTGGATCTTAGTCCACATATAGGACTCAGTGCTTCTCCGTGCTATGCGTTGCAAACTTGGCTCGATACATCGTAGTCTTGTGTCTGACTTCTACTTGTGACTCGGAGGGCGAGGTTTCTATGTCCTCTGACACTCGACACCGTCAGATCGGTACGGATCCCCGTTTTTCTGATATCCTCCGCCTTGAACCACCAGACTCTCGTGATAGAGCTGTTCCAATAGGTGAGCGATCAATCCTCACTACATTTATTCGTTTCTGGCACAGAGAACTATTTGTCGATGATTCAAATTAACTGATTTAATGAGTCCGATCCACTCTAGACAAGTGGAACTGGCGAAAGCTTTTTACTGAGACTCCATTCGTTTTCTTTTACTTGATTCATATTCCTGTCGCATGGGCTCTGGAGCTGACATGTTTTACCCTCTTCTGTAGGTCATTTGCTACGTTTATATTGGGGATTTCTAGCATACTATGCTTTGGCCTCAGCTGACGAAATCAATTCGCTTCCTTTTGCTAGACCGAGGACTTTCCATTGTCTTCAGACTATATTCGGTAGATACAAATCATGCAATATACGTGATTAAGAGACCTGACATTCCAAGAGAAGGCTGGGACTCCAGTCGAAAGGCTAACGTGTATGTGGTTGCGATCGTGTAACCTAATTGCGGCGCACACATATCATGTTTTAGTCCAGAGTTAGAAGGTCGAGTTTGAATCAATGTTCACCTGATTAATGAAGCATTATAAATACCGCGTAACATTTTACATGCTCAGACGTGTATAGGTCTGACTTCACGGACACATGCCACATCAATTCACAAAACAACATGGTAATTGTCCAGAGGCAAAATCCAATGATTTCTACTAATACAAAGCAAAGCTACGAGAAAGCTATGCGAAGAAGTCCATGCGATTATGCAAAAGAAAGTCCAAAATGCGTGCTAAAAAGTCATTATGTGATAGCAATGTCCTGTTAATTCATGCTATACAAGATAGCAAAGACAAACAGTAGGTCGTTATGTTGGCCAATCGTGTAAAAGTTCGTGAAACAGAGCGTTCGAAATGCGAGCCTCAGAGAGGGTTCATCCTTTTAGTCGAAGGGTTGTGTAATCAGGCCTCGATAGTGAACTGGGGGCTGGCGTTGCCAGAGTCACCGAAGACTGAAGGGGTAAATGTCAGTATGGTGGACTCAGGGAATGGGTAACATGTCTACTTACGAACGATAGCGTAGTCATCGGCAGGCTCGACATCGGGAACAGTCACCTCGAATTCGCCGAGAAGAATGTCAAAGCCATCAGCGAGGGGGTTGTCTATGGAACTGACATCAGACAAGAGGACAGTTGAAACCATCAACAGAACTTACCGAGGTCGAGTAGGCCACCCTTCGAGAGGATAATGCGACCTATAGGGTTGGTGATCTGAGTGGGCGCATCGGACGTGTCCCTACAGACAACTTCTAGTCAGTCACCTAACACCGTGGTCGGTGTCACTCAAGAGACTCACCAGGTAACATTTTGCTTGGTGCCAACCTTCCACACGGTCCCCTCCTTGGGGAGAGTAATCGGTGGAACGAAAACATCTCGCACCTGCATATTGACAGGCAAAGCCGAAACCAACGTGGAGAGCATCATGATGAAGAACAGGAAGAGGGACGCGGGGGCGAATTTCATCATCGTGAAGTGCGTTTGTCTTAAAAGGGGTTATTATTTGTCGTAGAAGAAAACGCGAGTTCTGCTCGTAAGGAAGTTGGAGGATGCGAGGGGCTTAAAGGAACTGAAAGCACGAAGTCCAGAGAGCGTGCTGGAGGTCCGTTATATACAGGCTCGGGTGGCGGGTAAGAGAGACGCCCATAATGGCGGCCCGCTGTAAGGCTGTCCGAAAATGAGGGACAGCTTCCTTATTTGACGCTCATTCCCACCGCCACTTTTGTTCGCATTGAAACCCATTCAGCTTTTGGCCTTAGGCCGCGACCTTTCGAGAACACATACGTACGTCTGCCTGTCCGTCTTCCTTTGGTGTAACAAGTCTCTTTCGAGGTGTAGAATGGAGTCAGCTTCAATGGCATGAAGACATATTTTTGACACTGACGATGCGTACATGACTTAGCACCGACTCCGGTGGCCTGGCCTGATATTCACTCCATGATTCGGAGCCAACGCATCATTTTACTCAGCACTGCAGAGTCTATGTCGGCCAAAGATATCAAACATCGGCAGTCTGAGATTCACAATTTCCAACTGCACAAAACCGGTGAGTGAGGATCCTACATGCCTATTCATCTATTCGACCTAGCGCAGGACCCACGCAAGATTCGTCATGGCACGTTCTCTGGTGTTTCCAATACCCACTTCCTTGTGGTGCACGACTGTGCCTTGACTGCCTCGCCCATTCTGTGATTCTCTACCCTTTCACTTCACGGAGGACACACGCCGTGAGGATGCGCGCGGCAGGACTGCCCTCATGATGCAATAACAATGTGTTGCAGAAGCTTACAGCAACTTCTCCTGCAGATGGCTTCCGACGTTTACGGCCGCTCTGTGTACATTTGCTCTTTCGTTCACTTGCTTTCCTGTCAAACTGTCGAGAAAACTCTTTGTCGTATTCAGTTGTTGAACTTCGCATCTGTGGCGTTGACTGGTCCGCTCGTTCGACCTCGCCACCGGGATCACCTGACCTTCCATCCAGTTGATTTTTCAAGTCGCTGCATGGCCAAGGGAGTGTTCCAGGGCAATTTACGCGACTTGCAGGGATTCACGAAGGCCTCTCTTCACCGCACTCTATTCTGGACCCTCTGGCATTCATCGACCATCAGTCAGCTTTGATTCGCGTCCCTATATGTTTCTCACTCCTGTCCGCTATCGGTACTCGAACGTCAGCTGCTTCCTCGCCAAATTACTGGTCAATTGTCGATTATGTACCCTTCCACCGTCCATCTTATTCTTGCTCCTCCACACTTCCCACTGCACCAGACGTTTCTCACTCGGCTTGTATCCTCCATGCGGGCCAGGTCCTCGGCCATTTGTATTGCAAAACTCGAGCTTGCTCGTCGGACTCGGAGAATTGCAGATGCCTCATGAGTCAGCTCATACGCTCGGAGATTGCTGATGGTCTTGCGGGTGACGAGTCGGTTTCGAATTGTCATATGAACGGCGGCCTTGTGGTATCAACGCAGTAAAAGGAATAACGAAGCGACCAAATACCAGAATAGTCCAGGCCAATCAGCAAAAGACGAAAGCAAGACATGCGAAAGCCAACAGAACAGAACGAAGACCAGAGCCCGAAGATTCCAGAAGATATTTTGAAGATGTCCAAGAATCAATCCTTCCAACGCTAAACAATCATTAAGGTCATGCTATCCAAGACACGCTCAAATGATGACCCCACCCATCCTCTTAGTGTCGAGAAACTTGTCGTCAACTCCTCCTTGCTTTAATTTGTGCCAACTCCTCTTTTAACCTCGCTCGTTCGCTCATCAACGCAAGAGCATGCTGCGAAGGTGAATTATGTCTGGTCACTATCCTGGGCACCGAACTGTGTCCTGTCGGCGTGGTATTCGAACTTGAGGGTCGACGAGGAGTCGAAGTTCGGGATAGTCCACTAGGATAACGTGCACTCTCTACTTTGTCTTGACGACTCGATCTGCTAAAGGGGGATGGACTGGAAATTGTCAGGTCCGCCATACGCTGGGTATAGTCTCGACTGGCTTCGAAGGATCGAATCTCCTCTTCTTCATCGACTTCATTGAGGTAACCGTCATACCGAATTGGTATTCGTGTCTTCGGTGTTCTATGCGCCGTATCGGGAGGCGGATAGTCACGATTCATTCTAGAGGTCGTTGATGTTCTATCATCATATTCATTTTCCGATTCTATCGGTTCTTGGAATGTCGAATGACCAACTGGATTGAACGAGAGCTCTTCGAACGCCTCATACTCTTCGGGTTCTTGAGGCTCCGGCTCTCCCTCATCACTGGTCCATTCTGATTCCAATCTATGACGCGAAGACGAAGGGACAGGACTAGTTTGATAGTCTCGAATGGTGGTGTTGAATATGTCCAAGTCCGAGAGTGGCGGGGAGTGAGTTCGTGGATGAGTATAGGTATGAGTGTGACTTTGCATGGTGGTGTCGGATTCCGGGTTTGCTGAGGGAAGGAAAGACAATGTAGTATTATCCGCACTGCTATCACGAATCGTTCCAGTAGAATGAGTAGACAGTGGTGCAATGCGAGGACGCAACTTCGCAGGTTCTGGGTTATGAGCCACTTCGACAATATTCTCAGGTTCACGTTCCACTTCTTCAACAATATCATGAACATCTCCCAGGGGCAAGATACCGTTCTTCTTTCCAAGCCAACAAAGTAACTCGCCGACAAACACGACTTCATCCCATTCACCCACAGCCAACTTCCTCGGGTCAACATCGGAAAGTCCGACATCCTCTCCAATAACATCATGTTCCAATACTCCGAGAAAGATCTTCATCGCTTGCACTTTCGACACAAGATCTCGAGATCTTCGTATACTTGGTGCAATGGGTAATCGTGCACGTAGAATACATTCCAAGATTCCTAGAAGCAACGCAGGTGTTAGGTCTAGTGGCGTTTCCACGAAGATGGGTATATGCAGCTTGTCCAAAAGGTCGTTCAGAGATATAACGAGTTCCTTGATTTCGCGTGGTTGAGGGGGCTCCCCCAAGGTGCTCATGGCGGAGGGAACGCGTGTTCGTCGAGGGCGTCGAGGACGGTGACCTCGAGGTCGAATTCAACGACAAGGTCGGCCGGCATTTGCCGGCAACTGACCTCACCTCGTAGTAGTTGCCGGGTTGTCGCTTGCTCTCGAACCCTCACTTTAACACTCACCTCTGCAGAATGTCTTTACGCTGATCTATGACCTATCTAATTGCAGGCTTAGAATCTTGAAACATTAATTGCTAAACAGGAGTTTCCGCTCTCAACCTCCCACAATGGCAACCTTGCAATATGTGGAAATCCCCTCTGCGGCGACAAGGCTGGAATCAGCAGAGCCTTCTGCAGATATCCGTCCCGCTCCAAAGATAGTAACGAACATGCCACATCCTGAGAAAGCTGTCGGTGGTCTGACTTCTCCAACCGCCCAACCGCAATCCCCCAAGAATCCTGGTTTCAACTTCCAACAGATCCTTCTGTCCTCTGCCCTCCCGATTCCTTCCAATGTCCCTGCGAGCCTCCAATCTGTAGGAAAGGGCGCACCTCGGCTACTCACGACTAGGGATCCACTGTCTATACCCATCACAACAGTCAACTTTAGGCGATTTGTGTCGAAGATGGGACCGGGCGTTTGGTTGATTGACAGAATGGAGGAGATCATTATGTGGAAGAAGGGATGGGAGTATACGACTGTCTTCATAGCGGCGTATGCTTTTTTCTGTGCGTATCTCTCGTCAGGCTTCACATGTCCGGAATTGCTACAACTTGGTGCTTGAAGGTTATTTCCCCCGAATGGTTCTCCTCCTACCTCTAGTGATCATGCTTGTCGTGATCCTTATCACAGATCCATATCTCAGGCAACCTGAGTCTTCGAGTCTACATGAAGATATCTCCAGAGTCACTGTACCTCCGCCTCCGCCTCCACAAATAGGCGAAGGGTCAGTAGATTGGTTGGCCAATCTCCAGGCTATTCAGAACTTGATGGGTTCATTGTGAGTGTACCTGCTACTGCTCGCATCTCGTGGTATTCGTTGTAGAACCAGGATGCATCTACATGCCTCCTTTCGTGACATTGATTTGATTGACCTGGGTTCTTATACGTTTCCCTTTACCCTTTGCATGACGCAAATTGAAGTCCGTTGGTGCAAGGAGTTATGAAAGGATGTGAATGACCGAATTCATGGCCGTTCACCAAGGATGGCGTATCTCTTACTTTCTCGAGCTGAGGCAATCTCTACATGCAGCTAGCAGGCATGCACTTGGTGCCTGGATCGTCACTCCTCGTTCTCGCTGCGTCCTTAATGTCGCGCATCCGATGCTATTCATTTTATATTTAAATAACAACCCTTGAAAGTACCCATGCACTAATGCGATGATCAATAGTTCAGACCTGAATGACCTCATTCTCCCTTACATCCCTCACATCAATCACACTTCACCCTACACCCCAATCGTATTCACAACAGTCCTCACCCTCTTAGTCATTCTAGTCCCTATCGTCAATTTCATCCCTCTCCGTCTCACGTGTCTCATTCTCGGGCTCTTCCCCTTCTTCCTCACTCACCCGTTCACTCAATCCACTCTCATCCCCACACTGTTGGCCAGCATTCGGCCGCATCTCAAACATTTCCATACTCTTGTCGTCCGTTATGTTGATGATGATCGATTGGAGGACAAGCACTGGCGTACGGAGATGCAAGAAGTGGAGTTGTGGGAGAACGAACGATGGAGTCCTGGGACGACTTCTTCTGAAGCTGGTGGCGTGAACGTGAAGACTAGCGACGGTGGTTGGAGTAAAGCTAATTTGAAGCCTGGGGAGAGGAAAGCTTGGACACGAGGCCGGGATGGTTGGAGTGCAGTTGCAGAGGACGGGTCGGGAGATGTCAGGTTAGTATCTGAAGTTAAATTACCCTGGATACATTTCTGATTTCTTCTCCTTCCCATCTCATCTCGTTACTGATTTTTGTGCAGTAGCAACCTCACGTTCTCGCTATCCCCTGGTTGGCTATTCGTTGAAACCGAAGATTGGAGACCGGACCTAGAGGGAACTTGGATTTCTTCCGTAGGCGCTGATGACGGTGAGTAGCTCGTATCCCGATGGCTGTTGAGTGTCCATTTCTTACTGGTTTGTATCGATGTAGCTGGGTGGGTGTATACGAATGATGCTTGGATGGAGCCTCGAGCGTATCCGTTGGAGGAGTGGAAGGTATCCAATCGTATGACGAGAAGACGCAGATGGATGAGGAGGATATACTTCGATCCTGGCACGACTACATAGCGAAGATTTCCGCTGATGTTGACCATACATTTCGACGACCACAAACTCATCTTAGGCGCGTCAAAACAGTGACGTAGTTAACTAAATACCGTTAGGCTCTGGGAGTCCTCCCCGCACTCGAACATGGATAAATATGGACTCAAAATTGCGAACTTGAAGGCCTTGGCAGTCGCCTCAATCAGGATTCCTTTTTCGAACGTTTTTATGTCACCGCTGACATCGCTCCCCTACCTCCGCCGACAACTTTTCTCATGCTTGTCTTCTAGGGTTGTTGATAAAGATCATCACTGTTTTCGAGTTGACTACACGTTCACGCTTTCGGACGTTACTAACCCCGTTCGTATGTTGTCTCTGGCAGGTCGAGAGCTCGGCGCTCAGGTTCAACTCTGAAACTGATACCGAACTCATCTGAAGCAACTCAATGCAAGTGTCGGAGAAAATTCACCTGCATGGTACCGCCATTGTGATAGAAGTGCGTTGGGTCAAGTTCAAAGTGAGCCTGACTTGTAGCTCTGCGTCTTAGTACACCTATGTCATGAACATATCTGAACAGGCACAAAGTCTTTTGCGTCTCTACTCTGGTCACGCGAGCTCGACTAGCTTGATCCTCCCGGACCACTGAGCTGAATCCGAATTGGGTTACATCATTACTTGCGCCGCTTCTGATCACGAGGCAGCAATGATCTTATGAAATGCACAGCGTACCTTTGCTGTTCCACGTAAAACTCTGTTGGTGTGTCTGAAAGTAGTCTGTTCTATCTCTGTTCTATCGGCGACCAGTCAAAAAGGCTGACCGCCACTGATCAAATGCAGAGGTGGTAATGCGGTATTCTCGGTCAGGGGTTAATCGAGTTCACCTTCTTTCTAGAATTACAACAACAGTCGTGTAGAGACTGAGTCGGCATCAGAATGCTGTCACGGGATTTTGGATATTCAGAACATGGCAGATGGGGCTTGGCTAGTCTGCATCTCAGAGTATGTATACGCTTCCATACTTTTAGTAGTTATCTTTTCACTATACTTAGTAGCTAGCTTGCCAACTTGCAGCGGTGATACACCTTGATACACCTATGCCGGATCAGTCACTCGAAATCTGCCATCTATTCGTCGGTAACACCATAACCATCAGGACGGCGGCGACGTGATGCGGGCCTTCCCCAAAGATAGATGGACACAGGTCTCCAAACCGCCGGTAATGTCTAGATCGATTCTGACAGAAGTTACCAATAGGTGGTGTGTCACTTTCTTTTTTTGACGATACCTTTTGAGAAGACATGGGGCTACTCCTAGAGGGCTTGATTTGGAGAGGCGGGTTTTCGGTAGGTTATTCTGGCAGTGACATAGAATGATGATTTTTGATCTTTGTCACCGGCGATTTGTTGCAGGGTACGTCGAGTCTGTCTATGCTTTGCCTACATCGGTGGTATTGGAAGACGCTTGGCTTCTAGACAATCTGGTCTTTACTGATTTCATCGTCCAAACGAGTATCGTCTTTGATGCTGTATATCATCGAACGACAGATGGCTACCCGAAGAAGTGCGGCATTGTATTCAGCTCGAAGCTTACCTATTGAATTTCTATAGGCACGTTTGGCGTTCTCGGTTGTCTTTCTGTGGGAGAGATGTGCGCTCCGATCTTCAATGGGACCGGTGACCGGACTTACTCTGTCTGGCAAGAAGTTTGCCGAGAACTGGCACTGGTTCTGTCGCTGAGAATGAGGGAACAGTTAAGTATAGGCATGTGCTATTCAAAATGTAAACAATAACATCGTCCTCGCCCTCCTCTCTCGCCCACCTTCAGAACATGTCGGAGTACTCGATACCCTATGTCATGGGCGGATGTATTGAAGCTTTCACCATAGCGTTCATGTACGTTAATAACGCCTAAATATCGATCTACTAATGTGATCTTCATTAATTGCAGGATCTACGGAGTTACTATGTCGCAGGCGAATTTCTATATGCAGCGTTGCGATCGGGATCCCAGTTGGATGAAGTGGCTAGCAGGTACAGTGGTGTATGTGTAATGCTTCTCTCACTAGCTACTTGTACGCTGACATTTAGTTCGCGTACTATGTTCACAGTATTCTCGAGACTATACATACGGCCTTCATCTGCCGACAATTATATGGATATACAGTTCTCGCCATTGTTAACCCTAGCAGTCTTGGTGTCATAGACTGGTAGGTACAATATTCTTTCTCTTGCGAGGAGATGCTCATAGAGGTTCGAGGGGTGTACCAGTATGTTATGCCCTTTAGTGCCTGTTCTACTTACCGACCGTATCTCCAGGTGTCTATAGTACTAGACGTGAGTATGAGGCATTTCAATCATCCCATTTGGCTGGCTAAGAGTAAACACATCAGCTGATAATCGAGACCGCCACTGAAGGGTACGTGATTCCCAAGTGGTCTTCATCTATATCCTTCAACGCCCAAAATCTAGATTCTATATTCATCGCCTGTGGACATGTACGTCCCGCTCTGTTACCACTGTCATCAGCTAAGTTGTTGACTATTCATTTTCGAGCTTAGACAGCAAGAATATATATCTCACTGCTGGGGTGGTGAGTTATGCCTCATACTTCGTATCCGGAGAATCGTCCATTCATCACTGTTTGGCATAAGCTTGTCCTTCTAGCGTCACGTATTGCTGGGCTCATATGTAAGTGTTCTGTAGGATACCTGATTGATAGACTTGCTGAAGCACTTTGCGTTGATAGATGAAACGATTGGAACGTGAGTAGTTATGTCTCAGCCAGTACTCCGTAGCTAATCCTCAATCTCACAGTGAAGTACCTACGTGGGCAATCTTTGAAAGTCGAAATTCTCTCCGGGTTCGTCCCTTTTAACCCCGCTCTCTTCGAGGACCGAGTATATTGAGCTGCCCCTAGGCCGTCTTCATATTTACGATGTCCGCCAGTATTCTGCTGGATGGAATTTTGGCCGCAGGCATGGTGTATTATCTTCGCCGCGGTCGTAAAGAGGCCCAAATCAAGAGGTGCGCAGGTCGCTCTCCCGCTCAGACAACTCTTTCCCACTGACAAGGCACCGTAGAACGCGGGATATTGTAAGATGGCTGATGGTCTACGCTGTCAATACGGGCGGAACTCTTGTGTAAGTACTGAGCTTACTGTGGCATGGTTAAAACTCAATATTTTGTCCCTAGGGCCATGACCATTGTTGTCCTAGTAACGGTATGCACCCTATTCCATGACCATCTTCTCTGCAGTGACAGAATTCACCATGTGAACATCATAGTATCTCGCCGTCCCTGGAAGCCTGATGTTCGCTGGTATGTTCAATATTTTGACCAAACGTTGGTAATTCCTGTTATGCCTCGGAGTTTGAGCGGTGTAACTGATTCCGTTTTAAAGTCTACGCAAATTCTCTCTTTGGAGCGTAAGTTTATTTGGGAGATGCTCGAAAGTTCCATGACACACCTTTTATCCAGGTTAAATTCAAAACATAACCTTCGCGAGAAGATGAAAAATCCGGTCATTCTAGGCAGCGGAGAGTTTGAAAGCGCCGCCTCAGATTCATATAGAATGCGAGAGGTTTGTGAGCTTTCAGTAAAGTTATCTGGTCATTGAGGCTGAATATATCTCCACAACTAGCTTCGAGTCAGGGTCGCGACAGAGACGTCGAAGGCGTTCGATCAACTGGTGGGTTCTCATGATCAATCACTTTCAGTCGACATGTCATTGTGTCTCATTTGTGCCATCAGGAGCCAATGGGAGCGGACGAGGCGGACGAGGCACCATCGCGAATACATCAAAACGATAAGACAGTTTCTGTTGCGTAGTCTGCCAAGCAGTCGCACACATTGGAGTAACTATTATTTTGTGTATATATTCAGACCTCGACGTATATCAGTAGTAGGGCAATCCTCGAGAGCATTTATGTAATGTCAGTTGTGAGCATGTTAGCTTGCAGGAATCAACATACCTTTCTCAGCAAGTCCGAGTCGGGTGGCGATTTGCAACATCGCCGTGAATAAGCGCCTCCGGTAAAGTTCCCAGTGCCGACAACTTCAACGTTGTTCGTCACCTGTTGTCTGCTCAAGGCTATATAACGATTGAGCTCTGGTGAACATATCTCAGTCATACACTGTTGAGCGTTGAGCGGGTCAACGGCTCCGATACAGGCAAAGAAGGTGCGATCATTAAGTCTAATCTGAAATTCTTCCTACTTACATCGTCTTCAGTACTCAGCACTCCTAGTGCTCAGATGCAGCGTCAAGTTTTGTCATTAATCACATTTGGTAAAGCTGAGTAAACCCTTGCGCTTGATCGAGACATCGGGGCATGTCCTTATCTTTCATTGCCTCACTCCGTTCCTGAACACTCCAATGATTTCGGGCCTCCGTGAACAGCATGCGTGTGATTTACAATGTGTATTTGCAAAGATGTGTGTGACGGGAGCCCATTGGCGTTAATGACTGCTCCAAAGAATATTCCTCTACTTCATTCTGTCTTCCTCGGTTAGCGTCGTTTGTTACGTTGTTAAATTTCCCTGATTGTTTTTGACGGCACTTCGTTGTATAGTAGGTCCTCAACGGTACGTGAGCTCCTGTATCAGCTCATATCAAGGCCTCTAATGCAGGGCCTTGAGCGTGTGTGATAATCCGATCATTTCCGCCAAGGTAGTTGACTTTGCTATGTTTCGAACACATCTGTCACTCGACGTGATTGCTCCTCGACGATCAACTTCCCACTATAAGAACGTGAGTGACATCTAAAGCATATTCTCTCTCCACTCATTCCGCCAGCATCAATGGCTACTATTCCCTCCATTCCCTCTCTCATAGGCGGTTTCATTGAAGGCCTAGGGATATCATATATGTATGTCACCATGACATCACATTTGCCTGCATCTTGACTTCACGCCTCTGCAGCCTATACGGTATCACTGTCGCCCAGGCATATGTGTACATGCTTGGCTGCGAACGCGACGCTAAATGGATCAAAGTGATGGCAAGTGTGGTAGTGTAAGTCTTCTATGTATGTCCGATACAATGATTAATCTGGCGACGCTCTTGCCAGGTCATTGGAGACCATACACACGGGCGTTTTGCTACGCACCTTATGGTACTATGCTGTGGTGGTGATCACAAATCCTCTCGGCTACATTCATATTGACTGGTGAGTTTTTTTGTTGCATCCAGATCGACTATGCTCATCATTTTACACCAGGAGTATTCCGGTACGCAACTGTTAGTCAATGATTCACCAGATGCTTATTCCTGTGCATGGCAGGCTGCGCTGATGCTAGATGTAAGTATCTTAACTCTCACTCTGTTGAGCTCGCTTTTGATAACGAAGATTCTAGCTTACTATGGAGAGTATTGTACATAGGTAACTGGACCGCAAGAGGGGGGCCAAAGAGCGATCTGACAACGTATTCAGTTATTATATATATCGCGTATGGTCCTGTGAGTCTTTTCATAATCCAGTTTGTTCTCATAGTCCTCATCGCAAATGCCCCTTACAGTCAGCAAGAATAGAGTTTTGACCCTTGTAATGGTAATGTGATGCCAAGCAGATTGATCGTCAATGGTTTTATATGCTTTATCTGCTCTAGACGGTTATACTCGTCGTTCGGAATGGGTGGTTTCTATGTACGTTCTTTAGTTTGTCTCGGCGAGGTATTTAATTATCTGACTTCTCACTATAGACGGCAACATCAGAGTGTATGTCTCTGACTTGGAAAGCTTTTTGGGATCGGTTGGACTAATATTCTTACAGCATCAAAATTGCTAGCTGGATAGTTGTTGAAAACACGCCCATCATTAGAGTCTGTTCTCTCCATCTCGTCGTCGTAGGCTATGCTAAGTGTTCCATTATTAGAGCGCATTTTTGAGTACATATTCTTTGACTCTTGTGTTAGATGTCATCCTAGCCACAAGCATGGTGTATTACCTGCGTCGGAACAAGACAACATTTCAACGGTGCGGCGTTACTATAGGAATATTCTCCGGTTGTTTATTCATTGTTTGTCTTCATCCTTAGAACACGAAATGTCGTCAGTTGGCTTATGCTATACTCTGTCAATTCTGGTGCTATTCTCGCGTAAGTGGCCCATCTGTATCATGGTTCCAAATGCTCAAATATTTCACCTTGCAGAGCAATGTCTCTTTGTTCCATTGTCACTGTATAGTCCTTCTCTTCTTTCTGAGAATTTTCCATTTAATTTTCTATAGTTTGCTGTCTTCTCCAATAGGCTCCTATATGGTGCCTTTGTTACCATTGGTTCCAAGTGTGAGTAATTCTGATACCAATCTGCAACTCAAATTCTGATCTCTTGAGATTAATTTAGTATATGCAAATGCTCTCTTTGGCATGTATGTTTTACCATTACCATTCTACATTACTTTTCTACATCATGTCTTCTAGGCTCAATACAAGAAATATACTACGTGAGAAACTGAATGAACCAATTGTCATTGATACCAATGGCATTGCCAGAAGCTATAGAATGCACCCAGTGGGTCTTTTGCTTTACTAAATCAATGGTGATTGGCTAATGTGGCTCTGGTTTTCTTGATTCAGATGCATGTGGAGATTTCCCAAGATAGAGTCACTGATGATATAGTGGGTGTGGCATATCACACTTCTTAGCATTGAAGTTTATGCTTTTTCAGATGCAAGATACTCAAACTGGAGAGTCTAACCCAGAAACATCATCCTATAAGCTTGATGTTCAGAAAACATATGTGAATGTCTAACATTTAGTTCTCTGCTACTGAAATATTATTTCTGCCATCACTTTCTGAATATAATAGATATGCAGTCTATTTTCCTGCAAGACAATCTCTGCATAACTTTAGTTAGAGACTTCAACATGCATACAACATATAGTATATCTTTATTGGGCTCTCATGCCAGGCTATGTCACCCCAGGTTCTCTTCACTGCTAGCATGGGAATCAGGTCTTGAATTCAAAGTCCAGGGTGGCGAAACAGGGTCTAAGGGATAGCCGAGATGCTTCATCCCCGGCAACATTGATGTGCACCATTCATAGGCATACATATCCAGCCTGCTGCCGGCTAGGCGGCCTACGGACTTAGGTGTTCACTTGTCTTTGGACATTTCCTACGAACCTTTTAAGCTATGCAAAAAGCTAACTCGATGCATGCGACGCATGGGCCTATTTGCCACTCTCGCTTATTTTCGCCTTTGGCCACGCCTAAGTGTCCTTTGTCTTCCCTTCACGTGTCTGTTACTTCTCTCTCTTCACCTATTCACATCTACGGCGACTTACTGGTGCTGTTTCCCTCCCCCCTCACGTGTACTAGGTATATGGTTGTTCGCGTTCATCGACCTCGACATGTTTGTTCCCTCTTCTCCTCGTCCCATCTTGAAGAAACGCGTTTCTTCACACTCTCCTAGCAGACATGACGGGGAGGTACGCGATATACGCTCTAGGGACTTGGCCGCTACTCGCAAAGCCGTACAATTTTCGCCCGGGAAGACATTGACACAGACTTTCCCTGCTCATCCTCCCGACGTGTATGATCGTTCCCCCATCAAGGTCTCCTTCAATCAGTGTGAACTACCCCGAAGAAACGGAGGGGGTCGCGACCGCAGCCCTTGTCGTGAGCGTGGACGATCGAGGAGTATGTCTGAGGATATATTTCCCAGTCCAATACGTTCACCAAAAATGCCCGGACTCATTCAATCCTTGCCTGTATTTGAGGAAGAAGAAGACGACGACGACGAGGCGGACGGTGATACGGTACCCCTTCGGTTTGGAAGGCCTAATACTCCGCTTCCCGCTCTCAATTTCAACGAAGAGGATGAAGACGAAGACGACGATAAGCTCCCACTTATGCCCCTCAGCCATACACCTACACTCCCACCTCTGGTCACTGATAGTTCCGAGTCCGACGATTCTGATGTCATATCGACGTCCCCTCCTTCCGAGAGACAATTGTGTATGTTGATTCCCCGTAGTCTTGAGTTAGCGGTATTGACACAATTAACAGCATGGACTACCAGCCAGGATGCGCTGCAAACCGCGTTCTCTATGATGAATCTCAGGGATGAGAAACGTGTCAACAATTTTACCCGGTCCACAAAATATCCCGACATGCTTAGTTTATCAAGCTCTTCGCAACCTGCCGCCTTCCAACAGAGGCCTCGTATCAACGCACGCAGACATCACGTACCGGTCGAGCTTACACAAGGAGATTCGGACGATGATGAAGATGTCTTCAGTAATACAACTGGCGTTGCATGCGACAGCTGGGTTCTCACCTCGCACGACGAAAAGGGCTGCCTGGGCGGGTTCTGACACACTTGAAGTGTCATTGCATAATCTCCATTAAGCTATTGTGACATAAGTTTCTATTTTTATTTTAAGTTCCATTCTTGTTTCTCTTATAACGAAACCAATACCCTCTCATTTTCAATGGTTAATCTGTCGAACCGCCGTTCAATGGTGAACAGGCAACTCATGCCGCTCGTTGTTCTGTTTAATATATCTTCCTACTTATCGATTATGCTGATTGACTTCTCTTACAATGTAACAATACATTGTTGTAGTATGTGCATATCCTCTGTATCCAATACATACAGTACTTTGAAGGCCCCCTCCTTCGACTTCAGATTTAGAAACTGAAAGTGCGTTGAAACTTGAAGCTTGAGAGCTCCGCTAATGACCGGCGTTTGCGGTCCGACCAATGGACGCCTAATATTACCGTAGACGCCCAAACGAAATTTCTTTGCTTTGGCGCCGTTAACGAGTAACACTGAACACTGCTAAACAGGTACTTGAGGCTCCTCCACAACTCAGACGGTCTTTTTGTATTCAGGCTCGGGTATTGCCCTCAACTTAACGTCTTGTCATGAGGAAACAACTTGATCCTCGAATACCCATTCTAATCAACAATAATGTCAAGAAAAACCACCGGTCGTTCATCGTGCTTGTAGGAGACAAGGGAAGGGATCAGGTATGTCACCAATTCTCTGTCAAATGTTGATTGTCTTATCCACTTCTTAAAGGTTGTTAATCTGCATTACTTGCTATCGCAATCCCGAACGTCTGCGAGACCATCCGTCCTATGGTGTTATAAGAAGGATCTCGGTTTCACCAGGTAGGAGATGGGTTCCTTGTCGGGGAAGGGTGAATGCCCTTGATATCCGGATACGCAGATTTTGCTCACTTCCTTTTATCCAGTCATCGAAAGAAGCGAGAAGCCAGGATCAAACGAGATGTGAAACGGGGAGTTCGTGAGCCCAATGACCAGGACCCATTCGAGATCTTCATAACTGTGACGGATATTCGGTATACGTGAGTAGTGTGCTTTCCCCTCTTACCAATACCATTCAATTGAACGTGTATTCAGATACTACAAGGAGTCTCATAAAATTCTGGGTCATACGTACGGAATGCTCGTCCTGCAAGACTTCGAAGCTATTACACCGAACTTGTTGGCGAGAACAATAGAGACAGTAGAAGGTGGTGGACTGGTTGTGCTACTGCTGAAGACAATGACTTCGTTGCGACAACTCTACACAATGACCATGGTATGCGCATTCCGCCCATTCTTCATCTGAATATCACTCAGCTTGCACAGGATGTTCATGGTCGATACAGGACCTCCGCACACGATACAGTGACTGCTCGGTTCAACGAACGTTTCATCTTGTCCTTGGGTTCTTGTGATGACTGCTTAGTGCTGGACGATGAGCTGAACGTACTTCCTATCTCTCGAGGAAAAGACATCAAACCAATAGAAGAAGATCGAGGGAAGGGCAAGGAATCCTCAGAGTTGAAGGAGCTTAAGGACAGCCTGGCGGATACCAAGCCCGTTGGAGACCTCGTCAAACTTTCCAAAACGATCGATCAAGCGCAGGCTATCCTCACATTCGTCGACGCCATTGCAGAAAAGACCTTGTCGAGCACCGTTACTCTGACTGCAGCACGTGGTCGAGGAAAGTCTGCCGCTCTCGGTTTGGCCGTTGCTGCTGCATTAGCACATGGATATTCCAACATCTTCGTTACCAGTCCTAGTCCGGAGAATTTGAAGACCCTCTTTGACTTCGTCTTCAAAGGCATGGACGCACTTGGTTATGAGGAGCACCTTGATTACGATATCATGCAGAGTACGAACCCGGAGTTTAACAAGGCCATCGTACGCGTTAATGTGTTCAGGAATCATAGGCAGACGATTCAAGTCAGTATTCCCGGTCATCACACCTCATATATGAAACAGTGGGCTGACGTTTCCGATAGTATATTCAACCGCAAGATGCACATGTTCTTGGTCAAGCCGAACTTGTCGTCATTGATGAAGCTGCAGCCATCCCTCTCCCTCTCGTCCGTAATCTCATCGGACCATACCTCGTATTCATGGCTTCCACGATCAATGGTTATGAGGGTACTGGTCGCTCACTCTCCTTGAAGCTTATCCAACAACTTCGAGAAAGTACAAGACCCGTCTTGACTAAAGACGCCGCACCAGCTGAGGACGACGCAGCTGTCGCATCAAGTTCCACAAAGAAGATAGTCAAGGCGCCACCAAAAGCAAGAACGTTGCGTGAGATCAAGCTTGAGACGCCTATCCGATACTCTGCTGGCGATAAGGTCGAGAGATGGTTGAACGGTATTCTGTGTTTGGATGCTACCATCTTGCCGAAGTCACTCCAGCATGGTTGTCCTCACCCATCACAATGCGAGCTGTTCTACGTCTCTCGTGATACGCTGTTCAGCTATCACCCCGCATCCGAGGTCTTCCTGCAACGTATGATGGCCCTCTATGTTGCCTCTCACTACAAAAATCAGCCCAACGACTTGCAACTCCTCTCCGACGCTCCTGCACATCACCTCTTCGTCCTCCTACCACCCATCAAAGACGATGAGACTCACCTCCCAGAGCCTCTTGTCGTACTGCAAGTCGCCTTGGAGGGTAATATTAGCAGACAGGCGATTTTGGATGGTTTGAATCGTGGCTTTAGAGCTGGCGGTGATATGATCCCTTGGTTGGTTTCGCAGCAGTTCCAGGAGAGCAAATTCGCGTTGTTATCTGGTGCTCGTATTGTTCGGGTAGCGACACATCCGGATTATGCTAACGTACGTCGAACTGTGCCTTCTACTGCGCAATGCTTCGGTGACTAATTTTCGTTTCTGCAGATGGGGTATGGTTCGCGAGCCCTACAAGCTTTGAACTCTTTCTACAGTGGAGAGTACTTCAACCTCGACGAAAACCCTGCACCAGAACCGTCATATCCAGACCCCTCTGCCATAGACGAGGCAAGTAGCCACCCTAGCCTCCAATGACATGCTTAATTGATATTTGTAATTTGCTACAGTCCACGAATCTGCTTACAGATACTCCCACTGTTCGTTCCGCCAATGCCATGCCACCTCTCCTCCAAAGGCTCTCAGAACGTAAACCAGAAACGCTCGACTACCTCGGTGTGTCATACGGGCTTACCCCTCCACTCCTCCGATTCTGGAAACGTGCAGGTTTTGTACCCTTGTACCTCCGGCAGACAACGAGCGAGTTGACCGGCGAGCACACATGTGTGATGGTCCGCGGGTTGAATTCGTCTACAGAGGCAGAACTAGAGTGGCTGGGCGAATTCGCAAAAGGTACGCTTATCAGTCATCCGAAGTTGTTTGTAAAGCTCACCGATGTGTGATTGACATCGGAACCAGACTTCCGAAGACGATTCCTTTCCTTGCTTTCCTTCAAGTTCAGGGAGTTTGGCAGCGTGACCGCTTTGAGTGTCTTGGAAGCCGTAAACTCGGGGGTGAAGAAGTTCGACGATGATCCGTCACGAGGTTAGTTGGATTGTTTGATGTGCTTTCTATGGGTTGCAATAATGACTTTCGTCTCACGTTTAGAGCTTGGCGCCTCTGAGCTCTCAATTCTCATGACCCCGTTCGACTTGAAGAGGCTGGAGTCATACGCCAACAACATGCTCGATTACCATGTCATCCTAGACCTCATGCCTAGCGTTGCGACGTTATACTTTGAGAAACGACTTGGCGCAGAGATGCGGTTGAGTGCGGTCCAAAGCTCTATTTTGCTTGCACTCGGTTTGCAGCGGAAGTCGATCGAGGAAGTCGAAGTACGTCTTATCCCCTATCCTTTGATGACACTATAATGTGTCTGACGGTGTCATAACATTTCAATTTCAGTCTGAGCTTCAGGTTCCAGTCTCACAGGCACTTGCACTCTTCACGAAGGTGATACGAAAGATTAGCAAGCGCTTATTTGACATCCAGAAAGAGGCCATCAGCGCGACAATCCCTGAAGCACCACCAAAAGGAGCTGAACTGAATGTGGGTAACAAGCCGTCGGGTACTACATGGAAACCTGTGGAGACTAGCCTTGAAGAAGAGTTGAAGGAGGCGGGGGACGAGGTTACCAACGCGTTGAAGGAGAAGCAACGCGAGATGATTGACTCTTTGGATCTCAGCAAGTGAGTTTCCGTCTTTACGTTGTCCTTTCTATTGTTTTTCCGCCGAGGCTACCTTGGCCCGCGCACCTGCCAGTGTGAGGTTCCCACATTTTGCTCTCGATGGCTCCATGGCGGTCCCCCTGTTTGGAATGTTCTACTGTATGAACGCACTGACCCAGGGCTTCTCTCAATTAGGTTCGCCATCAACGATGCTTCAACGGATTGGTCGACGGCGGAGTCGCAGGTGGCAAAACTTACAAACAGCAGTGCCACCGGTAAGTCAACTCTTGTTAGTGTGAAGAGCACAACGGTCGTGGGGCAGAAAAGGAAAGCTGGAAACGATGATCAGGTTTCCAGCGGACATGGGAAGAAGGCAGGCGAGAAGGACAAAAAAGCGTCGTCGAGACGGAGTATCAAGAAGGCTAAGCGGTAATTATTGGAAATCTCTTTGGGTATGAGCCGTTCATGTTGTATTCTATGCTTTCTCGTGTTAGCTTTCGCCATTTTGGGTGCTACATATCTGAAAGTACACAGGGTGGCGTTTCTCAGTCTGGCCGCCGCCACGAAGCCGATATCGTAGGTTTGAGGTTTGTGCCAAGAAATGTTTGTTTTCTGGGCGATCGTGTTGAGATCGATTGCAGAATGTGGGGTATGGAGATTGATATGAATTCGCTTTGATGCGGGGTGGGAGAATTCCAAACATAACTCATGACCGCGTCGACCATCCGAATGCAGGCGGCTTATCCTTTTACTGGCCCGCACAGGGACCTCGTTACTACAACAGGAACGCTCTTCAATATTTCTCTGATGCGTGAGCTCGCCATAACTCCATTTCGTAGGAGTGCCAAGCTAGAGTATATCGCGTTTGTATACTGAAGACGGAGAGAATGGCAAGGAACGGACAAGGTTTGCATCAAAAGGTTTCAGGCGCGGTCATACAAGGGTGAGAAGACAGATGTGGGATCCGGTTGCACAGATTTCTGGATCCTGGATATGGTCAATTTGCACCGCAGGGAGAATGGAAGGCACCCGGTACGGATGGCTCTCGAGCGTCTTTGGTTGATGTATAAAATGCCCATCTCCATCGACTGTCAAGCTCTGAGGCTTTCCCCCGTCCTCCTCTGAACCTGACCGCTCATCATGGCTCCTCGTTTCCTCACAAACCTCATCCCTCGCAAGGAAAAACGTGAGGAGGGCAGACCGCTCCTCCAGGTGTTGCGGACGCTGACCTGGATACAATGGGGTCACTTCTTCTCTGGGTACGCCACATACCATCCGTACGACATAACACTTTGACTGAGTTGGACCTTTGCTCCCAGCTGGCTGGCATGGACGTGCGATGCCATCGATTTCTTCAGTGTCTCACTCAGTGTGACCCACCTGAAGACCCAATTCAATCGAGAGACGTCAGATATCGTTAGTGCAACTATTTTAGTCCGTGTCTTTACCGTCGCTAAAACCGTACAACCAGACGACCGCCATTACGCTCACACTTCTTCTGCGATCTGCAGGAGCTGTAAGTCCTTTCCGTGTGTTCATAGTTCCATTCCTCGTTAATTCCGTTCCAGGTCATTTTTGGAATCCTCTCCGACCGTTTCGGTCGAAAATGGCCTCTTGTTGGTAACTTGCTCGTGGTTGCTCTACTGGAACTCGGATCCGGTTTCGTGAACGACTTCCATGCTTTCCTCGGTGTGCGAGCGCTTTTCGGTATTGCCATGGGTGGAATATGGGGTCTATCAGCCTCGACCGCTTTGGAAAATTTGCCGGTTGAAGCTCGTGGTCTGGCCAGTGGTATCTTGCAACAAGGATATGCCGTGGGTTACCTCCTGGCTGCAGTCATAAATCTGCAACTTGTTCCCGACGTTGCAGCCGGCTGGCGCGCGTTGTTCTGGACTGGTGCTGGTATCTCACTCTTCGCCGCCTTCATAAGAATGATCCTGCCGGAGAGTGAAATATTTTTACGTGCAAAGGCAATCGAGAAGGCGAGAGGTCACACTACCACTAACAAGACCAGGGTATTCGCTCATGAAACATGGGTTATGTTGAAGACACATTGGCTACTTTGCATTTACGCTGTATTGCTCATGACCGGTACGGAACTTCCGAACTAGACTTGTCTGTAATGATTCTTATTGATCTTGCCTTGCCTTTTATAGGTTTCAACTTCCTCTCGCACGGATCACAGGTGAGCTCCGACTCCATTCCCTCAGACCTCCGTGGAAGATTATTTCATACTGATTTCGGTTACGGGTGCTTAGGACCTATACCCGACGTACCTTCAACAGTCGAAGGGCTTCACTGACCACAACGCAACAGTTGCAACTATCATTGGGAACTGCGTACGTCATTCTTGTCTTCACCCTCTACGTCACTTGCACCCTGTTACTTACACCGATGCCTTTCCTAGGGTGCCATTGCGTGAGTTAAGGTTCTATAGCTAATATATCAAACTGTTTCTGACCGGTTCCTGCTCAGTGGTGGTGCTATTGCAGGATGGGTTAGCCAATACATCGGGCGTCGTCTCACAATCGTGTACGTCCATTCTTCACATTCACGCAGCCTATTTTTGCATCGCGACACCTAGACCTCTCGTTCCTGACTTCTCCTTCTCTGTAGAATCTTCGTGCTTCTTATTGGGGCTTTCATTCCACTTTGGATTCTACCATCCTCATTCGCTGGTCTCGCTGCGGGTGCTTTCTGCATCCAATTCGGTGTACAGGGAGCATGGGGTGTTGTAAGTGTTCCATTCCACCGACTTACTCCGCGCGAGGCGTTAACGGACCGTTTTTCCTTCTCATCGTTGTAGATTCCAATCCAACTGGCTGAGATGTCCCCACCGGCTTTCCGTGCCACCTTCCCCGGTGTCGCATACCAGCTTGGTAACGTACGTCGATCTCTCACCCTATCACGTCTTGTCACCGTGTCTAACTGTCATTTCTCATGGCTGTTACAGATGGTTTCTTCCGCGTCTGCACAAATCGAAGCCAGTACGTTTTAATGATGACACGACCGCGCGCATGGATACTGATTCTTCCCTGGTACAGCCGGAGGTAAAAATCTAAGGACGACGATCCCAGGCAAAGAGGGTGACGTTCCGGATTACGCGACTGTGCAAGGTATCCTCATGGGCGTAGTTGCCGCCTTCGTATTAATTATTACTATTATTGGCCCTGAGTACGTATATTTGGACTTCCCTCTCATTACTTTTTGACTAACACGGGTGATCTGCAATTTTCAGAAACCATGGTTCTCACTTCGAGAAAGCCAAAGCCGCGTTCGAGGAAGGTGCAGGCCGCGATGAGCTTGTGGAAGACGTTGATGAGCCTCATGGTAGTCGCTCGCCCTCACCGCCGACGAGTATACGTGAACAGGATGTCAAGGAAAAGACAAGCACTGACATTGCTGCTGTTTAATTGTGGATCGACCGAGGTGCGGTTGAGATGCGATGGCGAACTGCTGGTGTATGATTGTTACGAACTCGAACTGCTTTACGACGCTGCCATGTATTGTTACACGATTTCGTGTTTCTTGGTGTGTATTGTTATATGACTGCTATTTGAATGCCCATTTCCTTCTAGCTGCTTTGATTAAGCCTTACGATTGGTGTGTTACTCAGAGGTAATTTCTGAATTCAATCCAACATACTCAAGTAACGTTTGAGGTGCACGTTCAAGGTTCGATTGGCACCCTGCTTAACAAGCGCGTTGTTTGAGTCTGTTTGTATTTTCAGCATTCTCGGTCCGAGCGCCGTCTGAGGCTTATTCCTGCTTCCTCCGCATTACCGTCAAAGTTGTCCCTCTGGATGCCTTACACTTCCTCATATCCTGCTTTCGATCTGTGAGTACACTATTGATACTGGATATAGGCATACTTTCATGCGCATAGTCACCGCCACCACACTCACTGTGTATTGAATGTTTGGGAATTAAACTGAAGTCGCAATTACTCAGTTGCTCCAGTATTTTTCTCCGCTTGCGTCTATCTACACAAACCAACACGCCAATATTTTGATTCTTTCCAAGCGTTACGGCCCAGTACACTGATCGAAGGCCCACAGTCTACTTACGAGTTTTTGCCCTAATTTTCGAGATGGAAGCCAAAAGGTTATGGACTTGCTGGTCTCCAGGTCTTCATCAAATGAACATTCGACTGTATGCCTTCATTACCCAGAGAGGTCCCTCCTCTTCTTTATGCTATCAACGCACCCTCAACCCGCCGATCATTCTCAGTCATGGTGAGCATCTGCTCGCAGACCAGCGAGCAAGTCGTCTCCAGTACTTTGTTTCGACATTATGCGGACTCAGCGTCGATGTCGTACATTGAATGTCCCTTGTAAGTTCCCTCGAGAAGGTGAGTGGTCATGCATTATGACGCGCGATCTTGGTTGTTCCATTGTTCTTAGCTGGAGGCGTGCATTTAACACTACTGTTCAGGGTGAGACGGAACCTGTGCACGAATATGCGAACCTCCAGGGTATTCTAATGGTCTCAGTCGCAGCTTTCCGCTGTGTGTGATAGTCATAAGGCCAGAGTCGGTCTTGCCTCCCAGGTGTTCAGTCGTATGTATTTATCGCCGCAATGCTCATACAAATGATTCTATAGGAACCTGGGTCCCATTTGGAGAAATACAAGACCACGATCGAGGAGGATGGAAGACGAGCGTTGACAAATAAGTCCTTTGACCTCATTCTCGTACACAATGTGTCGATGACAAAAGGAATCTCATGATCAACGTTCAGAATGTTTGGTAATAAATTGGTACGATGCTAACCGTGTGCAGTATTCTTACGATTCCTTCTTAGATTATAACTGTTTGGCGGCCGTGTGAATTGCTATCGTATTAGCAACGCTGCGGTTACACTTAAATGCAGGCAGGTCTACCAAATGATGCCGGCCAGAGCCGACCATGGGCCCAAACACGGTATACCCTTTGGCCCTTTTGCTAAATGTGCCTTTGACTTTGTGTAATACTTTGACCCTCATTGTTCTCAGTGGCACGATGCCCACCAAGTAGCGTATAAAATGAGCAATGAAAACTGACGCTCCTCCAAGCCCATACACTCTTTTCCCAACCATCGAAACAACCCACCATAGCCTCATACTGCCATGGACACCAGCAGGCTGAAAATGATGCGTCATCGCCTTCAACGGATCCCTGTGTCAGGCAATTGTGTCTGCGGTCAGAAGTTCGAGCCGACGGACGATCAGGAAACTTGTTGCTCAAAGGAGTGTTCTCTGGAAGAAGCTTTGCGAGCACTGGAAGGCAGGAGGGTACACGTCGAAGAGAACATGCTCAAGCAGATGGAGGCAGAAGAGAAGGCGCCGAAGAACTTCATGAAGACTTTGAAGGTGTCCAAGTCGTTGACTTCTATCAGGAAGAAGTTTCGAAAGCTACCAGATTTGCCAGTCCATCACTGTCCTCCTACGATGCCGAACAAATCTGCGTACGACAACCAATCTGCAGATGAATTCGTTTGTGTAGAGCAGGGACCTCCAATCTCTGCCAGTGGTCCCTACGTTTCGGCACCTCAATTTCCGCCAGCTGCTAGTTCGGACCCTATGGGACGTCGAAAGTTACCTGAACCTTGGGTATCTCCACAGTCCCAGGTATCCAAAGTTCCTTCTCACTGTGCAGGAAGCACCGTTGGACCGCCGATACGCGATGCAAAGATTCGACCTCTGCCGGTCCCTCCCACTTCTGGTGAGAACTCATCGAGGCTGCTACCAATTGGTCCGAGATACCCGCCGGTTTCCTCGACGAGTCCCCAGGTTCAACCAAGGCACCAACTGTCCAGAGAACAGGTCGAAGCCTACACATACCCTCGGCGGCCTCTGAATCCAATGGCTCAAGACTTGTATCCTCATTGTAACCCTCAACCTCCTGCCGTCCGTACCTTACCAACCCCAGGACTGGCTCCGCGACAACCTCTTCAAGGTCTTGGCCGAGAATGGGGAACAGACTCTGCAGGAACCCCTTATCGTCAAGACGGGGTTTTGGATGTGCGAAGGGCTCGAACACCTACAAATATTCCTGAGGACGTTGATCAGCACCTCTTGGCGTCCTCGAGCTTGGACGACTGGAATGAACGAAGTCTTTCCGACGATGAGGCGCGTGCGGGTTGGACCCGAACCTGAGAGAACATGCGATCTCGTCATCGTTGGCTTAAGTTAATGCACTTGTATGCTTTTATGACGTTCCTTTCATTTCGTATTATAAACCCCCACTCCTTCCATGACTTTCCTTCCTTCCCTTTGTCTATTTATCGTCGGACTTCGGGATTGGTCGCAGCTCCTGCTTATCACTATCTATTGTAATATCATGCAATGTGTTTCTCCTCAGTGTTGCGCACGACGTTGACGATAACCAGACTCAACATATGTGACGATATCTCCCGGGTACCGGCTCGTGGCGCTGCTTTATCGGACCAGGCGCGACTTATAAGGGGTTTCAGACATCGAGGATGCCGCACCTCTGTTCTATCTCTTCTTGCCTCCTGTTCGCCGTGCATTCAGTGCGTGGTATAAGTACTCAATCGTATCGATAGCTTTCGACCAACTACCACCATGTCTGCAGTATCAGATGCGGTGCTCACCCAGATCCTGAATCAGCTTCAGGCTCTTCAGATTTCGCAGCAGACTTTGCAGGCTAAGGTACGCATGCACGCCCGATTGAAATGAGGTTGTATCATCGTTTAACAGGGATAATCGCTACAGTTGGATTCATTGACACTCGCTAATGGAGGTGTAGCAGCGGCAAGCCCTCCGCAATCCCCACATAGACATGTAGTACCCATTCCCAGTCGACCTCAATCGGAGACTCCAACGGGGACATCTACCCCTACTTCATCCTTCACCACTGCTTCAGCGTTATCTGCATTGTCAGTGCCTACACAGGACGCAGATAAGGCCGCTATTGACAAAGAGAGGGAGAAGTTGCTTTACCCGGGACGAGTGTTATTGACCAGTCTGTACCTTGTTCATATGACTTTCTTTCCACTAATCATGAATCTCAAATCATGTAGCGTACCCTGACCAGCATGGGATCAAGCCATTTCCTCTCGTTTGGGGTGCATCGGATCCAGCTGTCCGTGGTCCAGTTATTCCATCTCGTCTACCATCGTCAATCAAGCAACGTAATGCTCTTGGAGCGCACTCTGGCTCGTACTCTATCTATCGTGCCCTCTCCATTGCCATGGGGGCGCTTTCGCCGACGCACAAGCCTGACTATTCGAAGACGGAGCCAGCTGTAGACATTCCGCCTCAACCCGCTTGGTCAGACCCTACCAAGATCGTATCTTTTGATCCTTGGGGACATCTTGTGCCTCAGGTCTTCAAGAAGGAAATAGAGGAACTTGGGCTGGACGTTAGACCTAGTATTGCTGTTACTCGTGCGCACATGAAGATGAGTGAGATTGACGAGGCTGCACGAAAGGGTGATTTGAAGGTCGATGGCAAGATTCTCATTAAGAGTCAGCCTATGCATAATGCAGATGGTTCACTAAGTACGGCTGATCCTGGTGTTGAGATTGTCATCAGTAAGGCTGCTGTCGAGCCTGTTTGGTACCTTCCTGGTGTCGCAGAACGTTTCGGAATGTTAGTACTTCTTCGAAAGTTCGAGGAAATGTTCTGACATGTCGATACCCTGACAGTTCCGAAAACTTGCTTCGACGTGCTCTTTTCGAAGACACCGGAGGAATGTACCCTGAGCTAATCACTCGTCCCGACATCAAAGTACTACTGCCACCTATCGGTAACTTGACAGTATATATTTGTGAGTTTAACTTTATTTGTCTTCATTCGCGCAGAGCTGAATATCATCAAAGTCGGTAACCCGGCTTACCTGTCGGATGAGTCGAAGGAACTTACTCTTCGGGTACACGATGAATGTCAGTGTTCACCCGTTGCATTCTCTACACATACCTGTGCCTTACTCGCATCTTTTCGCTAGGCAACGGTTCCGATGTCTTTGGTTCAGACATCTGTACCTGCAAACCATACCTGACATATGCCATCGAAGAGTGTGTCAAGGGTGCACAACGCGGTGGTGTCGGTCTTGTCGTCTATTTCCGCAAAGAAGGCCGAGCTCTTGGAGAAGTCACTAAGTACGTTTTCACCTTGCTAACCTCGTGCCTTGTGAACTCTACGTGCTGACATTGTCTTGACAGATACCTCGTCTACAATCTACGAAAGCGTGGTGGTGACTCTGCCGATAAGTACTTCAAGTCGACAGAACTCATCGCCGGAGTGAAGGATATGCGATTTCAGGCGTTGATGCCCGATGTTCTCCACTGGCTAGGTATCAAGAAGATTGACAACATGGTGTCCATGTCTGATATGTACGTTCACTATCATCTCGTATTCAGTCATAACATGTATTGATACCACCTTTCCCTTCTAGGAAATACAACGCCATCGTACAATCTGGTATACCCATCCTCAAGCGCTACGATATCCCGGACCACCTCTTGCCTCCAGACTCTCGTGTAGAAATCGACGCTAAGATTGCTGCTGGGTACTTCACTAGTGGGAAGCCAATCACTGAGGCTGATTTGGTTAAGACCGTTGGGAGAACTTGGGAAGAGACTGAGCATTAAGAGATAGATTGCACAGAGAGTCGTCTGGAATCCTGGAATATGCTTGTCGTATAATACGTGTAGATATTCACAAGTCGCTCTGTGTGCCTTGAATTAAGTTTCCGTGGAGTTCAGCATCGTACGCCTTCCCCAGGCGTGTGAACTTGGTAGAATTGAGAATTACGCTTTAATCGGCGGCAGCGACGACATGTCCATTCATCCTTCTACCTGAACACCTCCATGGATGAATGCTTCCAAACGCATGGCGACCACCTGATTGGATAATTACTGCTGAACATATAGATGGTCTGATAGTTCACTCCTAAGACACGAGCTCAGGTAACCGAAACTCTTCACACATTTCAACGGAGACACTGCTTGATTCTACAGCTCGAGACGAATAGCGTTTTTATACGCCTCGAACTCCGAGCAACGATATTCGCATTATACATCGTATCGCGGCCGAGGAATAGTGTCCTTGACATTTAAGGTGAGTTGGTAGTTGGCACCTCAGGATGCGTATAGGTCACAACTCGGGTTCTGTCGGGAAGCGAGCGGTGTTGCGACAGACAGGTTTGCAGGAATCGAATAAACGATCAGGTACCAGAGAACCTGTTGCCAGAGAGTACGTATATTAAATTCTTGACTGTGTACATGTGGAGACTGTCAAAGAAACAGAAGTGACTAACTAGATAGTTGAGAGTGATCTCTGTGGAGTCCAGATCAAAGATTGAAAGTTGACTAGTCTGCCATTTTCTTCAAGACGATATAAAGATTCTATAGGACTTATCCCGCCGATCAGCAGCTTTGGAAAGAAGCTTTCAAACACCGCTTGCAATCTGTAGTCCAAGAAGCTTGATCTGCAACGCCGAGGCCAATCCATTTAATCGTTGATCCAATCGAAAGTGAACTCCTATGGTTGTCTTTTTGAATTTTACATTGCTTGTCAGTGTTCCTGTCATTACTGAAGCAGCCAGACTGCTGGAGATCGTCTTCCAAGCCTTTCAGAGTGAGGTGTCCTAATCGCACTTGAGCGAAATCTGCATCGGAGTCGGTAGGCTATTTGTTCGCTTATTCATCGTGAAGATCTGTAGGCAATAATTGTCACTGTGTAGAACGAAGCAAAGATCATCGGTACATTTAGGCATATTTTCTACAGTTCGAAAGCACACAACACATCTATATACGCGGCAAAGGTAAGCAAACCTTACCACTCGTAGGCTGGTACATCATCCGGCCACCCTACTTCATCGACGTCCTCTGGCTCCTCTTCCTCAATAATTCTCAGCTTCTTAATGGCTTCCTCTGCGGCTGCGAAACGAACATGGTTGGTTGAAGACTTTCCACGATATCGTTCCGTAGCTCGAGCCACCTCTTCTTCGTCAACAGAGATAACACAAGAGATCTCACCCTTTTGTTTCTCAACCTTTATACCGAGCTTTCTCTTGGGATCTGGTTTCGCTGCCCATATCGCAATGCGGGATACAGGGTGCAAGACGTCCACTTCATCCTTGACGATATGTTCCATAATCGCTCGGTGGCCGAGTTTTGAAAGAACGCGTCGTATGGTGTCAAGATCACCCTTGCAGTCAATGAATATGGCACCGAGAAGACTCTCTATCATGTCGCTGATAAACTTGGGAGCCTGCAGACTTGTCAACGCTGCCCAAGGGTAGAATTTGTCCTGTTTGAGTGACTTCTTGATCGCGGATACAGCCCTCTGGTAGCGGGAGAAAGTGACCGTGTGGTCATCGAGAACTCGTGAACTGGAATGCAACATGCACTGATACAGGGAAATCGTCTGGGAATCCTTCTGCAGCGTGACACCGTCATTCATATCCCAGGTGGGCATGCTAGCGTCCAGGACTAGCGAGATGTCCATACACAGGAAAGCGAGTAGATGGGAGTTAACCAGTGCCTCCTTTCGTAGATGCATGTGTCCAGGAGTGTAATTCTTCCCAGGGGCGTGATATAGGTAGTCCGTCACGACCATGTCGAGAGCGGAATCGCCCAGGAATTCAAGACGCTCATAGGATATGTTGTCGAGATCTCCTTGATAACTCGAATGCGTCAGAGCCTCAACTAGGAGCATTTTATGGGAAAACCGATAATCGAGCATCCGCTCAACGAGAGAAAGCTGGCTGGGCAGATCATCCACATCCTCTACCCGCGAAAGAGCAGCTTCGACACGAGAGATTATGGGTTTCCAGGAAGGAATGCCTAGGCCAAATACTTCGATGCATCGTATCGCCAGATCAAATCCTCCATGCTCATATGCAGCACCAATCAAAGCTTCAACCACATCTGCAAGGACTTTCGTAGACAGATCCTGTTTTGGCTTTTTCTTCTTCTTCCCCTTCGTAGGACTTTCCGCATTTTCTTCCGTCGGGTCGTCCTTGTCTTCTACTTGTGATGGAGAAGCAGCGATCTGATTGATTGTGACAATCAAACCGTTACCAGTAGAAGTATCTGGTTCGATAGAGTCAGGTTGTTTGCCAACATCAACAGCTGGTTTGTCGTCCAGGTAGCGAGGCTTCCACTTCCGAGGGACGAAGCGGTCGCGGATAATCCATCGATAGAGTCCTTTTCCAACCGCCTCCTTCGCCAGCTGACTATTGTTGACGGCGTGATCCTTCCTCCTACTTAGGTATCCTTCATGCCAGTAAGGGTGTTCTGCGAAGAGCTGAATACTGATAGTATACTTCAATACCGTATCACCCAAGGTCTCCAAACGCTGATAGTTTGCTTCCTGCGACACGGGTGCGGTGACAGCGGTAGTAAGGAGATTGAGCGGGATAGATCGCAATGAAGGTTCAGTGAAGAGATTGTCGCGAAGGGAGGCAACTGTAATAGCCTTCGACAACCAACGTAGGAAGGATGGCAAGATCATCGCAATCTCGGCTTCGTCACGAGATATGAGGTCCACGGTCGCGTATTCTGGCAATATCAGTCTCAGCGCATCGTTGCTTAAGCCAGCGGTCTCGGATTCGAGAGGAACAAGGAAATTGACACGTCGAGGGAGAGATTGCACGACCATCAGCGGAAACGTGATGTCCAAGGTAGGGTAACCATCGTATCTTTCCCTCAATTCTTCCTCTTCCTCAGTAGAAATTGGGCCGTCATGCCACCCCACGAAACTGAGCAGCTTGGAAATCTTGTCATTATCTCTGACGATCGACAGGTCCAGCGAGTACCCCATTCTCTCACCAAGAAGACGTGCATTCGCCTGGGTCGAGTTCTCGTACCGACCATAGGTAGGTCGACTAGCTTGCCACGCTCTGCGATCCGCCCAGGTAGACTCAAGTCCGTCAACAGATATAGGGAGGAAGAGATGAACGAAGTCATGTTTACCATGTTCCATCCGTGAACCATAAACTGGAAAGAAGATGCGATGAGTGTAGTCCCTCGCGGCAGCCAGGACATCCTTGGTGATAGTGAGAGTAACGTCGAAGACCATTCCGACTTTGAGAGGCTTTTTGCCGGGAACGTAAAGGAGAGGAAAGTCGTCTGGCTCAAATGAGGAAAACGTGAATGGCGTGAGCATACGTAACACATGTTCGTCCCCAAGCATGAGCTGGTAACACCACCACTTGTCCACAACTGGGGATACGACGGCAAATGGATCCATTTGGATAGGAACATTGGCAGTACTCGCTCGCTGTTCTACCTCTTTGACCAACAGCTCGACTTCATTGTGGACATCTCCATCGAGAGCACTCCACAAGGGCAAAAGATTATCCGTCAAGAGACCTTCCCGATATAAAGTAACGTAGGCGATGAATGCTGCGTGACATCTTGCAGATAGTTTCGACCTGTAGGCCTTCTCTGTAGTGAAGCTGCGGAGACTGTAGATGAATAATCAGTATGGTTGTAGAATAAGACAGGGATGAATCATACTGTGGAGGTAGAACTCGGGGTAATATACAGGTCGCCTTCCATGGGCCAGGGGATCCGACCGTCATTGACGACTTAACCTCGAAGGCATGCCAGCCTTCCGGATAATCGGGTGGGTCTATCTCAAAGATAGGAAGGTGATTACCATGTCCACTCGATGGCAAGATGGAACAGAAATGGTACAAATGGTTGACGGCACTATGCAAGGTGAGCAGCGCACTAGAAACAACATGAGTGTCAGTTGCGTAATCAATCGCGGTGTTCGATATACGTGAGATCATACGCGGTGGATGGTACTCGAAACTCCATATCATTCTCAATCTCCTCCTCTTCTTCTATAGCTTTTGGGTATACCCTGGTAGGATCGTTATACATCGCCATCATATCCTCCTCTGTCTTCTGCCACTTTCTGACCTTCGCATCCCCGCCCTGACTATCGTCGAATAAGATGAACGTGCTCTTTTTGCGCCTAGCCCGTCCTCTACTTTGAGCCCAAGCAACCATGTTCGGCGGGGGATCGAAGCGAATCACACTACCACATGCTTGAATATCAATCCCCTCTTCAGCAACAGCAGTAGAGATGATCAAATTCTTATCCCCAAGCCTGAAGTCTCGAAGAGTATCCGCCGGCGGGTCCTTAACCATGACCCGAGTGATATCCAGGAAGGAGTGTCTTTTCGAAGAGGCTGAGCTTCCGAGAAGGCACCCTATCCGGAAGATCCCCGCAGTCTCTGGTAGACTCGATAAAACCTGGCCTAATGCCAATACGGAGTCTCGACGAGTCACGAAGATGATTCCACTGTAAGCGTCATTATCGGCACGGGCAAGATTCTCTTCTTCCAGGAGACACTGTACCAATTTCCGCACTTTCGTCGACGTGCGCGGAAGAATCTGGTGGATATCCGTAGGGACGGGAACCAAGCTTACTTGTGCCAGAGCGCTCAGTAAGTATTTCTTTTCTTCTTCTTGCCAGGTGGACATGATCACGTTTTGGACCGTGGCGATATTTTGAGCCTGCTTAACCACAGCGTTCACGTACCAATCCGCTGCCCATGGTCCTAACTCCCAACAGATATCGCAAGCAGCGCGCAGGAAGTCGCGAAGACCCTTGTGACTGAAGGTATCTGCCTTGTTGATCGTTTTGGATAACTTCTGGTCGACTCGAGTACGCTGGTTGCCGACTGGGAGTTTTGCGAGTTGAGCCCGTAGGGATACCACGTAAGGATCTTCGTCGATATTCAGCTGATTCACGACTGCATTCAGGGCTATCACGTTGGCTGAAGGTCCCGTCCAAGGAATCTCATCGTAGCTGTACTCCGGAATGTTCCATAAGACGTGCTTGAAGATAGGCCGATGGACATGTTGAGCCAGTTCTTCGCGATTCACCTTCGATGAGAGAATAACACTATCCAAGTTGCTCTCGAGTTCACTGATTCGGAGGTGATCAGTATAAATCGCAGAAAACTGCAAAGGAGAAATGAATACCGGAATGCCTTGCTCAGGTCGCCCCCATAGATAGGACTAGCAGTGAGACCAAGTATCACAGGTCGAACGCCGATCGTAGTATCACCACTACCATTGCGTGCAGGTAGCTTGAAGTAAAAGTCGCGCATGATGGTGTTGTAAGGATGTTTTGACGTCGCATGATGAGCTTCATCGAATACCAGCAAGCTGAGCTGACCGAGAGAAACGAAGCCATGACTCAAAGCATCCAGGAGGATTTGTGGGGTGGTCACCATGATACTGTAGTCCTCCAGTAATTTCTGCCACACTTTGGCGTCCTTCCACTGATCAGGTTCGGACTGTCCGCTGACCATACCAACGTTCACGGGAATGGATAAGCCAATGACATTGCGCTGTTGTTCGATTAATGATACCGTTGGGGCAAGAAACCAGCAGATCTGATAAATACAGAAATGAGCTGGATCGATGAAGAGTATCAAGCAACGAACCTTGTTAGTAGTACGCTCAACTTCCATCTTCATCCTCAACACGGCAATGTGCGTCTTTCCCGAACCTGTATCCAGCGCGATGATGATGTTCCGACGGAATGACTCGTCGAGAAGCTCTTGTTGATAGCCTCGAGTTTGAAATTGTTGCTGCGGTTGGCTACCCGCCGTGTCCTCTGTGTCAACGTCCATAATATTTCTTCTGTTACGATTCAAGCGATAAGAAAATGGTCATACGTATGGAGACAGTAACAGGAAGCAGATGCAACCGAAGGACGTGATGAGAGTCCATATGCGCTCACCTCTATCAATGATTCGAGTTAGAGTCGGATGAAGTCAAGAGGGGTGCTACGTCAAAGCCACAGAATGAGTCTAACGAGGCATGGCAAGAGACGATACGTTGGCTAGATATATACTGTTGGAAGTGTCAAAGAGCTCTTCTTAGCTGCGCATTCGATCAGATAAACGCCAGGACGATGATCTGCGTGAAAGGGAACTCGGCCAAACTAGCGAAGATACATAAGTAAATTGGGTCTTCTCAGCATGTGGATCCGGGGAACAACTGACCTGGTCGGGAGGGACACCGAAGTAGGATGAAGGTTCCTCTTCAACGTCTACCGGAATCGGCAGCGACAAGGACGATCGTTTCTATGAGTGGAATCCCGTACAAGATTACGAAAATGACCAGTCTCGAATCCAGAAGTTCTAGGGAGAGACAGCAGCAGCCGCACAAGTAGGTGCGTTCAAACCCTTCAAACCCTTCAAACCCAGCACGGGTATGTACGTCAGGTGTGTGAACGTCTGGTCGAAACTGGAAAATGACACTGTAGCGCAAGGTCAAGCGGGGGAGTGATACTCAAAAGCGATAGCCAAATTGACGTCGAGTAGTGTCGAGTTAGAATGAAGGAACCCCGAATCTCGAAGCGATCGCAATTTTAGCCAGGTTCCAGTTAGCGAATGATTACTAGGAGGATCAGAGAACCATAGATATCAAAGCCATCCTCACTGTTAATACGCGTAATGAGCTCCAGCGTCGAAACGTTAGAAGTTCATGGAATTTAAAGTCAATGTTTAGAGACAAATTTCACAATAAGTGGCCGGTTATGTGAAATTTATTTACTCATAATTAAATTAAAAGTTGCTGTAATGCTGCGTACGTATGTAGTTGGTGCCCAACATCCTCTCCGTAGAACTCACCTCTCCACTTGTTCTCACTTCTGGTTGCTCTTATGCTACCATAATATTCAATGTCTGAACATATACCGCTTGCTGGGCGACATGGCACACCTCCAGATGAAGAAACCCTGCCACACGGGCTCTCGCTGGACAGCGTCGGGAAAGAGAACGTAGATGATATTCATCCTCCGTGGAAACGAAATCTCTATTTGCTTCTTGAGCACCCGGCTTCTTCTCAGGCTGCTTTCTTAATCCATGTCTTTACAACCAGCGTAATCTGCGTCTCAGCCATCATCACCGTGCTGGAAACTGTACCTGCTTTCCATTCAATCCCTGGCGGCATTTGGTTCGGCCTGGAGACGAGTCTTGTCGTCTTGTTCACTGTAGAATATACAGCGCGATGTATAGCGCATTCGAACACATGGAGAGGTCTTGTAATTTGGTTGACTTGTGCGTTGCCCTGTGGACACCAACTAGTCGTACTAATCTCTCTATCAGCCTTCTTCGGGATCATAGACCTCTTGGGTATACTACCGTATTACATAGAGATTGCTCTACAACAAGATACAGTACGTTGTGCCTCTCCTGCTGTAGCTTGTGGTTCAGACTCATTTTATGCTAGTCCACGTTCTTCAGATTCACTATTCTACGTACCTTTCGACTATTGAGGGTATTCCGACCCTTCCGGCACAACAATACTTTGCTCCTGTGCGTACTCTCCCATCCATTACAGCCACGCATGCTTGAACTCTTGGACATCTGCACAGAACCATAGAAGTGATGATATTATCCTTCCGACGATCACAACATGCACTATTGGCTTTGGCGTTCTTTGTGGCGATGGTACTAGTGGTATTTAGCACATTGCTGTTAGACCTCCTCCACGTTCCCGTGGATTCGCCAGGCTAAAACCTTGTCACTAGATATTTTGCTGAACGCGGAAGTTGGGACGAGACGCTAGGAATTTTCATCAACTCAGACGGGGATCCTAGCCAGTTCGCCGTAAGTGTTTCGTCGCGTCGATATACCACCTTCTGACCTTCCTTACCAGTCTATACCCGCAGCAGCATGGTAAGTACTCAAACTTAATGTCGGTTATCTTAATTTTCTCTGACTTGTGCGCCGCTAGGTTCGTTCTTGTCAGTTAGTATTCTCAGGTTCAGCGGTAAAATGCAATATTCTAACTTGCGCCTACGTCTAGCTATCACGACTGTAGGTTATGGTGAAATTACACCACGGTCGTTCCTCGGAAGACTAGTGACACTTCCTCTCCTCGTTTTCGGACTTTTGTTGATTGCTCTGCCGACATTTGTTCTCGGACGAGAATTTAGTCTCGTCTGGGACATGATGCACGAAAGTCAAGTACGTATACGTAACCGTGCTATTGACACCTGACATTATACCAACATCGCATAATTGGCAGATTGCAGATGAAGCGGACGGTTTCATCTCGACACCATCAGGATCCCCAATCCTACGTCGCGCCCGTGCATCATCAATCGCAAGTCTCGGGGAGCCTCTGCCCGAGCGCCTTACGAATACGCGCAGCATCTTCAGTCGACGACGTCATTCTGTTGAACCTCAGGGGGACTTGGTGTCCCAGATCGCTGACTTGAAAGCGACGGTGGAGATGCAAGGTGATATGATGCGCAGGTTACTACTTGTATTAGAAAAGGATGGGCCGCCAGGGAAGGGGAAGCAGAGAGCCCAGGCCCCAGGGATAGGTGCTACGAGTAGCGGAAGTGGGAGTGGGAGTGGGTATGTTTGGAGGTGATATAATGTACGGTACGATGTCTGTTGTATCTAGGTGTGCATCGTATTGAAGTCGTGCTCCAGGTCTTGTCATGTTATCTATTGTATTTGTCAAGGGTAATGGACAACAATCGCTCATTGTCCTGATTAGCGGCCTCGTAAGATGATGTGTGGCGACCTCTCCCCATCCAATATCCCTCAGGCAGATGCGTAATCAGAGTGATCTTGTCGATATGAGTCCCTGGAACAGCGGCGACAAATGAGACATGCACAGTCAGGAACTCTAATAATGCGAACATCCTCTGGGCTAGAACAATGGCCTTGTAGATGAAGAATTACTTAAGCGACCAGGCCAATTAAGTGAAGATGATTCATCGAGTGAGGCTCAGCATGAGAAGCACCCAGGAGCCCCCACCGGAGAACTCAATATTTTCTGTTGTCGAGCTCATACACTTTGGAATTCAACGTAAACACTGTAGCTTATTCTACTCATTGTCTAGAGTAACCTTGGAGGCTATATCAATCTCGGCTGGTTCCTAATAGCATTCAGTACATGCCAAGTGAAGCTTCAACTCTGGACATACCGTTGAACGAATGGCAGGATTAGTTTCTTGAGTGATATTGACTTGCACCTGCACCAAAAAAGTTCTTTATAGGTACGGAGTCATATGGCCACTGCAGACATATACACACCTCCTGCATCGCGTAAGCCGGCGCATCGGTGGTGAATAGGCTCGTCCCAATAATGATTGGTCCTCCCATTCTGGCACGGAGCATGTGTCTTGAGTTGAGTCTACACGCACGGAAATATAGCAAAGGTTGAGAATAGTAAGGTTTCTGTAGAATGACTAGACGGCTCACGCTCCGAACAGGGTATTCGCTGCGACTGTTTGGTAAACAGGTTCAACTACGTAATATAGTGACGAGGAGACGCAGCAACACGAACATACATTTCGCGAAGATGTGGATAAATCCAACATAGAGGAGACTATTAGGCAGAGCGAGATGCTGAGGGAAAAAAATAAGCCCTTTCCTAGTTCTCGTTTAGGCGGTACGCACAATTATCAATATGCAGACAGCCAGCAGTCTGTCAAGTCGAAGCGTTGAGATGGCTCTCAAGTTCACTAAAATCACGGCTTACGTTAGTGCAGCTCCTGTATTAACGTAGTACATGACCAGCCAATCAACAATGCTTCTGGTTCTAATCATGCCATGAACAATAATCACTTCAACACAAATGACGAAAGCTCACCGCTGAAGTCCTCCCTTACTGCGGTTCAGGTAAAATACCATAATCATCGCCATCATACCATCCGAGATGATTGTCAGGCACAACGAGGTTAAAAAGACACCCTTGAACGATGAGTCTATACATCTAGTACTCAAATTGTTTTCGGACATGCCTTCATTACTGGATCGGTGACACTTGACCAGGTTCCACCAAAGCTGCACTTCTTTAAGTATATTATTCGCTCAGGGAGAGTATGACGTACCACTTCACCGCTATATCTGCAGATGAGAGAGAGAAAAAAACAGGTGAGAACGTCGTACCTGGGGGACATATATAAACTGATACGTTACAGAGAAAGCCTCCATGCCGGGCCAAGAGGAGCACAATCTGTCATTGGAGAAGATCAGTCATTTCCAATACAAACATTGTCTTTTTCGCACCGATCCAACAGCGAGAGTAACATTATTGCTGACTGACGCAAAATGTAAATACCAAGGTTGCATCTGAAACCAAAAGATTACGAACATTTCCACATCCGATGGATATAGAAGCTGCAAATTGAATGTGAGGCCAAGCTTTTGAGCACATTGCACATAGACGAAGTAAACGAAATCACCCTTCTACGATCATCTGAACGAGAGCCTAGAGTGCAATTTTATCAGATACATGAAGCAAACCATGTACGTACGCTCAGACGCACCTCCAAAATTAGTGACACCTATGAATTCAGGGTTAGACAATGGAATATGTAGGATGTGACACCGTACAACATACTGGAACACTCCTGGATATGAACCATACAACAAATGAGGTCAAACTTCAATAGCTGTGACAATGAGAGACTCCATACCAATCCATTTTGGCTAGATTTGATGGGTTTTCGATGGAGAGAATAGAATACGCGTACAGCTGACGCAAGAAAAAGGCAGTATGAAGGGTCTCAAGCATCCTACAAACGCTTCGGATAAATGGGAGGATTGTTGATAGTTGAACATGAACAGACATACATAAGTGTGCCTGCCATCCATTTCATCCACATTGGATCCCGTTCGCAAGAAAGGAGATAAATGTAGCCCTGCGCGACATTGATTCCATACAATCTAGATAGGAAATCAGCTTTCGCATAATTAACCCTATTTTACTACTCACATGCATCCTATTCCGAAACTTTCAATGAATCCACCTGCGAAGGCTGGGAGAGAAGACAGAGTAGTCATCTGGCCACAATGGGAGCTTGACTTTGGGCTCCGGCCGATACTGCGGAGGCCACTGATATAGGGAACGGAGCGTTTAATGAAACCTTAGAGTAGACACGATTGATGCGCTATTCGTCCGATCCCAAGTAACCATCTTCTACATTATGGAATTTGGTCAGCATACAAAGATCTTGAAGAAACCAAGATCCTCGGAGAATTCTCAGAAACATTAGGGAAGGATGGTGTATGCTGACACGGTAATCGTCCTATATCCCGTGGCCATCCTACTTGGCCAATGAGCGCCATACCTAAAGGCGACAATCGGTCAGCGTGTTGTAGAATAGCGGACTAGCACGATTTTGAACATGCAGTGGCGTTGGTGGAACCTTCACATATCCTTTTGGATGGAGAGTTTCAACGCCCGGAACGCCGGATGGTGAATCTCAGCATTTACCTCTTCAACTCGGCCCTAGAAGCAGCAAGAGACAGTTAGAGGGATAGAAGTTGGATTTGAACCTAGTTCAAGTAAAGTGGAAGGATTCGAGACCAACAACGACCGAATGTGTCTCTGCGGTGTTAAGCGTAATACTTCACTGGTTGGGATAGACCATCACGTTTCAGTGGTGATTGACCGCGGTTCGCCCACTGTGGGACCGAGTTCAGGACTGTAACCCAACAACTTAGCACGTAAGGTGTTTATATACTCGCTGCCTCATCGCACTCATCTGGTGCCCTTCGGTGTGAGTCCGACGGGGTTGGTGGGAGGCTTGTGGCACGAACCGCACTAATCACCTATCAGCAAGTCTTCATAAGTATCGCGGTCAATATCTAATGCCTGAAACCTTGTTGTAGAATTCCCACTTGAAGCTCTAAATAATTGATTACCTGTTGATTCCACCTATACGGTTGAAGGGAAATGAAGAATTCAACGTGTTTTGCTCACCTGATGCTTCAGCCTATCGTCTTAATACTAGGAATAAAGCCTGAGTCACCAGGCCTGGCTATTCGAGGACAATAAATTAAGAGCCAGAATTGTTTGTATGTTCAACAGTAGACGGTAAACGTGGTACAGCTCAGAGAAGTCGGAAGTGGATTAGTAAGCTGCCTGAAGAATGGCCAGACCGGATCAAATCTACAAAAAGGCGGGGCATGTGTTGCTATTAGCAAACAGCAACCAAGCAGCGATACAAACGCTTCGAGTGGAAAGTATGAGAAGGATGGCTCTGCGGTCGGAACGCAGCTGATCGGCTTTGCGCTCAGAACAAGTCAGAACACTGCCGCGTGACAATCTCGCAATCAAATTAGTGGCTCAGTTTGCCTTGACGACTTCTTGACCAAGTTCGACTTGAAGTAGAAACCGAATGCATCCATTGGGTACAAGAACTTGCGAACTTCACAGAGGGACTTGGTCATAATTAAGAGGATGCTTAGCAATTTTAGTTCATTAGTGGGTGACATCTGTGAAGTATATGCCTTACCATGTACGTTCACTGCAGCGGCTGATTCAAGTAAGTGATTCCCCCTTCCAAGTTGTTGCAAAGTTTGATGAATTACTAGGGCTACCCATAAGGGTACAAGACAGAACATCTAGATCGAAGTTCCAGATGCTGCGGCTTGTGATGCCCTCGGTGTTTCTTCTAGTTGGCGGTGCAGGCCTCTTGAAAAGAGTTGCGCCACGTAGGCTGGTACCTTCTTCCCTGCAGCTTGTATCAGCTATTACCACTATCGAGGGCTGGGTGGCTGAATATATCGGTTCAGCCTATCAATTGGCCGTCATTTCAGTGGTGTAAGTTCTCATTATCACCTCCGTCTGACCACACCAAAGATACATATTCAAGTGCTTAGCTTCTGATCAGGCAACTCACAAGACACGTACGATCTTTCAGTACTCTCGTGAGTCCACCATATCCAAGCTCATCCGCGACTTGTTTTCTTTAGGGCCACTCGGTAATACTGGTGTTCAGGAATCGCCGGTCATGTTTCTTGATACAACACTTGCAGCATTGGTATGCACAGAACTATTCGCCATTCCATTCGCTCATTGAAGGTTTCGCAGTGTGCGTATCTGGTTCTTCACTATCATGAACCCAGCGGCATTACCGACGGTCTACTTGTGATACTTCCCGCACTCGTTGGAGCGATATTATTCGCAGGCCCTCTCACACTATGGTCGTGTGTTACGACCACTGCAAGTTACTTTTTCGTACTGGTGCTTTCTGTTGTACTCTATCGTCTCTCTCCATTCCACCCTCTTGCACATTTTCCCGGTCCAGTTCTCAACAAGGCCACTAAGCTTGCTGGTGTATGGACAACGTGGACCGGCCACCAGCACCTAACGAACCAGGAATTGCATGTGAAATACGGCCCCTTTGTGCGAGTCGGTAAGATTATAATTGGATGCAACTTGATATATAGTTTTGATGCATCTTATTAGGACCCAATGACCTGTCTATTGTCGATGTTGACGCCGTCATTTCTGTACTTGGTCCGACCGGAATGCCCAAAGGAAGGTGTACGTCTACACTTTGCTCGTATCATTCTTCGTCGTTAATCGGAACTTCAGACTACAATGCTCGTCGGGATCCAAATGCTCCAAGCAACCTCATAATTCTTCAAGGAGAACCGCATGCACATCGACGAAGACTCTGGAATAGAGGTCTCACTCCTGAATCCTTGCACGAATATGAAGCAGTCATCGCGAAACGGGCGTCTCAAGTCATAGCTCATTTCCAAGAGACAAGTTCGGGAGACATTGACTTGGTAAAATGGATCAATTATTTCACGTACGCCCCAGTACTCTCTTCAAGTCTGAAGGTATTAAACTCGTCACTGACGTCGAGGTTTGAATAGCTTCGATGTCATGGGAGATATGGCGTATGCCAAGTGCTTGGAATTCGAGTCTTACGTTGCTGATGCGTTTTGTCTAGCTTTGGGCGTGGGTTCAATATGATCTTAGATGGCGATAAGGATGGCTTATGGGAGACGATAGAGCAGTGGGCACTGTAAGTTAGACCCATGTCATTCTGCACTCTACTCTTACTTATGTTTCTGCACCAGTTCTGCAGCTCTCATTTCGCACATGCCTTGGGCAATCAGATGGTTCGAGAGGATTCCTTTGGTATCTAAGAATCTCATCAAACTTCGAAAGTTTGGACTTGAATGTGCAATGCAACGGATGAAAGCAGGCGCCACCACAAAAGACCTCTGGTATCACCTTGTATGTTGCCGCTTTCTGTTCTTTCCCTGCACTGACAAGTATGCTTTAGTCTGATGAGGCAGGCATCGAACGAGAGAAACCGTCAGTCAAGGAGGTAGCCTCTGACGGAGCGCTTGCTGTCATAGCAGGTGCCGATACCACAGCATCCGCTGTAGCGAGTTTATTCTGGTTCTTACTCCAGAATCCGAATATCTACAAGCAGCTCCAAGAGGAGATCGATACCGTCTATGCTGACCACTCTGACCCCCTCTCTACGGCCAAGCATTCGAAGTTGGTCTACCTTAACGCTTGCATGTACGTGATCTGTATTCTACACGAATCTCCACTCTCATCGTTACAACTCCGAATAGAAATGAGGCTCTTCGTCTTCACCCGCCTGTTCCAACTAACGGACCTCGCCAAGTTCCTGAGGGTGCCAAGGCCAGGGTAGTCGCTGGACGGTAAGTCATGACAACACATCTGGTATCTCCTTACTCATGTTTGCTTTCATAGGGTGATTCCCGAAGGAACTCAAATCTACGTCCCGCCCTATTCCTTACACCGTGATCCTCGTTACTTCTCACCATCTCCGAATGCCTTTATTCCGGAACGTTGGCTAGACTCGGACAAGACGATGGAGTCGGCGGCTTTCATTCCATTCTCTTTTGGCCCGGCAAACTGCGTTGGTCGTCAGATGGCGAAGCAGGAGATGTTGATGTTCGCAAGTGTTCTGCTTCAAAACTTCACATTCTCATTTGTGGATGGCTTCGATGCTGAGGCTTGGCCGGCACAGCTGCATGATTACTTCGTTACTACCAGAGGTCCTCTTATGGTGCGCGCGAAACCACGAAGTGTATAGATATGTGCGAGGGAAATGCACTTCGTAGTATGCATGTTAAGATACATCTGATATAATGACTCTACGCCATCTTTATCGTATCGTCATGTAGGTAGTCGTCTCACCTAGTTTTATGCGACAATGGGTGCTCAGTATGCAGCCCGAGCGATCATAGCTTTTCACACAACCTTCTTTCGTGTTGACTATGATAATTGTATATCGATATCACAAACGGAACATGCAGTACTTCTCAATTATCCTTAGCGCTCTCCCGGGATGCTGCATCACTTCTGACGTTTTCTCAATAGCACCTTCCATCAGGGGGGAGAGGGAAGATCGACAGAGCGTACCACCGATCAGGCGGGCCCGGGCGTGTATCGCCTTCCATTTTCAAGTCATAACTCATGAGCACATGAGCCATCAAATTCCTCAGTTCTAAGGCACCGAAGAATCCACCTGGGCTGTGGACCGTAAAGACGTGATTGCGAAATCTAGAAAAGAGGAAAACGTACCAAGCACATTTCCCTATTGCGCGACGCAAATCATACCATTTTACGTCGCAAAGATACTGGACCACGGGTCGACCCGGATAACTGTCCAGTCAAAACTGTCCTGCGAGTTTGAACTCGATTTGGCCCAGGACTATTCATGCCAGACCTGAACTTGGAGACCTGAGGTACTTCACACACCGCCTGCGCGGAAGTATATAGTGGGAACCGTGGCGACGCTCCGGAAAAGGCAGGTGTAGCAGTCACTTTCCGAGCCACATTGCTCCTCACCATCATCTTGACATTAGCATGACGCACAGTCCATATCCACCGTCTATTTAATCTCTATATGAAGACGGACATCAGTCCCAACACCATTCACGCCATCTACCACAACTGCAATTTTGAGTTTATGATACTTCGCCCATCATGAGCAGCTCCCGGCGAGGGAGAACCTGTTACGGATCATAACATTAATGATCAATACCTTAAAGGTCCTCCAGATGTGCGTAAAGCAGTTCAAGTTCCGGAGACATCAAATGGCTGACGCCAAGTTATCCATAGAACATACCCGTCGAGGCCAAACAACCCCGAAGCGCAAGAGGTCTGAAGGAAGGTTCGCGTGAGGAGATAGATCCGAGAAGTAAGGGTGTGCTGGGCGAGGAAGCGTCTTCAAAGATCTCGAAGACAACTGCTTTAGAGACACTGACGAACGGGAATGCCGTGCATCCTAACTCGACGAGTTGATTAGGATGCTAAAACGAAGAAGATTCGCATCACAAATCTGTTTAGTAGCAGTACTAGTATCACGAGCGCCAATAATTGTAAACCTCGCTTCATCCATCCTCCTTGTGTGCGAGAATGGGGTCGATGGAATGAAAATCCAGGGACAATCGTCAAATCGTCTGTAGTGAATGAGACTGTGGCTCGACAGCCTGTCAACCAACTGAACCTCCGCAGGCATTGTAGGTGGCCTCTATGCCTCGACGACCAGAAAATATCACGTACTTACTTGCTGAAGTGCAAAGTCGTTGAATACAGTCTTCATGCTTGCTGAAAAGGGCCCACTCGGAAAGTCCATCAGACTCGTGACCTTCTAGGTAAAGCATGCAGTGGTCATGTTCGGCACCTCTCAAAAAAAAAGTAAAGGTCGACACCATAGACTGTGGAAGACGAGGGCCTGCATGACCAAAGAAGGTTCTCCCAGTCCTGAAAACATATGACCTGATCTATGAATGGTCATGAACGTGACGATATCAGTCGTATCTTTGTGGTACTTGCAGCGTGTAGGGACATGGGCGGCCCCAGCCCCAATGCCTCGCATGCAAGCCAGCGCACAGCGGAGTTCTCACCGTGAGTGACGGACTGAATCCAGAAAAGGCAGGTATAGTAGTAGTTCAAGCTTGGCTCAAGCACCGCTCTAGGCTTGTCTGTATCTAAAGGGGCGGCCCCTAATATCTCGTTGTCAGTCTGACACGTAGAAATCCGTCATCGAATTAATAAGGGAACCCTGGCTCACATATGATGTCCGCCAGAAGTAGTAATACTCACCAACATCGTCCACGACGACATTCACCACAATCACACTTAATCTTCTAAACCCCTCACACTATGCCACGAAGTGTTCGCCGGTACGGCGACCTCGTCACAGCAGATGGGAAACCTATTACGGATAATCTCCGGGTGTTCAAGAAGGAATTCCAGGTCGTTGACAAACCAGCTGTCACTGACCACAATATCCATGATGATTATATTCGGGATCCTCCACACGTACCTGTCAATCATTATATTTTGGTGACCCGTAACTGATGTTATTGTAGAACCAAGGGACATTGTCGATCGAGGCTATAGAACAGGAGCATGAGGAGGAGCAGCGGCTGGCTCACCTGGCTCAGAAAGGTCGGAAGGGAAAGCGAAGGATGTCGGTCTGAGGCACATCTCACGTCTGTATCAATAGCATAGAGTTCAAAGGAACTCATCTTATCTCTATCATCCCCTGCTCACTGTGCGGGAATCTCCATCTGCAGGGTGGCACACATAACCACGAGAGCTCCTGTGAACATTCGCCACAATCATGCTTCTGTAAGTTCCACTTTCTTCTGCCGCTCTAAGGCCTTCTCGGCCTCCTCAGCCTCTGCTTTTCTTCGTTTCCTCTCATTCGCTTCCCGTACCTTCGTCTCCAACCGCCTCACCCATTCCAGATTCTCCTCCTTCCCACCTTCCAACTTCCACCTCTCCGGGTCCTTCATCTTCCATCCCAACTTCATCTTCGCCTGCGCAACGTACCCCACCTCGCTTGTACTCCTCGATATCCTATCCAGGCGTTTCTCCTCCTCTGACATCAGACAGAGAACGTGGGCGGGGGGACCTCGTCGTGCACGTCGGATAGTACGTTTGAGGACTTCACCTCGTCGTTCTCGTGTATATTCACGCAACTTGTTCACGTTCTTCTCCCGACGCGCTTGTTTGATCTGCTCGAGCATGGTGGGAGGGTAAGGGAGCTTCCTTCTCTTGTCATCATCAACGAAGTACTTCTGAATAGTGTCCAGACGTTCTTGTATATGCCCCACTGTATATCACTGCTGCATCAGGACTCTCTCATAGTTGACCTGAGAAAATAAACGTACTCCAATCCTGATGTCCAAACACGCGCTCAAAGCCTTTTTCTCCCCTATTCTTTACCTCCTCAGCCAACATAAGTTCGAATTTATTCTCTCTTTGCAGGTCATCTCGCCAGTCCCATAACAACTCCCTAAGCGAGAACCTCCGCATTCGCGCCTTCTTTCGCCATACAATCATACCTGTTACATGTATCGGTTGGGGCTTGAGACGGGGTAAGGGCGGGTTGTACAGCGTTGGTCGAAGGTAGGAGCCGGTCAGGATTGGTCGGTTGCGTAGACGTTCTTGCCATTCCTACAAGCATACATACATACTTGAGTGACTGAACTGTGGGGTGGGCTGGAGACGTACCATTTCCTTGCGATATGCAGCAATAAAATCAGCCTTCTGCTGCTTCGCAGCAATCATGCGACTGTATCGCTGTAAGACTGCTTGTAAGTGCACATCACCGGCTCGAGCTTTCTCGAATTTTTCCAGCCACTGTATTTGAAGTTGTAAGGATAAATCAAGCCTGAATTACGGGTCCACAGAAGAGCCACTCACGAGATATCCTTTCTCCAGCTCCTTCTTCGTCGCAACCGGACTCGTCAAAGTCTTCTTATGTTCAAACATCCTTCTAATCCTCCATCTAATCTTTCTGAACCCTCTCAGCGATTCCTTCAAGCAGACTCAGTCAAAATATTGACTACTCACGTCATCGGAAGGTGCAGCCCTCAGCAATCCTCGGTACAAGCTCCATAGCGTCGGTACCCTATGTGCACCTAGATACCAGAATGGTACTCTAGGTCGAACACGTTTAAGAGGAGCAATGGCCTGAGCGATTCGAGTTCGGTGTGCGAGTTGGGCGGCGGTTACGGTGAATACTTCACTTGGGAGCAGGGTAATCGTCATTAAAGAAAGGACCTTGTGGCCCACAATGCAAGAGTATACAACGGTTGAAAGAATGCAGTTGGTAGTAGTATCTGCTATTTACGTCCTAAATACTTGGCTTCACGCTAATTTTAGACGCACGCTGCTTGATATTTCAGACGCACACCGATCATTCCCTCCTAACAGAGTGCACCCCACGTTCGCAGTTCAATGTACATCTTGGACTATACATAGTGTATTGCTCTCCAGACCAAATTTATCTGCATCTCCCGCCGCACACCGCGTAAATCAGTTACATAACGTTCACGCTGTTCTCTGTCTTATAGAATGGAGTTATAGTCGAAATCATTGGTGTGCAAGGTAGTTTACATGAGCTTCCCATTCCCATATCCACCATTCACCACAGATCCATGTGCACCCTTCTTCAAAGCGCGACTGGTAGCGAATAGAGCACCGTCGATGAGAGATGCTACCGTAAGCACTCCTCCTACAATAGCACAGGTTCTAGGCAACGCAAATGAGCAAACGTGTGTCATGAAGAACATAAAGCTGAATGCGATACGCACGAGGTGACGAAATGCGCAAATGATTGTCGATTCTCCGTATGTACCACGAGGATTGGCGAGATCTCAAAGTTGAAGAATGCGCCTACGAGATGTACAGGTCAGAATGAATCTGGAGCCGTACTGAGGAAACATACCGGGTACACCGGTCATCGTGTGCGCGACGTGAAGGCCAGCATTATTGTTCTCAGAGTGACCTTTGGATAGGTCACGTTCGAAGTGCGTGGCACTATATTGGTTGGTGTTGACCTAACGATTCTGTTCAGAATTGGAACTTTCATTTGTTCGTCGTTTCAATACTCACGAGCTGACCATCCAAACTTCTGAACTGAGTGGACACGACCTTCAGGAAGTATTGGAACATATATTGCTGCTTGGTCGTCTACCGGAATGTGATGATCGTCGAAAATGGTAAATCGAGCGAGCGCAGAAGTACGACTTACCTTGGCCGTAGTATCGTCTAGAGGGTTCGCAACGATACCCATTTTCTTCCTCATCTTCGTCGAAAGTTCTGCCTTGTAGTAATCATACTCATCGTCACCTTCAAACGCGAACTCGTTGATTGTATGAGTGAAGTCATGACGGTTGCCGTCTTCCTTCAGGTAAGGGACCAACTCATAAATGTTCTGTGAACTCGTGCGGAACGAGCGACCTGGAGAGAGGTGGATGTTTCCAACAACCTTGTTCACGCGGACTCGGCCAGCGATATTGCATCCTTCGTTTGCTTGGTCTCGAAGTTTATCCGACCAACCTTCATTCACGCACTATCATGATTGAAAGGGGAAGTCAACAAATAGTTCGATTTCATGACCTCTCCATAGAAGTGGAAGCACACTCACTTGTTCCACAGCGTCCGGTTGACTGAAACTCCAGCCACGGTTCACATACGCTTGACGGACATCCTCACAAGTATTGCAGCAACCACCCTCTGGTTCTACACCACCATAGCAAGAACCGCAGTATCCGTTCTGACGTTGCTCATTCAGCCTGTCAATATCGTTTCGTAGGTCGGTGGTGTGTGAGTTCGGGACGGGTACGCCTTGAGCGTCCAGACGGCTCTTGATGATGTTATGGGAGATATCAGTTTGGGTCTCACCACTGATGTCCATTACGTCCAGACTGAGGACTAGGAAGAAACAACGAGTATATCAGTACTGCTTGCAATTTCAGGCGCAAGGGGGACAAATATGCATTCATGCATCCGTCTATTGCCCCTCTCAACAGCTCAACCAGCATGTGCATGTATGCGTATCGTCCTTAAAGATATTTCAATGGCGCTCGGAATAAGAATGAAACTCACGGTAGCATGGTACTCTCGGGAAGGTGACATTCATCTTCACAGTAAGCTTCTCCCCTCGACTCTTGTCAACAGCAATCGACGTATCAATGTTAACCCTCCGATAGTCAAAGAACTCCATAATTGTAAACGCCAGAATAATAGCAAACGAAAGGATGGTCACTTGACGAATCCAGCAGTGATATGAGTGAATGTGGCGTATCAGTCAAGCAAGCATTCATGAGCTCACAAAGTGCACCCGTCCGTGTTTTGACCTTTACATCTTCCGTAGTCTAGATAGCGTCGAACCCTTGTTTCAGGACCCAGACAGACACATCACAATGGGTGTAGGTAGCTGACCTTGCCGAATGCGTCGAGGGCGCTGAGCAGGCCCTTTGCCATATCAAATGAAGTCTAGCCAAAGCCGCAATAGAAATAGAAACCCGAGAAAGGAGAGAGACCAGAGAGGGATGTAGAAAGACCCTCGGAGGGGTTGTAGTGGTGGTTTAAAGTCAAGCAAGTTGTTGAGGACTGCTTCCAGAGCGTGATGCCATATGCAGCTGGCTGGTATGCGAACGCGCGGGCGACGTGTCGGCTTCCATCTTAAGCTTGCACATGATCTCTCCCTCGCACGTTTTCCCCGTCGTTATCCCAACATTCGGCCGTGAAGATGGTATGAAGTCATTCAGTATATGATCAGCAGGGCTCCGAGTAAGAAATCGATAGAAAGCAGATGATATAAGTTACAAGATTGCGTAAGAGAATGAGTTGCGAGTTGGAAGGGAACAGAAATCATTGGGAAGCAATCCTATCGACACCCTGTCGAACCTTACCCAGGAACGTCTTCACACCGTCTTTCAGCCCATCTGCCTGGAGACTTACTCCCTCTCCACTAGTTCTATAGACTCCGGTCCCGCCACCACCAAGACTTACGTTGACTCCTCCGAGGTTAAGATTCAATGAGGGCAAGGTGCTAGCAGACTCTGGTGGTGGGTCGTAAACAGAGGCCGGGAAATGAATCGCTGCTGAGCGAATCATCTCCACGTAGCTGTTGAAATATGATCAGCCGACAGAAGCTAGAAACAAAACTTGGCTGCGATGGCGCACCTGGACGAGTTGTGAACACAGGTTCCACCAAGCAGGATATGGGCTCCTGCCGATAGTGAACCACTCGTCGAAGCCTCTTGATTCAGCAGGGAAACTGTTCTTGCTTCTTCATACGTGGTACCTCCGATCACGAACACTATGATGTTCTGTGGTCTACTGCAGTTGAATACCAGGTTTGAGTTCAGATAGAATCATGCATACCTTTGCAAACCCATATTCGGACCAGTACCCTCCAGAAAAGGGAAATTTGTTTCTTTTAGTCTTCCTCTGAACAAATTCTCCAACGTCTGTGAAAGATGCGGTGTATGTTGCATATAAACGTTTTCAACACCCTGTTCTCGCTAGTAAGCCAACAGGACTTCTACACGCAGTCAGTGACAACTGACCTTCAGGCCCTTCAAAGCCGAACGTCCTTTTGCTAACAGCGATTCTGCCGAGAAGAGGTCCTCTTGCCTTTGATCAGAACCGGCGATGTTCAGGAAAACATAGACGAGCTGCAAATGTTGTATCAGCTCCTGTATTCTTGACTGCAAAGCGAACATCTCACCTTTGCATCTTCCCTCGAAACCCCATTCTCCAGCATAAGGTTAATGAGAGATGCGACATTGTTCGCATGGGTCTTCTGATACCGAAGCGCGTATAGGATCACAAGCCGTAGCTTATTCCATGGCGGAATAGCTGGGTTCGTTATGATCGTCTGAACACTCTAGATTGGAGAGCCGTCAGATGTATGCCTTACTCGGGATAGTAAGCCTTGCATACCTTCAAATCGGCACCTGAGCCAGTCGCAAGACCTTGCTCGACTTCACCGACTTCAAGTAATTTGTCCCGTTCCACGATACGACTCAGCTCGCCGACCATGGCGACATGTTTGCTGACATTACCACCTAATCTGCGAAATTCCGGATATTCCTCTACGAACCGCTTCATTTCACTGATCGAGTTGATGGATGAAGGCGCATTTGCTAGTGAACGGGATTGGTAGGATTGCACATATGATTTCAAAGAGGTTCCGAGATCACCAAACGTTGCAAGATGATGAGCTTGGAAGAATGGGTCGGTTTGAGGCGTCAAGGTCACTTCCTAAACACTGGTAAACCCAAACACTCAACAGCAGGCGAGATAGGCGTACATACCTTCAATTCGGGACGAATGTCAGGAACCAAGCCCAAATCAACCCGACCATTCTGAATGCCTAGAAGTTCGTGCACCATGGCCTGGTACGTCCATTGCGACAATAGAGGCGTCACAGGATCGTTTCGCCTATCCAGAATGAGTAGTAATGGCGGAACTTGCGCTGGTCGAAAGTCGAATAATTGAGTTTCGCTTTGTATCCGATGCTGTCAAAGCTCACATCAGCCAAGAACAACTTGCAGAGAAGCAGGAACAGACGCACATGGAGTTCGACACCCAGTTTCTTCGCCATAGCACTAGATTTCTCATATCTGATCACCGGTTTCTTCTTCAGGCTCAATAGCACGGCAGTAAGACCCTGGACTGCTCGATCCAGTGCCTTAGGATCCCATGTATTTGGTGAGTTGCCATAGAGGGGCCGCGAATCATTCGGGAAGTGATTGAGAGAGAAAAGACAGGGGAGAATGGGAGCGTAATCTGCAAAGTATTCCTTGTGATATGTATCAGGCTATACGGTAGGAAAGAGAGGAGGTAATGTCTTACCTGGACTTCCTTGACTACTTCATATTCGTCAACATCCGCTAAACGTTCAATTGCTGTCTTGCTGAGGATATTGCTAAAGTCTATGCGACGATAATGATTAGAAAGCACGATAAACGTGAAGCATATAGGGATATACTGACAGAGGTAGTATTCGCCATACTTCGGCTCCTTCAGCTCAGCCTCCAGTGCTTCAAGGCTCTCCTCACTAGGCTGCAAGAAGCACACGCATTTCATATGTGACATTCGTTCCCGTTTCTTGTTATCTATTCTATCCGTTAAATAGACCTGATGTGACAATAGCGTGGATTGTGTGGAAGCCAACGAGACGATGGGTGTCTATTCGAAACGCGTCCGAATACTTTGGTGTCAATTGTACTCTGTTGAATAAGTCTGATAGACTCACTGTATGCGTGTCAAGTAGAAGAACTTTCATCGCGTTCGGCTCGGACACCATCTTACTGATGTACGTCTCCACTGCTTTGACGGCATCCATGGAAAATGGATAGCGTACAAACGCCTGCTGTGTATCACTATAGTTATCGGGTTGATGGTCCTGCTATCACTGTAAAGATTTACGGAGCACTGGAAGTCGAATAGGACAAGTCGAAGTAGAGGTGAGAATGGAGGTGATCGTGGTTGTTGACGAAAGCACTGGTCCCGCAGCGCCCGCCGTCAACTTGGCTTTCGACTTTCATGTTCCTCGCTTATTGACTCTTGTGTCTCGCGTCCTGACTCTTTCCTTCCCTTTTTCTCCTCTAGCACCTGTTTCTCACTTTCTACATGGCCAGCTTTCAACCTCAACCCTCAGATTTCACCCAAGTGGAACTCGAACAAGCCCTCTCCGAACAGTCCTTCGGAATCACTAGCTACAAGATCACTAGTTCGACTGATCTTCAAGCTTCTGCTCGCGTAGTCTTACTCGAGGGAAACACCATCACCATTTCTCTGACTTCACGGGGATATGAGGTGAGTTCACATGCGAGAAGCGGGTATATTTCTGGGCAGCGGTCGAGCTAGCATCGCAAGGTTATAGATTCTTCTTCTGCTGAGCCCGAATCAAATCAGGCGGGAAACATTTTCGAAGATGTTGAACATCTTCTACAGTCCGTCAGTAATCAATATAGCAACGCAAGGCAAAAGGCTCTTATGGAGAGGTTGACCTTGCTCTCCGCTGAGACATCACCATGAGCGTAGTCTAACATGAGTGTTGTCAGAATCATTCGACAACTAAGGTATGTACTATACCTACGCCGTTATTACAGGATTGGCATATGAACTATGATATACAGATGATCCCTTTCTAATCTATGGACCCTCAAGCCCTCACCACCGGATGACAGGAGGGTGCTTAGTCCCGATCAGTCTGGTCGCTACATCTCTATGGCTATGGCAAAGTGATCCTCGCATCCTCACCTCTAAGGCTCCCTGTCTCCTTCCGTCTCTCCAGTGCCTTCTCGTACATCTCTCGAGTAAAGACGAAGTCATGATCAGATCGTACCTTCCTAATCATACCTCCGATCCATTCTCGCTCCTGCTCATTCCGGATACAATTCGCCCACCATCGATCCATACTACTCTTCAGACTCGAGTTGTTCAACTCTTGATGTTCGCTTTGCTCGTTGAGGATATGAAGGAGGAAACCTGCGTTCAGTCTTTCCAAGCCCAGCTCGGAGAGACATTTAAGGATGCGAGATATCCGCAGGTAGTTGTGGCTCGATCCTGCGCATTGTCCGTTCATTGATCTGTGAAGCAACAGGTATATCTATCTTGTTGACTTACGAACCAGGTTACGATAGCGCTCCTGACATTTCGCTTCTGGTTTAACACGGCTCAAACGACCTGTATCAGAAGAATCGAGGTTCATGCCGTAGAAATCCAGGATGAGACGATATGACTTGAGCACACGAGCAATGATTGCTGGGTCTTTCTTCATAGCAGTGATCTCATGGCGTTGAAGTGGCTGAGCATAAGAGTTCATTCCGTACTCTTGTATAGGGAAGCTATTTGACGGTAAGCCGATGTGGGAACTCGACGATAAATGACCTACAGCCACTGGATGAAGCCATGCTTGTACTCTAACTTCGAATAGTCCCCCTTCCACCTGTCCCGTATATGAGATCTTTGGCTAGGACAGTTTCAGGTCTATCCTTACTTATCATGTATTTCATCAATGAGAAGGTTGTCCGGTCGACATCTACGTTTGTTCTGGTAGAACTCCAAGTTTGTGTTTATTCGCTCGTCGTCCTTAATATCATCGTAGTTGTCCAGGAATTCGCGGACATCCCTGGGAATAGGAGAAGTCATGCTCAGATGTCTAAGTTGTGGTATTTCTTCTGATATCCTCAGTGGCAATGGTCGTGGAAGAGATGAAAGACGAGAGACGTGTTGCCAAAATGCACGCAGGCCTCCTGCAAGTGGCATCACTGCCGAATGTCAAAGGCATCGATCGTTTGACGCCCATAACGCGTCCATCATCACAAGCGCTTACGCCAATGGTGAACTTGAAGTCAACCGTGACGATGCCCGTAGTCCAGGTTGCCGCGCCTGCAGTCCTTGCTGATGCTCTGAGTAACTTCTCCAAGGCCGCTAACATTGCGGTAAGTGACAATTGAGGAGAAACGAGTAATGTGATTGAATAGGATGATAGCTAGCAGCGGTCGAAGACCATGCCCGAAAGCAGGTCGATCAGGCGAACGTTGGACTCGAAGAAGCGCGCCGAGAACGCGACGAAGCCATCGAGGAACTACGTGCTATTCAAAGGAGGGAAGTTGATTGGGAATCAAACGCGAAGTCGGTGAGTGCGCGTCGTCATGTTGCTCATTTTACTGCACTAATATTTGGCCGCGTCGCAGTCAGGACTGACAGTAAGCAAACAGTTCCTTCAGTATAACTCCAGACTCTTATGTTTGAGGAACATAGATCAAACATCAAGCCGAAAGTATTGCCCGACTTACGGAGGAGGCTCAACTGTGGAAGAACCAGCTCCTCCGACTTGAGGAGACCTTTCGACGAGAAATTCAAGACTGGAAAGAACAGTATTTGCGTGCAGAACAAGAGAGGTCTCGATTGTCAGCCAGAATTGAAGAATTGGTCTCAGAACAGTTACTGGTGCGCATATTTTATGGTATGAGGTATCGACGGTGTTAGTACTGACAACGATTGTTCATACTGGAATACAGAATCGTCCTCATTCGTCCAAGGACAAATTACTAGAAATCATCGACCCTTCCTCTTCTACCTTGAAGAGATCTAGTACTACTTCGGCTCTGGCCCTATCACAGGCACCTCTTGACGACACAGAAATAGCAAACGTCTCAAGGAAGTCTCAACCTCGCTCTACGAAGCCAGCTAATGGCATTTTGGACAATGGTGTTAGTCATTTACACCCGCGGACTCCAGTTTCGAACGCTGTCGCCTCCTCATCACGTACACCAAAACAGCGACATGCAACAGAACCTTCGAGTTCGACTTTATACCAAGACGACTTAACTCCATCACGGCAATCCTCTACCTCAAGACGTTCAGTAGTCTCATCACGCGTGATACGACGTGTACATGCCGTTGTCGAAGTACCCATTAAGGAAGAAGACGATGCCGACAATACTGCTTACCTTTCCGAAGGAGCCCGTTCTGTTGGCCAGGTTCACAATTCAAACATCAGCACTGCTCCTACCACTGCCAGGAGGAAAAGCGTCACTGGCACAGCTGCAAATGGTCGACAAACGAACTCAGCGACGACGCCCAAAGCGAGACGGAAGTCAACGTCACAGCCCAAAGGGAAACAACCTGCACGGTACACTGTTGACGAATCCTCCGCTTCCGAAGACAACGATGAAGATGAAGATGACGATGGTTCAGAATACGAACCACTGCCTGTGCAGAGTCGTTCTGGGCTTGTCGCTGCTGACGATGAAGACGATGACCTCCTCTTGGGTTCACAGGTATACTGAAGTTCATGTCGATGCAGCTTACATTCTGATGCTTTGTGCGTGATATAGGAACAAGGTGCACCACCACCACCACCACAACGGTCACGAGCTATAGGGAACACGAAGAAACGGAAGCTAGATGATGCAGGTGGTACCTCCCGAGGAACTGCTAAAGTCGCACGCAAGAAGCATTGACTTCTGTTTTTGGGACGAGTTCGGTTTGCTGCACATCTCACTAAGTTGTTGACTGTACTTTTGTTTACCAGAGGAATTCCACGCTATCTCACACGCTTCCGATTAGTCCTTCGGGAGTTATTGCTCGAATCCCAATAGTACAACAAAAGACTGAATTCCTACATATACAGACCCTCGAAAGTTATGCGTGTTACGCTGATTTATCCAGCCCATCAGCGTACTGAAACTGATTCGAATTTTCATACTGCATACAGACCACGATCAGCTCACTACACAGAGAATTTCAGCAATTGCAGTACTCACCTCATACATATCCAAAGCCACCTGACAACTTTCCCTTACAACCCTAGGCGAATCACCCCTCTGCATCCACTCTTTCAAATGAGGGAGTACTTCGGGTGTTGCGATCCCACCAAGGGCCTCTGCGGCTTCGTGGCGCACCATATCTGATTCGTGTGAGTCATGCAGGACTTTCAGGAGTGCGGGAACGGAATGTGTGGAAAGAAGTTGACCGAAGACGAAGGCTATCTCATGTCTATACGAGGTGCGTAAAATAAGAAGCGAGACGGGACAGTATTAATTCAGAGATTTACGCACTTGAATAAAGCGCTATCATCAGTGAAGCCTGCAGCCAAAGCGTCGACCGCACTTGGTGTGCCAATATTACGGAGAGCGAACATCGCTCGATATCGCTCAAAAAGAGGTAGGCTATTGTCCAGTAGTTTGGCCTTGAGTTCATTTATACTGGCCTCTGAAGCGACTTCTGGTGCAGGCTTCCCAGAAAGAAGACCCGAAGTAGGTGGAGCAGGATCAATGGAGGTATACATTCTGTGTAACTGTTAGTACGTGCAAAATGTGTTGATTGCGGAATAGGACATACTGCATTTGTGCGCGTTTCTCCTCCTCCCGATGTCTTTTACCCTCTTCAGAGTTATCCCACTCAATCTTTGCAAGTGCGATCTCGCATGTTTCTCGAACGCATCGCTCAGGATCTGTAACGTATTTCTTCAATACGGGTATTGCAGATGTCGAGGAGATAGCACCCAGGGCTTCCGCAGCCTACTTCACCACACCATAAACGACAGAATTACATGTAAACGTGATGATATGTTACACACCTCATGTCGGACCATGGGATCCTCTTTCTCGTCTGTAAGTACCTGTTCAAGGATGGGAAGTGCTGAAGGCTTTTTTATTTGACCGAGACAGTATGCGAGTTCATGTTTAAGTAGAGCACTCTCATCGGCAAATCCTACGAAAATAGTCAGGATTGAATTAAGAAGTTTGTGGTACGCGCATACCTTTCGAGATGATGTTGACCGCTTCCTCATTCTTCAATGCCTTCAAGGTGAAGAGTGATCGGAAGCGGTTATGAAGCGGGACGTTGCCAGATGTGTTTAAAAGTGTAGCTTCAAGGTCAGAAAGCTTTTCAGGCGATACTTCTACAGGATCAGACATGTTTGAAGGGGGCAAGAGAGGGAAACTTGGAAGGGGGAAACGAAGAGAGGACGAGACGGGGACGAGAGCCTGAAAGAAAGTAGATAAGATAAAGATGATCGGGGAGGAAATTTTGAGCGATTAGATTAGATCCCGCCTTCTACTCATGGACTCTGCATTTATTTCGTTCTCACCATTTACCTCGAACTTGCTTCTAACTCGTGCTTTCCTGGTTTGAATCGCTGTAATTTTCACGAATATACCCCACCGCATAGAAGAAGGATTGTATAGCAGCTATGCCGAAATCAAGGCGTGCCAAGTTGGGTATGGATACTGTCGTACCGATATCCATATTATCCTGACAATTCCCCAGTTTCATTGACCAAGGTCTCCAAGAAGACCAAAGAACAAAAGGGTGCATTTATTAATGAAGTCCGTTTAAGTCACCCCGTATCTGTTCCCCGATGCTGAATGTCTCGCGATTCATGTTAGGTGCAAGAAAATGCAGATAAATGGCAATACTGTTGGCTTTTTGAAGTTGGCAACATGCGCAATTCGCACCTCAAAACTGTACGGAATCTTTGGAAGGAGTAAGTTATATATGTCCGGTATCTTCTGCACAGGACTGACTTATAGAGTGTAGTTCTGCACGGATATTTTTTGGTCGCGGAGCAGTGATGGCGAAGGCACTGGGAGCGACACCAGAGGAGGAACATAAGCCAGGTCTCCACAAAATTGCACAGGTACGTGTGATCTCAGAACCATATATCTATATATCTAGATGACGATTCTAACGGAACCCATCCAGCAACTAAAAGGCCAAGTCGGCTTGTTCTTCACAAACTCATCTCCAGACGAAGTAACCGAATGGTTCGCCGACTTCCACCCACCAGACTTCGCCCGATCAGGGAACAAAGCATCGCGAACGTTCATCATTCCCGCCGGACCCATCATGCAACAACATTCCGACCCACCAGAACCTTTCCCTCACAATGAAGAACCGCAATTACGAAAACTCGGTCTGCATACGACCATGGTACGAGGTGTACCGACGTTAGAGGCGCCACATACTGTGTGCAAGGAGGGAAAGACCCTGACACCGGAACAGGCGCAGCTGTTGAAGTTGATTGGTGTGAAGATGATCTCGTTTAAAGTGGGTCTGAGGGCATATTGGACCGCGGAGACCGGGGTTGTTACTCAGATAGAGGTAGAGCAAGTAGTGGAGGAAAAGGAGGGTGGAGAGGATGAGGACGCAGCGATGAGTGATTAGATTCTCTTGTCTCTTTATTTTCTGAGTTTGTCATGTATCTCACCATGGGCGCAGCGAATTGAGAATTATTCGGTGATACACAAACCGCGGTATGGACTGTTTACACTCCTCGACGAATAACATTCAAATATCGTACAACTTGGTGAAATAAATCCCTTATGACGGATGTACATGCATACCGCTCACAGATTCAAGCTGTCAGATTGGGACTAAGCATTCGCCCAGAATGAAGGTACGCTCTGTCCCTAGCCTTCACAACGTCTTCATCTGTAGCAAGCCAGTTCCTCTCCGTGGCAAGCGTGTCTCCATCTACTTTGCTCTTCTTCTTTCTGACCCAGCGATATATTGCAATGGATGTCATAAGAGATAGCGATGAGACGAATGCCCCGATGGTGAGGAAAACTCCGCTCTGGTTTGCCAGCAGTCTGCAAGCACCAATAAAGAAGCTATAGATGGAATTGACGTATGACGTTGAGCCCTGAGGTGTTCCTTCGGCCCTTGACGGAAGCTGGAAAATGACCGAGGTATCAGTACCTATTCATGTTCCAAAAGTGCTTGGTCGTATTTACCGTGTCATTAAGCAGATAAACTGACATGACCTCGTTCGCACGAGCAGTATGTGGGAAGAATGAGAACTAAGAAAACAAATACCATTAGCCTTATGGGCATCTCGAACGATCTGGGCGACTCACTGCGAAGCCCTCTTCTTCAACAAAGTATGCATCGTCTCCCATCGCCCCAGCAATCGCCTTCGCTTGGTCAATCCCACTCAACGGGTTTAACTGTCGAATATGTCAGAGGAAATGCCGACGCAGGACGTCATACAGACATACCGTATTGCCTACCACCAAAACCCGATTCGCAGGCTTTCGGTTCCAAGGTCCAGTATACCTCTCTACAGCCCGTTCGGGCCACAAATGACAGAGATACCTAGCAGCAGGGAATGATTGTCCAACTTAGGAGAAATCAGTCAGTTAGTTAGCGTCTTGTGGAAGATTAGAAGACGTACTCAAAGGAGCATTCATCATGAAGTCAGTGATCCACCCGGCAATCATGAGATGTTCACGGTCTCCTTCTGGGTACTCTGTGTAGTTGTAGGCGTAATCTCCACAGAACGATGCCAGTTCGCCGTATAGATTGGGATGCCACATGTTCCTCGTGAGAGTATGAAGCTCGTACGTCCAGTTGTAAAATGACACGTCAGGCCCTTCGGTTGCGTTGTATACTGCGAAGACAAGTCGCTTGAGAGTTGGATTCGAGATTAGGTCCATTCCGAAGATAGGTCTACAAGATGGATTGTAAGATTACAGCATAGAAATCAGCGGAGAATGAAAGGCTTACTGCCAGCCCAACAACGAGCTTCGAGTCATCTAGGATAGGGAAAATTGGCCTCACGTCAAGCATGAGAAATAGGATGTAACAAACCGCCAAAGCAAATTGGACATATTCTCGTACGTATTCTCCTGTCTTCTTCGCACCGACAATAGTACATTGTTCCGTATTGGTCTCGCAGCGATCCGTTAGTTTAACGAAAGTTTCGTTAGCGTTGCGAATCGCAGCTCTCCATGCCTGAGGTAGTTCAAGTCAGACGGAAGAAAATAGGGCAAAAGACAATGCAACAGTACACACAGTGTGGTACTGTCCGTCGCCGGCGACGAGCGGGTTCACTGGTCGATCAAGAATGACATGTCCTACACGCTTTCATTGAACAATGTCAGTCGCATTGATACCTCTAGACGTATACCTTCACGAACCTCAGGAAACACTGGTAAAAGCTGGGATCAGATGCGGGGCGCTTCATGACGAGATGAACTACTAACTGTTGATCAAGTAACTGCCGATGAGAGATCCATGATAAACACCATGGAAATTGATAGGCGTTCCTGGTCCCTGCAAATAGTCGGCCAGTGCGACCAAATCCCGGACGCTAGCTGCGGTGCCCATGTATTTCAGCATGGGTATATCCGGATAATCCTCTTGCGAAGCGGTCAGACAACGTAATCCAAGCCTTCGGTTGTGTTCATATGCTGCGTACACAGTTGGATGCTGATATTCGACACTGGGAGGCATGGAGAAGTTTGATTTTGGCACGCCGATGGATGTCTGTTCATTCCAGAACTCGACCTCAGCTTCTCGGGAGGAAAAGCAGGTGGGAGATGAGGGTCTACATAAGGCTCAATAGTTAGTAGATATCATTCCGAAGAGAGAGACATATTGCTTGCATTGTGCTATACTTTTGCAATGGGTCATTGACATCGCGACGCAACGGCGTTCCTCTAAGATCCCAAGTGACAAGATCGTAGCTGCCGTTCACCAGATAGTCCATCATAACTTCTGATCTTTCCACAAGCCACCCTCGGCCGTCACCAGGAACGAGACCGGCATGGGTGAACAACACACCCTTTCTCTCGCCTGTTGCATTGTACTTGATGACCGCGAGTCGACCCTTACCCGCAGACGGATTGTGCCAGTCTAAGAGTACTTCGAAGTGACCACATACAGCCTTTGGTACTAGACCGCAGTCCTCCCATTCAATTTCGTGTGTTATGGGCTCCTGAAGGGCATTATAATTGTGGGGTTCATAAGGAATTATTGTTCGAGGCACAGTGCGACTCACATAGAACTTGGTTGTGTTGAGACTACCCGTCACATACATTACACAGAACAATAGCAACAGCGATGTTCGCCGGATTACTGCCATGAGTAGGACAGGTTAGTCTTCGTTATGATAGTATCTTTGCAATGCTAAGGTGGACGGTAGTAACAGGTGGTTAAGGGGGCGATTGCGAGTGCTCAACAGCAATGCGAGAGGTATATAAATCGCATCAAGTCGGAAGATAGTATCCAAAGCCTAAGTGGCTTTCGACACAGCCTTCGGTAACTAACAACAATGAGAACGACCTATCAGATACAATAATCACTGAGGAATAGACTGCGGCCTAGGTCAGAGTCACCCATACCTGTAATCAGTGTAGATAGAGATGTACCTGCCTGACACGCCAGGACCGTCATGACCAAAGGACGATCACTATGCACACTTGCCAGTGAACGATATGCATCTGAAGATGGCGAGACTACGTACAGCGAAACCCTTTCATCCGAGTCACAAGACAAGGTGTGGGATATACTTACAAGAGAATGGTTTCCCCGCCACCGTGAAGTCGCTCAACGTATGTCCAACCCATATACTCATATACTGCATAATCAGAATTAGTAGATAGCCTTCCCCATCGTGTATGACCCAAGATATTGAGACGACTCTGCTCCATATAATGTGACTTCTGACGACGAAGTCACCCGTGCACAGTGAGAAAAAACTAATGATAGTCGTTGGAGAGAATGGTCGAAGTACTTCACATTGGCTGGCGATAATGATTGATGAAGACTGAGAATGGCGGTAGTGACGAGTGATCGGGTTGGATTCCTGTAGCGGTGGGCATTACAACGTACCGGATTAGGCAGTCTAACGGAGATTTACGGCCGGATTTTGGTTAATCCACTTTTAGGATCATTTATCTACGAAAATCTGTTCTTGTCTGCAGCTATTCCGCAGCACTTAGACTAGTATTTAAGTAGCTTGTTTTGTAGCAGTAGATTCCTTAGCTTACACTGAAGAATCAGCCTTATAACCTGTCCTTTTGATGTGACTCTATTTCTCCATGTGATGTGAGTATTTCCTCTATGGTCATCAGCATCATATATTTTTGACAGCGACTCTCAAACTTTCTTTGGAATTCTCTCAGACTTCTACTCTCTATAAAGTGTCAACTTCTGGGCTCCCCTCAAGACTGATCATCTTGGGCTTTTCAACCATTGACTCTTGCTCTCTCACTTTCACTCTAAAACTCAACTCTTTCAAAAAATCTCTTTGCTCTTTAGGGTTCTACTATCTGATATGGCTGCACATTATTCTCTCTATAGCTATCTTTGCTCTAGTTCAGCCTTCAAGCATACTTTGCCTACTAGTGAAATTATACCAGGTGTATTTCAAACTTCTAACATGCTAAACATTGATTCTCTTTCTATAGCATTGATATTGTCATGCATCAGAAGTGTTTGGCATATGGATATACACTCATATAACAATTATTAAACTAAATGAATATGTGAGCAAGAAAAGTGACAGAGAAAATACACAGTTGAACAACTAGATGAGCAAGGATAAAAAATATGTAGCAAAAATGACAGTATACAATGGTCTACTATAGTTTAAGTCAAACTGACAATACACATTGAGAAGCAATAGAAGAAGAAGATGAATAATGAGAATAAATGACAGCAGGTAATAAAGATATAGAATAAACTAAGGTCAAGAAAGATTGAATATGAGAAAGTGATAAATGAGTGAAAGATGATGAATAAGCAGAAAGTGATGAAGCAGTAGAGAGTGATGAAGCTAATTAGAAATGAAGTGATAACTATCAGCAAAATTGTGGAATATCTGCAAGCACCTGTGAACTTGAGTTCCGGCATCAGCCTTGTTATTCTCATATGAGGCACAATGAGTGGTGATATAGCCAAACAGCTCAAGTTGCAGATTCCACTTGATAACTGTCCTAGTGTTTATGGGATAAAAGTTATATACCTCCACTACTGTACCCCTGCATTTGTAGAACTATATGGAATCGCATATACCTTCACATTCTGGCCTTGGCATTGCAGTTGGCATCAATATTCAAATTGGCCGGCACCTCCAAATAGAGGCATTGGTCTCTCTTTGCCAATGCAGCTGATAGCATCCTTTATCAATAGATCAATATGGTCCACACGATGCCTGATAAAAGTGTAAGACTTTCTTTGATCTTTGCATGCTGTTCTCCTCATCTTCCTCCACATTCTTTATATCTATTCTAGACAAGCATATCTCTTTCTGCCAACTGGCCAAGCATCAACTTTCCAATTATATATAAAGGTCATTAAATGATTATTTCTATTCTCTTTCTATTCATATAGATTTCAACTATTTAATGAATAAACTGGAGGGCACAGATGTCATATCACCATATATTAATATTGGAAATAACTTAGTGAGCCATCTTATAGAAAATATTGAAGATGATCCAATAAGTCACCATAGCAATATAGTTGAGAATGGCTTAATAAGCCATTTATATAATTTAGCTGATTACTCAGCTGAAGATAACTCAATGAGCTATTTTATTGAGTATATAAGCAAGTTTATAGATAAAATTGATTTGCTTACTATTCTGAAGGACCACTATGGTGAAGATCTTTTTTTCAAGGCCATCTTGGATTCTGTACTTTTACGACTGTAGCAAATGTCACATGTCACAGAGGTCGAAATGTCCACTATTTACTGCCTCTGTCACAGCTCACAAAGGGTTCATCCGCTATGTGACAGACTTTTAGAAAATGCACAAATTTCATATTTATCTCTGTCTGCAGTGCAGAATAATGTAGAATGGTGTAAATAGATGGCGTAGGTACAAAAAGCTGCTGTCAATCATTGAAGTAGGGAAGTCAGCCTTTTTTGTCACAAGAAAATCTTTAGACACCAATCTAAGTGAACACTGTCACACCTCACACAAGGGTTGTCCACTCATCCTCAGTGGATGGTAGGTGTTACAAAAAATTAGCCATCTGCTATGGTCGTAAAAGTACAGTAATCTCAAACACTTTAAAAATTTTGGAGTAAGTGATAGTTTGATTCTGTTAAAAGAATAAGGCCAGGATTTGCTATGCATTTCTGATATCTGTGTAAATAGCAGAAGTATGTGAGAAGTTATAATTCTTCATGTACATTCTCTTCTAGTATATTTAGGCTCATTTAAGATACTTGATCTTTTACAAGACTATGTATAGAAGAAAATAATAAACAAGAATATATAGAAGTATTGCAATACCTGCATAACCTGTAAATAAAGCAAACTGAATAATCAACAGTTATACAGTTTGTTGAACTCACTCTCTATATCTAATATACCTTGAGAAGTCATCAGAATTGACTTTATTAGTCTATTATATAAGTTAAAAGATCAAAATAGTATCTATAATTCAATTGCAGTTATAATTTTGATCTATTGACTTGCATAGTTCATCTGATACCAAATTGCACTAATTATAGTGCTAAATAGATAGCCGAGTTAGTATTTTTAGAAGTCTATAAATATTATAGAATACTGAAGACAATTATTAGTAACTGAGATGTTATTTTTACAAGCATCTTTTAGTCTCACTTATACAAGCTTATGAGTATAAAACTTTATATATCAAGTGCATATCACCTAGAGTCTGATGGCTCTACTAAATAAGTCAATTGCACTATTACTTAGATAATGCGATAGTACATAGAACCTACTAAGAAAGACTGAGTTATGAAGTTATCAGCTATAGAATTTACTATAAACCTGACTTATTTTGACAGTACTAAGTATACACCCTTCTTTCTTGAAACTGATTATATGCCTTATTTTATAATTTGAAATAATCCTGAGATTGATGACTATCCTGCTGTATGAACTTATATGTATGTACAAAAGATGAAGTATGCTATTATATCTATATATAATAGTATAATAGCTGCTTGAGTAAAGCAGACCTAAGATGCTAATTGTCATCATTATTTAGCTCTATTTGAAAAAGAAGATTTAGTCTAGTTATCTACTAACAATATCTCTTTACTTAAGAGTCTTGTATGAAAGCTGATTTCTAAGTTTATTAGGCCCTATAAAATTCTGCAAGACTTTGATAATAATTTCTATAGGACAAAGTTACCTTTCTAATTGAAATAATAGAGAATACATAATATATTCTACTTATTATTACTATAAATTTATGAGCCTAATAATAACTGACTATTTCTGAATCAGCTTAATATTCAGATGACAGAAATTGAGAGCCAAAAAAAAGAGTGAGCTATCAATAAGATTATCGCACATATTAGTTTAGATAAAAATGCTATCTTAGAGATAGTATAAAAATCTGATAATTATATGTGGATATCCTACATCATAGTTGCTGATCTCGATATCCTAAAAAACTATTTAGAATTAGTGAGAGTAGATGGCATAAAGGACTTACTATCAGAGTCAGGTAATTTTTCTATGAATGATTCTCAGCTGTTTCTTAGCTTGCTAGAAGTTTTGGCAGAGTCAGTATATATTAAAGAGGACACTTATCACATAATGAGCTCAATGCCCTATGCTGTATATAATGATAGCCATTTTCTCTCTTACTATTTATTGTATAAAGCTCTTTCTAGTTACTTATCTTCTTCTCTTCTTATGACTGACCTTCTTCAAAATGCCTATGCTATCTATCTCAAGGAGATACAATATGTTACACTTTTTAATATTAATGATCACTCCTATTATTACTTCCTCTCTTAACTCTGTTTATATGCCAAGTATAACTTGATTCTTTGATTATTCAAATTCAATTATGCCCATACACCTACTTCTAGAGCTATGACAAATTTGTTATTCTATACAATCATAATAATGTCTACCCATGGAAGTTTGCCTACTTCAATAATAGCCACATTATAGTTCCTGGTGATCTTATCACTATTCACATTCTGGCATCACTCACTTTCAGTGATCCTAAAAAGATCACTAAGCTTGAGGATGATCTCAGGGAGATATTCTATTTTATTACCAAATGTGCCATAGTGAATAAAAAAGCTGGTGAGTGAAAGAAGAAGATTTGCCTTAAGGCCAAGTAGTTTTCTTCAGCTTTTGGCTGCATCATCCAGTAGTTTAAGCATAGACTTCATTCTGGATGTCATAGCCATGCTGTCATGCCTTATACTGAAACTAAATCTCTTCATGAGTCAGCTTCTCCTAAATCTATTTATAGATCTATTTCTCTATCTAATTCTGTAGACTATCTAGAATTAGCCTTATTGGATGATATCACTCATCTGAAGAGTGCATTCACAGATCATGCTGACAGTAAGGACTCTAAAGACAAAGATGGCAGTAGAGGATGAAGATATTTATATGAAAGATGTAGAGACTACTAAGATGTAGAATATTGTAATAAATATTCTAGGAGTGCACATATAGCAGTGAGTATTACAATGTGCTAGATTAGATAGTTTAATAAAGATTTATAGTCAGATTTTGATCAATTCACTTTTAGAATTATTTATTTATAGAAATCTATTCTTGTCTGCAGCTATTCTATAGCACTTAGACTAGTATTTAAATAGCTTATTTTATAGCTATAGATTTCTTAGCTTATACTAAAGAATCAGTCTTATAATCTATCTTTTTAGTGTGACTCTATTCTTCTATGTGATGTGAGTATTTTCTCTATAGTCACTAGCATTATATTGGCACTCCTCTGTCTTCTGCTTTCATGAAAGACCCCAACACTATTTTGCATAAATATTGTCTGACTTTGTGCTTCTGTCTTCTGCTTTAATATATGCCTTTATCAACTCTAATACTACTGCTTATTTGCTTAGTATTCTGTATTTCTATTATTTAACTATTTAACTATTTATGCTAATTATAGAGCTTTTATCTATAGTTATCTTATTTACTATATCCTGCTTTATAGATAGCATAGATAGCTATAAAGGTGATAAAGATATATTGTATAGAACTTTACAAAGAAGTAGCTATAGAGATAGATAAAATATCTCAAGCTGGTTATATATCAATGTATATTTATTCTCATTATCACTGATACCTCTCACTCTCTCACTTCTTTGTCTCACTAATATTAATTAATTCTATTTACTTATATTCTTTTATATAGGATATGTCAATATGCTCTCTGTATCTATTTAATTAGACTAAGTAGTAGACCATCTGTATCTTATCTAGCATGAGAATAGTATGCTTTTACTAGTAGAATATATCTGAATATTATGTTGCTATGCTCTCTAGACTCCAAGTTGAAGAGTAACAGATAATGAAAGAATAAACAGAATATACAATTCTTGCTATTACTCTAACTGTTCAAAACTCTACATATCATAATAACTCTTTCTAAATTGACTATTATTGTATTTAAACTATCTTGTACTTTATGTAGAGTCATCTTCTATGCCTTTGCTAGTATGCTATATCTTTATGCACTTCTCATCTATAACTTTGAACTAGTTTCTACATCTTTAATCAGATCACTCTAGAACTGTGAATATGTAGCATTATATGAGATAAATGTTTTACAAGCATCTTAGAATTATTGATAAGATATATAAAGAGAAATGAAATTAATTGGCTATATATATCTTCTCTTTTTAACTAACTCACTTTATCTTACTACTTTGAGTCACATTCTATGAAGCTTTGATTATATCATTAAAGAGCAGAAAAAGATAGCAGCTTTCATTACTATTCTTGGAGATACAGTTCAAGATCATATATTGTATATATACAAGTCACATTCAATACTCACAGATAGATAGGATAAATTGAATACCTATTTCTGATATTGAAGATTTAGAGTATTGACATTATATCTACATATATAGCAGAGCACTTTACCTGTATATTGTCTCACTTGTTATATCTGATATATATATATATTGTCTTTTTTTCTATAAACACATTTGCCTGCATTATAATATATATATCTGCAAGCTAGTTAGCCATGGAAAAATATATTCATATTATCAAAAGAAATATTCTGTATTTTTGAAGTGTCTTCAAATTATCCTTCTATCTATCAAAACTAGTTAGAATAGCTGGCTTTTACTACTCTTTTCTATCAGGTTTAATAATATTATCTATCTTTTTATACAAACTCTTCATCTTGGCCTGATTTATAAAGACTTGTTTAGAGGCCTGACTTTGCTACCAGTGTATAATTTAAAACTACAAGATTTCATAGTTTCTTTTAAATAGCTTCAAAAAATATTATAGTTATATTTTAAATTGTAACATCTAATACTTGTAGTGACAATCATATCTTCTACAATTTCAAGCATTGCCACAACTATTTCAGACAAAAGGTAGCTTAGGTCTAGCTTGAAATTACTGAAAGTAGCCCTCTCAGATCTATCACTATTGCAATAGTTATTTGATAATAGCTATATCTTTAGCATTAAACTTCTTTGTCTTCTCTTCATAAATAATAATAATAATGACAATAATTATTATTATAAATTTAGGCCTGAGCATATATCTGCAGTCAATCAAATTTTATCAGGTCTAGATTATTATTGTCAAGATATTTTATTAGTTTGCCTTATAACAATGTTGAAGATAAAAATTATATTATATCTTTAATTTCTAATTTTATTCTAACTTCTTTAATAGCTATTAATTTTGAGCATAATTTATACTTATAATATCTAAGTTTAGAAGCTGACAAAAAAGGATTTTATTTCTATTAGCATTACTTTTATCTGTGTATTTAAAGATGCCTATAACTATAGCTCTTTTTAGACTATCTATAAATAAAGAAGTCTATTAGTAGCTTAAATTAAGTCTACTAGCTATAAATAAAGCTAATCTCAAACTTGTCAGCTTATCTTATATATATAAAGATATTGACTGGGTTTAGCTATTTTTAAGGCTAGCAGAGAAAGGCATTTTATATATAGGAGATAAGTATTATTGAATTTGTAGAATGAATCATATTGGTAAAATTTTAATTTGATTTTATATATAAAATAAATGCAACTTGAATATTAGTCTCAATATATGAAGTGACCTATTTGACAAGCAACTATCTGTATAAGTAAATACCTCTCTCAAGTATCATATACTTATATGTTCAGAATGTATCTTCTATGCATATACTTTATATGCTAAGAATTCTATAGTTAGTATAGATATAATTATCTCAATTCTTCAGATGATTATTTCTCTTTTTTGTTCTGTCATGTCAGATGGCATTTCACACTTCACCATCAGTGATTGCTACAATTCTTTTTTGTTTTCAGCTGAGAAGATGGCAACAATTGTGGACATGACAAAAGAATGCCCATGCTCGGATTCGAACCATTGCATGGTCCGTGCGTGACCTGGATCCTTACGGGCGCCTACAGGGAGGGAGGGCAGGATGCGATTTTTGGAGGATTCGGCCTCTTACTCTCAGCCTCCATCTCGTTGATACCCTTCTTGCATCTTGTATAGTGTTCCCGGCATACTGAGTAGGATGTCTTCTATGGTGGCGACTGAGTCGTCTCAAGATCCCATCCATCGTCCTACTGGATCGGGCCCATCTACCACTTCGGAAGATCCTGCTGCTTCGCTTCGTGCAGCGGCCTTGTTGACTCTCAGGTCCAAACGCAAGAAACAGAATGCCTCTTCGGAGTTATCGTCTAGCTTACCACCTCGTCCTGTACCCGCTGAGGCGACATATTTCCAACTTGATTACGGCCAGGAAGAGCCGCCATCTGGTGCGTCATCTACGGCTTCCTCATCTGCCGCCATTCCCGCCCCTGCTCCTGTAATCCCAAGCGATACACCAATGGATGTGGACGATTCTCAGGCCAGGGAAGAGGGCGAAATCAGCGATTCTGAGGAACCACCTGCTGCCGCCACGCCTTCAGCGCTACCCAAGCGTCCTTCTTCACTGTCGATGACTTCTCCTGCTGCGAAGCCGAAAGCTGCTGCTCCAATGACCCCGGAGAAGAAGAAGGTCGCAATTTCCCCTCCGCCTCGCCCTCCACCTATGTCTCCTTCTCCTGACAAAAACCGCCACATCACCGCGGAGCCTGCTAAATTGTCCAAGGTTCTCACTGATATGCCCCCACCTGCGCTTCCTGCGCGTTATAGTCAACCTGTAATTGCTGTAGATCCTAATCACGTCAGACCGGGACTCGATAGTTCGTTTTTCACACACGCCCTTTTTTTTTTGTCTTGACTTACTGATGGGCCCGGATGTAGTGACACAAGAACAATACGATACCGCCAAAGATATCATTCTAGACCTGTTGGGTTGGGGTGTCCCTCCTGAGTATCTGGTCAACTGCGGTCTCAGTCGCGAGATTGTATACTACGTTTTCGTCGAGTTGAACCTACGCATGCCGAGCAACCTCGACTTGACGGGTCTTCCAAACCCGGAGACGTACATAGACTACAATGCCCCTTCTTCAGACATGCAATATGACGATCAAGCTCCTTATTCCCCACCTACCTTGCCTGTTGGATCGTATCGAACCCAGGGTCACCCGAGCCTGCCACAGAAGCCCAGAGCTCCACAGGGACACAGTCCAACATTACCGCGTAGCCCAACGTCTGGACTTTCCGCCAATGCAACGCCTTTTGCTCCGGGTGCCAGTCCACGGGTGGATGAAGCCAGCCTTCTCGATATGGAGCAACAGCGCAGACAAGAGCTTTTGGCTCGTAAGGCGGTGTTAGCTTCCCGTCGAAAGACAGCCTCTTCTGCTCCAGAGTCTGCATCTACTGCATCTCTTGATCCTGAGACAATGAAAAGCCTCCCTCGTATCCTCCAACGTGCACAGTCAACGTCCAGTGCGGTTGCGAAGGAGACTGTGGACGACTTCCTCAACAGCATAGGACCCGTCAAAGACGATAAATCCGGGCAAGCGCCTCAACGCACTGAAAGTCCGGATGCCATGGACGTGGATGAAATTCCTGGTCTTTCCGCCATTGAACCGTCATCTTCGTCACGACCACCGCCAGTGTCTGCCAATCGGTCTCTCTCGCTGTCGGATGATTTGTCACCAATTTCACCCGCTTTCCCTCAGTCCGGCGCTTTCAACGAGTCCTTTCGTCCCGCATCATCGTCACAAGTAGAGCGGCGGGACGAAGACCACGGAATGGATGTAGATGGCTCTGGCTCGAATACCCCCACCAACGGCTCCAGCAGTTCATCTTCGTCAGCACAGCAGGTTCGTCGACCCGGAAAGCGGCCAGTTGCCGCTGACTTTGTCGATATGGAACCCTCACGTTCGAATGGCTCTGGGCCCTACTATCACGTACCCCGAAGGAAGGCTCCTAGTAGTTTCGCTGGAGTCATCGCCACACGCCGCATGGTGATCAACCTGAGCGATAGTGAAGATGAGGTGGAAGATACTGTCAATGGACGTATGGGGAGTGGTGCGAGATACCGCCACTATTCGACTCAGCACTCGCGAGCTACTGCTCAGAGCGCTACGACGACGAGTCGGGTTTCGCCTCGTGCGGCGACCCCTGCTGCTCTACTGGAGAAAGAGAAGGAGATTCAGATGATGCGAGAGTTGATAGCTCAGCGTGAACAGCAGAAATTGAAGAAGTTGTCTGGTGTAAGATTCGTTATGCCTGTGCCATCATTGGGCTTTTGCTGATCTGTGATTTAGAACTCGATGAGGTCAACGCCCCCTGCACCTTCATTGGAAGAGTCGAACCCTCCGAACGGCATCGCTGTGAAGCTGGAAGAGGACGAAGGCGTGGCATCAGCATCATTATACCGAGCGGCTTCGTCAGAAGAACCCAGCCGAGAGACAACCACAGTTGCTGGTATGTTCAAATGTGTTCATTGCGCTGATAGTCTTTACCTACTGCCCGTTTAGGATCTATGTTTACAAGCACTCCTTCGACTCCGACTGGTTCTCATTTTTGTCTGATTTCTGTGACCTCAACTGATTGTTGTCTAGATTTAATACCTCAAGCCTTGGAACACCAAACGACAGGAGATAGAGGCAAGTATCTTAACTTAGATTCCTTCCTCCCGATGCTTGTTCTGATTCTGAATTGGTTACTGACGTTCTGCGTTAATTTTCGCCGCTCATTTGTTTCTAACGCTTAGTTTTGACTGATGAGGCACGACAAGAACAAGTGGCAAGGATCTGTTCCCCTGTTTGCGCCGTCGAGCCGACGATAATTGAGACTTTTGCTTGACTTTCTTCCATGCTCTCCTTTTTTGGTTTCCCTTTCGTGGATTTTTCTGCCTTCTTTCTTTGGACAATTTGTGTTTCGCCTTTTGTTTTGTATTTCACAGGTCACCCGCGCTTCCAGATCATCAACTCCAGAAGCTTTCAAGAGCTCACATGTGCAAGTCCGCGCCGTTGACTCTTTTGGAGAGACGTCGTCGGCGCAGGTATGTCCTCATCTTGTTCTCTCTGTGACGATCAGATCTCTTCGAGAGAACAAACGTCAACCCAGATCTATTCATGCTCATATGTTGCACTTCCTACGTTCCTTGCAGGCATTAACGTCGGATGCACAAGCACAACATCGCTCTGACCGTCCCCAACAGACGGAAGGCTTTCTCTTTTATCAATCGCCTCTGAGCAATTATCCCTCCTTGCGTGTCCACTCACATTTGCCAGGCATCCCAAGGACCGGTCTTACCCCAAATCAACTTGACTTGAAACCTCTGAAACTTGCCGCCACTCGCAAATGGTTGCAAGAGAACTCTTCAAGATGTATCTGTCAATTTGAAGTCCCCGGGGGAGGTGAATGTCGGGATCGTACTTGTGAAGATATACATCCTTCCAAGATGTCGACTATTGAACCTAGCGGTACGCATTTGACCTCTTATGCACTGTTGCTTACCTCTTCATCTTCTCTTATCCCTCTCCCACTTCACTCTCATGCTTCGTCATGGCTGCGATTTCTCCTCTTCCTCATTCCAGATGAAGAGACAGCTGAATATCTTTGTTCTGCGATGCCTGATGGCTCGCGAATCACCGTGCAAGATGTGAAAGCAGCACTGGAAGAAGTCCGTCGACGACATACAACACTCGATTTCGACAATCGCGTCAAGGAGGCGCTGGCTTCGCTTGGTTTGCGCTAATGACAAGTCCGACCCTTTTTGTTGGCAATCGCTGCGTAGCCGGGGTCGCTTGACACTCGTCACCAAGCCTTCAGAAGAGGCCTCTGGTACGTGTACGAGCAGGCTGCTCTCGATTCGGGAAAAAAATCGGTTGAAGAGCGCAAGGCGCCACCGGGGATGGCCAACGACGTTGGTCTCCTCCGGCTGAGGAAATATGAATATCACACCAATATAATATGAAGAAAGATGGATTTGCTTTGTGCACTTGTACGGAATATTTTCACAGACTCTTCCACTAGGGGAGAAGACTTCGACACGTTGGAGGCATGCTGTGTTGTTTCTATTGCTATGAGTTGTTTTCACGCGTTGTTTTTTTTTTGCATCGTTTCTATTGCATACCTCGTATCATATCTAGTCACATCGTATTGTTGGTGCAATGTACAACTTGATTCCCGAACTTTGTGATGTCCTGTGAGCCATTGGAGTTCGTTACACTCCGTGTGTAAAAGTCAGAGCGAAGACGAGATCTTCTCGGTTTTTCAGCGGACGTATTGGGGATAGAAATGCGTACTGAGTTCTTGAACCACCATAATGCGAAGCGGTCCTTGAAAGGAATGGAACCACCATACGCGGCAAAACTGAATTCGAACAATGAGGGGATTCTGACTTCTCCGTCACTGATCGTTGATCAACCAGCTCTTGACTTGGAGTCTTCATGGCGGGTTCCTAGTATCTCGTACACCTTTCTATGCGACTGTAATGGCCATTTCAAATGTAAAGTCATTTTCCGCCTGCTGTTTTCGTAGTCGTCCTGCAATGTTGTACTACGCTTTTCTCAATCCGATAGCTACACTTACCTTTCCTCTCTCGTTTAATAGGGCCTTGTCCCCGTCATTGTCCTCCTCTCGATGCCCCAAGTTGCTGGAAGTGCCATTACTTGTACGTGGACTGCATACAACCAAAGTTCACTGAACCTTCAAACCACAGCAGATCTGTTAAACGTCGAGCTGACTAGAGGTCTAGTTGACTTGTCTTCTGATATGGTATCGGATGGCGTAGTTGCAGGGTATTCTCATGGTAGCCGCGAGAAAGACTAATACCCAAAGGCCCTAAGCAGAAATCTTTGCAGGGTCATTGAACAGACCGGTAGCAAATCATAAGTAAGACTTGAACGACAGTGAGAACTAACGTCGCTCAGTCACTTTTTATAGACTGCACCATCTCTGTTGGAGCTTCGATAATTGTTTATGGGACTTAGCAACCATGCAGTGCGTCGTTCGGCCTACATGTGGCTTTTGAGAATGAGGTCCTGCAAGTAACATCCATGCCAGTTCAACCACATGTCGTCGTCTTTCCTTAGACAATGAATGCTAGGCTGCACAGCTGTAGGATTCACCCGAGTCTACCACCTGCACGGTGTGTCGCTGTGAGTATTATCAAACTTCTTCGCGGCCCTTGATTATGTCTAACGATTTGTTAGATGGGAACACACCGTCAGGCTTAAAATAAGCATATCGCTTTGATAAAGACTGTGCTCTCCGAATACTGACCTGCTCTTTCACGCTTTCCCCCATTCCAAGCTTCACCAGATGTCCGGTTTACTATCCATCCCAACTATCTTTGGTGGTTTCATTGAGAGCATAAGCATTGCAACCATGTCAGTGAAGAATATCTCATACTATTCTTAATGTTGCTAATGTCTTAGCAGATTATATGGTGTCACTGCTGCACAAGCATATGTTTATATGTTGAATTGTGAATATAATTTTAAATGGATCAAAGTGATAGCAAGTCTGATAGTGTATGTCTATCATATAGTACCTTTGAAGCTGCAGTCTAACATTAGCTCAGATTAATAGAAACACCATACACCATACACTGCAGTTCTTATGCACACATTGTATTACTACTCAGTACTAGCAATCACAAGTTTACTTGACTACCTTCCCATTGATTGGTTAGTTCTCAGTTTTCTTCAGAGTATAACCATACTCAAATCAGTTTTCTAGAAGTGTTTCTACGTGCAAATTATATCTCTTTCTTATTCAGTACATTTGCTGATTGTTATAAATAACAGACTGCCATAATTATGGATGTGAGTCCTATAACTATTGTACACATATATTCCTCAAGCCTCTATTTTATTAGTTGACTATTAAGAGCACTATACAAGGGTATAGTTCAATCAAATTGTGACTAAATGTATCTTCTATAATGGTGATTGCAGCTACTATATTCACTCTATTTGGTTATATAAGTTTTGTCTTATCTGGGCATCCAAGTGTTTTCTCTTACCTCACATACTTCATAGTTGGCAAAAACATTATTTTAGTGTCTGGCCTGGTGATATTTCATGCATGTATACAAAATGTCACTAATTAGTATTCATGTGATTCATTTAGAAATGGCTGGTTTTTATATAAGTTTTTTTGTAGAAGTAATTCTAATATCTGTTCTTATTTTGTCTAGATGGAAGCATTGGACTGTATGCATATTTTACTATTATGACCTCAAATATCACTTATACCTGGCTGGCAATAGATTCAGATTTTCTGCTTGGACAGCTGTTTAAGATAATTCTACTATCAAAGTATCTTTATCTTTATTGCTCATTGTGACCTATGCTAGAAGAATTTGTTTTAGGCTGCTTTCTTATCTACACTGTCTTTGACTCTTGCATTGAATATAATGTTAGCTGCCATCATGGTTTACTATTTGCATCATAACAAGTTCATCATTCAAAGGTACAATTTTATCTTATAACTAATTTGTATTAGTTCTAATTATTATAAACTTTCTCTGCAGAACAAAGAGTATTGTTAGCCAGCTAATCCTTTATTTTGTCAATTTAGGCCTTATTCTTGTATAAGTACTTTATATATAAAGTTATTCACAGATAGTCAGATGATTTATTCTGCAGTGCAATATCTGTGTGCTGAGCTATGCATCAGGAAATTATACATGTTCTGGCACTCTGAGTGCTGAGTCCAAATATGGTCAACTTTGGAAAATTCACAGTGAACATGTCTCAAGGGTAAATGGCCTGATTTATGACTTGAAAGATACTTTTGAGATATGGGAATATATATACAAAAAAGATTTGAGGTATAGATTGAAGATGCCCAAGGGGCATGGTAAATAAAATCACTTCTGAGAATGCACCAGCCCAAAATTGAACTTCACTGAGGGCTGAGCTGCTGAAGTCTCTGAGACCCCTTCTAAGCCTTCTGAGACAGCTTTCAGAAGCTTTTAGAAGTAATGCACCTTTTTCTGATGATCACTGCATGTTTCTTTTTGATCCTATTAATGCTCTTGTCAAATATTCATTCTATAATAGTTCTACACTAACTCTGATAGTCTTCTATATGCTAGTTTTGTGACAATTTTCTCTAAATATAAGAGTTCATCAGTTTATTATATACACTCTAATTTTATAGATATTAGCTAGTATATGCAAATGCACTTTTTGGCATATAGATTTTATCAAATCTTTCTGAGTTGTTTTACTCTAAGATAGCTTTATCTAGACTCAACACAAGACATGTTCTTCACTAGAGAATGAATGAACCAGTTATATTCAGTATCAATGAGTTTGGAAACACTATAATGAATATCAGAATGCAGCCAGTATGTTTACATTGCTATGCATATCTTAGCAACATTGAATAACTAATTCAAAATTTCTCTACTCAGCTTCATGTTGACATCTTGCAAGTTACTGAATAGTCTGTGAGTATTCTTCTATAGTCATAGATCTATTACTGCAATTTTTCAAAATCAGAATACACACTTGAAACCATCTCATTTTCAATCCTCATCATATGAGCTGGCTACTCAAAAGTGACATGCAGTAGTGTAAACTCTTCAAGAGAGCTGATTCCTTTATTACCTTTTTTTTTATGTAACTCTTTATTTCTTTGTTCTATTTTTTTAATCTCTTTTTCCTTACTAGTCTCTTTGTTATATGTTAACCATTGTATCTATACTTCAGTCTACACCATATGGCTCTCAACAGCCTATCTGATATGTTTCTTCATTTTTCCTCTTTTATTTCTAATTCTCAATCTCACCTTCTGCACATATAAACTCTTGTACATATTCATAGATACTCTGTACATCAACAGAGTGCTAATTATGTAGACTCAGTGACTCAGATAACCATCACCCTACAAGTTTAGCTTTGCACTCATATCACTATCTAAGTTGTCTCCTTGTTTATTGCAGTGATGAAACTTGGAATCTCATAAGACCACACTCATCAACTACAAATTCTATATGGTGCTGACATTTGAAAGTGCTGAACACATACAAGCACCAGACATCGACATCTGAGAAGTATATTAGGTTCGAGAGAAAGTGTCCACGTCCAGAGCCTGCGCGATGCCCAATCAGACAGGTCACCGCAGATCTTAGAGCAAGAAATGCAAGCCGCCCTATCAAGCAAGCACGTTTCGACCGCGTTCTTGACGCATTTGTTGGCCACCGTTATACTGCTATGCATCCTCCAGCATAGAGCAAAGCCCGTTACATTCGCGACTCACCAACAAACCTGCGCGGCCGATATGGTTAGAGGCAAAAATGGGAAAAGCGAGTACAGCTTATTGAGTCGTTGTTCACCACAGGAATACAATACCGAGCCAGACGGTTACGATGAACCTCGTTCCAGCCGTTTACTGCGTTGTATACGGATCGCTGTTCTTGCAAATATTGCACCGTTTGAAGCGCGTTGAGACGACGGCATCCTCTTCACTGCGAATGAGCCCAATACACGATCTCACCACGAGTCAAGTCGACGCTTCAGCGGCTGGCCTGAGAGAAAGTAGTGATACGATCAGTCATGATGGTCCGTTGCCAGGAACATGCCAGAAAGTACATAGCAACGTACCCGCAGGGTAGACATGATATTCCTCTAACATAATAGATTATTTTGGAAAGAGAATGGCTGCTTTGAGATTAGGTGAGCACTCGGCCGCGGATAACCTCGTTGCGTGATGAACAAACGTGACGTTGACAGTTGCGAGGGCCGAATTCAAGACGAATTCAAAACAACAACAACACCCTTCATCCCGAAAATTCGGGCTTTGGCCTGAACCGGGACTCCCTATCCAACACAAAACCATTTAATATACAGTAAGTCGCCGTCAGTGAGCCAAGACACCAACTGCTTGTGAAAACGACACAGCACCCACCCAGCCTTCAACTACATCAACTACAATTTCCTTTTCCCGGCATTCCAAAGCGCGGATAAAGCGGGAACCCACAAGCCATCTTCGCCCTGATCCTGAACTCTCGATACAAGGCACCTTGTGACCAAACGGTGAGAACAATCCCCTCCGTTCCTACCCTATTCGTGAGCACGGAAAAGTGTAAGAAGATATCGGTTTGCCTTACTTGACCTCTAGGATCACGGAAATAGGGAAATTCGGGTCCGAGTGGGTGTAAGGGGATGAATAGGGCGCGCGGGCTACAACACCGGACCTGGGAGTGGTTGACGTCTTATCTGCATGCCGTAAAGCGTAAAAAAGAAAAGAAAACGGTGACGTGTGAGATGCAGGGCTTGGGTTATGAGCTGGGCTGAACTTGGTAGAATAAAGCTCTGGGCCGTTTTTAGGAACTCTGCACTCTTTTTGGGAGTTGAGTACCTTTCCTAGGATTTATGACGAATGGCAGATAAACAGCAGACACGGAGGTGTCCCTTGGCGGCAGCTCGGCCAGGAAGCGTCTGAGACGGGCTTCTCCTGTATGTAATTCGTTCAGAACGTGGTTTGTACGGATACGAAAAGGTGTCCACTAGTGGTCAAATGAATAACCGCTCTTATAGCTAATCAAGCAGAGGATCAAAGCTTGAAGTTAACACTGCGACCACCAGACCTAAAGAGAACGGAATAGGTAAGTCCGTCGCTCACGTCCGGCGATGCTCTTAATGAGTGCTTACCAGTCATCCGTCACTGAGCTGCCTTAGAAGACACGTAAAGGAAGAGAACAAGAGGGGGAGAAGCTACTCGGAAATAGACATGTGATTGTCCACATTGAGTGATTCCACCGTGCTGAGTGAGATACTGCCAACTTAAGATTCAAGGACAATGGGAGAACAGACCTTTCACAATCGCACGCACGCCTCACACCGAGCTGTTCCTAACTCGAATGAAGCCCTGCTTGCTCCGGGTCCGAGGAAGCCACGCGAATGAAGTCCTGTTACGTGAGTCAACTCATTTGGGTGCTTAACGGGATTTCTAGATCGGGTGGGTGTGAATGAAAGATAGGGAAAGGTGAAAAAAGGTTATCAGCTGGACGGATGAGATGTTCGAATTGGCCTTCTAGATGAACCAGGGAACCGTGATTGGGGAATGTGGCGTAGAGTACTTTAAAGCTTCGGACCGAAATGGGTAGAGTAGTAATGAGTGAATTGTGTAGCTTGCAACGGTGTATTGAGATTGCTTGCAATGTTGCGCTGTTAGGAGAGGGCACTGATCAATCCCAACGGACATACGTGAATTGACCATGCAAATAAACTGACGTACGTTCAGATGCCAATCGAGACAACGCATATATAGATGCTATGCTTGTAACTCTGGGATGCGAAAACCAATGGAGAACCCGGCACCTTTGGTTATGCGTACTGACAGCCTGTCCCACTTCAGCCATATTTAGTCATAGCGGTTGACATCTTCGCTCGGCGAAATGACAGACCAATCGGGAAAGGCGGAACTTTGTGGCGTCCGTCCTCTCTAAGCAAGTTCCCTCCAACCCCTCACTGCGAGAGACAGACGATCAGAAAGGGCATTCCATCTACCAAACTTGTCCCTTCTTTCCTTCCACGAAGACCACCTGGCCGATTCTAGCCCAACAATGGAATCCCGTTGCCAAATGGTCAGAATCTTCCATTGTTCCACTGTATTCGAAGCTGAAAATAGGCACGACCTGTGATACGTACAATGTACGGGAATTCGATATGCAGTATAACAGTGGTATTGCGTGGTATTCTGTTATTCTGTATATGCGCCGATTTACAGCTTCCGAAAGAAGCCAAGAACGGCAATGCCCCTAGAATGCAGAGATTGAAGTGAGATGATGATGAGTTCTGTATTTGGGTGCTTCTGGACGGATATGGGAATATGAGTCTATGATTGTAGGGTTCACGATGGGAACCGCGGAAGAGATGAAAGGGCCGGAGAGGGTGAAAAACGAAAGCTGAGGAGGAAGATATGAATACGTGCGTATATGCGCATGCAATCATGGCAATCCCACGGATACAGCAAATAGCATTGATGCCAATCCGATTATACCGCATATCGCAAACGCAAGTCATGTATAGTCACCTCTTCTCGTCACTGTATGCGGTATGATCAGAGGGCGTTGTCAAGCGCGCACCGCTTAACACGACGGCTAAAGCGGAATGCATAATTCGCACTTTCACCGATGAAATACGCCATAATGAACAACGGCGACGACGACGAACAGTTGCCAGTTACCTCAACTTGTCCGATGTCCCGAGTCTATGAAAATGAAATTACTGAAATGAAGTGTTCAATGCTGCACGGAGACCACAAGGGCAGTCAGAAAACAAATTGCTCGCCGTGAAGCTGACAACTTACCGCTTAAGGTTTCATCTACCTTGCTGCCGGGATATACATACTCCAAAAGGCTGCACTAGAACAAAGCTTGAGGATGAGGATCATAGGGTTTCAAATACGATACCCATAGCGTTCGGACACATACGGTGAGCCATGAAGGGCGTCTGATGCAGGGACATTGACATTTGAACCCGCTCTAGTAGCAAAGGCAATAGAACAACAGTAAACTCAAAAGTTGGAATGTATGCGCCGTTAGGTGCACATAAGAGACCGCTGATGCACGTACCGAAGAAAAAAGCGACAGCTGTCGAGATGAGTGGCACAGGTTTCGATATGGCATTGCATCCTTGATGCGCTCAAAAGCTTCTATCTACACGCATACTTGAGAGCCGTAGATGGGCCGTTAGCGAGTTTCGGTACAGCTCTCAAGCATGCAGAAAAAGACATGTAGGTCCAAACAACGGGTAAAAAACACATGAAGGCAAGCATCAAGATGTTCAAATGTATGAAATGCGGACACGAGGAGAGAACGGCAGGTGGTATACAAGGAAGATGCATCCGTGCCGAAGTAGGAATGTTGTTGGATGATTCACGCCAAGATACCGGTCGCGAAGGGAGATAAAGCCGAGACTAGGCTTCTTTGTATCGGTAGTACAGTTTCTGTGTGGACGCGGTCGCCGTTGGTAATGTCGAGGATAGTGTGCAGAGCGAGCGGGGTGCAGCGGGCAACGACGAGAGCGATGGGAACGACGACGATTGCCAACCGTGGCGGACGGTGCAGCCCAGAACAGTGCGTGCGATTATGTGACGGGCGTGTGACATTGCTTGTTCGATCTTCGGTTGTCTCGGAATGGAACTAGGTGGCGCGTGTCCCAAATTTGGATGCGGTGCCTGGGTGGCGGAGGTCACGCGTGGGAAGGCAGTTGAGGGCCGGCGCAACGGCGGGGGCAGTCTGCTGACAAGCTGCGCACTGGCCCCAGCCTGGCTGCAGCACCAGGAGAGAGCAGTCGAGATATGGGAGATGCAGGCAGACGGAGGTGCAGAGGGAGGCGGGAGATAGGGAACGGAGCCGGGGCCGGAGACGGATTAAGAAAATCGGACGGAGTGTGCCGGGAAGCGGCTGTTGCCGGTGGGGGAAATGTCTGTTGCGGGTATAAGACTGGGGCCGACCCGAAGAAGGCAAGGACCGTACAAGGGAATTCCCTCTTTCGTCCCCCCTCCTCTTCTGGCACAAAGCTCCCTCCCCGCCATCCAAGCAGTCTTCCTCATCGTCGACAACAGCGACAACAGCCCTCTCTTCGACGCACGCGTCGTTCCCCCCGTTCTCATTAGTGTATGGCCTTTCGCCACACTCTCCCTCCCCCGTCGCACATAGAAAACGCGTATCCTCCTGCCTATTCCAACCCCGCGGAGCCAATCTCGACTTCCCTTTCTGGTGCCTCCCAAATGGCTCCTCCCGATCCAGCTTCACCTTCCCTCTCAAACAAGAGACAGCGTCTCGACACACTCGACCCTCAGGGGGGCACCATACCTCCCCCCGGCGACGATGGTTTCATTCAGGACCACGAAGCGGGCGACAGCGGTGCAGACGACGATGAAGAAGAGGATAAGCCCAAGTCCGACAAGAAAGCCGGAAGGAGAAAGATCAAGATCGAGTTCATTCAGGACAAGTCCAGACGTCACATCACTTTCTCAAAGCGTAAAGCGGGTATCATGAAGAAGGTTCGTCGTTGCTTTACGCTTCAACTTGTTGCTTTTGCTTTTGTTTTTTATATGGCTTACTAACATGTTTGCTTTATTCACATAGGCATACGAGCTTTCCACCCTCACAGGTACCCAAGTCCTACTCCTCGTCGTATCCGAAACAGGTCTTGTCTACACATTCACCACCGCCAAACTCCAACCCCTCGTCACCCAACCCGAGGGCAAGAATCTCATTCAAGCATGTCTCAACGCGCCTCACGGCTCAGTTCCCTCTTCCATGCCCGTCGGTACACCTATCGGCCGTTCTGCCAATCCAATGAACATGGGCGGCGGACCTCCTAACGTACCAGGCGGTCTGAGCATCTCCGGTTCGGGCTCCAAGGACGAAGGTGATGATGGAGACGGTGAAGGAGATGGAGACTCTGGCAATGAGCGCTCTGCTCCTCCTACCAACAACACCTCCGGTGGTGCTGGTGGTCGAAAACGTCGTCGGGCGAGTAGCAGTGCTGGCAACGTCGCTAACAATGGTAACTCTCCTACCACCCGTGCTGCCGCTGCCGCCGCCGCCGCAGCTAACCAGCAACAGCAACAACAAACTTCTCCCCCTGCACAACTCTCGCCAACTAGCGGTGGACCACAAGGATCGGGTGGAGGTCCAACCTCACCACATGCACGAGGGACGATGCCCTTACCAATCCCCCAAGCAGCCCCTGGAGGTCCTCAAGTAATGTCTCCAACCGGAGGTCTTACCAGTCCATTAGATCATAGTCAACAGCAACAACACCGAGGTCCTCCTCCTCCATCTCCTTCTTACACCCATGCTCCTTATCCCGGAAGCGATATGTATGGCGGTCAAGGTGCTCCTCAACCTGGATATGGACCTGGACCTGGAGGTCCACCTGGTCCTCCGCCTTATGGTTACCCACCTGCACCTCATGATCCTGCGGCTGCGGCTGCGGCCGCTGCTGCTGCTGTGGCTGCTGGAGGACAGGGAGGAATGGCGCCGCCTCCTGCTTGGGGGGCGCAACCGGGTGCTGTTCCCCAGTATGGGAGGAGGTGACTTGCTCATAGTGGGATGAGACAAGACAAGGGTTGGTGGAGTTATGAGAATGGTGGTGGTAGCGGTGGATAAGTTGATTGATTAACGGAGTCAAGTCGGGTTGAGAGTGCGTGCAGTGTGTGGACGGTTCGTGTGATATATGGAGGTGGGTAGTTGGTCAATACGAAGAAAGTGTGACTGGTTTTTTTTTTCCATTATTGTTTGTAGCTTGAAAGATGTATCGAAGAGTTTCTCGCGTTTCTTGTCTCTTTTCTTTTCTTACTTCTTTCCTCCCCCCGTCTCAGTCCTTCCTCTCGTCTCTCGTGTTATTCGTGTTATCTGTCTGGTCTGGCTTTTTGTCTGTCTACGTGTGTCTATGTGTGTGTGTGTGTCTTTTCTGTCTCGTCCAGCTTGCAGAGTGCCCATATACGATTTTACGACTACTACGATGATGATCCTCGCGAGCCCTCTCCTCTCCAATTACCTCTCGTCTTTGGTCTCGTCTACATACTCTTCCCCCCATCTTCGTCTTGGGTCGGCAGGTTCTAGTAATTCAGGTATACCTTGAGCTGTGATCGCTTCCTCTTCTCCATAACTTCCCCATTCAGTTTCTCTTGTGTATAGTTAGTTCAAAATTGTATCATGTACCTGAACATGAAGATGAGCTATTAAATTACCATCGCATGGTAGATACAAGCAGGATATACGAACAATGGTATGTACAACAAACAACAAAATGGTAGGATAGGATGAATGTTGAATGTTACACTAGCAACAATGTCCAGAAATGGAGGTAATAGAGACGAGATAGATAGTATGAGAGTGCACATATGAAAATAAATGGAGAAAGACTTCGCGATAAATAAAGTCAGAAGCTAAAAAGTCAAAATCAAACGTTCCATCGATGATAATCCATGGAAACCAGGAAAACCATATAGTATGTGTAACATGTGGGAAGTGAGTGAGAAATGAGAACTGCGCATGTGAAGTTTCTTCCACCTCGGTACCGAAAAGAAATGCAGCAACACGAATGCATGGCACTGTTACGCAACGAAGCAGGTGGGACAAGCAGCCTTAAACGATGCGGGAAACGGAAATGGGAACCCATAGAGCGATGACGTTCCACCTCATGATCAAACGCATCGTCCCAATCCGATCAAAAGACAGGAATGGAATGCCCTTATCGATTGCCTTCCTGCGAATCCGAGGCTCGTGTCGTCAAAGCAGGAAAGGAAAGGAAAGAGACTCTTAGGTGGAGGTTGACTGGCCGTACGTCCACGACTTCCAACCGAAAATGGAATCCGAGAAGGTCGGCCAACAACCCTTTAGCTTTGATTCTTCCCGCGATCCAGCAAGACATCGGGTATGAACGCAACGAGCCTCGGCATTGCAGTAAAACTACAATCGCCTCGTTTTTCTTTCCGCATCCGGACAGAACAGCAGAGGCAGATTTTTGGGGGACGCCATTACGCTTTCCAAGCGACCAAGACTCGTAAAGTCCGGCTCAGCCTTTCTGTAGGAGGAACTTCCGGTTCCCAATCCACTCGCTGCTCGGTTGTCGAACTCCCCCTTGACCGCTTAGTCCTTTCTCTCTCATTAGAAGACCTGCCTCCATGTATCCCGAGGGTGCGAGCAATGACATCGTCATCACTACTGCTTATTCCGCCATTATCTGATGCTGGAGGTTGGAGAGAGGCGAAGTACGCCACGGGATCGTTTTGGTATTGAGCCCACTCACGACAGAGTTTGTCAAACTCGTGTCGTGAGGACTTGTCACGAGTGTTCATGGGTACGGGCATAGCCCAACCTAATTGGGTGCGAACGGCTGGTGCGAGACCGATATGGTCACGCATATCGCTGGTGAGACAGTATAAGTCAATCCCATACAGCGACTGTCGAAATAATGTGTTGGGACGTACAATTCAAACCATTCCAGCATAGTATTGAACTTCCACCGTGTCATCTTCATCAACGTAGTGTGGAAAGGCTCAGCAGCACGTTGTTCTTGAGGTTTCTTCCGCAGCTTTGATGGATCATTCGACCTGGTCTGTTTCCGGTGTTTGCGTTGATAGTCAAGAACGTAGTCCCACATTGCCTCTGAACAAGCTAATACTTCATGTACACGAAGTGAAAGGTGTAGGTTCAAAGATCCCACATGGATATCCAGCTTTTTGTTGGGCAAGCGGTTGATCTTCATGTCAGTGGAAGAGGGAATACGACGCGGAAATTGCTGCTCCTGAATGACAGATGGCTCCTTTGCTAGGCGGGAAGGACGTCGCGACAAGATCGGTCCGAAGGCTGATCGGGTGGACGGAGAAAATGCATTATAGCGAGACTCATCGAGAGTTACGAACGGGTTGGAATTCTCCAAGAGGTTATTGAGTGATAACAATTCGACTGGAGAGTTTGGCCCCCGGCGTACAGATGAAGATCTCGAGAGGCACTTGCTAGAAGGAGGGGACCCATATTCCGTGTCAGAGTCAGCATCGGACTCGAGCGATGGTGTTGCTGGGGTACTCGGACTTCGATTAAGCTGCGAGGGACGTGGCGGGAAGCTCGCTATGAGAGGTGGATGGGTCCGCACATCTTATAAACACGTTAGTCACTGCATAGAGTACCGCAAGGTGTCATGATTACCTTTGAAGTAGATCGAGAAAGAGTTCGCGAGTAACGACAACGGCTGCATGTTGACAAATCTGGCAGAATGCATTTCGGTATAGATGAAGTCCAAAAGACTGTGATCACGAGGGTTTACTGGAGGTTTGAAGTCTCCATAAAGACGAGGTTTGGTAGACGTCTCAGTCTTGATAGGCGCAATGTCCAGTGCCAACTCAGCATCATCGGTTGGTCGACGCGAAAGTAATGCTGGAAGTGGTTCTGTACTTCTCCGAAGCGGTACTGAAGGTCGCGGGGCCACATCAGACAAGCGTCCGAGGTTAATAGACATGGGTCGAAAGGATGAGGCCGGTGTGGGTGCGCGCGGTCTGACGATGCTAGGTGGAGGGCTGTAAGTTCGAGGTGGAAGTGAATCTTGAGAATCACGTAGGCGACCTGGGAGGTATAGGTCTTCCTCTATGATCTATGGTATAGATCTTGCAATTGAGACACCATATGTTGCACATATATGATTTGGCAGGACCGACCTCTATCCTCCCGCTTGGTTTCATGACTCGAGATATTTCCTGTGAAGCAGTTGAATGTTTTGAGGATAATCTACTCAGGCAGGACACACCTCAAGCAACGCGTCCCACTAACAGCAACGCATATTAGTACCTGATCGGAAAATGTAAAAGTTAATCTTCACCTTATCTTCAGGAACGCCTCTGGCAATTCGTTTGATATGGCTGCGGAACCAACCAAACTGAGCCTTACGAGATAACTGCAATCCGTTTGACAAACTCACACATAATCAAATTCTTCATCCTGAAATGGCAGACCTTCCAAACTGTGACCCATGAGCAATTTTCACGCTACATAGTGAGTCGTTATCTTTCTTACAAATTGGCTTGCACCCAAGTAACTCTTGATGCCAACTGCGACGACCCAACTTGCTGAAGGTCAGGTTGTATCGGCACGATATCCAGACCTTGAATGTAAATATCACCTCAACGAAGATCACGGGCCGTGAACGAATGGTCATACCAACAAAGTGTGTGTCCTAGATACCAGCAATAGCGTCAGAAGACGGGTCAGCAAATCATGCGGACTTCAAGCAGGCTTTAGAAGCATGACTTCTCACCTTCCACAGTCTAGCACAATCAAGGATCCATGTCCCCACGCCTTTGAAAGATTCGCATATAAGATGCTACTGTGTAACGACGATTCGTATCACTTACCGCAACCGAGGTCTAATCTAAGGTCGCACGACACTCTGTGAGAACGCGGGTGTTGAATGTACGTAAAGAGGATGGCTCACACTCTTGAGGGTGGTTCCTCGAAGTCATGCCAGGTGACGCTGCCGCATACTTGCTGAACAGTGCGCATACGTTCAGCCAAATGGCCTCAAGTAATTGAGACATGATAGACCGCACCTGATTCCATCTGGTTTCCCATATGTCACTAGGAAAAGTCGTGTGATCAGCAGGAGTACTCCGATCGGCCATGAATTTAAAACATACTTGTCCAGGACATCCCTCTCATAATTGATAGGGTATGGTACCTCAGAGGCAGGGTAAATGTGATGTTTCTTCCCGCATCGAAGCTGAAACTGTGAGTCTCGCGCTTTCATCTTCGACTTCAGTTCTTCGAGGATTGTCCGATCAGCGGTAGAGAATTGAAACCCAGGCTCAGTCGATTCTGGTGTCGAGATGCTGGTTGTCACTGTGAGTGGAGGTTTTCGCCGAGATCTCCGTCGTAGGATACCAGCGTCCGAAGGCTGCAGCACAAAGATGGGAATGAGAACGAAACTTGAATGAAGAAGATCTCGGGAGACAGACAGGCATAGGGAATGTTATCGATCCTGCTCCTTCGAGAGGTATCTTGACGTAGTGTACTGGAGGCGGAATAGATTGTTGTGGTGAAAAGAAATGTAACTTCTCTGAATCTAATGGCACGCCTGACGAGGACTGCGGGCGTTGTCTAGCTGGATTGCGGGAAGGTCGGGGTGGCGCTGGGGCTTCATGTCGTTCGAAGAAAGCAGATGATGATTTGGGCAAGAGTGACGAACTTGAACTAGAAGGTCTCCTTATTCGAAAGAATCTCCGGGATGTTTGCGAAGATGTAGGTGAGGCAAACGCCGCCAGCGGGTTCACCTTGAATTTTGGCGAGCGAGGACTCGTAGCGGTGGTTGTATGCGGTGTATCCTTGTGCTGATTAGTTGGTCTAGTTGTGGTCTCGACGTTGAGAGGTCGCGGGCAAGGTGGATTCGAAGATGATCGTAGTCGTACGGGATACGGAGCGAGCATGGCTTGTGTGGGGGGTAATCTGATGGACCACGGATACTATACGGAGTGCCTATCAAGCCAAAGGGCTCAGGCTGGTAGACATGATGTCAAGAAGTACCATGCAAAGGTGTGATTCCATGCCACGTTAGGTAAGGAACATTGTCGTGTGAGCAGAATACAGGCACCCATATGAACATTTCATCAAGGTAAAATTAAAGTATAACGTGATATGAATCAGTGATATTCTTCAGAGAAGGGCGGGAAGCTGAAACTGACCTGGGCTTGGTAGATGGGTGAGCTGTTCGAGAGTTGATCGAGATGAACGAGGGACCTTCTGGTATTATATACTAGATGTGTCGTTAGAGGCCGGACGGGTTATATGCTTTCCATGGTCTTGATATTCCCAACGGTAGCAATGCGGTCTAAGATCTATCATGTGCCTTGCAGGATCTGATCTGCTTTGCAGAAAGGGGTATTCTCTCGTGCTTTTATGGGGTCCGTTCTGCTCGTACGAATCGCGCGATACGTGGCGGCCGGCTTCGCAACAAATGTCACAATCGGCGTAATGTTCGTGGGTATTCTGCGTGGTATAAGACACTGAATGGGAAGCCAACCGTACAACGTCAATACCCGATGGGTAGGACCGTTGAAGCTGTTACCTCAATATGACAACGTCGCGGGTATTACTGGAAAATATAGCGGTTATTACACTGGCGAGGTGGGTATATGCGTCCGTTTCACAGGGAAATGCGCATGGAAGTACGTACGGCGGATGCTTCACGAAGTAACGCCTGAGATTATTGAGTCATGAGATATATATCAATACAGTATGGTGGGTGGGAACGATACTCACTTGGACCGCCCATGGTCATGGAAGACAACGACAAGAAAATGACATGATCACACTGGAAAGTAAAGCACCCTAACGGCTTTACTCGGACGGTGCGTTCTGCCACGTTCAGAACGGGATAGGATCACTTCTGAGGTCAATCGACAAGCTCGGTTCGACTGGCTTCGAGAACGTTCTTCGACCAGTATAATGCAGTCAAGAGTACAAGTGTTTGCAGAGCCTCGACAACGACGAGGCAACGCGTCTCTACGAGCTATACATACCTTCTTAATACAGCCTACTCCTTCGTAACAACCACCACATACCTCTGATACCAAGATTACCAATACCACGTTATGCCGTTGAACTATTCAAAGTGGGACAATCTCGAGGTCAGTCACATCTTGCTAGATGTGTGTATAGTGTACATCGATTGACATGGATCTGCATATAGCTCTCAGATGACTCTGATATTGAGGGACACCCAAATGTTGACAAGAAGTCCTTGATCAGGTTCGTCTAATTGTCGCCTGACAAAACATGCATTTGCATATGACTGACATGGATTACCCTCTGTAGACTTAAGCAGCGAACTATTCACGAGCAACGAGAAGCTCGGAAACATCGCATCGCCCAGCTCAAAGCCGACATTGCATGTAATGAAGTTCTCGAACCGAGGATCAAACAAATCACAGCAGCCGTTGAGGCGCAGGGTCCCACATACTTCTCGCAACTCGTCGATCGATATAGGAACAATCCATCACCAGAAGCACCTCCCACCAATGCACCAGGACAAAAGACATACGATGAGATGTTACTGTCGCTGTTGCTTCAAGTATGGGACGACGCGAAGAAGGACGGTGCAGACAAGGATGATCCTAGGCTTCGTGAGAAGTTGGGGAAGGGATTACAAAGGCATGTAACGATGATGGCTGAACATCAAGCGAGGCTCAAGTCGGATTTGGCGAAGGAGGAAGCGGAGCAAAAGAAGAAGATCACTAGCGAGGATATGCACGATGCTTGGGATTCACATGTAAGTGTACTCAATCCTTCATTCTATCCTGCCTCTCTGACAGTGTTGTTTGCAGTATGTCCCACCAAAACCCGCACCACCTCCAGTCAAAGGAGCTCACATCGAAGCTCCCAAGAAGAAAGTCACCGAATATGAAGTTATCAACCCTAAGGCCGTATCAGCAGCCCCCGAGCCCGTTGCCTCAACTTCCGCCGCCGCCGACCTGTCTGAAGACGAAGAACTTCCTGAACTCACACCCACGCTGGAAGCCTTCTCAAAACTACCTCTCAAGGCGTACGAGAAATCCTGGGAGTTCATCAAGGGTCATCGGGATACGGTCGTCCCTGGTGCCTCTGATGCACTTCTAGTGGCTGCATTCAAGGCGCAGAGTGACGGCAAGTCAAATTATGCAAAACAATGTGTACACCAGAGCTTGCTGTTGCAGTATTGTGAGAAGCTGGGTAAAGACGGAGTTTCACTCTTCTTCCGCAAGTGAGTATTTCTCCATTATCCGCATTCAACCAAGTCTAATGTGAGTTCGTATTCAGGATGGTGACAGGCGACCCTCGAGCGACTAGTATCTTTGAGAAGGATGTCGTGGATACTTACGCTCATCTTATCGAACGAGTCCGAATCTCAAAGTCTCAAGAACAAGTCCCTGTCGAACAAATCCAACTCGTACCCGAAAACCCAGAACAGAAGATCACGTTCACTGTGCCTGATGGACCCCCTCCCGAACACCTCCAACTCGAGGGCCCAGGATTCGAGAACATCACTGTAGAGGAAGTGAGAAAAGTACTCCAAATGCGCTGGGACGTCTTCCAAAGCTTCAAGCCCGAGCTCCAGGAAGCTTTGAAGACTCAGGATTTGGATAAGGTGAACAAGGTGCTTGGCGGGATGAAGGTGGAAGATGCGGAGGAGGTTGTGAAGTTGCTTGACATGGCAGGGATCTTGAACTTCTCTGGAGGCATTCGAGATGAGACTGGCGGGGATGAAGAGGGTGAGGAGGAAGAGGAGCAGGAAGGTGGCGAGGCGAGGGATTAAGACAATGTAAGGCTGACATTTTGCTTGTGTCTTTTTTTGTGTATCGTTATCGCTGTCGTCGATTCTGTATTTGTATGTCATCGCGCAATGAGTTAATTGAATCTGTATCCTTTCCCCTCTGGAGTCCGGATATCTCAAAGTTCAGAATCGAACATAGAATGTTTATAGATGATCATTATTGAATATCCGCATCCTATCCTGACTAACGTTCCGTCCCACATCCACTAAGAGCTAACTACCTACATGAAAAGCAAAAGGATGCAACAGAGACCTCTGAAGCAACATTATAACCAAGAAGGTGAAACATTCAAAGCAAAAAGAGCAACGTGCAGATCATTAACGAGAACAAAAATGTCCTACTAAAGTTCATACTAGATCATGATGGTACATGTCATCCGCAAAACATCGAAACAAGAATAACCCTGGTCCAATGGAAAGGTATAACTAAGATGGTACCTCAACAAGGAAGCGGTAAGATGAGGAGAGGTGATGTGTGTCGTGAGGGCATTTGATTCCAAATGTCATGTGTCAAACCCACAAAATCCATGGACGAACCCAAAAAAGCGTGAACGGGAATCAATCATAGCGCTGAGCGCATGTATGCGTTAGGGTACTGAGCAATGGGTTCGTCGAAGCTTGAGTTCAGAGCCTAGACTCAAAGCAAAGCGAACGCGAGGAATGCGGTGATCGCAAATGAGGATGACTTGAACTCCTTCGAAGACCAAGCAGCATTTGTGCTCGAAAGTGCGCCGACACCACTTGTAGATGGGTCTAGCGTTGAAGCGGGCGACGTGGCAGGAACAGTAACGGTGCTAGTTGGACGCGCACTTGATGATGGCGTTGGTGCCGGTGCGCTTTGATGAGAAGCACTGCTGGGACCTACGGTGGGCGACACAGGGTCGGTGGTCAAGATGGTGAAACTGTTATCAGGGGTAGAGCTGGGCCCTGGGGTAGGCGACGAGTCGAAAGTAGTCGCAGGAGCTGAAGTAGGTACAACTGTGGACGACGAGGAAGGTGCGGCAGAAGATGAAGCCGAGCCTGATCCACCTTCAATCGTGAACTCGGGACTGATATTTCCAGAGTCACCCATGACTGTAGTAAAGTCGACTTCAATAGACAAACAATGGAAATGATCACTATTACTCACGAGCAATGATGTAGTTGGTCCTAGGAGGTACATCGGGAACCGTGACCTGAACCAAGCCGTCCAAGATGGAGAAGTTCTGAGCCAAGGGAGTATCTGGACAATGTGAAGACAAATGAGCATAGCCATATTTGCAAACGTCTATGACATTCTTACCGATCATAAGGTTCTCGCTGTCGCTGGTGAGGAAACCCAGGATGACCTTTCCCCTCGTGTTCGTGATGTTTGCAGGAGGAGGCAAACTGGAAGTATCCCTACCAGTGTTCGAACAATACGCCATATCAATGGGTGTTCGTTACATAGTACCCTGATATCCCAGCACGTACCAAGTTACAGTCTGTGTCTCACCGACATGCCACACTGTAGACGCGTCTGGGCTAGTGACAGGTGGGTTCACAACATCGCGAGTGACCAACACCGGGATAGCGTGAGCAGACGATAACAAGTAGGAGAACACGAGGACAATAGCGTCGAACATAACGAGCATAGTGGACATAGAAAAGGAACCTGGGTGAACACGGCTTCCTGGACTCGAACACTCGCTTGAGGGAGGAGGTGAAGAGTGTCAAGTTCAACTTTTCCAGCGCTGTCCATCTCTTATTGCTTTGCGGAGACTTGCCTTTCCCGGCGCCGGGACGTGTTTGCCGACCGAGTATCAATATGAACTCGCCTCGCCGAATGCAGGAGGTCTTTTGTCTCTTCTTCCCTTCGTATCGTCGTGGAAGTAGTACTTGCTCCCTGGCTGAGTGTGCTGAGGTGCACGAAGATGGAAGGGATTACTCACACGACGCGACTCTACTCGACTTCATTAGGATTCTATGAAAGACTAGACTTGAATTGACGCCGACCTGCACCGTGAACTTGTAAGGAGTCAAGTATCGGGCTTCCACCTACTATTGACGTCAGTCTCTAGCAATGACTAGAAACAAAGGAAACTTACCGAAGAAGTCTCAGGCTGCTCCAAAGGAAAATGAAGGGAAACGGCGAAGTTACAATATGGTTAATTCCATTGCAATACAGCAGTCACAGTATCCCACCACCTTCTAAAGTGGATAGGAAAGTACAACAACGAGTACAAATAATGCTACAGAACCTTTTCCTTGAGTCCTTCGACTCCATCTACGAGCCCACTATACAAGTTATGATACAATCTTTATGATGTGAGTGAGCATACGCTTCTTTAAATAACGATCGTGACTCCATGTCGCAACCAGGACCGAAGGTCAACAGTCAATGCAAGGATGGAGTGAGAATGAACGTCGGATCCTTCCCGCCGGTGGAAGGTGTCTAGCTTGATGATACAACACTTGAGAGCGCAGCTCCGCTTAGAGATCCCACTCAATTTGAAGGACACCAGCGTCGAGGGAACCAAGTGATTCAAAGAGCGAAGGGCTCAAATCTGAGATAATATATAGATCAGTACCCAAACTGAATTCGTTCAGGAGAGTCTCTGTACTAACCGAGGTCATCAGCACCACATCCGGGGCAAGCATCACGAACTTGACCAGTGGCGGTCTTGCCGGTTTCGGGGTTTGTGATCGTCACTTCCTAGAAAGAAGCGCAACATTAGTCAACGCCGGGAGTGACATGAAATATGAAAGAAAGCTCACTTTGTTGCAGTGAGTAGCCTTGTCGAAGATCGCGGTGGAGAGCGCGATGACAGGGCTGCTATCGACATCGGTTTCTTCACAAGCACCAAGTCCCACATTGAACCAGGTGGCCTATGAACGAAATCAAAGTAAGAAGAGGTGTTTAATAGAACAAAATACGACAAAAGACTAACCTTTCCAGTATGGGACTCGCGCTTGGCCAAAGACCCGCTTTGGTCGACGACGGGGGAAGCAGTAGCGACAGAGAGAACAGTAGCGAGAGCGACGAAGAAAGCAGTGTAGCGGGTCATAATGATAGACTTGGTAGTGATGAAGACGGTAACAGATTGAATGTAGTAAAACAAGTGAAGTCGAAGAGCTGCTGTTGATGAAATGTGGGGCGAGAAGACTCGTGCTGAATACGGGAGGATTCGCAGGTCCTTTTATACCTCGAGGATGGGGTGCGGGCGTAAGATTTGGGGAACTTCATGATCCATGTGTCATTGCGAGGGTCGTCCTGTCGCCGCCCTGCGCGCCATCTCTCAACTTGACAAAAACAGACGTAAAGCGCCTGCAAAATCAAGTGAGAGCTTGTCGCGCAACTGTCAAAACATAAGACGCACCCCGAAGACAATTGGCATTTCATTTTTTGGGACCGAGCCCTCATTCCCAATTTTTTCGAGGGTTAACTCCATTATGGAGACAAGGGGGGGAAGGACGACAGTGGAGCCATTGCAACGGCCGAAAGGTCTAGATTCTCCCTGGCAGGGTAACAGGTGCAAGACTCGTGCGGCATTGCTGAGCGTGCGCTTCATTTTGCACAAAAGGAGGCGTACACATAGCAACGCTGCACGACTGGGGGTAATACTTTATTCTGCGACGACGCCGGGAAGATGTGCAGAGCAAGATTATGTAAACATCGGGGACGCCCTTCATAGTAAGGACATCGCGAGGAGTTCTAAGAGATGACCGGTAGTGTAAGTCCGTCGAATCCATGGCTTCCAAAGCCGTTAGTGGGTCGCACAAGTGAATATGCTCTTTGCGTGACCAGCAGTTTTCAAGACCTTGCGACGGTTAGGATAGTCCGAGCCTGCATCGCAAGCAGATGACTGAAAATGGCAAGGAAATAACCAAACTAGGAAGTAAGTTCGGCGACTATCTCGGGATTTCGACGGGCCGTTGTTGGGGCATCGTGGCTGGTAACAAACCTCGAAAAAATATACCGTTTACGCGGGGATGAGCTTTGTCAAGCAGAGGTCGTGAATTACATACTTGAAGCCAGGAGAGCTGCGTGCGGACGAACGGCTCAGTGTCGTCTGTAGAGTTGAACGCGACATAGAGACGGGTTCCGCAGCAACAATCGTAACAGGGTACGGTGTCGCCGCACCGTTGGCACAACTCCTGTCGCCCTACATATAGTGCAGAAGTTGGACGGAGTCTCGGGTTTCTTCGGTACCGAAAGAGGTCCTCAGAGCAAGCAACTACAGGGTGCTGGTTGGTGCCCAGATGGAAAAGGAAGACCGACGCTCCATACGCTGTAATTGCAGCCTAGACCATAATGAAATCAGAGCGGAGACTGCCTGAGATAGTGGTCCAAAGTCTACTTAGTAGCAGAAGAATGTAGATGGACACCCGTCCGACCGTCTACAGGCACCGGAAACTGCTGGAACCCTTGATGTAATATATGAAGCCACGCGGCGAAACATCTTCAACATGCAAATAGACCATTCGAGAGCCTGTACGTCCCAGACCGTCTACAATGGTGAGCATTCTCTTCAGATCAGAACCCCAAACGCAATGCAGTGACATGATCATCAGACGGACAACCCGTGGCGGCGAGTGAGAGCGAAACGCGACAAGACCGGTCATCCAGGGACGAGGTCAATGCCTTTCTCTGGTATGCAGAGCATAAGAATCAAAAGAGCTCGTGAGGGATAAGCATATCTTTGAGTCACTTCGTCCAATGTCAGCTTGTAAGGTGAAATGATTTATCCTGAGTCTGGATCATCCGGAGACCAATGAATTGCCTCCCGAAGGGTGCAGTCATAACCTCACGTCGTGACGGCAGCTCGGATTCTGTGGAGTTAGAAAATTGTGAAAGAGCACGCATCAAAGGTACGGATGACCTGGGAATGGACTCAAGTGCCGCATAATTGCCCCATCTGAACCTTGGCGGTTGAAGGGGGGGGCCAAGATGACAAGGAGAGTGTCAATGTCATGAATCGCCGACCATGAAACTGGAATTCGAAAGTGTGCGACGTAGGTAAAGCATCGTAAGCATAATAATGACCGTCGGGGACGCATGCTAGATACTCACAACCGCTACAGCATCCGACGAGCACCTTAAGCTTCAAGCGGCAAAGGAAGCTACATGAGCGCTTGTTGAGACAGTGAAGGCGGGGCGGTAAAGGTGGCAGCCAAGGTGGCAGCATCCAGAAGGAGCGTGTAGGAGGATTCATAGTATTCACAGCCCTGAGTGAAGGTATCTAGTTGATATCCCGTATAGACGGAGGCATGATGATTGATGCGTGTATGCAGACCGAAATACGTCTCGTTGTACATCATCAGATTGAAGGCCCTGCAGGAAGGGTCAACGTTGTCAACATCGATCCACACACCGGTGGGACCCGTCACTGTCTTGACGCCCGAAGCGAAGACTCGCTTCACGGGAAGATCTTGACGCGAAATGCCCTATCACAATGATGGTCTCCCCTATCATGACAGTTTGCGGCATCGGGGTCAATGTGATGGCCTAGTTAGCTACGATAAACGCACAGCGTGCCGTACCATATCAAAGAGGACCCTGAGCTTCCTAAGGGATGATTCAACGGAGAATGTGCCACCAGACAGGATGCCCGGTAACGCCTCTATCGATCGTTTGAGCAGAGCATTGCAGTTGACCCTGAGACGAGAAGCAGTACGTACAGACATACGTCCAACTTACGCGAGTTCCAGATGGTCCAGTGGTGTTGTCGTTTCGCTACTTCCTGAATGCACGAAAGTCAGCAGGGTAGGATTGGTTGGCGCGAACCTACCTCACGTCCATTCACAGTAGACCTAATTGGAGTCTTATCCTGCAGATGTCCTGTAATACAGTATCATGTATTTGTACATCGACACAACAAGCCTATGTCCAGGCCGGCCCTTGAAGTTTACAGGTTTCGAACTTCCGTTGAAACTAGTGACCGGCAGACCTCTGGTGAATTCGACTGATAAGGTGTGGCTAATGAAGCCTTGAGGCCCATATTGAAAATCAGAAACAGCATGAGTCCTAAATCCGTTCATTTCGCGGCAGGATAGATAGACGATGCAGGGTCGTGAGGTATACGGAACGCTAATATGTGACCGTTCTGAACAACGATGCGACTCGTTCAAATAGAGTCCAACAGCTGGCGTTTGATATCCAGATCGCTGATCACCGATCATCAGGCGGCGTCTGGTAGTAATGCTTCCGGTTCGATTCCTCCTGGCCGCAGCTCTTCACACTTCACTGCTACCGTCTTAACTGCTAAGGACATTCAATTTCATCGATTCCGTACGGGTGGGAACGTCAAAATGAGTACCCACGAGACGTATGGGAAGACCCTACCTGTAACACGCCGTCTTAGATGTCCGATGTCAGGGTACTGATGCCATGTGCACAGGATCAAGTGGATAGAATCGCCAGCTTGTCGGATGCTCAACTTGAGCTTCTGGAAGATGTAATGAAGTTCATCTCGGTTTGTGCTGTATATGCTGCTTAACCCCGTGGTGTATTAGGTTCGGGATCTATACAAAGAGCGCATAGCGCTTGAGCGTGACTACGCAGCCAAGCTGCAGACCCTAGGCAAGAAGGTGGCTGATAAAAAGAACAAGAAAATTGCTGCGTTGGTCGTTGGACCCGAGCCTACCAAATCATGGAATGATAATACTGTTCAAGAGAGGTATAACGATCAAGACCTGCTCGTATTCTCGGCTTACATCTCAATTACAATAGCACACTCAACAAAGCTTACACTGAGCTGGTTTCGTCCATCTTGGAATCCGCACAGGATCACTTAAATGTCTCGGATGCCTGGAACTCCCAAGTCATTGAGGCCTTGAAAGTTGCCGAGCGCCGACATGAAGAAGCGAAGAAGATGCAAATGCAACACTTCCAGAAATTGCTTTCCGACAGGGACAAGTCATATGGCGAACGGCTGAAGGTCCGTATGGGTCCTCATGGCAGTTACCGATATTAACCATTAAGTGCCTCCCAGACTAAGCAGAAGGTCATCTCTCCGTTTTGATGCGTGTGGCGCTCTCGCTGATCCCACCCTGCAGTATGACGAGGAGTGTGCTGAGGTGGAATCCTACCGTCAGAAACAAGTATGGCGATCAATCAATGGAGCCCCTTCTCGGATCTCATGTGTATCAGGAACGTTCTACAGATGACCGACATGCTGAACGCGCAGCCAAGCAACTGGAACAACAGCAGACGGACATGCTCAACAGCAAGAAGTATGGACATCCCCTTTTTTGCAGTCTTCCTTTGCGTTTCTGATTTCCCGTAGTGTCTACCTCATATCTACCGCTATTGCGAATAAGGTCAAGGCAAGATTTTACAACGAAGATCTTCCCGCTTTGGAGGACGTGAGTACCCTTGATTATCAACCACAGCCTCAAACTCAATTGCGCCTTTCCTTACGCTACAGCAACTCCGTGCGTATAGTCTCGATTTTGCTCAATGTGTCATTCCGGTCCCTGATGATTTGAATATCATCAAATCGATGTGATTAGAAAATCTGCAAAGCCAACTTCTCCGGAAGTTCTCCGACATCCTAGTGGAAGCTCAGGGAATCCATAATAAACACCTGGACACGCTGAAGTCTCGGGTGGCCTCGACCGAAACGGCTTTGAAGGCTATAGATCCAGCACACGACCAAGATTTGTTCATTGATCATAATGTCAGGCCTTTCTCGGCCCCAACAGACTGGCAATTCGAACCTTGTGACATTCACTATGACTCTGTATGTTGGGTAATCTCAGTCAAACTGACGAGTATTCTGAACGGTTGTTAATCAGGGCGACATGAGTGTCGAGCCGTCACCCAAAGTCTACTTGCAAAATCGACTCAGCCGATGTAAACAGAAGTTATCGGAACTGCGTACCGTCTTAGACGCCAAACGTAGGCCGTTTGTTTGCCATGCACTATGACGTTGTACTTACGAGTGTTCGCAACATTGTCATCTACAGGCAAAGATGTTGATCAGTTGGCCAGACTCGTCAGTTCATACTCCAAAGACAGTAGATTGGGTAACGTCGAAGAGGTGACCGATGTGGGTAATGCCAATACGCTTTTAACGAGTATTCTTCTAATGGCAACACAGAGTTATCTTGACGCGCACCGTCAATTATCGTCGTATGTTACTTCGGAGTGTGCTTTGATGGCTGAAATAGAAGTAATCTCCGCAGCGCTACAGGGTAAGGGTGCAGGAATCGAACCGGTGATAATTGCTCTCATCTCGTGACATTCTCCCAGGTGATGAGGGTGCTCAAAGTCCCCACGCGTTCAAAAGTTCGTCTTTCTCCATTCCTACGCAATGCTACTATTGTGAGGTAAGCTTAGGTTCTTGGTCAAGGTTCCTTGCGGTGCAACTGATGGTGATTATCGCAACAACAAGTCGACGATCTGGGGTCTAAGCAAGCAAGGAAAAACCTGCAAGGCGTGTGGTATTTCTGTCCATTCGAAATGTGAGATGAAGGTTGGTGCAGGGCTCTGCGCTTCTTGCCTTCTCTGATGACTGAATCTTATACTGCTGAAACTTCAGGTTGCGGCCGACTGCTCGGGTTCACGCGAAGCTGGGGCTCGAGGACATTCCCCTTCAAGCTCCGTCTCGCGGACTTCGTCGATGCTGTCCAGGAGCGACACTCGAGGTGAGTGGTGGCGCAAGAGTAGGTTGAACGAAATCTCACCTCTACCTCGACGTAGCTTCAGCTTCCTCAATATCAACCACTGTCTCCGCCACACCGTCGTCTTTTGGTCAGACGGATTCATCACTATATTCCCACGAAGAAACCTACCCAACTGCTCGCGTTGTGTTCGACTTCACGCCTACTTCGCCGTTCGAGCTAGCTGTCTCCAGTACGTCCATTTATGCGACTCTTGGTGTACGGTTGTTTTCACCTGTAATGTAGCGGGAGAAATGGTGCAAGTGATAGAAGAGGACGACGGTTCAGGATGGGTTAAAGTTGCTGACCAGTCCGGCGGCAGGGGCCTTGTGCCTGCATCTTATATCGAGTTAACCGACAACGTTGGGCCGAGTGTTTCCGGGAACAACACTCGCGGGCCTCGGACTTCACAAGGTTCTGGGAAATTCGGTACGTCGGCTCAGGCTCTCGCTTCTGCATCATTCATGTGGTCTCATGAGTACTTGGCTTCATTGTACAGTTCGCGGACTTTACAACTACCAGGCTCAAGGTCCCGATGAATTGTCTTTGCGAGAAGGAGAACGCATCGAGTTGACCGGGGGACCTAATGGCGGGCAGAACTATGCCGACGGTTGGTGGGAAGGTGAGCATTTTTTCCTAAAAGTGATTCGTTGATCGTACGCTCACCTGTGATCGGTATAGGCGTCGATGCCTCAGGGAACAAGGGGATCTTCCCGAGCAATTATGTGTGTGCTTCCTAAACGTGATGATCAATTCTGACGTTCATCATTATCTTGCCGACTTTTTAGGTCGAAGCCATTCCTTGATTACCCGCGATGATTGACGTTGGCATCCCACAGCGACCATGCATCTAGTACCGCGTATGCAATATTTTTATTCAGCCCGGACTTTAGATTCAACATAGGCATTGTAATTGTAATTCTAAACTTCTTCCGCAGGTATAATAGCTGATTCAGTATGTCCCTCGATTGCGACGTTTGAGTTGATAAGTGAGCCCCGCGAATGTGAATTTACCCGACGAACGACGATGTAGGAATACTTAAGAACGCTAAATGTGCGCCTGTTAAGTGCTGCAATGAGAGAACAAGAAACAGACAGGTTTCAGGGTCAACGGGAACAGTAGAAAAGTGTATCGTATTGGAAATACATCAGTTGGGACGAAATCTGTGGCTTGGCAGGCATAAAGAGCTGAGCGATGAGTTTGCTGCTATCGCACAAGCGAGGAAAGACCCTGAGGCACGAGGATGATCATCTTCTAACGAGTCACAATGTTGCGCCACACTTGTCGATGCGTTGAGTAGACCCCGATCTGAACCTCGGTGCGCGGAGGTGATTGAACAGATTGACGGCAGCATCAGCCGTTTGCCGTGCAGAAGGTGGGATTGTGAGTCGGCATGAGGCGAATTTCTCCTAGGATCTAGAAGAAGTATGAGTCCCCTTTACCCCAAACAGACGGATGTGCCATTTTTACCAACATTGAACACGGCGGCTCGATGTTTGCGTTGACGGAAGCCCTGATGGTAATGGCCGCGAGGTAGGCCCCAGATGTGCAATATATGTGGAATTAGGGGGCTAGGAGGGACGCATATAAGTACCCCTACGCGATGATCAAGAAAACCAAGTGTCCCTCACATATCATTTGTACTGTACCATAGCCAGCCTTGGAGTTCATACATGCACCAGGCCAAACCTGCCACATGCTATGGCTTCAATATTCGCTGTGCCTCATACGCGAGAACGCTATATTGAGGACGTCGGTACAAACTGCGCCACGTCGGATACTCGCTTTCGCAAGGCTCCATTGCACTGGGATTGTCGACGTCTCTGCACGATTTCGTGCAGGGCAGGGACAGTGCCACTGCGATGGATGACTGCGCGAGCGACTTGATGACGCGTCACAGTCCAGTGTACCGCGTCGGCGGCAACGCGTCCCATGTACAGGCTGCGATGAAATCTTCCTGTTAGCGCTGTGCACGTCCACATCTTCGGCTAAGTAGGCTTACACCAACGGGATCCACAAGATAACCTCGCGGAATAGCGTAAGAAAATAACTTTTATCTGTTCTTATGTACGTTTCCTCATTTTGACTCGAGGGTCACATAAGGCAGATCTGGCATCATGATCACGCCGATACCCTCGCGAGAAACTCGGGCACTCGAGTGTGAGTTGGGCCGAGAGAAAAATATCAACGTGAGTATGATAACGGCATATTAGGTTCGATATTGGTTTACGCAAAGACGTACCTTATGGAATAGTTGTATAGCTCACATAGAGGAACACAACTCAGCCGAGAACGATCATTTCGACTATCTGAAGGGAGGTCATCTTGCAGTGCATGGGATGTGAGTTAAGCCAGGACACAACACTATTTGAAGATTTCAAATACTCGTTCCGTCACTATCATAAAGTTTCGTCGTTGAAGTTAGAGAACAAGTCTAAGTTTCAAACATGGCCAGTCGTCGGACTTGCCAGGAGCGATCACTCTACTAAGTTGAAAGCGCCCAAATAGGCAGATGACATAAGCAGGCTTTGTGCTGCGACCACGGTTCAGTCAAGACCCGCCACTCTACTTCATGCGTTCACGTCTCGCTGTCTTTTCTATCGCAATCATCGCTCTAGTAACAACATCTGGATATGTCTCGAATACGAGAAGTATGGGCACCGAATCTCGAGATCGAAATGCGTAACATTCGTGACCTGATCGAGAAATACCCTTATGTTGCGATGGTCTCAATTCTTCTTGATACTTTTAAATCTTCTGTGGCTCATATTCTCTTCAGGATACCGAGTTTCCAGGCGTCGTTGCACGCCCAATCGGCTCGTTTAAGACTTCATCGGATTATCATTACCAAACAATGCGATGTAACGTCGACCTCCTAAAGATCATTCAGGTCGGGATCACACTAGCAGATGAGGATGGGAACTACCCTCAAGACGTCTCAACATGGCAGTTCAACTTCCATTTCAGTGTCAAGTGCGTGGTGTTTGCCATCAGTCAAAGCTTGGATTGAGGCTGACCTTGTCTCCCAGCGAGGATATGTACGCGCCAGAGTCCATCGAACTCTTGCAGAAGTCAGGCATCGACCTTCAAAGACATGAGGAGCTGGGGATTGAGCCAAATGATTTCGCCGAGCTCATGATCACGTCAGGGCTTGTTCTTCTGGATGAAACGAAATGGATATCATTTCACAGGTGCGTCATTCCCTCGTTTATTGACGCGTGTTTTACATGACAACCGCAATGTGCTTGAGCACTTCAATCAAAAGAAATGCGTCTTGCTTGGCACCAATGGTGCAAGCACTTTGGGCTTTCTTTTCGCTTTTGAGAGTCTTTGAAACCCTTGCTAATGTGTTGTTCCTAGTGGTTATGACTTCGGCTATTTCGTCAAGCTACTAACGGCTGAATCACTTCCCACAACAGAAGAGATGTTCTTCGAGCGGTTACGAACATGGTTCCCCACAATCTATGACATCAAATTCATGATGCGCGCTTGCAAAGTATTGAAGGGCGGTCTTCAAGATGTCGCTGATGATCTTGGTGTAATGCTTCACTGGAGTGTTCTAGCTCTTGCCACAACTAACGGGTGCTTTATTGCAGGTCATGCGAATAGGTCCATCACATCAAGCAGGCTCCGATTCGCTATTGACCGCATCCACGTTCTTCAAAATGCGGGAAATATACTTTAATGACCATATTGATGACGCCGAGTACAATGGAAAACTATACGGTTTAGGTCAGACATTCACCATTTCCAACGGCGTCGCCGAGAATGTACGGGGAAGTGCAGCTACCATTGCAGAACGAGAGGATCGTGGAACGTCGCGCGAGACGCACAACCAAACACCCGGCCCCGCACAGAGTCATAGTGCAACGATGAGTATGACCTCTCTAACAACGCCAGCGATGGCAGGAGCTCTACCAGCACCGTTGACGTCGCCGTATGGACCGATGGGAGCCAATGGACCATACATGAGGACTGCGATAGGGGTGGGTGGTGGACGATAGTGATGGTGATCTGGGTTTCTTTCTAGTCGCTCGTTGTCGTTCGTGTTGCTGTGCCGGGATCTTTCTCTGTGTTTGCTATCTGTAATTATGGTGTGTATCATCCACTTTTCTCTCTCCGTGCATTGCGGTATACCCTCTCATACATTACTCTATCTCCACCTCTATAGTACTGTAGAACAAATACTTTTCATATCTCTTTATGTTGGCGGGGACTCAAGATCTCGTCTTCGGAGTGACCGTAGGCTGTAAGGACGTATTCCGCCGTCCGTATCAAGCATATGATCACGAGCGGTCTCACCTGTATAAGGTTCGCCAGAAATTGCCGCTGCAGCTATGTACAAATCTGTTCTTTTAGAACGCCATCTACGATAATCGCTGATTCCTCCAAGCCATGCAAATAATAGTACCGGGCCTCGTTCTCTGCAATCAGCCTATTCGAGCACCAGATTCTCTCGGAGGCTGCGTCGCATTGATGCTCGCGGATGCAAGAAGGCTTCGATGACAGTCCGAAAACATCTGTGGCCACTCGGCATGATCTACTACATTTGTCCGTCTACGTGCGTCCGCTGCATGGATAGAATAGGTTCTCACCGCATCAGAATGGACAGATCGCTTGGACAGCCTCGTATACAACATGCAAGATTTCTATTGGTTCCGAATAATCGTCAAGCAAAACGAGGCGTAGAACCCTATCGATACATTCGTCATAACCTTCTTGGATAACATTTCTGGTTCGCGTGTTTTGAAGTCTACCCTTGTATACTTCGGTTTGGTGAGTTTGTTTTCAATCTATCCGTTGTTTCACTCGATATGCATTTTCAAAGGGCCGTGGGTTGTGAGGTGCACGAGGCAAGGGTCGTGTTCGGCGCAGCTGTGGCGCCTCCTCAGATACAGCGCATCAACACAGGCGTACTGCAAGCTAGGGTGAGACTCAGTCCTACGACATAGTTGGATCGCTCAAAGCTGCAAGGTCGGCAACTGGACTAGCCAAACCGCTTGAGGATGGAGGTACGCTTAGGTCCGCGGTCAATCGGCAGATGTTCCTTCCACAGGTCGACAAATCAGTCCAATTTGCAGAAGGAGTACCGAGGTGCTCACACGTTCCGTGTTCCGGCACATGCATGCTGTAGGCGAAGCCAGTTGTCTGTTAAGCTGGGTGCCACCTTGCGCTTGGGCATTTCACCACTAGCCATGCTTCCTAGACATCATGGCAACGGGAATTCTGTCTTTCCCTGGCACTCTCAGCCTCCATGAGCAGCGTATCAGTAAGTGTAAGGCCGAGTGGCAGCGATGTTCTCCATAGACTGCTGCGTGTATGCCGATATGATACTTGTCTGCCTGCATGCGTGTAGGTTAAATTCCAGAAAAATGCTCGTAAACATTCTATAGGTGTAGATTATCGAAATATAAAGCCATGGCAATATCCAGAGGTTCTGTGTCAGAAACCTTTTTCGATAGATGTGACGGATAGTAGACAATCCGGGAAGGTGCCAACTCTGCCCGGATCGCTGCCCGATTGAAGCTGCCGTCTTTTCCATACCACGACGACCACCACTGTGAGCAGAATCCTAGAAAAATCCTGACAATTACAAGCGTTCAAAACTCTTCCTACAGCAAGGCGACGGAGATATCGAGACGTGGAGGGCTTAGCGTGGGTTTGAGTTGGGGAGCCGTATATCAATCATGAACTCCTCCTTGAGCCTCGTGTATCTCCCGCCTCACCTTGAACGTTCTCAGCCATTTCCTCGAGTTGGGCCACAAGCATCCACCCAGGATATGCCCCAAGATATGTCCTGGACGTCTTACAATTCTTACACCCGTACCGTTCCAAGCAACTCGCCTGAGGAGCAACCACTCTATCCGAGCATGAATCGCATACCAGGTCCATACTCCCTGCCATGGATGGCGTCCACTGATTACATGGGACGCACTCAGCCGCAATCGCAGTGTTCCTTTCAGTCGGATGCACCGCAGTTCGCTCACAATGGTTTGGACTCAAGTGGCACACCTCTTACGCGTAGGCGAGCGCGCGAAGAGGACAGCGCCGCTTTGAGTGGCTCACCTGCAACATATGGTAACACCGACTCAAGTCAGGTGCGTATGAGAAAAAATGGATCATACTCGGACTCTTTCATTCATATCATGTTCTTTGTACTCAGGTCGATGGCCATCTTAACTACCCATCCAATCCTGCCCCTGCTGACTCTCCTCAAGAGATGGCTCACGCGTCAAATGGCGCGGAGTCTGCAGCATTGCACACCAATTCTCACGCAACGCGTGAAGAGCTGACTCTGTTGCCCGCGCCGCCGCATCCTCAACTTTCTCCATATTCGTTTTCCCCTACGCACGCACGAGCCGCTTCAGACTCCAGCACCAGTACAACCACCAGCGCCAGCTCAGGCTCGAGCTCGCATCCGCCGCGTTCGGCCTCACCTGCGACCAGTGTCGTTTCAGCCCACACGGTCTCGTCGACTGTTTCTGCCTCGAGGGGGAGGAACGATGTGTCATCGGAAACGTCGCCCGCCACTGTACGAAAGCATAAGAAACAACGTTTGTACAACGTGGATCGGAAAAGGATATGCGAGTATTACGCCAAGAATCCAGCTGCCAAACAGGAGGACATTGCTCGCCAGTTCAAGGTTGAGCGTAGCACGATCAGCAAGATCCTAAAGCACAAAGAGAAATGGTTGCACGTACCGACGGACACTCCAATTCTCATCGCTCGCGATAAGTATGTCGCATTTACCGTTTCATCCGATGTCATACGCTCATGACAAGTTTTCTTTCAGGCCAACAAAGTTTCCGATGCTCGATCGTTTTATGAAAGACTGGTTACGGGAATGCACACACAACAAAATTATCCTGACCGACGCCATGATCCGTCAAAAGGCCTTGGAATTCGCTGATCAATGGGGATGGTCGAAAGACAAGTTCAAGGCTAGTTCAGGCTGGGTCGAGAACTTCAAACATCGCTGGGGGATTCGCAAAGGCATGTGGTTGAACTATACGGCGAGCAACGCGGAGCCAAACCTGTCTGAGCGGGACCGTGCCAATGGCGTTGGCTACACCCACGCACTTCGGGACAATCAGGATGGCGTAGATGACAATGAAGAATACGTTCAACCTGATGTCGGATTACCGCTCGATACCCCGGAGGGTCCAGGCGGCGATGGATATGCTGGTTCTGACCATGAGGGTGATGCGGCCAACGGGATGGGTTTGGGTGCAGGATGGGCAGCATCTGGGTCTCAAATGCCCGTTGTACGCTCCATGGGTGACCCGGTTGATATTCAGAACGACCTTCGTCTTCCAGAGCAAGACCTGCGTTACTCTCGTCCTGTTCCTGGCTCCGTTTATCTCGATTCCTCACGCAATCGCGACATGTCTTTTGCTCTGGATCGTTCTATGCGCCCTCCCCTCTATCCTCATGCAGTCGAGTCGGTCTTGGCTGTTCGTGGAGCTTGCGAAGGCTTGAAGAAGGTTCTGAACTTCATAAACACGAATGATGGTCACGGCCTACTGTCCCCTGATCAGCAGGCATTGCTCTGGGACGTTGACAATGCCCTAAAGAAGGCACAGCAAGACATGGAGCAACGACAGCCTCAGCGTTCTCAGTTTTCGTACCCGTAATCGAGTTCGTCCAATGCGCCCAGACAAGAGTGCCGCTGTGCACCTATGCTGAGTTTCCGGTTATGCGCAAGACCCGCTGTATTTCCCTCTTCATGCCTTCAGAATTTGCGAAGCGCAACTCATGTTTGGTAAGACAATCCGTCTCAAAGGCGCCCGCTTCTTTTTCTATGCACATTTTTTCATTCATTGCCCTCTTTGCTCGCTCGGGATTCATCGCCCAGTTTTGGCCTCACTTGCATCGTGCATGAACTTTCATCATCATCTTTTCCATTTTGTGCAAACAGTTCTCATTATGCATCTATTGTGCCATACCACAGCCTCACTCAATACCTTCCACGCACTCATTCATCCACTCATCTGCCAATTTCATCCCCACGCATGCAATCGCCTTGGTGTATATTCATAGCTGTAGTGTGTATCTTCATTCTGTACCCACACCAAAAAGTTTGCGATATGTCTGTACATCCATAATTATTCCCCAATCACCCTGCCACTCCTTCACCCATGGACCTGCTTCCTCGATCTGTAGCAACCGCTTGTTGACGACCTCTAACGATCTCCTTGTAGTACTCTTGTATTTAGCAATGCAGCAGCATCGATCCATGTAGCAGTCTCCACCATTCGTGATGCGATGTCGGGCAGACAGGTGCGTAGCATTGTGACAAGCCGAGAAAGCATATCGCTTTCGTTACGCATAGCCCTGTTCTACTTCGATGATCCTCAAGCAACATCCTATATTATCTCTCGCAAGATATAAAGATGACAACGTGAATTGGATCTGTAGGGAAAGTACACCACACAGATCACACAGGTGCAGCGGAACAGAGATTGAACGTTCCAGATAAACCTTAGCCAGTCCAACTGACGAGCTATGGGAGATGACACGACCAGCTGACCATGACGCTTCTGTTCTCCATCACAACAAGGCCGCTAGAAGAGGGCGTAAGGCTGAGCCCATACACGAGGCGTAGCGGCGAGGCTTCATGGGGTCATCGCAGTGGAAGCGGGCGCAGTCTATGATGATAAATATGAGCAAGAAAGTGGGGAAGTTGGTATTTTAGAGGCCGTACGATGGTAATTCAGCGCCAGAGGTTGTTGATAGATTTGAGTGACCTATTTTGTCGATTTGACTTTAGCCATATCCTTCTCTGCAACACTATTACGAAGAACATTGAGGTAAGTTGAAAAGGGTCAAAGGGAGAGAAACGTACCCTTCCATTGCAACGTTCTTCATTATCGTAAGCTTGCCGGATGAAGCAGCGGAAGCCACTTGCTGCTCAATACTCTTGTGGATCTTGGCACTGAGCCCCTACACGCATAGACAGAGGTTGAATGCTTGATGTCACTTAAACATTAGAGTAACTGACCTCGCGTAAAGCTGCACTCTTCACTGCAGCAGCCTTCTTTGGCGCAATGTATCGTCTGCCCTTCTTCGGCGCGGCTGCAGCTTTCGTTGCATGTCTCGACGAAGAGGTTTTCCGTTTCTGAAGTCCTTTGGAAGTTCCTTGGACCATTTTTTCCGTCCAGGAGGTTCAACGTAGAATAATAAGTTCGGTACAAGCTTGAATGACCTAAAGATGAAAGTCAAATGAAGCAATTGGTTCGGATAATGCCGATAGGCACAATTCGGACGTTGAGCGTGTCCTTGACCGCATCGCGCTCAGTGCAACACTCTCCTTTCATCATCCTCTGTGCCATCGTGCAACTATGTTGACCACGACATCGCAGTGCGTGCGTCTTCCTCGTGCGCTGGCGTCGCAGAAGGTATGGACGAATCGCGAACTAAAGTACATTTTGAATCAACTTGACAATATTGGAATAGCGCGCCCTGCATGATCTAGTCACTCTGCCGTCTGGCAAACCAGCTATTCGCTATGGTCCTCCTGGGAGGAGTGCTGTTACCGGAAATGTTGCGACCGTTTTCGGTTGTACGGGCTTCCTTGGGCGTTACCTTATAGCAAAGCTGGGTGAGCAAGGATATTCACTGATATCTCTGAGCTACGTTTGACTGTCCCTCAAAAATGTAGCGAGGGCGGGTACTCAGGTGATCGTTCCATATCGTGAAGAGGACAGCAAGAGACATCTGAAGGTTACTGGGGACCTCGGACAAATTGTAAACATGGTACGTCATTATTCTCTTCGAAGATGTACCTAGATTCTCAAAGGCAAAATAGGAATGGGACCTGCGCGATGAGAATCAGATCGCAGAGTGCCTTCGACACTCGGATATCGTTTACAACTTGGTTGGACGTGACTACGAGACAAAGTGTGTGTTGCTTCGACGCTCAATTACAGACGCTTACACCATTCGTATCTAGGAACTTCAAATTCTCTGACGTGCATGTTACTGGCGCGGCACGGATCGCTAGAATAGCAAAGGAGTCAGGTGTAACTCGATTCGTTCAGGTCTCACATCTGAACGCATCACCCGACTCGACGTCACAATTCTACAGGACGAAGGCCGAGGGCGAAGAAGCCGTCAAGGAAATTTTCCCGACGGCTACCATTGTAAGGCCGTCCGCTATCTACGGCTATGAGGATCGTTTTCTCAAGAACATGGCCGGTAAGCCCTTGAACTTGAGGCATGCTTTGTTGCATGCATGCATACTCACACCTCGCATAGTATGGCCCATCTGGTGGAAGCTCAACCACATGCAAACTAGGGTCCGCCCAGTACACGTAAGTCGCCTAATCATCTTGGTGACGATCCCACTGACGTCCACAGGTCATGGATGTCGCCCAAGCTCTGTCCAATCTTAATGATGTCCCAGTGCTCCCAGGCACGCTTAACCTACCAGGTCCTTCCGAGTTGACTCATGAATATCTTCTCAACCTCGTTTCTCACGTCACTTATCGACCTTTCTCTCGCGCCCCGGTCGTTCCCAAGCGTATTGCAATTGTGCTTGCTAAAGCCGCTCAGTCAGTTTGGTGGCCAGCCCTGAGCCCCGATGAAGTCGAAAGGCGATACATCGACGACGTGGATGTTCCCGGTGACTGGGACAAAGTTGGCCTTGAGCCAGGTGAAATTGAGGACCATGCCATCACCTATCTCAGGATGTACCGTTCTGCGTATGTGTCCAGACGCTTGCTCTCATGCGCTATTGCTATTGCTGTGTGATCTGCGCTCATTCTGTCTTGACTTTGATCCTTCCACAGGGAGAACTACTCACGTCCCGTGGTCCTGCCCGCTTCTCGAGAATCATCGGTGAGTGCCGCTCCGCCGGCTTAGACCCAGCTTCGACTCATTCTGACTGAACCTTCTTGGATCGCTTCCGCGACTCATCTCTAGTACGATCTTGCATAGTGTGGTCGTGGAACCTTTGCACCCATGTGTGACTGCGAGTCACTAATTATAGTTCCTCAATACATTTGCATGAGTATGCTCCCTTGGCTGTCTTCTACAAGAGGAAGCATCCAAGTCTAGATTGTAAACTTAAAGAAACCTCGGTGAAATCGAACATCATCCAACGCTGTTAAGTGATGTCGTCGCGTTTAGTAACCGTAAGAAGTATAGTGCTCATCCGCTCAAGCACAGTGTAGACAAATCTCGGCATAATCAAACAGATCTCATGAGAGATTAGGGAGGAAAGACGGCCATATGGCTTGGCAATATCGCAAGAACCTCAGTGGGAAAATGACATGTCTAAAGCGACCGGGGTCGATGGGCAGAGCGGGGAAGTATTAATATACGGTAAGGGTCGGAAGTCAATATGATACATAGATGAACGGCGGACGTGCGTGGCGGCCGAAGATGGGAAGGTGGAGTGGGGCTATTAGAAACCGGGAGGTACAAGTCCCTTTTGCTGTTGTTGGCTGGATGGTGCGGGATACATTGATGGCGCGAGCATCTGGAAGAGGAAGAAGAAAACAAAGAGTGGTAAGCATGACATCGGATCGCGGAAAAGGAGTCGTTTGTCCATACGAGGCCGATTTGGCATACACAAGGAGCTCCGGCATGAAGATTAGAAGAGAAACATAACGTACCTGCTGCTGACCCTGCTGCTGCGCAAGAAGCTCCTTCTCCTGAGCCATGATCTTGGCCTCATCCTCCAAACTGAGCGCAAGGGGGAGCCCGATAAGGAGCGCACTGGTGGTGACGATCCATACGAGGTTTCCAACAACCTTGCCTGTGCCCTTCAAGAAACCTGTCGTCTTTGAGATGCTTGACGAGATCTTCTGACGCGTGGTAGGCGGAACAATGTCAACGAGGGCTGTGAGGCGTTCGTAGAATGACTCCTCTCCATCGAGTTCGGAACCTACGGATGAGAGGGAGACAGAGGATGATGTGCGTGATGAAGAGGCAGACGAGTAGGGGGAATTGCCCTCGAAGTGGGCGTCCTTCTCTTCGACGATCTCGACTTTGACCATGGTTGCTGAATGTTAAGATGAACGATGAGGAAGCTGTCTGCAACAACGACGGCGGTCTGTGACAGCGACACGCTTGAGCGTCACCGAAAATTACAGCGTGACAGAGACCGCCGGCAATGTGACTTGTGACAGTGTAATTCGGTGCCGAACTTACGCATTTCGCGCGTCGTAATCAAATGAGAGCAAGCGTATGGACCTATTTCACGCCGGTGCATCCCTCAGCACACCACGGCCAACTCTGTCTCCTACCACCACTACCTCCTTTTCAACTCATGGATACTTCAGGGAATAAGGGAGAGCCATCTGGATCCTATAGCCAGGGCATGTACCTTGATATGCGTTTAGCCTTTCCCCCGCTCACCGTATTCGGATTCCTGGTTACATAGGATTCAACTTTTCCACACCATCTGTCCAGAATCACATATACGAGCTCGCTAGGACACTGCCTCCTCCACGGAAACAAAATACCGCGTGCGATGCATGCAGGTTTGTCCCCATTGCACGCCATGTGTTCTGCAACCGGTGACCACCCCTGATACTCCGTAGAACTCGGAAAGTAAAGTGCAACCAGATTGCTGGTTCAGAAAAGGTGTGGAGTGCTCCTCAACGCTGCTGATGTGCTACTGACGCTTGTCTACAGTGCCAGGTACGTTGGAAGCGCTTGAATACGTCAATAGGATTAACAGGGCGCGTACAGCATTGCTTGGCCAAGAATTACCCCTGCACGTCCGTATCTTGATCTGTATGATGGTATATTGCGTGACCTTTCCTTTACAGACATCACATTCAACAAGCTACCTCTGAGAAGAAACGTAGCGCGACTCAAAAACGTGTCCGCACTCAGAGTACTCAGAGTACTCCGGGGTAAATATTCCCTTTATCTCTCAGCCAATTACCAATTCGTAATCTCGTTCAGGTCATCTTCTGTCGGCCCAATTCGCAGGCGAGTATGCCAGTGCAGCATGTATGCACAGTTCCATTGACTTCGTATGTAGCGATAATGCACCTCGTCCACTTCCCTATCCTATAGCAACTCAGTTACCACCGGCACCAACACAACCTCAACCGTCTCGAGTCGGGGCTCAGACATCAACAAAGGACCTTCTTGCTTATCTCTTTTCCCCACCGGATCCGAGGTTCGTCCTGGTCAGATTCAACAACACCTAATATTTTGATTCCGGCATTCCGTTTCAACGTTCTCAACCTTCCTTTTAGGTCGAATTCCACGGGATCCAATCCGTATGCGGAATGGGGCGAGATGGCCTATCAACTTGACGGGGAGAATTGGAGAAACGAGTAAGTGTTGGAATGGAGGTCTAGCGCATACAACAAGGTTCCGAGACAGAAGATGAACTTAATCTGTTGTTTAGATTTGCTCTGGACCTCATTGAGGTCTTCTTCCAAATTGTTCATTTGCGGTTACCCCTATTGAACCCCGCACAATTCCGCGTCCGTTTTCAGGCCAGTCTCCGTTCTTCTACACCACCTCCGAGTACTCCTACGATAGACCTCAAGGTTCGAAGGAGTAACTCTCCACAAACCCATTCTCAAAGCGGAAGCAATCACAATAGTCCCAAAAGTGCACACCTACTTCCACACTCGGACTGCCAACCAATTGATAATGCGTATGTGTCCATTCTATTCTAAATACGTTTGAAAGTTTGTTTGGGCCACATGTCTTACGTGGTTGCCCGTGTTTTTCTTCACAGACTTGTGGCAACTGTCATTGCATGGGGAGCGAAATTCTCAGAGCACCCACTCCTCTTGGCCGACAGGAACCGCAATGGTGGCCAGAGCCTCTTGGGCAAGACCCTTATTGATCGAACTCGCTCCTTGGCGGAGGATCTGAAAGTTCACAGAGTGCCAACTGCGGACCACGTCGTCACAGCACTTCTGATCGAACCGCTTCAAAGCCGTGAGTAGCTTTTCGTCATGATGCTGCCTCCCTCACTCCGCCTTCACGTAACATTGAGTTTTGAATTCTGACTTCTTATTCTGATCCGCTGGTAAATAGAGAACCCTGAAGAGACACAAGGTTTGTATTCCTATTGTGCTTTTGACCGCTTTAAGACCATGGGTCACTAAACACATGATGCGCCTTCTAGGGTACCATGGATTTTGGCTCACGTCGGCTATTCGATTGCTACTTGATCTTGGGGTTTGTACTCTCCGCGTGTATGTGCTCTATTTCAAGCTGACCATGCTTTACTGTATTTTAGATTAACCGAAAATCTGTCACCACGAGTATCGAGGATTACGATATACAAGGTACTATGGTGTTCGCATGGTGGATGGCCTGTCTGGCCGATGCCTATCGTAGCGTCTACTACAGACGTAAGCCGTTACTGTATGTTTGTCTAAATGGCTCTTCAGTCACCGAGATGAAGCTTCTAACCGCTACTTTAGTGATGATGATGATTATGACATCGACTTCTATACCGCGGAGAAGACGATGCCGGCCGAGCACATTAATACTGATACCTCGCAAGTCTCTCCGCGGGAGCAACTTCAGGTAAGTAGCATGCACCTCCCGCAACTCCCCCGAATAACGTATCGTTCCCGCTTTGTCTTCTACTCCCTGCTTGCTTCCACCCCACACAGTTCTTGGTGTGTGAACACCCACCTGTGAAATGTTCGCCGGATCTCATTACCTATTTGATTACTTTAGGGATATTACCGTGCTGCACATGCACTCGCAAGGATTTGCCGCCAGATGTCAAGACATCTATGGAGACCAGCGACAGAATCGGATGGTGTACCGCTAAGCACCGTATGGGGATTCATGAACTCGTTGAATCAGTGGAAGGATGAGTATTATGCCAAAGTTGGCGTGCCACCTAACTTCCCGTCAAATTGGGATTTCATTAGCTGTGTCACTGCCTGTCAGTATCCTGTTTCTTCTCAGGTCTCGGAGTATGTTTCTGACTGTTCTCGCTTGTCTAATGGTGTTTGCAGGCGCCAGCGATGTCACGTATCATATTCAGTGGATCGTTCTCTTCTCCGCTGTAGACGATTACGGTATCCAGGAACAGAACGACTTAGTACGGACGGCCGATTCTGGGGATGCGAATACTGCAAAACACGCTGAGATTGAGGCTATCAAGAAGAAACTGTACGACGACACCCTCTATAGTGCTTGTCGTATCGCTGGCCTTGCGGGTGTTCTGACCTCGCATGGGTACATGGTATGTTGTTCTTTGTCTTCCCCTTTCATCTATATTAAACCACGTTGGCCTGTACGACAGCGACTAGATTCGGCCGTCATGCATGTCAGTTGCATTCATGCCGGATTCTTCCTCGCGAAACTCGGTCGCCCAGAAGTTCAAAACTGTATCGCAGCGTTGCAACAATACAGTCATGCATATGAAGAAATGACTGAGCGTGCTGCAGATATCAAACGGGTTTACGATGCTGCTGTCAGCGGGGAATTCGATTTCACTCATATGGCTTCGGTCGTACCGAGATCTGGGTTTCATACAGACTCCATGATGGGCGGCCACCATGATCATCATCATGCGTCCCATTTGCCGCATTCACCGCTGCATCATCAATCAGTTAGTCCGCAGTTACAGTTCGGTATTCCCGGGGTTCAACAGGCCTTTTACGACCAACCTGGGCAGTACCAAGTCTGATGTGCTTTAGATCCTGTCCTTGGCTTCTTGGCGGTGCTACTTCGTGTTTTGGAGTTCCTTTTTTCTTCTTTTGATCATTTGGAGCGGACTTTGTTGTACTCTTCTATAGGGCTGGAGCCTTCTGAGTGAGATGTGAGATAGACTTTCTCTCTAGCTAGCTTCGTAGAACGTTTTGCATCCCCTGATATTTAAGTTTTGCTTTGTTGTTTCTTGTAGGCTTCGTCTGTGCTTCTGTACCATTCAGATAAGTAGTATGACCGTCGTAATGCGCGCGACTGAGACAATGCGGCGCGCCCGATAAATTCCACACTAGTTCGAGGGTATTTGACGGCCAGTAAGTAATTCGCAGCAGACACACGCTTCAGATGATCGTGAAAGACGCGAAAGAGAATGGTGATTCCAGAAAGCAAGCAGAACAGGTAGCTGCACCCTACAAACGAACACTCTTGATAACCTTGGAGATACCAGTTTTCTCTCCTTCGTACTTCCCAGAAGCACCCACGCCGCCTCTGAATACAGCTTTCTGCGAAGAGACCTTCTTCTTGGCCCTTTCGTACCTCTGTCGTTTCTTGACGCGAGGGTTGCGAACGCTTTTGCTTCGATGAGGCGTGAGACCTTTGTTCTTGATCATTGCTTGGGTGAGGGAACGGGGACCGTTGGTGGTAGCTTCTTGCATGAGATGGGCTCTGTAAAGTGAAGAATAGACATGAATCGACGACTGAAGCACAAGGCAATGAAAACATACTTTGCGGCTGCGTTTGCAGCATCGTGTCCTGCTTTCTTCTTCTCTTTCTTCGCTTTTGACTGTTTCTTGACCAGCTCATAATACCCGTCTTCCCCACTCTCACTCCCACTGTCCTCCTCCTCCTCTCTTCTTCGCTTACCCTTTCCACCTTCCCTCTCTCCATCCACGTCCATCGACTCCGGATCGACACCATCCAAAGCCTCACCCTGTCCCTTCGCCCGACTATTCTCAACTTCCCTCCTAAGCCTCTCCTCCTTTTCCTTCTTTCTCTCCTTCCAAGGAATATCGTCATCACCTCCGACATTCCCTTGTCTCGCTCTCTCCCTCCTCCCAATCGTGCTCTCGATCCGGGAAGTATGGAATCGAAGACTTTTCTTATGTGCCGCTTTGTCTTGGGCGTCGAACGTTTGGAGGGTGAGTTGTTCGCCATATGCGTCTGTAAGTGATTCGGAGACGGTCTTTGACTTTTTGGACTTTGTGCTGGAAGAGGGGAAAGTGGGCTCTTCGAGGTCGAAGATGGGGAGAGCGGATTTGGTTGAAGTCTTGCGTTTCTTCTTCGGTCTTTCTTGCTCTTGTACTTCTTCGCCATCTTCCACGTCGGCCTTCCTACTCTTTTTCTTCTTTCCTTTCTTCGTGTTTCCATCCTCCCCCGCGATGACTTTACCGGCTTCCTTCAATAAGGCTTCCAATTCATCTTGCTCTAATCCCTTTATCATGTCCATCTTCCACAGCATCGACGCATCCAAATCCTCATCCGTCAAATCGCTCAAATCGCTCAAATCTTCAGCATCGTCGGAGTCGGAGAAGTCTCCTAGAGGGTCTATGCCTAATTCCTCTAACGTCGTGAGGGACTGTTTGAGGGAGAGGAGTCGAGACATGACGGGGTGGGAACGGAGGAGGTCAGGACGGGAGACGTATTTGGGAGACGAACGGAGATGGAGGTAGAATGCGAGGGTTGTTGCGTAGGTTAGGAGGGCCTCTGAAAAACGGTGAAGTCATATTAGGAGATGTTTGGCTGAAAGAGAATGTAATTACGCACGGTAATGTATGTGATTCAGTCCGAGTGAAACGTCTGGGGATTCTGCCTCGAGCCTGCAAATAAGATATTGATGATGGAGCATGGGTACTGGAGATGAGATACGTACTCGGCAAGCTTTGTCTGAGCCTTGATGAGCATCCGCGCAGTGTCGTCCCAGTCTCTTGCCAACGCAAGTGATTCTGGGCTGGTCTTCTCGAGATGTCGAAGAAGACCTTCTTTGTCTTGAGGTAGAGGTAGAGAAACCGCAGCCACAGGATCTTCCAAGATACTAAGATAATCACTCAGTCGACTGAATCCCGACAGAATAGCAATGCGAAAACTTACTCCTCGACGACATCCGTAATAGTGTCAACGACATCATCCAAACCAAAGTCATCATCAGCCATAGCATCTCTCGTTTTCAACTGTAGACGCTTGGCTTCCTGTTCCTCCATTTCGTTCGCTTCTTCATCTTCGGAGTCAATCTGAGCCTCGTTGGAGGCATAGTATTCGGACTTCTTGCCCCAACCCTCCTCTTCACTTTCGTCTTCGCTTTCGTCTTCGCTGGAAGAAGCAACAGCCTTGCCTTTCTTTTTTGCCTTCTTGGGTTTGTCCTTTGGCATTTCAGGCAGATTTTTGTACGGATCATCATCATCCAACATTTCGTCGCCGTCGGACTCGTCTTCGTCAGAGTCTTCAGGCAGACCTTTCAGCGCAAAGACTTCGTCTTCATCTCCTTCATCATCAGAGTCGTGTGCAGCGCCGTCAAGTAGAATTTGGTCCCTGGCAGCATGGACTATAGGAGTACTTCAGTAAAGCATAAGTAGCAGCAAGGTGAGGACTACATACAGCGATCCTCCTCGTCCATGGGAATGTCTTGTGGCTTGTTCCATCGTGGCACTGAGCTGTCCTTTTTGTTGAATGCGCGTGGACGAGACTTTGTACTCTTGGGTTTGGTGGTGTGCTTCCGTGCCATGGTGGGTGTTGTTGAGCTACCAGTGAAATCAAGCTGAACACATTGAATTTTACCAATGGGCGCCACGCGACTGACGATCGATCATCTCCTCCGGTCCGCACATGGGGCCCCGGACCGCGCAGCCTACGAATGTGCACATAAGTATCTCCACCTGCAAAATATAATGACTGTTGGTTGAACGTTGCTCGTATACACCCATCTTTCCCGGTCAGTGAGCTGGCAGGCGATCTGTACTCTCCATGCTCCGTCGAGCTGTCTTCTCTCGCAGAACGCTAGCCGTCGTCGCTGGCGCGGGACTCGTTGGCGCCGGCGGTGGCTACTATTTCCTCAACTCCGGACCTGCTTATCCTCCACCAACAAAAGAGACAAGAAGACCGCCTCCGCCATGGACTCCACCTTCCAGAGCGCAGATGCTCGATGCTCTCAAGGCTTCGAGTCGGCTATTAGGCTCAGAGCATCCGGAAGAGTTCGATCTCCTGATCGTAGGCGGAGGTGCTACTGGAGCCGGTGTTGCAGTCGATGCTGCCAGTAGAGGCTTGAGAGTTGCCCTTGTCGAACAGGACGATTTCAGCTCTGGGACGTCCTCTAAATCTACTAAGCTGGTTCATGGCGGCGTGAGGTATCTGCAGAAAGCCGTCATGGAACTTGACTATGAACAGTACAAACTTGTTCGGGAAGCATTACATGAACGACGGATATTCTTGCAAACGGCTCCTTATCTCTCGGCGATGCTACCAATCATGTTGCCCATATACAAGTTCGTAGTTCGGTTGTTGTGCGGCACGTATTGACTGAAATGACGTAGGTATTGGCAGGTACCATACTACTGGGTCGGTTGCAAGATGTACGACATTTTAGCTGGGAAGGAGAATATGGAATCGTCGTACCTGATGAGTAAAGGAAAGGCATTAGAGGCTTTTCCCATACTTAAGGCGGATGGTCTGGTTGGCGCACTCGTTTATTACGATGGTGAAGATTCCTGCTCCCGCTATACGTCACTACAAGCTCATGAGACTTCGTAGGACAACATAACGACTCTCGGATGAACATTGCGTTGATTATGACCGCGGTTCAACAAGGCGCAGTTGTTGCGAACCATGTTGAGGTTACGGAACTTCACAAGAGCTTACTTTCGGATCCTCATCCTGGTAAACTATACGGCGCTCGTGTGAAGGATAACCTCACTGGCGAGCAGTTCGATATTCGAGCAAAGGTAGTTTCTTGACTTCTCTTTGATCCACCTTTTTCTTACTTTAGTGATAGGGTATCATCAACGCAACTGGTCCTTTCGCCGATGCACTGCTGACTATGGACAACCCCTCGCATACACCCATTGTTCAACCGTCTTCTGGTATTCATATCACACTTCCGAATTACTACTCCCCTCGCACAATGGGTCTTCTCGATCCTGCAACCTCGGATGGTCGTGTCATATTCTTCCTCCCTTGGCAAGGCAATACCATCGCAGGCACCACCGACACCCCAGCCTTTGTAGAGAAGGACCCAAAGGCACCTGAAGAAGAGATTCGATGGGTGTTAGAAGAGGTCCGACGGTATCTCAGTCCTGACATCAAAGTTCGACGAGGCGACGTGCTCAGTGCATGGAGTGGTTTGAGACCTTTGGTTAGGAACCCAAATGCCGCGAGTACAGAAGGATTAGTTAGGAATCATATGATCCATGTATCGGATAGTGGATTATTGACAATTGCGGGGGGAAAGTGGACGACATATAGGGCTATGGCGGAGGAGACTGTGGATAAGGCTGTTCAGGTGTTTGGGTTAGAGCCTAAGAGTGGGTGTGTGACACAGAGTTTGAGGTTGGTGGGGAGTCATGGGTGGAGTCGGAATATGTTCATTGGTTTGATTCAACGGGTATGTTCTTTCGATTTGCTTGTGGATAGCTGGACCGATGATGTTTTAGTTTGGTTTAGAGACAGAGGTTGCAAAACATCTTTCGGACAACTATGGCGATCGCGCTTGGACGGTTTGTGGATCTGCTCAACCGACAGGAAAATCATGGCCTTTATATGGTGTACGACTGAGCCCCGGGTATCCATGTATGTTCTCTTTAAGTATCATCCACAGCATGTTCTAATGTCTCTTTCAGTCATAGAGGCTGAAGTTCGTTACGCCATTCATCATGAATATGCCCAAACGCCGGTAGACGTGATTGCTCGCCGTTGTCGACTCTCCTTCCTCAATGCCCAAGCAGCACTTGACGCCCTCCCCCGAGTAGTTGATATCATGGCCGAGGAACTCCATTGGTCCAAATCTCGTAAAGCCCAAGAAATCTCTCGCGCTACTGAATTCTTGGGTAGCATGGGACTCCCACCTGGTGCCACACCTCGAGAGACCATGAGTCCCTCCGAACCCAGGAGCTTTATTGACTGTGTGGAGGGGTTTTTCGGTTTGCATGGACATGCGGAGAGACGGAGGAGGAAGGCAAGTGAGATGATTTATTCGAGGGCGATGTTCGAAGCTGGGGAAGTAGAGATGCTTAGAGACGCTTTCAATGGGAAAGCTAAGCCAATTCAATTGGCGAATAGTGTGGAAGGAGGTGAGAGTGACGGGCAGAAGGTGGTGGAGAGGAATGAGTTGTTTGAGCTTGTGAAGGGGTTACCCGGGTATAGCCGTCTCAAAAGAAAGGATTTCGATTATGTTCTTGAAGAGATGGGATATTACAACACGCCGGCGGTGGATTCCGATGCGTTTGTTGAGGTACGTCTTTCTGATTTTGTTCTAGGGGTCGTCTTAGTAATGGTATCTGTGCAGATCTGTGCGGAACTGAGGGAAGTCATCTTTGCGGCTGTTACACCCAAGAAGACGAAATCTGAGAGGCTCAGGATACCAGTGGAGAAGAGTGGCGGAGGTGTATGAGGATCTCGTGTTGTTGTCTTGCTTTCGGAGTTTCGGATTCATGGATTTCGTGTATAGTTACAGTGTAGCTTAGAGTCTGTGCGTATGTGTATAACCGACTGTACCTAGTTTTTTTCTTCTTCTCCCGACAACACTTACTGTGTGCTGGAGCATAGACTGTTCAATGAAACCGCCTGTCGAACTTGCTTACATTTGGGGCCGGGAGTGGAGCGCAGTAACTTGAGTTAAATTCAAGGTATTAGCACTCTACTGCAAATACGCTCTACTCAGTACACCTATAGCTGACTCATGAAAAGGCTTCAGACAAGGCCTCAAATTGTCGAGGAGGATCAACCAACTGAGTTGCCATATTGGGATAGTTCAGGCGGAGTCCAAAGTCTGTGCGCGGAGCTGGAAATGACAAGCGAAGACCTAACCCCAGAAGAGTATTTGTCACACACCAACTCTTTGCTCTCGTCCACGACCTTCACGAGGACGACAATGAGCTATCCACCAGGAATGCCGCCACCACCGCCAGGTATGCCACGTCCACCGCCTGGCATGCCAGGAATGCCCCCACCTCCGCCAGGGATGCCACCTCCCGGGAATGGCGAAGCATCAACTTCTCGCATTCCGCCAGAGGTGCTCGCACAAAAGTCCCAGAAATGGATCCAGATGCAGAAGAAGAGGTACGGAGAGAAGCGCAAAGGAGGCTTTGTGGATATGGGGAAGCAGGTACGTTTGCGTTTGGCTGACTTACGCGTCGATGTTGTTGTGGCTAATTGCTGTTTTGCTGTAGGACCTCCCTCCTGAGCATGTACGAAAGATCATCAAGGACCATGGTGATATGAGTAATCGCAAGTTTAGAAATGACAAGCGAGTCCACCTTGGTGCTCTCAAGTACGTGCCGCATGCCGTTATGAAGCTGCTCGAAAATATCCCTTATCCTTGGGAACAAGTACGCGAAGTTCCTGTGCTCTACCACATCACTGGAGCTATCACCTTCGTGAACGAGATCCCCCGAGTCATCGAGCCCGTCTACCATGCACAATGGAGTAGTATGTGGTTAGCCATGCGACGAGAGAAGCGAGATCGACGACACTTTAAGCGTATGCGATTCCCGCCTTTTGATGATGAAGAGCCTCCTCTCGACTACGGCGATAACGTCCTTGATGTCGACCCGCTCGAGGCCATTCAATTAGAACTTGACGAGGAAGAGGATGCCGCTATCGTCGACTGGTTCTATGACCCCAAGCCCCTCATTGACACTCCTCATGTCAATGGTTCGTCTTATCGCTACTGGAACCTGGACTTGCCAATCATGGCCAATCTCTACCGCTTGGGGCGTACACTGCTTTCCGATCATACCGACCTCAATTCGAGCTACCTATTCGACAAAAAGTCATTCTTTACCGCTAAGGCGTTGAACTTGGCTATTCCGGGTGGTCCGAAGTTCGAGCCGCTCTATAGGGATATGGACACGTTCGACGAGGACTGGAACGAGTTCAACGACATCAACAAAGTCATCATTCGCCAGCAAATCCGCACCGAATACAAGGTCGCTTTCCCTCACTTGTACAACTCTCTTCCTCGTTCCGTCCGCATCTCGCCGTACCACTCCCCCAAGAATGTGTACATTCGCACTGATGACCCCGACCTTCCCGCATTCTACTTTGACCCACTCATTAACCCAATCTCCCTCCGTGGTACAACACCGAAGAACCTTCCTCTAGTTTCCCACGAGGATGCTCTGTTCGGGCCTAACGATGCCGACGACGACGATTTCGAACTCCCTGACGAGGTCGAGCCTTTCCTCGAGGAGAAGCTTTTAGAAAAAGATCTTACGGCTGACGCTATTGCGCTCTGGTGGGCCCCCGAGCCATACAGCAGGCGATCAGGCCGTATGCGTCGAGCGCAAGATATCCCCCTTGTAAAGAACTGGTACCTCGAGCACTGTCCACCTGGCCAGCCGGTCAAAGTCCGAGTCTCGTATCAGAAGCTCTTGAAATGCTACGTGTTGAATGAGTTGAAGACGAGGCCGGAGAAGGCAATGACGAAGAAGAATTTGTTCAGGCAGCTGAAGGCGACGAAGTTCTTCCAGACGACACGTTTGGATTGGGTCGAGGCTGGGTTGCAGGTTTGCCGACAGGGGTATAACATGCTCAACCTCTTGATTCATCGAAAGGTACGTCCATTTTCTCGGTTGTCTTTACATGTAGTTGCTGACTTTGTGTCGTTGTAGAACTTGAACTACCTCCATCTGGACTACAACATGAACTTGAAGCCCGTCAAGACGCTTACGACGAAGGAGCGTAAGAAGTCACGATTCGGAAATGCTTTCCACTTGTGTCGTGAAATCTTGCGTCTGACGAAGCTCGTTGTCGATGCACACGTTCAGTACCGTCTCGGAAACGTGGACGCTTTCCAACTTGCGGATGCGTTACAATATATCTTCGGACATATCGGTGCGTTGACGGGTATGTACAGATACAAGTACAAAGTAAGTCTGGCCGTTCTTACTCTTTGGAGGATTTTGACTGATAAGTTTTGTTCTAGCTCATGCGTCAAGTCCGAATGACCAAGGATCTCAAGCATTTGATCTACTACCGCTTCAACACTGGTCCTGTTGGCAAGGGACCTGGTAATGGTTTCTGGGCTCCAGGATGGAGAGTATGGTTGTTCTTCATGCGTGGTATCGTGCCTCTGCTTGAACGATGGTAAGCTGTCCTCTCTATGTTCTCCGTGAATTACGCTAACTTGTCTTCTTAGGCTTGGTAACTTGCTCGCACGTCAGTTTGAGGGTCGTAATAGCAAGGGAATTGCAAAGACCGTGACCAAGCAGCGTGTCGAGTCTCATTATGACCTTGAGCTTCGTGCTGCCGTCATGCACGATATCCTCGACATGATGCCTGAGTCGATCAAGCAGAACAAGTCGAAGACTATCCTGCAGCACTTGTCTGAAGCTTGGCGATGCTGGAAGGCGAACATTCCTTGGAAGGTCCCTGGTATGCCGACCGCCATCGAGAACATCATTCTTCGTTACATCAAGAGTAAGGCCGATTGGTGGTGCTCTGTTGCTCACTACAACCGCGAACGTATTCGTCGCGGCGCCACTGTCGACAAGGCGGTCGTCAAGAAGAACCTTGGTCGTCTCACTCGTCTTTACCTCAAGGCTGAGCAGGAGCGTCAACACGGCTATTTGAAGGACGGACCTTACATTAGTGCAGAAGAGGCCGTCGCTATCTATACCGCTACCGTCCATTGGCTCGAGTCGCGCAAGTTCTCACCTATTCCCTTCCCGTAAGTGCTTGGTTATCTTTCTGTTCTTCTGACTTGCTCATCAATATGCTTCATACAGACCATTGAATTATAAGCACGATACCAAGTTACTTGTACTCGCACTCGAGAAGCTGAAGGAAGCGTACTCTGTCAAGGGCCGACTCAACCAGTCACAACGTGAAGAGCTGGCTTTGATCGAACAAGCTTACGATAACCCTCACGAGTGTCTCTCTCGCATCAAGCGTCTTCTCCTCACCCAGCGTGCGTTCAAGGAATCGGGCATCGAATTCTTCGACACCTACGATAAGCTTATTCCATGCTACGACATCGAGCCTGTGGAGAAGATCACCGATGCTTACCTCGATCAGTTCTTGTTCTTCGAGGCGGACAAACGTGGTCTCTTCCCTGCATGGATCAAGCCCGCTGACACTGAACCACCTCCGCTCCTGGTGTATAAGTGGTGCCAGGGTATCAACAACTTGACCGACATCTGGGAGACTAGCGAGGGCGAGTGTGACGTTATGATGGAGACTGTTCTCTCGAAGGTGTACGAGAAGATCGATCTCACGTTGCTCAACCGTCTATTGCGTTTGATCCTCGACCACAACTTGGCCGACTACATTACTGCGAAGAATAACACGGTGCTCACGTATAAGGACATGGCGCATACCAACGCGTATGGTCTCATTCGTGGTCTGCAGTTCTCGGCATTCGTCTTCCAATATTACGGTCTCGTCCTTGATCTGCTCATCCTCGGTCTTCAACGTGCAAGCGAGATGGCGGGTCCTCCCCAGATGCCTAACAACTTCTTGCAGTACCGCGACGTCGCTACCGAGACTCGTCACCCTATCCGCCTCTACTCTCGCTATGTCGATCGCATCCACATCCTCTTCCGCTTCACTGCCGAAGAGTCTCGAGACCTCATCCAACGTTACCTCAGCGCGAACCCTGACCCGACGAACAACAATGTCATCGGCTACAACAACAAGCGTTGCTGGCCCAGGGATTGCCGTATGAGGCTTATCAAACACGATGTCAACCTGGGTCGCGCGGTCTTCTGGAACGTCAAACAGAGCCTGCCAAGGTCGCTCACTACGATTGAGTGGGAAGACACTTTCGTGAGCGTATACTCGAAAGACAACCCACAGTTGCTCTTCTCGATGTGCGGCTTCGAAGTCCGTATCTTGCCTAAGATCAGGACTATGGGTGGAGAGCAGTTCTCCTTGAGGGATGCTGTGTGGAACTTGACAAACGAGCAAACGAAGGAGCGTACGGCGCAGGCCTTCCTCCGCGTCTCCGATGAAGGTGTCCAACAATTCAACAACCGAATCCGTCAGGTTTTGATGAGTTCGGGTTCGACGACGTTCTCCAAGATCGTCAACAAGTGGAATACGGCTCTCATTGGCCTCATGACCTATTACCGTGAAGCTGTCATTCACACGCCCGAACTCCTCGATGCTCTCGTCAAGGCGGAGAACAAGATTCAGACTCGTGTCAAGATCGGCTTGAACAGTAAGATGCCTTCGCGATTCCCTCCTGTCGTGTTCTACACACCCAAGGAACTCGGTGGTCTTGGTATGCTGTCCATGGGACACGTCTTGATCCCTCAGAGTGACTTGCGATGGTCGAAGCAAACTGATGTTGGAGTCACCCACTTCCGTGCCGGTATGTCTCACGAAGAAGATCAACTCATTCCCAATTTGTATCGTTATCTCCAACCATGGGAGGCTGAGTTCCTCGATTCCGCTCGTGTATGGTCCGAGTACTCGATGAAGAGGAAGGAAGCAAACGCTCAGAACCGTCGATTGACACTCGAAGATCTGGAGGACAGCTGGGATCGCGGTATTCCTCGTATCAACACTTTGTTCCAGAAGGATCGTCATACTTTGGCGTATGACAGAGGCTGGCGTGTCCGAACCGATTGGAAGCAGTACCAGCTACTCAAGCATAATCCGTTCTGGTGGACATCGCAACGACATGACGGCAAGCTTTGGCAGTTGAACAATTACCGTGTCGACGTCATCGCGGCCCTTGGAGGTGTCGAAGGTATTCTGGAGCATACTTTGTTCAAGGGAACCTACTTCCCTACCTGGGAAGGTTTGTTCTGGGAGAAGGCATCCGGTTTCGAGGAGTCCATGAGGTACAAGAAGCTCACGAATGCCCAACGTTCTGGTTTGAACCAGATCCCTAACCGTCGGTTCACTCTTTGGTGGAGTCCGACCATCAATCGAGCCAATGTCTATGTCGGTTTCCAGGTGCAGCTGGATCTTACGGGTATCTTCATGCACGGTAAAATCCCCACTTTGAAGATCAGTTTGATTCAGATCTTCCGTGCGCATCTGTGGCAGAAGATCCATGAAAGTGTTGTCATGGATCTCTGTCAAGTGTTCGATCAGGAGTTGGAGCCGCTACAGATCGAAACCGTGCAGAAGGAGACGATCCATCCCCGTAAGAGTTACAAGATGAACTCTTCTTGTGCCGATATCCTACTGTTCTCTGCCTACAAGTGGAATATCTCTCGACCTTCTCTGGTCACGGACAGCAAGGACGTCCTCGACGGTACGACTAGCAACAAGTACTGGATCGATGTCCAGTTGCGTTGGGGTGACTTCGATACTCACGACATTGAGCGTTACACTCGTGCGAAGTTCTTGGACTATATCTCAGACTCGATGAGTATCTACCCATCTCCCACCGGTGTCATGATCGGCATGGATCTCTCCTACAACCTTTGGTCTGCCTACGGTAATTGGTTCCCTGGTATGAAGCCATTGATTCAACAAGCCATGGCGAAGATCATGAAGGCCAACCCTGCATGCCACGTTCTGCGCGAGCGTATCCGAAAGGGTCTTCAGCTGTACTCATCTGAGCCAACGGAACCGTATCTTAACAGTCAGGTACGTAGCATAGCTATCCGATTTGTCGTCTTCTGGTTGCTTACAAAATTTTGCACAGAACTACTCCGAGTTATTCTCAAACCAAATCATCTGTAAGTTGTCTCATCTCATCACTTTACCTTACATTGTCTGACCTGATTTCCCAGGGTTCGTCGATGATACCAACGTCTACCGTGTAACGATCCATAAGACCTTTGAGGGTAACTTGACAACAAAGCCCATCAGTACGTGCTATGTGTACCTTTACTTCCTAACCGTTGCTAACATGTGTTTTTCGTAGACGGTGCTATCTTCATCTTCAACCCGCGGTCTGGTCAGTTATTCCTAAAGATCATTCACACTAGCGTGTGGGCTGGTCAGAAGCGTCTCGGTCAACTCGCGAAGTGGAAGACTGCAGAAGAAGTTGCTGCCTTGGTTCGGTCGCTGCCTGTGGAAGAACAACCGAAACAAGTGATTGTTACCCGTAAGGGCATGTTAGGTACGTATTGCCGCTCATCGTGGTATCTTCCCAATGCTTACAGTATTCGTAGATCCTCTTGAGGTCCATTTGCTTGATTTCCCCAACATTGTCATCAAGGGTAGCGAGCTGCAATTGCCGTTCCAAGCTTGTATGAAGATGGAGAAGTTTGGTGACCTCATCTTGGTAAGTTTTATCTTCACTTCGACCCGATGTGATTTTCTTACCTACGTATTCCCTTAGCGCGCAACTCAACCTCAGATGGTTTTGTTCAATCTGTACGACGATTGGTTGAAGTCCATCTCCAGCTACACGGCATTCTCTCGATTGATTCTACTCTTGCGAGGTCTGCACGTCAACAACGAGAAGGCAAAGGTCGTTCTGCGACCTGATAAGAATACCATCACCGAGCCGCACTTCGTCTGGCCCTCGTTGAGCGACGAAGAGTGGATCAAGGTTGAGGTTGCTCTCAAGGATCTGATCTTGGCAGACTTTGGCAAGAGGAACAGCGTCAACATCGCTTCCTTGACTTCTAGTGAGATTCGAGACATCATTCTGGGCCAAGAGATCGCGGCACCATCAGTGCAGCGACAGCAGATGGCTGAGCTGGAGAAGAGCTCAGAAGCTCAGGGCCAAGTCACCGCCGTACAGACTCAAACGGTCAACATTCATGGTGACGCCATCCAGACGGTGACAACAACAAGCTATGAGCAGCAGGTCTTCAGCAGCAAATCTGACTGGCGTGTGCGGGCGATCTCTGCGACACACCTTCCCCTTCGTTTGCAACACATCTATGTCTCCAACGACGACGTCAAGGACGATGCTGCGTCTTATACATATGTCCTACCAAAGAATATCCTTCGCGCTTTCGTCACTGCTGCGGATCTTCGAACACAGGTGGCTGCCTTCCTGTACGGCGTTTCGCCACCAGATAACAAGCAAGTTAAAGAGATCAAGGCTGTTGTATGGGTTCCTCAGAGGGGCAACAACAATAGCGTAGAGTTACCTTCACAGCTACCTCGCGACGACTTCTTGTTGGGTGACCTGGAGCCACTCGGATGGATCAAGACACAGGCATTGGAACTTAACCACCTTTCGCCAACCGACGTTACGACACAGGCTAAGTTGATGGGCGACCACCCTGAGTGGACGTCATCATCAATATGTCTTACAATCGCCTTCACACCGGGTTCCGTCTCGTTGTCTGCTCATTCACTCACGCCAGGTGGCTTCGAATGGGGCAGGAAGAACAACGATACTTCCCCCAATCCAGCCGTAAGTGTTTTCTGCGTGTGGTATACTAATGTTATACTAATCTATGTCCATTACAGGGCTTCAACCCTAACATGTCGGAGCGTGTACAACTGCTTCTTTCCGACCGAGTCCTTGGTATGACCTTGGTACCGGAAGGTCGTGTGTGGAACTACGGTGTTGGATTGACTCAGCTCTGGTCACCAACGTTGAATTACTCTATCACTCTCGATACTCCTCTAATCTTCTGGGCTGAGGAACATCGTCCTGCAGCCTTCCTATCGGTAAGTCGCTTGTTGATGCTCGTTGCTACACTGTATACTGATTCCCTCTCTTCACAGTTTGCAAGCCTTGAGACCGGGGCTGACAGTGCGGATGTTGAAAATAACTTTGCTTAGTATGTTCCTTTCGTATATTAGTTTATCGCATTGCTTTGTTATGTTGTATTTGTAATTTCTTGCAATTCCAGAGGAGTGTAATATTCCGAAGTATGAATGCAGAATGAGGGAATCCCAACCAGTGCGACGATGCAGATGAGAAAACAATGACAAGTGAGTGATACACCAAGGAGAAAAGAAGCAAGGGGTAACATATGTACACAAGAAGAACAAAAAAGCAGGACGAAGAACGAAGAAAACCTAAATGCTAACGTCTATCAAAGAAACAGCAGAATGACCATGAGAAGAATGCGATGGAGAACCGGTGTCGATGGAAATATTATCAGGCTCTACTGCATGATCCAAAGACTCTGAAAGTTGAATGGAAGGATGATCCGGATGAGGTGGAGACAAAGGGGAAGGTGGCAAAGGTGAAGGGATGGCAGCCGGAGTCTCTTCGTGACTTCGGCGTAGGTCCTTCAAGGTAACGATACTGGACAGACGAACGACCTCATGCTCAAGTTTCTCTTTGTCGGGAGTTGTGACCCTGCGAGAACCACGACGAGGTGGTGGAGACAAGGAGGTCATCCTTGGCATTTCGTCCGACGGCGAAATCTCTGGTGGAGGAGAATTGATCGGAATCGGGAGAGTGCGTGGAGGAGCAGGCGGGATAATGGGAGAATCCGATAAATCGTCAAGATCATCCTGGAACGTCGTAATAGGTTCACCGATTGGAGTTGAAGGAACGTCTGAAGGCATCATATGTATAGGCCGTGGCGAGTCGTCAAAAGATAGAGGAGCTGGTGGTATGAGTTGCGAAGGCGGAGACGTGGATGGGGCACTTAGAATACGTAAACGACGTACAAATGACTTGGATTGACGTGAAGCCTGTGGCGGTTGTTGTTGCGTTTCTGCTGACGATGCTATTGGGGTCGATTGCGTCGGTGTCGTAAGGAGCGTAGGTGTAGGCGGAAGAGGACCACCAGGTGGCGGATAGGGAGATTCAACAGGATTAGGAGAGGCAGGAATAGAATACAAAGGATTCGGCGGGCTTCCATTACTGAGGCTTTTCCTGTGTATCGGCCTGAAACCAGGTTCATCTGGTCTGGGAGGCAAGCTGGAAGACGGCGGTTGCGTAGGAGGCGATAATGACAGCCTATGAGACCGTGAAGTGAGGATCTCCCGGAAAGATGTTTTAGATGCGGGAGCACTAGAGGCCTGAGTTGGGGGAGATGAAGACGATGACAGGACGCTCGACATCGAAGAAGAAGGATCTTCACCGGGCGTAGGTGGCAACGCAGAAATGGGCACAGGCCGTTGCGGAGGAGGAACAGACATTCGATGTGAATTCCGTCTGAACATCCCTTTCGCCATACCAATTCCAGGAGGCGTCGCGCCCCTCGAATGACCAGTGCTTGTCGTATTAAAACTCTGAACCGAAGAGCCCGACGTCCTCTTCGGACTCAACGGTCGAAGGTCCAAGACAAGACTTGGTGGACTAGAATGGGTGGAAGATGACCGACTCCCGGGTGACGGGTGATCCACAAGGTATGGATGGTGTCGATTTCCAAACGATCGATGACTATGAGGAGGTGGAGAAGGTGAAAGCGGTGAAACACTCGGAGGGGAACCACTAGGAGGGGTTAACCTATGATGATTCTGATACGACGCCGAATTATGTCGAGACCACCTCCTCGTATTAGAACTGTGCCCACTATTAGAGTATATCTCTGGAGATGACGTGGGATCATTGGAAGCGAACGAAGATGCGCTTGACCACGACATCCGGACCCGGGACCGTGAACCTTCTGTACTAGGACTAGGTAATGGTGTACTCCCATTCCCGCTCCCCGTCGCACTCCCGTTCGAGTTCGACGGCCTGGGAAGCACGCCAACCCCAAAGCTCTCTGCAGTGCTACCATTCGCATGCGAATACGAATACACAGGTGGCGGTGAAGTGGACCTCGATTCATTGACCTCAACGAGACTCATACCAGCTACAGCCGACGTTGGTGGAGTCAACGCTGACAAGGTATTGGGCGAAGGAATGCTCCCGTTACCCTTCGAGCCGAAGGTGGGCAAGCCAGAAGATGTCCAAGCACGTCTCCTAGGAGGAGGCTGCAGCGAAGGGCTCCCGAACGTCCTTAAACCCTCGTCACCAACCAGGAGGGAATTTCTGCCTGCAAGGCCGGCAAAGGTAGGCCCAATATCATCGACCGAATTTCGTTCTTCATCTGGTAAAATCTTTCGATCGATCAGCAACGAACGATGATGTTCGGATAACTTGCTAGGGCTCCCAGTGGACGCAGTAGGGCTGGTAGCCGTAATCGGTGTCGAAGGAGAAATCGGAGAGAAAACACTCGAAGTTGGCGAATTATATCCAGCGCCCATCCTTTGGTTGTCACTGGCTGAAGAGATGCTACTCGACCTCAGCATCAACAAGTTTGTGGCGACACTGCCAAAGGATGACTCTTCTGTCGCCTTTGGAGGGGACATGATATCCAAACTGTTGGCGGGGCTCGTGGCATCGCGACTTGAGCCAATGCTCAATACCGAAGCAGAGCTTGGAGACCGAGGTCGTGTCGAGGAACTGGTAAAGAGACCCTTCAAGGCAGACACTGCTCCACCACCTCCGGTCCTAGAACCAGAAGTGGTTGCGTTGGGGGTAGCCGTATTCGCTGTCCCACGAGAATGTGACCTGGACAGCGTCGAAGGCGGTGACAAACCACTATCAGAGCCGTGCAACAACGACTGAACGGGACTCTGCATCCTTGGAGTAATGGTCGCAGTATGATCGTTTGACGAAGAGCTTATGCGAGACTGAGATGAAGAAGCGAGAGAGGCTTGCTGGGCACGTATAGAGAGGACCACATCCAAATCACCTCGAGGAGACTCAAAATAAGCCCCAGCGGAGCTATGCGGAATACCTGCTCTCAGGGATCTATAAAAAACCAAAGCCAACAACTGTCAGCATTCCCGAAGTTTCAGCGCCGAAATAACGATTCAACACTCACCGTTGGCTTAGGACGATACCCTTGATAGCTCCGATCCACTTCTTCGCCTCCTCACTATCGGTGATTTGCAGGAGCCACATTGTTCGTCCACTCCCACTGCCATCCACATCATTCGCAACATCTCTCTCCCTCTCCCTCTGCTTGCCTGCACTCGTGCTACCGGTAACAACATGCAACCCTACATCAACCCCACCAACCTGAATAACGCCTTTCTTACCCATAGCAGCAGAAGAAGAAGAATCAGCACTCCTCCTACCAGGGTTCACAGTGGTCGATGAAGAGGAATGCGACATCGTAGTCTGGGACATATGAGCGGATGAATCAAGAGGCGAATGATCCGCGATGAAGACCACGGAATCCTCATTTATCTCTAACCTCTCCATCTCTGTTGCGTTCGACGAAGAAGACTTGAATAAATGTAGATAAGACGGAGACGGGGGCACATTCGTCCTGAACGCCGGCATCCCTCCTCCACTACCAGTGCTACTGGATGCAGTAGACGGTCTTCCTGTTGGTGTCGTAGGCGAGTATGACTGAGCCGGCGTCGTAAGAACCACATATCGGACTTTCCACTGCTTCGTGCCAAAAGCAAATCGCAGCAAGGAACTTGGAGGATAATGTTTTGGAAAGGTCCCAGAAAGTGAGATATGGGGCTTTAAGGACTCCGATGTGGCAGGGAACGGAGGAACAACTTGATGCATTGCAGTAGTGGGTGAGCCTGAAAATCCATTACCAGTCGTATGAGGGGTGACGGGTGAGGACGAAGGGAGAGGGGTTAAAGATCTTGAGAATGAATTCGAAGGTGAATGTCTCCCGATCGATCGTGTATGTGAGTGCGATCCAGATCTTGCCCTCCCCATACTGAGAGGCAATATGGGCGATGCGGGGGGCTGTGTCTGCTGAGACGACCCTGTGGGTGTCGGAGGTGGTAACGACTGAGTAGGAGTTGTCAATGTCGGCGTCACGGCCATGGAAAGAGATCCATTTCCAAACCCTGTGATGTCGTTTTCTGGCAGCCTGTCCTCTTCGTATGAAAGACGGTCAAGGTCGTCATCATCGTCGCCGAGAGCGTCATGCCCTCTTCCACTCGGAGCGATTATGCCAACCTGTACGTCATCACTATTTTCCTCATCCTTTCTCTTCAACTCATCCTCCAATAAAACAGGACCCAAACCGAGAGTCTGCGCTGCTGCGTCTCTCAGCCTCTCGCGTTCTCGCTCCTCTTCTCGAAGCTTGTTAACGGTCTCTGCACTAATTTCAATAACCTCCGAGAATATTATTGGCGGGTGGTTATTTGGGTGATGAGACGACGGGGAGAAAGATGACCGCGACAACGGGGGTGACCTTTTCCGACGCGCGAAAGATAGTGAACTCAATGCGTCTGACGCAGCTACGAGTATGCTCCCCCTACGTCTCGTTGGAGAGCTGCTAATCGTTGTCGTAGTCGTACCGGTGGGTTCAGGAAAAGCGTTGGCGGTGGTATGGTTGGCAGTCGAGGGACGTGACATGAATCGATTTCGGGACGAGGCGAAAGTCGGAGGTTCGTATGTTACAAAAGAAGTCGATTGACTATGCGAGGGATGAGCAGCAAATGGATCTCCAACTATGCAACAGAATGACGTTAGTGAGTAACTGCACACGACGATAACGATAGTCAAGCGATAGCAAATGAAGTCTTTAATCGAAACACGGAAATATGTTAACACGAGTGCGAACACTGGTTGTGACTGGCACGCTGAAGGTATCACACGTATTTGGACGTGCGACCAGCGTTTGAAGAGCGCCTTAACTCGGAGGGAGAAAAAGCAAGGACACTCAGTTCCGACACGAACGGAGGATACGAAAACCACCTGTTCATAAGAGTGAATGTGCCCCGTTCTCAAGGCTTCTTGCGATCGGAACGTAGCAAAGAGTGCTATTAAACCACTTGTAAAAGAAGAAAGGATAAGAACTTTTGGCAATACGGAGGATGTATGTGCAGGCATGTCGTTGGTCACATGCCAAACGCGCACATACACTTTAGGTCGACCATAGTATTGTATTGCAGTCAATTGCAAAAGGAACGTCATAACTGTGATCGTTGTCGCTGTCTGCAGAAACGAACCATGAAATCAAGGATTCTCCGATGGCGAGAGCATCGGACGACACTGGGTTCTGTAATTAGGCGTGACGAGGTCACCCCACACTAGACATGTATAGCCCAAGATGATATCCAATGCGCCATGTTATAAGCACCGAATTACGAACTCGGGCGCCGTGGCCTGAGCTCCACAATCCATGTGGGGGACTGGATATGCCGAAGCTCAGTTTGCTAGTTACTGTGGAGGACTGGAGTATTCCTGTCCCCGTCTCCACGAACGGCGTGACGCCGAAATAAACTAGGAAAGAGCACTGAGCCTCTTAAAGCCGTCCAAGTGCAACACCGAGTGAGGCGAATATCGGCGCTGCGTGATGACTACCAGTCTCCAACACGCAAGCAGAGAAGAGGCGCGTAGAAATGTGTAACAGAGCTTGCACACGATCTCCCAAACCACGTAGAACTACTGCTAGGCACATAGAGCATCCCAAACGTGACCGCGTTGTAGTGCCCAAAGAAGCGGAGAAGCACAAGCTTCATTGCTTCGTCCACTCATTCAACACTCATTTATGCCCAAACCAACCGCCCGGTGATCATGAGCTGACAGAGTCTAAGCGCAACCTTAAAGCACCCGAATGGCAGATCACAGGCGCACCACAACCAGGCACAAGCGAAAAGAAAGAGGAAGAAGTTCCAATAGAAGGCAGTACACACCTGAGGCAAATGAGCTCGACGCCACGGTGTCCGTCTCCGATTCAGCCGCGGCGTGTCCGTCTGCACTCTGCGGACGAGGCGGGAGAGAGGTAGTACGATTGCGACGAAGTCCACTAACTATGAGTTCCGGAATTCTACTAGCGCGACGTGGGTTGGCGTGACCATTCGCCGAAGTAGTTGCCGTCGTCGCTATCTGAGACGATGACTGTTGAGACGATGACTGTTGAGACGATGACTGATTCCGTACATCACGATGTTGTTGCGTAGAGAAACGAAACGGTCGGGTAGACGTTGGCGGGGACATGGGCCTGCTGAGAGTGTAGGACGGCATGGCAGCATAAGGATAGTTGTTAGGTCGTCGCTGTTGGAGGAAGCGTAAGTGACGGTCAAGATGGAGGGGATCAGGGAAGGCGAGCAATGGAGACGGCGCCAGTCAAAGAACAAGTGATTTCTGACCGGAGAGAGCCAGAGAAGCAGATGGTAGAGGCAGCGCCGAATCAACGCTACTCACCGTCAATGCGGAGTCCCCGTTGGTGTTTATATCTGGGTTCATTGCGGGCAACGACGACGAGCAGCGGGTGGTCACCGTCGAGCACAGTGACGAGGAGCGAGCATGGTGGTAATTGCCAAAAAGCGTGGGCGCGGGTACTGTTGCAAGCGGGTCGCACCCTCGATAGACATGTTCCCAGAATGGGCAAGCACGTCGGGCCCAGCGCGATCGGGCTAAACTAACACGCGACCGTAACAAGATCGAGATCGCACAAGGCCATTTCCGCTGTGTCACTGCGTGCCTTTTCTCCCCTGTCTTTATTACTTCCCCTCAAGCCCTCACACATCGGATTGTCCTCCTTCGACCTCGCAGAACCTTCCAGTGGCGTATGCAGTAAGTATATGGTGTACAGAGCCTTATCCGACGTTCTTGATGTACCCTGGACGACCAACAAATACCAAGGCAGTCTTTGCCTTTGTGGCGCCCATTCCGCATGCAACGGATTCAATTTTCAGAACATGGCTCGGGCTTTGTGTGTCCATTGATCCGGGCTTTGGGCTTTCCCCGCTTCAAATTGAATCCAGGACGATCAATCCGCTTGTCTCAATCCTCTTCTCCTTCGCGACCCTGGTCAGAATTCTGGTCGACCTCGAATGAATGATGACCTCCTGGTAACCATTCTTCTGTCCTCCTCGGTATGCAGAGACATTTGCTATCCTGATGGTATGTCGTTGTGCATGTTTGGGGCGTGCTGCTTTGTTTTGCCCTGTCTCCTATGTTCGAACGTGCTTCATGCATATACCTTACGAGCAGGATTGTGCGTTCTGGCTGAATATTGAACCCAATGCCCCTTGAATGCCCCGACAATAATTTGTCTAAGGTCGGTTGCGGTCTCGGCTCGTCAACCGCGCAAAAACATGTTTGTGCCGTCACTGAGCATGTGAATATAGGATATGATACTGGGCGAAGAAGAGCAGAGAAGAGCCTCACTGCAGCTCACTGCTTGAATCAAACAACAATAATTGTCTGACATTCGTTTACCCCAACCTTTCAACCACTCTCGCTGACCACCTAAGGTAACCAACCCCCTGACGTCGAAGTGTCTCAATGATCAGCTTTAAGCGATGCAACACGATCGTTTAGCAGCGTTTAGCCCAAACATCCCAGTTCTAACCATGCTATGATGTCATTTCATTCTTACAATCCGGTACATACAACACCCAATAGTCACTACGGGGTGTTCAAGAATATTCCAATACCAGCTCAATTAGTTCCCTCGACCTCTTTTCTGGCTCTCCATTCCTCCTCCAGCATACCCATGAAGATAATATCCCGCCATTCACCTTCAACCCAATTACATTTCCTCTTCGTCGCTTCAACCACGAAACCGCTACCCCATATCCAAGGCACAGTCAATATTCAATACTTGTGGTCCCCAAGCCCGTGAAATTCTGGATCACTCACATCCTCTCATAAACCTTCATCGCCCTCTCATTCCCTCCAAACACCCCCAATGAGACCCTCCTCAATCCCAACCCTCTGAAAGCATAATCCACAATGAACCTCATCGTCTCCGTACCATATCCTTTATCCCAATGTGCCGAAGCCAGGTTGATACCGATCTCCCCATTTTGATTCTTCGAGTCGGCAAGCATGATGTGCAGGAACCCTATGAACTCCTTGGTATCCTTCTTTTCAATCACAATCGTAGTTAGAGCTTTCTCCAACTGGATGATAATATCGGGCTCGAAGTCAGTTCAGGCGATCGTTGGGGTAATAAAGCATGCTAACGGATTCTTTAAATTCCTGTTTGAATTGGGGACCTTGAGGTACAGTGTAGCCGATGCTCGTCACCAGCTGGACACGATACTCGGTCACCGAATCTACTATATCATCGAGGTCCGATTCCTTGTATGCGCGAAGTCGTAGTCGTTCTGTTGTAAACATCGTGGAAAACTCTTCGTCTCGAGTATAACGTATCGACTCTATAACGTAGGGTCAGATGAAGAATGGGGGGAGGGGAATACTTAGGACTTCAAGCTTCAATTTACGAGGGAATCGAGGTGAGTCACTGCGCAGTGATCAATATCTTCTTCAATCACGAACCCAATGCTAACGGCCCTCCTCGATACTGCGTAACTACGGCCCTATCAAGACCATGATCAGGCGTGCGAGTGGAAGATGTGACTTCAGGTCCATGCGGACATTTGATCATTTTGGAGTCATACAGAGAATACAGGCCCACACCACACCATAGTATCCTATCTTTCTTCCCAGAAACTGAGACGGATAGGAATCCAATGTACTCTCCTGTAGGCTTGGACTCATACAGCATGAAAAGGTGCATTTTCCACCTGTACATATCGCATATGAGTTGGACAAATCATGAGATAATGACGTATTGTGCAATGAGTCAGACTTACAACCCTTTGGACCCCGTCTTTGAATTGAGAGGTTTTGGACTTATGAAGTCGACGTTGCTCAACAACTGGGTACGATACTCCGTGAAAGATGCGACCATGTTGTGAAAGTCAGATTCCTTGTACGGACGTAATACCAATCTCTCTGTAGAGAACATATTCGAAGACCTGCTACACTTGATGAGGATGGCCTCGATGAGAGAACTAATGATTGACCTCATCATGACGTTTGAAAGACGGAGGAGAGAAGAGGGTAAGATATCCTGCGTGACTGTCAGGTACCCATGTTATGAACCGCAGCCAAACGCCCTTTGCTCGAGTCTGGCCGCAGGCATCGAAAGACTGTGTGAACGAAATCGATGGACAATACGCAGGAAATGGATTTATCAGCACACTTCAATGAATCAAGTCTCGTGTAAGTAGCACGTTGGAATCTGCCAAGGACAAACAAACGTAAGACAAGAACGATACACTGAATATGAACATTCAAAGCGAAGACGTCCTCCGAGAGCAAGTCATAACTGTGTCTGTTGGTTCTCGATCTTCGCAAACTCCATTTCCAGCCTATGCAGTAAACCTTCATTTACCAGCCTCTCCATCTCCGCCCGCCTTTTCCAGGAGTGCAAGGTGCGCACAGACAAACTCACAGCGCCGTTATACCTCGCCTTTGCATACCACGACCGCTTCCGATCCCAAAGGCGAGCAAATGCCACTTCTCCGTACAGCTGCATTGTTTCTCCCAATCTTTGCTGTAACTCCACGAAGAACTTGTCATATTTGCGAATATGGGCCACCGGGCTTTGAGAAATGAAGACGAGAACAATGGCGTAGAGTTCTACCAGACGACCGGAGTGCAGATGGGCTATGACAAAGTCAGGAGGTAAGATGACATCGGTGTCTGCTGAATCAACTACGGCACAAGCTGCCATAAGCATATTCTTCAAAGAGTCTGGCCGCAAAGTCAGCACAGCTCCTTTCACACTCATATGAGGATATACGTACTTGAATCAGTGTATGAGAGCTTGGGAAGTTGAGGATAGACACCCAGTCCGTCCCAACGTACTGTCCGGACAAGAACCTCCAGTGTTCTCTCCGCAGCAGTCGTCCCAAGAGCAAATAGACGGCCTACTAGGATGCCGATGGCTTGCTCTGAACCGGTCGTGACATTGGACAGCAGGAACGTCAAACCCTGATCCATCCCGTCACGCCATCGAATTGGCTCTTCCATAGCAGGATTTGTCGATGTCATAGTCCACGCTGTCTCGACTTCTTCGTGCATCAGATGCACCATACTGACGAAATAAGAGGGTGCAATGTTACTGACTTCCCCAGGCAGCCTCCACACGCGGAGCGGTTGCTCACAACAAGTTGGATTCTCGAAATCTTTGAAGAGAGGATCAGATGAATATAGAGCGGCATCAGCGAAGGGCCTTCCTATGGCTTTCGGGTCTGCAGAGTTGGATCGATGTACTATCAGGTTCTTAATACACGACAATGCACTCGAAAGGGGTAAGTCGGCTAGACATTGTCCGACAGCTTTGAGTACAACGTCGTTTGAGACAACCATGTCACACGCGGCCAAAAGCCCGTGGTCGTGCGTTTGATCGTTATGAATGTCCGACTCCTCCTGAGGGTTGTGATGAGGAACACGACAAATGTACCATTCCATGACAGGCTTAGCAACTTGGCACTCAAGTTGTTGCTTCAGCCAACGGCGGGGAGAAACGAATAAGCGTAGCGCTGTGTGGCGAGTATCGCTCTTGTTGGTGGGAGAGAGGTTCCGGGTTAAACTGGAGGTAAGCTTCGTGAATCCATACGACATGCAATTGTAAGCTGTATACACTCCCCATCGGACCTTTGTCCACGTTCCTTTGAGGAGCAGGATTCGGTAAGGACAAATTGATGAAAACGCCGGTGCGACTGTGATGAGCAAAACTAGAAAGAACCAACATAGGATGAATCCCGCAATGGTCCAACCAACAATAGGATTAAGCGTGTTGAGGAAGTCGATGAGCCCGACGAAGAACAGAATTAATGCGAACTGCAAGATCGAGGGGAGGATTGAACCAATTTGTTCTACACGCCATTTCTCCATACCTTGACTACGGAAGAATCGTAGGCGAATGTATGATTGTGGATCCTCATCGTTGTGTTCGGAATAGGATCGCCACCATTGTTTGACAAAGATGCCAAGTGAGGCTGTTGTTAGGCTAAGGAAAAGGCTTAAGAACCAGAAAATGTTGACCCGGACGGAAGAGGACTCAGGAATGAAAGTTGTAATCGCTGCCACAGGAGCGGTGGAGTTGATGAAACCATTATTGATGGTAAGACTATTCAATTGCAGGGAAACTTGCAAAAGTATGCGAGCCGTGGTCTCCGTAAAGTCGTCTTGTAAGAGCTGGTAGGATTCTATTACAAAGGCGGTCAGGACGGCAGAGAATAGACCAGCCTGCGAGGATCTGTGTGTCAGAACGCGTATGTATACAAGCGAATTCGATGAAGAATACGAACGAATACTAGAAGTGTATCAATGTCATCCTTGATCCTCCGTATTCGCCTGTCATCATAGTCTTGGAGTAATCTTGAGACCTTCATCCAACCTTCTTGACTATTCTGTTTTGCAGCTTTGCGTGTGTCCTGAGAGCCTTTCATGGCCTGAGAATCATGTTATGTCAACGAAAATCATGCGATTAAGACAAGCCATAAGCCTAACCGTCGGCGGCATGGTTGCTTTCTCGTTGACATCTAAGGCCTAATATGTGATACAAAATTGAATGTACGACGACGCATTGAACAAATCTTTAAACGTACTGTAGCATCGTGTGCTAGAACTGGATGCTGTCCAGACGTGTCATTCAACGAAGTGGGATAGGGCTGGTTCGAGACCACTGCTTCTCGCAAGGCAGCACCAAATTCTCTGCTTGTACGAGGAGTCGCTCTAGTCAACTTATCCAGACCAGATTTGATAGAATTGGCGATTCTTCCATGAGAGCCGGAACGTCGAACTGGCTGGAGGATTGTATGAAGAACCAAACCAAACCCGATACGGCTACGAAACGTATGAGCGAACGTACCTCCTTCAGGTCATTTCTACTCTGTCGCCTTGACATAATGCGAAATACAATGCTACTTCCTAACGGCCTGCCAACCACCAAGGTGTGCTGTCCGCACGAAAGGGTGACGGGTGAGTGTAGTAACGATGCGTGTGCATGTTCCTGCCAAATACACCATAAATGAGTGTCTCGCTTAAAGAGAGGGCTATGTTCAAGATATGAAGTTCGTGTGATCAAGTATAGTCTGTCAGTAGTGTCTTTCAGGGTTTCTTGGGTCTTTCACTGTTATGGGCGTCTAAATACACTTGCTCCTTGATTCGGTACAGCCAGAAGGTGAGAACATGCTCGACGACAACGATTGAAATGTCCATTAGTCCTATATTGGGGGAATAGCGGCTGATATTAGTTCTTGAATAGCGAGATAGCACGATCAACAAGACGATTGCTCACCCTGGCGGACTTCGCTACCTTTAACATAGCTGTCATGGACCAGATGTCGGGCGAATCAGACATCACGCGTATATACAGCCTCCTCATAGAGGTTTCTGACCAGATGAGTCACACCCGCTCAATGGCACGATCGTTGCATAACGTAGCAGATGGTGTCAAGGTATGTTTTTTCTTACTCCATGCCGATAGTAACAATGCTAATGCCACTACATGGGAAGGCGCAAGCTGTTCAATCGCAGACTGGTTTTGTTCTGAGGAAGTATGTATTTTTAACGAACAGGTCTCTCCGTGCTCATATTAGCTTACAGATACAACTTAGACAAGTCACAGGGTCTGTTAATTTCAAACCTTGAATATACCATAACTATTGACGCTGTCCTCTGTAGAAGAGTACGATGCTGAACTCGAACGCATGAATGCAGCCATGTCTGCAGAGAATCAAACCCTCGTCAATGATAATAAACAACTCAACGCGCTCATCAAAGAGTACGAACAAACCCTGGAAAACGTCATGGCGACATTCCGAAATCGAGCGGTGAGCCTCACATGGGACATGGCTTCAGACCTCTGACACCCCCATGTAGAATGAAGTTCAACAACGTGAACTTGCTATCATTCGTGATTACGAGAGGAAGTTGCTCATTCGCGAGACAGAAGAGCTTGTGAAAGCGCTAGAGTGTACGTCTTCACAATCGCTTTCTCTTACTAGGCTTGGACAGACTCTGCGTGCCATGACACGGTCCCTCAATGGAGAAGAGCCCGAGTATCTTCCCGAAGACTTCGATGCAGAGGGCGCTTCATCCAACGACCCAAATCATATCGCCTCTTCGTTGTCCTTGAGCCTCCCATCTGGCGTCAACTCATTAGAGCTTAACGAGACCGAGGTGGGCCAGAAGGAAAAGGAACTTGCTGCCGCCGAATGGGCCCTGGAGCGAGAATGCGAACTTGCGCGCCTCGAACGAGAAAACGAACATCTTCGCAAACTGTATGCAGAGCATGTAGGAATGAGCACAGTGGGAGGGGGGAACAAAGTTGTCTTGAAGGAGTTGCCCAAAGTCACTGCTATCCCAAAGGCAAGATTAGTCTCAGCGGAACACCCAGGTGACTCTCAGGCACACACGTCACCTTCCCAGGAGAGGACCGAGTAGATCCTTCTGTAAGTGATATTTGATATTTCTGACTTCGCTCCCTGACGAGTTTGCCATATCTGGGTATTAACTCAGGGTCAGCGTTTGATCCTTGCCCGCTCCAGCATGCTCGACAGCTCACTCGCAGCTAACGAGCTTAGATGACGTCGTAGGACTTCGACGCTGATGCCTTTCTATGACCGTCATATCAATTTGCTCCTGTCATCGTCCCTCCTACGGTATCATCCACCCATTTACCACCACGCAGATGATACCCACCCTGAACCTTCACGTAAAGGTCGAACATGGTTGTAATATTCCAGCATAGCATACATATTGTATGTACATTCAATGCATTCATTCGATCTCCCGTTCTTCATGTGTAATATGGCTTTTATTGGGCTTTTATGAGCTCATTATGCCGAGCTATCACCTGCAAGGCACACAGGCATTCTCGACCTCTACTACGGCATTCTGCGCGAGACTTTGCCCGAGGACGTCACCGCCGCTTCTACCTCTTGGCCGGCGAAAGGTCTAGACACGAGGAGCGAAGTGGAGCAAAACTCCCATGCGGTCATTCCGTCGAGTTCTATCAGGGCCTTGTATTCACAAAAGTGATGATCCAGCCGTTTGTCGGGGTTTCGAAAGCTTGACAAATGGCTTGCGAGGATTCCCCATACCCACGACGCACAGCGTGTATCTTGAGGAGGAGCGTTTATACGTTTCTCAATGTTCTTACCATCTTGTTTCGAGCGGTCAGAAACAATCAAAACTGAATGATCTCTTCCGCCGCAAGCGTTTTATTGCATTCATAAATCATCAAGCCGCGCCGCGTTGTATTTTTCTGAGCGAGTGACGTATGTTGTCAGAAAACCATGGTTGGGAACTGCCTTCCTGGCACAAACCGCTGCTCGGGTCCCCCCTGCCGGGATTGAGTACAAAGACAAATAACGCGGCCAAAACATACATTTTTCGCCCCACTTAACGCTGAGATAGAAATAATCGCAGGTCCCATCCTCGCCCCTTCACCGACAGTAGATGACTCGCTACCCGGGGGCCTGCTTCCCTCGCCGTTATCGGAATCCCTTCTTGACTTACGCGTCTCTTTTTCATTCCCTTTTGACGTTGTCGCATTCACCAAATACTCCAGGATGCCTTCTTATGAGATGCCTCAATCTGAAAGGCTAACGAAGGCAGAGGTGCAGGAGGCCATCGCAGCATATTCACGCGATATGTACGCCTACCACCTTCATCTTTGGAACGAAGCGAGGAGGGAGACGCAGGAAAGAGAGCGGGCGGAAAGTAACCGGGATAGAGGTCGACAGCATCATCGATGACGAGATGGTGTTCGCGAAGCCAGAGAATCGAAACCGTATGACTGTTGCAGTCGCCTGGTGTGGCCTGTCTATATATCACGTACGCTGACAGCTCCATCCTCGAGCTTGATAATACCTGATCATTTTCTAGTTCAGCACAATCGCTATCTATCGCCTTTCAACCGTTCAGATTACAGCAGGGTCGGGCGAAAAGGATTCAATACCCTGCTTCATGATGATTACGACTCACTTGCACATAGTACCCTGCACAGGCCGCAGAGACGCAAGGGTTCCTGGGGATGAGATAGTCCCGCCCATAAGGCGGGGGAAAATATCTTCTCAACTAGTGTCGCTGTTCGGAATGATTTCGAGTTCCCATGAGGTGGAGTGCCGCCTGCAAAAAGCGCCTCACGTTTTGTGTTCGGATCACCAGTACTAGTGGGGGTATTGTGTCGGGAAATTCATGGTCTTCACGGACATAAACGAAGGCCCTCATCGTCCTAATTAAGGCTTGTATAAATAGTTTAATCAAACCCCTGGAAAATAGACCACTGTCAGATAAAGAGTTCTAGATGGGCAAGACCTTGACATTTGACTTGCCTGCCGATTGATAAGTCAACTTTCAACATATTCCTATTCTTCGAGTCGCGCATACGTGGACCTGCACGACTGGCTAACGATGACATCTGGGAAATTTGCACCTCAGGTAGAAGGAATGCCATGGAGACTCATGACGGTCTCTTGAGTCTCCTGGAAGTCTTGTTCGCCAAACAAGAGGTCATCCTACTACCATCATATTACCTCATATATTCTTCCATTACTCACCTTCGCATGTAGCTATTGCCCAGCTCGCCTCTGCATCGAACTTCCCATTGGCAAGGAAACTTGGCATGAGTGGTAACTCAACCGAGGATTTTCGTAGTGTGCGTTGCAGGAAGGGGGAACAAAAGTAAGGGCACGACAAGAAGCACGCCTCCAAGTTGACGTCCCCATACTGCGCAGGTCCTTGGCCGAATTTCGAGCAGCAGAGATGAGGCTAGGTGTTTACCCGCTGGGACATCTGTACGAAGTCCATATAGCTTGGAGCCTATACGGTAGATTCTCGGTTAGGCTGCAGGTCACTCGCCGGAAGCACCTTCGTGACTGCCATATAGCCCCCGTAAGTGGTGTACTCTCCGACTCAATATACATTATCAGCTTCTCATTCGTCAAACAAGAAAAACCCTAGATGCCTACAGGGGTAATTCTGTATTCAACCTGCGAACGCACCACGCAAAGAGTGAATCACGCCCACGAAAGTGTGGAGAATAAAAGTCCAACGTCCGGTCTCTGCATTCAACAGACCATAATATCGGCCGCCGGTTTGGTTGATATTCCCAGAAACACCCAGGCTTCGGATCGATGCAGGAAGATCGAAAGAGCATGCCAGTAAGAAGTCTACCTACTGTGATATGGGTCAGATCAACGAACTCGGTGGGCGCAACAGGTCAGTGTTAGCTTAAAGGCTCAACTTACCATCGCCGTCTTAGCCACAGGATCCTTCAAGTTCTGATATGCTTTCTATACGTCTGCGAGATGAAGCAAGCAACGAAACTACTTCCTATAAGCGTTCTCACCACAGGCACACTGCAGCAATGTCCACAATCCTAGTAACAATGAATGACCTAGGCCCAGGGGGCGCTCCGAATCCGTCAGTCATTCGAGTTCATCTCCTATCCGTATCCTAACTTGACGAAGCGCGTTAGCTCGAAGAGGGAAAGTCTCCCAAGAGAACATACTTCTGGCCAACGATGACCCGGAAGTCACAGACGCACCCTTGCGTCCATCCTCGTTCCCGCTCAAGCGTCGACTTGATCTTGCGACCAGGGACCCCCGGCAACAAACTCTCTTTAATTCCCCTGGATCATCGCACTATTGATCCATATGGGTGCTCTTTCGCTGGACGCCAAAAGTGAACTCGAGGCTGAGAACGTTGTTTTGTGCCTGGGGCCTGGGCGGATGGAGGCACATTCGAGTCTCTGCAGTTCCTTAAGCTTGCAATAACTGTTTTGGATTCGTGTACGAAGCGCCCATCGTATTTCTTCTGCTTGCAATTGCAAGTACCGCACCTCTGTATTTTTCGATAGCACATATCGTAGGTTTGACAGTATGTATATCTTTCTGAAGGTATTCGAGACATATATTCATTTTGTCGAGAGAAGCGGTGTGCATGCATACTAGTGGTACATTGGTTGTGATGAGGTTACAAAGCGGTATGAAAGTAGCAAGCATTGACAGAGAAAACAGCGAACGAAACAAACACTTTGACGAGGAATCCCAAGACGAAAGCAATCAAGAACGAAAAAGAGAAATAAAAATGGGAAGTAAAGAAAATATGAAAGGGCAACGAAATACGTAGCAAGTTTACGGCTATAAAGCTCTGCGGGCGAAATATCTTCACCTTCGCGCGCCCCGTGAATTGCGACTTGGCTCTGAAAGACACAGTTGACATAATAGTGGTGGGGAATCGGTTGGAGTTGCATGTGGAAGTCCAAGACGCCATGATGAAACCCAAGAGTAAGAAACAGAAGAAAGCAATACACCGACAGGTGCAGCAGCCATATCATCCTCCAGCCATCTCAACTTGTAAGAACACCACAAAACCGCGCGTTTAGCTCGTGTCCATGGGGGATCGTGGCCGAGATTTCTGTTGGGGCGAGCTGATGCTGTCTCTTGTCAACTGAGAGCTAGCAGGATGAGGATCACCTCTCTCTCGCTCCCTTTCTCGATCTCGATCTCGATCTCTCTCCCTCTCGCTATCCCTCTCAACTTCCCTCTCTCTAACGCGATCACGTTCACGGTCCAAATCCTCTCTATCCCTGCTCTCTCTATACCTCGCATCCATTGAATATCTCTGCCCCAACGGCGGTCCAGGCGCAGACGTACTATGCCTCACACCGCCCGGCAAATCTGAACTACTCAAACTCTGATTCAATGAACTCCTCGTCGAACTCGTCGGCAGACTCGACTTTGACATCCTGGGTGACCAACCACTTACAGGCGGAGGAGCACCACCGTGATTGTAAGGCGACCCACCACCAACTGGATCACGTGGATGCGGATGACTGCTGAAAGACGGTCGCGAGGGCCCCGAATTTGAAGGGGGAGGAGGCGGAGGTAAAAGATCATGATGTCGAGCTGGAGGAGGGTCAAGACGCATTGCAGAGACAGACAGACGTCGGCCGACGTCGAAAGGAACGGGAGAAGCTGAGTGAGAGCCGGGGACACTTCGTGGGTCGTTGTCACGGTCCACCCCTGGTGAGGAAAGGCGACGTATAGGTTCCGGACGACGTAGGGGATCGATGGCAGGGAAGGTATAAGTCTCAGGTACGACGCCCATTTGCGGCGGATAGCCATTAGCAGCTTTGCCCTTCGTCTTCCCAGTCATATTAGGACTGTACCCTGAGGAGCCAGAACCCCTTGTGCGCAAGGCCTGTTCAAGCTCGTCTACACGCACACGGAGTCCATATACCTCTTCACGCATCGTAGCCACCCTCTTGTCAACAAGACTATTCACAGTCTCATCCAATTGCTCTTGCTGTCTCTGCAAGCTGGCCATCAAAGTCTGAGACTTGTGCAACTGATCCCCAAGCCAAGTCTTCAACTGCTTCGAATCGTTCAAAGCATCATAGAACATCTCAAAGGGTGCTAAAAACGCCGATTTCTCTCCAGAGTACCCTGGATGATGGAACGATGCAGGCGTAGGAGGGACCAGGCTCGTTGCAATTGGCACGTTCGCATCAGGTGGTGATCGACCTAACGCTGCATGTCTCTGCTGCATAGCGATTCTCGTTGGCGTAGGCGGAACCTGACCCGAAGTCATTCTCCTATGACCACTTACTGAAGGCAAAGTCGGAATGGCCATGGACCGACCACTTGATGGAGGTAGACCCTGACCTGTCCGTGGGATAGGTGGCGCACTTTGAATGATAGGTTGCAGTGAACTATCCGATTGTGTATCCCTGGGACTTATCATGATATCAGCAGGTTTAGGTTTCCCTCCGCCTGTCAGTCTTCCTGCACGACGGCGTGAGAAACTGATGGGTGGAGCAGGGAGTGCATTTGCTGGTGGAGCAGGCGGGGGTTGCGAATGTGTAGACACCTGTGAAGCTGCGTGTGTAGTGGAAGAAGGCGGCGGTGGCGGCGGCGGATGTAAGTGAGCCGTTTGTGAAGTAGTTGCAGGCCCAGAGGCAGCTGGTGCAGGTGGTTGTGCAGGCTGAGTATTTGTGGATGTACTTTCTCGACGTTGCTGTGTGGGAACAACCAGCGCTGCAGGGCTCGGTTGACGAGCGTTGGAATACGCTTGGGTCTGACTCGGCGCTGGAGGTGCCGCAGAAGAAGAAGCCACAACAGACCGCCTGGGCCCGCCAACACCCGCAGAGAGATTGGGACTGCGTCCCCCGCCTCGAGTAGTTGGCTTAGGCGTGGAGCCTTGACGTTCTTCGGACCCGGTACGCGGGTTCACGATATTCACAGTCGGAGGTGCAGTAGGTGGTGGTATACCGGCAACAGAATTTCTCCGCTGTTCAATAAGCTCCTTCTGCTTTTGTTTCACGGTGAGCATTGAACGAACCTGCTCCAAAGCGGAGGGGTCATCCCGCTGTATTGTGAAACCCATGACGACAGGAGAAATCCCGTTATCGACCGAAGGCCGTCTGACGTCTGTATTGATCGACTGCGACATCCCGCTGATTGTTACACGACGTCTTTTGGACGGATTTGAGGCAGAAGATGCTGCTTGAAGAGAGACCCGCTCCTCCCGTTGACGAGAGGCAGGCCGAGACTGTGTCGAGGGAGGAACAGCGTCATAGTCTGCCTCCTCCTTGATGCGAACGATGCGAGGTGATCGACGCCCCCTACAACAGAAAAAGTGGATTCGAGCTAAGTGATAAGCATGAAACAGAGCGTAGCAATACGCACTCCGGAGTCCCTCTCTCGTCCTTTTCTCCTGGCGACGATTCGACATGTAAGCGTTTCCTGCTGGGCTGTTTCGTCTCAGCCTGCTGCGGCCGCGGAGAGGCCTGAGCGGGAGAGCCGCGATTGCGTTCAAAGGAGGGTGGTCGATGATGTATGGGGGGTAACGCGTTGTTCGTTTCAGATAGTCTAGCGAACGTTGGGGTCCCACCGAATGTTTGTGCAAAAGACGGGAGCGACTGGGGTGGTTTGGTAGCCATGTCGTCGTGGTCAGTGGGCATGAAGGGGAGTGTGTGGACCGCGGAAGCAAATGCTCTATGCTCAGGAGCGGAAAGGAGAGAGATGGAGGAGGGGCAGTTGGCGGTGCGAGGGAGAGACGCAGGATCAGATGGAATGAGAAACCCTGTTCGAACAGAAGCTTGCCGTCAAATATACTATACATAAATTATACACCGTCGTGGCTTATTCTCTCCTTGTCTACTACAAATCATCCAACTATCATCCTCAATATATTTCACCCATGCATCCTCTATAGCGAGATATGCCGCTAAGACCGTCCAAATGCGACACAAGGACAGGCTCAATACTTTTTGCCTCGGTGTGCGCATACAGCAACGTCCTCTACAGTCTAAGTATCCAAGTATTTCCTCGGGAACATTGCAGACCCATATCCTCGATCCAGAATGCCTCGTTCCCGCGAGTCTGTAATCCCCCCTAGCCGACCGCCATGCATGGCAGAGGCCAACACGTTGCAGCTCCCGGTTCGAATGAATCTTCTATGCACTTATCGTCCATCTTCGTTCGTGTCATGCGTTCGTATGCCACCTTTCCATCATTGCCAGTCTCTTCTAGACTTAACTTCGTGCCGGATCACTTTCAACTGTCCCAGAGCCCAGAGACCAGGAGGGACCTTCCATGCCGCTCAGCTTAGTCCATGTACCCTTGCCTTGTTCATACGAGTATCATGTTCATCTGTCATGATCATCCCCCGTGTCGCAGCTCTTAAATTGATGCCGCAACCACTTTGTCTGTCGGCTTGATGCAGGTGAATCCTCCCCGATGTCCCGGAGTTGCCCTATACCAACAAACCTGAAACAAATGCTGCTTACTCCTTCGCACGGGTTTACAGATTTCATTATGACCAGACTACTTCCGGAGAATCACACGCATCATCCGGTAATTTGGCCCTTCATGATTGCAAGCAACGCCAAGTGGGGTAGTTTCGTACAATTGATCAGTAAATCCTCAAGTTCCATTTGAACCTTGTCCAATAAGCGCAGCGTTTCAAAGCCATGCCCCAACTCGTATTTCAACTCCTGCCCTAGAGTCCCAATATTGCAATAAGCATCAAACACCACGAGGTCGAAGACAGACCGTGATCCAATTACTTGACGCCATTCTTTGCAGTCAGTTCGCCGCGTTGGGTGTGTCAAGTAACTTACTAAACCGCTCTGTATGTCTATGGATTCTCACACTCTGCGAAAGTAGGTTTTTCGGCTACAGTTGGCTCTAGGCGGAATCGAAGGACACGAAAACACAACGCGCGTCCGAATTTTGTACGTCCCATACGTCCCCATGGACCTTCTGTCCGCGGAGAATAAGTCCTAAACACATACCAGTGGCGACTCCCATACGTACGCCATCCGTTCGGAAGCGAACACGGGAAACTTCAAGGAGCCTTTCTTTTAAGATTCCACCACCATCTGCGAATGGCAACAAAGTCTTCCGCCGCCGATTGACCGGTTTAGCCCTTGCAGCTTCTATAGATGATAACCGTGCCCTTATTCCTAATCCATGCATATACTCACGCGTCGGTTCCAGCAGGCTGAGCTATTCCGGGTGCGAACCATGAACTACCGAAAGAAGAACAAGGACTTATGCTCCGAGTCAGGTTCAACGCTGTACCTCAAACTCTGATCTTGGACTGAAGTCTTCTATCCCCGAGCTTGGCTCTGGCTCAGACTGTACCTCTCAGGCACGCTAAGCTAAGACCGCGCCCTAGGACCGATGAAGTCCTTTATTTTTAATGTCTACCGTTGCTGCTCCTCGCCAGTCTGCTGGGGTGTGTACCTCCAGCATGCCCTTGTGATCAAGTGAAGGCTAGGTATCACATTTTCGCATTGCTTCTCAACATTTCTCTGCTCCTCGTTTCAGGGCTGTCAGTGACTCAGCACATTGACAGACTGCGGAGTGCTGCACGCGCTACTTGCACGTACTTATTGTGAGTCGTTTGACTGTCGTTTGTCATCTACTCAGTGTTTCGTTCCACAAAAGCGTCATACAGAAACCAGATGAAACAGGCACAGAGAACGGATGCGTGAAGATATTGAGGACATCAACGGTCAACACTCATGATCAGGAGCTCGTATGACTGCATCCAACATCCACCGCCGGCATGCTCTGAGTACTAATGGAACACCTTACGCTTGTGGCTTAACTTAAATCTAATTCTGGATGATACACGTATGAACGGGACTAGTAATGAAAGCATATAAGAAGCAACACTATAATATGAAGAAAACACGAATAGCAAAGCAAGGCACTCAAAACACTTCTCAACGAACAACCTCCGTTCATCTTCTTCTTCTCTTCATCTTCTCCTTTTTCACTCTTTCCTAGCAGCCTCCTCCATTCTTCGGCTTCAAGCATCCGATTTCCGCTTCTTCTTCCTCACAGCTAAAACAGTAACCGGCCTTGACCCAGCGTCCCCTTCTCCCTTACCTGCGGCACCCACGCCAGTCGTAAGAGCCTTCTCCGGCAACGGAGGATTGTTTACCAAGACGCTTCCATAAATATGCGAGTGGTAGGTATCGAGTGAAGCTACAGGTTCCGGGAATGGGTTTGGAGATATATCGGGGAGTGATCCTCCTCTACGAGGTGGGGTACGTGGTACGTCAAGATAGGTTAAATTACTGGGTCCTGCCCCTGCCTCTGGAGGTGTCTCGTCAGGTACTGGCGTAGAAGACTCGTCGGCGTCACGGAAGAATAGCAAGTGAGCGGTAGAAGAGACCTCGGGCTTGCTGGTTACCGGTACGCTAGCAATGTTATCGCAAAGCCCTTTGATGGATTCTTCCAACGTCTCCGTGGCTCGTATCGCGCGTTCGGTCGTGGAGAATTCGTGGCAAGTGAGTAAGGTTGATACAACCCGACGGACGAGACGCGCTGCGACTTGGCCCGCTTGAGGTGCCAGAGGCGACGGCGTGGAAGAACTTCGGGAAACAGGTTTAGTGGAAGATGTGGAGGGTGGGGGGCGGTCAGAGAGTGCGGTAGAGATACCAAGTGCGAAGAACCCTGTAATGGCCCCGGAGATACACTCTTGACGGAACGACATACGTTCCCAAAATTCGTCTGGAGAAACCTTGTCGAGTTCTCCTATGCGAATGTGATGCTCCTCATTGTCTTCTCCGTGTTCTGCTTTTCGTGTGGGCGGAACTCCCTCCGAAGTGGACGCGGTACTTTCGGGTTTCTTTGTCAAACTAGTCCTGGGTTTCTTTTTCTTGGGGGATTTCACACCATTCGACTCAGTCGTATGAGCCAAATCGTCCATGAAACGAGACTTTGGGTCATCATCAAACGAGGGAATGCAATACCCTAGATGGCGTTCTTGCGAAGCTGCCCGAGGACAAGGGAGTGGGATATCAGACTGGGAGTAAGGATGACCATAAACCCACTGAATCGACCTGGAAGGATGTTGAACAGCTGCCGAATTGATCTTGAGCGAGTATTGAGCCTCGAGTTCGCTATATCCAGGAAGAAGATAGAACAACTTTATTTTCCCGTTCTTCTCCCCACTGCTCCCGCTCTGAAGCTGACCCTCCGCCTCTTCTGCGACTTCAGTGAACAAACGTTTCCACCATACGCAGAGCTTTACATCCGACAAGGGACGCTTCCCAGGAAACTCTGATGAGTTTGGGAAAAGGTACTGTCCTTGTGCCCTCGCAAACAGCTGAACCCACAGGGTGTCCACTGTAATGGGCCTCGTCGCCGGATCGGCATAGTAGGTCAAAAAGGAACGAACAAGAGTGGCTGTTGGTGAAGGATAGATGCCTTGGCCACTAGAATCGACTTTTGAGATGTAAAGGATCCCGCATGAGGTAGCTGGGATGTTATAGACGGAGGCTTCGATGGCCGTCACAAATACTCGGGGTGCATCTGTGGTTGTCTGTTCAGATAAAAGAACGAGAATGTCTTGTAGATATATTCTGGGACGTGGGTGCACGTAAGGGAACAAGCCAGAATGTTTGCGTGGGGAGGAAACGAGGACGTGGATGTGGAATTGTCGAGTTCCTGGTAGAGAGGACAAAGAGGCTAGTAGTGCGTCGCGTAGACTTTGCACACTCATGTGGTGTTACCTTTCGGAGGTTGTATCAGTGAGAGACGGAAGATGCAGAATGCATTCTATGTTGGACGCTGTTAGGAATGATGCCAAAGCCATGAGATGGCAGTTCGTGTGAAAGCGAGTAGTCAAATGATATCGAGAGTCAAATTTTAGGGTATCGCTGTATTCAGTGATTCTGTACAATGGCACTTTCAAGTTTGTGGGTGGCGCAAAACAACATGATGCATAAGCGTAGGGCGTGATTATATACAAAGTCGAGATCCGGCACAGTGCGATATTAGTTGGGCATGTATCCATGATCAGTCCATGACTTGTCTACAATTACGCATTATCGGAGGTACAGCAATAGAATGACAGAAACGATAGTGAGGGGTTACATATATGAGGCGATAGCTAGATATAAATGTTGATGATGATGCAACAGACAAATAAGTGGGATGAAAGGAGAAAGGAAAGTTCGTGACGACTATGCATCGTCCTTCGTCTTCCGATGCTTGCTGGAGAGAATCCAGGTCGGACTATCGTCACGGTCTCCTTTGCTTGAACGTGACATCACAGAGTTAGTTTTTGCCTGTGGAGATAAATTATGGGTATGTTCCGAGGGTTGACCATAAGGACTAACCGACTCCGGGAAGTCTGACAGGTACTCAGTGGTAGTCTGCACCGCAACTGCCAGTGCTGGCGATGGCTGGCAACATACGATGCACGAGTGAGCCCAATTCTCGACAAAAACATGAAGAAACTTACTGCGCTAACCTTGTGTAGGATGATGGGTGCTTCTCGGAAGCCGAGGGACTCCGTCGCCCGTCTGTTGCCACTTGGTGAGAATTGAACATCAGACGAGTACGCCCTATTTCGCAGGCGCTCCCGACTGTTTAGTCTGGAAATCCGGAGTAAGGAGACGCAGTTTGCATATGTAGACAGTATACACGTACGATGCCAGGATGGAGTTCACGTAACCTGAGAATTTCCATGAGCAAGTTTCCTTCATGGAAGGCTAAAAGCTTACATTTTCCCAGAATCCAAAAGAAGCAGAGCCAGACGAAATTCGTTGGCATGATTGCGAACTTCGAAAGAACAAGTCAGCATTGCAACTGATAACACGTAATGTGACGATCTTACCGCAATAACTGCGGTTGTAGCAATGATACTAGGAAGAGGAAGTAAATATTGCATTATGCTAACTAAAAAGCAAAATGCAGCGACATACCTCGTCAAAAGACCCGTGTTGATGCTGTAGAGCATAAGCGTCGTAACCAAGTCATCCGTACTAAGCAACAAGGATTAATACAATGCCTGATTCCATATATTCTATTCCACTTACCGATCGACACCAGTACGCTTCTTTTGCAGATAATAACACATGGACAAGGCAATTACAATATCTGACAGAGCCGCCGCGCCAAGGCCAGTACAAGTAATCCATGTGAGGCTCGAGAACTTGGAGAATTGGCCAAGAATGAACGATTGCGCAGTGAATACCACGCCCAAAGCAAAATGCAGGACTGCGAGGACCACCTGTCCCACACTATCAGTCCACCATTGGAAAACGTTCCGCAGTAATACCCACAATGATAGTGGTGATGTACCAATTCTTGCTCACTTCGTATAATTCAGCTGAGTGAGATGGGAATAAGGCGGGAACTACTCACTTATGTACACCCTGCGTGCGAAGAAGCCCTCCACTATCACGCCAATGATTCCCTAGGAATGCCACTAGTCAGCATTCGCAGTGGGAATAATCTAGCGAAGGGACTCACATTGCAATCCGTCTGCAGTGCCATACTCCAAGTGGTCTTGTCCAAGTTATCCGGGTTATTAAAGTTGGAGATTAGATACCAGTATATCGTCCGTGAGCATAAGACCAGATGAAGAGTATCAAGTATACTATCGAAAAAGTCAGAGTCGCGTGTCAAAGAAACAAGGTTGCTCTTGCAACTCACGTAAGTCCGGCAACCTATAACCACGGACGCAATGTTGAGAACGGATCAAAATGTTTCAATCACAGTGGTCACCCACCATAAACTTGATGAGAAAAGAATCCTTCGGGTATCGTCTAAAAGCTCCGTTGGTCATGAGTTATCATTAACCTTGACCATAGCGTGCTTACTTGTAATATTCATAGCTGTCATAGAGGATTAGTCTGCATGCTACGCCAACATAACATGTAAGCTCACGTTTGCAGTAAAGTGACACCAAATAGCCTGTAGGTTTAAGAACAATTAATACGCGGATTCAAGTGAAGACGTGGTACAACTCACGTCGCGCCCACTATGAGTCCAACAAACGCCGCGCCAAAGGTAGTGCCCACATTGACGTTGTCAATCACCACGTCGGTCATGGTTTTGGAGGAAAGACAAAGGAGGGAAACGAGGGGGGCGGAACAGAACCAGTCACCGCCGTATAGGAATCGGATATATGTATGGAGTGGCAAAGGAAGGCAGGTGAGCCTGGGATACACAGACAGAGCGATTTTCCTTCGCACTTCTTCCGACCATAATATTCGATAAAACGGTTGCACCGGGGGGATTTGATATTGCGCCGCTCTAAGTAAACCCAAAATAAGTCGCTTTTGGACGCTTTTGGAAGAGTCGCGACATTGCCACTCCTGCACAACCTCTTTGCCGGTCCTGGGCACCCAATGTGGCGTTGTCTCCTGTCGTCTTCGGCCACCTACTGGAGTTTACTCGGTCCTCTAGCCGAATGTGGCGTGCAACCTAATTTCCACAACATAGAAACATCAGACGACAGAATTATACCTAATTCAAACCGAGGTCCTGCTTCTCAGGAGTGATTCTTGGTGGGATCGTTGCCTGGGATAGCTCATGGGCAAGCCGTATACGCGTGCGAGTTCCAACTTCCGACACCGCAAGTAAAACTAGTCATATGTCGTCATGCAGGAAATTTTCAACCCGACGAGGACCATCTGGTCACCAATGAGCAACCAATGAGATCGATTCGTGGGAAGCGCCGTTAGAAGGAAGTAAAGTAGCGTTGCCAAAAGTGGCAAGTCCAGTGTTTTCCCCGCGATCTTCTTAGGCTGTAGAGAGTCGCAGAACTTCTCGGGCATGTTTGAGCCATTGAACGCAAGCTCAGGTAGAGCAGATTGATCACACATTACCTGTGTATCAAGCCCTCATCGACTTCCTTACCGTACGTGGGACGGCTGAGGTTGATATATCCAGGCCATGAAGTCACTCAGTGGAAATTGAATGGGGGTTCTAGTGCCGTGTCTGATATATCCGCAGCGACCTATTATCGAGTGCAATTGCGGCTGTAATGCACATCCCGAGTTTGTCGGGCTTGCTTCCATCTGTGGTCTCTTTTAGTCATTGAATTCTTATGGCTGAAGACAATGTCTGTCAGCGGGCTGTTTCGAAGGAGTGCGACTATCCACTCACCTAGCTAGTTAGTTCTATTGTACATGCACCATCAAGTTCATTGCAACAGGAAAGATATTCGTGACATAGTGACAGAATGAATAAAAGATGAGGGGGAAATCAGAGAGAATGTACTATGCTACACCATGCGCTCTATAATTTGACGCCGCAGAAGAAAGTACACAGAATGACAGAAAGCACACAAAGCAATGAGACTCATGCAACATAAGCAAAGGTATCCCTCGTGCCCTCCACTCGCTCAATATACTCCTTTTCCAGAAGATCATCGATCGCCTGCAATCCAAAAAGGTGAGTCCGTTATTTCACACATAACATATTCTAAAAATATCACCTTCTTGATGTCCGGGATCTTGGGGGCAAACCGTTGCGAGATCTGCGCAATGACTTCCTGAATGAGTTGTTGGTTCTTCATCGTCTTTCGCGCCTTCATGATACTGCAGTCGCAAGCCGTCAGCGAATGGACCTGAAAGCCGGGAGGGAGATAACACATACCGAACGATGGTCGCTTGAATCACATATTTGCGATCCTCGTCGACAGTCTTCAGCACATCGGTGGACTCGGCCTTCTGCTCCGCCTTGATCGGCATGTTAAGGTTAATACGAATCTTCTTCGATTTGAAGTCTGGAGGAAGGTTGATTAGAAAGATACTGAAGATACGCAAGAATAACGCACTAGGGTTCAAATCGTACTGATCCGTCTCCTCATTGATGAGAATCTTAGCTTTCACAAGTATGGCCAAGACCTGCTTGAGGGTATCCTTGGTGACTCCCGTCGCAGCAACGAGTTCGTCCAGTGACAGCGTGTCATTGTTGTTGTACTGCACAAGAATAGCCATCTGCCACGAACTCGTCATGAGGATGTACTTTTGATTGAGATAGTTCGTCCTGAGTTCATTCTTCGAGTAGTTCCAAAGCCAGGTGAGTTTCCGTCCAGAATGCTTTTGTTGGTAGTACTTGGTAAAGCGATCGTAGACCGGCAGGATGTCGACGGGGATGATAAAATCAAATGATGGTGGGGTGAGCGGCCAGAAATTCGTTCCAAGGACCATGATACTGAAATTAATGTCCATATCGTCGTGGTTCTGGCTCATACGCTCCTTGAATTGGTCAGTCAGATCTTTACTGAGGCTCATATCTGTATAACTGTTAGCACCAGGGAATCAGTAGGGCTTGCGATCGGGAAGACGCACCTGTGAACATGCGCTGGAGCTTGTTAGTGTACTCGAAACCGCATGCCTCCTTCAACTTCGAGATCATGCTGGCTTCGGCTTCATCAGACGCGGAGACGCCGTGGATGAGTCGTTTGGACAGTTTGGTGGTGTAGAAGGTCTGGAAAACATCCTTGTCCTCGATGTACTTGAAGAGAATCATCTTGCGAACGTTATACATTATTATCAACATAACGTTCGGTATCAATGTATATACGTACCACTTTGTTCAGCGCGGTCTCCAGGTCATCTTCCTCCGCCATCTTGTTGCTCTTCCTGAGTAACGCGTCGGCATGCTTGGCAAGCAGCTCAGGAGACTTGGTAGTCGAAGTACCAGTGGCAGCGTTGCGGTTAACAAACTCTCTGCAAGCCTTATCCAGTGCCGCAACAAAACCAGCCTCACCCTTGAAGCTCCGGTTGACGGTCTCAGAGTTCTTCTGGTGGACCTCCAGTAGGGCATCGACGTAGGCTTTGGGATCGACCTCTGCTGCATCCGCACCTTCACTGACCAATTTCGAGACTGCACTCAGACCTGCTCTCTTCACGTGTTCTTCGAACTTCTTGCGAAGTGGTTCAAGACCCTCGGGTATACGTGCAAGGAGTGCATACATTCTTTGCAAGTCTTCGTCCTTGTCATAGTCGAGCAGATTCTGGAAGCTCTCCCACATGCGCTCCGAGTGCTCACGAATGAGGACATGCTCGCACTTGGAGATCAAGCTCTTGCGAGTGATGGTATTGAGGTATCGCTCCACGCGGTCCTCTTCCTCACGCAACCGCTCGTCCGCCTTCTTGAGGTAATCAGGAACACTGTTCTCAGCCAGGAATACTTCCGACTCTTGGCGATAGTACTTCTCAGTGGCATCAAGGAAGGGTGTCTCAAAGTGCTCTTTGTAGACTTCATGAGAGACCTTCATGATATCGCCCTCATCCAACCCAAGCGACACAAAGGAGTCGACGACCTTTTTCACCAACCCTTGGTCAATGGTCTCTCCGTTTCGTTGTCGCTCAATAAGCCGTAGAATGGCATTAGCGAGCTTCTGGTGTTTGCTTTGAATGTGCATGAAGAATTGCGTCTTCCATTGTACCAGTGCGAGCTGCAAGCAGAAATATTTGTAGGTGTGGTAATGAGAAACGGAAGAACATGCTTACAGTATAAACGGGGTAGATGCCTTTGCGGCCCTCGTCCCTTTCACGCTTCACCCAATGTCGGTTGAGATAGGTGAACAGTCTGTTGATATAGTTAGCACCTGTGGTATAGCGGTCCCATTCCTGGGCGTAATAACGTAGAAGCGCCTCCTCCTGCAGCGAGTCAGATGCCTACAACAGAGTCAATATGCTGGTAGTCACAAGACTTCGAAATGAACGCACATCGCGAAGCGTCTTCAAATGGTTCACAAAGTAACGAATTAGGTTGTTGTACAAGTCCGATCCCATCAGATTTGCACCAGCTGTTAGTGATCATGCGTGTGTAAGTACAAGACGTCCTAGGAAGACCCTATGTCACTGGCCAACTCACTTCGTTGACCAAGCCCAACTGCCTCTCCTGTGCCGTGCATTTTGGATGACGTGCAATAGTTGTAGGCCACAGTGTACAGACTCATGTATTTCGAGTATGATACGCCTGTCTGTAACTTGGTCATGATATGGTCGACACCCTCCTCGAGATACGCCCAAGTTGTGGCGAGGTCGGCATTGGCTGCGGGCATCGGATACTGATTCGTGGATGTGCTCGCCATTGTGGATGAAGAAACAATGCAATGGGAGCACAACAAGAGGAGATGGTGGTGGTAGGAGACAAACCTGCGCTGAGGCCTATCCGCGTCTATTGCGCGTTTACAGCCACAAGGTCAGCATTTACGCGTGCCTCATTGTGAACGCTCATAGGGCATTGATTATTACAAGAAAGCATGCAGATAACGCAAATCAAAGCAAGGTATACAAGGTAGCATTGAGGCACGTTTCAGCGCGTTATACTTTCACACCAGTATGTACAGAAGCAATACCTCCCCACAAGTCTCTCCATGCACCGCCTTTACCCTCATGAAGTCCTCCTGTGGCAAAGCCAGCATCTGCAATCATTTGCGCAAATTCAGGTTGACTGGGGAACTTCCTAATAGATTCTACCAAGTACTGATAGGAGTCTCGATCGCCCGCAAGAACAGTACCCATGATAGGGATGACTGAGAACGACCACTGGTCATAAAGCCTGTACAGATACGTCAGGATGAGAAGGAACGCGCAATATAGGAGAAAAACATGTACATGTTCAATAACGGATTGTTGACTTTGCTGAACTCCAAGCAAGCAAACGTGCCACCCGGCTTCAAGACGCGGTAAGCTTCCTTCAGCACGTCCGGTATTGAGGTGCAGTTGCGAATACCAAACGCAATAGTGTACAAATCGTACGTATTCGAAGGAAACTGTTCCTCAGGTAGAGCTTGCGCGTTTGACTCTATAAATCGAACCTGTGGCGCTAGACATGGGTCAATAAACGCGTCAGAGGGCAAGCGTACGCGACAAACGACTGACTGTTGTGGTACATAGTCTTCTTAAATCTCTTATATCCTTCCTTCAGCATCTCGGCATTGATGTCCACAACGTCAACACTCGTTTCCCTGTCTGCGTAGTTCTCCCGTGCGTAATCGAGTATGCGCAACGCGATGTCACCGGTACCGCCAGCCAGATCAATGCAGCGCAGTGGTCCTTTGCGTCCGGGCCTTAAGGAAGATACATAGTCATCCTTCCATAGTCTATGAACACCAAGAGACATGGCGTCGTTCATAACATCGTATGAAGACGCGACGGAGCTGAACACATTCTTAACAAGGCTTTCCTTCGCTTCCTCCGGTACTGTTTGGAAGCCAAAATGCGTCGTTTTCGTCTCGGACGATCCTTGTTGATTAGACTGAGTAACTGAGTGAGTGAATCTAGTGAACGCTGCAGATGGTCGAACTCGTCGACATGTTGAGTGAAGGAAGGTACGCGACAGAGACTGCATGACGGACGAAAGGTAGATAGATCACAGAAGCGCCCAAAGTCTGAATTTCTATATTCTGCTTTGCCTCTGTAAGACTGTACGCCATCTCGTTCTGACTGGGAACCAGACTTCTCTATCTTCTCCGTCATGTCTGTAAGCAGTCTGGACAAAGGAAAGGGGCGGGAGCTTCCCACAAGTTATCAAACTAGTTCTCGATCTGGGACGTCCTCAGCTAGCGGCTCAGACTCAGAATCAGACTCAGATCGTTCTTCCGATGAGAGCTCTTCAGACGAAGAAATTACGCAAGAATACCTAGATTCACTCTTAGAGAAAGCAAGACAAAATGCTGCTAGATCGTTGCATTCGAAAAGCGGCTCTCAAGACGACTTTGCAGATGGAGATGAGGTAATTCGGTTAAACACTGATGAAGATGAGGAGGAGCAAAAGTATGTCGCATATGTTAACACTATGTTGTACCCTGACATCTTTTCATAGACCATTACCACCATTGGACCCGGGGTCTCTGCCGATGACATACATTGATGTCGGAGATTCATCCCAAGCCGGCCCCTCCAAAGTTCGGGACTTGGATGTCGAACAAGCGGAGAAGAGTACTTCCAAACTGAAAGCACCAGATGTTTCGCGTCCTGTTCCCGAACTCTCAGAGTCGGGAAAGCTTCTGACAAAAAAGGAGAAGAAAGCTGTATGTTCATGCCGCTGTTCCCTCTTGCGGTTGACATCTCACGACTTTGATCTGCTATAGCAAAAGAACAAAACTGCAGGACCGGGATGGTTCGATCTTCCTGCGCCGGCAGAGGCAGACCTTCCAAAACTATACCGCGAAGTGGAAGCCCTTCGACTGCGTAATCAACTCGATCCGAAGAGGTTTTACCGAAAGGAGGAAGGAGAGGGAAAGGGTGTCAAGGGACTTCCAAAGCACTTCGCAGTACGTCTTCACACATTCCTCTTTACAAATAATTCTTCTCACACGGCAAACTGCAGATTGGTACTATTATTCCGGAATCCACGCCATTTGGTACAGCAAGTGGGGATAACCTCAGTCGCAGTCATAGGAAACGAACGTTGGTGGATGAGCTTGTGGACGATGCCGAGGCAAAGAGCTACGCAAAGAAGAAGTTCAAAGAGTTGCAGACGGTTAGGGGCGCCAGGGGTAGAGGGACGTTGGCAGCAAAGAGGAGGAAGCCGAAATGGTAGTGGCATGTCGTCGCTGTATGTCATCTTGCTATCGTCGTTATGCGCTCATGATGTATTTATACATGCTCAGCGCATGTCTTGGTCGTCGGCCGGAGACGTCTGATATATCTTGATCACTGGACCAGTGCTGATTAGTTGCTGAGAGTTGGCCTGAGCACAGGTCTGCAGCTAGGACACCCTCATCGTCTCCATACCACCATGACCCATCGGACGGACGATTCGTTTGAGCTCTATGACCTTCGTGTTGAGGTCATCTGTCCTCCCGGAGAACGTATACTATGCGGTGCTAAAGAAGGCGATCATTTCATCTTAGAAGGAGAGATGCTGCGCTTGCCGCCAGAACAAGGGTTCTCCATTTATTCGTTAGGTACATACAATTTTATGCAATGATTGTAATACCTCGCTCATTTGGCCCTCGGATGAAGCTGCCGTCATGCCATTACTCGCGGCCAAACAGCGAGTCACCTCGCCGAACGACTGGATGACAACTGATACAGACGTTGCATGTCCAGACCCTAATTGCAAGACAAGGTTGAGGATAACTAGAATCGGATTGAGAAGGTTTAGACATGGGGAAACGACTGTGGTACCCCTTCCTAATACGGAGCCTGAGTCAGATTAGGGAACTTTTTGACGGAGATGTACACACACATCAATATTATTAGGTCGTCGTAGATATCCTAACGCTTCTTGCTCGTTGCTCGACTGATACATGATGCCGAGGCTTGAAATCTACGGTACTTCTCAATCTTTCAACTTTCAATACGGCTGCCATATCAGGCAGTAAGTGCATTACAGGCGCTTATAGGAAAGACTCTGCAACCGAAGCGCTCCTGCGAAACCAGCTGCAGGTTCCCAAGGACATTGAAGTTGGCCGTATACGCCATGAAGCCACGGTCACTTCTGCAGCCTATCTTTCGTCGATATGCGTCTCGTCTCCCAGAGAGACCTCCATACAGGGCCCCAGATCCTCTCCTCAATAACCCCCATGCCACCTACCAACAAGTTTCCGAGGACATGACATTCATTCACCGACCACCACCTACCGCACCGTCACCTATATCCTACACCACCAACCCTGCTTCACCACTCTTGCGCGATGCTTCCGGGGTTGCAACCCTACCACCCACTGTTCGACCGGAGAAAGCGCAGCCTCCGCGAATGTCTGACGAGGACCTTGCAAAATTGCGACAGTTGAGGATGGAGGATCCGGATAAGTGGTCAACTGGGAGATTGGCAAAAGAGTTCAATTGTACCCCTGCGTTTGTGATGCGCGTGGCTGCTTTGAAGGTTGCTGACAGAAAGAGGCTGAAGAAGAAGCGGGATGAGGAACATGAAGAGAACCGAGGCAAGTGGGGTGACAAGAAGGCTCTTAACCATGAAGTTCGCCAGCAACGGAAATTGTATTGGTAGTGGAATGCCGTGTCCGCGGTTGCCCTGGTATGTTCATGTCGTATAATGCGTTCAAGGGCTTGCTTGACGATTCTTCAGAGGCCCCCTACCTAAATGCCGATCACACAGTTGCAGTTTACTCTTTTTATTCTATATTCCGTTTCCGTCTGCTGTAATCGAACAAGGTTATCCTATTCTATGCGTCCTCTCCTTCATCAACCTCCAGCCCTTCCATCGATATCCCACCCTCGCCATCTTTCCATCTGGAAATCCCGTACCTATGATTCACACCCTCAAGCTTCGGGATGCAAGCAATGCTACCGCAACCGCCGGTCTTCTTCATGGGTGTGATGTAAATGATTTCTTTGACCCGTGAATGCAGCAAAGCCATACTGCACATAATACATGGCTCGTGTGAGAGGAAAACTGTTAACGATGTCAGAAGATAATGTGAGCCATTACGACGCTCCTCTGGCTCTTTGACACCGGTGAGGTTTGATGAGGGTGAGTCGTTATCCAGTGGTGGAACTGTTTCTTCGTCTCCAGTGGCAGCACGGTAGTCCGCAACTGCCCGAATTGCATTCAGAGTAGCATGCCGTAGTGGATGGGAAGTCGTCCTTCTAGTATCATGAGCAAGGATCGCCTTTTGCATCTGAGTGGCTTCTTTTATCGCTTCATCGTATGGTTCAGGAACGTATGCAACGATCGGATGCTGAAGGATATGTTGTCAATGAAAGAACAGGACATAGAAACACGTCATATGCACCTCTCCATTTCTCTTGATCGATGTCGCTTCTCTCAAGACAGTTTTCATAGCTTCCCAGGCCCACCGAACTTTCCCTCTCGACCATCCTTCGAATTCTCCTTTCCTTTTAGGGGCATAATTCGTAGGCCACAAACTTGATTTCAGTTTCAAAGACGCTTGCGTGAGAGCGACCAATTTCGGTACTCTCACGACATATGGTGCAGGAAGCTCCATGTCATTAGGAAGAGCTGGCGGGTCCGCTGAATTTGACGTGAGGCAGAGCAGGAGAGTGCTGATATTTGAGGACTGGTTCTTTCGTATTCGTTTGAGGTGGGATACTGAAGAGTCTTCGAGGCCGGACGTTCGAAGCCATCTAGGACCGACTTCTGTTATTTTATACGGATGGAGAAAATTCGAATCTCGAAGCTTACCTGAGCATAGTTGCGATCTGCCGCTGGTCAGGAACATCAACGACCCATGCTTCCACTGATGCAACGGCAGAACTTCAGTTTTTACATCCACAGGGCAACACCTGAGACTTACCAGTTTGAATGGTGAACAATTCTTCCTCCTCAGGATCATCTGGAGTTGTCTTGATTCTAACAAACGGCAGCTTGTCTTCCGGGATGATCTCGTCTGGATCGCCCTCGACCAGTTGCCAGGTCTCAAACGTCGGGTTCCTGACATCATCTCGTAGGTGAGACAAGCTTCCCCATCCATGCTCAGGGCCCTTCTCGATAGCGTACTGGATAGACTTCATATCCACAGGATCGAACCAAAGGTTGTCTCCATAAAATATGCACAACTCTTCGTCAGGAAGGACGGCACGAGACGTAGTGTATCGGATGGAGTCTGTATCTGCGTCAATGCTGAAAGATACGTTAGGGGAGTCTGAGTGGTTGAAGAGTGATCCTGGATGGTACATTGGGTTCAAGTTAGCATTGGACGGGAAAAAATCAATGCAGGTACTCACCCAAGCCCAATGCTAGAGCCATCCTGCCATCCGGCCATATGAAGGTATAATTGTCTAATACGGTATATCTTCCATGCTTCTCGTACTCCTCTTTGGTGAACAGAAGAACTGGACTTATTTCGATCAAAGTCCGGGCCGGTATACTCTTGGAGGCTAAAGTGAGTCAGGTTGAAGTGTTGTACTGAAAGATAGGGAAACTGATACGAACCAAATACACCTCGCCCTTCACCTTCGATGTAGACAATGCGGCATCCAGTCTTGTTTAGGTGTTCAGGAGCGAGTCTCTGAAGGGTTTGCATTGAGTAGATATATCGTTTTATGAGCTCTGATACGTACATACTGAGAGCATTGACTGTTACCAGCTTTAGATGATTTCAGTTTGAACCAAATATAAAGAGGCTTGGTAAACTAGTAGCAGGATGACGGTGGACAAAAGGTTCACAAAGTCATAACTACAGTATGGCCGCCGAAATCGTTGAAATTAGAGTTTCGATCCAGGAGCAATCACATCACTCCGTTTGGCGCCAGAGTCGGGGTTGCCTTTTCTGGCTGGCATCCCGACGAACATCCTGCGGATGCGTGTCTTCGATTGTACTTACTTTCTGACCCAAGACGTGACTGTGGGACATTTCCTGCTCTTGGCCTCCGATCCAAGATGGTGTATGAGTCCGTGTATGTTTCGCTTGTTGCATAGCACCTACAGCGCAGGAAGTGGATCGCTGTTCAAGACCCTTCAGCGCTCCGTTACGGTCATTGTTGGTCGTATTCGAATTTTTCTTTTTTTCCGTTCGCCATTTGGTTACTTGCCCTGTAACCGACGCTTTTTCACACTCTTTCCCGAGCCGTGTTGCCCGCAGGACCTTCCACTCTCTGAATCGATCTCTTTTCGCTTACCAATGCGGCTGAGATGTCCATTTTTCGACTGGGTACCTTGTGCATTCACTCGCAGAGCCACCGTGGATATTCCTCCGTTATATCGGAGTATCTATTATTACTGCAATGCGCTTTATATTTCCCTGCACACCTCCTTCTAATACCTTCCCCAAGTATTGAATCACCACAGTAGAAGAAACCACAGCATCTCCGGCCCTCCCATCACAATCCCGTAGTAAGTATAACTTCCGTACGTCATGCCTTTGACCATTGCGATAGTGATCGCCTACCGGGTTCTGAAACACTCTATGGCTGTGCTATTGAACATCAGGGGTGTATTGCACTTCACTTATATATTCGGTCAGGTTTGCGCCCAACTTGCGTGATACTTACTTTCCATCAAATGTGTAAGCTGCTGCTTCTTTGTCCATGACGATCACAGAGGGGGCCTCAGATGCAGGGAAAATCACCAGTGCACGCGATGCCCAGGTATCGAGATGGGTAGGAGGTGAGCTTTGAGAAAGCCTTGGTGTCTTATTGACGCTGATGGACTGCTTTTTTTTTTGTTCGAAGTGTCAGCAGTAACGTTTCTCGTCTACGATGTACTCATCAATATTTCCGATGAGGTGAGTGCACGTGTTTCTTTACAAGTGTGTGCTCAACGAAGGTTTTCATTGAAGGTTGAATACGTCTGGCGGTCAGTGATACAGCTTTCACATTTTTCTTGCGCGAGCCTTACGAATATACACCATAGCGTCCCTAGAACATGGGCATATTGGGCATACCTGTATGTCCGGCATTTTGCTATGATCGCACTCGCGTAAGTGTTTTCCCTCTTCATCCTAGAGGGACGTTGTAACAAGCTCTAACGGTCGACAGCTCTCTGTTGATATTGGCTACCAATGAACACAACCGTCTCGGATTCTCATCCGGAACCTGTCGGGGATGGATTATCTACGAATCTTTTCTTTCAATCTCGTTAGTGCTCCTCGTGGAAGCCATCCTCATGATTCGTAGTGAGTAGAATTTCTGTACTATTGCTGCTGTCTCCGACTGACCGAAGGAATGCATCAGTATATGCTATTTTTGCACGAAGTAAACGCCTTCTCCAAATACTTTCGCTCTTATTTATTGCCGAATGTGTTGTCTCCGTTACCGGTCAAGCATTTTCGATTATTAACTTGTCATTCAGCCTCGAGTTGGGCTGTGTGGTAACCTCGACTCCCCCAGCGTATATGGCGTCTTGGTGCGTCTCCTCATTCGTTCCCCTTTATGCTTCGCGCAGCTGATATTTCGCAGGATTGCCCCTCTCACATTCCAAACTATCCTTTTCGTTCTCACCATTTTTAAATGCTTTGTCACTATGACTAAGAAGACGGGAAGCGATTCCGTGTTGTTTATCTTTGTGCGGGATGGCATATGGGCATACGCGCTCATGTTTGGTATGTGTAACATATTTTTACATGTGGTTTCAACAGATCAACCGCTGAAATATGTATTGGTGGCTATAGCTGTTATGTTGTTAAACTTATTGATGTTTCAGCTAAAAGCGTCACCGCTCGCGCCGCTATGCTTCAAGTGCGTATAGCAGGCTCCGATTGACAAGCTTCTCCTAAATTTTCTTTCAGATGGGCTCTTTCGATTATCTCGTTTTGCGTAAGTATCTTGGTGCACACGTCGGTTTGTAATGATCCTGATTCCTGTTTTCTGCCAGGGGTCTCACGTCTTATTGAACATGCGTCGTCTGCACGCCCGTATCAATGCGATTCCACCTTCATCACCTATGATAAGCACGCAGCCAGACGAGTTCACTTTGACTACATATACTGCGGGTCAATTCAACGGGTCGACGGATTCAGTGCCTCGAACTAGACTTGACAGATCCAACAGTTGACCAGTATGAAATTTCCGGAACACTGTATCATTAAGGTGATGTGTATTCAACGGACACATTAAGGCTCAGATACTCAAACAGACTCTGGACAGTATGATGTATTTGACAGACAGTAACTGTATCGATTGTTAATATATGCTAAGAGGCATTCCTGACTGCGGGCAGTAGCTTTTCGCTTTCCGGCTAAATCTGAAGAACGAAACAATACCAGAAAAGCTCTGGGTACCCCAAGAGTCGAGAAACACTCCTCGACTCTTGCAACTTGCGCGTCGTCACAACAAAACACGCACACGTGATCTGTTACTGTGACGCGTCACTATGGTTCCTCGTCGAAATCGGTTTGCTTTCGCTCTTCATCTAAGCCGCATACCTGATTCTTAAGCACTACCTTGGGTCTCTGTCTTAAATTCAACTATGTCTGATTCTCTTGCGGCTGTTCCGACCAATGGAGAACTGGCCAAATTGACTGTGAAACAACTTCGAGCACTTTGCAAGGAAAAGAAACTTACTGGCTATGCGAAACTCAGCAAACCAGCTTTGCTTCAGATGCTTGGAGCATGTGAGTTTACTTCCATCTGTGACCTGAAGATCAATTTCGCTCACTGGACGCATTCATAGTCAGAACCAAAGAGTCGCATTCGGGAGCTGATTCAACGCGAGATCGTGCGCTCCCTTGCAAGGACTCGAACACGCCCGCTTCTGAGAGACCGGCTTCCACAACAAACTCCAGTGAACCAAGCAAGTCTGCCTTTGTTCCCAATAATGATGCGCCAATCCCTGGTGCCGAAAGGTCAAATCTATTACTTGATAAATCTCTCACTGGTGCTTCTCGACCTAGACAAAGCTTGGAACGGACTGAGACCGCTCATTCGTCTACGTTGAGTCTTCCTACCAACCGCATCAAGAATACTTCGAACGTTCGCAATGTCGAGAACATTCCACCTAGCGGCGCCGAACCACAACAGAAACAGTCTCAGAACAAGTCTTCTATGGTCCCTCGACCCACAGACTCTAGTCCCGATACCGAACTATCTACACTTCCATATTCTAAGAATGCCTTAAAACGGCCTGGTCCGTTATTCCGTCCTCTCTCGTCCATCAAGAAGTCAAAGACAGCGCATACACCCAGCTCTTCGTCGTCTGAAGCGACCTCAGTAGTCGTTCCCTCTGTGAATTCTCCTAGCTCTGTATTCCCAAGTCGTCCTGTGTCGGTGTCTATTCCAGTTACACCAAAAGTGCCTACCAGGGGTCTCGCCGTGGTTAACCAAGTCCGCGCTAGTCCAGCTCAAACCTTGAAATGCACTGGCCAAAGATTCAAGCCTCTCGTGATTAATAAACCTCTGCCTAAAGCCACCTCTCCTTCTGCCGTCCCAAACGATGAACTTTGTGCCAGTAGTTCAAACAACTCCGACTTTGGCCCTCCTGTTGTGGCAGTACCAGCTGTTCTTCATTATTTAGATCTGCCTCCTCCCGCCGACGCCCCCACTTTGAAGCCCATTACAATGCCACCGTCTCTCTCTCAACGAAAACGCGTTCAACAGTGGGCAATCGTATTGAGCGACATAAGACCTGCCGATCGAAGAAGTTGTTGTCTAGTCTGCCGCATGATTCGCTATGCTCGTACGTCCTGCTTCGACTTCCATCGTCTTACGTGTAGTTACATCATGGCGTTTAGTCTATCTTTCTGCAAGTCCCATTCTTCAACGGAAGTTTCCTGGGAAACGTCTTGAAGACGTCTCGCGCCGATACTCGCCTACAATGAGCAACATGTGGCCTTACCTCCGACTGCGTCAAGATGAAATTGCAGAACGCCGTAAGATTTATCACGAATCGTTTCTCAGCCGTATTTTTAAAGGCCGGAATCCCATCGCTATTTCTTTATGGGCTAGCGGCAATCATGAAAACCAATTGAGAATTGCTCTACGGTAGGTATATATAGGTATACATACCGGTCAATACCTAACACGTCACGTCAAGGTTCGTTCTTACTAGGCTCTGGTTCTCTATCTCCTTCAACAGTCAAGAGCACGAGACGTGGTTACATGAGAAGGTCATCGACGTTCAAGAGGTTGTGCCAAACCACGTCTGGAGTATCACTGTTCAACGGGCTGAGGGGAGATCTGCTCAAGTGTTCCATGTCTTGGAAGCAACTTGCGAAGTAGTTGGACGCGCACGCCAACTCTCAAATATGCTAGAAGACGAAGACGACATGCTCCCCATTCCGTTACGAGCTGACTGGTCCGAGTTTATTCATCATCAGTCCTCTAGTAACCTACCCTTGGAAGCCAATTTAAAGTGGGCTCACTACGAAGAATACGACAAGGGGGTCAGTAGGTTATGGCTGAAGCGCATCGCTTTTGAGGGCGAAGTAGGTGCAATGAAGAGACTTATCGCCGAAAGATACGTCTTAGCGTCCGTTATTGCAAATAGGTGAATCTCGAACTATCTGTTCTATAAATTTGCAACTCACCAGTGGTTCAGTATCAGTGGGCGTTGGATGTCAACGGCGCAAATGGCTCAAGAATTCGCCGGACTACCATCCCGAATGGACGTTACCGACCTAAAGAAGGTACCTCAGATGAATCTCTTTGTGCCTGCGTGAGTTCGTCTCTTACTAGTTCCTACGGGAATGAACTATTCGAATCCTTCGATAGTCATCATCACGTCGAGAGCGTGCATTTCACAACAGCGAAACATATTCCGCTTCATCCTGCACTCGCCGTCATACAAACTCCAGACAGGGAGTATTTCGTTTTGCGGGACAACGGCATGGAAATTGGATGCGAGGAAGAAGGGATTAGAGATGTATGGATGCAAATGTTACAATGCAACAACAAAGGTCTGCCCTTGTAGCTCTGCCGCATGTGAACGTATACTACACCCGTCTCTTTGGCATATGACACCACGCGTGCTACAACCACGACTGCTGTAAATACTCCACCAACTTCATCCCTAACCTTACTAAATACGGTGGAAGCTTCTGAGCCAGAATCCCTAGGACATTTGCATAAATCCTAGCTTTTTCTCGGACGAATAGATAAAGGACAGGAGAGAGGTATATGCGAGACACAGAGAATTTGTAAAATAGTTACTCTTGGCAGCACAAAGGTATCAGTTCCTTTTCGAGTTGTTGAGGATGTCGTTGAAGCTGGGCGAAAGTCAATATAATTGGCGCTCGTGTGAATGGAACAACTTGGTGGCGCCAGTCGTTTTGCGAGCTTTCATCTGTCTCTAAGTCTCTGAGTATATGTCCAGGCATATTCCAGTACCTATGCCAGACTGCTAGAGTTGTTTCATGAACTCCATAACCAATACTTTAAACAGGAAAGGTCTGTGCACATAAGTACCAGGTTCGGTTAATTCCGTCGTACTGAAAATGGAATGAGTTGTTGAACTTGAACTGTCCCAGCTAAGCGTCGCTGTGACCTCTAAAGATCTGACGAGCTTCGTACGCACAGCTGCCTCTAGCAACAGGACCAGAGGTGCTTATACGTTCGCCAACGAATACATAAACGTATGTTTCCATTCATCGCCCTCGTCGGTGCGTAACTGATGTCAAGGTGTCTGAAAGAGTATCGCATCTCTGTGCGACAAACATTGGTCAAATCAGGATAGCAAGCCTACTAGGGTCGACGCTTGGACCCGCCTGCATTATTTGTGGTAGGTAACGGGCCACAGGAACTTTGCGCGCACGTGGTCGCACAGTGTAAACAAAGGCCCCTCCGTCAAGATGAGGTTCTTCAACCCATATTTACTCCGCAACCACTACCCCTGCCACTCGGACCATTCTTACACAGAGTTCATCTATTCTGACTCTAACACCGACGTAACAATGTCATCTTCGAGTTACTCAACCTCTGCCACTCATGCCACAGAGCAAGAGGAGCGCAAGAATCAGCTACGATCGCTCTCTTCCATCAAACAGAAGCATCCTGAGGCCTTCCGTAACCGCACAGTGATCTCTGAGATTCCAAACAGACAAACTACTCCTGACAGAAAAGTTCCCTCCCACGAAGTGGCCTTTGGCTCAACCTACGGTCAGTACTGGGTCAATCTTCATTCAATCCTATCTCGATTGAATATCCTTGGCAGATGGGCGCACACCCCACAAACCTGGCATGCACATTCTAATCAAGGACGAAGGAGTGTTTGATTCCGACATCAAACGATGGGTTCGCAATGAATTCAAAGAGAACGTCCTACGCAACTATCCTATCCTGGACTTCGTTCAGAGTGTCTGGAACTACTTGCCAGACGATATCCCAGGCGATGGTTATGTGATTCCTGGAAATCTGCGCTCATGGTACCTGAAGTCTGGAAGATACGTAAAGAGCGGTTTGGAGAACGAGAGATACAGCGAATACGCTGGGGAGGCGTCTGCGTCTCATTGTTTCCAGACGTTATTCAGGGATCTCGCTAGAATCGTGCAAGAGAAAAGGGAAGAGCAGGATGCTGCAGCTGCCGAGGCAGTCAGGGCCTCACGGTTTCCAGGTGTTATGCGATTTCTCCAAGATCGTCCACTTGTAGGAAAGAGAGCGAAGCTGAAGCCTGACTTTGGCTATGCGGCATTGCTAGAGCGTTCCGAGGACCCAATTGCCTGGGAGCCCCTTGGGCTTTTCGGTGAACTGAAAAAGACGGATAAAGGAGTAGACCGTCCGCCCGAGGAAGACATCCCAATATGTCTTTCAGAGTTGTTGAAGGTATTTTTTTACTCGTTTTCATTTGCTGCCAGGACTGATTCATTTTCTTTCATCACAGAAGCCCAAGTCTACTAAGAAGGCGACTCATCCAAGTCCTCCTTCTGTCTCCTCAAAGGGGAAAAAGCGTGCGGAGCCCGACACCCCCTTGGAACAAGGACCATCTTCCAAACAGTTGAAGAGTGGCCATATAGGATCCACAAACTCGTCAAGTGCGAGTCACAGGCGTTTAAAACCGAAAGGCAAGGCTACGAGGAAGGACAACCGTAAGGTGCAAAGAGCAGGAGATGTCATCTCCACTCCTGCATCAAAGGTGGAACGGACATCTAGCCGGGTATCTCAGACTACGGCTGTCTCAGCAACGGCTGACCCTGCTCAACAGGTATTTAATTCACGTTCCCGTTGACTGTATTCTGTGACTGAATGTTTTATGATATGCAGGGCCAATCGCTTGACTCGGAACTCGAAGAAATAATCATGAAGATTGAATCAAGGGAGAAGTCGATCAAGAACCTAACAGGCCACGAGGTCCAGGCAGCCAAATACTTGAACGAACTACTATCTCACGGGGCGCGAAACTACGCGACGGGCTTCCTTGTTGAGAATACGAAGATAAGTCTCTGGTATGCTGATCGTTTGGGAATCATGAAGTCCGTGCAATTCGACTTCCTCGAGGAACCTCATTACCTCCTCCTGATGGTGGCCGCCATCAGTTCAGCCAACGATGCAGCCCTCGGATTCTGTCCCCTGATCGTCGATGGGCCACGCGATCACATTGGGTATGCTGGTGCGAAGCTTAGAATCCCCAACGCACGCGACGTCAATAACGAAAATATTGGTACCGTTGAGCTCGATCTGGATGCAGACGGCGAGAGAGAAATTCTAACAGCGTACGGAACGGTAGGTCGTGGAACGACAGTAGTTCCTGTCACGACTTCCGGACGTACTCGAGACCTCTTCGGATCCGATAAGCTCGTCGTCAAGATGTCCTGGCAGCCGGTTAACCGACGTGAGGAGGGCCATATCCGACATATACGAAGAACATTAGCGAACAGCGACAACCAAGTAGCACGAGACGCGCTCGAGTTTATTGTAGACCTCAAGTGCTCAGTGGCGCTGCAGATGAATGATCCGGCTGTCGACTTTCCCCGTGTTTGCATGGACATGCCTATGCCAAATGATGAGCTGCGGGATTTTCGAATGCTCGCCCTCAAAGAGTACCTTTCTCTCGATTTCATCGACACGGCGGAGGAGTTGGTGCAAGTATTTCGGGACGTTATCACAGGTATGAAGTACTCTCGTTTGTTTTGAAACCTCCTTATCTAATACCTCTACCGAACAGGTCACAATTGGGCTTGGGAGATAGCAAATGTCCTTCATCGTGACATAAGTATAAGCAACGTTATGTTTCACAGACGAGATGGTCGCGTCATTGGCGTGCTTTGCGACTGGGACCTCGCCGAAACCCGAGAGTTCCTTGGTGAAGACGATGCGACGTGGGTGGATGAAGAAGAACTGCAATCAGTCAACGAGATGAAAATTGAAGGCCAACAAGGCCAGTTCATTGACCTCGGAGACGAGCAGGGACAACATGACGGCACAAATGTTGCCACCCAGAACGACGACGGTATCGATGCTGCCGATATTACGGCTCGCCGACGTAGGGCGAAGTACCGAACCGGAACTGGACCGTTCATGTCTCTCGAGCTGCTCGGGCCCTCAGAGAAGACACCTACACATTTACACCGCCATGACTTGGAGTCCTTTTTCTGGGTCCTTGCATGGTTTTGTGCAACACACGATCCCGTCGCTCACACTTCCCGTCGAGTCGGCGAATGGATGCACCCAAAATTATCCCATGTTGCTTCAGCGAAGCAATCTTTCCTCTCTGAGGAGACTGCGCGCAAACGGGTGTACGGGCAGAAGCATTCGCGTTACGCTTCTCTAATTTCAGGTCCGCTTGACAGATTGCGTTCGGCCTTCAATGCCGTCAGGCTCAGAATCGATGTGGTCAAACATCAAAGGAACGAGCTCATGCGCGCACTGATAGACGACAACTCTGAATGGATAGAAGAATGCAGAGAAAGCATCACAATGGAATTGAGAGCCGTAGAAAGACTTGTTTCGTTCAGAAAATTTATGCAATGCCTTACTCTGTAGAATAGGATACTTACTACACCTCCCTTCATCATCAATTATTTATCGACCCTAATTCATTCAGTAAAATTGAGATGACTTCTGACAAGATGGTTTGGAATTGCCCACACTACAGAAATGTATATAAATATCCCATAGACCAGAAATAAGAAGAACATATCATAAAAGACTATCCAATAACACAATCATCCTTCCTCGCAGCTTTCTCCGCCTCCTCCGTAGCGAGAATCAACTTCTCCTCATCGCTCAACAACCCCTTCTTAGCCCGCGCCTGCATGGCTCTCAGCCTGCTCTCGCGCTCCGCCTTGGCTCGACTGTGTTATAAAGTACGTGATGATAAGGTAATACACGGGCATCGGATGATATGGATACATGGGTATGGAGTCGCGTGTGTAGCGGGGGTTGTGTTAACAATACAAGTGATGGTATGGTATGTGGTGAGATGCAGGTGTGTGTTCATGCCGTGGTGAATAGAGGTCGTGGGATGTATGCCATGGGGTTCGTGTAAGTGGATTTCGGAGCGCAGCGTTCCGGGGGATCGTTATTAGGAGTTGCGGTATCGTCAGGATTATTATCAGTCAGGGGAGGAGTTGCAGGAGACCTATAGATCTATGAGTGATCACTGAGACCGAAAGGGATGAATGTTACTCACCGATCAGTAGCAGAGAAAGGGTTTGTTCGTGAAGACGCAGGCTTGGCAGACGAAGATGGCTGGGACGACGAAGTTGTCGCGCTGGAAATAGCAACAGGCTTCGACGGCGCGGGTGGTTTGTTCTGCGTGGTAGCGGTAGTGGCGGTAGGTTTATGAGTAGACGCAGATGACGTGTTGTTCATCGCGCGCTTGATGGCAGCCATAGCAGCAGCACTCGCAGCGGAGGTGGGGTTGGGACGTGTGTTACCGAGGAGGTTGGAGGATGAAGACGAAGCTGGGGTATTCGACTTGGAAGGCGTCGAAACGCAGGTATGGGTATTGGGGAATCGATGTGCAGGGCAGAATTGCTGGTTACATTTCTGTATAGCGTCGAATTAGTCATCTGAGACGATCGTACACACAGAAGAACAAACTCACATCACACTTTATAGGTGCCCACAGGACCTTTCCGCACTTTGGTCGTGCACAGTGCGGTGTAGATGACGATTTGCCCGACTTTCCAGTCATGACAGAGCATTCATTGTTGAAATGTCGCTCCATGCGAATGTTGGGATCCACGCCCGGAGGAATAGCAACGGGGGTATTACATAGAGGACCTACATACAATATCAGTCTTGAGCATCAAGATGAAGGTGGACTTCGATCACTTACATGGAGGTGCTACCCTGTTATGTTTGCTCTCGTCGTACTTCTCGCACTTATGAGCCTGTGGACGGAAATGTTCGCCACAGAACGCATGGCCACAGTGCTGACATTTGAATGGCAAAAAGTCGACCAGATGACAGAGCTCCGCTGAGCATTGCTGTCCGATGGACAGAAGTTGAGCATCTCGCTCAGAATTGATAGGTGTCGAAATTCCAGACATTGTTAGAGGCGATCGTAGGTGGTAGTAGTGGAAAGAGAAGGGCCGCCGTCAGCCAGAGATTAATATTTGTAGTCGAGAGAGGGACGCGCGTCGCAGGCCACGCAAGCCTGCTCGTCGTTGATCACTGCGACAAGCACTGCTAGAACGGTCACCAAGCGCCCACAACATTCATCCGCTGAGTCAGCGAGTGTAACCACCTTTTAGGCAGGCATAGTAATGGCGCCCAACGCTGAGCAAGCCAGTACATCTTTACGCAGTTGTTGCACCAATTGAATCGCTGAAATTTCACGCCTTATTAGTGGATAAGCAGGTAACAACGAAATCAGAATCATCTACATAGGGGTAAAGAAGAAAACTCATACGAAGTTTGGCACAACGGTCGAAGCCTACATCTACAGAAAGTTGAGCCAACAGCTTCCTAAATAGTGTAAACGTAAGCCACTTCAAGAAACATCAACTGGCTATCCGATATTTCTATAGTCAGTGTCACGGAAGTGGAAGGTTTGACTTGACTCTAGATCGACTTGCATCTTTAGATGATGATAAAGGCTGTTTCCTGTGGATCTTCGTCGAAGCAGCCGCCGAGCTAACAACAGAAGTAGTCTGTGCCTGTAAACCAATTTTTTCCCACTTCGAACTCGAACCTTGCGAGTCCTGAAACTTCACTACTCGTTCTTTCCCGGCATCCACAAAGGTCGACGGCAACCATGCTACTTTGTCAAGATGCTCGCCCTTCCGCACGGCGATCTTGAGCAATCGCAGGATATCACGAGCATCAGTGTGCTGTTTCGCTTGGAAATCAAGTCGATAGGATGCTCGATGATCGCTCCACGCCTGCAACTTGAGCAAGAGGAGAGGGATCAACGGCATCACAGGAAGATCACTAAGGTATACGATCTTGTCGGTTGGGGTGAATGGTATATTCATGATTCCGGGCGTGAGGACATCGACCTTGCATGAACGTCGGTACCCTGGCAGTCTGTAGTAGAGCACCCTCCAGGTAGCTCCGATTTGCTTTGATGCTCGGGTGTAGAAGTTCGAATTCTTAGCGACGAGGAAGTTCTTCAGACTTTCTTGACCATAGCTGTAGGTCACCACGACCAAGTCCACATCCTAATGTGTTATTCATTAGTAAAGGAGCAGATAAGAGTTGCCGGAGTGGAGTCTTACACCCGGAGTGCGTATGCATCCATAGAGAAGACATCCTACCCCTCCAACCAGGCAACATTGAAGCCCCATAGACGCGAATATTCGGGTTGCTTCTTGAGCAACAGAGAGGACTTCAGATGAACTTGGACTAGCCATCGTGGTCTGGGTACAGAAGAATCAGAGATACAAGAGACGAAGCCTTGGGAGCCATTCCGTTTTCGAGGCTCATGATAGCCAGATCAAACTTATCTCTGTGAGAATCGGTTGTTCACGAGGTCAAAGAAGCAGAAGACATGCATGTAGGAGATAGAGTTCAAAGTACTGGTCCCGAGTAACTCGGATATCGGAAGAAGAGTCAATACTAATCTACAGCTATCGGTTCATGTCAGTGAACGAACGTTTCATGATCGTTAACTGCGGCATCATGTACACTTACTTGGTTTATCTTCCCTCCAAGCTCGCACAACGTTCCGCGTTTGAGATCAACTTACGAAAATGACCACGTCAGCCGACAGGGTACATGTGTAGAGCACATTGCATCGGAGTCATGTTCCCGACCGTGACAAATATTCGGATGGGAACGAATCGAAAGCTTTTACAGGAACCACCATGGCCCCATTGCTCACCGTCACCTTCGTAAGTAAATTCTATGAGGTGAAGAGATTAGGTCGAGGCTGATGGAGTAGTCTAGGTGAGACACGGAGAGTCGACCGATAACTTGGTAGGTACAAAGCTTGAGCGTCTCAGCCTAAATGAGGTATTTCTCATTCGCTGCCATATTCAACGTAGCGAAGTGTATGGGCTGGGTGGAAAGATTCACCTCTCTCTAACCATGGTGAGTGCTCCTTCAATATATATCGTTTCCCGGTTAACACGGAAATGTAGGTATGAATGTATGCAGTTTCTCAGAGCGTAAAACGATCCGCTACTAACGTGAACCACACACAGCAAGCCAAGGCCGCCGGTACTTCGCTCTCAAGTATCCGTTTCGCCGCAATCTATGCTTCACCTTTGAAGCGAGCCTACTCAACCGCAGAAGCTATTCTCGAAGCACAACCAGAGCCCAGACCACCTTTAACGCATTCACTGCTACTCCGAGAGCAACATTTCGGTATAGCAGAAGGTCATCCTTGGCTCGTAGCTCTAAAGCCAGGGGTTACCCTCGAAGAACATTACACTCAAGGAGTCTTCCCCGTGTTACATCATCGTTCAGATAAGTTCCCCGAGGGCGAGAGCATAGATGACCTTGCGATTCGAGCCGACCAAGCAGTTCATGAGCTTATATTGCCTCGCGTTTGGGCGACAGCGAGAGAAGGTATGAGGGGAGCTCATATAGTTGTCGTTAGTCATGGGCTGTGTATCAGCGAGTTAGTGCCAGCATTGCTGAGGAAGAATGCTGGTCAAATTGCGAAGGACGAGTACCGAGGACTGATGAATACTGCTTGGACGAGAGTGGCGGTTGATCTTGCGGTCAGTCATCTCCACACATACTACAAAAGTTACGACTTAGATATTTTGGCACAGGATTGGACAGGAAACGAACCTCTAGAATTTTCAGATGATAATCCTCCCCCTTTGATGATCAAGGTGACTGACTTCAATCGTCACGAACATCTGGATAAGGTGGTATGTGGCATATATTTCTCTGCCAGTTTATTCAAGATAATAATGCTTTTTCTGTAGAAACGACAGAAGGGTGGTATTGGTCGTGCAGCATATGACCCCAAACAACAAGATATCCGAGCATTCTTCGGCGGAGCTGCAGTGAAGCCGATCGAGGAGGGACGTAGCGAGAGCAATGTCCAAGATGAAGCTGATGTAGATATCCAATAGATGCATTCGGTAGATACCCGACGTATGCATGTGTGTACAGTGTTACAGGCGAAATCTTGTAAAGCATCAATACCAGGTTGTAGAATATGTGGACGTTACATACAGCATGTCTCCTCCGAATTATGGTGAGCCGTAAGGCAGAAGCTTCTTCAACGTCGCGGTTTGTGTATGATTTGAATACGCAGTTTTCGACAGTCGGTTCTTCTGCGCGGGGCTCTTGTTGACATTCAAATGTTTGTGGTACCCGTGGGCCTACAGCGAAGTTCAAGCAATTACAATATAAGTCTCACGAAGTACATACACGCTTAAATATTCCACTTGATAGCGACCGCCACCTCTTCTTTGCACCACTGTGTGACTTCAACTTTGGGAATTGCTGAGCGGCAGAAGTGGAGAACAGCCGTGCGGTAGACACAAGTCCATTGAAAAACATCTCGAGTATATGAGGTCAAATTCTAATGGCTAGTCTCTTTGAACCGTTGGGTGTGCAAAGCCCAACAATGGGACGAAACAGAAATGACGATGGGTGTAAATGAAAGAGAAAGTCCTAATTCGGCGACGCGTACCCAGTGCGTAAACGCCAAGCCTGATACGTTCGGACACATCTATCCATTTCACTACCACTATGTCTGCAAACCCAACTAACCCCCAGGACGATGCTGATAGAGTTTGCAGTCCCTAATACGTGATTGTGTTCAGCTGCTGATAACCACGTTGTCAGATTCGTTTGAAACGTCTTGCGAAGTTGCAAGGCGCAGTGTCGAGCTCACCGAGCCCTACACCCCAACTCGCTGGACCGTCATCTCCTGGACCATCATTTGTACCCACACCGGTCAGGACGCCAACACCAGCAAAAGCAGCAGCTGCTCCATCTCCGAAGAGACAAGTAGAGACCCCTGTGACACCAAGTCCCGTACCAGCCAAGAAGAAGTCGCCGGCGACTCCTGCGCTTCTTGATATTGCTAGCTGGGAGGACGAGGTGATCGGCCAAATCTTTAATGTGACATTGAACGTAAGCTACTGCCCTTCATGCACAACTCCCTGGCACGATGCTGAACTCATGTCAGAAAGACGCCGCCGAGAAGAGTGGTTGGGAGATTGTGTGGCTGAAACATCTTGCCGAGGAATTACAATCTGAGGTCTCAGGTATGAGTCCACGCAATACATTCAGAAACAGTGCTAAACCCGTAGTAGATGGACCCATTCCTTTGTCTGCAGACATCGCAGACCGTTTGCTCATCTCTCGATTGGAGCTCGATCCACAAACCATGACCGATGATCTTGACTATCTTCCCGTACTCGCATCATTACCTCCATCTCAAACAGTATTTGAATACTTGGTTGGGTGTTGGAGACGCTTGAACAATGTCAAGTCATCTCTTACCAGGAAGGGTTATCCACCCGTTCAGACGCAGCAAGCGGTTGCCAAACTTGAAAGGGTTAAGGACCTTATCATCAGTTATGCAGGGTTGAGTTTGCAAGAACCGGACATGTTTCCCCAACCACTGGGGTAGGCTCTTGTCCCGTATGTTCACAGTCTGGAAAGCTAACGTTCACTCAGGAAACCTATTGGGCCTATAGAATTGGTGACCCCCCTCCTGTCCTTGTCTTCACTGTCTACACCTCTTCTTTCGGGTCCCACAGACTCGCTTCTTTCACCAACTGAAGTTGAGCCATTCTTGCAAGATCTCGCTCGTCGTTTCGAACCCGACAACGAAATCGACGACGTACTGGGCCCGGTTGTCCATGATCTATGCTTCCATCCTTCACTATTCCGCCCAGAAGGTTTGGCCGGAGGGGACTCAAGCTGGCGTGGTGTCATCAGTGGTCTGGAGGTGCTTGTTGGTGTGAAGCCTATTGCGTGCATGATCACAAGGTTGCCACAATGGAATCCACCCTTGGCGAAAGCACACTCTTTCGAATTTACTAGTTTGTTCGGCCCCCTTTTGCGATTGGGCGTATTTAGTAGGGAATGGGTGGGTTATTCCGGAATTTCTGGTCCATGCATTGTTCATATCACCCCATCTTGTTCAGCCTTCTATTACGCACACATATTTCTCGAATCCGACTGATCGCAGACCTGGAGAGCTGGAATCAGCCATCGCCAGTCTCCGAGGGACGTTGAAGAGTCTTCAGGTAAGTTCTACAAATGTCATCAACTTCTCCTATCTCACCGTTCGCAGTCTTCTCTGTTTCAAATATTCAACACCCTGGTTCGAGCATCCGCCCAATCTCGTGAGGCTGTGCTTCAGTACTTCGCCCGGGTTATCTCCTTGAACGAACGCCGAGCAGGCATGCAGGTGGATCACACCACTGTGGCTTCGGATACATTCGTGGTCAACCTGCAGGCAATTCTGTTCCGGTTTTGCGAGCCATTCATGGATGCGAATTATACTAAGGTGAAGATCTATATCTCCGTCACTTGAGACTTTTTGCTTATGTTGAGATTGAAGATCGACCGTATCGACAAGGACTATTTCGCTCAATCTGACCGTATCAGTCTGAAGGATGAGACCCGGGTGAATGCTACTGCTAAGGAGGCAGAGGAATGGCGACAGCAGCAACGAAGTGGCGAACGTAAGTATTTGCTTCCGTTCCTCGTAAGACGCTAAATCTGATTTTATGCAGCCAAGCTGCAGAACTTCATCTCGGATATCTTCTACCTGTCCCTCACATTGTCGCATTATGGTTATTTGAAGGCGATCTCCAGCTATGAGGAGCTTCAAAAGGAGTATGGCGAAATGACTCGGCATGCGGAGATGCTAGAAGGTGACGGATCGTGGAGAGGTGTATGTTATTGCTCGTGCCACCATTATCTGTCCACCACTGATAATCCTTTACATTCATCAGTCTCCTTTGCAAGCCAGAGTCGAATCTGCTCTGAATGCGGTAAAAGTATGAGATGTGCTGCAAGATTACAGGAACATAGCTCACTTTTTTGGTATCTTTCGTTCAGGTTGAGCAAGAGAAAGTCAGGGCGATGCAGCTTGCGTACCAAACTCAGTTGGCCGATCCCGAGCTTGTATTCCGGTCTATAAACTTCACGAACTTCGTGTCCACATGGATCATCCGGTTTGTCGATCCCAAGCACAAGCACCCTAATCCGTTGGTAGAGTGAGTGCTTTTGGTACTGGTTGTCTTGAAGACATAACATGCTAATGTATTTGCTACACAGACTGCCGTTGCCTCAGGAGGTACCTCTTGAATTCCGAGTGCAGCCTGAGTTTATGCTCGAAGACGTGATTGATTACCACGAATTCATCATGCGGTAAGTTTAAATCTTACCTCTGTTGAATGCGCTGATTTTTACAATGACGTTTGTAGTGAGGCACCACAAAGCCTAGAGCTTTCTGGCAAGACGGAGATACTTATATGGGTGCTTACATTCCTGACATCGACGTGGTACATCAAGAATCCGTTCTTGAAGAACAAGATGATTGATGTTGGTAGATGATCTCCAGCTTTTCGGCGCCGTTGCTGACTACCTCATTTACAGGTTCTGAGTTGGGGTGTAGTTTCGTACGATGGACGGAGGAGCATACTGAACACCTTGGTCAACACTCATCCTCTGGCTTTGAAGCATCTGGTCTCTGCCTTGGTACACTTCTACATCGGTACGAAATTTCAGTGCCGCAGTCTTGATCTATACCATTTGCTTACATTCCCAATGTCCAGAGGTGGAACAGACTGGTGCTCACTCGCAATTCTACGACAAATTCAGTAAGCAATCCTGTGTTGTGTATGGTGAGAAACATACTGATCATTATTGTAGATGCTCGGTCCGTATCTTTGTAATTCATTCCAGAAATCTCCACTAACAGTCACTATAGTCGGAGTATTTCTTACGTTTTCCGTGCGATCTGGCGCAACCCAGATCATAGGGATGCGCTCAAACGTCAAGCTAGGTAGGCCATTTGTCAGTCTATTTCCGTAGTCGGTACTCATCTTGACAATCTCAGGGACAACATTGAGAAATTTGTACGATTCGTCAACCTGATGATCAACGACGTAACATATCTCATGGACGAATCCTTGAGTGACATGGCCAAGATCCACGAGATCCAGACAGAGATGGCGAATGCGCAAGAGTTCGCAAGGCGACCTCCTCAGGAGCGTCGTGAACGCGAGGGCACCCTACGGGGCCTTGAACGACAAGCAGGAATCTACGTACAGCTCGGAAACTCCACCGTGGCCCTTCTGAAGGAGTTCACGGCGGAAATAAAGGAGCCCTTCATGGTTCCCGAAATCGTCGATCGTTTGGCTGCCATGTTGGATTACAATCTGGACGCCCTTGTTGGACCTCGTTGTCAGGATCTCAAAGTCCAGAATCCCGAGAAATACAAGTTCAATCCTAGAGGACTTCTCAGCGATCTCTTGGAAATTTTCTTGAATCTTAGTGATCAAGGAGAGTTTGCACGGGCTGTAGCTGCCGACGGAAGAAGCTACCGCAAAGAACTCTTCGAGCGAGCCGCTGCCATCGCAAGGAGGCGGAGCTTGAAGAGTGACGATGAGATTGAGAAGTTGAGATTGTTTGTCGTTAAAGTAGAAGAGACGAAGGCGACACTTGAAGCTGAAGAGGATGTAGGGGAAATTCCCGATGAATACCTCGGTCAGTCTTCTAAATCGTGCAATGATCATTCGGCTTATGCAGTTTCCTTAGACCCCCTCATGTACACACTCATGCGCGATCCGGTGACATTACCATCGTCGCACGCAGTCTTGGATCGATCCACAATCAAGTCTCATTTATTGTCGGATACCACAGATCCTTTCAATCGTGTGCCGCTGAAGCTGGAAGACGTAATTCCAAGTAAGTTTCTTCCCCTCGATAGCAAATCCTTAACCATATTGATTGTCACCTTCGTAGACCTCGAGCTCAAAGCTCGCATAGATGCTTTCTTGGCTGAAAGGCGCAACAAGAACACTGCATACGACACACCGGCCGAGAACATCGTGAACATGGACACTGACGCAGATTAGAGCAATTCATTCGCATTTGTAGCATAGTAACCAATATTGGTTTGTATATCTGTACCATTGATGAAATTTTCTGACGTTTGTTCTGAATTTTGACGAAAACGATGTTACAATCCGATCCTGCTCTGGTGAGCGACTACCTATGAACAACAATATTACAATACGAAATGCTGAACGACGTTGATAGATGCATATACTACAAAGATGATTTATGTGACGTTGACGAAAGTCCCTGAGTTCTATATATCCTCGCAAAGGGAAAGTCTGGCCAAAGGAGGTCGATGAGCGTTGTAAGCGTTTAGCCTAGTCTTCATAGCTGACGACATTGGGGCTCCAGAACGACGCGCTTGGCGTTCGCTCGTTGGGCTTGCCGACAGGATGGAGTCGTCGCTGGGAGGGTCACTGAAATCATGATCCTGTACCCGACGCATAGCAGGAGAAACCAGCCGGTGTGGAGTAACTTGTCCTAACCACGGATCATCATCTGAGGAGGGTTCAGATTGCAAGTGCTTGCTAGGCGTAGCGAGCATGAGGGAATCGTCTGGACACCATAATCAGTAACATGCCCATTACCGCAGGGGGAATATGCTTACCGCTACCTGCTACCTCTGTCACCATATGCCTCACAGCTCTCAGAGGAGATGACGAGCGGCTACCATTCGAACTCAGAGAACCACTCGAGACTCGTCTTCTCTTCTTTGAAGAATTGCTAATTTGTTGGAAGAGGTTTGGTTCAGCCGAAAGCTTTGTTGCAGACCTTGTTCGTCGTAGCGGGACTTGTGAAGAAGAAGAGGACCCTGGCCTGGGCTCGGTCAAACTTGAAGTGCGCCTGCGTACTTCTTTGTACGTGAAGACTTCAACAGCATCCATAAATTCGCTCTTGCGTTTTCCGGACCTCTTCGGTAAGGCAGAAGCGGATTTGTCAAGTTGTGGTTCTGTTGAAGTGTCCGGTTTTGCAAAAGAAGTTGACGTTGCTGGAGAGGCCTCTGAAGCAAAGCGTACGCTTCCAGACGTGCTCGAGTATAGTTTTCTCTGGCGTTTGACTGCGGGCTCATGGTCATTGGCATCAGGGAGCGATCTTTTCTTGCTATGGGCTGGTACCATTGAAGGCGAAGCAGGGGCGCTGTTCAAAATCCTCTCCATGACGGAAGTTATATTGGGAAGCGGTGACCGATTCTCTTTGTCGGACACGCCACGAGCTGACAACCTTGCCTCGCTGCGCGGCGTTTTCTTTGGTGTCACAGGTTGTCGTCTGGGGGACGAGGGAGGAGTGCCGGCCGGTTGTAGCAGCAGAGATAATTCAGGTAATGAGGTTGTACGAGGTCGAGAGGGTGTCAACATTCGAGGTGATGAAATCGGCGTTGTCAATTCGATAGGATCATCGCGAGTACCATTCTGAGCTCTCTTGGATGGAGACAAGTCGAATGGTTCCTGGAGTAGACTGGGATCAATCTCAATCTCCGGAGAGAGAGCTCTTGCAATGTCGTCTTCCGATTCCAAACAGGCCAATTGCTCCTCGACCTCCTCAGTCTCAAGCCGCTCAGCTTCGGGTTCGATGCTAGATGGATACACCACTTGCAAGCACATGACAATCTTCTCAGGCCATCCATCTTCAGGTTCAGACGTCTCTGCGAACTTGGCCTGCCAGAAGTCATCAAAGGAGGCCTTAACATCCGCATGTTTAGAACCTGCCCCAACGAATGCGGCATGCAGCATGGGTGCCAGGGTGTCGAGAGTCTTCACGGAGCTTGGAAGCGTTTGGGCTGAAAGGAGAATGGTTTGGTACAGGTGGGTGACCTATAGAGATATTTAGTCGGTTCATGTATGAACAGGCGGCAAGCAATTTACCTCAGGTGAGTACTCTGCGCTGAGCACCTCATGGTCGTCAATAATCCAAGTCGCTACACCCTCAGCAATAGTCTCGAAGATCGTGCCTACAAACTGTTCTGCAGCGGCGATTGTGTTTGTTAGGGTGCGCAGTAGCCAGATGGACTTGATGAGGTCCCTAGGAGCCGGCGGGTATGAGGTGAGGAGAACATCATTCACGAACTCGAATACTTCTGACGGCAGTTGTCGTATCTCAGATAAGTCGAGATGACTCAAGAGGACATCTGCAACATGGCTACCAGCCGTGACAGTTGGAGAATGATCCGAGAGGATATATGCGGCAACTTTGTCAAGGACAGAGACTGTGTCGACGCCAGAATCCAGAGCTTTGTTGATGGTCAGATCAAGGCATTCTTCCCACACCTTAAGTTCTTCATTTGAGAGCTCCCAAGCGCATGCGGTACTAACGAGATGGTCAGTTCCTGGAGGATTTTGATGTCTGAAAGATAGCTTACCGGAAAGGCACAGTAAGAAGTAAAGCTCCCATCTCCCATTGCATCTCACCAAACTGCCATCGCTTTAGGAACTGATTCCATACCAAGCTTTTGACGGCAGTGGACCATTGCCATTCACGCCGTCGCTTCCTAGAACACTGTCGCCCTTCCCAGAACACATCAAGTTCGCTGATATCACACGCGAAGCATACCCTCGCACACAACGAAGCCCACTGCTCGTGAGCTTCATCGACCCCGTCGACGTTTCCTACGAGAACCTTCTCTTCCCGAATGAGGAATGTCACAAAGTGCGGTGCAACATTGTCGAGGTGATCAGAGAATACGTCGACAACGACGTTCCAGAGCTCTTGCACCAAAGTGAGTTTCAGAGCTAACTTGACGTGAAGTGGTGAGGTTGATGGGGGTTGCGTCTTCTGGTGTTTCTGACCGTTGGAAGGGCTTGGGGCAGGAGGAAGTATGAGCTCGCCTCCACCTTCCTCTTCCAATTCAAAAGCGAAATCGTCGTCGAGCAGAATTTCGGCAAGTACATTGACAGCTCGCCCCGCGAGATCTTGCTGGGCACTATCGTCCCCTTGTCCGGCGAGGAACTCATATCTCCTTTTCAAAACGTTGGTCCAGATCTCTCGAATTTCCTCCTGTTGAAAAAACATCATCAATACCGTGTACCAGTTCGCACGAACGAGAAGCTTACCGGAAGGCCATCTGTGATTACAACAGACTTCAGCTGCCTCAAGCCCTCCTTCCAGATGTTGATGACGGAATCAAACACCCATTGCAAACCGATCTCTTCCTTTGTCAAGTTCCTTACATCCTCCATTTCCGCGGATTCGCTGAACAAAGGTCTGACAGCGGTGGCCAACGTCTTATATTCCGCTGTCAACAATCCCGGATTAGGCTCGAACAAGGACCGCGGAAGTAGTCTCCCAATGTGCCATTCCGATCGGTCAAGAGTGTTATTGGTAGAGACGAGTTGGCTGAGGGTCTCAAGCGCATCTCTACAGCCCGCCCCGCCTTTCTTCGCCATCATTTTCAGTAAGTTAAGTGCGAGACGTAGCATGGTCTCTTCGTCCTCCAGATGATCTGGTGCCGGAGACGTCCCGAGCAAGGCACATACCATTGCTGAACCAGCACCGAGGTCGACGACAGAAGTGACCGTTTTGAAGTGATGAACCATGCTCGCTCTATCGTGCTCTTCCTGTTCCACGTCGTCTTCGGACACCCAGACTTCTTCTTCAGACTCCGCATCCGTCTGGTCTGTACGCGGAAGCTTCAATACGGGTTGGAAATACGCCCAAGTCATGCAACGCCATACTAGGCACGCAAGACCTCTTACAGAGCTCTTCGTCTGGCGAATCGCCACTGCGAACAATCCCGCAAAGCATTTCATAACTTTATCCTCTGTGAAGACTTTGGTCCTCAAGAGGACAATGAAATGTGCCATGACACACAGAGCCCATACAGGGCCTCCGGCAGCTGTTTTAGGGTCGGTGGCTTTGAGAGTAGCACGGAGGGTACGGATGATGAATGGATCATCAAGTGGACTACCCTTCTTCGAGGGAGAGAGCTTTGGCGGAGTGAGAAGAAAGTCAGCAACATAGGCTGCCAGTGTCGAGTGGGTCGAATGTGATGATGAGGGAAGAGATGCGGAACCGAGAGCAAGACCGCCGAGCGCGTGGCATGCCTGTGCACGCATCTGCATTACCGGGCCAATGAGATGAGCGAATATTGACGGAAGGAGATCTGCAAAGACAGGTACGAAGACTGTCGGATAACATGTCGACAGCTCATGTATGGCCTGCGAAACTCGATTATTGGGGGATTTAGTCCTGAGTACCCACGAGAACTTACCTTCAAGCCGTCACTGACAGCGCCCTTCTTTCCTTCCTTGCCTAGTTCGCCATCGAGCCCACGACGGATAGCATAGGCAATGCGAGGTGCGGCAGGTGTGAGGACCTCTTCAGGAAGGCGCTGTGCTTGAAGGACCCAAATTGCCAACGCGCAAGTCTTGCGCGCATTTGGAGTTGGTAATTCCTGTGCCAAAGGAATAGCAAGAACCGCGGTAAGCAATGTTCCCAATTGAGCATCTACGTCGTGTGAGCTATGCACTACCACATTCTGAGACAAAGAACCCACCGGTAAATAAGTTACGGACTGCGGGTAGCGTAAAGATCGTGCCTAGCAGTTTGAGTACGGCATGTGACGTTGTGCAGAGGTCTCTGGCATGTTTGACCTGCTCGGCGGTCATGCCACGCTTCTTTCTTGGGCTGTCTTTTGGCGAAGGTAACATTGAAATTTCTTCGCAGACGGGCTCGTCTTCGAGCGAGTCATTAATAAATCGACGAAGGGGATCCTCCAGCGCGCGTCCAAGGTCCCTTTCCGCAGCGGCAATGAACGCATCCCGGTTCGTTCTGAGCGGTTGGAAGAGTGGCCACGACGCATCACCCTCGATGCTGTCGGATACGCTAGACCTTATACGCGCTCCTAGAATGGAGTACGCCTCAATAAGGTCGCGTAATGTGGCGTTCGGAGCAAGTACTCTTGATACAGGGCCGTCAAGATAGTGCAAGTCAACTAAAGGATCTGACGGTTCTGGCGTCGCCTCGCGTTCGTTCTCATCGACAATTGGCAGAAGTACGCTCAGAGAGGTCTTCTTGAGAATAGATTTGGCTGGAGGCTTCCTTGAACCACTAGCTTGGACTGAGAATGTGTTCAAGGGCGTTGTTTCGAGTAAACGATAGTCGTTCTTTTCAGCCCACACGACGCGAGAGCCTGACGGAGTGCTGAATTCAGGCAGTCGATTCTCTTTCTCCCTCCTATGAGATGTTCCCGGTGGGGTAGGTAAGCTTCCTCCAGATGAGAGAAACATGGTAGAAAGAGAGGCGGAGTAAGAGATGAAGACAAGTGGACAAGTTAATGACCGGGTGAGCGCTGCCAGTGGCCGTATACGGGGCCTGTTTGCACCTGTTTGTCCACCGTGTCTTGTCGCGTCCAATTACTTGTTTGGCTCTATTGACGCGTTTTCGTGACCGTCTCACTGTTCCAAACTGGCTGTCCGAATCATTCGGATTGCAATATTCGTTGCTCAGAACTGAGGAGCAGCAATTATGAGATGCTTTAAGGTGGGCAGGTGGGCCCGAGGGTGTTTGGTATGCTTGTTGGTTTTAGACGTGGCCATGAAAGCCAGGACCAGCACAATATTAAGTTCGACCGATCTTCATGCTGCTAAATCAAACCAATAGATTGGTCAAGTACATACTACAAGTAGTGCCATGGACATTATTCAGTGCTCCGCCGAACATCCAAAGCTAGCACAACATCCCCCAATGCTGTCAGATGCGCTTCCTCAGCCGCGACGTTGATGCCATACAAATATCCCATCCCACCATCATGAATAATTAGCATTTCCAAGACTAACCCCCTGCCCTTCCGAAGTTGCAGTGCATTCCGCAACTGTAAGAAAAACTGAGGCCTTGACAGAGGATCCATGAAAGACACATCAACAGAAAGAAGACGTAACCCTGGAATTAACAGAAGTTCGTCCGAATCTATATCTGTGCATTGAAGCATCATTGGGAGCTCAAATATTGGCTGTGTCGTATTCCTCCCCGAAGGTCCTTCCCAGCACGTAACTCGCATGGACTGGACACTGGGGAGACAAGCGAGGAAGTAGCGATGAAAAGCGATCCTCGGTGCATCCTGCGGCTCATCAGCTACGAACCTATATGGTATCATAGCGTGTTTGACGGTTGACAGCAATGGAAGTATAGCATGGCAGAACGACTGTGCAATGATATACCGATTGTAGGTCCGGCAGAAAAGTTGCACATTGAAAACTGGCTGAGCATACTGAAAAGCGGGAGTATCAGAATCTCCTGAGGCCCATCCTTTGATCTGCACGCCGGAATCAAAATATGGAGGGGGTGTCTCAACCAACAAAGTATTGACCTGCAAACACGATTGCCCATGGAAACCGCGCAATTTTGATGCCAGGATGTTGCCAAGCGAAATAACCCCGTTGCATTCCTCTGCATTGTCCGGATATTCTCCATTGACCGCAATTCTGCATATAAACCTATATTAACACTGTCAAAAGAGACAATTTGTTCCAGCACGGCAGAACACAGTGTGATCCCTGCATTGAGAGTCACAGACTTGAGATGTGATATGGAAGAAGGCAAAGGAGTGGAATCATGCAACGGGACACCACAAGAGTCTTTCAGGTTCTTCAACTTCAGTGACTCCAATAACGGCAGTGTCTGAAGCCTTGCAACCACATCGTTTATCGAGTGAAATGGACGATCGTGAGAGATGGACAAAGACCTCAGTGACGAAGGAACAGGATGAAAGTACCAATCATCTCCGAATGTTTGTGCGTCCGTTTCCAATTCTCGCAAATTAGGCAAGAGACGGTGGAGGTCACGAGCAAGCGCAAGTACTGCGGGCGACGAAGGAGATTCTTTCCAATGCAAAGATGTCAGGAAGGGACATATTGGCCACGTAGTAATGGAGGGGGAGCAGAAGAGCTCAAGTGACCGAGTACGGGGGAGCTGGGCTACAAGGAGCTTCCACATATCGAATTCCATACAATACTCATCCTCCTTGATCACCATGTCCAACTGTGTTTGCTTGGAGTAGAACATGACTTGCTGAAGAAAGTTTAGGTTCGATATTGGGGTACCTATGTATGAGAAGAGATGTGGCGTTGACGCTACCACATTACTCCAGTGTCTGCATACATGAGCAACCGTAAGCCACGAGTAGAATTCCCCAGAGAATGATGGCTCGTAGCCTAAAAGAACGCGCTGGAGAAATACGTGCGCCATGACTTCTGGCGGCAGCATGGCATTGATACATGGCACGATGACGTTCTGTCGGCCCTTGTAGCTGGCAATCGCTTGACGATGATACATGATGATACGTTCGAGCTCTCCGATTGCATCTTCATGCTTGGCAATCTGAGCTTCGATGACTGTCAGGTCAAGTGCACTGAAATCTGTACCTGGTGGAACGATATCAGGAGGAAAATCCTCATAACTTCAGAGGTATCCATCAATAATCGATAACAGCTCCCGTCGGTCAAAGAACACAGTAAATACCTCGTAGGTATTCCATTCATTCCTCGATTCTCCAGATACGCAGTACTGGTAGATAGCGATTTGAGCGATGTTAAAAGCGTTGTTTTCGTACGAGTAGATGGGGAAAGGTCGGAAGGTAAAGCTCGCAACGCGGTCTGCGCACCTCGCTCGCGATCGCGATCATGAAAGTATTCAGATATGGAAGGTGTTGCAGTTCGTTAGAATCATGCCTTTCCTTGACGTTGTTTGCGTTATCTTGCTCATTCATCTTGAGTGCCAGTTCAATCGTCATGGCGGTTGAATCCTGCCTTCGTGTTCAGGCTGGCGATGCGTGTAGGACGGTGCTCAATAGGACACTCGAATGTCACCCGTATTGATGTTCAATACGTCGACAGCGTCCTGGTGCCACTTCTTCCCCGGCTTTATCGTCTGTCCGTCAAGTACAACGTAGTTGAACTTGAATTCGCACCAACTTTCCAAACTGTTATGCTGAAATGGATAGAGAAGGTCTTAGGTCTCAAACCAAAGCAAGATACGAACGTCGCTTTTAAAACCCTTGGACAACTGGGTGTGCAATTGCAACCACTGCAAACGCACTCGCTCGTTCCTCGTGGACAACGACCATTACGAACCTGAACTGCGACTCGAGGCTATCAAGGCATCCAACGTGAAACATGTGGAAGGTTTCCTGTCGCAGTTCGCAAGAGGAATTGCAACGAGTTCTCCTATTTGACTTCACCTCGCGGTCTTCAGGTTTGTGGCACAACAATATAGGGTAACACTCATTTCACGAGGTTGACATCCTCTATTGACAGATCAAGAAAATCGAAGCAGTCTATTCTCCAGTCATCTGGAAGGTCAATCAGAAAAAAGGACGAGCAATTCTTAAAAGCGTCAGTAATGATGGCAATGAATTGAAGAGGACCCTTGGTGCTTACTATGACATGATCACGACGGCGTTGGCATTCACGCCAGGCCAAACGAATGAATCCTCTGCTGAAGATCCCATGGACAACGAAGCACCTCCTCCAAAACGTCGCAAGGTCTTGAACAATGCAGACGACATCATTGATCTAACGTAGCCGTAAATATGCGTACTCGCTTCTCCAATCCATATAACTTCTTGGACCACAGAGACGGCTTGCTATCGTCTTTGTATCAGCTGGTATATTCGGGTAGGGTATCTGTAGTAATAGGTGTACATTGTTTTGATTGTCTTGTATGGTCGCAACGCATCAGCATTCTATCGTTTTCTCTTCTTTATTCCACCGCGAGATACTGAAGCACCTCTTGCTCTCGTGGCCCCTTTCTTGGACTTCGACGTGGAACTCTTTCGAGTAGTCTTAGTAGCTGATATCGCTGTTGAGTATGATAAAGATAGCATGCACACATTTGGCATACCTTGAATTTGAGAGAGAGCCACATCTGCTTCCTCTTCTTCTGCATATTCTGTTCCTGCATCCGTACCGGTTGCAACTGAGCCCATTCGTGCAGGAGGAGACACACTCTCGTCTCCACTTTCCTGCGTCAAAGCACTGCTATCGCTATCGCCTCCTATGAGGCCAGCCATGTTACTTTTATACTTTCCCTTCTTGGTAGAACGACCAGTCTTTTCATGAACAAGTGGCGGCGGCGCTGGTGAGGAGGAAGGGAGAGAAGCGGTGGCACGCATCCGACGCTGGGAGATTATGCTCTCAATAGTCTCATCATGAGGTAATGAGTACTCCTCCCGGAAGTATGGATGTATAGAGAGGTTGTCTTCTGGTGAAGGTGACTGCACAGGGCCTACATTGGACCCATTACTGCCAGGGGTCTCATAACCATCTGCTTCCTGGAGTGTGGAAATGAACGTGACGTGAATAGATGATGAAGAGGTTCACTCACAATACTCTCCAGAATATCCAAGTCGTAACAGCTTCTCAGTTTATCCCATATGACGTCCGCTGGAATCCAATGTCCTGTATCTCTGTGGATCGCGTTGCGCATCGCCAAAACATGGAAGTGACGGTGTATTCCAACCGGCCTTGTACGCATCAGAGAGCGGAAGAACGCAATCTCTCCTTCGACAGTATTAAGGAAATGGGGCTCCTCGTCGATGTCCATTATGGAAGAGTAAGTACGAATGTAAGAAGTAAAGTTACCGGATACTCAAGTCAAGGTGAAAGTTCAGTTACATAAAGCTAAGCGCTAGGCTCGAACGGCACACGAGGCTATTGAACTCCTTCTCATTTGACACCCACCACCTTCATATGCATTTTTTAAATCTGTCTATGGAATCTATCGTCTGTGTCCGACATAGTGGTCCCGCGCCGGAGAACTTCAAATTGTCACAGGGATCTGTTGCTTCATCACCTACTTGTCAACATTTGGGACGATGACGAACTGGGGCAATGTTACAGAAACAATGTTTGGCACAATGGGCCGAGGATAATATGCTCTGGAGTTTACTTATTTCATTCCTGAGATAATAGGGCATATTTTGAAAGCATCGCGAGTCCGCCAAACTAATGCGCTCGGAGCTGTCGATGGCCTAGCAGACGACAGTTGCTGACCTCGCATGATGATGATATGAAGATAGTCAATTATTGTCGGTGCACTTTCTACGAAGGTATGCAACCGCTGTACAGAACGTAATACGGAAGCCACTCTGGATCCTAGATACTGTACCAGCATTCAATATTCAACGCCGTCCCGGGGAATTGCATGCCTACTTACTTAACGTTGGGTTCCTGGATCTGTTGATGATCTCGAACCACCTTGCAAGATGCTCCGGGTATTGGCCACTCGGGAATAATGTTTAGAGCCTTTGACATCAATAGCGTTTGGCCATTCCGCATGTTGGTTGTAGCGCCGAAGTCAAAGGAGTTGATGCGATTCCGTTTGACATTGTCCTCATTTATTTAATGTCTTTGGACGGTTCCAATTCAAATACTCACTTGTCACTCTTCACTGGCCACACCCATTTTTTCTCGCCACAATGTCCACCCACACTCCAACTAAAGGTAATTACGTCTATATTATACGTGTGTCCACATTGTCCGTTAACACGAGGTGCTCGTCACAGGAACCCATGCACGACGCCATTCGGTAGCAGTTGAATCTCCGGTCCATACACACTGTGATACAGTTCGACGCAAGAGACCACGGCCGACTTCTGAGCAGGCTATAGTTCCGCCTGTACTGGACGATTCGAGACCCGCACCTTCACATCGACGGGCATCTGTGGCCTCTGTGTCTCCTCCGTGGCCTACACCATCCCGCAATGTCACGGTCTCCCCCATTATAATTACCCGGCATCGGCGCGAACCCTCGAAGGCGTCGAATGGTTCAGCGAATATAGGTGATCCCTCAATTCAACCATCAGCCTTGCTACTCAAACGCCGTGGATCTGCAAGTGCAGGTCCTTCGAATCTCAAGTTAAGTGGTGAAGGGAGTAAGAGCTGTGCAGGAAATTCCTCTCCGGGTGTCCATTTCGCTTCTCGCAGCCCTCCCACCAGTTCCTCCCGCGACAAACGGCGTTCTCCCAAACCAGAAGTCGAGGTTCACCGACAAATCGCTTCACACGCCTGCAACAATCTTAGTCCTCATGTCACACCACGTTCTGCTCAAGTGTATACTGCAGACGGGATCGAACTCTACATCGACTGCTGCGATGCTGTTGATGCTTACAATCGATTGCGTTGTGCCCTGGAAGCAGAAAAGCTTCCAAAAGTTCCAAGATACCTCAAGTGCTTCATCAAATCTCTGAAAGATCGTAGGGTCGAACTTGGCTGCGGTGCACCCATCGTGCGCAACTCGTTTGACTACATTCAAGCCAGAGAGACATTCGATTTTCACTGCCAGCTTCTGTGTGCTAAACGTGACACGTTCCCACAGGATCTTCAAGGCACTGCTCTCACCGACAAGTGTCATGAAATGCTCGATTTGATTGATTCGGCTTGGGGTGCGCTGCATGAATTTCTGCGGAAAGCTCAAAATATCTCCATGTCTCTTTGTTCTGAAATCGATGTCCTGCCGAATGGCGATGAAGCAACCACCCTTCAACTCAGGAGGGTATCAGCAATGTTCGAGACCAAGGAAGCAGGTTCATCCACTCTGACGGCTCTCATAGAGGGCATCAAAACCTACCTTCGTATGCTTTCAGGACCCCCTGGAAGGCCTGGTGCGAAACTAGTCAAGAGACGACCGACTCTCACCAATCCCTCCGTGACTGTTGACTCTTCCGCTGCCGCGAACGGATTTACCCCTGGTCGTAGTTCTACTGATAGCGAGCGGTCTGCGTACGAGCACTCTGCTGACGTCTTGACTGGAAAGGGATTTGATACCTTCAAACTTTCACTGAGGGCTAGTCTCATTGTGGTCTCATCTGTTTCTTCCGTGGCCACCTATGCCCTCGACTTTCCTCGGCCTGAGGCAGAACAGACAGACGTCTATCGTGGACAATCAGGCACAGTTGTAGCAGCAACATTGTCGCAATGGGTTCGCATGTTGACTGACACCATAGAAGTCAACGAAGAAGATTATACCGACAATCTTGACACTTTCCTACTTTTCTTCCGCCAATTCACAACACCGAGAGAATTACTCCAGACCCTGAAGGATCGCTATCTTGAAACACCCTCCTCAAATGTGGACACAGATCAACTTCGTGCGTGGCGCCGCTATCATCGCCATGCGAAGCTCTTCGTGGCCAAGATAGTTTTCTGGTGGCTCAAGTGGTACTGGGTCGACGAACAAGATCGCCCATATCTAGACAACCTTATCGAATTTGTGATGCAGATGGTCGCGAGAGACGACACCTTCTACCGTGGAGTCGCCGACTCACTCGCATTAGGCCTAACCGGAGTCTCTGCGCAACATGTCAACTATGTTCGTCATACCCAAAGGCTTGAGGAGAACATAGACAATGGATCTACGTCAATGCAGGAAGAGACCTCCTTCAAGTATCAAAGCGAAAAGCTCAAAAACATGACAACTGGGCCTAAGGCGATGTCACTAAACGTGATAGATACTTTGATGCTTTGTGGGCCTGGAGGTTCAGAGGCCGTGGCTCGGGAGCTGACTCTCATGGAATCCAAACTCTTCCATAGTATCCTACCCGAGGAGGTGGCTTTCCTGGGTACTGAGCCATCTCAGAATTCTCGAGTCCGGCAATGGACGCAGTTCACCAATTCGGTGACGTTGATGGTTGCAGATCTAATCCTGGTCCACACAAAGGCAGAAAATCGGGCGCGAATTTATGCCTTTTTTGTGAAGGCCGCAGTCGTGAGTTTTTTTCCATTACTCCCTGCTGATGTTTTGCGAAATATTGATTGCACACCTCTTCGCAGCAGTGTCGCAGGCTGCGAAATTTCAACTCTGCACTTGCCATCTGTCTTGGCTTGAAGCAGCTTGCAATAGATAGACTCGAGGAAATGAAGGAAGTACGTTATCCCTCCTTCAAATGAATAACTCTATGCTGACGAGGCCGGAATCCAGCTTGTTGGACCATACCATACGGAGCAACTAGATGAGGTTCATAATCTTTTCTTTGGTTCCCCTAACTATTCTGGTTACCGGGAAGAACTCAAACAACCAGGACCAGCTGTACCTCTTATTCGTAAGTCGAAGGCATTCCCCTCTTCCTGTATATGATGTGCTGAGCATCGTTCTGCAGCTGTTCTCAAACGTGATGTGATCCATATCTCCGATGTCTACAAGAGAGATTATCAAGACTCAGTGAACAGAAGGAATTCGAAAGCCAGGGAATCTGAGCAACTGGTTGGAACAGAACAACCCGTACCAGATGGTTCGAAGAGGCCACGCATGATTCGCATCTCATATTACCGCAATTTGCGCAAAGTCGTCCGAGGTACGCTCGTTACATTCTTTCAGCAGTGCGATTGATTTTTACTCACCACCACGAACAGATATCGAGCGGTGTTACGGGAACTACAACATCGCTACTGACGAATTCGTTCACCAATGGATCGAGGCATATCGCAAACCTTTGGAACTCCAAGGCAAGGAATACGATGCGAAAGTAGCCAAGTTATATGAGAAGAGGTATGAACCAATTGGCGTATGTTAACATTGACTCCGACGTAGACGTCTGACACTGGAGTTTTAGCCAAGCATCACATTCCAAGTCGAAATCGAGATAGTCCTTGAACCTTAATAGGGATCGTTTTCCGTGGGTTACTGAGGAAGATCGAAGACGTCGTTGACTAACTTTCGTTGATGGAAACCTGCGCACCGACCTCCTCAAATAAATCTCACCGTGGCCCAAATATTCCAGACCCTGCCCTTTCTGACCGACAACCTTCACATACCCCTTTTGCAACATTCGATTTACACATTCGTTCTCGATCTCCGTTCTCCTTCGCAGGATATATTAAAGTTCTTTCTCGTGTTCAATTTATTATCCTCCCTTTGTCATCCTTTGTATCCTTAGTATTCGAGCGTCCGGGTCTCCGCGCATTCGGTTTGTAGCTTTCCAGCACTTCATAACTTATATTGTGTCTGCCGATTCAATGTATCCTTAGGCCCATTTCTGTATGATTTCAGACTCTCCAGAACACCGCCGCCCCGTTCATTTGATCGTCCTTTGGCAACATAACATAGTGCATACACGAGAACATGACAAATAGCAGAGGGTAAGTCGCCAACGGTCGACATCATAAGATTGTGTAGGTGTAACAGTCGCCCGAGAATCATCAGAATAAAAGGAAGTCTCCTCACACCGGGACCACACTAACTCGCTCATGCTGATCGGGCAGCCTCGATCCGCTTGCGAGCTACCTGTCGCCTGTTAAGACCGGCAAGTGGTGATGTTGCGAGGATATCCTTGTCTTTGCTTCGCTCGACCTCGACGTCGCTGGCGGAGAGGATAACCTCGACGTGGCATGGGTGACCCTGGTAAGGGTTGATACGACCATGTGCACGGTATGTGCGACGGCGGGTTTTCTAAACAAATCGCAAGTGAGAGGTGAGGTATTGTGAGGGAATTGACAAGGGTGTGAGGGACGTACAGGAGCCTGTTGAACGACAATGTTCTTGATGTAAAGGTCCTCCAACTCAATGTTTTTGGCATCTGCGTTTGATTCGGCGTTCTTCAAGAGACGGAGGATGAACTTGACAGACTTCTCAGGCCAGCGACCTAATATGATAACCAATATTTGCATGAAGCATGCATTAAGACCTGTAATTGGACGCACCCTGAGTCGCCTTAAATTGCTTGGCCTGGCTGGCACGGCCAACGCCACCAGCAAATCGTCGGAAAGGAATAATCTGTTTGTGGTCCGCGACATCACCAAGGTAAGCATAAGCCTTGGTCAACTTGAGACCTGAGATCCAGAGTCATGATCGCTTCAGTTTCTTATTCTTCCCCTTTCGATGATATATCCGGAATCTCACCAGTAAGGGCGGCGGCAACTTCGCGCATGTTCTTGAAGTGCGTCCTCAAGTACTCGCCGCGGGCGCGCGAAGCTGGAGAAGACGAGATCAAAGGTTAGGCCTGTAGAGACGTTCTGGCAGTATGACGAGACCGACTTTTTTCGGGGTTGGTGGCGAGGGCGGCGGCGGCGTAACGAACTGGATGGTAAGGTCAACATAACGGTTGATGTTGAGCAAACGAGCAGCATAACGCACCCATCTTGAAGTCTTGAGTATGTCGGGCCTACCTGAATGCTTTCCTTAACGCCAGACGCTTGTTTGGGTGGCTGAAACTTTCTTAGCCACAACTGCCTAGCTCACGGCATCTCCCGGGCGCCCACTATCCTTTATACTTTTGTGTCTTGAACTCGCTCGAGGCCATTCTCCTCTCTGTCGCCAGCTGCTTGTACACATCCTCGACACTCCTGGAGCTCTACACTATGATATGACCTGAAACCTGCTTGCTTGTGGATTTTTCTCAGTAACTTTGGGGTGCAGTAGACGCCGTATTTACTCATGTAATTCACTTGAACGCGATCGAGGACTCGTAATAGAGACTTTTTCTTCTTGACTCTCTGCATGAATGGCGACGGACTTCTGGGCAAGCTCTCATTAGTGAGCACACCCATTCTTGATGCGCAAACCAAGTCTGAACTGTGTTGCTGTCTCTAGTAAACGCTGGAATATAGATAGGGCCACCGTGAAACTCGCTCGATCTCAAGACTTGCAATATGTCGATGATCCTGAGTATCTTGACTTCTTGAGTATCTTCTTTGCCAACTGTGAGTGATACTGCTGATATGGATGGTCGAGTGAGCTTACAGCTGTCGAAGTGATCGGAAAACTGGGAAAGAAGCTAGGATTGAGGCAACGAGTTATTGCGACTGCCATCGTTTTCTTCAGACGGTTTTACGTCAAGAATTCATATTGCGAGACCGACCCGTTCGTAGTCATTGCAGCATGTTGTTACGTTGCTGCGAAGGCGGAAGAGTCTCCTATACATATCAAGAATGTCGTGACCGAAGCCCGTCTAATATTCAGCAGTATGTCGGTTGTTTTGCTTTGACAACAATGTAACTGATGTCCTCAGGCGAAGAGATTGGGGTGAAGACATTTCCGTCAGATAATCACAAGCTTGCAGAAATGGAGTTCTACCTTGTCGCTGACTTAGATTGTGATCTCGTCGTCTTTCATCCATACCGCACTCTCATGTCCCTGTGCGGCAAAGAGGGACAAATCACTATACGGGAAGCTGAAGCTGGCGAAATGGGTACAGGCATCGATGATGGTCCTCGATATTGGGGTACCGGCGAAGGCAAGCTTGAGCTTCAAGAAGGCGCTGTACAACTCGCATGGTAGGTTCTTCATACCGAACATGAGACATTGTACTAAGTTCAAACTGCGTTTAGGTTCATCATCAACGATACCTACCGATCTGACCTTTGTTTATTATACCCACCACACCTAATCGCCATAGCCGCACTATACCTTACCGTAGTCCTCCACGCAACAACTCACAACCAACTGCATGGACCTCCCTCTTCCCAAGGAAGTCAGTCACAAACTCATTCATCAAAGATAGCTCCACGCCGTTCTTCTCGTCCGACCAACAGCTCTCTCAAGAGACATACTCAGCAAGACATCGTCACCTTCCTAGCAGGTCTGAACGTCAACATGTCACTCATTGCTACAATCGCACAAGAAATCATTTCCATGTATACCCTATGGGAACGCTACAAAGAAGACCCTTCAGATACATCTGCTCGAAACACATTTTCCGCGAGCCAATTCCCTTCCACCTCAAACACGTTACCTTCTGCTCCAGTTTCCGGCCGCGCGGGGATGATGCGTAGCGGAAGTGTGTTCAGTGGTGGGACTGCTACTAGTAGTGCAGGAACGCCTTCTACAGGGGAAGACTTATCGGGGTCTCAACATAGATTAGGACAGTTACCACAGTTGGTTAAACCTGCTGTGATGACGCCTTTGTTTCTGACACAGGTGTTATTGAGAATGAGAGAGGCGAAGATGGTGGATATGGGTATGGTTGTTGGTGGGATGAGGCCTATGGCGTATGATAAGAGATTGGAGAGGGCTCAGGCCGCGGGGTAATGGGTAATAGGTTCGTTCTGTCATTCAACTTCACGCTTCTTTATAATGTTTTTCTTCCCTCCTTAGACTACAATTTGTCATTCAGTATGGGGTTATTCGACTGATATCAATTGGTATCCATCTTAGTCTGCAGATCGGCCTTCATACTGGATGCCGCCGTTTGGAATGCGTTCTAAACAATACAGCCACATTCAAAATGATAGGCCCCTCCTCATAAATTACATTCGGGTCGGTAAGGGTCGGTACCATCGGCGTTGTCTCGCTCGGCGGCTCCTCTTATGGTAAGATCACTTGCTGACTCACTGGTTTGCAACAACCTACAACTCCGTCAACTCTGTTTAGCAATTCTTGCAGACTCAATGCAGTGCATCCATTTGAAGTCCGCTTTGCATCTAAGAATTGCCATGAATGCTACGGGAAGGCATCCACTAATGAGATAGTCTAGTTCAGAGCAGCAGACCTAGCGGGACCACCGACCTCCTCACGGCAAGTTACCTTTCAACCCCAGGTCGTTTGATGCTGCTATCCTTCACACCTCCAATACGTACGTCAGGTTTCCCCTCTGCATATACATCACCGAATACCACTGCATGCGTCGAAGTGGTGGGACGGGCAGAACCGCTATGAGGTCGCGAACGGCTATGATGTCGCCAAGAGTGAATTCGTGGCTGCCAGAGGGAACATTGAGTGTCCCTGGCTTGCGTGACGTGTGGTGGAATGGGGGGAGATGGTGGAGAAGACATGAGTTCGACCGAAGGAAGACGAGAAGAAATATCGGCTTGGGGAGGGCATGCCCCGAACGTGAGAAAAGGAAATAACGGCCCCCGCATTGATTGGCCTTTCGGGACATCGTGTTCCTGATGTGACTCCGCTGTGGACGAAGGTTTCTGTGGAGCATGCGAGCTGCATAGATGTAAGTCACATACACTGAAGTTGATGGAACCGTATAATGATACCTTGAACGTCCTGGCGTCCTAGAGTATCCAATTGGCGGGAACGGAGGTAAATCTCCAAGCTCATTATTCGATCGAACTGGGCAGTGAGGCCGATTAAATGCTGAAAGCCAACTCTAACTCTATCTTACCTGTTGACTCTCGCAATGGAGCATCATCGCGACCCCCTTGAGGATTGGACAGTTTGCAATTGTGCCCTAGCCTCAGGCTAGAATTACCAACGGAAAGGTAAGGAATATTCACGCGTACCGCTATCCGCAAGCGAATCAGCCTACCGTTTTCTTATAGATCGGGAGGTCCTTGGCCTTAACCTGTGACCCCATCGCTTTCGATGACTAGAGCCTGAAGCAAGCCAAGACGAGATCAGAGGGCCGGAAATCAGCCATGTTTGGTGTATGTAAGTATGTGTAACGAACTAACCATACAATCTTATAGTGCTTTGAAAGATTGAATGTGCTGAGCGTTTGGCTTTCCTTCGTCTGGCCATACCATTTCCTCCTTTTTGCCCATCCATCATGAATGAAGCGTAGATGACGAGGTGAACGATACATCCACAACTCAGCCCATTTATATTCACGTACTGGCCACCGGCTGTTTGAGGATGTTTGTCAGATGCAGAGCGAGGGACACAGCGATTCGATACTGACGAACCGCGCCACACCTAGTTGTCCTCAATAGAAGGATCGGATCTGCGTTCCGCTAAGAATCGTACCAGCAGAAGAAGGCAGAAGAGCAGAACCCTGTGTAGACCTGTGCAGGTTCTCTCTGCCGTTGGCACGGCTGCGGCAAATCTTCAGGGCTTATGCGAATCCATGATTGGTACAACACTCGCATGCTCAATTGAGATTGATTTAAGTGAGTATATATATTTCGTCCCGCTAGACTCGGAACAGCTCTTGACATGTACTCTAATAGAACTTATCGTCGTACTCCAGGTCTTTTGATACTATTATCCTTCACACCGCCAATCCGCACATCAGGCTTCCCTCCATCGTGAAGGCCAATGAATATCACTCCACTGTGCAGCGCCGAACAGCTGGTTTCTACTCGTTGGGAGGAGCAAGCAGCACGCGATCTACTTGAAAGAACGCGAGAGGGGACAGTGGGAGGTGCTGGAGCTGACGTGATGGTCCGAGTTCCACCTTCAAACGGGATTTTCCTTGTTCGTTGGTTTTCAATCCCGTTACGTAATTTACGTTTCTGATGTCTTCCCCGTCTAGGCACAGCGTCATTGCTAGGTTTCTGTAGATGGGCCAGCTGTCGCCCCCGACCTAGCCTTGATGTCCCGTGGCAAGGTCAATATCCCCTACCGACTTGGATTGCATTAACTCACTTTGTTCCCCCTGACTGGGAGGCCCGTGACGCGAAGTCGGACTTCCTAGGTTTGCGGGTAGTAGGTCTCGATATCGACCTATGACCTTCAGGTCGTCGTTCGCCGAGACCTGCGTGGGAGATGAAACAGAAGGTCGAATGCAGGTGCACAAACACTAACCGAAGAAGTTCGAGACGCTTTCGAGTGACCTTCGACCTGTCGAGCGTTCGTCTCGCCTGGATTTCGCCTTCGCGCTTTTGACCCACTCATTAGTATGGGCGAAGCATTACCGTCTGACTCATACAAAGTTCGTTTTTTTTCATATCCACATATCCACTACCCGCCTATCGAGGAGGATTGGCTAATGCAGATCAACAATTTCTACAAATCAAATCAGGGACGGTGATAGTTGACTTGTTCTCCTAGTATACAGAAGGGAGGAAGCTGTGTAGACTCTGTGCGCCGGTAGAAAATAGAAAGCCTATCTCACCGAGCCCGACTGAATCGACGTAGGTATCCGAGAGAACAGGATAAAGCCATACCAAGGTCTTAATATTGTGTCTAACGCGCATCATAGGTTTGATGACACTTTTCCTACGCCCGTTTAGCTCAGTGGTAGAGCGCGCCACTTGTATGGGAATGGTGAGGTCGGTCGTTCAATCCGGCCAATGGGCAGTTTGGAGAAGTGTGGTAATGTTTTTGCGCCGACCTACCTACTTCATCTGGTTGCTAGTCTGCCAGAAATCTAGATACTACCATTGGAAGAAAGTTAGTCGCATACAACGGAGACCGTTCAACTATTCGATGAACTGGCGTGTCAACTTCAGAACGCCGGTTAAAGGTTTAGACCCCTTGGAAGTCCTCGACTTCGTCTTTGAAATTGAAGCACAGATCTGAGGCAACCATCCGGATTTGGCAAGCTGGCCGGGGCCTTTGGTAAAGAGCCCCAAACATGGGTGATCTTTGGAAACGGGACGACAGAGTGTATAGCCCTTTGCATAATTCCGTGAAAGTCGCGTATTTTTTTTCCCTCTGTTTGGCCGGCTTTGATCGCGCCAAATAGCGTGACCTACATTGTGTACAGTGACTCTGTGTGATGAATTGATGAATCTCAGTGGCGACTTGCGAGTTGCTCGACCATAAGTTCTTCGATCCCTGAGGCCGCCTGCAGCCTGCGGCATCAAGAATGTCGCTCCATGTACTCTCGTCGTATAACCTGGAGAATGGCGGGTGCGCTATGAATCACCAGCTTTAGTCCAATCCGTCCCTCCATGCAGCTCCGAGGCCGATATTCCACCTTCGACCAATAAGTACACCTCAAACTATACCTTTTAGTGCTGACCCTCACGAAGTGCTCGGAAGGGTGTTGCTAGTGTCACTAAGACTTGACAAACAACTTGCTCATATGTACAGTACATTTGAATGATGCAGTGTTTACAACTCACTCCAATGTCCAACCATCCTCAGAGTACCAAGACACCATGCATTCCTTGAGGTCTTTGGAGAGTGCTTGCGGCATGGTCGTCGTATAAGCAACTTAGTGAACCTCCGACTCTGTATCCTCATTTAGTTATGTTACACTGGAGTCACGCTGTTTATGTGAAACAAAGCCGGCCAAACAGAGGGAAAAAATCTGCGACTTTCACGGAATTATGCAAAGGGCTGTAATATGAATACCGTAATATGAAATGCAAGAATGTCTTCGGGAGACACATATATGATCAGACTGGGTGACAATTGTATTTGCCGCGGAAGAATACATACAACTCCTCGATGAAGCAATAATACAGATCCTAGATGCAGTGGTATACAAGCAAATGACGATAAACAATACACAGGTCCAAATGAAAATTTACGTCGCTAGGACGAGCTCTCAGACTCGTTAGGTTTGCCTCCACCAAACCCTATGATGCGACTAACAGGGCGCAAGCTGATGGTTGGTTGCCTTTCGACAACGGGACTAACAACTTCTTCGTCCATGATACTTTCCTCATCGCTATCGGAAGCTTTGCGATGATGTCCAGGCCGTCCGACGATGCTGACAACCCTTGCAGGTGGAGGAGCGGCTTGGGCTTGTGTGGCATCAGGAGGCAAGCTCAAGCTGCTTTGGCACTCGGCCAGAGTTCGAACAACATCGAGATCCAGCTCAATGTTGAACAAATCCAGGATGTACCTACGCACGGGCAAGCGATAGCGCTGAGATGATATGGTATGCAATGCACGATAAAGCATTGACGGAGAGCTGAATACATGGCGATATTCCGGACGAGCCTTCATCCTATGATTTCGGATTTATTAGGAAATGGTGTCAAATGTTAACCAAAAGTTGATTACCTTGCAAGAGATCTAGATGCGGTATTTGCAATGACGGTATTCGCAAGGTTGTAAATAGCCGTCATCACTTCGATTTCCTCTTCTGTCTTCGGAGGCTTCAGACGAATACGGGAAGAATCTGGGACTGACGCGACATCCCATGACGGTATCTGAGGAGAGCATTAGTTTTTGAAATGGATTGGAGTGAACGAATCGCGTACGGAAACAAACTTGTCCACATCAAGAGGGACACACAGACCAGTCGGCAAACCAAGGGGAGATAGCGTGGCTTCCCAATGATAGTCGTCCAGGATTTCCGCGCCTTGCGGGGTAGATGAAATCAGGCCAAGAACAAAGAAACATGTTCTACGAGGTCATCTTAGTAGGAAGAGCACGACGTCATGCTTGGCACTTACCCTCGAACAGACAGAACGAGGGACTGTTCAGCTATTTCCAAAATAGCGGGAATGATCTCTTCCTCTTCGAGGAAAGGTAGTCCGCGTTCAGTTGCTCCGATGTTACCCTAAGGGCGTGATGGTTTGCTGGATAGTCCACATCAAAGATAATACACATTGCGTACCACTGCCCACAGAACACTCTTCAGCTTGAGGATTAGGTCTTGATCTTCGCTCTCAAGACCATGTTGGCGGATAAAAGCGGCGAATTCAGCGAAGTGACCCTTGTCTTGCAGCACTTGGCAGCCAAGGTCAGTCTTCGCCATGACGCCATAGAAGTGTGGAGGAACGATGCCGTCGAAGGCCCTAATATAGAACTTTTTTGAGAGCCATAGAACGTTACGAGATAAACGGGCTTACATTATATCCTCATCGTCATCTGGTGAGGAAGGTAAGAAGTTGAACACTTTGGCCAGAAAGACTTCAATATGGACAACGTAATGCTGGTTACGTTCCTGCAAGATCGACTCAGTAGTGAACATGTAACGAGTGATCGTGATACGAACATGGAACCACAAGTCCATCTCCCGATTGATGTAATCTGCTGCATACAAGTATCGGAAGCCCAGTGTGGTTGACATGAACCTGATCGAACGTCAGCTCACCTGTTTGATGCAGCTGGTAAGGCAAGAATGACGTACTTTAATAGCAGAGGGTGTCCAATCTCGCCCAAATGGTCCAAAGTCGGGTGCATTTCGACTACAAGCTGTAACACTTCCGGATCTTCGCACGCTTCTTCTAAGAATCGCACTGCTACTTCTTGAACCTCCAGAGAAGGATCGTATAGTTGGGTAAGTAGGAGACGAAGCGTCCACGCATTCGCTGAGGTGCTAGCACGGATGAGCTGGCCCAAATGATTTGTGGCGTATAGTCGGATGTGCTTCAAAACGGGTCGAAGCCAATTAGAAATCAAAGTATAACGATAGCAAGAGTACACACCTTGTAGCTTGATGTTAGGGCTTTCGAGAATACAATTCGGGAGTGACCATCACTGCCCATGGTTCAGCAAAACCAAGAAATTCTAGAACGGATGAAGGACCCACATGCTATAATCCAGATTCTCAATAATCCCTTTGATGAGGTCTTCCCGACTCCTGAGTTCACTCAAATGATAGAATGCGGTGAAAAGCTTGAATTTTTCCAACAGCCTGCGATTTGCCATAAGCCAAAGCACGTCAACGCAAAATGAAACATACTCCAAGCCCTCCTTTCGCTTGCTCAACGTGCCTAGCATTTCGAAGTAGCCGTATGTGAGGGTATCTTGCATTCGTTTCTTGGAGAATATTGGATCAGATATCGGCGCCCCATTGAACTGTACATTGGAAGTCAGCGAAACACCATGAAGGTTGAATTTAAGGTACATACAGGATCGAGCTGAGCGAAACTCTTGACAATCTGGTTCAACAATTCATCCTCCCCGAGGAATCGGATCCCATCTGGACTGGCCATCAAAGCGCTCAGTAACTGACACCCCAAGCGTACCCAGCGATCATTGAGCTATAGCATAGAATAAGCCAAAAAGATTCTGTGAAAGAAAATATGACATACCTTCGATCTCGGCAAATCACAGAACCTATGACTGAAGGGATGGTAAAACGATATGAGCCGCCGTACATATCGCGACACCTTGATGGCTTCCTCCATTCGCTTCGGATTCAGAAGCGGACCCTCTAGGAGCTCTTGCAAGGCATCGAAATTCCACTTGCTATGATCCTTGGTCACCATTACCTGGGACTCCAAGAGACTGGCTTGGAAGGCTTTGTCGTCCATCTGCATGCCAAGTTTGAGCTTGGCTTGTTCGACATGACGCTGACCTCGTCTGACTGCCTCCTCCACTGAGTTTGCCCTAGTAAATGATTCATACTCGACCCAGAACAGACTAAACTTAATGGCTTGGCATACGCACCGTGATCGAGAAGTGCCTTTCACCGTCGTAGGTTGTAACCTTGTCCGGTGACGATTGTAGCTATCAATAGCAGATAGAGCGGAAGTTCCGACAATTCGATGTTCATCCAAATTATAATTGGCAGCTAGGTGAAACACTTGCGGCAAAGCCTGTAATATGTTCATTGCAATGTCCTTTCTGTCCTAGTCATCCACGAACCTGGATACCTGAGGCTATCGAGTGAGGCAGTACCCGATTTGATGTCTGCAAGACCTCCGCCATCAGAAGTGTAGCTTTTCGTGACAAGGTCGATCCGATTTGGCTCTCTTCAAGCATGCATGTCAATGCCTAAGGACATTTTCGTGTCAGCCTGGCGTTGCAATTTCAAGAAGTAACGACTACTTACGTCGATCAACCCGGCTTTGCAAAATACAAGGATAAGCAAAGCGATGTATTGGTCGGTCAATTTGAGTGAATCCTGCGCCTGGGGCTTTGGTGTACTTTCCGGTTGTTTACCAGGTTCAGTAATCTGTTGCGACTTGCGATACACTGCCAGAATGTAGATTGTATGAGATCTACAAAGGGTTCTGGAGGCTAAGGTAATACACACTGGTTAACCTTCGTCCCGCTATGAATGCTTGATGCCATTCCGGAGGTTTGATATTCAAAACGTCGAAGAACATGTCCAAGATGATATCCTGGAAGATATCGGTATGACTGGATGCGGATAGCAAGATGAATTACACCTACTCTGGTCTCTAAAGAGGGTATACGCAAACCGTCTATGAGCGTTCGGATGGCCAGTTTGTCATGTATACAGAAATACATGAGACCTGTGGATGATTTGCAGAATTACATGTAAATAACATGGTGGCGGGGAAATTTCAGACGTACCACTCCAAGTACGCAACATGGATGAAATGATCTTGGCAGTACCTCGCATTCGATCAGCATGGTCGGTTCCTTTGCCATATGCATCTGTAACGCCAGACAATGCCATCTATCGGAGACACATTGGTTAATGAGTGCAAAGGGCAGAGTAAAGTATGAACAACGAACTTCGAGATCGGTTCCAGGATGGAGGTATGCTCTAGTACGTGGTGAATCTACAATATAAAGGAATGCAGAAGCCAAGAGAGGAGCCATCTCAAGAGGACCTTCGGCCAAAGCATGCAGCAGGACGCGTATACCGCCTGCCCTTGCCACGAGCTCGACGTCAATGAGAACTGAACAGGAAAGAAAATGAGTCACGCGATGCATTCGAACGATGCTGATTAAGACTCACGAATCTCAGTCAACGTCTGGATACAGATGGACTTGAACGGATCTTCTAGTTGCTCCGCTACCGCGATGAAAGCTCGCATAATGGGTTCAGACAGAGGCACAGTCCCGGCACCAGCTGTATTTGGAAGGCGTTTCTGGGATCCTACCTCTACGATCGCCCGAATGAGTTTGATGACCTGCTCCTTCTCTACCGAATGTTTGTTGTCACGCGAGAGAGATCTGAAGAGTAAACTCTGAGCATATGCTGCATTTGAAACAATGAACTATCGAGTACTTGACGATATACCAGTCCAGATTCTGCTCTTGAACGGTCTCAACAGATCGATGGTCGACCAGTAAATGTCGAATGAGCCGATAAGCGGTAGCTCGACATTGTTTACTAGCGCGGTCAGAGAGGGATGGTAATGTCCTACATTGGAAGCATCAACATATAATTTCAAGGCATACCATAATTAATCTCACGCTTGAATGACTTCGGCCACGTTGATCTCATATCGCACACGCAAGCTGCGCTGCAGAACCCCAATCAGTTGTTTCATTGCATCAATGCGCGAGTGATTCAGCTCGGCGTCATTCATTGGGGGTGATGATGACGAGGAGGTAGATGGCAAGTTCGAAGGAGATAGGGCTCCTGAACGTGGCAAAGAGATCAGAGTTTTGATATGGCTTGAAGCCTGTTGCAAAGCTGTATGAAAGTTGTCTACACACAACCATCATTAGCATCTGGAAACAATAGCGGCAAGGAGATATAGACCTCGGTCCTCGTGTGCATCCTTCAGTTTGCCAGAAGAGTTTATCTGGGGACCCGCGAACTTTCGACGTAGACCGTCGCTATCACCGCGTTTGCGAGGAGCATTACGCGTAGAATCTGTGTCATAAGAGTAAGTCAATGATTTCGCATCGATCATATGGCATATACGCACGCGTTTCTATCCTTTGGGTGATATTGTCAATTTTGTCGCGTGCCATCTGAAGTTCAGATTCCACCTGCATTCGCAGATCATCCTATGCTCGGACGTGAGATCGAGAATGCAATCTTGCACAACAAATAGACTCACCGCAAGTGGCATCTGCAGAAGTTTCTCAGCACCCTCCTTAATCGAATACTCCACCTGCAGCTGCGAGTTCAAGGCCTGAAGCTGCGTCTGAAGAGGTTCAGAGATTAGACGAAGTCGTTCAAACTTTTGACCAGAGACTGACCTGCTGCACCGAGCCATGGGACCTCGACTCAGAAAAAGAATCTTCTAATAGCTTGTCTGCTGAGGTGGCAGAGTTGACAACAGTGCTTGATGAGGACAAGATGGATTCCTGAAGTGCGGAGGGAGCACTTTCCACGCGCAAACCGCCATTGCTGGGTCCGCTACTCGTGGCCGCATTGTCCAAGACTAGTGCCGGCATTGTGATACACGTCCCAGACGTTGATAGAAGCTATCGAGCAAGTGCATACATGGGGAACGAAGAACCAACGAAGAACAGACACAACCAACGGACTCAAGCGGACATGCGTGGGGACGCTTCGGCGCTACTCTCAACTGCGTGCGGTGTCTAAATTGGAAGGTCCTGTGTTAAGTCGGGCGTCAACAGCGAAATTGCATTATTGAGAAAATACATGTACGAGGCAATGTCATCGTTCAAACTTCAAAATCCTCAAACGAGTGTACTGATATAATCACGAATTACTATGATATAGGAGGGCATTCATGCCGCAAATACTACCTACCTAGCTACTTTACTACGAGGCGTACATGAATGAAGGGTATGCGTGATCTCGAGCCCAATATTTACACATGAGAGAAAGCATTAAACGTGGGGGGCGTAGAAACCAATCGTGACCAAGCCAAGATCGTGAGTGGAGCGAGTCTAATAATATGTGTGCGATGAAGAAACGAAAAGAAAGCGATCCAAGAAGTCCATCCATCAAGTCTTGCTAAGGGCTTGTAGTTGCACATACTCGTAATAACCTCCACGCAAAGCGAGGAGCTCGTCATGAGTGCCAGATTCACTGACAGCGCCGTCCTTGATGAAATAGCTGTTGAGATATGGTTTAGCCACGAGATAGGGTCAAAGGCATAGATGACGACTTACATGCGGTCAGCGTTTTGAATTGTTGACAGGCGATGCGCAATGGCAAGCGTTGTCCGTCCTCTTGCTGCACGATCCAGTGCTTCTTGTACAACTTTCTCTGATGTCGAATCAAGAGCAGACGTAGCCTAGCAAAGATGTTAGTACCGGTGGTATGAAAGGGTTAACTAGCAACATACCTCATCCAAGAGCAAGACCTTAGGATTCCTGAGAAGTGCTCGTGCAATCGCAATACGCTCTGCAGCACAGTTAGTCAACCATACCGCAAAATAGCAAAGTATAAACTTACGCTTTTGACCACCAGACAACTGCGATCCTTTACCGCCGACGTTAGTATCGAAGCCGTCGGGTAACGACTGGATAAAGTCAAGAATGTTGGCGTTGCGACATGCTTCTTCAATCTCCTCTTGGGTCACTTCGGATTCAGGCTTGGTAGCACCAAGAAGGATGTTAAAGCGAATCGTTCCGGCATACAGTGTCTGCATTTCAGGCGCATGATCAGCGACACCATTTAGAAGAACATGCACACAAGACATACCGGTTCCTGGGAGACCAGTGCGATATGTTTGCGGTATTCCGAAACATTCAGCTCTGAGATAGGTTGCTCATCCAGCTACAGGATCAACAATTAATGAGGCAGTCCTTAGGTCGAAAGCGTGCGTAAAATGACTCACGTAGATGGTTCCATGTAGGGGATCGTAGAAACGCTCGATAAGTTGGATCCTGAGAACGAATAAGTCAGTCTCATAGGGTAAAATTGGACGAGACAGTCAAATAACGTACGTCGTAGATTTACCGCAACCAGAAGCGCCAACAAGGGCGACATATGTACCAGGCTCGATGACGAGGTTGAGGTCGCGGAGGACGCGAACGCCAGCGCGAGTGGGGTAGCGGAAGTGAACATTCTCGAATCGAATACGACCCTGGACATTCTGAGGGACTTTGCCTTCCGTCGACTCAGCGTCGATCTCGGGCATAGAGTCGAGGAGGTTGATGACGTCACCTGCCGCACTCTTCGCGGAGGAGATATCAGGAACGAAGGAGAAGACATTTCCAGCCTGGATAGAACTGAACGTCGTGCTCTATAAAAGAAAATGCGTTGAACACCGGCATAGAAAAAGAGCGGATCACACGACATACCATGAGGGCGATGAAGAAGTGGAAGGTGGAGACTTCGAAACTGGACACCAGTCGGGAACCATACCAGAAGACGAGAGCGATAACGTAGAAAGTCATAGACTGAGACAGAGCGAAGATAGCATTGCTCCACATAGCGGTCCTATTCGAGCGACGAAGAGGCTCTTCCAAAGACTCGCTGTAGAGTCTGCAGCAATCCTCCTCACGGGTGAGGGAGGCAACAGTACGGATAGAACCGGCGGCTTCGCAAGCAAGTTGAGCGGATTCTTCGTGGGCCTTCTTGTTCTGCTCATCCTTGAGGACAACGACGCGCTACACGAGTTCAATCAGTCAAGGGAAAAATCGGTAGACGAGTGAGGCAAGCATACCAGACGAATATAACCAGCAGAGACCAAAAGAGGCGTGCAGGCAATACCGACAAGACCGAGCTTCCACGCGAAGATGAGACCAACGATGAAACCAGCAATAAGGGTGGAGGCACTTTGGACGATGCTATAAATGATGTGTGAGATGGAACCACGCTCAATAAGAAATGAACGTTACGTACGCGCCGAGGGTAATACCAGCCAAACCATTAATCTTTTGGGGGTTGTCACTGAGTGTAGAAGTCAATTGACCAGTCTATAACGCGAAAGTCAGTAAAATAAAATAAAAGTCAGCGGTGTCAACAGGTCAACACGTACGCTGTTCTCCTCCTTGTCAAAGAACTCGACTAAAACTAGAGTCAGTATCACAGTAAACAGTGAAATAATAATAAAGCACATACCATCTTGTCTCAGGATCGCGCGGAAAGAGAGCGATCGCAACTTGGTCGTCAACTCTGCAGCAGACGCAGCGAACATGGTGTTCTGGACACCAATTGTGCACGCCGAGATTAAAGCAATGATGAAGAAGTACAAAGCATTGCGATCACCGTCATGACGACGGTGGCGGGGGTCTTCTTCACCGAAGGCAGTAACACCCTTGGCTATAGTCATTGTCAGGAAACCTCCTAAAGTCACCAGCAAACGTAAATGCACTCACCATAAACGACACCGAACGCGGGGTATACCATACCGGTCACTATCAACAGAAGTCAGCACGCAAACAGACGCCTCGAACAAAACAGGATGCGTACTAGAAGCAGCAATCGCGCCGGCAAGATATTTCCTCCAGCTAGCTTTGTTGATCTTGCCCATACGCATGAACAGGTAAGGCAAGTTATAATCGCGCGTATCCTGCTCATTCTCCTTTTTGCGTTGTTCCAAGATCTCACTGGCAAGCGAACGGCCCGAGCGACGTGTGCTAGTGCGGCCGAGAGGAACTTCTTCGTCTGCCTTCGAGTCTATATCGTCGTGTTCGTCGCTGGCGGCAGTGTCGCTGTCATCACCGTCAGGCTGAGCTTGCTTCTCTCGTGCGTCGCGGAGCTTTTGGGCTGCGACAAGAAGAGCGTAGGCACCCTCAGGATTGGCCAGCAGTTCATTGTGAGTACCAGATTCAAGGACGACTCCACCGCCCATGACGTAGATGCAGTCGGCATCCTTGATAGTAGAGAGACGATGAGCGATAGTGATGGTGGTACGACCTATGAGAGAGAAAGGAGGAAGATCAGTAAGCAACCTTTCCAAGAGAAATGTAAACAAACCTGCAGCAGCCTTGTCCAAAGCGTTTTGCACGATACCCTCACTTTGCGTGTCAAGAGCACTAGTAGCCTCATCGAGTAGCAGAATACGAGGATCCGAGACAATAGCACGAGCGATAGCAATACGTTGTTTCTGGCCACCAGAGAGCAAGAAACCACGCTCACCGACCAAAGTGTCGTAGCCCAAAGGAAGCTTTGTGATAAAACCATCAGCGTTTGCCTTAATGCAAGCTTCCTTGATGAGAGCCATCTTCTCTTCATCGGACGAATGCTCATAAGGAGTATTTATCAATCCATGAGCAACGTTGCCTTTAATAGTGGTAGCGAAGAGAGTCGGTTCCTGAGATACGAGACCAATCTGAGAGCGGAGCCATTTGAGGTTGAGCTTCCTGAGATCAACGCCGTCCAATTTGACGACACCTTCGAGAGGATCGTAGAAACGTTCGACAAGCGAAACGACAGTCGACTTTCCAGATCCAGAAGCACCGACAAGAGCAATGGTCTTGCCAGCAGGGAAGGTGATGGACAGGTCCTTTACGATTTTGACATCGGGGCGAGATGGGTAGTTGAATTTGACGTGTTCGAAAACGATCTCACCCTCGACCTTCTCAGGCTTGAGACCAGATGGGTCCTGGGTGTCGATCGAAGGAACACGGTCAATAGTCTCATAAAGCTTGGCTGCAGCACCACGAGCATGCGTGATAGCTGTGGAGGTCGGGAAGCGGTCAGTGTCTATTTTTGATGCGAACAAAGAAGCGAAGGATTACCTTGCATCTCGGGCGCGAGAAGCGCAAGAGAGAAGGAACCGATTAGAATGGCTAAGAAGACGTTGATAACTGTGCCGCCGTCGGCTAAATTGACACAACGATGATGGTCAGTATTTCCGATCGGGATCATGAAAAGATCGAATATGGATCCTACCATGGCCTCCATTTATGAGCGTGGTACCAAAGCTGAAAGCTGTAACAGAAATCAGTCTCAGAACGCAAATGAGACATCGAGGGAAACGCACCAAGGGCATAAGCAGAATAAATGATGAAGAAAAACACGGCCAATCCTCCACCGTGCCACGCAGCACCCTTCATGTCAGCCTTGTGAGCTAGTTGGATATGGCCATCATACAGAGTACCCAGAATATTTTGGGTTCCGAAGGCTTGCGCTGTGCGAATTGTTGAAATAACCTCCTCAGCCAATGTACCTCCTTCAGCAACATGCTTCAAAGAGAGTCTAGAGAGATACGAGTCAGAAATGCGCATATAACCAGCGGAGGAAACACGACGTACTGCATGTAAGTAGAAACGAATTTGTTCATGACACCGCCCATGATACCGATGCAAGGAAGGATAGAAGACAAGGCAAGTGCGAGTCGCCATGATCGAACGTAAGCGAGAATGAAACCAGTGACGAAGGCGGAGAGGAAATTAACCACAAGGGCAACCTTTTCTGAAGTTCCCTGCTGAACCAAATCTGTCGACATAGAGGGCGTCAATTTGGCGCCACAAGTGCATTTTAAACTATGTGCAGATACTCACGAGTGTCCGTTTGGATACGCGTGGTCACTTCTCCGGCGCCGACGTTGTCGAAGTATGCGATATCCTGACGGAGCACAGCTTGGAGGTAGCGTTCACGGAGACGTTTCGCGTTGATCTCCCCCGTGTAGACCCAGATGTACATATATGTGAATGTACAAACGAACATGCCAACGCCTGATATTAATGGTGAGTTTGTGTATAAGCGGTAGACGAACGCGACACACCAATATAGACCAGGTAAGACGCATCGAGTGCCGCGGTACGCCTGAAGCTCCTTTGAGAATTTGGGAGCTCTGCTATGGCATCCGGGTCTCCTGCTTCAGCAAGACCTGCAACTTGTTGGAAAACAATGAAATCCTGCGTAAGATTACCGAAGAGCAAACTCATGAGCGGCTAAATAACATGGTTCGATGAGTATCATGAACGCCTCGGGCAATTGAAAGCTAAATACTTGAGCAGCGCCGGCACCAGCCGCAGCGACGAGACCAAGGAGATTCATGGACAACTCAAACCTGGTAGAGAACCTGTAGTGGAACGTAAGTAAATGACGCAACGGTGGGAACACCACTACATACCGGAAAAGACTTGCGAAGGACGCCGGCGTAACGTCCTTTGATTTTGACTTGTCCCCCGCTTTGTCAACAGGGACCTCTGCATGTTTCTCATCCAGGTCAGTCGAATCGTTCTTGTGCTTGTGGAAGAATCCCTTCTTCTTAGCATGGGACTGATCCTGTGTGTTCGCTTTCTCATGGGTGGCATCCGATGGAGTTACCGACGACGCCATGTTGGGAGTAGAGACCGGTAGTGGTCTTCAACGGCGAACAACCCTTTAAATAGCGGGTGAAAGTCGAACGATGGTGATGGAACAACTGGAGGGAGCGAAGGGTGCGCTCTTTTGGGCTGCAGGTTAACGGGGGACCCTCCCGGCCTTTATAAATGATGATTACGTCGGCTCGCTCGGTGCCTCCCTGCCAGATCGACTCATCTGCCCTGTGATCTTATCTGATAATGATCCTGATCGCCATCTTGCCAAAATACAACTACAGAAAGTTTCTCTCCCTGCTCCTCTACTTTCCCTTTCTTTTGCCTCAACGTTCCATCGAAAGCTTGTTTCCTCTAAAAGAACGGACTCCCTTCTCTCCCCCACATGTCCCCACTTCCTTCGCATGCGCGTCTAGAAGCCTGCGCATGCTTTTGCCGAGGCCGTTCCTCCGTGCCAAGGGTAGTTTCCCACAAACAGCAAGACCCTGATCGAGCACCATTTCATGGTAACCTTGTTATGTAAGCCACAGTTGCATTCCGCCGAGACATGCGCGTCGACTTGGACTCATGCGGAGTTGTGTCGTAAAGCGGTCACTTTCCTCCTCCACCTTGGCCCCCCTCGAGCACTTCGAACCTTCTAGCCGTTCCGATTCAATATCCTTCATGGACACCGGCGTAGCAAAGTGAGGTACTTTGAGGTACCTGCCCCTTAAAGCGCAGGAGTAGCGCAGCCCACAATCAAATTTCTCCGGGGTGTCCGTCGATGTTTCCGAGCAGTTCTATATGACTCTACGAAATCGTCTTATTTTCACCCTGGTTTTTCACTAACAGCACCCATACAAAAGCGCTTCCCTCTCAATTTCAGAATATGCTTCCGTGTGCTAATTTAAAGTCTTCGCGACCGGCAATGGACATGGTTTCCCTGCTTTTGCCCAATAATCGACGACCTTCCGATTGCTGGTTAGTGCATTTTGCCGCCGACTTAGTTCAGACGCTGTCGGCGTCGCCATATAGGTTTGACTGCGGCTGATGAATTTCGAACATGCAACGGTACTGATTCTGCGCTTCTGCATGACTCTGATAGCGCTGTGGCTCCGTCGCATGTAATGTTGCTGGCATTGTTGTTGACCGCCATAGGAGTTGTCAGGGACTGCGGTATCTTTAATTCAGAGGCGTTGTCAATCAGACTGAACTGATTCTCTCGGTATTTCAGCCCGTTGTCGATGTACCTGTGTCTCTATATGTTAATCCTGGACTCGTCTTCTCAGAGGGCGATTACAAAGACTATGAGGGGACCGGAGGGAGTCTCCGCGGTATACATTGATTTTCGTGATCCTGTGGTGTCAGCCCTACGGTTACTATTACTCTTGGAGCCCACATAAGTAAGTACCACCACGGTAAGAATTCATTCTAAGTATTCCGGCATGTTCTCTGTTTCGGCCGATTATACGTTTCTTGATTTTTGCTGCGCAGGTATTCTCTGACGTCTTTTAAGTATTCTAAGAGTACTGCTATTGACATTGGATTCCGCTCGGCCCCTTGTCTTGCAACTGTCGACTCATAGGCTTCTATCCAGTCCGAACGCTTGACTCTAGTCGTATATCTCCCAATTCTACGAATGAATCTCGACATTTGAATCTTGAGCCGGACAGTGGTGCAGACCCAAGTTCAAGTAAGGATCGAAGATTATAACCAGGTCCTACATCACTGCGCTTGCTTTCAGGCTCGGTCAAGTGCTGTTCTAGCCCATTCTTCGAATGCACTATCGTTGCACCTGCGGGACCTCCGAGGAATGTCAGCATCTTCCTCCATTCGGTCTACTATGTCGCGGTGTGGCGTATTTCCGAGGATTCGCCATCATATCCTCGATTCTGGTATTTCATATTGTACTAACATGCACCGTCTTTCACAGCACCAACAGCGATTAACGGAATTCACATACATGCCCAAAACTCTATTTTCTGTCCATCGAGGTCTATATCACGGCTTCATCACCTGGGCTTTGGTTGCTTCCGATATCTGTCTAGCTTGCATCTGCCGTCTCCATGAAGGACGTGGCTGATTGCCTCAAGGCGTACGCGTACACCTGCCTTAGAGTTCTTCCGAGCTTCGACATGTCCTCGTGTCCATCATCGAGTCAGCAATGGTCGGAGGCCCAATAGGCAGGCCGACTCGGAGGGCGACTATAATTTAGACGACCGTTTCCGATTTGCCCGTAGTACGTACGCCTCTTGGCTGTTGGTGCTGAAAGTTACAAAAGCTTAGTATCAGTCATGCTGAGGATCTTTGTGAAAACTCAGTGTTCAAAATACACTTGTAGTATTTGCTTCGCATGTTTTACATTTCTCGGAAAGTATTCATCCGAATTATTTCCCCTCCATGGCCGAACTCCTTTAGCTCGTCCTTCGAGCGACAAACTTCAGCAGTGTCCAATCAAAACACTCGATCGACCTCCCCAATCATCTAAATGGGTTTCTTATATAGAGGTATGCGATTAGCTCAAGCTCAAGCTCATTGGTTTCCGTTCTCTAGATACAGTATGTTGGAGCCATGTGGTATTCCAATCAGAGGTCGCACAACTGTCATCCAATAGCCGTCATGTGCATTCTGCTCCTAAGTAGACGATCACGTGTGCTTACTTTAACTATTGCGCCTGTGCGATGATTCTCAGACTTTCTCCTCCTCTTCCAATACGTCTCGTTGGCAACTAATCATTGCGGGGTCCAGGCATCGCAATAAACGGAAGTAAATTGAGCAATCTACAGAACCTGCCTTTTGGGGGCTGATCCGTTTAGGTTAATAATGTTTTAGCGCGCAGCCATGCAGAGTTTGTCGGTCTCGACGACAGTCTTGGCTTCCACAACTCATCCAACTATTATTTCCTTCGTTTGACTCCTACGTGACTCTACAGTGCAAAGCAGGCTTTGTTCTCTATCATCTAGAAAGTTCGCTTTCGCTCAGACTACATATAATCACCACCATCATCTATCAGCATGTCCTGGAAACTTGGTAAGAGCAAGCCCAAGGCCAACGTCACCAGCCTGGCCATCCAAGATCTCCAGATTTCTCCCCGTTCTACTACACCTACCCCGGGCAATCCTAATGGAAAGCCTATGCCACGCTCGGGCATTCTCGCGATCAGAGTACTCTGGTCGGAGGGCTTGAACGTTCCTGGTGCTGTCCCACCTGCAGTACAAGCAGCGCTGTCATCTCAGCAAGCCAAAGCTGCGGCCTCAGTGTCACCTTCGAGCGTAACTCAGCATAGGCTGGCCAGTCACAAGAAGGGTACTAGAGATAGCGTGCAACGTCAGCAATGCTGGTGGCTTCCTTACCTCGTCATGGAGTTTGAGGTCAATCAGGTGCTGATTACGCCTCTGGGAGGAGACATGGAGAAGCCTTTGTATATGTATGAGACCCATTTGTACGTTTCTTTTCCTTACTTCACTCTGCCATGTCACTGTGAAATGGTCTCATGTTGTTTCATTATCCAGCGATGTATCCAGAAACTCAGAGATCTCGATCCAATGCTACCTGCGTACTGAGGAGCCCAAACGCGGAAGCGATGGAATCGCGGATGATATGGGCAACGATATATTCATGGGCGGTGTGAGGTTCAAGCCCGACTTCGATGACTTGCCCACTCAGGATACGTGGTATGAACTCGTTGGTGGTTCTGGCAAGATCCAGATTGGCCTGGCTTTCCAGCCCAATAATGTATGTTCCCATCTATATGTTGGCATCATCGATCGTGTGTTCATAATCTGTTCGTCCTCAGGGCCAATCGTTGACGATTGATGACTTCGAGTTAATCACCGTCATTGGTAAGGGCAGCTTCGGCAAGGTGAGATCTTCGTCGCTATAGGGATGTATAAATGGTAAGGTTCTGATGTGTTTGAACAGGTCATGCAAGTGCGCAAACGTGATACATCCCGCATATATGCACTCAAGACCATCCGAAAGCAACACATCGTTGAACGAGGCGAGATCACGCATACACTCGCAGAACGTCTGGTCCTTGCTCGCGTCAACAATCCTTTCATCGTGCCCTTGAAGTTCAGTTTCCAGTCGGCACAAAAGCTGTACCTTGTATTGGCGTACGTCTTGCTTCCCGAATTTTACGTACATTTTCTCACTTCATACGTTCTCAGCTTTGTCAATGGCGGAGAGCTGTTCCATCACTTACAACGCGAACAGCGTTTCGATGAGGAACGTGCTCGATTCTATAGTGCCGAATTGCTACTTGCTCTTGAACATTTGCATGAACTCGACGTTGTCTACCGGTGTGTTATTCTCGATTTTTCTCTACTTTCCGAAGCTAATTGCCTTCTATCACCAGTGATCTGAAACCGGAGAACATCCTGCTCGACTACACTGGCCATATCGCTTTGTGCGACTTCGGCCTGTGCAAGTTGAACATGAAGGATTCAGACACGACGAACACGTTCTGTGGTACACCTGAATACCTTGCCCCTGAGATTCTCTACAATCAGGGATACAGTGAGTACCATATTCACCATGGTCATGTTTTCACTAACAATATGCACGCAGGCAAGGTCATAGACTGGTGGACGCTTGGTGTTCTCCTCTATGAGATGTTGTCTGGTCTCCCGCCTTTCTTTGATGGTACGCTGACTGCCTACGTTTGCATTTGAAAATGGTGTATTGACCTCAATTTCAGAGAACACCGACACCATGTACCAGAAGATTCTCAATGATCCTTTGGTATTCGGTGACGAAATCAGCCCACAAGCTCGAAGCATCTTAAGCAAGCTCTTGGATCGTGACCCCACCCGTCGTCTCGGTGTCAATGGCGCAGACGAGATCAAAAGTCACCCGTTCTTCTCTCAGAACATCGACTTCGATAAGCTCTTGCAAAAGAAGATCCAGCCACCTTTCAAGCCGAGCGTCGCCAGTCCTGTGGACGTGTCTAACTTTGACACCGTGTTCACGGCCGAGCCTCCTACTGATAGCGTTGTGGAAGGCTCTCAACTCTCGCAGACCGTTCAGGCACAATTTGCTGGTGAGTCATGCCATAATTGTGTATGCTTGCAAAACCTGAGTTGTTTATCCATGACTAGGTTTCTCGTATGACGGCACCAACATGCCAATCAGCCCAGTCTAATTATATCTTCGCTCGTATCTATCCCGCATCTAGATTTTAATCCGCTTGGATTCAACGCCATTTCACTCCTTCCTTGCTATAATGTTTTCCGCCATCCCATCGTTTGCCACTATTGTACTCATCCATTCGTTTCTCGTCATCATCATTCGGTTTACCATAGGAACACCATTCGTTTATTCGTCCCGGTACATACATACAGACCACTTGGGTTCGTCGTCGCTGGTCGGATTGGATAACTTGTCGTATAATATACCTCCATCACATTGAATACCACCATTCATCGAATACATGTTTTCAAGATCTCTGTGCGGCTGCTGCCCATTCTACCTCCAGGATCCCCATGGAGATCACGTCTTGCCAACCTCCATCGATCCAGACTCCTTTCCTCACCCGACCTTCTTCCACAAATCCACTATATGCTAAAAAATGAAAAAGATTAAGCCTCGTCGACGTCTTCTTCTTTTCATATTATACTTACACTCTCCGATATAACTGGAGATACCCTTCATCTGTTTCGAATACAGTCAAACTCACTCGGTGAAGAGCCAAGGCTTTGAACGCGTGACCGAGAATAAATTCCAAGGCTTCCTCTCCGTAAGGCTTCCTCTCCGTAATTGTCCCCGCGTTGATAAGGTGCGATGATCAGCCCGAGGTGTCCATCTCGATTCTTCGCGCTACTCATGGTTATGTGCATGTATCCTACGAACTCTGTTCCACTGCCAGTGGTTGCATGCACCAATTTTATGAATAGCGACGTATATCAGTGCATCGTCGATCTATAGTGGAAGAGTGTGATGAACGTTGAAGGTACTTCAAATGTAAGCATTGATACCACCAACCTGTGAACGCAATTTCTCCTTGAATTTATGAGAGTGTGGTACAATGTAATCATATGTACAGTACTTCTGCACCCGAGGGTCATTCCATAGAGCGAGTATGCAATCCAGGTCGCTGTCTTGACATGCATGAAAAGCCAACCTTTGTGTACGGAACATGACTGAGGCTTGTAGGTAGCCTGGACCAAGACAAAGGGGGATTTATATATACAGTACTTATCGCAAGTACACACGATGAATTCATGAAAGGGATAGATAGAACCTTCACTGCCTTTATTCTTGAATGTGTCTCGAGGTCCGACGTCCATTACCGAGACCATTGCACAGAGGATATTCGTCAATCACAAGTTGGTAGGACAGGACCAAATCTATGCTTTCTTCATGTTCTTTCTGAGGATCGTCCCAACCTTCGTCCTCAGGGAGGCCATCTAAGCTGAAAAGCATGGTTGTCCGGAGGCATCAACTTCAATCGACCTTTGAACATGGTACAACGTAGTGGGATGCTACTATGAACATCTTTATACGGAAACATTTTTGGCCTTCGTCGTGAAGATGAGGCATCCATCTGCATGGATTTTGTCCAAACCAAGCTGAAGGTCCTATGCTTCTGCTGTAATCGTCCCATGCGAGCTGCCATAGCAGTCTTGAATCGGAGGAGAAGAGATAGCCGTACACGCGAGTGTAACAGGGTCACCCCAATCTGGTAGCCAACCACCACCAAACAGAATGTTCCAGATACTCCAAAGTAGGACCAATGTGTCCAAAGCAATGACTGCGCATGAAAGCAGTCTGGCGAGACTGCGAGGTCCAATATAGAACTGCGTCGTCGAAAATATAAACAACTGGTAAGAGCCAGTGAAATCTCCGTCCGTTCCTAACCAAGGGAAGGGAGGGAATCCCTGGCTCACGATGTCGCTCATCATATCCATAGTGTATCCTTCCGCAGAGGACACAACAATATCGGCAGGCTCTGAGCTATCCAGGAAAAATGCGGTCTTTACCCTGGAATCGGAGTCACCGAGTAACTGTGACACTGCATTCCTAGTTGGCGTTGCACCCTATCCCATTCCTTTCAACCAGATTTCTGCGAAAATGGCAATCGGTTCCCAATGTGCTTGAGCGATAGCGAAGGAATCATTACTGTTCAGTGCACCGAAGGCAGCCACACCTCCTACACCTTCCGACGAGAAGTACATATGTACATCACCTCTACGCCCTCAGTGAACATTCACTGTGCGGTGAATATCAGCTTACCGAATACCGACGACGGTCGAGTGTGTGAGAATAAGAGTCATGTTATTTATAGTGACCTGGCCCATGGTGTATCCACTGTCAGGGACAGGTATCGCTACGGGCATTTCATAATTCATCCTGGCAATGGTCATTTGGGTAATGTTCGAAGCTTGTTCGAGCTCCACACATTGGGAAGTAAGGATTGGAATAACTGCGGGAACGTCGACGGAATACGAAACAGCGTCCACTTGAAGGTTGCTAAGTTCCTAGAGAGACACTTTGTCGTTCGCCTGCTAGATTACTGCAAGGAGTTCCAGCGGATAGATCGGACATGAAAGGTCCCGTCATAGGGTATCTTGAAGAACTTGGGATATTGTACAACCTCGGTATGGCAAGAGTCACTACTCATAGCTTCAAAATTCAAGCGTCAGTACGAAGATGTCCATTGCTTGATAACAAAACATAAGATCCTTACTTACTGTAAAACGTTAATACTAGCTATGTGTCAAAATCCAAGCCTTCGGACCACACTTCATATTTCGCAGCATCCTCTAAAATGCTCTTCGCCTCTCCTCTAATCATTTCAAGAGCATCCTTCCCAAGAGGAAGCCGAAAAGGTGGTTCGGAAAGAAGAGACAGATCGTATATCTTCAGCACGCCTTTGGACGTATCTGCTTTCTTCAGACCTGAGTCGTGGAAAGCCACACGGAAGAGGTTGCCAGGTAGAGTCGGCTTGTTGTACGCAGGATGACTATATCCCTCACCAAGCTTCCCGATAGCCGGAGTGCGGAAGGTCCCAGGTTCCACAAGGGTGATCTAAGTACGATGCATATAAGATTGGTCAATACATCTTTACAGAAGCGACTTACCTTTATATTCCACTCAGGATCGAGTTCTTGCACCAAGGCGGAGGTGACGCCTTCCAGAGCTATAAAATTAAAACATTTCTTGGTTCAGTAAATCAACATCTGCTGCTAGAGGGATTTTTACCGTGCTTGGTAGCCGAATAGAATCCACAGCCTCCGATACCATGAATACCTACCTCAGACGAGTTAACGATCAACCTGCCTCCTGCCGGCCTATTCTCTTCACGGAAGAATTTCACCGTCTCCAGACTAACGTTCGTGGCACCCCAAAAGTTGGTGTCAAACATCGTGCGAGCAGCATCCTCCGGCGTCGCTTCCACTTCACCCATCATGGCGTATCCAGCGTTGTTGAAGACGACGTCCAGCCTTCCGAATGTTTCCTTGATCTTGATGAAGACATCCTTGATTTCGTGCGCCTGAGTGACGTCCAATTTCAGGACAAGAAGCTTCGTGGAAGGATATTTAGCTTTCAGATCGTCCAATGCCTCTGGCTTTCTTGCGGTTGCCACAGCAATGTCCCCTTTACTGAGGACAAGCTCAGACATTAGTCTTCCGAAGCCGGAAGAAGCACCGGTAACTTAAGCAGGGGCCTATCAGTACTGGATGTCGTTGGAGTGGTGAATGCGACTCACTGAGCCAAACTCGTGGGTTGGCCATTGAGTGTGTTCGGTGATAAGAATTCGAAGGCTGGGGGTTATATTTACAGTGAGATTGCCTTCTCGCAGCTCTGATGTGTGTATATAAGCAAAACCAAGTCTGGGAACCTGGGCACAGTTCGGCGCTGTTACGTACCAATGCATAGGCCCTCCGCCGACATGAATGTGTGGGATTCCGAGGTATCGGGTGACTGACCACGCGTTACCAACGATCAGGGACCATTACGCCTATGTTGGGCACTACGGTATATGCTGAGAGTAGGGAACAATGTCCCAAATGCAGTCTCTTCCCCATAAACCGTCGGCGTAGAATTGTTCATCAAGTTCTTTCGAAATGTAAGCCCAGGTCTTTTTGGGACGGTATTAACCTAGGACCAGAGAAAAAAGATGCAGTGAATGTAGTATAAACTTTCTGCAGGTGTCTACGATTAAGCGTTTTCGAGGCTTGAGTGAAGCGATGCGAGCACTCACTAATGACTTCAATCCTCCCGAGTTCTCCTGAATTTGCATATAGTCACTGAGGCAGTTTCGGACGGCGACAGCAGTTGAACGTTGTGTAGCAGAACGGCTGTAAACTGTAAAGCCCTCAGTGACACGCTGCCAGCACTGCAACAAGTTCAAGGAATGCATCTCCGTGATCGAACAGTGCGCCAATATTGATGATCGAGCTCGATCACCAAGGACCGCTGGCAAACACTATTTCTTCCCCAAACAATTCGAACAACTTGGTACTAACTTAGTAGTGTTGCACAATCCTCGTGACTCTCGAAAGGTCTCGGGTAAACGCACCGCAGTGTTAGCAGATCAAGATATGGTGATGACACCTCTCGTTTCACAGGGTAAGTATCCATCATTACCATACGCATTGATGATGAAGCAATCCGGTTTTTTGAATGGCGTGTCAGTGGTACATCGTATCCTGAGAAACTAGTACGCCTTAACCAAATTGTTGTAACTCGTCCTTCTAATATCTACGTATCAAATTCTAAGCCCTCTGACCATGACTCGTACTTGGCAGCATCTTCCAAAATTCTCTTAGCTTCTCCTCTCACTGATTCAAGAGCGTCCTTGCCAATGGGAAATCTAAGAGAGGGTTCAGGCTCTGCAGCCAAATCGTAAATCCTCTGCACTGCTTTCGATGTATCGGCCCCTTTTGGCGTGCCATCATTGAAGTAGGCAACCGTGGCAACGCTAGGAAGGGTTGCTTTCGTGTATGCAGGATGCGTGAATGTCAACTCGGATAGCTTATCGATGACTTTGGTGCGGAAAAGCCCAAGTTCCAGAAGGGTAATCTAAGTGGAACACACGTCTATATGGAGCTGAAATCCCCGTGCAAGTGATAGCTTACCTTGATGTTCCATTCTGGATCGAGCTCCTGTGCGAGCGCCGAGGTCACGCCTTCTAGAGCTATCATATCAAACAAATATTCCGGTCAGTAATTCATAAATTTAAATACTAAGGAAATTTTACCATGCTTTGAGGCGGAATAGAATCCCATGCCCGGGTAAGCATAAATGCCACCTTGCGATGAATTAACGATCAGTCTTCCTCCGACCGGCCTGTTCACCTCCCTGAAGAACTTCACGGACTCCAAGCTGACGTTCGAAGCTCCCCAAAAGTTGGTGTCAAACATTACGCGAGAAATGTCTTCGGGGGCGGCTTCAACCTCTCCTTGAAAGGCCCAGCCTGCATTGTTAAAGACAACGTCGAGCCTTCCAAATGTTCCCTTGATTTTTGCAAATACATCCTTGATTTCCTGGACTTTGTTGGCGTCGAGCCTGAGGACCAGGAGCTGGCTTGGCGGATATTTGGCCTTGAGGTCATTCAGAGTTTCAGGCTTCCTCGCAGTCGCTACCGCAATCTCTCCCTTGTTAAGGACAAGCTCTGTCATTTCCCGTCCAAAACCGGAAGAAGCACCGGTAACTATAAAAAAAGAATTAGTACTGGCATGCGAATGGGGTATGATGAGTATAATCACTGAGCCAAACTCGACCGCTAGTCATTGGGCAATGCAAAAAGGCACAAAAAAAAGAGAAATGTTCTGTAAAGTGATTCGAAGTTCAATAGTGTATCTTCACTCACGGTGCGTCGTATTTAAGCAATTCCTCTCTCGAGCGTCCTCACCATACTGTGCCCTACGTCCTCAACAGTATTAGTAATGCTGATGCTGTGTGAGAACTGCACCTGTCGTGGGGCTGATAAAGCAATGGTCTAGTATCATTTCTCAGATATAACGTTTGTCAGCCTGAAAGATGGCTATCGGAAAAGTCGAGTTGAGAATTTGCTGCGTTCTCCGGAGAGATTCGGTTTTGGTAACAAGTACATTGGGCTGATGAAGCATCCATTCTACGGCATAAAATGGGGCTTCCACGTCATATTCCATCATTACTTCAATGAAGCAGCCGTGGAGGCACTCACTGGCACGTTCGGCGGTTTCGTGCTCGTCGACGGTCGAACTTCAAGAGACAGTGGATGCAGGCGCTTAGTAGCTACAAATGGTTCTTGATTAACCTTATTTGGATCTAACCCTGGCTGCGGGTCCGCCAGCCTGAATAATATCTCCACCTATATGCATGACTGGCGACTATAGCCCTTACTTAAATCCATGACGAAGGATACGAATTACACTGTCAGCCCCACAACGATGTGTTATGATCCAACAGGATTAGTTGTACATGCATTCTCAGCGGCAAGTCGGCGACGAAATCCCATCAGGATCCAGTAGTAGCTCTAATGCAGAATAAGGGGAACTAAAATCTTCCGTGGCTCAACATGTATTTATCTCATGAAAACTGCGCTTTACGCGGGCTCCTTATGTCTACATTTATTTCAATTCTATTTGTGCACGAACAGCTCGAAAGTCTGACCGCTAATACTAAGGGAAAGGCTGGTTTCGGGAGAGACAGGAAAAGTCATTACCTACTGCGAAATTTGACCTACTATTTATGCGTCAAAATCCAGGCCTTCAGACCACGATTCATATTTTGCGGCATCATCTAAAATGCTCTTCGCCTCCCCTTTGACCATTTCAACCGCATCCTTCCCAAGGGGAAGCCGAAGAGGTGGGTCAAGAAGGAGAGAGAGATCGTATATCTTCTGCACACCCTTGGAGGTATCGCCTTCCTTCATCTTGTGGTCACGGAGAGTCGCACGAAGAACGTTGGTGATCAGAGTGGGCTTAGTGTACGCAGGATGATTATATCCTTCGCCGAGTTTCCCGATAACCTCGGTGCGGAACGTTCCAGGCTCCACAAGAGTAGTCTGCGTACAACGAGTATAAACTTATATAGAGTACGGTAGCAAAACAACCCACTTTGATATTCCATTCAGGATCGAGTTCTTGCGCTAGAGCGGAGGTAACGCCTTCCAAAGCTACAAAGTTGAAACATTTGTGGGTTCAGTAAATCAACATCTGCTGCTAGAAGAATTCTTACCATGCTTGGTAGCCGAATAAAATCCGCAGCCACCGCTAGCATGAACACCCAGTTCAGAGGAGACAACGATCAACCTCCCCCCAGCCGGCCTGTTCTCTCCGCGGAAGAATTTTATCGTCTCCAGACTAACGTTCGTGGCACCCCAGAAATTGGTGTCGAACATCGCCCGAGCAGCATCCTCCGGCGTCGCTTCCACTTCGCCCAGCATGCTGTATCCAGCATTATTGAAGACGACGTCCAGCCTGCCGAACGTTTCCTTGACTTTGATGAAGACGTACTTAATCTCCTGCGCATGGGTGACGTCCAATTTCAGGACAAGAAGCTTCGTGGAAGGATATTTGGCTTTCAGGTCGTCCAACGTCTCCGGTTTCCTGGCAGTTGCCACAGCAATGTCCCCTTTACTGAGGACAAGCTCAGACATTAGTCTCCCGAAGCCGGAAGAAGCACCGGTAACTTGAGCAGAGGCCTATCAGTACTGGATGTCGTTGGAGTGGTGAATGCGACTCACTGAGCCAAACTCGTGGGTTAGACATTGGATGTGTTGAGTAGTGAGAATTCGGAGTCTGAGGTATGTATATTCTGACTGGGTTGCTTTTTGATGAGTATAACGCGTCGTACTTAAGGAAAACCTGTGGGAGTCTGGAAGCGTCTTCCTGAATACTCTATGGAATTTGATGCTGTTGGGCACTGACGCATAGGCCGGACAACGGGGCATTTGTCAGACATTCCTTGAAGGAAAACCGGCCTTGAGTTGCGACATTGGCACGGTTTGGGGAAGAGGTATAGGGAAAGAGGAAAAACACTGTGTATAAGACAGCACCGTATTCAGATATGTAGCAGATTCAATGGCTTCATAGAAATACCACAACTCACCGTTCCTCGTCTTAGTACAAAATACATTCCAATTGCGAAACTGCATTTGTCAGCTACAAGGACCCTGATCATCGGTAAATATGTGAGAGATTCCGGGATACCGGGCTGACTACTGATACCAAAGACCAGGTTACACCACGCCTACGTGGGGGATCGGGCATCTAGTAGCTTCCGCAGAAAGCGCCGGTAGTATATTTCATGAAGTGGGCTTGCTGGTATGTCGCAAGGAACCATGAGCACGAAACAAGTGGTTCAATATCCCACTCCTGGTCGGGTTCTTGTCTAAGGGCTAAGGGGCGGCCCTCGAAGATTATGAGAAGCGAGGTAAGAACACAGTAGGCTTAGGAGTAGTGAGAGCGCACCACTATTACTGGCAGCATAGGGCGCTATGCCAGGGAGACTATGAATGTTAAGCTGCGAGAGTACATGACCGACGTTCCCTTGAAAGGCGTGTTGTCTTTCCTGAAGAACCTCACAGCGTCCCCGCTGACTTAAAGCTCACTAAGAGTTGGTTTCAGACAGGGTGCAAGAAACATCCATCGGGATTACTTAATCTACCCAATAGTAACAGGACACGCATCGGCCGAAGAGATCTTTGACCTTGCAAAGGCGTCCTAGATTTCCTGAAGTTGACTGATGTACTACAAATTGGCTTAGAACTAGCAAAACTTTTCAGTCATGAATTTCACAAATGAAGCACGAATGACGAAACGTACCGAACCAAACCCAAGGGCAAGAAATTGGAGCACTTTGCTTGAGAGAAGAGTCGACAGTGGAACGCGCATGCTGGATCTCGACCTTAGCTGAGTTGGAGAGTCGTGAGATGCTCTATTTAAACATGCCGAGGTCTTGAAGCGTCCTGGGTCATCACGCTGTCTGACGGCTTTGGGAAATCCAGAGTAATATGCCCTTGTCTAAGCCAGTAGCACTGTACGTTACTCTGAATCCCGGGCTGTGAGAAGGACGGATGAGGTCGACTGCACGGCCATTCCCAACTTGAATGACAGATCCTGTAGTGGCGACCTGCAGGGAAGATGTTCAGAGTCGTGCGGTCAGTCACATTTCAAAACCAATTCAATCATCACGAAAGTCGATTCATCTGGAAATACGAGCGTGAAAGTAAATTATCTTACCGTATTCTGCGAGTAAGGATGCAAACCTGTCGATCTGATTATTCAAGAGCAGTCTCTTCTAAAGTGGGCTTGTTCATGATCGTATGTGAGGCATGATAGTGATGAGTGTATGTGCTTTCTTGTGTAAGATATTCGTCTGGGGAGTTACGTATCAATTTGAGTCGATTGAACGCGACATTTCCAGCCACATTCAAAATAATATGCCCCTTCGAAAGATTTAGGCTTAGGATCGGCTAATGCAAGAGTGATGCTGAGGCTACCCAATTGCAACCTATGGCGGGGGGAGGAATGCATCGCTGGTCAACCATGCCGCCCTCGTCCTCTGGTCTCTTCGTTGGCGAGGTAGGTTTAAGGGTCCGGACCCTTACCAACAGGAGTGTACAGTTTTTGATGAGGGGCACATCATTTTGAATGTTGTTCAAGTTGTAAAGGCAAGAGTGAATGTTAGCGCCCATGAAGTGAACGCGGCAAAATCGTACTAGTCCGCAATGTCCGTGACGACCATTCGAGGCTTATGGATGAATGAATCTGGTGTCTACGTTGCTGGGTATCGAGGCAAGTGATACGCTCTGTTATTCATGGAACTATAGCTAATCAAAGACTTACAGTCTACCTTTCCTGTCCGTCTGTCACTGGCATAAGGCAGGCTGTTGCAGAGTATGAACTCATTCATTGAAGGCATATACTTTGACATGCCTACAGCCTTAATGGTTGCCCAGAGCGCGAGCGATTATTACAGAAGTTCCGCAACGTTTCTAGCTTACGCTCAGTGCTTCGCAACCCGGGCCGCCTGAAAGTTTATCGTCAGTCCTAGCGTCTGCGACAACATACAGTACATGTAAATGTGATTACTAGCTAGGCACGTATGTAGGTTTAGAGCTCATGAGTCCAACGATGATGAGACGCGGTACCCTGCGCAATGTAGCTGGACTGGCCGAAGTAAACCGATTATCTGACATAACTGAAAGAAAATTATGCTCGGAACTCGTGTCGACATCCTTCAGACGTGCAGGACTACGAGTGAGTCTGCCATGCTCCGTATGGTTATTATGGCAAAGCACCCGTGGCCGATTGGCATCGCTGAGCCCATTCTCTGTCAAGAACACCCATCGCGATGATGTCTTGCCACTGCCCATCAATCCAAACAGCTTCGCGTATGCGACCTTCCTCCACAAACCCCCTTCATGTCATACGAGGGATGAGTCAGACGTGATGAATGGAATTAACATAAAGTTCCCTCACATTTTCTGATACAACCGAATGGCGCGTTCATTTCCGGCAAAGACGCTTAAGGTGACTCGATGTAGTGCCAGGGCTTTAAAGCAGTGGTCAAGGACAAATCGAAGGGCCTCTTTTCCATATCCCTTGCCCCAATGTTCATGCAAAAAAGTGATGCCCAGTACGCCGTCCCGGTTCTTGGATGAACCCATGCTGATGCCTAAGTTTCCAGCAAACTCTCCAGAGTCTTTCAGCGTGATGATCGCGAAGAAAAGAGACTTCTCCACCTAGAGAGAAGCAGAAAGACGTTAGAATATGCCTCTATGATATTGAAAGCCAACGGGGATGATGCTACCCAAGAAGTGAACATCTCCTTGAATTTCGGCGAATGAGGAACAAGATAGTCATTGGAACTGCCTCTGAGCACCTCAGGTTGATTCCACATACGTAGAAGGTGGTCTGCATCGGACTCTATGAACGGCCGCAGAGTAAGTCGTTCGGTATCAAACATTGTTCTCTGAGGTTTACAGCAAGACCACCTGGGTAGCACGCTGTGAGCATCAGCAGCGTATACACGCCTTATATACCAGCTAAGTTCGAACTGCGGTACACGCCACCGTCCTGGTGACCATTTTGCTCGACGCCGAAACTGCGCATCCCCTCCTGCGGAAAACTTTCTCGGGGAGACATATTTTCGGTTTGATGTACCTGATAGAGGGCTGAGTAATGACGACATATATTACCAGGCTATCGACAACCCATTATTGCTGTTTCCATTCCCTGTCGAGGATGCCCATCGCAATGATGTCCTGCCAACCACCGTCCATCCAAAGTCCATCGCGCACCCTGCCTTCCTCTACGAACCCTCTAAATCACGACATGAGCTCATTGAGAGTACAGTGTTTCACGAAGGTCTCTATTGGGTACTTACAACTTTCGATACAGCTTGATTGCCTTCACGTTAGGTTGGAAGACCTCCAATGAGATACGATGCAACGCCAATTGTTTGAATGCGTGATCGATGAGAAACCGTAATGCTTCTTCACCATAACCTTTCCCTTGATGTTCCTGCAGTAGAGAAATCGCGAGTCTGCCATTGCGATTCTTAGAGGTCTCCATGTCAAGTCTGCAATCCCCAAGATATTCGCCAGACTCCCTCAGAGTAATGATCAAGAATATTAATGCATTGTCAACCTGTCAGAAAGGCAATCAGATCTTGCGTAGGGATCGGCGTAATATCGCAAGGCAATAAAACATACCCATTGACGCATAGTTTGCTCGAAGGATGGAGAAGAGGGTACAAGATAGCCATAGGAAAGTACCCTGCGTACTTCAGCTTGGTTACGCATACGGAGCATATCGTCCAGGTCAGACTCCTCGAATTGACGCAGGATAAGTCTGTCAGTGCTGAACATCGTGGTGGCTGATACTTGTTAGGCTGCATTGAAGTTGCGAGGATCCTTTATTAGTGCAATGTCAAAGAAATGTGCGGCATATAGACACCATCAGGCTATGCAACCAAGTCATCTATACGTTTGAAGGCACGACAGCGTTGAACGGCGTTGATCTTTCGAGTCAAAGGAACATCGGCACGGCCTATATGGCCGCGGATAAATAGATTGGTGCGAATGTTACACGACCTCAGGGCACACTTGATTGCAGCGGATGGATCGCAGCAGACTACAGTCCGAGCCAGATTACTTTGGAAGACCAGCCTTCCACTCGTCTTCCAAGATGCCCATGAGAATGACATCTCGCCATTCACCGTCAACCCAATTCGCTTTCCGGATCCTACCCTCCTCCACAAACCCTCTATGTCTCATTCATGAGCCTAAATACGAGCCTAAAGACGCATAGAAGTACTCACACTTTCTTATACAGACTCGTCGCACGGTTGTTATTGTCGAATACACCCAAGGACAATCGGTGTAGCGCTAGCCCTCTGAATGCATAATCTACGACGAACTTCAAGATCTCAGAGCCATAGCCTTTGCCCCATTGCGACTTTGTCAGAGTGATAGCGAGGTCACCATCTCTGTTCTTGGGGTTCTCATCTCGGATGGTTAAGAACCCCACGAATTCGTCGGTTGCCTTCACCTCAATGATGGAATGGAAGCGAGCTTGATCCAACTGAACCAATCACGTTGAGAGATTGGTTCAAATGACAAAGTAATATGAAGGGATGACTTACCCAACCTTTCACTGTATCTTTGAATTTCGGTCCCCGAGGGACAACATGTTCAGTGGATGTGTTCTGCTGGACATCAAGTTCGTTCCACAGCTCAAGGATCCGCTCCAAATCAGATTCCTTATATGAGCGTAAGTTCAACCTCTCTGTACTATAGAACATCGTCCAAATCCACGGATGGGTATATCGACGAGTCGACGCGGTGTGTGAGGGGTGTTGTGCGATTTGATTAACCATAAACGCCGATGATGTCTATTTACGTTGAAACCGGACTCGCATGTGGAACCTACGGACTGGAGTCACTGAACGGCGCCGAGTCACCGAAATATTGCAATCACCTTGGGAGACAGGATGATCAGAGTACAACAGAGACATTGATCACGCGATGACAACTCACTGGTGCAGCCATAGCTTGGAGCAAATGTCCGGATGACCATACACTGCGAAGTCTTACCTCTCGTGGAGACGAGCAAGCAGTTGTCGCCGTTGTTCCGATTCTGCTCTCGCTTGTCGTGCAAAAGCCCTAGCGCCTCTGCCCATCTTCCTCTTCTTCAGACGCATCTCCTCAGCGGCGCGAGTGTGTGCCGCAAGAGCGGCTTGACCATGTGTGACGCGTTTCTTTGAACCTTTATAAGGACCGGCTGTCTTGGCTTTCAGACCGATTCCAAGGCGGTCAGATTTGAGAATAGTAGGAAGTGGCGTAAGCAGTGCCTTGCCAGCAGGTTCTGAAGGAAGATCCTCAGGCTTTGGTGTCTCTGTTGGCGTGGTCGCCTCCTCCACAGATTCCTCTTCTTCATCGGATAATGTCAAGTCTACCACCTCAACTTTGCGCATCTCGCTCACTTCTCCGTCTGTACCGTACCGAACCTCTCGTTCTTCGTGCTTTATGGGAAGTTCACCCTCCTCCCTCTTGATAGTCCGCTTAGATTTGAAAGTCGATGGCGTAGCTCGCCGGACTACATGAGCACCTAGAGTCTCGCCTTCGCTCCACCCGCTACGCTGTAGCATCTCAAACCCTTTGTTAGAGGGGCCAATAGCCAGAAAAACAGGAGGAGCTAGAGGTTTCTCGGACGGAAGTGGTTCTCGCGAGAGGATATCTGCGAGTGTTGTAGTAGGAGGTGTTGTAGGAGGTGTTGCTGACGGCTCCGCATTCAGAACCCTGGAAATGAACCAATCCTTCTTGCTCGGTCGATGTTTGCCCTTAGCCTCGACTGGTGTCGGCGTAGTAGGCCTCGTAGATTCGCTCCCAGCATCAGGGGTACTACGTTCTGTCGATGAGACCGGGGTAGTAGTGCCAGACCGCGTTAGAGACCGATACCATTCTGCAACATCGTCACCTCGTTTCGGAGGTGGCGGCTTGAATAGATCGTGAGGCACCCCAATCATGTCATTGATTTCATCGTAAGAGACAATTGCTGGGACAAAACGAGGTGCCAAAGCAATACGACGTTGTGCGCTGAAAGACGATTCCGTTTGCCATGGGTCCTCTTCATGTTCAGATTCGTGGACCTCTTCTGAAACTCCACTTTCAACTTGTCCTGTTTGTCTCTCGAGCTTGGAACGGTCTTTAGGATCGTAGTGCGAGTAGATATAGTGTGTTACAGTCGCCATGATACAGACATACGCTCAAGGACGGGTAAGAGAAAGAGGCCTAGGGAGTCAGCTGCCGCTAGTGCTGGATGGCAGGATGGTGAAGGTAGCTGCAATCGTCACAGATGATACATAGGCGCCCGTCAAAACATTAAGATTCGGACACGGTTCCTGGCTAGACGTGGCTCGGAAGTCATTCGACTCCTTATAGATACACTAGTACGATATCGGTTACAAGTCCTGGATGAAGGAGATGGCAAAGGAAACCAATAAACCAAGCATAAATATATGCACGTAGAGAAGTAAGAGGGTATCAAGAGACATGCTCAACTTGAAGTCAAATGAATAAACATACATTCTATGATGATGACACAAAGTTCAAAGTTCAATCACAAACCTATGTCGTTGAGGCTTCTCCCCAGATACCTGCAGCTATCTCGCACCGAACTTGGGCAACGTACATCCGTAACCATTGGACCATTTCTTTACTTATTTGATGACACCGTGTAAGGTCAATCGATTGCAAGCGCAATGGCCAGCCAACGGAGTCAGACATCATCTTCGCATGTGTTGTCGCGGGTATATGGGCAAGAATGTGTGCCTTGGCGGCAAATGCTGAGGCAGACGATGTGAACGTGGTTGAAGGACCCAACTGATTCGAAGCCTGACATTGTGTCGGGACTGCGCTGGCCGAAGAAATCAATTGTGTTGGATACGCCCGAGCATGTGCGGGAAGCCGAGATTCCACGAATGTACGAAGGGCTTCCCAATCCATATTTGTGCAGCCCTCCAGAGCCAGAGACGTTAGCCTTGGGCATATCCACGTCTGAGCAGTTGGAGGTGTCGACAAAGTCTGATACAATGACATTAGTGATGGGCAAAAATGGGGTAACGAATGATACCAACCTTCAATAGATTTGAAGTGGCGTCCTCTGCATCGATAAATTCAAGCATAGTGATTGACGGTAGCCTCCGCAACAGGCGTACCATCTTTAACTCGTTGAAAAAGCAGGATTCGATACGCATACGCCGCAGAGGAAGGGACGTTAGCGATTGCCTACGAAGATGCTCGATCACTGGTGAAACATTGTCCAGGAAAGATAACTCGATTGTCTCCAAAGCTGGGAAAGAGAGCAGGCTCATGATTGTACGAGTTCGTACGATCCCTGCGTAGTAGAACGACAGCTTCCGAAGTCGTTGTAGACGAATTATCCTGGAATCGCTAGTCCGTTCATGCTCTGAGTGATCCGGTTCGGGCATTGAACACGAATCGGGGTCCACGTCAGACATATTGCGTAAGGCGAATTCCTCTAATGAGGGACACGCCTTGAGGATGCCAAGGATCGTATCAACAGAAGGTGAAAACCCATTCCAATATCCGCCCAATTTCAGTACTCGAAGCCGGGAAAGGAGTTTCATGTCCCAACCAAAGTTGAATGATGTGAAAGAGCACGATTTAAGACACGGCGTACGACCTTCGAATAATGGCAAAGGTGCTCTGTGAGGAAAATGATCTTCTTGCATGGAGTGGAGAATGCGTATAGAGAGAATCTCGAGAAGGGGCGCCTCCTCCTGACACCGAGTGAGAGCAGCATGTGCCTGAGGACGATTCGGCACAGTCAAACGAAAAGACTTCCATCGCCAGATCGATGTTTGTAGAAGATCCATTGCGAGGATTATATTCGCGGTCGAAACATTCTCATTGTCGACCCTCGGACTGAAATCCACACAGACGTGTAGTGGAACAGATTTCGAGCGCTCCAGTTTGCGCCTCACCTTCCCAAGAGAATGGCGCGTGCCAGCTACGACCCGGGACCATAATATCGGAGTATTGATGGCAACCTCCTTCCAATATCGACAAACGAGCATGAGGCTGGAGAGCATGAGGGAATCCTCCTCCTCCATATCCAAGACGCCTTGGATGAAGATGGACGCTAATAGTTCATTAGGCAGGCGTTGCACGGGCGACTGCAATCGCACGGCTTGCTCAAGACGTGATTCAAGTATGTCGCGCTCGCTCAAGAGTGTGGCCATCTTGGACTCTAGACTGTTCAAAGCTTCTCGGAGGTGAGGAATCGAGAGGTTCCCAGCCTGTTTCCTGGGACTCCTGGGACTCCCGGGAGCGGTGTGGCGAGGAGGCTCTGTCTGCGAAGAATGACTGCGGAGTGAATCGGTTGCTGCGACGGGCACTGGAGGGTAGAGGTCATATAGCTCGTATGGGGGTGGTAATGAACTTCTGTCGGAAGCCCATGAAGACGCAACAGATGTCCGAGTTCGAGGAGGTTCGACAGCCATGGGTACAGGCGTTCCGGGTTTGCTCTGAATTCCACTCGGATGCACCGTAGAAATAGAGTGCATTATATCGCCTCACGGAGGAAGGAAAGCTCCTACGTCACAGCCATAGGGATTTTAGTCCGGGTTCCGTACCGACAGAGGCAAGAGCTTACGATCGCAATCAGCTTTATTGTCCGAGGGTGGATGGAGAAGAACGCAGAATAGTCTCAGTTACGCCTTCCTGCTAGCTTATTTAGGCCGGCCAAGATGGCCACGCAACCTGAAACGACGTCGGGGATCTGCAACTATACCAAGATGAGTATGAGGGAGGCGTCGGAATGAAGACGCCACGGAGGCTGGGCCCAACCATACCTCAAAGCGAGAACATACTTCACAGGTAATCGTCAGAAATATGCCCTGGAGGATGGGGAAGGTGAGACAAGAAGAAGGCCATGCCGCACACACATATAAGACCGGGTTAGCGATCGAGGTTTGATAAAGACTTTTGTCTGCCCGGTGCCTGCAGAAAAAGCGCAAACACGAGGCTGGGTGCATGTCCTCCGAGCGGTGTGGAGATCCAGAATGGCTTCGAGCTGACCTGCAACGTGGGATGGCAAATGCCTACATACGGGCACGAGGAAGGGAACGAGGCAGATGCCCCGGCTGACTTTGGGCTGACTATAAACTCAGTGCATGGTCGAGGATTCGCCAGCCCTGTTCTCGCGATGCCTTTTCAGCTGGTGGCCGCCCCTTATCTCACACAACCTCTGATTCGTCGTCTAGCATTTGACTTTTCATCAGAACATACACAAAGGATCCGTTCCCTCGGATACATAGTGTCTACATTAATCTGTTCCGTACAGAATACATATACATTGGCGGTCGTGACCTCCGTCTGCATTAGGTGGCATCCACTATATCCGATTTGACTCGGCTGGCAAGCCGATGACTTCTCTACAATGACTGCCCCAAAAGAGTTGATTGACGATCTATTGTCTGGAAGTAGAAGAATTGGAATAGCACCTGGGGGCATGTATGTCAGTAAACGGCAAGTGGGACCCCAATGATACCACATGCAGCGGCTTACTCACGAAAAGGTCTAAGAAGATTGTCAAACCGCTCCCTGACAGCACCCAGTCGATGTTTAATCTCAGTAAGCATTACACCACAAAGAACAGCTACTTACCTGCGAGCCAGGCCGCATTGGCTGCGAGATGGCGTGCTGATAATGAAACAGCCAAAATAGACAGTCCATATGTCGTATTCCCCATAATGGAGAAAATGAATAGCGCAGGTGATAAACCCTCGCACCTTGTGTACAAGTTTTTCCCTGGACAAATAATGATACATCATTGCCGCGACGCTCAGCCTCGATGTCAAACTCAAAAATTCGATAAGGTAAGATACATACGGATTTGAGGAACCCGCGCCCCGACTTGAAGGAACATGTTCATCAGCAATTGGAGGTCCGAGAAGTCGCGTAAAGAGAAATAGAACTTACGGAACAGTACGGCACTGATCCAGCCAAGCAATTGTCCCTTCCACTCAATAGCTTCTTCGGGAATATGTCGAGGCGTGCCTCCGTTAATATGTTCATCTACTGCCCACGCCACGAGACCGGTTGTTAAAACGAAAATTACAGCGCCGGCGTACTTTGCAAACTCTACTACCATAGGGCCACGGTGAGGGTGGGGGTGCGCGGACACATCCGCAGCAATCGCAGCAATCAGAGGAGTCTCCTCCGAAACTTCACCCTGTGGAACTGCACCACCCGGCACTAGCGGAGGAACAGCGGGCTTCCTGGACCTTTTCCAGCGGTAATAGTATATCTGGGACAACAGTGTGCAATCGCATGCCATGTACTACAGGTGGTGAGCGTTAGTAATGTACGTCATAGTGCGAGAAAACTTGGAAGGACTTACATAGGTAGCGAGGATCTTGACTGTGGGTAGTAGTCCTGCGAATATTGCTCCAAATAGATTGGAAAGATCTCCTGCCAACCAGATCAGAACGAAAAGCACACTTAGTCCTTCGCCTGACTGTAGCTGGTAATTTTCGACTAGTTGAGGAGAATACACTACAATCCTAAAAAGACAATAAGCTACCTTGAATACAGAACGTTGTAATAGAAGAATGGACCTACCAACATGCTACAGACATCCATCCCAGCTAGATTGTGATAGAATGAACCCACGTATTACATATCAATTGATATGACGTACAATGCTGCTCAACGCGTCTGGTGCTACGAGCATGATAATCCAATCCGAACGCCTCACGGCAGAAGTGAGGCTGTTGACAGCACAGGTGAAAGTCAACCGCTAGAACCGTGACAAACCCAGAAATTCGAGGAGACAGTCCTCGAGAGACGCTCGTACGGCGAACGCCGAAGCGTGCCGGTTTTGCGTCGACGGCGCGTCTTCGCTGCAGACGTCGTTCTCGAGACTACGCTGCTTGTTTCTTGTCTACATCTAACTTCGGGCACTCATGAACGGGCAAGAGGCTTTCAGGCGGCTGGCACAGCAGCTTCAACGTGCAAGCGGAGGTGGTGGAGGAGGTCCTAAGGGTCCAGGAGGCCCTAAAGGACTCTTGACTGGTGGCGGTCTCGTAGTCGTGCTCATTGGTGGTGGTCTTGCTCTCAATGCCAGTCTGTTCAACGGTATGCACTCTGTAATTGGGCAAATCATCTCAATAAACTGAATGACTGCTCAGTGGATGGTGGTCACCGAGCAATCAAGTACACCCGGTAAGCACACAAACATGACCTCTTTCCGACCAGTACTCATGTCGATTCGGCGCTAGAGTACACGGTATCTCTAAGGAAATATATCCAGAAGGAACCCATTTTATGGTTAGTTCCCTGCCTGTTATCGCTGCGTGGGTTTTGCGGAGTACAAATCGTTATAACAGATCCCCTGGTTCGAAACACCAATTGTTTTCGATATTCGTGCGAAGCCACGTAATATCGCCAGCCTTACGGGCACAAAAGGTTTGTAATTCCTACTTAGTGATGTATATGGCATAGCTGAACGCATGGTCCTCTAGACTTGCAGATGGTCAACATCACTTGCCGTGTGTTGTCAAGACCAAGTATCTCCGCTCTTCCTACGATTTTCCGTGAACTTGGAACGGACTATGACGAACGAGTGCTTCCGTCTATTGTCAATGAGGTCTTGAAGAGTGTCGTTGCTCAGTTCAACGCCAGTCAGCTGATTACGCAGCGTGAGATGGTACGTTGTTATCGCCAAAATGCAAAGGAACGTTTCTCTGATAAGACGGGCGTTATATTTGAATGTTTCCATAGGTCTCACGTCTCGTCCGAGAAAACTTGACTCGTCGGGCGTTGAGATTCAACCTTGTGCTGGATGACGTCTCTATTACGCATGTCGCCTTCTCTCCTGAATTCACCCATGCTGTAGAAGCGAAACAGGTACGTTGCATCTAGCCCCTTTCGTTCATTTCAAACTTGGAAGATCTGTCGAATTTATGCCATTCTAATCTTAGGTTGCACAACAAACCGCATTGCGGGCAGCATTCCTAGTTGATCAGGCTATCCAAGAGAAGCAGGTACGTCATTACAGATAACTAAGGGCTAGACTTGCACAGAGATAACATTCGTTCTTTCCTTTACAGTCGATCATCGTTCGCGCTCAGGGTGAGGCTCGCAGTGCTGAGCTGATCGGAGAGGCCATGCGCACAAACAAGGGCTTCCTTCAATTGCGTCGTTTGGAGGCCGCTCGAGACATTGCCAACTTGCTCTCAGCCTCAAACAATAAGGTCATGCTGGACTCACAGAGTCTGCTTTTAAATGGTGATATCATTCCTACCTTCGGGGAAAGACAACTGCTAAAGTAGCCCTCCTTTACAGTTGCTGTCGACGATGCGAAGGAGTTGCTATCGGTGAAGAAGTAAGATACCGACACTATTCTTCTTGATCCTGCCTGGATGTGGCCGCGCTCTGAGCTTCACTGTAAATTAGCATGCTTGTGAGTTCAAAATTGAGAAATAATTCAATCTCATTGGACGCGCAGGGCGTCTAATTGCGGGAAGTCCTTCACTTTCACGCAACAGTAAATTAGCACATCTACCGACAGACTACTTGGTCCTGTGAATACGAAGCTTGTTGGGCTTGTACACGTAGTTCTCTGCGTAGTTCTTTGGTGGGACCCTCTTAACTTCCGGTGCCTCACTGTATAAACGATCGTGTTTAGTCATGCGGTGTAAAGAGAGGAGACATGTAAGCTCACATGAAATAATCCCAACCTTACTCGCAGACCGCACGTTAACATTAGCACGACATCAATGCAAATATGCTCTCACCTTGTTTCTCTGCGAAATGGATCGCATCCTCCTTGCTTCGGAATGACATACGGGTACCCTGCATGTAATCCGCACTGCGAGTTCAAGCAAAATCAGAAATCTGGAATGCGATAGATACGTGAGCAATACCCACGAACTCGCCCATCCCATGAGAGGGTTCTCCCATCTGCCACCGCCTTCCAAGATCTCCCAATCAATTCTCCACCGGTTGGACTTTCCAGTTCCGCTTTGGGTCGTACTGCGAGCGGGCTGGAATATCCTCACAGAGCGATGGCGCAGCTCAGCTACGTGATGTAAGTATGTTCAATCAACCATCGAGAGCGTATTGGGTAGGTCACGTCGTACCAGGAGCACCGCTAACGACATCTGCAGTTACTATGTCCCTCGTAGGTTGAGGAACAACTTCGCCGCTCGATTTCTCGGCGGTCGATGGAGTCTTAGTCTCCGTAGATAAAGCACGAGCGGTGGCGACAAGAGACCTCGACAGACCTCGCCGAGGCATAATTTGGGTGCAACGAAGGAGAGACATGGTGGATGAGTGCACCTCTCTCGATGACCGTCGAATAGTGAGCAGCCAATGAGCGCTTACTGGTTCGTTTAGCGGATCGGTTGGGTCAGCCGATCGCGAAGTGGCTGGTTCAATGTGTTTGCAGACTTCTTCGAGCTTCTCCATCACTGTAGCACACGTTCGGCTCTTGCTGTTGCTCTTGACACTCCATGAGCAGGTAGCCAGCTCTATGGCCACCATTCAATCAAGGCCGTTCTCAAAAAACTACAGGTTTGTTACAACTCTGCTTTGACCGAAGTCGCATCAGGCTAATAAGTACTTGTTGGAACACTCTAAAATACAGTGGTCTTGTCAATCAGTCCGTCATTGCGGTCGGCATCTTCGTAGTATGCATCACTTCTCATGAATTGATGAGGAGGAAGCGACGAGGCAAGCGCTATCGCAAGGAAGATGGTCTGGGTAGTGTTGAGACCTGGGAATTTGGATAGTGCGTACGAAATATATTCTCCAATTTCCCCGTCTCATTGAATATCGCTTTTCAGTTTGTTCCAAGGTCGATCATGGGCAAGGTAGGTTTTCGGAAGGAAAAGAGCTACAATTGGTACTAAGAGTTTCTTAGGAATCCGTCGCCACCGTTACCTCTAGGTTGGCCTCTAGGCTGGGTGAAACAAGTCTTAACATTTCCGGAGGACCGTTTTAATGAGCTCAGGGGCGTAGATGCTTCCGTTTACATTCGTTTTCTGAAGGGATGCTGTGAGTAAGATTTCGACATCCTGCTACATATGCTGACTTGACTGCAGTTTGGTTTTCTATGGCTCACACGCTTACGACACTCCCTATCTTGCTTCCGATTCATGTCAGGTTCTCTGACGGATCTGTTTCGCCCACATCCATGACCCGCGCTTCAATATCCAGTCTCGCCGCCACCCAGAAAGGTCTCTCGTTACTCTGGATACACCTCCTTATCCTCATCTGGGTTACTGGCAGTTGGATTTTCACCCTCTACTGGATTTGTTTAGGTGCTTTCAATTTTCGTTCTCAGAAAATTCAAGAAGCCGCCGATCGCGCCGCTTCTGACGCTGAAGAGACGAAGGATGCACAGTATCATCCGCATCCACACCCTCAATATCCATTTCAGACCCTGCCACCTTTGGATCCAGATCATACGAACCGTGGGCTCAGGATGCGAACTGTCATGGTAACGAACATTCCGCCAGGTCTTCGCTCTGAGAAAGACCTGAAGGAGTACTTTGAGTACTACCTTTCTCGACCGATCGCGAAGCCTTCTGTCGGCGTTACGTCCAGTACGCAACCAGGTTTCCTAAACAGGACAATCGCCTTCCTCTTCAACCGCGCTAAACAGGTACCTTCTAAGCTTCAGCGCACAATTACGTCTGGTCGTCTAGGCGAGCAGAAGCAGAGTAGCGAAGTGAGCCATCAGGAATGCAAACCCCAAACCGAGACGCCTGTCATCGATCGAGTTGTCCTGGTACGCAAGATGTCTGACCTTTCTTCTCTGCTGGAACGTAGAGAAGAAGTCTTGCGTTTGTTGGAGACAGCGCATATCAAGCTTGCAAAAAAGACATTGGCAGCTGTCAAGGAAGCTATGGAGGCCAAACCTCGAAATAGCTTCATGCGAGCTGCTGCATCCCGGATGTCGTTCGCGCAGCGTAGATCGCCAGCTTCGTCCGAAGATGTCGAGCGTGGTTCGCAAACTAGTGATGGTGTTCCTGAAGGTGAAGACCGTATGCAGCTTCTGATTCGTACTCTCGGACCATATGTTCCTGAAGACGACTCCCGACCGAAACGTCATGGAATATCCTCCCTCTTTCGCTTTTGGCAGACGCCCGATGTCGAGATGTCCACTCCTTTCTCTTCATCATCAACGTCCTCATCTGAATCCGCTGTATCCGATGAGAAGACTATTTGGGATGCCTTACTCAGCCTTCCTCGGAGTACACTGGATACGTATCAGCCCCTCATACACCTCTCTGCCCTCTTTCGAGGCAAGACTGTCCCAGCCATCGATTATTATACGGCCAAGTTGAATCTTCTGACATCGCTCATCACGGAGAAGCGTGCCAAGGCCGTCGGCGATTATGTACCGATGTCTACTGCCTTTGTGACTTTTGCCGTCCCAGCGGATGCAAGAAGAGCTCGCAAATACCTCGCAGTGCATCCTAATAATCCGTTGGATGCGTGTTTGGTAACAATGGCACCCAGCTATGAGGATCTAGATTGGATTCGGTTGATGAAATCAACCTTCCGAGTTGAGGTAAGAATTCTCTTCAGTCAAATGTGCAAGTAGAACAATCTAATCGTTAACCTCTACGCTATGCAGTTCGTCAAGGATTGGGTCGTCAACCTTGGTGTTTGGTACGTTGTCTTATATTTAGTGTCTTACACAAACTAAGATGTCTTAATAGGGCATTCACTATCTTCTGGGTGTTTCCGGTGTCTATTTTCGTCGGTCTTGTCTCTATTCAGAATATATCCGCGTTCTGGCCTGGCCTCGTAAGTGCTTATCCTTCAGGGCTCCTAGGTTCAATCCAAGTTGACTTGCTACATAGCGTCACTACTTGGACAACCACCAATGGGAGGAAGAATTACTTCAGTCTTTTCTTCCCACCCTCCTTGTGGCACTACTGGCGTTGCTTATTCCGCTGATCCTGCGTACGTCCTTCTCTTTATTCTCCGCAGCAATTCGGTGTATTGACTTTCCCCCTTTAGTGCTCATTGCGAAGAAGGCGCATACAATTAGCACTCTCTCAGCTCTTCACGACAGGATCATGACACGCTACTACAAATTCCTTATCGTCAATGTCTTAGTCTTTTTCTGTGTTGGCACTGTTGCTTTGCAGTCATTCCTTCTGTCATTCAAGGCAACGACAAGTCTCAAGTTGATCGAGGTCGTATCTGATAGTTTCCCGACCGCAGGTCCGTTCTACGTCGGCTGGTGTAAGTTTCCCCTTTAGAGTTTGAGTACCGTATCTGACCTCCGTGTAGTGATTTTCAGTATGGCTATGCATGGCGGTTTCGAATTGACGTTATGTAAGTGACAATACCGTCAGTGTTTTGCTGGTTACTGACGTGTTCCTAACATTCAGTCGGAGTACGTCTCTATCTCCCCTGCTTGTGTATATGTTCTGACCCACTCTGAAGCTGCCTCTCATTTTATATCCAAGTACCAAGCGACAGATAACACCTCGCAAACGAGCGGTTGGAATCAGACCTCGTACATTCAATTACTATTGTAAGCTGTATACACTGCAGTGTGGAACTCTTGGCTGACACGTTTCCTCCATACAGACTGGCTTCCGAATCATCTGCTTGTAATTCACGTTTTACTGGTGTTCTCTGTCCTGAATCCGTTGGTCATTCCGTTTGGCTTCTTTTACTTCTGCGTGGAAACAAGTGAGTGCTCGTTTTTGTCTTCTGATCACATCTTTGACTACGTGAACCCCTTTCACAAGCTGTCATCAGAAATCAGGTTTGTTCATCTGTGCTTCACTGTGCTCTTCCTGCAGTTGACATGTTGGTTTGCAGCTGCTGCATGTATATGCCAGGAACTATGAACTAAACGGAAGATTCATACTGATTCGCTTGATTCGATACTCACTGGATGGTCTGCTGATTCATTTCCTTGTCTCTGGCTTTGTGCTGACAGACATTTCAATAGGATTAATTCTTTCTCAGGTGGTGTTTCTAGCATACATGGTTGTTCTGAAGAAGACAGCAAACGTCGCTGTTTCCGCTATACTCATTTGTTTTACCGCATTCGTGAAGATGATGTACGTATATCTCGCAACCTTTTCACCCCAATAATTGACCTTACATTTGATAGGCTGACCCGAATTTGCCGAGCACGGTACGAACGCGACGACATGCTGGAAGCAGACATCGTTTGTGGCACGACCCCAGTTCAAGATGAGACTTCGTTGGATCCAGCTGATTTGCTACAACCTAGTGAGGAGGAGAATGAACGACGTCATCGAACGTGGAAAGACACCCTCTCCGCCAGAGCTGAATTCTGGACCATGCGATTAGCCCAAAAGATCAACTTCGCATACGCCACTAGCCCGGCTCGACCACAAAGAAACGACCGACGTCAACCCAATCCATTCGGGCCCAAAAGCTCAATGGATTCCTCAGCTCCTTTGAAGCAGTCTACCTCCACCGGCATAAGTAAATTATCATCAAAAGCATCTCCAACTGTAGAGGAATTGTCATATCCACAACTCGCTCGATCTGAGACTAGTCAAGACCAACAGTACGCTTCTGTTCCGGAGAGGTCACGTACCGCATTGGTGTCAAGGCATCCGCCACACCCTGCTTGGGACGATAACTCCTCTCCCGACCACGCGTACGAGAATCCATATTACACGCGGGAGATTTCAAACGCTCTTTGGCTTCCCCGTGACCCTACTCAACTGCTCGATCTAGATGACACAGTTGATCTCCGGATGTCGCTTACCAGTGAGCCTGGAGCAGGAAAACTCGGTGTATGGGACAATGAAGAACAATTCCTCGAAACCTCCTTGTCATCAGTCTTCGCTGCCAGTATTGGAAGCCTAGACGAGGATCTCTCATACACTCCGCCAGTCAGACAACTTGATGGTAGCGAAATAATCTCGTTGCCGTCTGGCATTGCGTCGCGTGTCGAACATATTGACCGGGAAGATGATGTCGAGACCATTAGACCTCAACGTAGACCATCGGCCATGGGTCGTCGCACGTCAAGCGGGACAAGCACGTCATCTCGTCCTCTAAGTTTGCGCCGACCCACTACAATCGATACCGGAACGTCTACTCAATTCAGAACGTTCTCTCTTGGCACGGAACCAACCAGTAGTTCGGAAAGACCTCCTTCCAGCTATAAATCAACCTCGGATCGTCGTCGTCGAAATCGCGCAGCCTCTGTGGATTGCACAATGTCATTACGACCTGACATGGTTCCATCCAATAGTGTTACTTCCAGAGGTACATCGCGATCTCTCCTTTCAGTGATTGAACGACAGGTCCCAATTGTCGTTCCGAATGGACAAGCACTTGGCGCACCCAGTATCATATCTACACGAGAAGCTGTTGTAGGCGAGGTGATTGTAGAGGAGCAAGAAGCCGCGCAAGAACGCCTTCGTCAGGAAGAAGCAGAGGAGAAGGCCCGAGAACCCAGATCACTGTGGACATCCTGGATATTTGCTAGAAGGCAATGATTTGCCACTCGTCATGACCGTTTCCACATTTTCCCCGTCGGCCCATCCGCTCAATCACGATATGCCACGATACCCTCCGCCTAACTTATTCAATATATCCCGGATTCTAATGCTTGCTTGTAACGACTTCGCTTTGATGCTCCTCTCTTGTATACCAGTTGTATCAGTTTTACGATCTACGTCGGTACTCTGTATGTCCTTGGTTCTTCCGAACAATGTCTCGTGAGCCTATTCGCACCACTTTCCAATTCGTTTCTTGAGAAGAAACATGATCTGAGTTGCTCACCATTGTGATCAGGCGGGGTGTTTAACCGATCTCTATGCCATCCGACATTTTTCCCATAATGGATGGCGGCCGAACCTCGCAGGTAGGTTCCTCTTCGTGAATCTGTTTGTATGGCCGAATCAGTATTTAACCGGACAGTCACGAAATGTCCTCCAAACTATCTGTTAGAGGACGATTCTGCTTGGGATGTGGTCACTTGTCACAATCGCTTTTTTGTTCGCTCTTGGAGTTAGAGCTGGGACTACCGTCTGGTCTGGCTCATTTAACGCATACTCGACAGCGGCGGACTTCGACAAATGTAGGTCCTTCGATGATGCATGCTGCTCGAGGTGTTCCCGACTAATTTCAATGTCTCGCAGGGTCTTGGTCAAACCAAGTGGGCGAGTACCAATGGGTTAGTGTTCCACTTCATGCTTGCCTTGGAAAATCCTAACCATGCCAATTTTTGAAGTACATTCACGGCAGCCAACCTACTAGCCATTATCTGGCGTTGGATCCCAGTTACAAGAATCCGGCCGACACTGCCGAAACTCATGGTCTGAAGGTCACCATCGACCAGGGTGCCACATGGAACTCTCAAATGGAACGGTGAGTGCCATAAGTTCTCTTTCTCCATTTCATATGTAGACGGATTACCTTCGGATAGGTCTGAGCTCATCCCGCAAACTACCGCAAATCTTGGTACAGGCATCCTCTTCTACCATTTCTCTGTCAAGAGGTCAGCCACGAACCCACCAGACGTAGGTGTGAACGCTTTTCCTTCCCGGATCATTGCGTCTCATGTAAAGCCACAGTCCACATTGGAACATCAAGTTGTCTTCTTTGAATCTCATTTCACGGAGGTATGCATTCACCACGGAAACCGCTTGCTTTGACTGATTTACACGACTTCCGATTCATACTAAGTAGTTGAAGTACGGCGTAGCGCCCAATCCTACAGATCTTCAATGGATGGTTACAGGTCAACCTCACTGGAGCACTCCATTCACTGCTGATACTTGGTTCAACTTTGCCTACGATATTGACGTGAGTGTTACTTCAACGTGAGCTCCCGGATAGCATTCTAACCCTAAAGGCAGTTTTCAGCCGGCACAGTTGGATTATGGGCTTCGACTGGCTCTGATCCCCTCGTGAAAGTTGTCCAAAACGTGGCTGCATCTACGTCCACCAACTCGGCTGATTGGCATCTTGGTGTCTTAAGAATCGTCAATGGTGCAGGGACAGAAGATTGGTACTTCTCTGGCGTGTAAGTCCATCAGCTTCAGTTCCCATCATCTCTACTCACAATTAATAACTCCTTGCAGCTATATCGAATCGGGACCCATCACCATTTCCGTAGGCTCTGGCACTGGATCCAGTCCTTCCGGGCCGTCCACGACCGCCCCTCCGAGCACTACCAACCCTCCGAGCACATCTAACCCACCCACAACGGTTCCTACCACCACAACTACTGCGTCTGGACCGACACAGACTCAATGGGGTCAATGTGGCGGTACGGGGTACACTGGACCCACCACCTGCGCCGGGACTTTCACCTGTGTGGCTGTTTCACCTCCTTACTATTATCAGGTACGAAGTTCGCGCTATTGTCTGCTTCCGATGCGCTTACATTGTTTGTATGATCAGTGTCAGTGAGCTTTTGGCGATTGTCTGGTGAAATCTGAAATCTGGAGAATCCAGTAGCTTGGTTATGCTGCTTGTATATTGTCAAACACGGATGGACAAGAAAACTATCTTTCCATATATTTTGGAGAACGACTACTGGTCTCTCCAACGTAGGGTAACAATATCATGTTGTCTTATCGGTTGAGGCTACATTAACACATTTCAGAAGATACAATATGTCAGGTCATAAATCAGACGTTGTGAAGTGACTCGACGTATCACATTAACCAAGCCATTTGCACGAGGTCACTGCGTGCTCTTTTGAACATGTGAAGTGTGAAGATATCGACGTTCGTACATGGAACCTACTCACCTCCTGCCAGTGCCTTCTTCTCTGGCGGAGGTAACCGCCCATATAAATTGGTTGCGCGTCTGAAGCGCTGACAGAATGCTTTGAAGGGAAGAACACCACCAGCAGGCTTGAAACACAAGCCACAATGTCCTTATTTTTTGTCATAATAGTCGCCCATGTCCAATGATGTTCAAGTGCTGTACGTTTACGGAGATTTTTGTCAAACTCGATGCTATCTAGTGAAGTGACACTGCAGGTCTACTACTGACTACATCTCTAGATCTGCAGTCCGAATCACGGCCCTCCTCCCTGGTTCAATTGGAAATATTTTTCTGGCATGAAGAGCATATCATGTTAGCCGTAGCACTGTCTTCTGTCAAATGTTGGCCTGCAAACGTTCATGTGAGCTTCCATTCCATCTCTGGATTCTGACAGCTTGACCTGTGCGAATCGGATACCTGTGCCTTGCAGAATGACACGCTAATGCAGCAAGATTGTCTTAAGAGACGCCTCGCAATGCTGCAGCATGATGCTGGTGGTCGTTTCTTCGTTTCTGGATGTCAGCTGTAGCGCGCGAATTGGCGACATGACTTCGGTGGTATTGGTGTGTTCCGCACTACACTATCTTCCTGGTCAATGGGCTGTGTGCTGAACACATTGCTGCGTGCGAGGACCAACCTTCACTTATTTATATCATGCGAGGTCTTTCGACAGGGTGTACTGCGGGACATTCTTTCTGTTCTCTCCGTTCATTGAATCTGGTTTACAATCTATTGCGGTTTGTTTCCTCGCCATACTACCAACGATATATTCCTGACTAATTTCAGATCCTTACATCGCGTCAAATACTCCTATTGTCGCTACAGCACGGTATCTTCTTTTGTTGCCAGGATGACTATAGCCCCACTCCTCGGCAAGAAGGCACTCTTCGGCGACTATCGGACATGGATAGCGATCCTATGTGCCGCCTTTGCAATCGCCTCAAATGTTGGCATCCTCTTCGTTTATCGTAGGACATTGCGGTTTGGGATAAGCATTACGAAAGGCAGATGGCGGTATATTGACGATGGAGATGCAATCGCCATACTCGGTTTGTGGTCACACGCTCTCCAGGCGATCACTATACTGGTAGGAGGATGGGCATTGGCACAACTTTGGAGTAGGCGACTTTACAGTGGACTTGGTGCAAGTCTTGCTGCGCTTCAGTCGTTGGACCTCTTTGCTTCCCTTGCCTCATTGCTGACGGCTTGGCTCTACCTATTCCAGAAACGCTATGCTTCTAGGTCAGCTCTATGGCTGTACATCCCCCTCCTTCTTTGTGCATCCCTTTTACAGTACTATCCTACCGCCGTCCTGATCCTGGTCGCGCCAAATTTCCACGAGGTCACGGACGTTGAAAAGATTCATGCCCAGACAGAACCTTTCATGTCTGATCCAGCCAATGGGACTCCATGCGTGAACCTCACAGACGACCGTTTGGACGTGTGTCTAGGCAGCTGGTATTTGGGAGACGCAGTGCAGGATGTTCTCATTTACAGCACGTATATACCGCAGTCGGATACGTTCGATGGAGAAGAACTTCCACGGGGCAGGCGACCTATGTGGGGTCTGACGGGCGCAGACAACTTCTCGGCGGTCTTTCTGACTTGCCTAAACACGGCTGTCCTCGACGGCGTTCTGCAGTCACACGATTTTAGTCATTCCATCTCTTATGCTGCAAGTATTCCTGCTATCGTTCCAACACTCGTTTCCCAATGCGTTCAGCTTCCACAATCGTCGAATATTTCTGAGATGACCATCGGCGATGCATCCTATCGAGTGCCCGCTACGATTCCTCTGTTGATGAATGGCTACGCTGCGGGTCAGGTCACGACGAACAATATGTCTCTTATCCTCACATTTCCTTCCCTCATCCCGTCGGCCAACGTTCACTGTGCCGTCAATCTCAGCCTCTCAGATGGTCGTGGGAGCAGTATGGTTGTCGACTTTCAAATAAACCAAACTAGTTCAAGGCTGGACTACTTAGGTCAAGACGATGATATCGTGAACCAAGACGGCAAACTTACTATTTCCCGCTGGGAACCCATTGCCGCCTTTGCCCGTATCTGGCTGTTAGGAATGGGTTGGAGTGAAGAGCCTGTCCAGAATGCGATGTCGTTGTATATCAGCGATCTTGGTCTTTCGGTGGGATCGAGACCTCATTTCACTAATCGCAACACTGCCGTAGGCCATACATTTGAAGCTTACTCAATCATAATGATGGCAGATGGCGTCAGTGAAGGCTTTCCTCCGTGGCAGAATAATAGTGAATCCACTGGACGCCTCCAGTCCTACTCAATACAGAGGACGGTGCTTTACTTGGGAGCCCGCACAGCGACAAGATATATTGCATGTGGGGTCCTTGCGTTGGACACCCTTTTCCTGCTGTGGTGTTTGTGGATCATTTTGAGCGGAGGTGGATGGTATCCCGACTGGAGCAGCCCTGCTGCTCTCGCTTGCACTGCAATCTGCTCAAACCCTATTGCTGGATATGAAGGGAGTACGAAGGGGGACATAGACTCTGTTGCCTGGAAAATCTGGCTTCAGCTGGATCCTAATAGCAACGAAGATGTTATTCGCTTCATCCCGAAGGATACTAGGAACGTGGAGCAAACGGCGCAAGGATCTGGGTAGAGAGTCTGATTATTGGAGACAGCGAGGTTCACACCCGGAGAACTTATGTTCATTCATGTCGCATCTTCCGAGTGTGTGGAGTGTGGCGAGGGCGATGTATATTTTTGTTAGAGAGCCGTAACGTCTGTTCATCAATGTTAATGAACAAAATCCTAGTTCAATATGTATACGTCCAGATCATCTATCTATACCAGTAGTCGCACATATGAGCATAGTTTAAACTTTAAGCACAATCGTTCTCCGAAAGCGTGGTAGTACTATGATGTAGATACCTAACGCCAAGATCGATCGAGATGGACAGAAATCAAAGGGCTAGTAAGTACTAGTAGTACATGCGCGTGCTGACGCACGAAGGTTCTCGTCTGCTGTATCTTCTCTATGCAGGCCAATCACTGGTTTATTGAGACGAGAATAGACGACCAGTAAATAGGTCTGCTTCAATACGCCCTGGTAAGTAGATCGTGACCTACCAAAAGCGTAGTAAACGACGCGACGCGTCTGTGGCTGCAACGCGTTTCGGAGTTTCAAATTCTCTCAACCTTATAAGTGCCACCCTGAGCCACGGCCAGCGGTTTGGACTAAACTATCATCTGTCTACTAGTCTGCCTTAGAGACTCTAGCATTGACTGGGACCTCTCCATAACAGAATGCGTTCTCTACTGCCTCTCGAACTCGTATTCATGATCCTCGATTATCTTTCAGATGACAAGCCATCCCTCTCTCGTTGCTCCGTGGTATGCCACGCGTGGCTCGAGCGCAGTAGAAAACATCTATTTAAAGATGTAGTCATCACATTCATAGCCACCAACTATTCGAAGCCGGGAAGACGTCCTCTTCCTTTTACTCCACGTATGCTGGACCTACTGCATGCACCGTTACTAATCCGGTCCTACGTTCATCGTATCACCTATCGGCCCCGCAATACCAGGTCCAAAGATCACATGCTATGTTCGGAGACCCTGTTAAAGAACATACTGGATTCGCTACCATCGCTATCCTCAATCTCTGTGCAAAGCGTTGAAATCCGGGCTAGCTCACATTGGCAGTTTGCGAATCTCCTCCCTCTTCGCAGTCTCTCCAGCCTTACATTTGTCGATTTTTGGTCACCGGCACAGATCATGTTCTTTGGTCGTATCAACGATATTCAAACATTTACTCTTATTGATGTAAATGTTACGCAGCGTCCCACGCTGGACACTTTGGTTCATTCAAATATCCGCGTATGCAATTTGATTATCAAGGAAACTGAGACACTCTACTCTCTGCATGAATGCCTCGAATTCAATCTCGACCTGGGAGCACTTCAAAACTATTTCATTACGTTCTCCGATCCTTGGGATACCGTCCATATTGCCACCTTTTTTGAGAACTCCGATTTCAGTGGATTGACTTCAGTTCATCTGGACTTGCTCCCGGGTAATATGTACCATGGAGGTCTGTTTTTCTTGTTTCCTTCGTCGTTTCAGGTACTCAAAATCTAACATAATTATGAAGACTTTGTTGATTGGGGCGGATTTCCTTCTGCAAAACTGCTACGGACGCTTCGCACCGTTCATTTCACCCTTCACTTTGACTATCATGACCATATCTCCTGGAAAGAACCAAGCGTCATCGTTTCTTCACTTCCATCCAAGGCGGTTACCGATCTGTCTATCGTGGTTGGCGGTGCCTGGCAGGTCATGGAAATGGACCTGGAGTCACTAGACTACGAGCTGGAGAATTTCTCCGCGCTTAGAAGAGTTGACATATTGACGAGAGCGTTAGGAGAATCGTTCCAGAAGGTGGTGGACCATGTCAAAGGAAGCATGGGAAGGCTGCAGTCAAAAGGTCTACTATCGGTTCAGCGGTTTGAAGATGGTAAGATGGTAAACGGCGAACGTCATTGAACTAGCTTACGTTGAAAACAATCACTCTGAATTCAGATCCATATGCTTCACATGCATGAAATATTTACGTATTCATTTCGTCGCAGAATGTAAAACTTATAATGCATTATGACAGCATGCTTAAGTACTTGTACTATGATGATATGATCGAGTCTTCGTTCCAGCCGATATAGGACTTCTCTCTGCATGTCCAATACGAACTCATTCGACGAAATGGTACGTCTCTTGACCTCTCAGACCAAAGGTACCTATACAGGTCATGTTTGTCCTCAGGTTTCTGAAGCCCTCACTAAGAGCAAAAACGCAAGTCGAGGCTAGGCTCCGAACCCTTCCTCGAGGCTAAGATATACTCTTCAACTTGTTCCCATAAACTGATATCCATGCTTCAAAGTCTGACGCTAAGTTGCATTTTACTGTCCACCCTTAAGGCGTGGATGCAAATGACATTGACGATAAGCCATGAGAATGCCTACATGAGCATGAGAAGGCTGGATTGCCATATTTTCTCGATATAAGAGATCTTATTATACTGAATGTTAGGCTGACATCCTAAGGGCAGCCGATTGGCGGCGAAATCAGAACCGATTGAGAATGAAGAGATACATATCATGTACTATCTACAGAGCATGAGAGTCTTCAAGGAGCAAAAATGCACAACGCGACGCGATAGGAAGGCCGACCAGCAGCGTCCTTCCTTCCACTCTGAGTATCAACATTCGTGTTCACTGTGGAGGATTTCGACAGCGGGTTAGACATCCATGATACTTACAAATGACGAATGTGATGGTGGCGGGGGTCCGATGAAACAAATTATTTCCCCATCCCGCCTAACTTATTATTAGGCGGAGACAGCGAGGAGTGTGAAGAAGATATTGATAACGTGGAGAGTCGCTATAGTTGTGTTGAATATGACCTGATTGCTCACGTTACGCTACCTTAACAGCCGAGGCCCGAGACACAAATAGTAGAAATATTCGCAACTATTTGTCGGAAAAATAAAATATTAGTTATAAGGCGTTACAACAAGTCTCCTTAGTTGAGTTAAGGTTATAACCAGTTACAACCTCGTTACAAGCAAATAATTGCTTGTGATTGCCGTTGCAACAGCTTACAACCTAGTTGTAACCTAGTTGCAACGCGTTGCAACCAGGTTGTAAGCTGTCATTATCTTTTCATATCATAACGGCAGATAACTTTTTCCGACATTTCCGTGAAGTCAAAACGTGCGATCGAAGTATCCTACGCCAAACCTGAGAAGGATATCGTAGGTCAATACGCCTAATGAGAGGGCTAACAAAAAGCCAAGTTGTTGTACTCACCAATTACCCCACATGCGGCACGTCCACCAGCATTGCCAGTCTTAAGAGACTCATCGTCTCCGCCTTTTCCAAGGTCATCGGTACCCTAGGAATATTGTTGGTTAGTCCTGACGCGATTAGACTTAAGGTGACTTACCGCATGTACGACAACAGAGCGACTGTAAATACCGTACGTTATGTTAGTATAACGGTAGCAACATGTTTACATTGACTAACCCGATAATACTAAGTGGCCCATTCAAAGAAATCAAACGATCCTCGAAGCTGAACTTGGCATTGCCGTCGGCGTCGCTTTCAATGTTACCCAAATCTCCGACATGTCTTTCAATGTCACCGGGAGCACCGTGATTCCTGTTGAACGGGTTAAAGTGGGAGCCCGCACTTGCACATCCACCACTCAGGTCTCCCGAAACACTGTTACAGGCTTGAATACAAGTGAATAGTCAGGAGTTGAATGTGCAGACATACTGAATGTGGAATCCGCGCTTCTGGGAAGGGACAAGCCCCTTCAGGTCACCTATAACAGTGACAGGTTCTCCGATCTTTGCCTGTTGGAATGTTACCGTTCCGCTGACAGGCTCCCCTGTTAGGACTGTAACCGCCTGATCATAGCAGAGTTGAAACTTCAAGCTGTGACTTTGAAAATGTTACAAGATATTCCAACGTACTTTGGTCACGATGGGAATAGGAGCTTGCGACGGTGTCGAAAAGAACCAGAGTAATGAAACCACAGCAACGGTACCAATTGCCCAGAAGATAGGCTTGGTCGATTGCTTTGTCTGTGCACGATTCAAGTCCATTTCGTTGCAAATAGAGATTAGTGGTGGAGGTGGTGGAATGGGAACAAGAACGTGTCGAATTGCACAGTTTGGACACGGTGGATCACACCTTTCGCGCTTTACAAAGCCAGGGACACGTCGTCATCATCGGGACATATTTGCGTGTCTTTTATCTTCCTTTCCTTTCTTTTAAGCCATATGCACTGCAGCTCTTCCAAGTTGTTCGTCGCAAAGTCCGAAAGTTACTCAAGATAGTCTGAAGGAGTAAAGCGGCTCGAAAATGCAGATTTCAAGAGGTGGAAACGAGGCTGTTAAAGAGGATGAGGCAATTGCGCGAATAACTGCGAATATGAATGGCGGTCCATAGCGGCCCGATATCCATAATTAACTAAACGCCTAATCTGCCAGCCATGGTCCCACAGTTCGTTGCTTAACATGATGAACAATTTCTTTCTAACTATTGTCTTAGCGGTTTCTTGCACTTACAGACGATATGTCGTCCACAGCAGTTCCAGATGCCCGAGAAATTAGTCGACGTACTGGTTCTGAAACGGCGAGTGACCTTTCTTCGGGCCGCGTAAACACTGCTGAGGGGTCAGATGTTGCTGGCACCAGCAATAAAAACGCTCTCGAAGCCCGTAAGGACAACATTGTCGAACGGGGCGATGATCAAGTTAAAAGGAGGCCAATTCCACGAAGGAGGAAGAAGCAAGAAGAGACATCTTGGATCATGGTCTTGACTCCCATACTACTCGTCTTGTTCGCATACGTCGCGTTACGCGTTAGTGCTGCTGTGGCAAATCCGAAGCCCAAGTTTAACTGGGCCAATACAAAATATGTATATGCCTTTGGTGACTCGTACACGTTTGTTGGAGGCACGAAAGGCCATGCGAACTTCAGGTGAATTATACCTCGTATCGGTCTATGTACTTATTTGACACACTCCCCGTAGTTTCATTGGTGATCTGGATAATCTCCTTCCCAGCCGTCAAGAACTGCTTTCTAGCGAAATAATACCTCACAATGTACTAGTTCCATAGGTGTCACTCCCTTGAGTCTTACTCATAACGTCTGGTCTTATTAGACGAGCTCAGACGGGTCAAACTGGGTACGAGACTTCACACTGTAGTACCATTATATCATTATATTACTCACTAATATTATGTACGCTTTAAAGATTGAGTTCCTGACGGGTTGCTTCGAAGGCCAACCCGCCCAATGTTTCCCTCATCAACTTTGGGACTTTGCATTCGCAGGTGCCGATATTGATGGAAAGCTGTGGGTGGCTCATTCTGTTTTTTTTTTTTGAAGATAACTATTCTTACAATCTCCTAATATCTTGATTCATAGGTTGCCTCTTCATCATTCATTCACCGTTCCTCTTGTCGATCAAGTCAGACAATGGGTGACTTCTGCTTCAAACGTGATTCCTCATCCCGCAGATCAAACAATCACTTTCTGGTGGGTTGGTATCAATGACACGGGTGATACTGTGACTAATGCCACCGTAAGTTACATAATATCTTCCTGTGGTTTATCCCCGTCTCTGTAATTAATCCTTGAGTATAGATCACTGACTTTCCCGCTTTCTGGGAAGAAGAAATGACTTCATACTTCAAAGCTGTGGTAATTATCATCCCACTCCGCGTCATTCTTATTCGAGATGTGTGATGATGTTTTAACCTCCTACCAACCGATCTTCAGGAATTCGCAGTCACACGAAGTTTATCCGGCACGCACTTCTTCATAAACGTCCCACCAGAACACCGAAATCCCAGTTTCGTCAACACACCCCGAGCACCCATCATCCAAGCCCACATCCAGCAATTCAACTCAATCTTGAACGTACACGTGAAACAATTCGCTGACAAGTTCAGAGAGTTGAACGTGTTGACGTTTGATGCGTTCGAGTTCTTCAACAAGATTTTAGATCATCATGAGGAGTTCGGCTTCAAGAATATCACAGGGTGAGTCTGCGTAGATCCTTGAAGTCTATGTATAGATGTAACATCCTTTTGGTTGCGTGCTTGATTAACCACCTTCTGGTCTTTTTTTAAAAAGGTTCTGTCAATGCTCGGATCCAAAGTTTTTCTGGTTTGGTGAGTCGTTGATCTGCCTCCCCCTGCGTACTACTGCGCTTTCAGACCAGTGAGGACTGACGGGTGTGATCTGCAGATGCTGGACATCCTACCGAACGTGTACATAAGCTGATCGCCGAGGCTATCGAAGACCAACTCGTTGAGGCATCGCGTTGATGCATCTTTGAGATGGTTGCCTACGGCACAGTCCATCTGCTAGATTATTTGGTGCCCACCCAACTCACGTATTTGGATGTAATCTGCTTCCTCTACACGTATTTGGAGACACTAGGAAGAGACAGACTAAGATGAATTCCAGACGTCAGCAAGAATCGAGAGCTACTGTATGTATGTACACGTTGCAACCAAACGCAACCACGTGCAGAACGTTATAAGATGAAGGTGGGAAACCTTCAAGGAAAAGAAATAAAATGAACTAATAGGTACTGAGAAAGGAAGGAACAACATAGACACAGAGAGCAGAACCAAAGGAGGGTGAAAGGGGCGCAGCAGAGAAAATCTGTGTTAAGAGTCCACCGATGAAGCGCTTTATGTATAGTGAGCCACCAAAAACCGACATAGAATAATAAGTAGCGAACAAAAGATCAGAAAACGCATGAGACGATGCGGCAAGGAAGAAAGGCAACAAAGAAGGGGAAAACAAACAGCATGGAGACTCATCAGAAGAATAGATAGGTCGTAACGAACACCGCCAACGCAATGATGATAACCACTTGTAATGGCACGCCTTCTGGTGGACCCTGCAACACTCCCTCATCAACATAACTGCCGATCTCCGTCTGCCCATCCCAAGTACTCGATCCATCATCCGACAACGCCCTTGTACGTCTTCTCAACTCAGTAGGTGTCACCGTAGAACCTGTCTCATCAATAGTCGTTGTGGGAATGGAGCTCGGCTCCGGCATGCTCGAAATGAGATTTCTCAGTCTTTCGATTTCGGCCTGAGCATCCTTCAGCTTAGCGACTAATTCCGGATTGGGGTCTACTACCACAGGCACGGGTGCAGGAGGTGGGGGCGTATGAGGTTGAGGGGTGTGAACCTTAACGTGAACAAGCGCTGGTTGTTCTTCCTCGGCTTCATGCTGCGGTTCTTCGTGACGTTCTTCCTGCGCTACGGGCGCAGGCGCAGGCACAGGAGGTCGTGGCTCGATGACGGAGGGATACTCGTGTACAGATGGTTCGGCCTGTCGAGAGAGAACTTCAGGGACGGGAGCACCACGCTCTTCACCATGCGGTGGCTGCTGAGAGGGAGGTTCGAAGTCGGGGATAGGTTGTTGACCAACGTGGCCATTGTATGGGATAGGATGCACGGTGTCGAATTGCTACACAATTAAACAACAGTGCGAGCACTTAGCCGGGGACGAAAAAAGCCAGAGAGGGTTACCCACTGAGTCTGAGGCATTGATGAAGGAGCTCACGTTCCCTGGCGCACCCTCATCTTCTTCTGGAACAGTCTGTCCTTCCGGTGGCAAATATACAACGCGGATCTTTTGGGAAGATATATCGTCTGGAGACTCTGCGTTCCACTGGGCAGATAGGGCACAAATGAGATGAATAATCAATGAGAGCAAATGAAGTGACGTACCATGTCTTGCAGTGAGAGAGTCTCCTTCTCCGGAGAAATGAGGGTACTTTGAATTAGGAACTTGTCTTTGCATTTGGCATTTAGTGGTGGCTCCTCCTTCATTGCCTGCAGCATGACTGGGGCCAGTTTCAATACCGGTGCGACAGATGAGTAAGCCATAACGTACCCTGCACTTCAACGGTTTCCCCAGGCTCCACCCTCCCAGAATTCGGTCGAACACAGTACAACTATCAATGTCCGTGAGTACGACTAGTTTTCAGAACCAAATGCAACACATAATACCTTTGGAGCTGTTGTTTTGACCTTGAAAGCCACAGGCTGAGCATTCTTATTCGTGATGTGTAGTGCGCGTTTGACATGTTGCGTAAGGGGTCCTGTGGGGCCACGTTATTCCTCGTCAGCGACATAGGGGTACCAAAGAACATACTGTTGAACCCCAGGACGGTAGCGGGGTCGATTTGAACAGACATGGCGAGGAAGAAAGAGAGGAAAGGAGATAGTAGAGGAGATGACGGTACTGGCAGAGCGCACGCTGAACGCACTTTTAGGCGGAGTCTCACGGTTGTCTGCTGGCTTCCGCATGCACCCCTCACCACGCCACAATCCATATCAAGTCCTTCCGATGTTCCTGCTCCAATCTCCTCGTTTTCGCTGCATTGCAAACGGCTACAATCATACAGCGCAGTATATCTACACAACACGCGAGCCACATTTCTTTCACTCGTCGGGAGCCCTTCCCAACACCGCCGCCAGCTTCTCATTCACGTCCTCCTCGCCCTCCATCTCCGTCTGAAGGTCCCATGCAAGGAACCTCTTGCAGACCTCTTCTGCCTGTGCGAGCTCGGTACGTTCACCTTCGTTCATGTCTTCATCCAACAACTGTCCCAGCTCGCGTGTGGACAGCAAGAAACTGTAGCGTAATGAATTAGTGCTACATCGGCGAAACATGACACGGGCTTACCTCACATATCGTGCTCTTTGCACGACACTCCGAGGCAGTCCAAAGATTTCAGCACACATAGCAGCGTGCGAGTTTAGCCAGAGACCCTTTTCCACCCTGATCAAGAAACTTCAAGCGTCGGCTCCGAGTAGCCAGGAATGTAGTATTCACCGATACAAATAGGTAATGCCTTCGCCAGGTCTGATCATGCTTCCGCCCTCTGCTTCAGTATGGTCGGCAGTGGTATCCTCTTCAAAAGCAGACAGAGTTCCAGTATCACTTGCGCCGAGAAGCTCGCCTTTGCTGGTGGTGAACAGCACTTGCATATGTACAAATGTGACAGGAAGCGAGTCGGGATCCAAGATGTCTTGTCTGAAGATATCATGAAAGTGTGTGGCAGCTATGACTTTGGGGCAATCGTTTCCTCGGCCCACGAAATGTTGCAGTATACCGCAGAACAATCCAGCCCCATCTGTATCAGTGAGGAGAAACCGGGCAGAAGAGCATCAAAAGCGGGGGAATTCAGACAGGAAAGTCAACCAGCCATAATAGAAGCGTCGAGAGAAGGACGAGCCTGTAGCCAAGGTCCCTTTGCCGAACTCGTCTAGAAGAATCAAAGATCTTGAAGTACAGTTGCGCAGAGCGAGAGAGACTTGGTTCAGATCAATCATGAAAGCAGATTGCACCTAAACGAAGTATCAGAAGGCAGGCTATTCCCTCCAGCATAGTGCCCACTTTAGAGACAGATTCCCTTGTTTGAATCCTAGTGAAGACTGCGCAAAGGAGATCACGCCAGATGAGATTAGACGCAGCATGGCTGAAGAAGCGTGGCCGAACTTTTGTCAACGATACCCAGGGTAGCACGTTCGGCGGGGACAAAGCATCCAATCTGTTCATGTCAATCCCTTGACGATCAGTCATTGCTAATGATGTCATAAAGCGCACCTGGGCCATGTATTGAATTAGCGCGACCTAAACACGAAGCCACGTATGAGCATGCAGTGTCGCACATGTTTATCACCTCCGTTTAATCGTTCCATGGGCCCGCACACACCTGCTTGAGGTACACACTCTGAAATGATCCTTAGGATTAGCATTCAACATGCGACAAGTTGAAGGAGATCATCGCAACTCGCCTTGCCACAAGCGTTTGCACCGGTACAGACCAGTATGCTGTGGTTATCGCGTGGACTGATACTCTCATTCTCAGAATCTTCACCTTCCTGAGGGTCTATTAATCCATCAAAATCACCGCCAACGAGATATGCATCGTTGGGTACGAAAGTGTCGACGACGAGTTCCTGCAGGGGATGTCTTAAGGACAGAGAACTAATCAGTATCCGTTTTGATACTGTAAGGAGCGTCATTGACCTTCCGCCTTTGATATCAATAACATTGTCTTCTGACATTTCTGGACGATTGAAATTATACGCTCGAGAAGCATCTGCAAATGAAAGCAGACAGTCAAGTTCCGCACAGACATCACATGCTGCGCTGATAGCTTTCTCGTATTCGAGCACTTTCATTTGCAGGTCGTACACGATTTCGATCTCTCGGTCTGCGAAGGTCATTAAGCCGTTTCAGATGATGAAGAAACAATGACACAGACCTGCGATTGCTGGTTGAACGTCGCCAATGTGTTTGTCAAGATCTGTGTGCACGCAATGACTGAATGAGGGGTGGTCGATGGAAGGATCGTCGTCATATTGACATACCACGCATCTCTTTGTTCTTGAAGTATGCATTTTCTCTGAACCATAGACCAAAGTTAAGAAACCCCGAAACTCAACAAGATGACTGCAACTTACTCTGATGAGAACTAAGAGCCATTCTGTAAACAGCAATCCCAAGAACGAAATCATTCATCATACCTGAAAAGTCCATCCTTCCAATTCCACCACTCCGTGTTCGTTCCATTCATCGCGCATAGGGACAGATACAAGAAAACCTAGAGTCCTGTCAACATGCAGAAGCACTATGGTTTCGAGGGAAACCATACCCAACTGTGGGAAATATACCACATTCACCGACCTTGCATAATCAGATGGCACGGTAGGAGATATCCTATGAGCAACGGTTGACTGAAGCAATGATGAGTCCACAACTGCAATACCGCTTAAAGAACCACTTGCCAGTATGCTATCAAGACCTGCATAAACGTGCTTCTGTGCATCAAGAGCTTCGTCGATATGAGGGCGAACACAGACTCTTCCCCAAAGAGCAGATTCGTCCCAGTCAATCTTGTACGACTCAGCAAGGATTGATACGTATCATCAGAACCCAGACTTACCATTTCATTCACTGCCGTACCAATATCCTTGAAGCTAGCCACTTCGAGTACATGGGAAAGCTATTCAGTTAAGGCAAATCAGTCCTGGTATCGTTGAAGGAAATGCAATCACGAACCTTTCGAAGGATATCAATGTCCCCGGAACGACTTAACTCGGGAAGAGAATTATTGAGCATGACGGAATGAAAGGCGAACTGAAACAGACATTCGGTCAGGCAGGTTGGTTTCCATAACGTAATCTGCATACCTTCACGACACTCTGCCAATCTGAGAGCTTGGCCTTCCCCACTTTCAGGGCCTTCATGGTCTTCGGGATGTTCTTGATGCCCTGCAGGTGATTATGCATGGTAGTGGCCAATGTCAGGTTGTCAGGGTGCATAAAACATGCTACAGCGTCATGTCGCGCAGTAATAACAGGAATGGAGAGCGATGGGCGAAGTAACCACTCTCGCATCAACAACCGTCCCAAAGATGTCTTTGTGTTGTTGAGAATACCGAAAAGAGAAAGGCCCTCCTTGGTATTGTCGGAATTAACAGATGCATGGTTCTCCGTTTCAAATATCTGAAGAGATTGAAGAGCGTCCGCATTGATTTGCATGACTTGTTTCAGGGGAAGGTATTCTATGGCGCGGATCTCGAGTCCGCCTATTCCTTCGTCGTCGAGGTCTGCGACGGCTCGCATACGAGCAATGTGATCCAAAAGAGCACCAATGGAACCCAGCTACATGCCGCGTTACGTGTGAAAGAGAGCATGTGAGGGTGAACGACTAACGCATAATGGAGCACATTCTAGAGAAGCGTAGTTGGCCAATCGAACAGATGCGTTCCATCGCTGTCCCGTAGGGTCTCCTTTGCCTTCTTTGCGTCGTCTCATAAAATCGTAAGCGTTTCGTGGTTCGGAGTCAGAGCTACGATCAGAGGTCGTGTTTTCCTCGGCGCCGTAATTGACTAGTTCCGACAGCAATCGTAGAGAAAGAATACGGTCGCGGCCCTTATTCGGAAGAAAATCCTTGTGGGGTCTCAGTTGAAAAACACTTCCGGAGCTATCCACTTGAATGGGAAAAGACGGATGGTTATATGCGGACTATGCATGGAAGCCGCGCTCGTACCATGTGCCCGCAGAACATCAATGAACATATCTTCAGCCTTGGAACTGGTCAGAACAACATCCGGTTCAACTTGGTCAAGCACTATTTTATTGTGGGATTCATAAAAAGTGACGCGCAATGAGTAGTGACGGAATACGCACGCATAGATGTAAGGTCATAATGTGCATTCTCTTGACTATCTTCGAATATATACATTTTGCAAACCTGTGGGTCATAATATGCGCAACCAACTCTCCCGCTGAACAAGTATCAGACAATGCACTTCCGGTGAAGTGAATGAGATGCGCACAATTGGCATGACATAGCCAAGCAGATCTACCCGTGGTCAGTTCGAACGGAGGATGTGGTTATAAGACGTGAAGCGCGAGGCTTACCTTCTCCGTGCACTCATCATCTTGTGATTCTGTTTCATCATCGTCACCGTTCTCGTTATCAGATACCTCCTGGTCCTCGCCATCCCATCTCACTCTCTTCCGCACACTCTCCGAGTCGCCGGGACCAGAAGACGGCGACGTGTCATTGAGCTCTTCAGCATTACGCTTGCGATTGGAAGATAATGGTTTCGTTATGTTTGTCATTTCATTTGACACAGCGAACGTATTCAGCAAAACAACGCGTCGTAGGGAGAAAGAAGAACAAAATATTGATACTGAAAGTACAGGCGGCCTGAGTCCCCGTTTTGGACACGGTACGAAGGCGATGTCAAACATGACCAAACTCAAACTCTCAATCACCCTGACGTGACGGAGTGAGTACAGTACGTTCAATCCAGTGATACACTTCTATTGTCTACATTACATGAAATTCGGGTGACAATGAATCCGGAAATAAAACTTCTCTGCTGAGTTTATTCGTCGACTCATTCCAAATCATCTGACCAATGCGCAAAGCTCTCCCTATCCCGAGCAACTTGCTCCAACTGATCCTTGACGAAGCCGATTGCATCCTTTCCGATAGGAAGTCGAAGAGGTGGATTCTCTAGAGAGGCCAACTCGTATAGCTTTATAACAGCCTTGTTTGGGTCTTGACGTTTAGAGGGTGCCGCTATATATTGTTGGCGGAAGAGGTTGCTCGGTAAATGAGGCTTCGTGGCATAGGCAGGGTGGATGGGAGGTTGAACAAGGTTCGAAGTGAACACTTTCGTGTCAAATTCTCCCGGCTCAACAATAGTTATCTGCATAGATTAATGGCAAACGTTAAATACAGTTGCGTTATATTAGGTAGATAAACGGATCACTTTACCTTAATGTTCCATTCAGGGTCAAGCTCGCCTGCCAATCCCTGCGACAATCCCTCCAAGGCTAGGTGAAGGATTTCATTTTTATGGTCATTCGACCACAAGGAGATAGGACATACCATATTTGGTGGCACCATAATAAGCCACTCCGGGAAACGAAAAGAAACCACCCTGAGAGCTAATTTGTAACAGTCGCCCGCCAACACCAGGCTTGTTCACATCACGGAAGAACCCAATGGCTTCCCGTGTAACGTACGAAGCACCCCAGAAGTTTGTCTCAAAGAGGGAGCGCGCAACGTCCTCCGGAGTTGATTCGACTTCACCAACGACAAAGAAAGCAGCATTATTGAAAACAATGTCAAGGCGACCGAACACCTCCTTGGTTTTCGTGAACGCATTGGCAACTTCTTCAGGCTTGGTAACATCGAGCTTGACAACGAGAAGCTGTTCGGCAGGGTACTGAGCCTTCAGATCGTCGAGCACCTCTGGCTTTCGAAGTGTCGCAACTGCTATGTCTCCCTTACTGAGAGCATATTTGGTCATCGCGAAACCAAAACCGGACGAAGCACCGGTTACTGTGAGCAATCAGAATAACCTGGTTAATCATTGTGTCGTCAAGAGGAAAACTCACTGAGCCAGACCCTAGGTAGAGTTTCCGTCATGACTACTTCTGAATGCTAGTGGTAATGGTGCGAGTGATTGAGAGGGGAGAGTCCTATACAGGATGCACCGATGCTGCCCAGGCTTTATATCACTGGAGATCCATAAGCCATCAAGGAAGCGAGATAGGATATTGAAGGAGCGCTACGCTATACATTGTCATCTTGGGCCACTAGAGTCTACATCAGCATGAAGGGCTTCCATCGATTTGCATGAGAAAGTTCGGTCACCGACGCTGCCTACCCACTTGCAAAGGGTCCGCGGAAGGCGCCAAGATTGCGAGCTTTCGGCCGCCTCATGATTGTCTAGGAGTGCCTCTGTTTTGTGGAATGTTACATTGGAACAATGCTCGCAGAAATGTGAAGTCTTGAGGATTTGAAAGGCTGCAAAGTCGTTAAGTCACAAACATTATATATATATGAATCAAGATGGAAATGACTGAAGAACGGGAATATAAGCAACGTGCCATAAGGCAAATATATATGAATTCCAATGTATATCGTACACATGCATTTAGATTGCGATTTAATCGTGCTTGCCGACGAACTGATCGAACCATCGGAAGACTTCATAATGCCACTTCAAACTGCAGGGATGTTCAGATCAAGCAGCATGGCACATGACCGAATACTGACCTGTTACCGTGATTCGATACCCAGTGATTCTCATCTGGGAAGATCACCAAGCGGCTAGGAATCTTTAATCTGCACAGATATATCAGTGTTATCCCCAAAAGAAACAAGGTTCGGCCAAGAACATACTGCTGTAATGCATGGAATACTCCAAGACCCTCCGGCTCAACAAGCCGATAGTCACGGCTGCCGTGAACCACTAGTTGAGGTGTTGACCACTTATGAACGAACTCGATGGGGTTATTTCTGCAGGGTGGCAAGTCAATATTGTGATCCGGTAGGGTTCGGAGAAATACATGTTACTTCTGAAGAGCGATCTTCGTGTCATTCTCCCAAGGTCGGCCTCCGAACTCATAGTTGGACTAAGTACAAAGCATTGTTCGATCAGCGTCGAGCATGACAGATAGATGGAACATGTAACTGACGAAATATAGCTCATCCGTTGCGTACGCGGTGAACCTCACATCGAAAGACTATACAACGCTCAACAATGAAGGAAAAGAGAGAAATATCGGAACGTACGCTGTCATGACACACGAGTGCCTTGAAACCGAAGCCAAATTCAGGATGTCCCTGGATCCAGCTATACAATGTTGATCACAAACACATGCAATGATTGTGAAGTCCTTACTTGATGGCATATCCACCATAACTGGCACCAGCCGCAACAGCGCGATCTGCATCGATTTCGGGATACTTGTTCAAAATGTACTTCCAACCTTTCTGCATGTCAACGAAAGGTTTGCCACCCCAATCTTTCTTGATGGCATTCACGAAGTCTGGAGAAAGCTCAGGACGTTCGCAACAAAAATCAAGCATGAAATCACTAACCTTGGCCAAAAGAGGTCGAGCCAGTAGGGTTGATAGCAATTGCGACATAACCTTGCTGGGTGAAAACTGAATAATCGCATAAGCATTACGAAATCGGGAAAGCTACATCTTATCAAACTTACCATTAGGATTCCATCGGACAGACCAACCGTCCTCCCAAGCACCCTCGGGACCTAGTAGAGGGGTTAATATGGAGGCGATCGGTTGAAGAAATGCTACAACTGACCTCCGTGAATCAACAGAACAACGGGCCATTTCTTCTTCTCTCCTTCCTTGAATCCAGGAGGCTTTATGATCCAACCATGCACGTTCTTGCCTTCCGCGCCTTCGAACCAGAAATCTTCTCCAGGACTCAAGTTCTTGCTTTCCAAAGCATCCTCAGTGAACTTGGTCAACTGGTCAATATTGAGCTTCTTGCCCACGTCATCTGAGAATAGATCAACACCATCAAGACCTCGAATGACGAAAACATCGTTTGGTGAAGTAAGGGACGATCGTGTGAACAAGAGACGACCATTCGAAAGAGCTTGAATGTCGCCTACCGTGCCGCTATGTGTAAGTGCAGTCGGCGTTTCATATTCCTTGGGCAGGTCCGGGTCCGTAGTTGACCTGGAAGGTGTAGGAGGGATCGGGAGGGCAAAGACTTTCGCACGAGCGATATCGCCTGCAGTGAAGAAGATGTTTTTGCCGTCTTTTGAGAACTAATAAGATGGGAAATGATTCGTTATCCAGAGAGCTCGATTTAACAACACGAGAGCATACCGATATGACGCTAGCAGTGCGATCCCATTTTTGTGTCAGGGTATATCGAACATCCTTCTCGAGATCGTAAATGACAACCTTTCCTCTAATCATCAAACTTAGTAGAATCATGGCAAGTAATAAAGTGATTATGTACCTGTCAGATTCGTGGCCATCCTCGTCAAGCTCTATCCAAGCCACCTTGTCTCCAGCAGCATTGAAGGTAGGGTTGTGGGTAGCAGCTTGTTTTCCGGATGTCAGTTCTTTACGATTCTTGCCTTGGAGATCTACAATATGAATCTGAAAAGATACCAAAATATATCAGCATCCGCCAACAACCATACGTAATTTCTCACGTCTTGTTTCGTATGCCAGGCTGGAGGGAGTTTAGGGTCCTTCGTCGTGTATATGACATGGCCCTGCGAGACATCAAAGTCATCGGTTCCTCCGAATGGTTCAATGGGGCATTTCTGTGACGATATTAGTGTCGCTGTCGTTGAACTGAAATAGATTAAAACTTACGTGATCTGTTCCGCGAAGGAGGTTGATGTACTCATCACCTAGGGACCATTTGTGGTCCGGATTCTGTGTAAGCTTCACAGAGAACAGAGAGCTCCTCTTGGGACCAATCAATGTATCCCACTAACCAACCAACATTAGTCCTACAATTGATGAGTCTTGGAATGGAGTTGAGACATACGTGTCTGTCGAAGGTATCGTCAAATACATAGGCACTATCACCCCGATTTTCCCAAGCTTCATCATGTTCTTTGACCTTCGTAATATCACCATCCTCATAGACGTCATCAGAGAATATCAGATATTCAGACCTGCCCGTGAATCGAAAGTTACCAGCGGTGGAAGTCGGGAACTTGCCAATGAAGACTGGAGAGTCCGGATAGATTTGGATCGTCGTGGTATCCGTGTCTACCTTCACAGAAATCGCGTAAAGAACCTTGACTTTATCTTTCCCTTCGCCTTCCTCAACGGCATGACCGACAGTACGTGAGTCGAGCCAGAACGCGTCACCGCCATTTGCTAAGGGTACTTCTAGTGGTTTGACCGTGGACTCGATGGGGGCAAGAAAGATCGATTTGTTATTCCTGACGCGAGTTCAGAAGACCTTATAGGGCGAATATGAAAGCAAGACGCGTACTTCTTTTCCTTGAACGAATACGTGCTAACGGGAACCAAGACCAAGTCTCCAGGCTGATTGGCAATACCAACTCCCGGTCGTGGAAGTTCAAGAAGATTCTTAGGAGAGAACACGTCCGAACCCTCTTTCAACTTGAATGGAGCTTTAGTAACAGACATATTAGCTATGTCGCCTAGCTTTACAGGGGTACTGGGCTGCTCCAACGGGATTTGGGAAGCTAACCCAAGCAACGAGATGGGAAGTCCCAGTCCAGGTGGGAACCACATTGTTCGCTGGGTTGAATGGGAGTTACTGTCCTACGGTGGTCGTTGAAGGTCAAGCGACTCAATGAGCTTGACGGCATGCGCCTCCCCCTGTTCACATGGTTCCCGTGGTGGTGGCACCCATCGGAATACGTTATTGCGTTATGTACACACGCCGAATGACGTTTCTCAACTAGCATGACGCCGGTCCAGGCAAGATTCTAACAATATTTGTTTAATGCCTGGAGAGTTACCTGATCATTCGCATTACATTACGAAGTAAAATGCCAAATAAGATGTAGGGAATAACAAGTGCTAGGTAAGTATCAAGAAATGCGCAAGTACACTAGAAGTCCATTGAAGTCCGTAATGTCTCTACGATGTCCGTAGTTTTTAAACAGAACCAGTACTCGAGGTCCGAGGGCCTGACTATCCTCGGGGTATCAGAGAATAGGAATACGCAGCGCTCATCATGACGTCGTCGCATTGTAGATGATCTCGTTTGCTGTGACTGCAAGTTTGCGTCCAACCTCGCCCTAATACACAGAACCGCCGAAGTGAATACACGTCCAGCATGGCTTAAAATCAATCTACTCACCGCACCATCGGCCCATTCTTCGAAGACTACGAATTGAAATTTGTAATCACTAACGGCCTTACCTCCTCCGAAACCACCTTGTGGTTTGGAAAAGTCCGGCATTATGAATTGAGCAGGTGCCGGATGCTGAGCATAAGGAATAGCTGTGAAAGTAAATGAGCACCTAAATCAAATGCGTGTGTGACTGTAGTACATACCAGGATAGTTCGGGTAGTCGAATTTTCCGAAGTAGTACCCATTTGTGAAGAAGTCTGTCGGCGACAACGTCTTATTCAAAGCATCGTCGCCTAGAAGCCAGACATGAAATCCATAACTAGACTTGCCGTAGTCGGCAAGGCCGTTATAGCTGAAATCGAACGCAGCCCCCGGAGCAATGTGAGTTCCGGGTGCGGGGTGATCAATTGTCGGAGGGTCTGAGGTGACAGGGACGGGGAATGCAGCAGAGCTGAATGCAAGCAGAGGAAGAAGGACATATGTGAATGCAATCATGGTTGAAGTTGTTGTGTTTTGGTGAGTTCATGCAAAGACAGGAGGTCTTATATACCCGCCCGGGACGAGGGCAGTGGAGCAGCCTGGACTCTGGAACACTCTGGTTTTATATGCGCATGCAGTCCTCTCCGTTCTCCTGTCGGCACTCAAGTGCGATCCGACCCGGCCAACGTCAAGGGCACAGGGCGCTGCATGCTCAACTGTATAGCAAAAGCTATTCCAAGCTCGAGTATGCTTACTGCTTAGTATGTCAAACTCAACGGATGTCATATTCATGATGATCATGATGATGAAGTCAAGAACGAGGGATACATCCTCTGGAGTTGTTGCCGAAAGTGGCCATACGACATCACTTATGTCTGTGGAACCAAAAGACAATGACGAATTTGGGTATAGACAGAGATGCCAGACTTACCAAATTACACATCGGCGGAATGCGCACTGAAGGAAAGCAATGAGACGAGTGAAGACATGGATGATGAAGGTGAAGGAGAAACTGTTGTCGGCGTCTCTTCCCCATACGTTCGGAGTCTGTGCCTCGAAGTTCCCTGCCGGTCTAAACTGGCCTCAGACAAACCTAGACCTTGTTAGAGAAGGTAATAAGTCAGCTCAATACGGAAAGCCCGACGTCGGAAAGATTTCTAGATGACTGAGTATCGCATGCAACAAAAGCATCTCGCATCGCTGAAGGGAAGGAAAGAATAATGAATACATGCAAGGGTGCGGAAAAGCCGAATATAGATGTCTATGCGAAATACATAAGGTCATTCTTCTTCTTAGCTTGTACTGCAGATTTGAAAAGGACGTGTTAGCAGCCGAATGTTTACACGTATAACGAATGGTCTTACCTTCCATGATTCCACTAAGGAAATGTTCATGACTTAACTTCGATGCGCCTTCCCGCAGAGCGATCATACCGGCCTCAACACAAACTGCTTTCAATTGTGCCGCGTTGAACTCGTCTGTACTCCTCGCAAGCTCTTCATAGTTGACATCGGAACTGACTGACATCTTTCTTGAGTGGATCTCCAGAATACGTGCACGGGCAGTTTCGTTGGGAAGCGGGAACTCGATCTTACGGTCCAGACGACCAGATCGAAGGAGGGCAGGGTCCAGAATATCGATACGATTTGTTGCGGCGATGACCTAAATTTGGTTCAATAAGCGACCCGACCACTCTTCTATGGCAATGAAAATACATACCTTGATACGATCGTCGCTGCTGAAACCGTCCAGTTGATTTAGAAGCTCCAGCATGGTTCGCTGGACTTCACGGTCACCACTCTTCTCAGAGTCGAATCGTTTTGTACCGATGGCGTCCAACTCGTCGATGAAGATGATGGCAGGTGCCTTCTGCTTGGCCAGCTCGAAGGCATCTCGTACAAGTTTCGCACCGTCACCAATGAACATTTGTACCAGTGAAGGACCAGCAAGCTTGAGATAGCAAGCCTTTGTCTGGGCAGCACATGCACGAGCTAGCAGCGTCTTTCCGGTACCTACAAGGATTTAGTATGGGAGAGATCATAGCAGGATGGACACCGCTTACCAGGAGGGCCATACATAAGACAACCTTTAGGTGGTTTGATACCTATGGTCTTGAATTTATCCGCCTGCTCCATTGGCAATACGATTGCCTCGACGAGCTCCTCAATCTGTTTCTCAAGACCACCAATATCTGTGTACGTCTCCGTTGGTCGCTCGTCAACCTCCATAGCCTTTACACGTGAATCGAATTCGGCGGGAAGAGTGTCAAGCACGAGATATGAATCTTTATTGACACCGATTAGGTCGCCTGGCTTCAGCTTCTCCGGTGGAACAAGACCGATAAGGGGGAGGAAGACAGTCTGTCGTGTTGAAGTCTTGATTACTGCACACTTGCCCTTGCGCATAGAGTCCAAGTCACGGTTCGCACCATCTTCCTCGCCTTCAGGATCGACGTCGAGAATCTGGCATACATGAATATCCATGTATATGAGATGCTGAGGACAAAGCTTACCTCCACAACGTTTCCTACAAGATACGGTAGGACCTTGTTCTGTTTAATCTTCTCTCCGTTATCCCGAATCTTCTCTTTCATTACATTCTGCTCGTGTTGTAACCGCATAGTCTCCGAGCGCATAACCTACATCAAAGTTAGAACAAGTGAGGATAAAGCAACATTCTTCGCACCTTCAGGTCATTGTCAATCAGCCGTGTCCTCGTCAGGATCTCGTCCGTAGACAGGGAAATAATCTCCTCCGGAATATCATCCCAAGTCTCTTCTGGAGGTTGGTCTGGTGTAGTGTCCATCAAGTCGGCATCCTGGGTAGCCGCATTAGTGGCTGAAGTGGACGCCTCTGGCTTCTTCTCATTATTGTTGTCCTCCGGAGGCGGGTTTGGTGGCTGAACTGAAGACATAGTGAAGTGAAGATGAGGGTAAGAAGCAAGAATGAACAAGCAAGAATATCACAGTACGCGTCAGAGTGTGGACGCGTAAGTCAAGAGCTTCGTAAGCGCTGGCACAAATTGGGTTAGGGTTTGTAATACGATTCGACATGCCGCTCACAAGGTACTCTTATGTAGGCTATCGTTCTACATGCTGGTACAATGTCCCCCGATGTCCCTGCACCTCCAGCGGATGAGAAGGCGAGATATGAAGCTATCAAACAAGAACTCAAAAGTGTACTCGCAAAGAAGCGCGATATAGACAAACATCTTGTGGGTCCAGTATTCTGCATATACTCCTCTGTTGTTCAACTTTGTCCGTACTTCTGCTGCAGGCCCACATTGAAGTCAAGGTTTACAACCTGGAGACCACCTACTTGAATGACACCTCGGCCCAGACTGGTGGTAACATCATCCACGGTTTCGAGGGCTATCTCAAGAACATCGCTTCGAGCAGGAAGAAGGCCGAGATTAAAGACGAAACTGACCGCATATTCTCCAATAGCAGTGTGTCGCATAAGAAGGCACGCCTTTTAGATTGTAGTTTGTTCTCCTTGCTGACAACCATTACGCATTTAGTCCTTGGAACTGTCGGGCGAAGGCGAGGATTCTGCTGCCACTGGAGAGGACCATTCCAGAACATCCACGCCGGCTCTCACTACGGTCATTGTTCCGCCGGCACGCTCACAGGAGTTGACCGCTGCCCAGAACAAGAAGAATCGGGATAGAGAGTACCAGCGGAAGAAGCGTGCCAACGCCCGGCGGAGTAGCGTTGCACTCAGTGACGATGAAAGTGTCACATCTGCATCCAGTCGGAGACCCACCAAGAGGTCGAGAATGGATGATGATTAACGTGAACGTGCAGATCCATCACATACCCCACCCATGCAATATCCTTCCGTCACGTTTGAGACTAGTCCCGCATTTCTCGGACTCTGCACGCCTTTCCTTGCACTCATAGTGTAATCAGTCGTCGAGATTTTAGATATCCATTGTACCAAGTAGTTTCTTTACACCAGACTCGTCTAGTCCACCACCATCCGGATCGACAGCCTCGATACATCTTGAGATGGCAATGATATGTCGAGTATCTTTGGCATTTACCCACACCCTCCCGTTCAGACCTGTTGCAGCTTCCAGAGGAAAACGCGAGCCCAATAGCGGCAGTAAGAAGTGCGTCGGGTCTAGTAGACTGTTGAATAATTAGAGGATCAATGTCCGAATTTTTCAATAAGAAAATTTGAACTCACAGTCGAGACATCTTCAAACTGCAGCGGACGAGAAATCCCCCTTTGAGTTCCCCAAACCCCTCCGCTTTGCGGGTCTGAGCATCGAAACATTCTAGCTCAGGCTCCATGTCTTTATGAGCCAAGGAGACCCGTGCATATAGAACAGACCCAACCTAAAGCATAATTGAGCTGAAAGATAGCAAAATAATATAAGAAGGATGGCACACCTTCAGATTGGGTCTATTTCGTTTGGTAGCACCTTCGAATGCCAGACCATCCAAGTTCGCAGCGTGAGCAGACCCTATGTCTACACGCCAGTTTTCACCGCTACGTGCAATGACAACGCCCACAACAGACTCCTGAGATGCAGGAATATACTACACAGATTGATTCATGTTAGTGAATATTATCACAGTCGCTGGAAAGACTCACCCGCCGTGAATTACTCTCAATCCACCATTTGCTATTATTCGCCGAATGCTTCAGCTCTCCAGCCCGAGTCGAAATGATGAACCCGTCTTGTCCGACATTCGATAATTGTAGCAATCCAGGACCTAGTTTGAGGTTCACATGTTGTGCATGAATTTGTTCACCAGGAAGGACCAGCTCGGACATCGCGTGTAAGAACGAAAGACAACTTGATCGACGACGCCCATGTTCTCGGATTTCATATACCCACTTTTCCCGGAACTTCCACTATGACTACCCAACTGCTGGCTGATTTTCCCGAACTTTCACACCTTTCGTAAGATATTCTGCTCAGATCCTTAGGGTTGAATGGTTGGTTGTAACCACCTCATGCGAGTAGGAGAGAAGATCTTGAAGAAATACTTGCCGATCCACAATACTTCCAGGCAGTATTCCACAGTTTGAACCAAGTGAAAGCGCTATATCAATCACAGGCTGAACTAGGTTTAGCGAACGAGTCTATAGCTAGTGAGCCACCAGCCTAGCCATCATTAGAGCCTCTATTGAATCCGAATCCGACTCAAGGAAATAATCTTGTATTGCAAGAGCCGTTGTATCAACTGCGTAGTGAAGCGAAGGAAGCTTTCGACGAGGCTAAACGACTGGAAGCACGATGGAAAGAGGTTGAACGGGAACAGCGGGAAGTATACCAGGTGTGCACCCCGTTTAGTTATGCATCGTTCGTTCGGACTAATAGTCATATTGCTATAGCGTTTCACGCCTCAATTCTTGTTGATGCGTTTGAAGCATGCGACAACAGCACAGGACGAACTATCTGAAGCCCTTGCAAGTAGCTTCGTTCAGGGATCATCCGCAGATTCGTCAGCCACTGAAGGCAAAGACGTGGATGAATTTGTAAAGGAGTTCAAGGAACTCCGCAAGACATATCATAAACGGGTTATCTGGGGTGACCGCTGGTCTTCTGGCCAAGTTTCTTGAGCAAGTCGTGTTCGAGAGCTGGAATTTATTCGTGAAGTATCCTATGTGTACTGTGCGTCATCTTTTATTCTACGCTCTATCTTGTTACCGAAGTCAACGGTCTTTGACATACTCACGTTCTCCCAATAGGTATGTAATGCTTAGCTTGTAATTCGGATCTACCATACGTATCAACATTACTTCCTCCTTTCATGGCGGTTACAGAGCCCGCGATGATAAGCTTCTTCATTCACGAGCCGGTATCATATAAACCAAGCATGTTCACTGGTCGCTCGGTAGATGGAGAACATCGAAGATGGGTCAACTTCGGTACCGTACCTATCCTGCTGACCTTGGTTGCCCTTTCCGGATAAGCCTTGCTTAAACTTCGCTTCACCGAGAACGAGAATCTTCTGTCTAAAACTGATATCTGCCTTTTCTCTCTTTTTTCCTCTATTCATGGTCTAGGTAATCAATACCTGTGATAGTTCCCCGCAGACGTCACTTTCGCTGTGCGGAGAAATTGGCACCCTCGGCACCATGTCTCCCCTGACCTCCCCGTGGGGAACAAGACCAAGGACTGAATTCTGTATTCACTTGCCCCTTACTTTTCCTGCAGTATAAAAACACAGCTGATTTCGCCTGAAAGAGTTGTGACTAGCCTTCAAACACCTGGATTCTATATTCACCATGAAAAAGTTCGCTTCTCTCCTCGCCCTCTCGACCTTGGCGACTTCTGCCTTCGCGCACACCATCTTCCAGGTTTGTGATATTAACCTGTACTGTACGACACCACGCTCATCTTGTTTTCCGACTTTTAGCAACTTTACTTCAATGGTGTTGATCAAGGTCACATCAACGGAATCCGTGTCCCCGACTACGACGGCGTAAGTAATTCTTTGCTTGATATTGTGTGCTGAGGTATGAAATTACTATTGCAGCCTATCACGGATGTCACCTCCAACGACGTCATTTGCAACGGAGGAATTAACCCTTACCATCAACCGATTTCCAAAGCTGTATTGACTGTGGCTGCTGGCTCTCAAGTCACGACTGAGTGGCACCACAGTACGCCTTAATATATTCTTACAATTTCGCGAATACTGATCCTCTATCCATGTAGCTCTTAATGGTGCCGATCCTTCTGACTCAGCTGATCCCATCGACCCCAGTCACAAAGGTATGGAGTGCCTTCAATTTGTATCATTCTCGAATATTTGCTTACACAAGAGTCAGGCCCCGTTTTGGTCTACTTGTTAGCCCCATGCTCTTGTACCTGTGCGGTGCACATTTGAAGATTCCATCCTTGTAGGGCCCAAATTCCAGATGCAACTCAATCGAGCGTCACCGGCTTGAAGTGGTTCAAGGTCTGCCAAGGATTATGGTGTCATTGTAGCTATTGTCGCTGACATAAAACCAGATTTACGAGGACGGCCTGACCAGCGACGGCAAGTGGGGGGTCGATCGTCTCATCGCCAACAAGGGCAAGGTCACTTTCACCCTTCCCAGTTGCATTGCCGCCGGACAGTACCTTCTTCGAGCTGAGATTATTGGTAAGCATTCCTGAACGTTCGTTCGTGCTGTTAGCTAACAACGTGCTTGATGCAGCTTTGCATGCGGCTGGAAGTTACCCTGGTGCTCAACTTTATGTCAGTAACTTCAATTCTCGCTGTTTGCGTGGTTCATCTTATAGTCTTGTGACCAGATGGAATGCGCCCAACTTAGTGTCACCGGCGGCGGCAACGTTTCTCCAGCTACCGTAAGCTTCCCTGGTGCTTACAAGGGTGAATTGAATCTACCACTCTGGGCCATTCAACCGTATTCACTTGACATCGGTCAAATTTCAGGTACTGATCCGGGCATCACGATCAACATCTACCAGTCATTGAGTGGCTACACTATTCCTGGTCAGTACTAACGTTCGATAATGTATGCGACAAGTCACCGACGAAATGGGTTCAGGTCCCCCGGTCTTCACCTGTAGCGGCTCCGGTAGTGCTCCTGCTCCGCCATCGACCACCGCCGCACCACCTCCGACTACCGTCACTGCTCCTGCTCCACCGCCGACTACGTCCTCCACCCAAGCGACAGCTGAACATTACGCCCAGTGCGGAGGTATTGGGTACGTCCTTCTATGATATATTGCTTTTGATACGCTGTCTCACTATGTGTCTAGTTTCAATGGCCCGACTACTTGCGTCGCTCCGTTCACCTGCGTGAAGTCAAGCGACTACGTGAGTTATCTTGATTCCACATTGTTGACAGAAAGCTGATTCCCGTAATTTCATGGAACAACAGTACAGCCAGTGTCTGTAAGACCGGTGTTTGGTGCAGAGACGTTGCCGTAATCGGTGTTGGAGGGCTTTTAGGATACGCTTGTCGTACATTTCCGCCCTGTCCATCAGCATTGTTTCTCAAAGTTCAAACCTTGCGAGCAAGAGAATGACTTCTGTCCCTTGCCAACGCATGAGGTACCGTCTTCTCGATCTTACGTTTGTTATCTGGAACATCCGCATGAGGTGAATGACAAGTAGGTCTACGTCCTATGATCCTGCGTCGGTTTTGCTCGCACCATTCTCGGAAAGCGGAATCGCATCGTCTTTCTCCGCATCCCCGAGGCCCAGCATCGAAAGACCATCTGTTCGCTCCACCTGAGGGCAACACGTCAGTCTCTATGAGAGTCTCATTACCTCTTGGAGGAACTTCCAGTACGGATGCCTACTTCCGTTAGGGCATGCAGCGTGTCACGACCACATTCAACCTTCAGAAGCCCAAGGTTCTAGCGCTGGCGCTCCGCCGTTTGACGGGGTGGGCTGATATCTACTGAAGCTCATTTGCTGGCAAGAGTATAAAACTGTCATGACATTGTGCCCCAGCCCTCAGGATATTTCAAAAGCACGATTTTCAAAATGAAGACGTTCTCCACCCTCTCCGCTTTGGCCATTTTGGCAAGCTCTGTCTCCGCTAAAACCGTCTTCTCTGTGCGTAGCTCGTGTCATCTATACAGTATATAATGATATGAGGAATCTCTAACCTCTTGCTAATTCATTACAGGAACTCGGTGTTAATGGTGTGGATCTTGGTCACGGTGTCGCTGTCCGAGTACCTTCTACGAACACGGTGAATCCTAACCCCAATTACGCAGTTCCAATAATTTTTTGACAGTTTGACGATACATCTCAAGGGCATCACTGACATTACTTCCAACAACCTCATTTGCAACACTAACTTTGTCCAACCTGTCTCCAGCGTTGTTGCCACCGTTCCCGCCGGGAGCACAGTGACCGCTCACTTCCACCATCTTTCTGCTGGTTACGTTGGACCCGATCCCTCTGAACCTCTTGATCCTACCAACAAGGGTAAGTAAACTTCAACATAACTCGAAAGCCAACCGTTTAACGCCTTATTGTTACCTTTCTTTCAGGCCCAGTCCTTGCGTACCTGTATGTTCTGTGGCAGCGCTTGATCGGAATGTGTTCATCATTAACCACTTCTTAGCGCTCGAGTCCCCGATGCGACTCAGTCCACTGTAACCGGTCTCCAGTGGTTCAAGGCTAGTATCTTTGAATGTTGTGTCCTATGTGTAATCACTAACCACCGATACGATTTAGATCTGGCAAGACGGTCTCGACAGCACTACTCATCAATGGGGTTCAGACAAACTGTTCATCAATAAGGGTAACGCTACCTTCACCATCCCTTCTTGTCTTCAAGCCGGCCAGTACTTGCTCCGTGTTGAGTCCATCTGTAAGTGTCTCGTTCGCTGACTGGAAAGTACGGATTACTCATCGTACCGATATAGCACTCTTGGACGCTTCCTCTTACCCTGGTGCACAGTTCTACGTGAGTGTTCGGAACCGGTACATCGCTCGAATAGTCGACTCACGATGATTTTCCTCTAGATGAGCTGCGCTCAAATCAACATTACCGGTGGTAACAAGGTCCAGCCCGTTGGTGTTGCCTTCCCCGGTGCCTACAAGTGTACGTCACGATTAGAGGCATCAGGAGATGATCTGAACTGACTTGAATGTATGCATTCAGCTACCGACCCTGGCATTGTTACTAACATCTACGGCACTGTGTCATACACCCCTCCTGGTAAATCTAGTGTTGGCGGCCAGCAAAGGAAAACTGGAATGCTCACGCACCTCACTTGTACAGGTCCCGCCGTCTTCTCTTGCTGACCGCCAAATTAGGTGGCCCGGGGATGTTGAGGGTGATATCGTGTTCGCATCTTGGGAAAAGTCACTCAGAGGATATAATTTCTGGCCATAACGAGGTATCGCAAACAATAAATACACGCGACTTTCAGAACTATTGGAATGATCATATAGATGAGAAATGAGGTTTAAAGGAGTGGCCTAAGGATACAATGCTAAGAAAGCGAGGGTAACAGGAATTAATACAAAGGTATGGCACGTAGGTAGTCCTGAAAAGAAAACGAGCAAGATACAGTATAAGGAAACATACGTGAGGCGTGGATATCTCGGATATCAAACTGTATTGCAAAAGATGTCAAAGCATGAAGGCCCGAAACATATCACGTTTTCGTCGTCGGGGACGTCCAGGTCGTGAATCTTCATCAATATTTGTGATATCTAGCTGAGAGGCGGTTTCATCCTCTAGAGTCTCTGGCTCTTCCCAACCGTCCCACCAAGGAATGTCTTCAGGTTCCTCAGTGCTGCCTTCGGCATCACTATCACTCTCGTCTTTGGGCTCTGGGCGAGGCCGTCCGACTGGAGGGAATGCGGGATGAATATAACGATAGATCTTTTTCCGCTCAGCATCTCTGAAGTTCACAGACTTTCTGCTGCTATTGAGACGCCGAGAGAAAGGAGACTCGTCAGAAGGTGTCATTGGGCTGGCGTCTTCCGGGGAGTTCTCGCGAGAGCCAATCAGTGCAACTTTCATTCGACGTGATTGTTGCTGACAGCGAGAATGGACATGGGGTGACTTGGGCGACTGTGGCGAATCAGGATCATGTTCTTGTTTCTGCGCCTCAATTTCTAGTGGGCAAGTATCCTGGGAGCGAAATTATGCCGATTAACCAAAGAAATTACGCGAGTAACAGGGAGCGGTGGTTCCGTCATGTTAGAGTCCAGCGCCACCGCTCCACTGAGTCAAACATGGATTACTCACAATTTCATTCTGCATCATATTGAGTCGTGCCAATCGTTCAAGGGGTGTCTCGATGTTCCACGAGGGAAGGAGACCTATTGTATCTGTGTGCAGCACTTTCACCCTCAGAGTGAAATCTGAAACATCGTCGAGGATGATGACTTTATCTCCTTCCTGAACCTCGAGGGGTTCTTGGGCATATTGTTGGGATAGATATGAGACCCCTTCAGTAGGGAATTTCTCCATGACATACTGAAGGCCCTCTAGTGTTTCCCGGTGGGCAATTTGCCAGGCGGAAGACTGCATCTCCTGATCCTGCTGAGAGGAATCTGAGTCTGAAGAAGACCTCGACGATATCGAGTCGTTATCGACATCTCCATTATTGTACTCCGGGGTGGAATTGGGGGATGTTTCGGGAACAATGGAGGGTGCGGCATGAGGCAAAGGGCTAGATTGTCTCTCTGGCAGGGTATTATATTTGAGAATTGGCGATGATAGAGCTTGTTTCATCGAGGCAGTAGCAGAAACCAGGATCCTAGCGTGAACCGTAAGCATCCTCAGTAGGATCCGTATTGTAGTATGATGGGTAACCCACCAGGACCGACTGTGCTTTATATATCCCCCGAGATGGGTCAGCGTGATGCCGAACAATGACAATACCGAATGACAGGAGGCAGTAACGCTGTGTCTTATAAATCACGGCTTTTCAACGCAAGTCTGAGCAAGTTGGACGACAGGAAGCAATGCACATCGCCCGACTCGCGACTTGAACGAAGTGATACTGGGAAAACCCTGAAGCCTGCGAATGCTGTGCGAAGTTGGAGAAGCATAGCACTGCAGGGTTCCATGGCGGGAATTCCCAGCGCGGTATCATTAATAGAACATGTGTACCAGTCAAGGTTTGTACTAGGACTGTTCCAGATCGTGATATGGCCACAGACATATGATCAACGACATATCGCAACTGGTAGTCATAGCAGACCTTCGACTGGCATGTCCAGCTCGGGTGAACTGCCTCAGTTGTCAATGGGCTCGGACAATTGTCCTATGTTGACCAGCGTCAAACCCAATCTAGGGCGGATGCCGATTGTTTGCGGTGCAGTCAAGGAAGGTCAGATAACAGTCTAGTCAGTGTCAATAATTGATTCAGCTGTGTTGGACGTCCAGCGGAACGAAGGCGAGTCCACCTCAACATACAAAGACATTCCTGGACACGGCAGAGTCCAGGTTTTGAAACCACTAGTGGGTACGGCGTCTGCCGAAGAGATGTAGACGCTCACTTGAACGAGTTTCTTGAGGCTTTTCGTTTCTTCTTTCTCAGGTTTGGAGCTTTAAAAGAATGTGATACACGTCTCTCCATTTTCTGTGTCGATAGCATCGTCAGAATAGGTATCGCAACTACTCGTTCGTTCAAGTACCAAGGCGCTTAAAACTCGGATCCATCCCTATCCATCCCCGTTTTGGCAGTTACAGTTTTGAAAGCGCTTCACAGCCACCCGTTCTTTGAGGCTTCCTATGCAGAGCAGTTTTCACCAAAAATGAACGACAATAGAATGGAGGCGGGTCATATCCTGACTCGTTATCCAAGGACGGAGACCATTCTATACCGTAGTCTACGCTACACCAAGCTTTCACTCGCAGCGATACGCCTCCAACCGAGCACATCACCCCAACTCTTCCACATCCTGTCTACGATGCGCATCTTCTCTCCTCGTCCGAGAGCGGGGTTCTCTAGATCCGAGACGTCATCCAAGAATCCTTCACGCAGCCTTGAATTTTGTGGTAGGTAAGTCGTGGCGTAGCTTCGTAAGTAAGTGAGGGAGAGCAGCAAGAGTCCGGATGTTAGAGGGGGAATTGAAGATGAGGGAGGCTGGTCGGCGGGGGAAGAGGGAGTATGATCGTGTTTGGATTTTGGCAATGCGATGAGCAGACGCTCTATGCTCCTGTATGTGAATTCAAGATATATCAGCATCATTCTTCACCATTGTATACTTGGAAAGACGGGGCTAGAACATGGGGAGGAAATGGAATGGAACTGAAATAACTCACCGCATCGCCAACCAAACTCTGGTTCGTCTCTTCTTACCGCCGTACCTACCACTTCCCCGACCTCCAGCGTACAACGCATGAAGGTAACTCCCAGACATGTAGACAATAGCCAGTGCGGGGGCCACGCCGACGAATGCGAAAGTGAGTTCTTGGGATTTTAGAAGCTTGTCAATGCCGGAGAGTGCCTGGTCGATATCCACCTGTCAAAGAAAGTGATCTTCAGAAATGCATAACTTTGATAAAAATGCAGATAACGATCGGCACCTTGGCCTTTTGAATTTGAACAAATAAGGTACGCAGCAAAGTCCCCCCAACGACCGACTTTAACGGACTCCTGATATCGTCCTCGTAGATCTGCATCACAGGTGTCAGGTCTCCCAATCGGATCTGTTTGGTCAGTGCAGCTAGTTGTTCCGGGTTGTAATGGAGCTTCTCTCGAGCCAATGCCAACGTCATCCGTTCCAATGACTACACGTTTAGCCAATCAGTATTAGCCATAGCAGAATGAAAAGCACCAATACAAGAAACAACATACATCCAGATCGGCTTTGACGCTTTCCCTGGTCACGATAACCCCATCTTCGTCCGTCGCTCTGACAGTCTTCACGATATCCTTCAACGGCGCCAACAACCAACCTTCCCAGAACCCTTTAACAGTCTCCGCAGCCTCCCTAGCCATCTCTTCTAAACTCGCCCTACTGGTATACGCAGACCTCACCGCATACAACGCTAGTGGGGGCAAGAAGACCAGTTTTGGCCAAATGAGCGTTAGGCGCGAAGGACGAATAAGTCCGTGTGCGTTCAGATGTTGGACATGGAAGGATATGTGGGCGGGAAGGGTGGTATATGCGAATGCATAGAGAGGTTGGAGGACATCTTGGCTTGATAGAGGTAGGGCGGGAGGTTGTTTTGCGGCGACGAACTCACTACGAACGATCAGTTGTAGTTGAGTGGCGAAGAACGCGAGTCTGGTGAGACCTTCTTCATTGGAGGGTTCTTCCAGAGCAGATATAAGCTGTTCTCGAAGGTCCGCAAGTGCGCCGAGGACTTCAGCCCTCTCATTCCTGACCCTTTCCAATTCGTCTCGCTTGTACCGACATTCATTGCGAACCAAATCCAACGGGTAGGTCAACAAAGCTACAACCTTCCTCCATGTATTCCTCAGCGTCGTAAAGAACCCATGAATCATTGATTCTGCACCTGCCCTTAGAGAAGTGGAGGCCATAGGAACGTGGACGCTGCTCAGTGAGACTGTATATGGTTCATGGCGGAGATAGGGAAAGAGTGCGACTGTGAGGGTGTTGGGGCGGAGGATGTTCCTTGATGGGAACAATCTGCGGAGAGATGACGGCGTGAGGACGGATAGGTTGAATGGTAGGTTTTGGCTGCGTAATGTGACTAGGATCGTTCGTGATAGATTGAGCACACGTCCGGGAAAAGCTGTGGAGGATATGTGTTAGTCGGTGTTTGTTTCATAGACATCATTGAAAGACAACATATAAATGCCCGAGAAGGTAGGAAGTGAACAAGAACTTTGTATGTAATCCGCATAATCGAAAAGACGAGGCGTAGAGCCTTCTGCTTCGAGATCCTCGGCAGAGGTAGATTCAGGATGGAGTCATGTTACTGCGCCCAGCTTCATTCCATGCAGATAATTGCCTGTTCATAAGATGAACAAATTGAAGTTGAATACGCACTTTGCAGAAGATGATACGCGACCCGCCAACGCGAACGACTGATGTCCGCCCACCATTCCAGCTCTGTATCTGCGCTGCTCGCTTCTTGCAAAAAGGTATTCAGTGCCTGGACATATAGACCAACTACGAGCTTTCCAAGCACCGCTCTTCTTAAAGTGATCTCTTCCTCGTCGGCTGTGCTTGACAACGCGCCTTCCTCCCTATCCAATTGCTGGAGATTGGCTAGAGACTCGCGTGCATCGTATAAATTAGTAGGAGGAAAAAGCTCGAGGAATAGTGTCCGTAGTGATTCTTTCCTGTGCGATTCAGCTTGCGTTCCTGGACTTGGAGTCGCAGATGATGTGTTTGGCGGTAGGACTTTGAGGGAAAGCTCGTGGTTGAGCTGTAAAACGAACGTCGCCATGTCTCGATTTTAAGGAAGCATACAGACCTGTATTTTGCTCAGTATACTTGTCGAGCTTTGATGCGCTTTCCAGCGCACATTCGAAGTTCAAACGTTCACATACGGTAGGCTGATCGCATGTTCTGATGACGTCATCACGATCAGAATGAAGTACGACCAAATCCCCCTCAAAAAGAATGCTCCCAGGCAGTCTCGAACTGTCGACCTCAGGATTGCCACTGAACGTGGTCATACATAACGTTATGAGACCTGCGCTCTACCACTGAGCTATGGAAGCACAGCAATGTGCAAGATTTACATATTTATCAAAATAATTATTCCTCGACAACCGGTAATGACGTCGATCGCCTGGTGAGCCCGCTTTCGACGGGACAGTCACGGAGAGTCTCGTCGTGTGCAGCCATCTTCCATAAATAAATACACAGTGCTCCCCATGGCGTCTCCACCATTTGTTTCTACCACCAGGGAGTCTCTGACCAGATGGCAGAGCCAACCAAGGAGCGTTCTCGTCCTTTCGTCGTGCCGCAATTCACGTTGAAGGACTATTCGTCGTTCTTCACTGCAGGCAAGTCACTCGATTTACTATTAATCCTAGCCGCTTGTTTAGACGTTACCTTGTTAGGAGCACTATGTTGCACGTAAGCACACAGCCAGCCGTGCAATTGTTTTTATTCTGAGCGTGACACCGTGCTCTAGAATCACTCATGGCGGCATGACACCCATCGACGTCGTCAAGACCCGTATACAAGTTGACCCTGCTTTATCCCGTCACTCTTTACTTTCAGGGACCCGTTACATCGTTGCGAACGAAGGCCCCGGGGCCCTCCTCACTGGTTTCGGCCCTACAGCTGTCGGATACCTCGTACAGGTACTATACATTTCAACATCTATTCAACAGTCAAGTCATTCAAAGTTAATCCGAAAGTTGTCATAGGGTGGTGCCAAGTTCGCAGGATACGAGTACTGGAAGAAGACCTTTGTTCAAATCGCAGGCGACCAGGAGACTGCTGTCAAGTATCGCACAGCAATATACCTTGGTGCTGCCAGTGTAGCTGAGTTCGTTCGATCCACTGTCATATTTTGAGTTATCTTGCTCATTTATCTGGGCCTCTAGATTCTTCGCTGATATTTTATTGACACCACTAGAGGCGACTCGTATCCGTCTCGTCTCCCAGAAAGGCTACGCGTCCGGTCTAGTGACTGGCTTCACGCGACTTACACGTGAAGAAGGCGTTCGTGGACTGTATGCGGGGTTTTTGCCCATTCTTTGCAAGTAAGCACTTTCTAGATACATGGAACGCGTTTATGGGACCGGACTGACGTGTAGCGTATAGACAGATACCCTATGCTATTGGACAGTTTACTGTGAATGAATTCTGTCATGAGCTTGCATTCCGTTCCATGTCAGAAGAGACGCGGCGCTCGCTAAGTCCTACGACAAAGTTCAGCATCAGCCTCGGCAGTGGTGTCATTGCTGGTTTCGCTGCCGCTATCCTCAGTCATGTAAGTTGTTTTGCAAACTCGGTGTCTAGTATCAGGTTGTTGGACGCGCATACATTTAACAGCCCGCGGATACACTTCTTTCACAAATCAACAAAGGCCACGGACCAGAAGGGTCAATGCCCCACAGACTGAAAGTCCTCGCGCAGCAAGCTGGCCTTAGAGGTCTCTTTGCAGGGCTGGGTCCTAGGATGGTCATGACCGCCGGATTAGTCTCCGGACAATTCCTACTATATGGAATCATCAAGGACGGTAAGCTTAAGTCAACGGCTGTCGTAATGCTGTTCGGTTTTTAGACCATTATGCTGATTGCATTGATTGCGATGTAGCGTTGGGGGCACCACCCGGCTTGGAGATTCACAAAGAATCTTCAAAGTTGTAATGACATTCTTTGCACTGAGTTTTGACGACTCTTGATTAGATGTCAGAGTGTTGGTTTTCTGGACTTCCTGTATTCTAGATGTGCGTGTACGTGTTAGATAGACTAGAGCTAACGCAAACATTGTATACCTCCTGAGGCAGAGGCAGATAGAGACGGTGACACGATCTTCGTACATTGGGTTATCTTGTGCCAGTCTTCGTCCCTCTCCAATTCAGGTCTCTCCCTAATTACCACTTGTGACGATTAGGTTTGTGTCTACAATCGTCGTCCATGACATGCCGAACTTCTCGAGAGCAATCTTAATGATCTAACCCTCCAAGACCTCCGAGTACGTCATCTCAAGTGCTTACCACGAACCACTCGAGTCGAGCGCTCCAACATCCTCTTCGTCCTCATCACTATCACCATCCTCGCCATCCTCAGGCTGCAACAGCTCAACAGCAACCGTCCAAGGTATCCCACCTCCCTCCGTACTCACATTCCAATCCGGCGGCAAAACCTTCTGAGACCTCTTTCTCCACAAGTCCTCCAAATCCCACGTTAACTCCCGTTCAAAGTGGGTGAGCATATTCTGAATGACGGAATCGGGTAACCATGGTGGCAAAGCGCATGGTGAGATCTTCGTATGAGACCCGCGGGCGACTTGGATTCCGAATCGTTCTTGGATGAATTTGGGTCTGGAACTTAGTGAGAGTGGGTTGTTCTCTCCGTCGAGGGGTAGGTAGTCTAGGAGTTTGGTGCATACCGGGCAGCAGCGCTGAGAGATGCCGATACTGTTCGAGAGGTCCTACGAATGAACAATGTTCATGATGTCAGATCTAAATGTAGATCTATCAACTGGGATGGATGATCAATAGAACTCACTGTAAACGCTCCCAAGTCCGCGGTTTGGAACCATTTATAGCTGGAGTTGTTACATTGACCTGCATATACAAAAGCGGTCATCGCAGCTTGACAGTGCAACGTCCCAGTGAACTCTCCCCGACTCAGCGGCTGATCCGGCTGAAAAGCATTCTGCACAAAGTCCCATTCCTCCTTCGGTAGGATCTTTCCTTCCAGCATCTCGATGATCTTGATAGGCGTACACTCCTCGTCCCCACCCAAATTAAGTTTCTTCACGACGTCTTTCCATGGGGCCATCGATCGCTCGACATAGTCGGCCTGCAAGATCGTCAAATGGGCTTTCTTTCCAAATAGTCTCTTCCAGATGATGTTATAAAACACGGTATCGGCGAACCTGGAGGCGCGAAAGTAGATGGTTTGGAGTTGAAGCCATCGAACGAATGTTTCGCCATCTACTTCTGCGGTGGAACGATGTCCGTAAGTGTCCCAGCCTGTGCGTTTTAGGCTTGGGGTGGCAGCGAGAAGAAGTTCCAGGTCTTCCTCGTCGTCTGGGGGATGAGCGTGCGGCGCAGAACTGGCGAGTACTTCTTGATGGACCCGTCGCAGCTCCATGATATTTGTTTGAACGTGCAACACTAACACGTTTGACAGGGCGATCGCTCGAAGTGAATCGCCGTATATAGCGCAAAGGCGCACAGCCTCGGGAAAGGCAGGATGTTCAGAATCCAACTTCTGCAAAACCTCCAGATGACCCACAAATCCAATCAAAGCGGTCCTCAACAAGGCCGAAAATTCTAGATACGTATCCGCGGTGTATAAGGATTGCCTAAATCCAGCTGCAGCCTTTCGTAGATTAGGTAGTTTGAGGCCAGTTTCCTGGGTGATAACGTCGATTTCATTATTGAGAATGTTCTGTAGGTATTCGTCATCGTCATGCCATTTACCGTAGGCGTATATATTAGGTTGGGGTGTGAAGCTGTCGCTTGTGAACGCGCGATAGAAGGGAAGGGAATATCGTGGATGATGCATTCGGCGTGATATCTTCGGATGTGTTTGAGCTGTTATGTAGTGAAGTAGACCGTCACCTTCTCCTGGAAGCCCGAGAAGTTCGAGAATATTTTGTGCATGCTCGACGAATGTATCTGCAGCCCTGCATTGAAGTTAGTCAATATGTACGCACATGTAGCTGAAAGTGAGGGCAACCGCACCATTGGGCTGGTATATACTCTTTGGTCGAGTATTCCTCAGCTTCCTTGTCATGCAGCGAGGGTGATGGGCTTTCCGGATGCGTAACGATCTGCCCATGTCTGAAGTGAGGGTGGGGGATTGTCTCCCATGGCGGTAAAGTTAAACAATTAGAACCATCCGAATTTGGCGTGCGAGGACAATTCACATGAGTGTCCTGAACGAAGGCAACGAGCTGCAATTCTTCAGGTGTGATTCGCCTTGCGATCGAAACCACTTCACTCGACCTAACGAGCAAAGTAGCTAACGCATCTGAACCCTTGAAATCCTTTCCCTTGTACGCGGCTTGCGGGATCAAAGCTGGAGGATCATGGGCGCGAAGCACTGAGAGCATGCTTATGATAGTCCGGAACTTCTGTAACAATCGCTCGTGGTCTGAATAACCAGGCATGTCAGAGCATTTGCCTTCATCTTCAGGGACATCCTGGCTCATGCCAGTGACGAATGAGCAGTGGAGGTGAGCTGTAAGGGCTCCCTCAGCTATAGCATTATGAATCAACGGAGCATATCACTCGCCTCAAGACGAGCAAGGACACCAGATTCATTCGTAGAACGCAAGTAGTGGGAGATTCCAGAGTCAGCCTGTGAGAGTGAGGCACACGACTGCCAAGTCCTGATCGCGCACTTTATAGGCGCTAACGTTATCTCTCTCCTCCTGACGTCGAACGTCGCTTTCGGTCGACTCAGATTCGCACACGAGAGGGTGCATACACCCCTCGGGATGATATCATATGTGCCTAGATAATAGGTTTTGATTTGAATGAGACGGGGCATGAATGATCAGACCGATTCAAGTCTTGCAGTCCTTGTTTGCGGAGTACAATGTTAGTGTTCACGCTCGCATTTCTCGGTGAAGTCGTTTCCAACGTCATGGCCTGGTTCTGAAATATAACCTACAGTGCGTATCTCTGAACGTCCCTCCTCCAGATCGCCAGGGATTCTTATTGAGAATGCAATCCATCACCGCTATCCAAATCAACCCATGTCGGAAAAAGTTATCTACCGTTATGATTTGAAAAGATAATGACAGCTTACAACCTAGTTGCAATGCGTTGCAACTAGGTTGCAACTAGGTTGTAAGCTGTTGCAACGGCAATCACAAGCAATTATTTGCTTGTAACGAGGTTGTAACTGGTTAAAACCTTAACTCAACTAAGGAGACTTGTTGTAACGCCTTATAACTAATATTTTATTTTTCCGACACAACTTGACATTCAGCATATGCTTCCATTGTTTTGGTTTCTTCTCAAGCAAAGTACTCTAATATTTCGCCCTTGAGTTTGGCTCAGTACGTTTCGTTATTTAAACTTCGCTATCGAGACCTGCGACTGAAGAATTTGCAGCCGTCAGTGCTTCCACTGGCTTTGGCATGGTGGTGACTGAAGGGTCTTTTGAAAAGGAAACAAATGGATGACTGCGAGAAAACCTGGAACGTTGCATGATCTGATGTCTTCAGGCTAGGATAGACGGAAACAACCTCGGAGGATTTTGCTAGTCATCTATCTGACACCAACTTCAAACCTTCCAACGGAGCATCGTTCACACTTTGGTGTTCATACTGTCCCTGGCCTATCGTACTTCGCTGCAAATCGATATGATATGCTCTCGTTGTTCCGTTAACCCTGCAGTGTTCGAATGTAGCGATGGCTTTACTGTTACACAGGTCCCTGACCCAGAGTGGATTATTAAGAAGATCGATGCATAGATGTGGTCCTGCTTTCTGCAGCGACTGAAGTCATTAGTGAGTTCACACGTTGCTTCGTTCAAACCTTAAAGCAGCTTATCGTAACCACTTGCAGGTGCAATCAGGTGACAGTAAACTTGTCTGATGTAGTTACTTTTATGGAGAAAACTCTATGAATATGGAAGCGATTAGAGTTGGGGAACTGTTCCTACACTCAACCTACACGTTTGCATCACGCCCAACATAGGTGTGATGTAACCTGATCCTTGGTATCGCTGGTCAGTTTGGCACCCTGGAAATCCCACACGTATGTCTGCTGATCAGATCCCTTCTAGCTGACAAATGCAGTTTCGCATGCCAAACGTTTCATGGTTGAACAAGCGACGATGGATTATGGCGTTGCTCTGAAACTATCAAACCTGCCACACGTCTGATTACATTTCTATACCATTTACAGCAGCTTTCCCCTTTTCCTATGGGTTCTTTTTTCACAACCATGCTAGTTCTCTGGATCACATTTGTCCTTCTTCACGGAATGCCGGACAAATATCGTTTTGGGCGGCATATGCATCAGTATGTACCAGCGCTGAACTGCACAAAATGTTCAGGAACATGAACGAAGATGACTCCAGGTTCCCACACTTGGATTTACTGATATACAGCACTTCAGAGCTAGGAAGATACAATTCCACCCGAAGTATATCCCCCAGACTCAGAATTCTCATTGGCATTCAATGTCTAACCCACGAGTTTGGCTTGGTGAGTCGCATTCGCTATGTCACCTGTGTCTAGTACTGATAGCTGTGTGCTCAAGTTACTGGTGCTTCTTCCGGCTTCGGAAGACTGATGTCCGAACTTGTTCTCAGCAAGGGTGACATTGCAGTGGCAACCGCGAGGAAGCCTGAGACGTTAGATGATCTGAAAATCAAATATTCTCCCTCGAAGCTGCTTGTCCTGAAACTGGACGTCACCCATGCCCAGGAAATCAAGGACGCTTTCACGGGAATCCAGGAAACATTTGGTAGGCTGGACGTGGTCTTCAACAACGCTGGATACAGTACGATGGGTGAGGTGGAAGCGACGCCGGAGCATGTTGCTCGCACGATGTTCGACACCAATTTCTGGGGTGCCACAAACGTTAGTGCGGAGGCGGTGAGGTTCTTCCGCGAAGAGAACAGACCTGCTGGGGGGAGATTGATCGTTAACTCCTCTGAGGTAGGTGTTCATGGTCTCGCAGGTTGTGGATTCTATTCGGCTACGAAGCATGGTAAGAATTTCTGTAGCAGTGGATGTTACCATACTCAACCGACAAATGTTTCGACTTTGTAGCTTTGGAAGGCGTTACCTCCGCCCTGGCGCAGGAACTTGACCCTGAATGGAATATCAAAGTGAGTTGTTTTGTCACTATACTCCACACAAGCTTATACTCATCGTGCATAGATCACTCTTGTGGAACCTGGGACCTTCCGCACTGAGATTCTCGCGAAACTCGGCGAAGGATATAGTCATCCTGCGTACACCAAGCCGAGTCTCCTTAGCAACGTTAATCGTGCAGCTCTTCCTGACGAGAAGTTGATGAAGCAGGCAGATACGTCCAAAGGCGTGCAAAAGATATATGATCTCTCCCTACTTCCTAACCCACCTCTTCGGCTACCCCTTGGGAAGGATGCTGTTGCAATGGTGAGAGGGGAGGCGAAGAGCATTTTAGAGGACGCTGCGAAGTATGAATCGTGGTCCGAAGGCTTGGATTTCGACGCATAAGTGGTATGTAAAGTTTTACAACACGTAAGAGCTCTTTGTTTCCTTGTTGAAGTTCTGTATGCCTCTGGCTCTTCGTATTAGGGGCCGGACTTCTGAGCTACGCCTGCACAAGTCTATTCGAATGAAGTGTATACATCTGAGCTACGCCTGCACAAGTCTATTCGAATGAAGTGTATACATCGGGGTCTTCCTGAAACAAAGATATTCTGATATTCATGACATACAGGCAGCGGGTTCCGCTCCTATTTTCATATGGATTCATGTAACGACGATGAATTCCTTGAGTTTGGGAGGCAGTGCATGGATAGCAGTCTCTCAACGTTTACATGATCTTATTAACAGATGTCAGATTTGGTTGCAGTGAGTTCACGCATTATTATACCTTGTGTTCATAGTCTGAGCGGACACCCACACATTTTACCAGACAGTAGCGGTACCACTAAGAAGGCTTAATTGAAATTGTGATTTCGTCTTGGCTGTGGAACCTCCAAACAAGAGTCATCGCTTTCAGTGCCATGTCGGACGTCGGACGTAAGAATCGTCTTCTCGGAAATGTTCGAAACTATATCGAGGTCCCTTTTTTTCCATCCTTCCAGTTTATGTTCGATATCGACTCAGCACGGCCTTATGTTGGCAAGGCAACACCTATAGCTCGAATTCTCCATCGTAGCTCGTACTGTTAAGGAACCTCCAAAGCTGACAATATGTTTTCGCAGGATGATTTCGGTCCTGGCCGGGACCGAGAAGTGATGTGATGTTCTTATGGTTTGCTATTTTTAGAAAAGAGTGACTGTCAAGCTACAGTATATGTCGATCAATAGCGGAAATCCGATGGAATCGCTAATATGGACCCTGAGGCCTAAGGCCTAACGCAAACGGCTTCAACGCGGAAAGGTAGTCGTGAATGTCAATGACGTCGGGACGACGCAGTCTTTATGCAATGACCGACGAATTGCTGCATGACCGAACCCATACATCGAACTCACAGCACCAAAACAGTCCTAGAGACTGATAGTGAACATTTAATTTGAGGCCTGGTACGCAAAAGACTCAGTGCTTTATAATCATCGCGGGTACTAACACCGACATTCCGGAGAACGGTGACAAATACTGTATGGGGAAGGAATTGCGACGTGTGAATGGTGCACAGCAAGTGCACAGTAGCTGGAAGTTGCGTCTACCACTACTGTCGAATTTTTAATGCAATACGCTTTGATGTTGCGAACAGACCAACATGACAAAGTGCATCTCGTTCAACATCAGCATCATAACGTCATACCTGGACTAACCATAGTACCCAGGGAATACGATGACGATGGTTGAAGCAGGATTTGCTTAAATATGACCTTCCGGGCTCGGACTGCAGATGCTCTATTGACCTTCGAAATTACTCTATAAAAACAGTACAAAAACACACCTCACCTTTGTTACCGCTCTAGATTGCCCCAATGTCTAACCGTCGAGTTTGGCTCAGTAAACTCATTCATCATTGTTTTAACCATGCCGATATTGACATACTCATCCTTGTCTAGTTACCGGTGCTTCATCCGGGTTCGGAAGAGAAATGACCGAACTCGTTCTCAAGAAGGGAGAAATTGCGGTAGCCACTGCGAGGAAGCCTGAAACTCTCAACGACCTCAAGGCCAAGTATCCCGCGAGCCAGCTCCTGGTACTCAAGCTTGACGTCAGCAAAGCCCAGGAAGTCGGAGATACGTTTGCAGGAATCAAGGGAACAGTTGGAAGGCTCGATGTTGTCTTCAACAATGCAGGTTGGGGCATTATGGGAGAGGTCGAAGCCGCCCCCGAAGACATTTCTCGCGCAGTGTTTGATACGAACTTCTGGGGAGCCAAAAATGTCAGCCTAGAGGCCGTAAAGTTCTTTAGGGAGGTGAACAAGCCGGTTGGAGGAAGATTGATCGTCAATTCATCGCAAGCTGGCATTTATGCTTTCCCGAGCATGGGAATCTATTCCGCCTCAAAGCATGGTACACATCCTTGGTGATTGACTTTATAGATTACTAACCGGAGTATTTGTTTGATATGACAGCTCTAGAAGGCGTGACGTCGGCGCTCGCACAGGAGCTCGATCCAGAATGGAACATCAAGGTAAGTAGTCACTTGCACGAGGATTTTAGCTCCATATGGATGTGTGTTTCGTTTAGATTACCCTATTAGAACCAGGGGCTTTCCGCACCAAGGGTGCCGATAAGCTATCCGAGTTGACATACACCCATCCTGCATACACGAAACCAACGCTTCCCAGCGTTGCCACGCGTGCGTACCTCAACAATGGTGTACCAAAGGGGGCCGATACGTCGAAGGCAGTACAGAGGATCTTTGATTTGGCAGGAGAGCCCGAACCTTCTCTTAGATTCCCCATTGGCAAGGACGCTCTTGTATCAGTTAGAGGAGAAGCTAAGAGGATTTTGCAAGATGCTGCGAAGTACGAGTCGTGGTCCGAGGGCTTAGAATTTGATGACTAGATGATGATAACGACTCGCTTCAACAACTTGATTAATGTATCGTTTTTCTGTATTCGATGTACGAGTGCCATACCGGATTCACTTCATCATCAATGTGTATGGCGATCCTGTAAAACCAAGGATATAAGTTCAGGTTCAGAGAACCTGAGAGAGGTGTCAGCAAGAAGACCAGATTTATTCATAGAACGTAAGCAGCGGGAGACTCCAGAGTCAACCTGAGATGAGGCAGTACATGACTGCATGGAAGCTTGAATGTGATCGCGCAGTTCATGAGCGCTAATGTTTCTTCCTTCCGTTCTGCTTGAACGTTGACGTTGAACAGTGTTGTCGCGTTCAGTCGACTCAAATTCGTACGCGAGAATGCACATACGTACGTCCCTCTGGATGATGTTATATGTTCCCAGTTAGTAGGTCCGACCTGGATGGAACGGGTCCCGGATGATCAGAGCTGCGACCCAAGTCCGAGGTCCTCGGTTCGGAATAAGTGTTAGTATTCACATTCGCATTTCCCGGCGAAGTCACTTCTAAATTGATGGGGCTGGCTCTGAAATGTTGCCTGCAGTGCGTGTCTGCGAATTTCCTACCTTCAGGAATTGTAACTGAGGACCTATCTCTGTCTTCCTCTACAGTGCTTGAGACTGAGACATCCATCCTCTTCAAAATTAGACGGTAAAGTACATGTCCGAGTGCTACTGGCTCAAACAAGGACGGGTTATTTTTTTGCGATACGCATGACGACATAGGTCATTTCCAGACATGAGGCGTATCTCACGATTATCTCGAGATTCAGCGTGTGTGTACCCGCTCGCAATGCTTTCCAAGTGTTAGTCTGCCAGGACAAAGAGGCTGGAGCGGGCACATCTCAATTGGCGCAGAAGATATACGACTCACCCAGTTTGCCGAACCCTCCTTTCAGGTTTGCGTAAGGAGAGGATGCGCTTCATGTGCAAGTCAAGGGAGAGGTCAAGAGTATCATGAACTCGGAGGGTACGGGGAAGTATGAACTTGAAATATGGTCTGAAGCTTGAAAGTTTAGTACTTGACGATGACACATACTCAGCATGGTGACCTTCGTGAACTTCATGCAGAGAGACAGTCACGGAGGTTTCGTGAGTTGGCTGAGTGTTTGAATTCAACTTCTTTGGAAAACGTGCTGGCGATCGTGTTCGATCAATATTGTAGGTGGCACAGCGTTTGGTCACCGTAAGAAGTTCTAAATTTACTGCCAATGGAAAGTGGTGGCTTGCCCTTCCCTATTCTTGGAATATACCATCATGTCCAGCATGGGTGCGGTGCAATCTGGTCCTTGGTATTCGCTGGGCAGACCGACATCTCGGAACACATATTCCGATTGTGAGGGTCTTTCCAGAGGCTGACGAATACAGTCTCGGATGCTGAATATACTGTATCATGGATTAGAACAAGCAATGGTGGGTTATGGTGTTCCTCTGAATCCGCTATACGTCCGATTGTCGTGCTTTGTCATTCGCAGCAGCCATTCCTGCAGGACCTCTTCGCAAGACCCTGATGATATCGCGGATCAGCTTCATTTCTCTTCATGAAACTTCTGACAGATGCCTTATTGACCGGCCATTGTATACGCACGCAATAATGGCAAGCTACATTCAATGCTCCGATGCCTGAACGAAGATATTGACTGGTCCTCGGGCTCGAATTTGTTTAAATACAACACTTTAGAACTGCAATCTCCTAATTTCCAACCTCTCCTTACTCAACACATTCGATGTCCAACCCACGAGTCTGGCTTGGTGAGTCGCATTCGCTACGCCACCTGTGTCTAGTACTGATAGACGTGTGCTCAAGTTACTGGTGCTTCTTCCGGCTTCGGAAGACTGATGTCCGAACTTGTTCTCAGTAAGGGCGACATTGCGGTGGCGACGGCGAGGAAGCCTGAGACGTTGGATGACCTGAAAATCAAATATTCTCCCTCGAAGCTGCTTGTCCTGAAACTGGACGTCACCCATGCCCAGGAAATCAAGGATGTTTTCACCAAGATCAAGGAAACATTTGGCAGGCTGGACGTGGTCTTCAACAATGCCGGATACAGCACGCTGGGCGAGGTGGAAGCGACACCGGAGGATGTTGCTCGCGGCCTGTTCGACACCAACTTTTGGGGTGCCACGAATGTTAGTCTGGAAGCCGTGACGTTTTTCCGTGAAGAGAACAAACCGGCGGGCGGAAGATTGATCATCAATTCCTCTGAGATGGGTGTTCATAGTGTCGCAGCCTGCGGATTTTATTCCGCCACCAAGCATGGTAAGATTTGCTCTGAAAATGGATGTTACCATATTGAAGTGATCGTTGTCTCAATTCCGTAGCTCTGGAAGGAATTAGCTCCGCCCTAGCACAAGAATTGAATCCTGAATGGAATATTAAAGTGAGTTCTTTTGTCACTGTGTTTCTCATGATTTGATACTTATCGTACATAGGTCACTCTTGTTGAACCTGGTACCTTCCGCACTGAGGTTCTCGTGAAACTTGGCGATGGTTATAGTCATCCTGCCTATACCAAGCCGACTCTACTTAGCAACATCATTCGTGCAATTACCCACGACAAGAATCTGAAGCAGGGAGATGCGTCCAAAGGCGTGGAGAAGATATACACTCTGTCTCTCCTTCCTGAGCCACCTTTTCGGCTACCTCTTGGGAAAGATGCTCTTGAAATGGTCAGAGAGGAGGCGAACAGCATTTTGGAGGATGTTTCGAAATACGAATCGTGGTCTGAAGGCTTGGATTTTGATGCGTAAGTAGTATGTAACGTTTCAGAATAGGGACTCTTCGTGATTCCTCATTGAACACTGCTCCGCCTACCTGTGGCTTTTCATGTTTAATTGGTCAGACTTGAGGGCGTCACATGCAGAGTCCGAAAGATGCCTAAATCATAACATATCGTCATAGAGCTACATGAGACCGTAAGTTAAATCTTTTTGTGGTTGCAAGAAGTTAGGCTTGATTCAAACCGGGGGCCCGGCGGGGCGGTTCCGTAAAAGGCTAACCAAGAACATCCTATATTTAAGCGCACATTCGTCGTACAAATAAATTCAGGTTGAAGCTCGCTCAGGCTCAAGTTCAAGGACTGTCGACGTGCGCGCCCCACCATCGAAACGAGAATGCTTTCCAACACTCGCATAACATGACAGCACCGTTCCATGACATATGTGCAAAGGACTGGACGCTTTATCTGTTAGATTTAAGAGCGAGCGCGCAGCGCGAGTCGGTGACGAGCAAATAAGTACGTTCGTATACGTCGGGTTTGTCCCCTAGAGTACGTACAAAGGCGGGCAAACGCGTGAGGAGCCGACTATGTTACGCTACACTATATAGCTACTACGGGAGCCTGAAAGGTCCGAAACGCGAGATAGTGGCGGCAGCGCGACCATGCAAGTTCGCTTGGCGCCCAGGATTTCAACACACCCCCTCGAACGAAGCATGGTCCATAAAAGGATAAAAGAAGGAAATGAGTGAACAGGGATATGGGGAAAAAATGATCAACATCAACAAAATTAAAGCACACCCCCTGAATCATAAGTCCCTACCACTCCGCTCCAGACTCCTCCGATGCAACGATAGCGGTGGAGGCGGACGGTGCTCCATTTGATGACGATGGGCAATCTGAGCGATAATGGCCCTTCTGGCCACAACCAAAGCAGGTGATGTTGGCGAGTGGGGTACGAGGCTTCTTGACCAACGCAGCGGCCATGGCCTGGTCAACAGAGGCCTCTGAGGCACTTGAAGCCTGGCGAGACTCTTCATTAAGCAAGCGAGTAATCACGTACAAAACTGTGAGGTCGTCGGCGGGGGTAGAGTCGAGCGTAACGGTGAACTGCTCATACGAGCGAGGCAAACCATTCGTGAGAACAACAATTGTATCTTCTTCGTCAATGTTTGCACCAATCTCTTCAAGCTGGAAAGCGGCACGGCGCACATCAGCGATCCAGCGGGAAATGGGTGTACCGGGCGTCATCTTCATCCTGAAGAATTCACGACGGAGGGAAACACGGGTCCCGAAGCCGCGGGCCTGGTGGATAGTCCTACGGTTCTCCAAAATCTCGGCGGGGTCAGAGCCTCGAACATGAGGGAACTGAGATGGCTCAACGTGAAGGATAATCTCCGCACGAGCCTCTGCACACTTCCTCCTCCAACCCTTCACGGCCTTGGTGTTATCACTCCCAGGAGGTCTTGACTCCATTCCATCGGCAACTCCAACAAGGTTTTTGCGAGTGAGCAAAGCATCGATCATTATGCTCCACTCATGGTAATTCGTGTCATTCAATTTCGGAAATGACGAGCGATCGGACATAACGGGAAAGCGAGCGAGTCGATCAAGAAATGGTCAATCGGTGGGAATGCTCTCGACGAGCAGGTTACGGATACGGTGCGAGTACGAGCGTCGGGTTTCAATCGGGGGCCCGAGTAGTTCAATCGAGGATTACGGTTACGGAGTCAATCAAGCGAGTGCGAGTCGATCTTGTCTGAATTAACCTTCAGATGGAGGTGACATGTTTGTGTTAGATTTAAGAGCGAGCGCGCAGCGCGAGTCGGTGACGAGCAAATAAGTACGTTCGTATACATCGGGTTTGTCCCCTAGAGTACGTACAAAGGCGGGCAAACGCGTGAGGAGCCGACTATGTTACGCTACACTATATAGCTACTACGGGAGCCCGAAAGGTCCGAAACGCGAGATAGTGGCGGCAGCGCAGTGTTGTGCCGGTCATCGACTCGTCGATGACCGGTTACGGAGTCATGACCTGGTCGCCATTCGGTCATTTGGTGACTTGACTGGAAAGGGTCCCAAAAGCTGTTCGGGTCCCGGTCATGTGCATCTTTCTCAGCCAATCAGGATGCACTTATTTAGATCAGCAGGCGAGCATGTAATTTAATGTAAATACAAAGTTGATAATCAGTACAGTACTGGCCGCGCCGTTTGACTGCTTCCACCCAGTGTTTGGATGGAAATTCAAATAGATCTTTAAGGGACAAGTGGATGGGCTGGCGAAGATTCTAATCAACATATGGGGAAGATTTCGATCCTGCGGATGGAGGATCAGAAGTAGATGGACCAGATATAGGTGGATTCGACTCAGACATTTGGGGAGACTTAACGAAGAGAGAGGTTGGGCATCCAGTGTAGTGGAAAGCTTCAGAGGGTGCTTGATGCAGTAACATTTGGCGCATTCAAGTGTATGGAGATCATGTTGGTATTTCATATTGTAAGGACTTCATAGCTTGCGCCGCAGTGTTGGAAATTATCGAAGTGTTGCCTCAAGGGCCGGCCGAGCAAACAAACATACAGCAAAGATTATATAGATAATTGACGGGCAGTAAGTAGTCTATGCAGGTGTCGGGCGATCGGGACACCGAAACTCCTTCCAGTTGTAGCCATTCCAAAGGACGTGACGAGTCACGACTTAGTCGGTCAAGTCTTCACACGACTCCGGAGACTAGTCGCGACGGGCACAACACTGCGGCAGCGCGACCATGCAAGTTCGCTTGGCGCCCAGGATTTCAACATTATCATCCTGGTGGAATTTAATATTACTGTACACCCGACACCCCGGAGAATGCAGTGAATGCTGGACTCGAGTTTCCCGATAGCAATCTTTTCAGGCTGACAAACTCTACATCGGACAACAACTGAAATGATCTACAGATGTAGCTGCCAGTCAGATGAGGGATAATGCTTCTTGTTTGGGAGCGTGGCTCTATCTTTACCCCCGTTTCGTTACTGGCTGTGGGCAACACCACTGTACGATTTCAGCGGAAGCCATCGCAGCTTCATAAACTAACCATCACTTCATCGATTCTACGACGAGCGCAGGTTCCCCAGTGTCAGCGTCGTAGAGTAATGCTGGTGTCCGATCGAATACAATGGGCCCCTCGGGAAAATAAGATTCGTTTTGAAATGACGTGTCGCCGGTATATGTACGCAGTTGGACTTAACAACCACTCTACATCTCTCCTTTGTTACCTCTCTAGGTTGGCCAATGTCTCGTGACCAAGTTTGGCTCAGTGAGTTACAGTATATCTATCATGCGTCGTGCTCACACCAGTAACGATATGCTGTGTTTTTAGTTACCGGTGCCTCTTCCGGATTCGGGAGAGAAATGACCGAGCTTGTGCTCAAGAGGGGAGACATCGCAGTCGCGACTGCAAGGAAGCCCGAAACTCTTGATGATCTGAAGACCAAGTATCCCGCAAGCTAACTTCTGGTCGTTGAGCTCGACGTCAGTAAAGCTCAGGAAATCAAAGATACATTCACGAAGGTCAAGGAAACATTTGGAAGGCTTGACGTCGCCTTCAACAATGCAGGTTGCGGTGTCGCAGGAGAGGCTGAAGTCACTCCCGAAGATGCTGCTCACGCGATGTGCGACACTGACTTTTAGAGAGCCTCTAGAGCTGAACCATCCACTTGGAGGAAGGCTGATAGTTACTTCTTCGCGATCTGGTGTCCGTGCGGTCCCAGGAATCGGATTCTATTCCGCCTCGAAGCATGGTAGGGGTCATCGTTCTCTAAGGATTCTTAGCATACAGACCAGACTTCGGCACTCGCACAGGAACTCGGTCTAGAATGGAATATCGAGGTATGTCATCCCTTGAGGCTTGCAGCCAGAAGTTTGATTTGAATTCCTGGCTCTTGTCGTCTTCTATCCCTCTGGATCACGGAGGCTTTTGCAATGAGAGTATTGCTAAGCTTGTCGCTAAGACCCATACCTACCCTGCCTACACGAAACTAATTCTTCCTATCATTGCCATCTTTGCATCCCTGGGCGATGACAAACCAAGAGGTTCCGGTAGGTCGATGGCAGTGCAGAAGATTTATGATTTGGCTGCGGAGCCCGGATCTTCGCTTAGATTACCCCTCAAGAAGACAACAGTTCAGGCATTTACAGGCGAAGTCGAAAGTGTTTTGGAAGCCGCTGCGAAGTCCGAGTCGTAGAGTGAAGGTGTAGAATTTGGTGGATAGTTAGCTGCCTGTCACATGTCAACAGCCAACGACACCTCGTTTCGGCGAATTAGTGAATACGTTGTCTCTACACATTCGAGATGATACCGTTCGAAAAGGCTCCGCTCTCAATTTCTATCTTTCAGGTGCAATTTGAACCGCCACTCCTTTCCCTGTGAGTGACCAAGCCACATGTACGAGCAGAATACGGATGCCGGTGCCTTTTCCAAATATCAACTTGATGTTACCAAAACGAGTCGGAAGGCTGAACGCCAGTCAATGGCGCGTCTTCCAAGTAGCCTCCCACAACCCCAAAGACAACTGTAGTTGTTGGTTGACTATGCTACCGTCCATTCTACGTGATTTCCTGACTGGAATCAAATGCTGTTTATCACGTTTCAACAGAGTCTGAGTCACAACCAGTGTCAACTTTTCACAGACGCACAGACGCACAGACAGCATTTCGGTGGGTATTCCGTACCTCTTGACATCTACATATCGTGATGAAACCACCTTATTGCCGTGTAAATGGCCCAAGTATGGTTCATAATCCTAGCGTTAAATGATAGGAGGACGACACCGCAAAATACAGTAGGTCAATCGCACGAAACAAAGTTCTCTCGGTTGACAGATGTCGTTCGACTGCTTAATCAGACTGCCCAAACAACGCGATGAGCACGAATGAAGCAGGATTTGCTTAAATACGACTTTTCGTCGCTGCAGAGAACCAAGAGAACTTCGGTTTCGCTCTGCATTGCATAACTGTTGACTTTCTACAATGTCTAAACCTCGAGTCTGGCTCAGTAAGTCATATCTTTCAGCCGTCATGTTCATACCGATAGTGATATGCTTGTCCATGCCTTAGTAACTGGGGCCTCTTCCGGGTTCGGAAGAGAAATGACCGAGCTGGTTCTCAAGAAAGGAGACATCGCAGTGGCGACTGTTAGGAAGCTTGAAAGTCTCGACGACCTAAAGGCCAAGTACTCCCCTAGCCAGTTTCTGGTCCTCAAACTCGATGTCAACAATGCGCAAGATATCAAAGGTACATTCGTGAAGATCAAGGAAGCTTTTGGAAGGCTGGATGTTGTATTCAACAATGCGGGTTATGGCATTATGGGGGAGATCGAAGCAACTCCTGAAGATGCCGCTCGCGCGGTGTTTGATACGAACTTCTGGGGAGCCAACAACGTCAGCCTGGAGGCTGTGAAGTTCTTCAGGGAGGTGAACAAGCCAGTCGGAGGAAGGCTGATCGTTAACTCTTCGGAGCTCGGCGTACACGCGGTCGCAGGATTGGGATATCTCTCCTGCTCAAAGCATGGTACGCCGTTCACCAAGTTCTTCCATATTTTAAGGATCACCAATCTGGTACTGTAGCTCTGGAAGGCATAACTTCAGCTCTCGCACAAGAGCTCGACCCAGAGTGGAACATTAAGGTACTTATCCCTTGTGACAGTTGTTTGATCATTTGTAAATGCTCAACACCTTCAGGTTACTCTCATGGAGCCCGGATTTTTCCGTACCGCGGTAGTTGATAGCCTTGTCAACAAGGCTTATACCCATCCTGCATACACCAAACCGACTCTTCCTAGTGTTGCAATGACTGCACACCTTGTCAATGGCCAGCCAAAGGGAGCAGATCCGTCGAAGGCAGTCCAGAGGGTGTATGATTTGGCTGCGCACCCCGAGCCATCTCTTAGATTCCCCCTCGGCAAGGATGCGATCGGGATGGTTAGAGAAGAAGCGCAAAGCATCTTGAAGGATGTTGCGAAGTATGAGTCATGGTCTGAAGGTCTAGAATTTGGTGCATAGTCAGCTTCAAGGTTCAATCGGGGATGACTCGTTTCAGCAAGCCAGTTGATAGTTCACTTCTCAGTATTCGAGAATTACCGTTCAAAGCTCCATTTTAATGTCTACCTTTGTATAAGTAATAGCTTTAACGCACTTCGACTTGTACCTTCCCGAGTCAAACAGTGATATGCGTTGTTAATTCATCACACGAAGCATGAAGAGCTCGAGTTTGTATAGGCAGAATGTGGTACAGATTCTCTTGTGTCAGTTCTCCGCGTCTGAGGCAAACCCAGTGACGTAACATAAAGAGCCGCCGATCACTGATCGCGACGCAGACTCGGGCGCTTTTTCAAACCCGATTCGATACATCTCAGGTTGAGGGCGACCCGATGTCTTGACTGAACGTTATTAAGACCGACGTTTATTCTATTCCGATACTCTGCATAGTGTTCCCTATCATTCTGCTAAATCATATTACTGATTCCTGTGCCACGAGAACCTGCATTCCTTTGGTCAATGACAGACAGTGTTTTCCGCATGCAGTACAATTCTTTTTGTCCAAATTTCGTCGTAATCCTGTCACATCTAGTGAAAGCCTCCGAATTCGTGAGTCTATGCATCGTGTTTGCTCAGAATTTAGCTGATCATTGACACCCACAGACGTCGTCAAAAATGCAATAATTCCGCTGAGAAGGAGGCTCAATCGAAAAGTGATTCTGTTTTAGCTATGTTGCCTCCTATCGGAGAGTTATCATTTTGAGTGTCATGTCTGACATCCGGACTCATGGATCATCTTCTCAAAGTCGAAACTATGTCGACGACACATTTTTACTAATGTCTAATATCGATACAACAGAACTTGACCTTGGCAACACAATATCCGACAGCCGGGAATTCTCATCGTGACTTGCGCTGTTTAGGACCCGAGAGGTCACAGCTGGAGTTTCGCAGGATGATTTCCATTTTGGCTGGGTCCGAGAAGTGGTGTGACGTTCTTATGGTTTGGACATGATCTACTAAAGCACTGACCACCAAGCTGCAGTACATTTCGATCACCAGCAGAAGTCCGGTGGAATCGCTATGGAATCTGGTATAAATGGCATCGGTACCACTCAGTCTACATGGAATGCCCGACAAAAGGCTGCACGACCGGGCTATACGTCGAAACAATGCTGGAGACTAACAGTAAATGTCTGATATGAGGTATAGTACTCCCTATGGCGTATATCATGGTTGTGCCATTCCATGGTTGCATTCGCAAAAGGCTCGGTGGTTTAATAATACTCGTGAGTGGTAAAACCGATATCTCGGAGATACAGCAAGTACCAATGTCGCGCATCCGGACCAAACTCTTGCAAGGTGAGAAATACTGTGTTGAGAAAGGAATTGCAATATACGACTGATGGGCAGTAGCTGGAGTTTGCGCCCACTGCTAGTGTTAAATCTCCATACAATGTGCCTCAGATGTCGCGAACCGGCCATTGCTTCATCACTCTATTACAAAGCCCAACTTGTTCAACCTCATAACGTCATATCCCTGGACTAACTAGAGTATTCAGGAAATATGGAGCGACGCTTGAACAAGTATTTGTTTAAATACGACCTTTCGTGAGTGCAGATACCCATCTGAACTTCAGAATCACTTTGCAGAAAACGCCTCACCCCTGTTAACTTTCTGGACTGCCCAAATGTCTAACCGTCGGGTTTGGCTCAGTAAGTTATATCTCATTCGCCATGTTGATGTTCATAATGACATACTTATCCTTGTTTTCAGTCACCGGTGCCTCTTCCGGATTCGGGAGAGAAATCACTGAGCTCGTTCTCAAGAAGGGAGAGATTGCGGTAGCGACTGCGAGGAAGCCTGAAACTCTCGACGACCTCAAGGCTAACTACCCACCAAGCCAGCTCCTGGTACTCAAACTCGACGTCATCAAGCCCCAGGAGATCAAAGATGCGTTCTCAAAGATCAAGGAAGCATTTGGGAGGCTCGACATCGTCTTCAACAACGCGGGTTACGGCCTTTTGGGAGAGGTGGAAGCTACTCCCGAGGACGCCGCTCGAGCAATGTTTGATACTAACTTCTGGGGAGCCAACAATGTCAGCCTAGAGGCTGTGAAGTTCTTCAGGGAGGTGAACAAGCCGGTCGGAGGAAGGTTAATCGTCAACTCCTCTGTGGTCGGCGTTCACGCGACCTTGGCCATGGGTTTTTACTCCGCCACGAAGCATGGTAAGATTTCGTTTCTCTTCGACTCTAAAGATTGCTAACCTATTGGATGGTTCGGTACAGCTTTGGAAGGTGTAACCTCAGCACTGGTACAAGAGCTTGATCCAGAATGGAACATCAAGGTATGTTGTCCTAATTTTTAGGTGCGACCTTACGTTCTGATTGCGCATCCCGTTTAGGTCACCATTGTCGAGCCTGGAAATTTCCGCACCAAGGGTGTTGATAAACTGGCCGATGGCACCTACACCCATCCCGCGTACACGAAGCCAACGCTTCCTAGCGTTGCAGTAATTGCATACCTCAGCGATGGTAAACCAAAGGGCGCTGATACCTCCAAGGCAGTACAGAGGATTCATGATTTGGCTGCAGATCCCCAGCCTTCCCTTAGATTCCCCCTTGGGAAGGATTCACTCGAAATGGTTAAAGGAGAGGCGAAGAGCATCCTGGAGGACGCTGCTAAGTATGAATCATGGTCCGAGGGCTTAGAATTCGATGCATAGATAGTTACCCCATGAAGCTCGTGTCCATAACGTAGTTTGTCGTTTCTTTGGATCGGTCGGATTGCCGTTTAAACCCAAAGATCGGTTCATCATCAATGCTTGATGTCATTGATATGTTTCGTTTTCGTCTGCTCCACAGGAGCCGTAAGTGTGAACTAATAAGGTCTGTGTCTTCTTTGAACATATGCGATAAATCGAGGTTGTCGGTGAAATAGTTCCATGAATGTATTGAACCACCCAGCTATAAATAACCTTGACTTACCGTGCTTGAGCCCTATACAGTTCAAGTGAAATTGATGGATTTACTCGAAGTGTCTGGTCGTGGAATTCGGAGGCTTACCTATTCAAGACTCTCATTATGGATCTAGTTCAATCTAACGTTTTCCGTGCCACAGACTTCCGGATCACCCAGCCATCGAATGCGTGCTAACCCCCCTCTCGCTAGCATCGTCTTCCAGAAGTTCCTCCTCCATGACGAAGAGATCGGAGCGGAGACAGTCCTAGCTATGCAGAGGATATATGAGTCATTCGGTTTATTCACCCCTCCTTTCAGGTTCCCGGCGGAAGTGGATGCGATTGACATAGTCAGAGGAGAGGTCAACTTGAAGGGTGTTGCGGAGGAGATAGCCAAGTATGAATAATGTTCTGAAGGCTTCGCATTTGACGGTGATAACCACCAGTACAGTATTCGTGAAGGTGCAGAGATACTCTATTGCCACAGTTTGTTTCGAATTCGAGATCTTTGGAAAACCCTGCTGGCGATGTGTTCGATCAATAATATTCTTGGCACAGCCTGAGCGTCACAGCTTTCGATCATAAGTTCTGACTGTACTTATTCTGTCCTTCATCCTGTAGCTCACGCATCGGAGTTAGCATATGCACTTTGCATGGCTTCACTCTCCCGTGGCTGTTATCTGAAATAAGGACTGTTAAGGGGCCTGAGTTTTGGTAAGTGATCTGGCAAACGATTCGCATCAGTTTTCATGCCCACTCACTCACGCAACTTCGTTAAGACAGGCGGAAAAAAGTGTTGACTTACCCATTTGTAGCCTCAGTCTGCATTGCCGTCAGTCCTCAATGTCATGGTTTAGCAAATCCTGTAGACGCAAAGCAAAGCATCCATTTTATATCTACAACTCGTCGAAAATCCTCAGAAGGTATCCAGTATTTCGTTTGGAGTGATTTCGCACATACGAGTAAAGAAAGAAAGGATTGTACTATTTTTCTCCGGCTACTGTAGTGTTTCGCGCATTTGTTCACGTCACAGGTCACAGGCTCGAAAATGAACTGAATTTTCGGGTCTGTCACAGGTCACAGAGGATCGTGAACCGACATTTGGAAGCATGACCGGGCGCTTAAACGAGGGTCAGTGCTTTGAAGGGCCGCACAAGTGCAGCTTTCTGGCTACTTTCGGCTATTCTTTCAGGTTGCTGACATTATTTGAGAGCTTACAATGTGCCTCCCAAGCTTTGGAAAGGGATTGGTAGTGCGTTGACAGAATCGGCAATAGCCATGAACATGATGTCACAGGTCTCTCCGAACTGTGAACTGGGAACCGGACCGTCACAGGTCACAGGCCGTGAACAAATGCGCGAAACAGTACAGTACGTGCTCAGTGATTGTGACAGTGGCGGATGGGTCATATAAGGCGAGCCAAGAATCTGTAACAGATAAGCGCTCGATGTTAGTGCCAAGAGCGAAAGATCCTGAAATTGAATGTGCCTTGGATACAAATCCAGTCATCCAATCATTGTTTTTTGCCAGCTCGCACCCAATCGCCGCAATAAGTGTATTGTGTACTTTTCCTTGGAGGCCTGGTGTGGCATACTTATAATGTGCTATGGCTGTATTCGCAAAGATGCGACGCTTAATCATCCTGTCGTGAATGATAAAAGCGACCCCGCGGAGAACACAGCAAGTGCTAACCTCGCATTTCCTGACAAACTTCTTTCAAGATGACAAACACTGCGCCCAGGACAGGAACTACACCATATGGGCGACAATCATCATAGGAGGTTGCCCCCGGAGTTAGGCAGTAGCTACAGATCGCGTCCAATACCTGTGGAATCTTCGCGAATACATCGAGTTCGTCGATTGCTTCATGAGCCATATTATAAAGCTAACCTTTACATCATCAACCTCACAGCGTAATGTGTTATGGACTGATCAGATCGTCCAGGGAATAGGATGAAGACGCTTGAAACTGCTTAAATACGACCCTTCGTCGTTGCAGAGACCCAGCTGAACTTCGGAACTACTCTACACACTGCATACCTGTTGAATTTCTATATTTCCTAAATGTCTAACCCTCGAGTTTGGTTCAGTAAGTTAGATCTTCCCTACGTCATGTCCACAACGGTAATGATATGCTTGGATATTCTCTTAGTAACCGGTGCCTCTTCCGGGTTCGGGAGGGAAATGACCGAGCTTGTGCTCAAGAAGGGAGAGATTGCGGTTGCCACTGCGAGGAAGCCTGAAACACTCGACTACCTCAAGGCCAAGTACCCCCAAAGTCAGCTTCTGACCCTTAAGCTCGACGTCAGCAAGGCCCAGGAAATCAAAGAGGCATTCGCGAAGGTGAAGAAAGTATTTGGAAGACTCGACGTCGTCTTCAACAATGCAGCCTGGGGCGTCATGGGAGAGGTTGAAGGAACTCCCGAGGACGTAGCTCGCACGATGTTTGACACCGACTTCTGGGGAGCCTCTAACGTTAGTCTAGAGGCCGTGAAGTTCTTTAGGGAGGTGAACAAGCCGGTCGGAGGAAGGCTGATCGTAACCTCCTCGGAGGCCGGCCTTCATGCGATCCCAGGCATCGGATTCTATGCTGCCTCGAAGCATGGTGAGGCTTCCACGATCTTTAAATTTATGTGGCTTAGGATACTGACCTGAGATTGTAGCTCTAGAAGGTGTAACTAAGGCACTCGCACAAGAGCTCAATCCAGAATGGAACATCAAGGTATGTTGTCCTCTGTCGATATGAGTTTTGTTTCGATGTAAATGTCTGTCGCGTTTAGGTTACCATTCTCGAACCCGGAGGGTTCCGCACCAAGGGAGTCCCAAAGCTAGTCGATCTGACTTATAAACATCCCGCATACACGAAATCAACTCTTCCCAGTGTTGCAATGGTTGCGTACCTCAGCAATGGAGAGCCACAGGGTGCCGATACCTCTAAGGCAGTACAGAGGATCCACGATTTGTCTGTTGAGCCCGAACCTTCCCTTAGGTTCCCCCTCGGCAAGGATTCGGTTGAGATGGCTAGAGGGGAGGCGGAGAGCATCTTAAAGGATGCTGCCAGATATGAATCATGGTCCGAGGGCTTAGAATTCGACTAATAGATGGTCACTTGCCTAGAATCAGCCGACAAACACCCGCTTCAACAACTTCACCATTTTATCGTTACTCTAGGTTCGAGGCATTCCGCTGAACTCCAGAGTCGTTTCAGCATCAATGTATAGCTTTATTTGTGCAATCCGTCCATCCTCTGCAAAGTGCTTCTGCGCGGGACTCAAACTATAGACGTGAATCAATGACGAAAGTGGATAGTTTTGAATATCAATCATATTTACCAATGGTGGCGCCGCACCACTGTGACTTCTACGAACGTGTTGAACCATAGTGGAGACGTGGATAACTATGACATATCAAGCCTTATAAAGCTCGAGAAGACCAGTGTGTCATTCTGCCGTGTTACGATCCAACTTGTTCTCTACCGAGGTAAATATGTCTACTCCGAGAGTCTGGTTGAGTGAGTCAGAACCTACCTATCCATACTGCTTGATCACTGATGTTCATGAATTCTAGTCACTGGTGCCTCGTCCAGTTTTGGAAGGATTACGACAGAGAAAGTTCTCAGCAACGATCGTGTTGTAGCGACAATTAGGAAACCTGACGTGTTGGACGACTTGAAAGCCCAGTGCCTTCCTTCTCAATTGCTCGTTGTACAACTTGACGTCACCAAGAATGAAGAGATCAAATTCACATTCTTGAAGGCCAAAGAAACGTTCGGTAGACTTGATGTCGTCTTCTACAATGCATGGTGTGGAATCTCGGCCGAGGTCGAGGAGACACCAGAGGAGGATGCGAGCTTGATGTTCGAAACGAACTTCTGGGGGGCCACCAATGTCAGCCGTGAAGCTGTTAGGTTCCTCAGGGAAGAGAACAAGCCAGCTGGAGGAAGGTTGCTCGTCAATTCCTCGAGAGCGGGGGTGCGCGCTATACCTGCTGGAGGATATTATTCAGCATCTAAACATGGTGTGTTCCTTACATGTTGACCCTTGCTATCGAAAACGATTCAAATGTTCACCGAATCTCCAGCTTTAGAAGGTGTCACTGAAGCGTTAGCGCGAGAACTCGACCCGGCTTGGAACATCATGGTGAGGTTCACCCCCTTTCTGATGTCCCATTTTCTCATTATGAGTCAAGGTAACGATCATCGAACCTGGATATTTTCAAACCCACGGTGCTGGAAAGCCCACCCCAATCACTCACCCCGCGTATAGCAAACCCTCCCTCGCTGGCAACGCCTTCCGCAGATTCGTTTTCCAGGGCAGACCGATTGGGCGGACACAACTCGAGCCGTGCAAAAGATATATGAGATTGAAAACTTGTCTGAACCTCCCTTTAGGTTTCCGATAGGGGCAGATGCGATTGACGTGATCAAGAAAGAGGTCAAGAGTATCATGGAGGATACGGAGAAGTATGAGGGATGGTCTGAAGGATTAGTATTCAATGATGAGAAATACCCAGCACAGTATGCTTGAAGAAACAGTTCCTGAGACATTTTCCTCGAATGTTTGCATAGTAGTGACTTGAACAGGTAGTGGTAGTCGATAACTTACGGCTGGCGATCACGTTCGATCAATGTCGTGGCACAGCCGTGTTCGATCGTGAAGCTTGACCTTTGTCCTCAACCAAGCTCTTTATTCTCCAGCTCCATATCGAAATTAAATACGCACTTCGCCTGACTTCAATTCAATCAACTTTGTGTAGGGCATGCGATGTTGCCTGAAATAAAGTCTGTAGAGGAGTTTCGGCAAGTGGTATGTCCCAATCTCCGTCTGTGTCCATAAGTCAAATGATCACTTACGCTAATTCGTTCAGACAGGAGGAGGGAAAACAGTTGTCATTGACTTTTGGGCAGCATGGTGTATGCCGTGCAAAGCGATCTCTCCAGTATTTGATGCATTCGCTGCTAGATTTCCTGAGCTTGGTTTCTACAAGGTCAACGTAAGCGAAGCTCGGGAAGTTAGTCAGGAAGCTGGAATACGAGGGGTATGCATACCATTACAGCTCCCTATGCATTTTGTCTGTTAACGTGTCAACTGTTTGCTAGTTGCCGACTTTTCAAACCTACCGATATGGAATCAAACTTCGGGAGGTAGCTGGAGCCAATCAACCTAAACTAGAGGTCGGTTTCTCTTCCGAGCTTGATTCTATAGTCCAGTACTGAGCCAGGATCGTTATTTACAGGAAATGGTCAAAGAAGCCTCAGATCGGAAAACGTAGTCTGCCCTAAAGACCCCATAACATATAATCATATGGCAGTCACGCTGCTTGATAACGAGGGTGCGGTAAACTATATTTCTGGAATCGGTATGCCTTTCTCCTGCAAATGGCTTTCTTGAGATTTGGCAGGGACTTGCAATATCGCGGCTGCTTGTCCCCAGAGCAGGTTGCACTTACCAACTGCTCGACAATGCTCGACATTGAATCTGTATTTAATGTAGCCGCACAAAAATTTATCAGTCGGTTGAGGACAAGTTCGTAACGGGTTTGTCATTTCCTCCGGAGCCTGACAAACAGGTCGGCCATACCAAGTGTCGAACTGCGACACCTCCCTTTTCCAGATGGCCGATGCTGACATAAGCAATCGGGTCACATGTGGTTCTTAGCAAGCGGGATTGCGATTAGATCACACCTTGTGCCCGATATAAAAGCCATTCTAAGTTTCTCCAATTCCTTCATCCGCACCCTCTCACCTCAACTCGTTGTCGAAGTTCTATACATCCCATTTTCATAACCATGGTCCAGGAAATTAAGAACCTCGCTGAATTCAAGGAGATCGTGCGTATGGTCTCCGCGGTTCACGATGTATCTTAAGCATGACTCGATGAACAGATTAGCGGCGACAAGGTCGTCATCATCGATTTCTGGGCAGAGTGGTGTGGCCCTTGCAAGCAGATCTCGCCTATCTTTGAGAAGCTTTCAGCAGACTTTCCCAATCTTGCGTTCTACAAGGTCAACGTCGACGAGGCATCCGACATCAGTGAAGAAGTCGGCATTCGTGCTGTATGTTTTTCGTCCAGTATTTCCCCCTTAACGAAGCTTACCGTGCATCTATAGATGCCAACTTTCATGGCATTCAAGAACGGCGCCAAGATTGGCGAATCTGTCGGTGCTATCCCCACCCGTCTCCAGGTTTGTCTTTTGTAGCTTTGAACAGAATGATGTCATGGCCTAACGATATCACATAGGAACTGATCGCGTCAGCTGCTCAGCAGGCATGAAATTGTTGACTATCGGACTTTAGGTCGGGGTTTGCCTCGTATCGTCATGACTCCAGTTGTACCTATTCTCAGACACCGCGATGGTTTGTAGAAGCGCAATAATACCTGTATTTTGTAACCTTTCACCTGGCAAATTTGCAATAAGCTTGCCCCGAGGCTAGGTGAAATTTTTTTATCTCTGCATAGGAACACCATGGGAGACCTATACTCGTTAACTGAGATCGTACAGCAGCGGACTGAGATTCTACTTCTGGATAAGCTCATATCCTTCTGGAAGGTTTCCGACTGCGATGCGGAGTCCTGCCCAGATGGCATCCAGCAACGCGGCACCATTCGATACCCCGAAGACCAACGTTGATGCATAGAAAAAGTTCGCATTGCCCGTTCCTTGGGATAGCCAAAGGTGATGGAATAGCGGGAGCAACAGGGCGGAATGAAGATGTAGTAGGGTTGTCACGATGGGGTATCGTAAGTCTGTTCCGTAACCAGTGTCAAGTGAGCTAGAAGACGAGCGATCTGCGGAACTCACATTGGTATGTCTCAGGGAAAAGGGAAATCAGACTGATGAAGAGGCCCGGATCTGAGAGCGTCGGGTATGGCTTGAATGTGGCGTAAACGCCCGCAAGGATGTAGGTTGCGTAGAGTATATCGTGTCTAGGGGTTGACTGAGGATTGAGCATCGATATCTGAGCAATCAAACTTACTGGAACTTGAGGCAAACAGGCAATACATAAATAAGAAGGTGCGCCTGCACGATATGAGGTCAGCCCATTTGATTGTGAAGAACGAAATAAGCACTTACCGAAAACACCATGAGGAAGAAAGGTCTGAAGTGGTCGAACATCTCTGTGAAGAAATACCACCAGAGTCCTGGATTCGGAGTAAGATCCGGGAGCATAACCCTGTGAAATCAAGCATACGTTAAGTCTGAGGAACAAAAAGAGAACAAGCTGTCTTACGCTGCTCCCCATGTTTGTTCAACCCATGTCCAATTTCCGCAAACGAGTACAGACAAGGAGGTCAGAGCGAACGAGAATCCCAAAAACGTACCCAGCTTAGCCAGTATAGAGCTCAAATATGTATTGAATTCACGCGGCGACGCAAGGCGGGAGACAGGGTCGGATAACAGGAGCAATATCATAGGGACGATGAATATTGCGGATGGAAGGGATAGCTGCACGAGTAACGCCAGCGCCAGTAACGAGGGTGATGATTGCCCTGTTAGAAAGTCAGTGTCGGGAGTATCACCAGTGTGAGATACAGTACCTTGTGAAGCGAACATGAGCGAGAGCAGGAATAGCATGTTCTCAATAGTTGAGGTTGACAATGCCAGGGTCGGTAAAAGTAAATATGGGTTTAATAGATATCTTTGTATTGACAAGTCAGTCGCGAGCATTTGGTCCGAAGAGCAGTCGTGAGCGTACATGGCTGCAATCAAGCTATCCCTAGAGGACTGTGAGACTCTTTGTCGCGCTCTCCAAATTTTGACTAGTGCCCAAGCGGAAATTGCGTCGCATGCCGTCCAGAGACATGCAGAAGTGAACTTGTTCAGAGGCAACGCTGTCGAGAACAACGAAAGTAATAGAGGGGACTGTCAATGCACTGTTAGCAAACTTAACAGACAGATATAATAGCTTGTCATACATGTCGAAATAACCCTCCAGAATATGGATCGATTCCATGCTGGAACAGATATACGCCTTCCTGTACTACGTCACTTCGTAAGCTGTGACCTGAATCATAGTTATGAAGTGGATGTGATCGTACAGCGTGGGTATGAAGTCAATGGCGAACTAAGCTGATGATCATGTTTTAGAGCATCTGGAAGAGGAGCAAAAGCAAGGAGGAGCCTGCCTGCTACGAGAGCGGGATATACGAGCCCGAAGTCCATGCAGTTCGAAAGCAAGTTGTGTAGGCGCTCATGATCGAACTTGACCTACTACTTCTTCCACCATGAACTCAAGTCAATACTCGAGTCAGTATTCGCAAGGAGAATCATCTTCTCAGCCTGCACAGTCCCATGTCAAGTATCATATGCCGTATTTTACTCCTCTGGAGATCGAGCAACTATCCGAGAAACAGAGAGGCAAGCTTTCGCTTTCTCAGGAAGAGAAAGCAAGGCAGCAGGCATGTGCGTTCATAGAGGCTGTTGGGGCCAAAATAGGATTGTAAGTCTCTTGTTTATTGTTCAAATTCTCCTGTTTGAAGATATACTAGGTTGAGAACTGAATCTAGTATGTTGCAGCCCTCGAAAGACTATCGCCACGGCACAAAACCTTTATCACCGTTTTCATCTCTTCTTCCCTCGTAGCAAGGAACCAAGCTATCTTGTACGCGTGAAACACCCTATAAATGTCGACGCTGTACTCACACAGAACCTCTTGCATCTTAGGATGTCTCTTTGGCGGCGCTGTGTGTCTCAACCAAGATGCACGACACATTGAAGAAACCTCGGGAACTCATAATGACCGCCTATGCCATACGTATGCCAGAATTGGCCGCCAAATCCAAAGTCGCAGGAGAGGTTGATATCGATCCCAATGTAAGTGTTATACACTCAAGAAGTTCTACCAACGTACTCATGGGCATGTCACACAGATCGTCGAGAGTGATCGTGAACGAATCATAGGTGTTGAGCGACTCATGTTGGAGACGATTTGCTTCAACTTCAACTCTCGGATGCCTTTCCTATATGTAATCAAGATTGGTCGTGCTTTTGGAGGTACTCACCAACGTTCACCCTGCCGTTGTGATTATCTAATTAGAGGTCTACAGCTACTAAGAAGCTCACAAAGTTGACGTGGAGATTGTGTATTGATAGGTACGTATTTTGGCTCCAGCGTATTCGAGGCGCATGCCTGACGATTCGAATAGTTTTCGGACACTCATCAATCTACAATATCCTCCGCATGTCGTTGCCCTGGGATGCATGTACCTAGCTGCATTGCTATGCTCATTTGAGCAAGGGACATCTCCAGATCGACCGGGGTATAACAATGCCCACCAAATTGCCGCCACTCTTGGAAAACCTGGACAATGGGAACAAGAATTCCAGACACAAGTACAAGACCTTCAAGGTACGGCGCACTATGAACTTTTGAGAACTATTTGAATGACACCTTGCTATTTTTCTTTTCTTCCAGAAATTGCTCATGCCATCATCGACCTGCTTATCCAAGGAGCACAAAATCCACACGCGAACATGTCTCCGTCTACCCCACAATCTCCGCATCCTAACCGTATTCCACGAAATTCATCGAAACCCGAACCTCCGCCCGTCCCCTACAAAGCAGATCAACTGATGCGACTAAAAATCGTTATGCGAGAGCAAGAATATCCTCCGAAGATACGCGAAAGTGCAGCTCCTGGTGATTTACCTGATGCAATGTTCTTGGGAAAAAACGAAGGAACGGTTAGGTACTTGTTCTCCCCGCCTGGTATTGGCGATGATGGCTATTGAGCTATATAGATCTCTACATGCTCGATTTATTTACGCGTTGCTTCGCTGTTGTACATTCTGACTTGTACATTAGCTTTCAGTTTCATTTTGTTCTCCCTCTCCTTTCCGATGTTTGCCACTCCATTTCCTCCATAGGTAACGGGATCCATACCACGTCCCCACCACGAAAATGAACGCACCGACGATCGCAGCGCCAATATATCCCGAGTTTTCATTTGCCTGATATATCCCAAACGAACGATGAGACGGAGTTCACAGGCAGATTTGGGAACCACTCTGTACTTACATTCGCCCAGCCTCGCCACCACCGACCAGCAAGTTCACCTCCATCTGGATCATCGGCTGCAGCTTGGCACGAAGAGCAGTTCTCTCCGATTAGACCCATGATAGTGATCAGTGAGATACTACAAGCATAGCGCCGTCAGTCGCTAGTTCACCCAGGCATGCTGTTAGATAAACCCAAATTACCTGAAGGCAACCAAGATACTCATGAGAGTGAGGATCACGCTCAGACCTGACATAGCGTTCCGCCTAACTCTAAGGTCCTTTTTCATTTGTTCGCTGACATCGCTGACGACTACGGCAGGAGGTTCCTCTGAAATTGCGGGTTTCAGAGGTTTCATGACTTCGGACGAAGCTGAAAGCTCTCTGTGAAGTTCTTGGATCGGTTTCCCTGAAGCAGCTGGGACAGACGAAGGTGGGGTTGGCGGAATGACCGGAGACGGAGATAAGATCGGTTTCTTGTCATCCGTATTTCTGCGTTCGAATAGGGCAAAGGATCTTTCAGGGAAGCCGGCGTAGGAATATAACATCAAGATTGAGTCCAAGGAATCAACGAGGGTCATGCCAGCCGTAAAGAGTAGCTTTAACAATGCTTGTCAATTTGAATCCATTATGGATGATATCAATCTTGCACACTTACTGGAAGTATGACGATGTTTGCAGGTGCAATGCGTGCTCCATTTGTACCGTTCTTGGCAATAGCAGATACGGCAAGCAGCGCAATAGATGATGCGGTGTCGAAACCTTTAACCCTGTTGTAGCACGTTCACGACTAGTCATGTTGAGCGGACATACCAAAGCCAAATAGGACACCGACAGGGTACATCTTCCATGGTCTATCCACGAACCTGACAATGGGACCGATGATCTTCATCATGAGGGTATTACCATGGCTTGTTGAGTCATCCATATCTTCATCTATTTCTGAGGCGACCTCGCCACGCTCAAGACGAGCCGCCCGTTCCTTTCGCATCTGGACATTGTAATGATGAAGGACAGGCATTGCTAGAAGAAGGGAAGCACATACTCGACGTCGACGAGCGATAATCCTCCATAGGATAATGGAGTTGGCAAGGCCCACTATGAATAAGAATGTCGCGCTTACAGAAGCACCTGTAACATGATTGTACCTTGTTTCGGCAAAGTTGACAATGAAAGAACTCACCTACTATACCCCCAACTCTGCCGACCCCATCAATCTTGTCGTATACGCTGGTGCTAATAGCGATTGCGACATTCTGAAGGGTTCAAAGACAAGATAGACTACTCAATGAGGAAGTTTAGCTTACCACGACGATCACGATTGTACTGTGGCCGAGGGAGAAGAACAGTCCACAAGTGACGGGAAGCTGATCGAGGTTGATGAGTGCTCTAGTCGCGTTATCTATCGCGCTGGAGAGACTTCAGTGCTAGCATAATCTACACACAATTAGCGGAACATAACGTGCAATGCCGGGAAGGTATCATACTATGGTTAGATTTCATTTCACCTGATATGATCGGCATCAAGTGCTGCAAGAAATACGTTTGTTCGGAATGACCAGAGTGACAGCGTTGTGAAGAAACATGCCATGCCGTAAGCCTATAGTCTACAGAATATGACTCACGTCAACCCAGAAGTTACATATAGCAGAAATATGAACGTACCCATGCCAGCAACGCCAAACTGAGAATGGGTTGCGTCTCGCGATGACGACCGAATAGAATACCAGCAACGATCCAGCAGATAGCGTTCGCTACCAACTCGGAGACCAGCAATAGGAGTGAACGGCCGAATAGCGTCAATCGCGGTAGCGACCGAAGGCGATTGTGCATGGAAGTCAGGATTCTAGTAGGAATGCCCATCGCTTCGGAGGAGGACGTGGGATCGTCAAGACCAACCTTGAAGTCTCTGGGTAAGGGGGAGAAAACCCTGACCATCAGCTTCAAGAGTGGGCTTGACATCGACGAGCGAGATAGGGAGATAAAGAGTATATTGAGTCGACCACGTGAGATAGGCGTCTACATAGTCCAAGTCCAAGATGATCGAATAGCGTTCGTCGGATTGCTGAATGAACAAACCATCCAAGACTGAAGGGTCTCGGAGGAAAAGATTAGAAGGGCGAAATCTGCAAGATAGGATGTGTGATATAAGAGGACAAAGCGAAAGAGGATAGTCCAGTGGAATATTGCCCGTGCACTTGACGACACTAGGGTACCCTGGTGACCAAGGGCAAGCATGGGTGTAGCTTTGGAGTTCAAAATTCAGACCAAATTGACCGGATGTCGTCAGCGGTCTCGGGGATAGTCCTAAGTCATGGGAAGCCATGCACACAAAGAATTCTCTGGGGCGTGAGCAAGTGCGAGCGCACGCAGATAAACACTTCGTAAAAGCCGGAAGCGACCAGGATAGGAGAATGGAGAAGGCAGACCGATATGCACGAGAACTGGTCCGGATTTGCGAACAAGCAACATCAAGGCTGGTCGTCAAGCTGCCGCTGGCGTTAGGTACCATGAGAACAAGTCCCTTTCAAGAGAGCTACGGAATAGATAAAGGAGAACGGGCAAATATATGATAATATTCTTCAACAAGACGTGCCCGACATAGAGCGAGATACGGCGGATAGTAAAACATGGAAGTCGAAGGTGAAGCAATTCAAGCAAACTGAATGGTAGAAACCTTGTCACAGTCGCGTTACTGTTCGAGACTGTCACGGCGTCACACGGTTTTTCCATAGCATGTTCGGCGAAATTGAACTTGAACGAAGCGGTCATGAAATAGGCTGCATATAATCTCCTCCTTCTCCTTTACGTCGCTCATGAATCTCTTCTCCCAACTTTCATAAGGATACCCTCGCGATCTGTAATTCTACGGTCTTGGACATCCTGCTTTACTATTCTCTCCGGGCTCCCAGATTGTCAATTTGGATACAAGATACCTCTTCGTCTTCTTCGCAGAACCCTCAACTCATCTCATAGCCTGATCTGAAATAATTAAGGGCATAGCTTGTCCCTAACACAATTTTACTTCTGGATCACTGTTCCCTTGACCGATCACTCATGCCTACCTCGCGGCTCAGAATCGACACTTCTATAGCTGGGTATGCTGGCCCATCGTCAGAGACTGGGTCGTCACGCAGCGGGGTTACCCCCGGGTCCTTTCCTCTTCGATCCTCTAAATCTACGGGACGCTTGCGTAGCGGTTCCTCTGCTTCAGTCTCGTCCTCCACGTCGGCCGCGTCTCGTGCGGTTTCCAAAGCGTCTTCATCTGTTCTTTCCCCAGAGTGGAATTCTTCCTCAAGTAGTCGTACTTCTCGCGTGGATCAGGCGTCATTCAGCCCCACTGATTCTACGGAAGGGGTCGGTAGAAACGTTTGTTCGGAGTATGTTCTTGCTATGCATGACTTCGCGCCGCAGCATCAGAATGATACGTGCCTTGCTTTTCGTGCGGGGCAAGTAATTCATGTCCTGAATCGCGACTCGTCTGGTTGGTGGGATGGGGAACTGGATGGTCGTCGCGGCTGGTTTCCTAGCAACTATGTAACTTCCGACGTTGGTCTTCTCACTGAAGAGGAACTTCCTAAAATTACGGTACGTATAAGTAGGTTGTACCCGCATATAACGACTTTAACATGCATTTTAAGCGCGCTCGCAACGGGGCTGGTCATGCCTACACGACGTCCACAGTCTCGACAACTTCATGGACCAGCACAACATCCCATCCTATATCAAGCTCATATATTCGTACGGATCATCGCCCTATGGCTGCAGACAATCCCAGTCTGGACACATACTGCCCACCACTGATGGTCCCGCTACTTCAGGGCATTTCCCTACTTCAGAATGCCGTGAAAGCCAACCGCGTGGCACATTATCAGCCCTCTACGGCGTGCGTTCTCTCCTGCGTCCGTACTCTTTTGTCTGAAGTGGGGTGTCTTGCTCGAGATGCGCCAATGTTGAAGCAGTATCCAGTGCTGGCGCGAGAGCGCAAGCAGATCCTCTCTGGGCTAGCATCGCTTGTATCTCAGGCGAAGAAGGCTTCAGCGGAAGGGCTGCATGACCAGCAGAGGGAGCTAGAGGTGGAGAGCATGGTGCGACTTGCAGGACAATTGTTCGCGCATGTTCGAGGCTTTCTAGTCTCCGCCGTGCAATGTGGAGTCAGCGTGCAACCCACAAGCCATGCCCTTTCGTCGCAATTCAGCTCTTCAGATGGACGATGGGATAGCCAGGAAGGCACGTTGGTCCGCTCGGATAATAGCGCCAATCCGTTCCTTGGAGATTACGGCACATCTTGGGATTCTAAAGGTACCACGAACGGAATAGCAGAACGCCGACGTCAGCGTGAGTCCACTGCTACACCAAGTCTGCGCGCCAAGAGTATGAGCGATTTGAGAACCAAGGTCAAGGAGCATGCTAGTATCATTCCCGCTCTGCCCAAAACAAACATGCAGAAGCAGCCATGGTCTGTTGTCACGCCTGTACGACGCTTCGCTAGTGGAGGGACTGTCGGGCATAAAGTCACTCAGCCCTCTGTTAGCAGCGTTTCCTCGTCCTCGTCCTTTTCGTCCAATGAATCTATTGGCACTCCTCCAACACCCATGTTCCCTACTGGACCCTCAAGCACTGCGGAGGTCATGGATGCACTTCGACACACCCACGATAATTACTTGTCAACGATAGCCGCATTTATAGGTCATGCACACTCGCATTCACGGACTTCACATGCATCTAGCACGGGACATATGTATGACTTGGTTCGAGAAGTCGTGGAGATGGTTTGCAAGTTACTTACGATTGTTGAGGCTGTTCTGCGGCATCCAGGTATACCGCTACACAAGGCTCAGGATCTCCGGGCAGCCAAAGAAGGAGTGTACAACGTTACCAGTACGCTTGCGGATTCCGTTCGCATGCTTACGACCGAACCGTCACCTGACATTTCGGAGGAGGAGGAGAAGACTACCTTGTTGCGTTCGGCTACCAACGCACTTAAGGCGGGGTCTGACTGTGTTAACGCGGTGAAGAAGTGTCTGCAGAGGCCAACTGGGGAACGGCCGTTTGTGATCGACCTTCCAGATGTAGGAGATGTAGGCCTATCAGTCTACACTCCAAGCAAATTCTCGCATCGTGCTCCTATCAGGGGCGGCCGTTTGCGCGACGCTTCAAGTATGAATGCATTGCGGGAACTCTACCGAGTCAACGGTGTCTCTGGAGACGAGGAGGATCTTACAATACAGGCGCAAACTGATTCATTCGCCGATACAACTGTTCGACTCAATGGAGAGGCAAACGAGAGTCATGAGAAGCCAACCATCGTCATTCCGGAAACGGATGGCTCTCTGTCTGCTAGCCCATCACCTTCACCAGTTCCTGCGTCCGCTGTGGATGACAAGCCATTACCCCCTGTTCGTCCATCTCTTGATTCAGTATCTCTCCGACCCTCGTCACCAGTGTCATTCGCACCCACTGAGGATGATCGCACAACATGGGAAGGTAGTCATCAGAGACATCACCAGGCAACGCAGTCTCTCGAAGAGAAGTTGATCCATGGCGACCTTCCCGCCGTTCCTGAGAACGTTATCACCGACCTCCCTCGGCCCGATCCCATGTCCTGGATTCTATCGCATGATCATGACCCCGAAGACGTTGCGTATAACAGTGAGGGACAGTTAGTTGGTGCAACCCTACCTGCATTGGTCGAACGTATGACCCCCCACGATTCATTGGTTGAGCCCCCATTCGCAGCCGTCTTTTTCTTGACATTCCGGCAGTTTACTTCACCGCCTGAGCTTCTTGATGCTCTGATCGCCCGTTACAACATCATGCCGCCCCAAGGCATACATGAACAAGACCTCTTCCTTTGGCAACAGCGCAAAGGTCTTCCGGTTCGACTGCGTGTTTCCAACTTCGTGAAGTCGTGGCTGGAGAGCTATTGGCGACCCGAGGTGGACAATGTTGTCTTGACACCCCTGTTCAACTTCACACGCGATGCACTTGCATTGATGTTTCCTGTACCATCACAACGCATTTTGGAACTCCTTGCTCAATGGCAGGCTGCAGGTGACAGTGGTGTGGCAATGAAGGTCGACCGCGTTCGCGATGCTGGATTCAACCTGAACCCTCCTCTGTTATCGCCGTCAGATATTCCGCGACCTGTTATCAACAAGACTCTATTCAGCGCTCTCAAGATCAGGAATTACAATTCAGTCTCTCTCACTGATTTTGATCCTGCTGAACTGGGACGACAGCTGACGACGATGGAGTGTCAATTATACTGCGCTATTCAACCGGAGGAAATACTGGAGACAGGTCAAGATGGTGGCATCTATGCACGAAATGTGAAGGCTGTCACTTCTTTGAGCACTGTCATTACGGGTTGGGTGGCGGAGAGTATTCTCGATGAGCCAGACACAAAGAAACGGACAGCTCTGGTCAAGTTCTTTATCAAGGTTGCGGATGTAAGTTCCATGCTCAGTAGTTTCGTGTCCGTTTATTTCAATTTTAATTGGTGTTTCAGAGGTGTACATCCGTGCAAAACTTCAGCACACCGAGGTCAATATTGGCTGCGCTCGACTCTTCCACCATTTCACGACTGCATCAAACCTGGTCGGTGAGTAATATCTAGTACCAGTACACATGACTCTGGCTGACATTCCTATCATTTTAGGGCTTGCCACAGAAGAACCGATTACAGCTGGAAGCAATTCGTAAGCTTGCTGACCATGCTCGCAACTACCATGAGTATCGAACGCGCCTTCGTAACACTGCACCTCCCGCCGTCCCTTTCCTCGGTGAGTGATTTTTATATAGATGTAAACGAATTTAACACTCATGCTTGTTACAGGCCTCTACCTGACGGACATCACTTTCTGCCGCGAGGGTAACCCTTCACATCGTGCCTCCCCCAAGAACCCCGAAAAGAAACTGCTTAATTTCAATAAGTACCATAAACTCGCGCGAATTGTCCAAGGTATGCAAACCTGTCATAGTCTTTAAAATCATAGTCTGAATCCGTGAACTAGACATGCAAAGATTTCAGTATCCGTATAACTTTAAGGAGATTCCTGAAATCCAAGAATACCTCCGTGATGCGTTTGAGAAGGCCAAACACAGAGGTGACTTACAAGATCTATACCGTCGCAGGTGTGTTAATAGATGGCTTTCAATACGTTTTTTCGCTGACCCACTGTGACGAACAGTCTACTCGTCGAGCCCCGACGCCCCGCAGATAATCCTCCTACGAGCGACGTCAGACAACTATTCGGTTGGGCCTCGCGCTCCTCTCAACCAACCCCCGTTTCCGCTTTATGACCTGATACAATTTTCGTGGTCATACACTTTACTCATTTCTAACTTCGTATATCTTTCTTATCTCGTCTTATGGTACCGCGATATTTCTTGCTTTGTCGCGTCTAGTTCTCGTCGTCTCACCCCTTCGACTTTCTACCCAGCTCAACTTGTATTCGAGGTCTCCAGTTTCCTATGTTTCCCTAATCTCCTATCCTCTTTTATCTCTTTTGGACAATCTGCATCTGTCTATACATACCATTCATCATTTATTGCTGTCTATCTGTTTGTACTATCTTCCCGATACCGTGCATCGTTCTCTACCGCTCATGATGTAATCCTTTCCCATTACTCCTATAATGTTATTCCCTCTTATATACCTACATCTCATCCAGCTCATGACCATGGGAGCATATAAGCTACCAGCCTACCGCTACCATCCTCTTTCACGACTATGGCCATACTTAGTGACGTAGAAACCAGCCGGATGCTTTGTCGACCTTTTCAAAAGATTCCCAAAGGGCTGCCGCTGCCCTCTTCCAGGCCTTGTTGTAGGTAAGGACTCGCTAACCGCAGGATATGTATCCTCCTGTACGCCTGGTCCAAAGTCGAAAACAAAACCACGACTTTGATTGGCACCAAACACACGGGAACCGTCGACAATGACCGAATAGACCGGACTTGAGTCGTTTCCAGGTGCGTGAACACTCCAACCTTTCGCAGGAGCACGAACGTCGAAGAAAGCTACGACACTATGACGTGCCGAACCTGCTGCTATATGAGCACCCGATCCCCCACCACAAGAAAGCGAGTAGATAGGTTCGTCGGACCATGGGTCTTCGAAATGGAGCGAAGGACGAAGTGATGGCGGGCCTAAAGTCTGCGAGAACGGTCGGGTAGGTGCGCGTAAGTCGTACACGTTTACGACACCGTTGTACCATCCAGATACGAGAACCTGGTCAGATGCACCCCAAGGGGCAGCAGGTGGAGCTTCGTCGATGGCGTATACCGCGGATGGACGTCCTGTATCAATGAATGGAGCGAGAAATGTAGATGGCGTTGGGGACAGGCCTGATGGTAGTATATCATGAACTACCAATGGATTCATGGAGGACATCCCAAACGCTGCGTAAGGAGACGATGATCGTGTGGACAGATGGGCGGACCAACTGCGCGTATTCAGATGTAGAAATTCTGGTTCCGGATGTGGGGACGCGAGTGGGAAGTAAACAGCATTCCCCGAAGCCGAGAGAGTGAGGAGGTGCGTGGAAGAGGCGGAAAGACTCTCTATGAGATCGTCTGCGTGAAAGTTGAAAGTTTCTTTTAACAAAGACTCCACTGGCACTGATCCGTCATGACCATCCCGTACAGACGGTAGCACCAGACGTTCCAATATACCATTGGCGTAGCCGACATAGACCGTGCGGTCCAAGCCGTCATCCGGAATGCAGACGATACTGGTTATATCCAGATTGGGGTGGACGACGTTACTTGTGGAATATATGCATTCCAAATGCACCGAAGGTGCCCGCGCAGAAGGGGAAGGGATGAAGCTGTAGGAGTATATTTTGTTCCCAGCAGCCAGTAACAAACGGGAAGAGTTGATAGCGAGTATGGGCTGGAGTTTACCGGCCCATCTGTTTGAGAGGGGTCGCGCTATGAATTCGGCATTGTCCCAATTATGATCAGTAATTGTACTATAACTTTTAGATGGGTTATGAGTAAGCCGATATCATCGGGTTCTGGTCACAACTTACCGGACTTGCTCTTTGGTAGACCATAGTTTGAATGTCTTTCGCAGACTGAAAGCAGGTCTTGGATGCGATTTCAGATTGATCGTCCAACCGTATTCTTCAACCTGAGATTTGTTGCGTTAAGGGATCGGGAGACCTTTAATGCCTGGGTACGGAAGACCTACAAGGTGGAAGAGTTCTCTGCATGTGCACTCCAGTGCCGCAAGATCCTTGGCATTGAGGAAGTACATTACCAGGATAATGATATCACTGGGGATGGCTAAAAGTCCTTTGGACATGATGTGCGTTGTATGGTCAAAGTTTTGTATCTATGGGGAGAAAGGACGTCCCAACACAATAATGCGGTTCCTTTTATACTGAAATTGCTTGCTAATGAACGACAGGCCGTTGTCAATTACACTGCTGACGTACCGTCACTGGTAGTCAGAAACAGGCTCCGAGACCGCTTATAAGGGTTACGCATACCGTACCTTCAGCAAAATAGATCATCACTCATCATGGTTTCCGTGAAAGCCGTGATTGAACTCACCTCACTGGTTGCGGGGTAGCAGATTCAGGGCCGGGGTATGACTTCACAGCTGAATTCACCTCAAGGTTCGCGGGCACATTTGGGATTTGACTTGTTCTGTTTTTAAAAGTGTGTCTTGCTCTATGTCTCCGTGTAATCTGATATATTTGTTCAAACTGGTGGTCCGACGATGTCTTGTGCAAGCAGGACGAAGAGTTTGTAGGCAAGAACGGCCCAGAGGTCAGATCTTCAGAGCCTAGAGGCGCCCTGTATATCATATTAGACGCCCGTGGCGCCGTCGCGAATCCGCGTCGCTTCACAGGTCTGCTACAGCTTGCCACCCTGGTTCCTCCTAATTTCTCCAGCGTACGCGATACACTCCCCTACACGGGTAGTAGGACATGAGAAGGGATGTTCGGATTATTCTCGTCGGTGATGGTGAGCAACTGACTTCTTGTTTGCGCGAAAACACGATGACACTGTCCGTCAGAGGGTGTAGGGAAAAGTACGATCATAACTTCACTAATCAAGGAATCGTTTGTACCCCATGTAAGTATGACACTGCATATATTGAATATCTGAGTTCTCTTCTGAACGCTGTTAAGGTCCAACACGTCGTTCCCGAAGTTACGATACCTCCAGAAACTACCCCGGAGAACGTGACTACCTATATCGTGGATTCTGGGTGTATGTTCTATTTGAGTAAAGCCTTGGTTATGTTTATAGAAGTCTCTGCGGTACAGGCACGCCACAGGACCGACAACATCTCGAGACAGAAATTCGTAAAGCGCATGTTATTTGTGTTGTATATGCTATCGACAACCCGAACTCCTTCGATCGAATACCGACGTACTGGCTACCATATTTTCGCCAATTAGGTGTCAATGTAAGTATATGCAATACTCTGAGCTCTTTTGCACAACTCTCATTGTGGTTTAGGTCCCTGTTATTCTTGTTGGAAATAAGATTGATCTACGTGGTGGAGAAGTGACGAACGAGGCCTTGGAGGAAGAGATCATTCCAATCATGAATGAGTTCAAGGCATGCAGCGTCGTGTCTCTCTTCCTCCTATTCAGAATACTGACGTAGCCGACTTAGGAAGTTGAGACATGTGTAGAATGCTCGGCGAAGCTCCCACTCAACGTCTCCGAAGTATTCTATTTCGCTCAAAAGGCGGTTCTGCATCCTACTGCGCCATTATATGACTCCAGGGATCATGTCGGTTCAAATCCTGATGGTGTTCGCTTGCAATAACTCACGGCGTGCAATGTAGGTTCTGAAGCGGGAATGTATTGCCGCTTTACGACGTATATTCAAGCTATGCGACATCAACAAGGATGGTCTTCTTGATGCTAATGAGCTGAATGAATTCCAGGTGGGTTCCACAATTCTCCGGTGAACGTTCTGGGTTCGTGTCTGACGTGTCAATGCAGAGGAAATGTTTCGACACGCCATTACAAGCACAAGAACTTGAGGGCATCAAAGCGATGGTGCAAGAACATTCGGCTAACGGTGTACGAGATGGCGGCCTGACAGAAGAAGGTTTCTTGTTCCTCCACACGATATTCATTCAGCGCGGGCGTTTAGAGACTACCTGGACTGTCCTCCGGAGGTTTGGGTACGGAGAAGACCTTCGATTAACAGAGGAGTATCTCTATCCAAAGTTTGTCCAGATCGACTCAATTCGAGGCATACGACTAATTAGAGCACTGCAGGTTTGATGTTCCTCACGATTGCTCGGTGGAACTGAGTCCCCTTGGGTACCAATTCTTGACTGACATATTTGAATCATTCGATAAGGTCAGCGTTGTGCTTCCTTTAAATCACGTTCTACATATTGATTGTTCATCCAGGATCAAGACGGTGCTTTGAACCAAGAGGAACTCAATGACCTTTTCAGTACATCCCCAGGGAGTCCATGGGCAAATCAGAAATTTCCTGATACAACGGTGGCCAATGATACCGGCGCGGTGACTCTACAAGGCTGGCTGGCACAATGGAGTATGACCACTCTTCTCGACCACAAAACCACCTTAGCCTATCTTGCCTATCTCGGATATCCTTCACCACGAACATCTGCGTTGCAAGTCACTCGACCTCGGAAAGCAGAGCGACGGAAGGGCAAGTCAACGCGAAACGTGTTCCTCTGTTACGTCTGTGGTGCTGCGGGATCAGGGAAGACGTCGCTACTTCATGCTTTCGTCGGTCGCAAGTTCAGCGACACGTATGAGCCAACGAAGAAGATGAATAGTGTCGTCAACTCAGTTGACATTGATGGCAGCGAGAAGTACCTTGTTGTAAGTCGTGTTCGTCTTTGCTTCGTGTGCAGTTGATCTTACAGCAAAACATAAGCTTCAGGAATTCGGCTCGAAATACGAAGCCGAAACGCTCAAGAGCTCGAAGAAGACCGACCTTGCAGATGTCATCGTCTATGTGTATGATTCCAGTGATACCAACTCCTTCTCCTACATTAGCAATCTACGAGTAGGTCCCCTCTGCTTACTGGCATCTGATTCTACAACACTGACGATCCTGGATCTTCACTAGCAACAATACAGTCTAGACCATATACCCACCCTTTTCGTAGCAACAAAGTCAGATCTAGACCTGGCACAACAGGTGTGTGTTGGGTTGTTGAAGCACGATGATCTACACGTGCATGAGTTGACATCCGTATTGCAGAGACACGAGGTACAACCTGATGTTTATTGTCGGAAACTCGGACTGGCGGTCCCTGTCGCTGTCAGTGTGAAGACGGGACAGATCGCAGACGTGTTCCATGCAATCTGCAGCATTGCAATTAAACCGTACGTGTTCTCTTCTTTTCTACCCCAACGTGTATTCACGACAAGGATCTGCATACTTTTCAACCCCATCTGTCAATGCGTTACATCATTTCGGCTTCTCTTGTCGCGTCCATTCTGCAGAAACTCGGCAATACCTGGAGGTGCTGATCGGGCGTTGTCCTCTGCAGCAAGACTCCGTTCGTACATCAAGATATGTACCCTAGTTGGCGGGCTTGGTGTAGGTGTATTCCTGCTCTATCGGACTTGGACTCGACCTGGAGGTTGGCGTGGTGGGTGGTGGACGTGGTTGGTCGGAGGCTGGCGGTAGCTGTGCTGCTCTGTGGCATTATTTCTTTAGAGATTGTACTATCTGATGTTTGTGTAGCTATCGTAAAGCTCTATAACTGCTCTCGTTTTCCGTTTCAAGGACAGAGTGCGACGGAGGAAGGAATCTTGGGGGAGATGGAGGATATGACTGTGCCTCGGTTAGATCCGAGCCTGGCGCACGACTCGGGCGTGGCCTTTGGCGGCAGGCCATAAAGAGTACATGAATCATGACATATTTCTAGCATCTGTATTTCCATCCTGCAATACAGCCAGCATCTCTCGCTTTTGCTTATAACCACCATCTCATACCACTCACACTTTGGTTCCGTGTTGTGGCCATACTGAAAACGCGTTCGGAAACGTCTTGCGTCATAGCCGATTATTGCTTAACTCACCACTGATTTTGAATCGGGTTATTTCGAGACACCATGGATGAAGATATGGATTTCGACTCTGGGGTGCCCGCAATCCAACCTCAGCAGGTCCCTCAACCTCCTATGAGCAATGGGTCTGATGGACATAAGATGCTGTACGTCGTAGTCGCCTCATTGAATCATGGATGTCATTAGAACCCCTCACGCCCGATCTATTCCCAGAGACCTTGTCTTCGTGCAGGATTGTACAGGGAGTCAAGGCAGTTACATCATGTCTGCTACGAAGAACATTCAATCGATTTGTCAACACATCTACGAGTCCGGAAAGTTACAAGCAGCGGAAGACTTGAGAATCGGGCTTGTAGCATACCGCGATCATCCACCGCAAGACCATACCTATGTTACGAAGAACTTTGGATTCTCATCAGACATCAACAAGGTCGAGAAAGACCTCAGCTCGTTGTATGCAAGTGGCGGAGGCGATGGACCTGAAGCCGTAACCGCTGCTCTCGCAGAGGCGCTCAACATGGACTGGAGACCGGAGGCAAGTAAGATGGTTGTTCTTATTGCTGACGCTCCTCCACATGGAATTGGAGAGTATGGTGATGGTGAGTTCTCCCGAAATATTCATTGTACGATTAGTCATTACGGTTGTGTTCACGACTCTACTTTTAGGATTCGACGAAGGCTCTCCTGATGGTAATGACCCGCTGCAAATAGCCCGAGCGATGGCTAGCCGAGGGATCACTCTGGTAAGATTTGGCTACGTGTTTCGACTGGACGTGGTGCTAAGCATTTTCTTAGTTCTTCGTCGCTTGCGAGCCAGCATTGTCTGGATACTCGGTAAGTCCATTTCACCCGGTATTAGAAGCCCCTCGCTGAATGGTTCCATAGTACGCGACCGACTTCTTCCAAGCTATCACCAACATCACGTCAGGACTGATGCTTCCGTTGACAACCGCTGACCTCCTTACACACGCTATTGTGGGTAGCGTGTTGGAGAACCTGGACATGGAGCGTCTGGTGCGTGAAGTCGGGCAGGCTGTCTCACAGCGGATTCTCGGTAACAACGAGAGCGTTGATGACGTTGCTCGCGAGCTTCACGAACGTCTTCTCCTCCGAAATGAGAGTACCAAGAGAGTCGTGATCGAGAGCATCTACAGGGAGTCTGAGGAGGCGAAACATAATGTACAAGTATACATGGAGGCGCCCTCTCTCAAAGAGGCACGACCGCTTCTGAAGAAGGTACGCATTGCACGGTTCCTCACTCCAAGACATGCGTTAATGTCTGCTTGATTATCAGGTGCACGGTACTCGATTTACCGAGAAATATCTGCATTCGCGAATGTCAGCAAGTCGCTCCTACTCATCACCCTACACACCGTACTTGCCACCACGTAGGGCCACCACGGGTTCCTCAACAACGTCCATGGGCACGATACCGTCTCCATCTCACTCACCACCACGCAAAGTTGTCACAGACTTTGCCGCGTTCGGTGCCCCCAAGACCGCCAGTGTCTTCGGTACTGCCGTTGCAGCTACGCCGTTCTCACTTGCAGGCGGCAAGGCCGCTTTTGGCGGTATTCGCGGAGGCGCCAGAGGATTTGATGATGATGACGATGACGAGGAAATGGATGATGGAAGGCAGAAGATTGAGTTGAGGGAGGATTCAATCACACTGGACCAGGCTAGACGGATTGCGATGCAGAGTGCTTGGAGGAGTGCCAGGGTCTGATCTCTTCAAACAGGTTGTCTTCTTCTTGCTTGTCCGCTTTCACTCTCATATCCGCATGCCCTTCCTCGATACCTTTGGGCAAGTTCGCGTTGTCGATCGGCTTGCTCATAATGTCCTGATGACCAGGTCCGATCTTCCCTGCCTTTATTCTATCACGAGACGACGATGGGGGGTGTTGGCTGTAGTTAGTTAGTTGCATGATGAAAGGAAAGGGCGTTTTGAATTGTATGTATCTATATATCGTTCCACGCAGTAATGACAGGAAGTGAATCAATCTCTCCTACCACAGACATTCATATTCTCGACATTTGTAAATTAGATGAAGCACACGAATACAATGCAGATTGTTTCGAACCAAAGCTGCATAAAGACGATGTAGGAACAAATACATGGAATGTGTCATTCAGAATCCCGCTCCTTTCTACGTTTCTTCTTGCCTTTCTCTTCAGATGGGTCCTCGATACGCTTCTTACGCTTCTTGGGCGCAACTTCGCCGCCCACGAGCTCTGGCAGCAGTTCTATAGAGCCTGTTGAGGCATCCTTCGGTAGAGCTGAGGTTAACATAGGCTCCTCAATTTTCTTCTGGGCCTTCAGACGGGTTTTCTCCTCCTTTCTCGCCTTCTTTTCTGCTTTGTTCGCTCGCCTTGCCTCCTTTTCCTTTGCGTGATCCAAAGAATTTTCCTGCGTTGAGGAATCTGCTGCTGGTAATAAATCTTTCGATCGTTTCTTCTCGTTCTCCATATTCTCTTCTTTCCGACGTTTCTTTTCTTTCTTCGGCTTTCCTGCGTCCTCAGCCTCTTCATCTCCTCGGGATCGTTTCAACTTTTTCCGTTCCTCGCGCGACGGCTTCTCCGCTTTATCGCTCTTGTTCCTCTTCTTCTCTTCCGTGGCGTCTTCATCGATATCTGAATCACCTCTATCCACTTCTTTACCTTTACTCCGCTTCTTCCTCTCCTTGATCATTGAAACGACTTCGACGCTCTCCTTTACGATTACCTCCTCCACCGTCTGCTCCACAATCACATCCTCATAGTCGGAGCGCATAATTGGACCACGGAAGAACATTGAATAGAGCATACGTCTCGCAGCCTCCTGCTTAGCAGCAGCCATGAGGCTCATGCGAGGGGTAGATGTTCCGCTTGTTGAAGCCTCTGGTGTAGTGGAACCAGAGATTGCGGGTATTCCAGTCGGAGGACGTTTGTTAGAAATTATACCAGTGCTCGTTCGTTTGAATGATGGCGCAGGGGTAGACGACTCGATACCGTCCTGGTATACACAACACACTGCTTAGGATTCAACGCGGCATGGGCTGAATCAAGAAGAACTCACCGAATCATCTTCAGTCTGAATCTTTACTTTAATTTTGTCTGCAGCCGCAGAGAAAACGCTATCGACAAGGTTCAGCCGAACTCACATGGATGTTAGTTATAACGGATACTCACTGATCCCAGAACGGAAACGCATCATCTCTGTCCTTTCCAATACCCGATAGTGTTTTCTTCTGAGTGACTGTGACTGGTTTCGCTATAGCACCATGTCGCAAACCAGTGCCTTTTCCAGTCCAGCCCTGAGATACCAGATACGCATGACCGTCTATAGGCATAAAAGCTCGTCGATTAATGGGATAAGAAAGGACGTGGTAAGGCCCAGCGTGAAGTAGGGTATATCGTGCTGGTCGAGCCCAAAGGATTGAGATGCAAGGTACAGGAAGCGCCCAATGAGCCGCCGGCATTTCTTGTTGCTTGTTCCTTGCACCCATGTCGTTGATTCCCCCATTCATTTCTTCATCTTTCATCCATGTTGTAGACAAGCAGGTATCTATGGAGAACGGATGAAACTATCTGAGAATATCACAGGCACATTATAAAACATACTTATCTCCAGACATTCTGGAACAATCATATGGCGAACGATGCCTTGTGGTGCTTCTGCCCGACGTGACGGCTCGGACACACGCACGTTCTCATTATAGCGACATATGCACAAGGAACAGGCTGAAAGCATTGGCAGTTTGTTCCCATATCGCCTGTCTCTTGGGCATACTTAAAGGCTGCGCACAGTGGTATTGATGCTGGTGGGACTTTTATTCTCTCGCCGACTCTAGCTATGTTTGCCTCCATCGGTTTTCTCGCGCTGGTGGTCTCCTCCACTTTAGGGTTGGACATAACTCAGATTCAGGGGCCAGCCTGGCAATCGCCTTTCGTAGGTCAGACGGTCACCAACGTTTCTGGTATCGTCACTGCAAAGGTCCGTTGTAATGTAGTCTTCACTATCGACCATTGTGAGGTTCTCATTTTCTTTAGGCTAGTAATGGATTCTATATTCAAGGTGCACCTTCCGGCGATATACGAGCCTCGACTGGTCTATTCGTCTTTTCTACTTCGACAACTGTATTGGGAGCGATCAATGTCGCAGATCATATCTCGTTAGCTGGGAAAGTCGTCGAATTCCGATCTAGTACCAGTCCAGATGATCTTTCTGCGACTGAAATGCAATCTCCTACGAACATTGTGGTATTGTCCTCGAACAATTCAGTCGCACCGCTCATCCTGGGTGTGGATCGAAGCCCACCAACACAACAACTCTCTGCTCTGGATGTGGGGCCAGATGGGTTCTTGTCTGTCCCGAATAACCAATCTCGCATCGATTCTACGAATGCCACCTTGCAACCGGACAAGTTCGGCTTGGATTTCTGGTCTAGTCTCGAGGGGCAGCTGGTGACAGTCAAAAATCCTGTAGCAATCAACTTTGAAAACAGATTTGGAGAATTCTGGATACACGGCGACTGGCCGGTGACCGGGAAGAATGACCGAGGTGGAATAACTATGACATTCGGTTCGTGTGTTCAAGTAGCATCATATCCTTTTTCCCTGTTCACCCTTCATTTATAGGGCCGCATGGCCTGCCAGATGCGAATCCTGAAGTTGTCATAGTTGGTTCGCCTCTGGATGGCACAAAGAACCCCAAGGTTGCTGTGGGCAAGACCTTCCAGGATGTTACCGGAGTGATACAATACCAGTACGTATTGCGCTAAATTGGTACCGTGTCGTGTGTCCTCAAACAGGTGTAAAGGTTTGGGTTCTACTACATCTTGCCGCTTACCGCGCCCACCGTAGTTTCTTCACCTGATCCCACGATACCTCCTACGACATTGGCTTTCTCAGGTGACTCTTGTGTTATAACTATTGGTGACTACAATGTATGCACATTCCTCAATTTCTTATCTGCTTCTTACCCGCGACACATATAGGTCGAGAACCTAACGCCAACTGGCGCCACACACCTCAATACAGTCGCAGGCCACATTGCCAACAGTTTACTTACACCCGACGTCATGTTCGTCCAGGAGATTCAAGATAATTCCGGTGCAACAGACGATGGTGTTGTCTCCGCGAACGTCACACTCTCGAACTTGAGCAATGCTATTGCCAAGGCCGGAAATACCACGACAACTTACAGTTTCGTTGAAGTTGTCCCTGTGAATGACCAAGATGGTGGTCAGCCTGGCGGTAACATTCGACCAGCGTATTTGTAAGTTACAGTATACATTTGGAACACCAGCTCCTGAAGTTCTGACTTCATTTGTCTAGGTATCACTCAGATAGGATCAAGTTAGTGTCAGGATCTCCTGCCGGTGGTCCTCTCGATGCCACCGAGCCAATTATTGGATCCGATGGCAAGGTTTCCCTAACGTAGGTTGCTTGAATTAATCCTCCGTAAATGCGCTGAGCTGGAAGCATGCCAGGTTTAATCCGGGACGTATCGATCCAACCAACTTAGCTTGGGATTCTAGCCGTAAACCATTAGTAGCCGCTTGGGAAACCTCTTCGGGTGCTAGGTTCTTTACCATCAATGTTCAGCTGGTGTCCAAATTGGACAGTTCATCTACGCAAGGAAACTCAAGACCGCCAGTGAATGCCGGTGTTGAACAACGGACGAGCCAAGTCCAAGTTATCGCAGTACGTTTGATCGCATCTTCATACGTTCATACTTCATTTCTAATCTGGCGTCTTCGACAGGCATTCGTGAAATCGCTATTGGACTTGGACCCTCATGCCAATATCATACTCGCCGGGGACTTCAACGAATATGTTCAAACTCGCTCCGTCTTCTCCTCTTTCGACGGCCTCTTGTCTGAGCTAGATGAAATCTCTGGCATCGATCCAGTCGAACGATACACCTACGTTTTCGATCAGAACACGGAACAACTGGACCACATTTTCGTCTCAAGTGCTATAGCGAAAAGGGGAACGGAGGTGGAACATATTCACGTCAATAATTGGGCAAGCACCTTGAGTGCGAGGACCAGCGATCACGATCCCAGTGTAGCTCGATTGAAGGTGTGCTAACTTCCGTATTTATAGATGCAGTTATACCCTGTAAGGTTATCTACGTATCTATTCGTCAAATTCCAGGCCCTCAAACCATGACTCATACTTCTCAACGTCCATCAGAATACTCTTCGCCTCTCCTTTAGCCATCTCAACCGAATCCTTGCCGAGGGTAAATCTCAAGGAAGGCTCAGGTTCTACAGTCAGATCGTAGATCCTCTGTACTGCCTTCGACGTACTCGCACCCTTTGACTTGCCATCGGTGAAGTACGCAACCGATGCAACGCTCGGAAGAGCCGGCTTGGTGTATGCAGGATGGATATAAACCTGAGCGGCCATTTTATCGGCAGCTCGTGTGACGAAACTCCCAGTCTCCAGAATGGTAACCTAAATGCGCTAGAAATACTTGAACTCCTCCCGCAGGGAACGACATACCTTGATGTTCTATTCTGGATCGAGTCCTTGTGCGAGCGCCGCGGTTAGGCCTTCTAGAGTCATAAAGTCAAACGTACACTCAGGTAAGTATTTCATCGCCTCAAAGTGGTCCTACCGTGCTTCGAGGAAGAATAGAATCCGAGTCCTGGCATTGCATGAAAGCCAGCTTCTGAAGAATTGACGACCAGCCGCCCTCCGATCGGCTTGTTCATTTCTCTGGAGAACTTCACTGCCTCTCGGCTGATGTTGGTGGCTCCCCAAAAGTTTGTGTCAGACATTGCGCGAGCAGCGTCCTCGGGTGTGGCTTCAACCTCTCCCAGAAAGGCATAACCCGCGTTGTTGAACACGACATCTAGCCGTCCGAATGTTTCGCTAATCTGTACGAACACCTCCTTGATTTCCTGAGACTTGCTGACATCGAGAGTTTCAGGCTTCCTCGCAGTCGCGACCGCGATGTTTCCCTTCTTGAGCACAAGCTCCGTCATTTCTCTTCCGAACCCGGAAGAGGCACCGGTAACTAAAAGCATGGATAAGCATACCATTACCGGGATGAGCATGACGTATGAGGGAGATGTCACTTACTGAGCCAAACTCGATGCTTAGACATCTCAGCAATCTTCTAAATCAACAAGTTCACAGCGCGGGTAGGTAAGAAATTCAGTTGGGTATAGTACGCAGTCACGGAAGGCCATATAAGCAAATCCTCTTTCAAGCGTTTTCATTTTTGTAGTCTGGATACTCTGAACAGCCCAACATCATTTGCCAGCTCAGAAGGCTTTGGTGGGTTCGTGGGAGGTGAGGATTAACTTACTGTATTCCGTGGTGTCGGCTGACCGCTTGACGCTAGGACGATACTGAATCATTTGGATAGTACCAAAGTGGAGTATCATTATGTTATGGTACAGAGATATCAAAGATAGTGGAATATCCATGCAATACTTGCGGTACTGTGATATGTTAGCTGCGAATTTGAGACTGTGGATCCTCAACTCTCTCCATGGGGATAGCGTCTGCAATACGCCCTTATGATGAAATGGCATTTCTTCACCTTTCCCGGATCTAGCTTGGCATGTGTAGGATCTATAGCGACACAAAGAGTTATTGAACGGCGTCAGGTTTGTAGGTTTTATTGGTCCGTCGCACACTACCACCCGCTCACTTCGATGATTGTCCGCTTGTCGCTTCTTTGTGAATGCGAGCGGGTAAGTGGCTGTCCGAACTAACGACCTAGTTCCTACTTTTCAAGTAAATGTAGGTATCAGCGCTGGACTAGTAAGCCACCTTGATCAGGACATCGTTGCCCGCACGAAAGAACAATTACTTGATTACGACTAAGTATTAAGCTACAGATATCCGCTGTCGAAGGTTTCACAGAGGCTACTAATAGTGAGATATCCACGGAAATTCAGTTAATGTGAGTAGGGATGATGTGGGAGGGGGGAAACGCAAACACTATATCTGCTATGTGATTAGTGTAACCTCCACAAGAAAGCAATTTATTGTCTCGTCAAGTCAAACGTCATTAATCCGTGTCCTTGAACGCCGACGCAAAGCGGGACCATATTTCCTGAGCACAAACGGTATAGGTGCCATGACGACCGAGATGAAGGCCAGCAATGTCGAAGCCCATCGTGGGGAGAGCTTATCGTACATTTGATTCGCGAATAATGGGAATCCTGCACCGAAGAATGAGCGCACGATGACGGTAGCAGCAAGGGCAGATGCAGCGGAAGCCAGGTATGTGTCAATGATATAGTTGAAAAGTCCCAGATAAAGCAGCACAGTGCCCATCCCCAAAGGAAAGCCTGCCATCATGGGTGCCCAGAATGACACACTCGGGTAGGATGTCCATGCGAACCAGAAGAAAGCGATTGGTAGGATGAGGGATGCATATAAACTATTGTGCAGTCGATGCTCTGGGGGCGGATGATGAGGATGGTGTTCCTTCACGGCAACTTGGTATATGGGATCAAAATAGACGACATATAAGACACAAGCCACAGTGCCGCCGATAGGGATTGGAAGGAACATTAAACCTGATACACCGCTATTGAAGTGATGCCCAATGGTGAAGACAATTGGATATGCCTCGAACAGAAGGTATATCACTCCATAGACAAACTAATGTGCGCTAATTTGAGAAGGGATCAACTTCACCACAGAGGATAAAACGCACGCTCATATACAAAGTAATTGCCAGAAGCATTGGTTCGCCAACTAGCATCTGAAACGGCCGAGTAACAATGTCTTTAACCCGGCGTAGGAAAGAGACACGTTGTTTCTCAAGAGGAGCCCACCAACGGCCATCCCCTGTCTGCTTACGGCGCCTTTCAGCCTTCCGTACAAGCAGAATAGGTCTAGGAAAAGACGATCATGAGTCCGATTCCTCGCTGTATATCACGAAACGTACTTGAATGTCTCTGGCAGGGCAAAGACAACCAGGATTAGTGCAGCACCGGCCACTATGGTTTGCAGCCAGAACACCCATCTCCAGCTGACCCCAGCCACGTTCATCCAACCACTAACAAGCGGTGCCATGGAAGGGCCGGCGAACGGGGCCAGAGTAAATCCAGCCAAGGCTCTCCCTCGAGCTGACCCATCGAAAATGTCAGACATGATACCGCTGTTAAATGAGCCACATCATGTGAGTATCATGAACAGGTGTCTTGTTGAATGGAAGCCCTTACCCGCTGTTAGTCAAAGAAGCGGCAGAGAATACTCCACCTAAGAACCGGAATATCAGGATGGATGCAGTATTGGGCGAGAGGGCACATCCAATCTGCGTTCCTATGAATAACGGGAAAGAGTACAACGAGATGGGTCTTCGACCATAATGTTCTGATAAAGGGCCCCATAGAATGGGTCCAACCGCAAATCCCAGTACGAAAAGGGATAGCACCAGTGCTCCAACTTCGCCTGAGAAGTTGAAATGAGTCTCCATCTGCTGGAGTACGCCTGCAGGTAATGAGCTAGCGAAGGTTCTGGAAAGCCAAAAACCAAAAAGAAGAGCTTTAATAACGCTCCGACTCGTTGAAAAATGGAAGATCGCAAAGGCTTGGACTTACGCATTGAAAATCAGGAACGCTGCCACAGCAGAAATAAACCATCGTCTTGTTCCCGACCAATTGAACGGATTCTCTGGGTCATTCTCCTCAAATAGGACCAAGAATCTGTCCATATCCGACGGACATGTCTCCTTGACCTTTGGAACAGGTTCCTTCACATCATCACTTCCATCTCCATAATAATCGTTCCTCCTTCCCTTCTCAGCAAACTCTATATCATGTACACTTGAGACAATGGAAGAAACGTCGTCACGCTGTACAACAAGCGTACTGTGGTCCGAATGAGAAGCCGTTCCCGGGTCGTGATATATCATCTTCTCGTCCTAGTCCACCGCAACCAAGATGTGTTAGAGAGTCGGGGCAAGAGACCATCTCATTGCGTTGCTGTTGAAATCTACTTTTATAGGGATTACGAAAGGCGATGACTAGAAAGAAATCAAAAGCCTGCCGACATCCGATGGGAACGTACATCAAAGTGCCGACTGACGGTGCAGGCTAGAGCATTCGCTCATCCGACCCCATGGGCACCGATGTCGGAGGAATCTACCAAATTCCCATGCGCCCTGTCAATTGTCATTGAAAGTGCTTATGGAGCAGCGAGTTCAGGAAAGAAGTATACTGCCATGATCGAGGTGAGTTCTGTATATCTTCGCGAAGTTGCATTGAGTATGAGCGCTGTCCTAGCATCAAAAATTGGCGTGGTGGAACAGGCACATGGAGGATTTGCCGAAGGGCGCCAGTCCTCGACAGCTTTCCACTTGACCTTCCAAATCTGGGATGCCACATCAATGATCGCATCTTCTTCGTCGGGATGCATAAGTACCTTGCTTGTCGGGGTCAAAATTCTCAACGAATTGGCTCCCTATAGCGACTGGTAGTTCTGAGGTTCATAGAGTGTGCAAGCGTGCGGCGGGGCTTCCAGAACCCAAAAGCATAGTACGATTCGTCATATTTCTCCTCAACGATGGGCTCATTCCCAATCACGTTGCATTTACGGTATGAAGTACAAAAAATCGAGAAAGTCATTCCCTAAAGATACAAAATATCCAGTCCTTATGTTCACTCCGTGGAACACATAGTACAAGTTCAAAACATGATCATCTTCCCAGAAATCAAGTGTCCAAATCCTTGCCGAAGGATACAGTGACCATCCACTCAGTTAGTCTCGGCATCGGTGAAAGCTGTGGTGGCGAAGCCAACTTGTGTGTTGCTGGTATCATACACGCTGTAGAATCGCTGCAAGAACACAAAGCCATCTGAAAAGACCAGCAGCTGTAGGTTAATATCCCCCCACTGAAAGAGCGCACGTTACTTACCAATAAAGTCCAAACCCTGCCCACTTGGGCTACCCAAGTCAGCTGTCACGAGGTAAATCTTGCCCTCCTCTCCGCCGATGGTCGAGTTCAAACTGCGGGGCCATATTTGGGCGTTGGCAGTGAGTTCATAAGTAGTATCACCTAGACACAAACAGGCTCAATTATGGGGATAGGATACGTATTGTGGAAGAACGTACCTATTTTAAAGAACAGAGATTGTAAGTTCTCGAACTGCTGCTCAGTGATCGTGAGGAGGCCTGTCTCCCTATTTCAACATGAAGTTGAGTTAAAGAGGTGATACTAAAGATCAGAGGGTCTTTACCGATCCAATTTGCCTCCTGTAGCCCTTTCGTATGCCTGGAATGCATCGGTTGCAAGCAACAGCAGAGTTGTACCCGTATCAACGATGCCCGCGGTAGAATCGAGGATGGTGGTACGATCGCCGTAAGTAATGGTCTGGTCGATGCCCCAATAGGCGGACGCGGGAGAGGTGGAAGTGATTGGCACAAAGTTGATATCTCCCGTAGTCCTAATAATGTACAAGTGATCAGCGACTGAGATCGACCTTGATAACATGGAGGAGATACGTACTTCGTAGTGTCGACACCGCCGAAATTCAACTCGCCGTTGATTTCATTGTTACCGGTGCTTGGTTCATAAGAAATCCCGATGGAGTTCGAGGAAATCAGACCTTGAGCGAATAGATTATCGGTCACGGTCGGAACAAGGTCAGTGTTTGAAACGGTTCCCTGCGTCAGATCGACAGGACCGATACCAAGAATACCATCGACCCCATCGAAACCTTGAGCTCTGGAGGCAACCCCAATTGACTGTCCCCGGATGACCAAGCCTGGGGCGAGAGTGGCGGTATCGGTAACTTCGAGGGCTGATGTCAACATGCGTGTGCTATACTTGGGTCAAATCAGTCACTTACACTCCGTGCCTGAAAAAGACCCAGAACCATAGCTAACGTTCTGTTGTTTGGGGTCATTCAGTTCAACCTTATATAACAGGAGTGACGTCAACAAGGTCTACATACAACTCTGTCGCCAGTGCTCTTGCTGGTGGAAGTCTTGACGTACTTCTTATCAGCTCCGACCCACGTATTGGAACTTCCTGTACGTGCCATGAGTACAATGCAGTGCAGAACACTCGAGCATCATCTACCAGTGTCAATCAGGAGGGTGTAGTCGGTGGGTGGGTTACCGACACCGACGGAAGCGGTGTAGGTAACACCTGCGTCTGTCACGTCAACGCCATTAGCATCAGAGCCAGCGTCGACGCTGCCACCAGTGTTGCCACCGCGTCCGCCACGGCTTCTAGCAAAAGATTGTGCACCGCCTGGACCGTGAGGGTTCACGCCTGCAAGAATCTTCTGAGCTCGAGCCTTGTCCCGTGCAAGGATATCGCGAGCGTGCTTTCCCGTGACACGGGAAGCAAAGGGAATAGAACGAATGATCTGATGAGACATTGTGTTCAGTATAGTTAGTATAGGGAGGCAAGTGGGGATATTGTTGTGAGGAATGGTGTTCAAAAATGGTGTGCTTTTATACTGTATTTTGTGGGAGGTGAAGGCCGCATGTGGCGAGGAATAGAAGACATGTCGTCGTCATAGCCCTTGATAGAGAGAACTCCGGCGAGAGAAGGCGAGGGTTCGCAGTGTGATAACATACCATCATGGACAGCACCTGGACGCGAATTGGAAGCACGCGTACAGGAGTTACCAGACTGCCGAGCTGGAGTGCCTGGAGAAAGATTCCAACGAAGCCCAGAAATAGAGAAGTATTGTAATCTCATCCTTCTGAGGAAGTAAAGTTCGCGCTCCGCACGCACGCCACGAAGCAAATGACATAGCCCTTGTCTCCGTCACAGTTACTCACAGTTACTAGCGGGGCCAATACTGCGGAGAAGCTTCACGCCCCTTGGTGCATGCGTTCCCAACCTGTGGCTATGGAGATTGCATACGGCATCCGGTGAGCAACTGTGGTACCAAGTAACTTAGTATAGTTAGTATTTGCCGGTTTGAATTGGGATCGACATATCCGTCGATCACCGGATAGCATTACAGTGTATTCGGCCCCGTACCATCTTGCGCTGGATCGGCGATCCAAAAATAGCCGATAAGGGTCTATTATAGGACGTTACCCAGTGTATGCTCAACGTTTTCACAATTCTCAGCTGGAGTACTGAGTAGTCTGGACATCCATACAATTGCAAAGCTGCGTACTCAACTATCAAGAACGTCCAAGTAAGCAACTCTGCATACCAGCCCTTCTCGATTCCTCGTATGCACAAGTAGTGGACCACCATGCCCGAGCCTGATAGAAAGTCGAATAAAGTCAGTTAGATAAGACCACACGAGGAAATAAATCGGCACCTCTTCGCTTGCTCTTTGATGTCAAACAACTGAGAGAGAGGAATGCATCCGATTGCATGTCCCTCCCCGAGAGACAAGGAGAAGTTGCCTGCTGTGATGTAACCGATTATGGAACTCTCCGGCGGGATGGCACTCGACGTCTATATTACCATAAATTCAACGTCAAAGAAGTGAAATCAAGAACAGTGAATATCACTCGCCTTCCCTTCCTCGTCGTCTTCATCCAATATTGGGATGCCTCGTTTGCGCTGCTGTTCCATATTTATCGCATTCTTCCATTCGTCGTCGGTTAACTTGTAAATCACACCCATATCTTCAGGCTTCCCTCGACCACACATTCTTAATTTCACCATGATCAAGCCGACCTTCCATATGTCTTCCGCTTTCATATTTGGGTCAAGCGGTCCTAGGTGCCTCTTCGCCCGAAGGGCATTCAGGTGCTGCAAGAGGCCGGAGGAGCGGATGAACATCGAAGAAGCAGCTTCGAGGGCCGCGGGAACTGCGGGTCCCTGTAGTAGCCATGACCGAGGTTGGTTCGACTCCCGAGCATCTCGGGCGAATGCCCTGGTTACATGTGCGAGATCCGATTCATTAGGGTGCGGCTCAATTATAATATTAGGATCATGTTCTTCTCTCTGAGCAGGAATGAGATCCTCGGATTCATCCATTCCTTCTCCCTCGCCTTGTGTTTTCTTCGAGCTCTCGAGCCCAAGCACGACTCCCCAGTCAGGCCTGAAGGGACTTCTAATGCCTAATTTGGCATAGTTCACTCTTTTAGCTGGAGGCTTTCTCTCCCATCTTTCCCTCTCTTCATCTTCTCTGCCTTCGGCATAGTCATTATACGCTTCCGTGGCAGGATAATCACGAGGGAAACTTGGACGGGAGGCTTCAAAGTATTGTGCAGCTCGCTCACGTTGGCCTGAGACTCGGGTACCGGTGTACGTGAGTGATGAGAAGAATGGCATGGCCCATCCAGCTGGTAAGATAAGTGTCCAGCCGTGCAACGTAAGAGAATCCAAATGGTTGGTGGATGTGGAAGGAGAGGCTGGTGGCTCAACGGATCGTTGAATGAGCATGATGGGTATACAATCGTCCTGCCTTATTGCTTGCAGAGGAGTACCCGGAATAGCATTCTGCGGAAAATGAGTTAGGTGTCTGGATAATATGTGGTCATTGAGACTGTACCTTCGAGCGTCTCTCGTCTAGGTCTTTCTTCTTGTACCGAGGTTTTTGCAAAGGATTCCTCACTTTCTCGTCCCAGATCTCGCTTTGGGCAATGACGGACGTGGGGAACACGGCTGCCGCTGAGGTAGACGGTGAAGGATCTGACATGTCGAGGTGCACCTTAGCGTTCTTCGGAGGGAATCTGTGCATTCCGGTCACGTTTATCAACCCATACTGAAAGGTAATCAAACAACGCCTACGTGAGTCGAGGATCATTCACTTTCATCCCAATGACCATATTCCGCGGCAGAGACGCCGTTGTTTGCAGGTCACCTAGTGTTTCCCAAAACTTGCAGAAATAAGTTGGTTTAGTCGTATATGAGACATCATACAAAGAAAAACTCACTTTCTTGAAGTCCTCTCTTATATCCTCCAAGACCGGCCTCAACGCGCCTCTGATTACTTGACTAGCTTTCGGACCCATGATCTCAAACACATTCAGCTTATTCCTCAAATCTGCCATCTCCACGACACACGCCGGATCTCCAGGAGCAGCAGCTTTCTTCACCGCCTCCAGAGCAAAAGAGGTCGCGTCTCGCAATTCGACGTATACATCATGGAAGACGGAAGGATGGACTTTAAGCCAAACACGTCGCGACGGAGACTGGCTGTCGGATTCTTTCTCCTTTGCCTTCTCTTTAGACTTTCCTTTGCGTTTGCGCCCTTTGGAAGGGCCTGCCTCGCTTGATTGTAAATTGACCTGCACATCCATGTGAGGGTCGTCTGCAGTGACTGGTATAGGTTGCCAGATGATAGTGACCGGAGCAATGAGCTCGAAAGGATATGCTCCGCGTTTGTAAAAGTGGGTGTCGCATGCGCGGGCACCTGTCAAGAATCTAAGTCGTGTAAGAAAGGAGTAGTTGGCATGGTAAACCCGGTCATGAAAATGTACCTTTTTGCGCCTGGGCTTGGACCTTGTGCATCACAGCAGCTTTCCAGAATGGTCCGTAGAACATCTTCGGGGCCTTTCAGCTCAATGAAACCATGATATGACGCGTCGTGTAGAATAGAACCATGGACTGCTGCTCGATGAGAAGGTCTAAATGCCTTCTCCGTTGGTTGAACGGCCTACAATTAAAATGTAAGTTGGCGAGAGGAGCTTAAGAAGGCGAAAGAGGATTCATACCAGTCTGTAGCCCCACATATTTTCCATCTTCATTCGTTTGGCATGCCAAAGATGTGTTTCCAGCCAAGTCTTATCCTCTGATTAACATCCGGTGAGTCTATGATCAAGCAAATCCTAACACACGGATACATACTCTGGCGTTTCAGGAAAGTTTCTGTGCGAGACAATCGCTTAGCTTTCCCTCTCTTCGGCAATGACTTTTTCTTGCGACTGATTGAATCCATCTAGTCGATCATGTTTGAGCCTTGCGTCATGAACACGGACGTTAGAACACACCTCAGCTCTAGCCTTATCGCGCAGTCTCAAAGGGACGCGTCTAACGTCATGACTAGCTGCCCTGCGACGCAGATGCCGGGGTAGTTGTTGCCATGCACGCTGAGTTGCGCTATCTCTTCAATGACATAGACACGTTAGGTCTGGCATCCTGTGTAAATATCGACAGCCAAAAAGTACCTTGCGCTCAGCATTGCGTTGTGCATAGCGTTGATCTCAAAAGCTCTTGCCTGGTGCAAAGTTACTCCGGTGCAGCCATCCGTACATCAGGGCGACATACCTCCGCGAACCTCTCAACGTCCAGAGATCCAGGCAACTGTTTAACATCTGAAAGACTACGGTTAGAAATAATGCTTCAGAACATAGAGTAAACCCGTATTGTACTTTCAAATCGGACCCCTTTAGATGGCCCAGCGGCGACATTGACTGTTTGAGGTCGAGGAGTCCCAGAACCCGAGCCAGAACCTCCTGGAATTGGTTGTACCGCAATAGTACGCGCCATGGCCGTCTTCTGCTTCTTCCTCTCCCTTCCAGTCATCTCTGAAGAATGTGATTCATCACCCTTGCGTTTCGAAGCCATGGTTGTCTATGGTGGGTTTTGGCGATCAATATCGCCAGAATATGGACAGCTGCCTGAAAGACGGTTTGATAAATATAATAGTAAGAAAGAGAAGCCACAATCAAGAGAACAAAAGCAGCAAAGGAGATTCTAGCTTCGAGAGCTATGTCGTGGTTATGAAACAAGAGGAATTGCCGCTTCCGGGCCCAACTACGCGCTCGCCGCGAATCGCGATCACCAGCACTACTTGTAACGTTCACATCGACTACGATGTCGTTCGCAGCGACTCGCAGTCTTTCTTTCGCTCGAGGTGCTCAGAGTCTTGTTTCTCGACGTTTGATCTCAACTACGCCAGTGATACGAGAGGCAGCAGCTACACCGAACCTCGGTAGCGTCCCACCTCCCAAGAGACCGGTTGGTGCATTCCGGGGAGGGTATGTCGTGCACATTACGCGTCGTTTCTATCATGCCTTAAGAGGTGGGGATTAGAATTGTAGGATTCCTCTTCGGATTCTCTCTGGCATCCTCATATGCTGCTTATCATTTACTTGATGAGTACAAGCAGGCCTCAGCTGCACTTCAAGCCAGCGTCGACGAGCTACAACAGAGTACTCAGAAGGTATGCCGCGAATCTGTCTTCTAGTATCTATTCTTAGCGTCAAACCACATGCGACAGGTATCCGCGCATATTAGAAGAATAGAAGCCGTAGAGAAGGACTTGAAGGCTTTAAGAGATGCATCTGCTAGCAAGGAGGACATCTCCAGGGTTCGCACAGAGATGAAGAAGTTGTATGAAGGACTCCACATAGGTTCGTGCAAATTTAAAGACTTCTACGCTTTGTGCTGTAATCTCATTTGTATTCCTGCAGAATTCCTCGACCTTCGAGCACATGTGTGGGGAATCCGTGAGTACCTTGGTTTCGATGGACAACGCGGAATTAAAGCTCAATTGTCTAATTATCTAGAACAAGACCTTCACTCTTTGTCCAAAAAGGATTCCAGCTCTGTACGTCTTGTATAGGGTCAGCTGTACAATTGCTATTTGCTATCCGACCCTGTCGCAATATCCCAATACCGCAGTAACAGGGTAGTGGACGAATCATTTCTCATTTACTACTCCCAGATCACGATTTGGGCTGGTTCTCCCGGCAGAAGTATCTTCTTACGGTTGCGCTGACGATGCTTTCACCTGAGATCAGCCGCCGTCTGCCCAACTTTCTTCACATCGAAACCAGCCATCTGATGCTAGAGACCTTCAGACACTAAAACTCTAATGCTTCCTACCCACTGCGCCGGGTGCGTGTCAATGTTATGCACGGAATCTGTAACTTCTGACCGCGAGGTTTTCAACCGTTCTCAAGAACATGACCTTCTTGATGTTCTTCTATTACGTTGCCATATCTTCCAATTCAATTTGGCATAGAGGAACCTGGCGTAGGTGCTCCAATTCACAGCAACGTTCAAGCCTCAAAGTCTTGTGAATGCGAACAAGCGATGAGGCCAGGGAAGGGGACACCGGGGTCCTGTTGGTGTTCTTGGCAGCTTTGAAAGCCTCCGACTCAGGTACACACGGTGTCGTTTATGATGAGCCGCGTAGGGTGTCCAGCATTGACCTAGCATGGTAAGTGGGAGTCACTGGCTTTGGTGCATATTCTCCCAAAGTTTGTCTCGGCCACGCTCGTTCTCGCACATGAAGACCCATGGTTGCAGACCCGTATTTCAAAGATGCCAGTTGCACCGCCGGTTCGCACTGAACTCAAAGATTTAAATAGTTTAAAACGAGCCATCTTGAATACCAGATAGCCTCAAAAGACAAGTCCATTCATGTCAGGGAATCGGCTGTCGCGATGGAAGGACAACAACGAAGACGATGATCACTCATCCGGGAGAACGAAGCACTCTGTGGAAAAATCTGACAGAAAATGTCGTTGTCAGACTCGTATGCGCGGAGAATTGTCGTCATGGAAAAGTTCACGCTGATTCCGTTGGTCATTTGGCATTCATGATTCCTTACGGCATATCTTGCTTCGCTCGGCCACGAATACGCGAAGACCCTCGCGAATATAAGGTATGGTGCTCCAGGTATCGTATCACTAACTTTTTCCTCTCTCTGTCTCTCGTTGCTCTCATTCCATAGCCAAGACAGGGTCTTGACCTTTTGCTTTCATTCACCTGGTGAGCATTATCTCCAGTATGCGTCTGGTTTCATTCTCACAAAGACGCTTCAGGTCGCTGGCGGTTGCTTTCCTTCACATTTCATTCATTCACCTTGGTACTCCGTTGATCGAAGGATATCTTTGAACCATGCTGTCTTACAAGTTTGCCGCTCTTTGCCTTGCCTACATCGCCTGCACAGGCTCAGCTTTACCCATCCGACGTGAGGTTCCTCAAGGTCGGTGGTCATGTTACATTGTATCACCGTTGCAAGTTCTGACTCAATATCCACAGAGCACTCGCACGAATCCATCATTACAGTGGTTCGCGTAAGTTTAAACCTCGACAATCCTGACCAGATTCAGGACCCCGTCTTCGCATTGCTTGGTGATGCAGCAGCAGCCGCTGGCGCAGGGAACATCAATGTACAGACTTATTATGATTCAAGTTCTGCTGAAGCTAGTATTAAAAATCTATTCTCAGGACCTCTCGTGTCTTCAGCAAGCTGTTGCTGATCAGGCCTTCACCAATGCAAAGGCAGCCAACGATGTGGCGGTATGTTGTATCTGATACACATGTTGTCGTCAACTGACTGACTATGTATAGGGTATGACCAATGCTCTCATCTTCCGAGCTCTAGAGCGTAACACTGGCCAAGTCGGCCTCAAGAGCGCACTTTGCACTCAGACCGCCAAGAACCCTGAGATTGCGGCCTTGACTCAACATCAGGTAAGGTAATCACGAACTATGGTATTCATCGTAATGTTCATGCCACGAAATAGGATCCCGCATCTGACGGTGCTGCAGCGGCAAACAAGGCTGTCACTCTTGAACTCGCCAAGCAGATTGCCTCCATTGGCGGTGATCCTCTGGATGCTCTCAAGTCCGGTACCTTTGCGCCTGGTGATCTCAATGATGCTACCGCCAAAGGTATGTATATATGCACTTGGTTTTTACGTCATGAATCTCGACAATTTGACCAGGTAACACGTGTGATGATGCCGATGATCCTAATGGGTGTATCTTCACTCAGAACCTTTTGGTGCCTGATGCGACTGAGGATGAGATCAACGCCGCTGTAGCTGGTGTGGCTAACAATGCTGCCAGTGGCTCTAACAGGGCTGGTTCCTCTAACAATGCGGGTTCCTCTGCCAATACAGGTTCGACCACCGATGCAAGGTTTGTAATTTCACCCTGATTCTCCGGCCTTCCCATTGACATGACACTCATTGTCTTTCAGTGACTGCGCTGCAGCTACTGTCACAGTAACAGCAAGCGATGCGGCACAAACCACTGCTGCTTCAAGTGTCGCTACGTCAGCGTACGTCTTTATTTGCCCGGTCAGAATTTCTCCTCACGACCTGCTATGCAAATAGTGCACCTGCAACGACCACGAACGCAGCTGGGGCAAATAATGCAGCCGCGGCAGGTAGCGCAGCCGCATCAGGTGGTAATCTGCAGACGTTTAGCGGTGCTCGTACGTCTCTTTGTTGTCTACCCATGTCTCCTAAACTAACAATCATCATTAGTTGGTGGAGTCAAGGCACCTACTGTTACAGCAGGCGGCAGAGGCTTCGTCGTCGAAAACAACGATGACTTCCTCAACCTCGCTGCTGCTCTCGGCCGATCCTGCGACGTTCAGCACAACCAATGTGCGAACGCGGCCAACAGTGGTGGAGCATTCTCCGTTACCGATTGTGACCAGCAGAACACCTCTTGCAGAGCTAACATCCAGTGATCAGCCTTTCCCGTCCCGTGCTCATTGATCCCTGTCTCCTTGATCGGAACTCATACCATTGTCCCTTTTATTTCCTGAAGGAATTGTAGGGGTTTAGTTTAGCTCACTTTCCCCTCGTTTGTTCGTTCATTTCACGCTCCAGCTTTGTTGTTGGCTACTTGCCTAATATACGTGCAGATTGAGAAGAGGAAACCATATATGTGCATGTGAGACGAAAGCAAAGAGTGCGAGGCGAGCAAGCTACAGCGAATGAGACTATGTATACAGACGTAAAGCAGAAGCGGGAATAAATAAGAGCATGGTATGAAGCAAAATCCGAACTCAAGGATTATTAGAAGTCGTCAGAAAAATGGTCCGCCAAGGAATCCCTAAACTCTCTAACACGCAACGTAGTAGCAAATAAAGCACTCTCCCTACAATGTGGCATGCCGTCCAAGAACCCTTGAGAGGGTATCTCCTTCTCCATCAATGCCTTCACCATACTCTCAGCCAGCATCAACCTTCCTAGGACATCCTCGCGTTGCATTCCCGGCATCAACTGCGTAGACGTCTCAAGAACGGCCTTCCATAAGCCAGCCCAAGATTTATTGCATCGCTGCTGACTGGTGCATCTTGCACTGTGTTGCAATGGAGGTGATTGGGAAGGGAGGGCATCGCAGAACTTTCCCAAAGAGTAAGCACCGCTCAAAAGTTTGATTTTCTGCTCCCTTGTAAGCAAAGGGTCTTGGTCCCAGTGAGACTTCCCAAGGAGCATCATGGCATGATACGCGAGTCCTAGCATCGATCGCAAGTTGTATCGTTCACCGATGTCAATAGCGACTGCAAGATCCTTGCCCTCGCCTATTTGACGTTTCCATCGTGCTACGGCGGAAGCAAGGAGATCAGCTCTCTCACACAGGGCTGCCAATTCAGTGATCTGGACCAGCGAGGGAGGAGACTCTATTGTCTGCTGATGTGGGTGAGGGAGTGCTGGAGGATTTGAAGACGGAAGTGCATCGAAAGCACTAGGATGTGAATAGTGTGCATTTAGAGCACCCAGTGCCCATGCCTCTATTGAGCGGAACTGATATTTGTGGGTGATACGAGTGAGGTTGACAAGTTGCGTGCAGTTCGCCTCAGGCGAAGTGACGCGCATAAGTTCATGAGGTCTATCAGGAGGCCGCGTTCAAGTATATATCATATTCTGAGATAAATAGATTTACTTACAGTGCGTAGAGAGCCCAAAGCAAAGCACGGAACTCATCCGCACTGTCTCCTTGCAACCGAATAGGATTGTCATCGCTGTCACCTTCCTGTGCAACGGTCATACTCGAATCTGACCTCGCAGAATCAGTCTCAGACGAGAGTTGGAACATAGTCTCGAAAGCTGATTTATCCTTGGTCAAGGTCGACCGATGAACCTAACAAGACATACGCCGCACATCAGTCGATATATCCTATGGAATAGCCGACAGCCTAGAAGCCCGATCGAACTCACTCTGAACAATGTGTTCTCTACTAAGAGCACCGTATTCCCATCCGAGATATAATACGTAGAATCTCTGCTAGGGCCTGGGATCGATAATGAGAGTATCCCAGACTCTCCTAGGAAAGAGTTGGACATGGTCATCAGAGGACTGTCTGCGCGAAGTTCATCCTGGTCCATGATCGAATTTGAAGTCAGGTGGTATACGTTGCGAGGCTACTAATTTCTCTGATCGTGATATTCTTCCCAGAGTTAACGAACGGAGGAAGTAGTAGTCAAGGTAGAAGGAAACCTGGGGGAGGAACTGGGTTATTTGGCAGTGGGTGCAAGGCGGGTGAGTACCTGTGAGTACTAGTCCTGGCCCGAGCGCCTTGCTCGGCGCGGGCTGACCTTCCCAGCCTCGACGACGACAAGATTGAACGACGGAAAGACATCTTCCATAATAAAATTGAACATGATATCTCTAGAACAACCATCTAATATCTACAACCATCTTATGGCAACGTACATCTCGCGTTAGGGTCCATTGTGAATCAAACAATTGAATCCCATGACGCCCAACATTGAATCCTGATTCCTGGACACAGCACTAAGCCAGAGAATTATACAAAACGTACAGAGGGTACGCGATGGCATATACGAGTGCGAGGTTGATGGAGAAGAGAGCAACAGTACGGATCCATAACCAAGTCGGTGTGTTGGGTAGGAAACGGGTGATCAAAACCGACTTGGAAACACCTTTGGCTCCAGCTTCGTCGATAGCGGCAATTTCCTCGTCAGTCAATGAGGCTAACACAAAAATAAAACCTGAGATCAGTGGTTGCATTTTGCGAAGCGGTACTGGATTCTTACGGAGTTCTGCAACGTCCAGGTATTCTTGCATGTGGTCTTTGCGTGAACTTGTGCTAAAGCATATCAACGTCAGCGAGCTGAACTCAAAGGTTGACCTTTTCGAACATACGTGACAATCACAACACCTTTGCTTCGCACCCATGTCAATATGACTTGTGTAGGTGTTGCGCCTAGCCGTTTCGCAGCTGCATTGACGGGCTTGTCAACTGGCCCGCCTGGGAACCGTGTAATTGGACTATAGAATCGGAACATAGTAGTCAGAGTACAAGAATAGAATATGAATAAAACCTACGCTAAACTGCTATAAGCTTCGGTGACTATGCCATGTTTGGCAGACCACTCCAGCAATTCCTTGTTCTCCTCGTAGTTGTAAGGGTGGAACAATATCTAAATCCGAGTCGGTCAATACGAATTGAGCCGGCTGAGTCCTGTCATATTCTATTGAATTAAGGTAAAGTGTGCGTACCTGGTTAACGGCTGGGACGACTTTGGAATCTTTGACCAGGGCCTGCAAAAGATCGAGAGTGTAGTTGCTAACGCCTATGCTCCTACAGAAGTCGATCGTCGGTACAGTTTTACCGCGTGACATGAAGACGCACGGCACGTACTTTGCCAGCCCGGATTCCTGTATCCTCTCTAGTTTCTGCCAAGTTCCAGGCGGGACGATGCGAGGACTATGGATCAGATAAAGGTCTACTTGTTTCAAGCCGAGCTATGGAGGTATTACCATCGGAATTAGGGGACACGCCATATTGAAAATAACGTTGTGCACAAAATCGGCGTACGTTGGCCAGACTCTTGTTGATAGCTTGTTGAGCGGTTCCGATACCAGAGTACTTTGTTGTGATGAAAAGATCGGATCGGTCGAGTCCACTCTCGCGAATGGCGTCACCAACAAAACGCTCCGTTCTGTAGACTGTTACCGGTCAGAGCGTCAGAGCGAAACAGCAGAACTGTATGACGGTTATACACACATTGAGCCGTATCAATGTGGGAAAACCCTAGCTCGATAGCCTGCTCTACATAGGCTGTCACGTCCTAAATACTGAACATCAGACATCAGCTGGCCCCTACACGCTCATGAATACACTTACGTGACCCTTCCATTTGGAGCCAGTACCAAATGCAATGGTAGGCATCTAAGATACCATCCATGAACGGTACATTAAAACCCCCATCTGTCGGCATACCTTGTTGCCATCGTTCAACGTGACCGTTCCGAAAGGCATCTCGGGCTTAAGCAGATAGACCCAGGGGGCGGTTTACGATACAAAGGAGCGAGGGGGTGTTCTACAGACCGCACTGGTGAGTACAGTTCCTGACAGCGTTAGATATATCTTTGGAGACCCTTGATGAGTGTGATGTGTTCTCAGAATCTCATGAGATGTCGTGATACTAGATAAAGCAAGTTTGTGGTGGTGCAGAAAGCTCCCTTCCCAGTCACAGTCTGAGAAAGTCTTACAAAATATGTAACGATCGACGAATGAGAAAGATAAGCTCTTCAAAGCTTCACGTCAATGATTACAGTAAATGACGGTCAGAGACACGAGTTCAGGAATCAGGAGAATGATCGAGATCTGCCAAGATCTCGGAGAGGTAACCGCGACGCCCATAATCTTATCTGACAACAGTCGTCCTCGGGCCTCAGCCTGCCTCCTCACACATTGTCGCTAATAGCACATTCAGGCCTTCAAAGCAGCCCTCAATACCAATCAGGTGCTCCAAATCCAAGAATCGCGGGCTTTCAAGAACGAAACATCGAGGGTTCCATACCTCGGGCCTGAATATATCCCTCTCCGTAACAAGCTGTCACCGTCCGCCACAGGTATAAAGATGGACCAGGATCAGTACTTGAACTCCGAACCCGAGTCTCATGAAGACATGCCCATTTCCCCCCTCAATTCACCCGACTCTGTTCCCACTACATCTGGAGCTGGAGTGATGTCAAGGAAGCGCGCCAGAACGTCTACTACTAGCGACGAAATCGAGGAGATGCTTGGATGCGGGGAGGAGAGCTCGTCTCAGCAATGTATCGTGAAACCTGAAACCGGTTTCCCGAAAAGAGACGATTCCTATTATTTTGAAGACGGCAGCTTCGTGCTGCAAGTTGAGAACACGCTATTCAACGTAAGTATGCATTCTTGAGTTATGCGGACTTGCACCCGTGTTGTTTCAAACGCCTACAAACATCTCTGTGTGCGTCTGTTGATCAATGTTGTAATAGGTCCATCGCACAATTCTGTCGAAAGATTCGTCGCTGTTCAGCTCCATGTTCCAGTTGCCCCAGGGAGGCAATGACGTTGATGGGAGATCAGACGACCACCCTCTTTTGCTGCCCGGTGACAGGGTTGAGGAGTTCAAGGATTTCCTATGGTGAGTACTTGCCCTGATCCCCTAATCTCTCTGCTTATGCACGCCTTCAGGGCTCTATACGCGTTGTAAGTCCTTCACTTGTCCTGTTCCTATTGCGTTCCATTAATATCTGTCACGTCCACCCTGCAGACCCCATGAACTCATGTCAATTCATGCTCCCAAGGCGGATTTAACACGCCTAGTTGACATCGCGAGAGTCTCGTTCAAGTACCACTTCAAGTCGCTGGAGACCTGGGCCCTGGACGCTATCAACGAACACGTTAACCGCAAGGATTCCTCCATATTCGCCTTCTCATCAGCGTCTCCTACAACCAGTGCCCCGGGGGTTGCAACGCCTATTTCGCGAGCAGCATTCCATGCTAACGGGGCACAACTTTCCCAGCTCGTGAGACTTGCGCAGCTGTGCGAACATGAACGCCTGCTCGCAACCATGGTCGCACTGTTGAAACGCATGATGACCCAAGGCATCCAGTACGCACATCTCGCCATGACATTGGCAGATGAGCTTGACTTGAGGGTTCTGCGTGGCGTGGCGTATCTCGAGGTGATGCAGAAAGCTGTGGTCGTGGTCCGGAACGGGAGGGGCCAGGCGGGCGTAGACAAAGATGCCGAAGAAGATGACGTTGTCGACAGCGAAGGCAGGCTCATCGTGTCCCCCGAACAACGACTCCGTCTGCTCACGGGCTACTACCGACTTACACAAGCGTGGGAGAAGCTTCGCACCAGCCCTATTCCATTCGACCACGCGCCATCGTGCGGAGCAACATGGCACCAGCATGGATGCACTCAGAGTTGGCTGGATTTCTGGAAGGAGAAGACGAAGGGGGATACAGTGTTGCAGTTAAGCCTATCAGACCTGTTGGGTCGCTTGAGGGCAATCGCAAAGGAGTTCGACCGGTGGGGAAGCGCGACGTACATGCATCATGATTGTCGGATGACGGCGCGAAGAGTGATTCAGGAGAAGATTAGGAATGTAGAAGAATCATTGCCGGATTTCTTCATCGAGGAAGGAATGCAAGGATAGGGTATATATTTCGCGGGGACTTCTAGAACGTGAACGCTGGTTTTGCGCTGGTCGACATCTTTTCGGGCTCATAGTCATACTTAACTGGATCATTGATACTTGAGGATTCAAGGTGGATTGATTAATACATGGTTCCATAATATTGTTATTGATAACGTACATACATACATGATATGCTGTTATTGTCGGGTATATGACGACTACCTACGACTTTTAGCCTTCCGAGCCCTCGTCGTTCTCTTTGTTGTACTACTGGTAGGAGAGCCTACATCGCTGCCTGCGTTCCCGGTACCGAAAAAGCTTGCATGACTATGAGCGGGACTTGCAGCGAAGCTAGGACTTTGAGGGAAAGGTGAGGTAGGTGGAGGGAACAAAACTGGTGAAGTTGAAGTAGTCGGAGGACCCATTATGCTCTGCATAATCACGTCGATGTTATTGGACGAAGGCTGTTGAACGTTTGTGACTTGCGTTCCGCGAAGCATGATCTGTTCATACAATTCATCCTCTTGAAGTTTCCTGACGGCATTGCGCAGGTTCTCCATAACTGTCCTATGCATTTCTACGAGTTGGTCAGGAAGTTGTCGATGTGTCTAAACTACATGAACGCGAACCTCTTTCCTCGATCTGTGTCTTTGGTCTCTTAAGCAGTATGTCTTTGTTGGCTTCCTCTTCTTCGGGCCTAGGTACAGTCAGCATGATTCTGGCTTCACATTCTCTTGAGAACTGCTCTGGAGACTTCGCGGATTCTTCTGGTGTTGTTTCGTCCGGGCCATAGTCCGTGCCAATCGAACTCGATGGTGAGGGTGGTCGAACTAGTGAGGGCGCATATTCCGGATCAGCAAGATTTATGTGTTGCCCTGTGAGCATTTCGTCGTTAAACTATACGGAAAGATGGCGTGTTTCCTCACAACGGAGGATAGGTTGGTGGCAGGGAGATACCGTTTCAAGCGCATTCAACACGAAAACAGTAACTTATCGTAGGCTATCAAATTTAAGCTATCGATTGTAAAGTATGAAAACTTGCGAAATATATTATTTAACTTTATTTTTGGTTACTTTTTATCAATTATCCAGTAGTCCGATTCGGTCGCTTCCCCGTTCTTGTTTCGACAGTGAACTTCCTCTCAACCATCTCTGTACTTGTTCATCAATAACAATGTTGTAATAGTCTCATGTGTTATGGCTCGGAGGCTTCAGATTGTTACAGAGAGCTCACCAGATTGTTAGCGTCATAGCAGCAGCCCGACTTCCAGCTTCGTTCCAAAATTACGAAGGCCTCTTTGTTGCCGTCCGTTCTGCGCCAACAGGTTCATGTAATACGAATCGGAAAAGGTGATGATTGCGCATAACCTGCTTTTACCGCCTTGCCATCTCACACACTCTTGCAGGCTCTCCATCAGGCCTTGCCTCTCGCACGCCTGAAACCATTAAAGCAATCTAATGGCACAGTAAACCGAGCAGGCTCTATGCCGGATATATATCAAGCGGGCGAATCTTAAGATCTCCCTGCTTGATGACCCCAAATGTTGTTCGGTCCTAGATCTCGACGATCCATGCGGCTTTACGAGATGAAGACGGGACCGCTGGCGTGGTTTTCACACCGGGTCAACGAGCATCGTCAGCTGTCTGAGCCGTTATGCTGGCATTTCGGTCTATTGATTCAATACCGGTCGCAAAAAAAGTGGTAATGAGCATTCCTATTGGATTACCCTGTACTCACTCTCTAATGATAGCGACATAGCGTTACAAAGTATATGACGGGTTGAGCGGGTTCTTGGAGATGGATAGACTATAATATCTCATTTTTCCCACTATTTTACCCCCTTTTCTAGTGGCACTGAGGTAGGAACGAGATGACCCACTCAACACTTCCTTCAGACCGAAGCACACTCTCTGCTTCTAACTCTAAAGCTCCCTCTATCGCTTCAATTGCTCGTGAAGATATTTTTGCAGTCACCGAGACTGTGAAAGAACCGACTCTTCATGACGATCACAACGCAGACAAGGACCGGATCGACGATCTGTCCATTTATGCCTCCATCAAGGAAGACTCCTTCGTCGATGCTGACTTCCTGGTGCGGTTCGACGAGAACGACCCAGAGAACCCGTTAAACTGGTCTTTGACGAAGCGATGGGTCATCACCCTTGTGGCCGCTTTCCTCATCCTCAACGCGTATGCAGATTTGACTCTTCCACATGCGCCTTGACTGATGGATGATACAGAACCATTGCCAGTTCGGTCCCCGCAGGAGTTCTTCCTCAAATGCAGGTTCATTTCGGGTTCTCACGCGAAGTTGGAGCACTGTGCTTATCACTCTTCGTACTCGGTTTCGCGGTCGGACCCATTCTTTGGGGACCTATGTCGGAAGATTTTGGCCGTCAACCCGTGTCACTGATTTCTTTTCCACTCTTTATCGGTACTCAAATCGGATGTGCACTTTCACCCAATACAGCATCCATCCTAATTTTCCGGTTCTTAGGTGGTGTGTTCGGCGCTTCTTATTTGACGACTAGCGGGTGAGCACTTCGTGAACTAGTACCGTCATAAGGCTGAACGTAGGGCCATTTTCCAAGTGGCATAATTGCAGACATGTTCGATGGCAAACTTAGAGGCCGAGCTTTAGGAGCATTCTCACTTGCTCCATTTGCCGGACCCTCGCTTGCACCGCTAATTAGCGGTTGGATGTCCGTCGCTGGTGTCGGATGGCAATGGGTCTTCTGGATGCAAAGCATATACGGCGGTGTTTGTCTCTTTTTGGTGCTAGTCGCGCAACCAGAAACATACAAGTAAGATGGGTTTTTCTTAATAGCACTTCCTTCCGTGTTCATCGTATCTTTATGTAGGCCAATTCTTCTGGTCCACAAGGCTCGCCTCATGCGCAAACAAACTAAAGATGGACGCTGGTGGGCTCCACTGGAAAGGAAACATCACCCGCTTCCGCAGAGAATCCAATTGATTCTGACCCGGCCATTTCAAATGCTTGCTACTGAGCCTATGCTCGTGGCTCTAACGGTCTATCTGAGCGTGAGTGCTCTACTTCTACTCTTAGTAAAGGACTTTGCTTTGTCTCACCCTGACTATCAAAGTTCGCGTATGGCGTAATATACCTGCTATTCGAGGCCTATCCGATCGTCTTCACCGTCGGTCATCAGCTCAACGCGGGCATTTCTAGCTTGACATATTTACCCGTGCCCATCGGCGGAGCCATGGCCTGCATTCTTTATTTCATTTTCTTCGACCCCAAGTACCAACATGCAGTCGAAACATACCATCCTTTACCGCCGCCCCCGGAGTATCGTCTACCCACCAGTTTATACGGTTCTGTCCTAATGCCTATATCCTTCTTCTGGTTCGCTTGGACATCATACCCAAGCATCTCGTTCTGGGCCCCGATGATGGCGGGTTTGCCATTAGGCATGGCCGTTGTGTTGCTCTACCTCGGGCTGTACAGCTACATGTTCGATGCATACACGAATTACGCCGCTTCTGCATTAGCTGCGACCGTAATCACCCGTTCGTTCTTCGGCGCAGGATTCCCGTTGTTTGCGACGCAGATGTACGAGAAACTCACACCGAGATGGGCTTCGACATTGCTGGCCATTGTGTCCCTCGTGATGGCACCGGTACCATTCGTATTGCAAAAGTACGGCCCTACCTTGCGAGCGCGGTCGAAGAATGCACCTCAGAGTGTGCGTTCAGTTGGGATGAATCGACGGCTATCCAAGGAGCAGTCAGTTTGAGGAATTGATCAAACAATCTCTCCACGAATACTTAAATTTCCTCACATAAGTTTATTAAGTATTAGTCCATTCTATGTACTTACCTGTATGTTCAACTCAATTTGTAAGGAGACAAGTTATCGTAGTGTTATAACGCGTCATGCATCAAAAGAACGCGAGCCAAACAGAGCTAAATAACGCGCTTTTGGTTAATGCGACACGCTGCACGCGATCGTCCCACGAAAAAGTCAGCTGAGTCAGGCGCACGTGTAATTTATAAAGACCCTTCGCGTCGCGTCTGTGCTCTCAACCTCCAACCACCACTCCTACCCCCTTCTCCTTCCCTTACTCGCCGCGTAGCCTCTTCATATATACCTTCCTAGACTACGATGGCTTATGTCTTCAAACGAGGTACGTTAATCTGAATGAATTTCCAGCGGAAAAATTATTGACAAAATTCCTTCGTCGTGTCTCGCGTCCTATAGATGGGTTAGTACTCTTTTAATGTGCTCCATATAGTACTATATGAATTCGCCTGATTACCTGTGCTATGTTTAGTCGCAAAGAACGCGTCCAGTTTGACAAGGTGCGCGTTTTTCTTGCTACCCAATCACCAGTTACCGAGACGAGGTATTTTAGATCACTGCGAGAATTGCCAAGCTATGTTATGGTCTAGACACCAACCACGTTGACCCCATCGCGTAGGTTTAGACATAATTTATGTTTTGCCGGTCGTGCTTATTGTTCGTTAGTATTGCACAGAAAGTTATTGCTGGTGTATATAATGGTGTCACCACTGTGGAACTGGATGTGAGTGTACATTCTGGCGGCAATGTCTGTCACAACTGTTTGTTGATGTCTACGCTGTAGAACCTTGCTGCCGAAACTGCTGCGTACCTCACCACCAGACATCCCGACTATGCTATTCTTGCAGCGCGTATTGCTGTCTCGAATCTTCACAAAGAAACCAAGAAGACCTTCTCACATGTCATCAAAGATCTGTATAATTATGGTATGTCTTCTGTTCGAATAGTAATTGCTCCGTCACTCACGAGAATATCAGTCAACCCCAAGAATGATCGACCGGCTGGTATGATATCGAAAGAGACCTACGACATCGTGATGGCCAATGCAGAAGTGTTGGATTCTGCTATCATATATGACCGTGACTTCAGTTATAATTTGTAAGAACCCCGTTCCATAACATATTGTGGCTTCGTTACTAACTTGTTATTTAGCTTTGGTTTCAAGACCCTTGAGCGGTCATATCTCCTAAAGATTAATGGTCGAACTGCCGAGCGGCCTCAACACATGCTGATGCGTGTCGCTGTCGGCATCCACGGCTCTGACATTGAGCGAGTCCTACAAACCTATAACCTCATGTCCGAACGATTCTTCACCCATGCATCACCTACACTTTTCAATGCTGGTACCCCACACCCGCAACTCAGTTCATGCTTCCTCGTTTGCATGAAGGATGATTCCATTGAGGGTATCTATGATACTCTCAAGAACTGTGCCATGATCAGTAAGACCGCTGGAGGTATCGGTCTCAGTATCCACAATATCCGTGCTACTGGGTATGTTGGCTATTGTTCTGATTTGATTGACTCCTGACACCTTTCTCAGCTCTTACATTGCTGGAACGAATGGCTACTCAAATGGCATCGTACCCATGCTGCGGGCATATGATGCTACGGCTCGCTACGTCGACCAAGGAGGCAACAAACGCCCTGGTGCATTCGCTATCTACCTTGAGCCTTGGCACGCGGACGTTTTCGAGTTCATCGACTTGCGCAAGAATCATGGCAAAGAGGAAGTCCGTGCTCGCGATCTCTTCTACGCCTTGTGGATTCCGGATCTTTTGTAAGTGGTTCTCGTCGAGTCTTTGGAATGTCGAACTGATAGCAACCGGTAGCATGAAGCGGGTCGAGTCAAATGGTCAATGGTCCTTGTTCTGTCCTAACGAAGCTCCAGGTCTTCACGAGGTCTGGGGTGACGAGTTCGAACAACTCTACGAGAAATACGAACGTGAGGGCCGTGCGCGTAAGACGATTGAGGCTCAGAAGCTCTGGTATGCCATCCTTGAGGCTCAGATCGAAACCGGCGGACCCTTCATGCTCTACAAGGATGCCGCTAATGGTTAGTCACTACAATATTCTTTGTCTATATTCGTCTAACCCTTTGTCGCAGCCAAGTCCAACCAGCAGAATCTCGGGACGATCAAATCTTCTAATCTTTGTACCGAGATTATCGAATACTCGTCTCCTGATGAGACTGCTGTCTGCAATCTTGCTTCCATCGCTCTCCCCACTTTCATTGAATCGACTGAGTCCGGCAAGGTCTACAATTTCAAGAAGCTTCACGACGTTGCCAAGGTTGTCGCATTCAACTTGAACCGCATCATCGACGTGAACTATTACCCTATTCCTGAAGCTCGTCGATCTAACATGCGTCATCGTCCCATTGGTGTTGGCGTGCAAGGTCTCGCCGATGCGTTCATGTGTCTTCAGATGGCCTTTGATTCTCCAGAAGCACGACTACTCAACAAGCAGGTCTTCGAGACCATCTATCATGCCGCGTTGGAGGCGAGCAGTGACATAGCTGAGGTTGACGGTCCCTACGAGACTTACGAGGGTAGCCCCGCTTCTAAGGGCTTACTCCAGTATGACCTCTGGGGTGCTACGCCTACGGATCTCTGGGACTGGGCTACCCTAAAGGAGAAGATCACCAGGACCGGCCTTAGGAACGCGCTCTTGCTTGCGCCCATGCCTACCGCCTCGACAAGTCAGATTTTGGGCTTCAATGAGTGTTTCGAGCCTTACACCAGGTATGTGTTTCATACTCGTCTCTACTGCCAGTTGTCTTATTTTGCCTGCCTCCCTCCTAGCAACATTTACACTCGTCGTGTCCTTGCTGGCGAATTCCAAGTCGTCTGCCCATGGCTCCTACGTGACCTTGTTGACCGGGGTCTTTGGGATGACGAAATGAAGAACCGAATTATTGCCCACAATGGTTCGGTCCAAAACATTCCTAGCATTCCCGACGACCTTAAGGCCATCTACAAGACCGTCTGGGAGATTTCACAGAAGAAAGTCCTTGATCTGGCTGCTGACCGTGGCGCATTTATTTGCCAGAGTCAGAGCTTGAACGTTCACTTGCAATCACCAACAATCGGACAACTCACGTCTATGCACTTTTATGGCTGGAAGAAGGGCTTGAAGACTGGCATGTACTATCTGAGGACAAGGCCGGCCGCGCAGGCGATCCAGTTCACTGTTGACCAAGAGATGCTAAAGAAGGGCCAGGAGGTCAAGAAAGACTCTGCTCCGATTGTCACCGCTCCTAGGGCGACTTTCAAAGCGCCTGTGGCCATTCCAACCATTCCCTCTATACCATCTCCGCCATCTTTACCTCCCACTTCAGTGCAAGTCTTCAGTGTCATGACCACGTCCTTCTCGTCACCGACCTCGGCATCTACTTCAAGTGGACTTGCGACACCGCCGCCTTCGGCCGACGACTTGGCTCACGATGAAAAGACCAAGAGAGCTGCGGAAGAAGACCCAGAGTTCGCTGCTGCTCTCAAGCGACAACGCGAAAGGGAACTCGAGCAAGCTAAGGTGATGTGTTCGATTGAGAACAAGGAAGCTTGCTTGATGTGCTCTGGTTAAGGGTTGCATGTCTTGGTTGTTCCTTTCGTTCTGCTCTCGTCTTCGTCATTATCGCTACCTGTATCTTTGGACTCTCGTCATCACCTCTCCCTACATCTCCCACCTCTACTCGAATCATTGTCTTTACTAGAGTACTCCGCTATCACCTCTGGTCGTTCCATCTAACTCTGTTACACTTTCCATATGTACAAACATGTACACTAGTACTGTATACAAATCGATATCGATATACAATTCCTTCTGCAACAGACTACCTATTGCTAGTGAGAAATATGACCGGCGTGGGAACCAACCCTTATCGTCTGCTGGCTCAACGCCAACTTAACTCTAACAACCGTCACATCATCACACGAATGTCCCAGTTGAAGACTCTTGATGCATTTACCAGCCTTTGGCCGATAAAGAGAAATCTTGAGGCTCGCGTAATCGAGAGCACTGAACGGTACTACCGTAAGGTGGACACCGAATATGCGTCTGCCTCCGGCCAAAGGACAGAACTTCAGCTGATCTCCAATCAAGCGGAAGCTTGCCCTGGCGCTGTACCTGGCAATCCATGGAAGGACCGAGACGGAAAGACGCTCAAGGACTACGACTACTACGTTCAAGTCCATATCCGTCGCGAACAAAATGCTACCGTTTATCTCCTAGACTACATGGATAGTGTCCCTCCTGGGGAGACATCAAATGCTCTTGGAAAGCTGGCCGATCTGCACCTTCGATTGGCTCTCTTCAGAGAGCACGTTGCAGCATCATGGGCCGGGTCCGATAGATATGAATACTTGCTCCAACTCATCATCTATATCAACAACATCCTGAACGAAGTATGGAGTGACTTTTGGAATACGTGGTATTCAAAGCCCACGGAGATGTCACTTGATTTTCGAAGTCGGACGTTAGAGGGCTTTCTTGCTCTTGATGTCCGTGTAGGACATTATTTACCAGCATTGGCACGGGCTAATGCTCATGGCGTCAGTCTAGAGCCGCCCTTATCAGACGAAGGTAAGTGTCTATGATATACTGGCCGACAAATCCAGTCTGATACAATTTCCAGAACGTGGGAGGTTCCTTAGTTGGGCGGGAATTTTCCAATGGCCGACCCATTGGGAAACTCACCATCCAGTATCCATGCGAAATGGAAAACCCTGGTGGAACAAACCATATAATCCTAAAGAATGTCGCGTTTTGCAGGAGGATCTGGCAGTAGTGCCCGTTCTTTCGCATATCGAGGTAGCTCGGATGAAGACTACCTTTTCCCAGCACTATACCGCTGTTCAGAAAGCTACGACATCATTGCGTAAGTTCAAAGCCAAAGGTGCTGCCATTACTAAGACAAAGGCAAAGCCCAAGCCAAAAGCCAAGAAGGCTGTTACTGGCTCTGCGAGGAAGCAGCAGAACAATGGCTTGGATTCTACGCCGCCGGCTTCTCGTTACAGTCAGCGTTTGCGGGATGGTTCGCGGGGGCCACCTTCAGACAGAAGTCGAGACAGCTCTTCCACCCCTTCTTCCCATGCCCGACCGCTTACACCACCGTCTTCCACATTGGGGAGGGAGGAACATATCGAACCAGGTGAAGAAATGGATGTTGATCCTACTCCTTCTAGAGGGCCGACAGAGCCGGAACGCAGCAGTACCCCCAGGGCTAATACTCCTCGTTCTCGCTCTACGCCAACTCCGTCTACTGTCGGTGAGAGACGAGATCTCAATATAGAGCACGATGACGGGATTTTTGCTTCTCGTCAACCAGAGCAGTCCGAAGCACCCAACGCTAACACCGATTCTGCACTTCCTCGTGTTGCATATCCTAGACAGTCGCTTTCGTACGTGACTGCAAGTCCACCATCTTCAAGTAGCAAGGCTTGTGTAGTACCAAGCAGCCCCTCGACCCGAGAATCATTGGCACGATCTACGCCTTCGGAAGCAGCGAGCACATTCCCCGCCTTCCTGCGAAAGCCTATTGGAGATCCAGCTGAGGCCATTCGCCTTGGTCGAGAATTTAACATGCCCCAACTCGTTATCGCAGCATTCTACAAGGTCGTTCTGGATCGCAACTTCAATCTCCAGAGCCTTTCTGAGGATGCGGATAGGATGCATGTCCTCCGAGCGAGACTCCACCTTCAGGAGGCTTGGTCCCAGTCTACCAGACTTCCCCCTCCGCCATCGTGCGAGATCGAGGATGATTGTGTCTGTGTTTCGCGTAATGCTACTGCTGCAGTTGAGTGTGTGAATTCGTTCATGATGTTTTGCAAGAGTCGAACGGGGAAGTACTGTGGGCCTTGCACATCTTACACAATTCCAGTTGGCATAACATGGGGTATTGTGAACAGTGTGCGGAGGCAATGTCCGGTTATTTCCAAGCGAAGGCGAGGGATGTCTTTGAGGATCTTGCCAGCATGCTTGTTTCACCCTGAACGGTATTTATTTTAAGTTGTTTTCAGATCTTCCTTTCGCCGCTATTTCTGGATTGGTGTTTCTGCTGTTCGCAATATCTGATTCGCTTTCGTTGTCTTGCTTTTGTACCCTGCTCCAAGCACCCTGTTGTATTCAAATGTTCGTTCAACTTTCGCATTGTACTAGTATTGCTTTTCTCGCTTCGTCTCCGGTTCTTATCCTGTTACTCCGTTGCTCGATGTCCATTAACGCCATACAGTACTGTTGGTATCATATGGATAGCAAGTTTTGTCTCCATTAAATGAATTGCAGGATAAATTACAGCAATAATATGTGCTATCCACGACGGGTTTGCTCATACACTATCCATCACAAGATTGTGATATCCTCAGCCTTCCCGCCGTCCGCTAACCTCAACGCCACGATCTGCGACGTCAAGCTCGAGAATCCATTCCCAATGAAAACCTCCGCCCTCCTCGCCAACTCAACGTCAACTGCAACTTTCCAGTCTCTCTCGCCCGGTTTTACGGGTGTCATCCCTGAATGTGTGATAAAACGCATCCCGACTGTATCTCCCTTCCATCCAGCCTTCCTCGCACGGGCTGAGTTCTTGAGTGCTCTTTCGATTTTATAGTATTGCCAATACACGGGTAGGTGGTCCCAAGCACCATCGTGCAGAACGTACACAGATCGAAGATGAGGTCGATTACGGACTTGGGCATCGATCGTGTCAAGGATTCGGTCAAGTGTCGGGTAGCAATGTTCCATGATGGATGTCTCGTTGGATGTATCCAGCCTTGGGGGAAAGGCCGAATGAGATTGAATATCGGGGAGAGTTGACCATGAGGTAAAAGGTTGCTGGGTCTTAGACAGGTATTGACAATGTTCCTCAAAGTCACCTGTCATAATAGTTCAGTCTGTCTCTCGATGTGCGAAACCGGAGGTAGTTACCACGACGGAAATGAATCGCCAAGTAGGGTTCTCCGTCAGTCAACGCAGGGTGTGAGCGAAGGTTAAGCTCGACACCAGCGCGGTATATCATGTCTAAAATATGTGAGGGCCACTCGTAGTATTGACTCAAATATGTCTTGTACGCGGGCCAGATGTCATGTATCGCAGGTGATTCCAAAAACCTGTCTTCAATATTCAATAGGAAATTCAACGTATGACGTACAGACAAAATCGCACCTCCAGTTCAATATCCAGTTCTCTACGTAGATACATCGTTCCGGGCCGTTAAGTATGTCTTGGGCTGTTCTCCACATCTCCGCATACGGTTCGACGTTAATGGTAACGTTTCTGACCTCCTCCGGAGGACATACTTCCTCGAATAACGCAGAACTCAGGGAACCTTTCGTAGGTCCCAGAAGAAAGCCTGACAATGGCTGCAATTCGAGACGATGTCTCCACATGAACGGTTGGTATACATATATCCTGTTCGTCAAGAGCGCAAGATGATGAAAGAGCAGTATCTCTTGTGCCTATAAAAGACACGATTAGGGGATGTAAGACGCCAACAAATAGATAAATACATACCTGGTTGTTGAAGCCCGCACCTTGTAGCTGTCTGAACTTGACATATTTATGGCCAAACCCGTTTATCAGTCGTCTCGACTCTGTAAGCTCTCTTCGAGCCAGCTCGGCATAAAACCCATATGGAGGTCTGTATTTGCGATAGAAGTAGCCAGCAACCAGGCTCAGTAGGAATATCGTAAGTAGGAAGAGTCGCCCTTTGGGGGTTAGGGATAAGCGCATCGCAGTTGGTAGTCGTTATGCATCGCAGTAATCACCGTCGAGGAGATACATCAAAAACTAAAATAAGATTGACGTGGGCGGTCCTATTTCCAACTTGAGATAGAGTTTCATGAAGCCGCCATTGCCGTGAAACCGTACTAGCACCTACTAGCACTGTCTGGTCCAGGTCTGATCGTCATTAACTTCCCCCCAGATACGCCGTCGGACATAAAGCTTTGCGTGCCTGGCACTTATACAGCACCGTCGAAGAGGAGCTTGATCTTGAATGTCCATATTTAGGAATATCTCTTTTCTTTCCGTCTTGGTGCTACATATACAGTAGTACTCTCGACTCACGCCACTCACTCTTCGGAATACATAGACCACGTTCATTTCCTTCCGAAATTGCTTCCAATGAAGACACCCCAGGGTCCGTTTGTAGCAGGTGGCTTGAAGGGGGAGGGGCATATCAGTGCTTCGAGTTAGCTTCGACGTGTTTGTTTACGCTGCGATCGATGATCGAGGAAGCTTCGTACGGCAAGTCTTGTAAAATCATCTCTTCTTCAAAACCAAGCTTATCAGTTGCTTTCGCTTTCCCTTATATTGGGAACCACCCTCATAGCTTCTTCGATACCACCTACTTATCATACCAACTCAAGACCTCCCGTTTGGTCAGGTGTGATGATGCGAATTGTGGTTTATTACTTGCTGCCACTGTATTAGGACCTTGAGCATTGTATGAGTTTCAGACGAAGGGCCGGGACTACGGATCGTCTGCAGACACGTTCAATGTTGAGGTTTTACCACCTCACCTTGAGGCACCACGTCGCTATTCACTGCATGTCTATGTGACCTCTTGGATTTTGGATCTGTACCATCTATTACCCGTCCAGCGTACAAAAGCTCTACGGAAAGAACGACGAAGTACAACTATGCGCCATAGCGTCTCTCTAACCGGGAAACCACAAAAGTCTAACCCTACGAGACGGAAACAACAGTCAATGTAATGACAGCGTAAGAGTGGGGGTCTGAGATGAGATGAAATGAGACAAGAATCAAGACGACAAAAGAGACAAGCTATAATCCGATGACTTTTTATGTCTCCTTGTCGACCATCTCGATACCTGAGTCAGATGCATTGTTGTCAGGCAAGACAGGGCGAGTGACAGCAAGGCCTTGGGCATTCTTGTAGAACACGATATCACCCTCGTCCTCAACGAACTTGCACTCCTTGAACACACGGTACATCTCGGCCCATCCACCGGGACGACCCTGAAGTTTGATACCAGATTGCGCAAGGCGTTTGCGAAGAGCATCAGTAGCCTCCCATCTATAGAAACCCAGAATAGGAATCAGTACCATGTTCGAAAGGGCAGTAACATGAGATGAACTCGACGTACGCATGGTAATGAGGGATCCTGCTGGCCACATGGTGAGCGACGTGAGTCTCAGAAATACCATGGGTAGTGCAAGCGCCGATCCAACCCATGATCTTGCCACAGTCGCCGAGCAGTTGACGGTCAAGGGTGGCAAGGGCGCCACGAGGGAAGGTGAACTCGGCAGCACGGTAATGTGGCACCGTAGGGTCGGTATGTTGGAGGAATGTGATGAGCACGAGCCAGTGGTTGACCCTGTGAGTAAGAGATAAGCAAACGATACAGTTCATGCTGAACGCAGAACATACCAGAGGTAGGTGACGATGTAAGTGCGGAAGACCTCGAAGATACCGAAGTGGTAGATGGAGGCAATGACGGCACAAAACCAGATCAAGATGCCGATGTCTGACACGATGATTTGGCCATAATGGTGAGGAGAGAACATCACGGCATTCGGATTGAAGTCTAAGAAGATAATAGTTAGAGAAAGGGAACGTAAGCATGCAGGTGTACGACTTACGATTCGAGCCCGCAGGGTACCTCCTCTGACCTGAAGCGTTGGTGACTAGGTACATGACCCATCCGCCGAGCTATAGTTAACCATATCAGACCTCGTGACAAAAGAATACACGCGGCGACTAGCATTTCAACATACCAAATAGCTTGCGGGACCGAAGACGGCACCGATCGGAGTGTCACCAAGAGCCTCCCAAAGCTCACTCATCGCATCGTTCGAGATACTCGCACCACCGAGATCCTCCTTGGCAGGATCAAATTCAGGCAAGCGACGTTCCGAACGAGTTTTAGGCACGAAGACCTCGTCTTGCGTCATGTGCGCAGTAGAAGCATGGTGCCTCGCGTGCGTTATGCGCCATGAATGGTAAGGCACACCTAGTCTGTTGAAATCGATAACGACAAAAGATAGAAATCACATGTTAATATCGTTTCCAAAGATAATAAGCCTTTTCCAATTATAAAAGTGAGACGTACGCAGAATGCAGGATCCATCCAATGGTGTTGTTGATTATCTTGGAGTCGGAGAAAGCTTGGTGACCACACTCATGTGCGAGAACCCAGACACCAGTGGCGACGAGACCGGTAGCGAAAGAGTACACGGCCCAAAGAGCGAAGGTCGCGAAGGTGTACAAGAAGGGGTGCGGAAGGTTGATGTACTCTGGTGTGATACGCGCGTCCAAGAAAATTGTACTTTTGTAAATGACTGCAAGCAAGAAGAAGTCCCAGACGCTGTAAAACAGACACGTCAGACACGCTTTGAACGCGTCAAGCACAAAGAGAAGGCTTACACATAGGACATTGATCTCAACGTCGACCGCTTGTGACAGTGAGCACTGTTGGAGCTCTTTAGCAACAGTGGCAATGTATATTACACAAGTAAAACTCACGGAATAACAGACAGAAGATCTTTGACTGAGAAGTCAGGAATAATGACTGGAGTCTGTTCGACGAATGTCCTCCCATCGGCGTGGGTGAGTTTGGCCATGATGTCGGAACAAAAAGAGAGACAAGATAAGCAGGAAAGCCCAAGTCTAAGTACGCCCCCGGTCTAGGATCTAAGGAGGAGGAGGGAGGGAAGCCGGTAAAGCCAACTGTCAAACCACTCGTTTTTATTGGGGGTCCTCTGCCGGCGACTTCCGTGCCCCCCACGACATGCCAATAACCGGTCGAGCGCCCAATCTTGGCGGGACCGCCACCCAATTTTCTGCCAATCCCTTCTGTTCCGCTCCTCCACAATTGTCACAATATCGTCTGCTCGTCTTGTTCTCGTCTGCAAGGTTTGAAACTTCAGCTATTCTCAGGACTGCTTCTCTTTCAGAGAGAGACAACTGATGCCATTGTCGAACGATTCCTCGGGAACCCCCAAAAAATTGAGCTTCCATGCACTGTCAAGACTAGCACTCGAACACTCCAGACGGCATTTCGACTGCCCCGACTTGTCTCTCCAATTCTCTTGGAGTAGAATTGCTGTACGCGACAGCGTAACAATAACAAGTACATTGAATGATAAATACATCAAGAAGGAAGGCCAATAGTTGTGTTGTATGATACTCATGTATATATAGACTTCTTCATCAGTCCGACTGGAAGAAGTCACAGGGGGAAGCGTTGATCGTAGCCAGATATCAGGGACTCCAGAGTCCAGGAACGACCTGGACTAGCTCATAGCTCTGAGTTTTGCAGCAAGACCATCTAGGAAACCAAACGCATCCTTGGTAATGGTCCTGCCATTGCTCTGGTCGATGACCGTGCCAAAGTCTGCTACCATCCTCGCGAGCGTCTTGTTATCCTTCGCCTGACCGACCTCCCTTCTAAGCGCGAACAACTTATTCATCTTCGCCCTCCGAGCGTCCAAAGGAGCGTTCGCGTTTTCTCTCGATTCGTTGGCGTTATTGCGACGGGAAGTCCGAAGTGGGACGACGTATACCGATGGATCTGCCAATTGCTTGTACACCGCATCCAGGACTGCGAATCCTTCTTTCGTGAGCGTACGTGACCGACTTGTCTTGAGAAACTCTACAAATTCGCGCACGACTTTTGCCAATGCCACGTTGTCCGTCGCATCAGGGACTCTGCGTGCCAATTGCGTCAAGTGCGTTGCTTTAGGTAGTCGATGCGCCGCTGGAGCTTTCTGACTGTCATTCTCGCCATCGCTGCTGATCACTATGACTCCTTCCGTGTCCTCATGCAGGGGTTTCGGCTTCTCGATTGGCTTAACTGCTGCCTGAACGGGTGGAGCACCTACTTCGTTGATATTGCGGGTACCCAGAACTGGACGATCAGCGACATGGAGGTTGACAAGGCCGTGCAGCAGTCGTTCAATCTCGTCAGATTTGGTTGCCGGTGGCTTGGGATGTGCTTGCACCCGAACCGTAGTCTAACCCGGATCACGTCAGTTGTGCTCAATATAGTAGAGTGGATGTAGAAACCAACCTCAGGGTTAGGTGGTGGCCAAATGAACGCATCGTTATCTGGATACTCCTTCTCCACAGCCAGCTCCCTGAACTCATTTTTCCAACGTTGATAATCCGGTCGTTCAGCAAACTTCAATCTCCTGCAATACCTGAGGAAGTCTTCAAATTCTGGAGGGAGACCACGACAAAGGTCTTCTGGACGCGCATCACGCTTTTCTCGAATGAGTCGGTCGTGTGCTGCGTCGGTTTTCGGGACACCGTTCCGTGTCCAGGAGAGACCACCAGGTGTGAGCAAATGAATGAGCATCAAAGCGACTGCCTCCAAGTCATCTCGTCGTGAGGGTACTGTTTTTGGAATAAGTGGATAGCAGGTTGAATTGTGTAAAGAGGAGGGTTCAAGAGGTGTGTTCAGGTGACGAACAACACAATAGAAAGATGGAAAGGGACTTGCCTCGTCCTCGACAATGCACACCAACGGAACTGAACCAGTAATTGCCAATAAAGTCACGCTTGGCTTTACTATCGGGTATATGTCGGTTCGTCGCTGGGTCAATATAGCGTTTTGAAAACCCAAAGTCAATCATGTAGATGATGTGCTGGAAAGGCCGAAGCCCTATTACACAGTTACCCAACTGAATGTCTCGATGGAGGATTCCGCGATTGTGCATGAACTCCAGTCTCGATATCTTCACGAGACAAAGTCAGGGTCCGTACAACAGGAACAGGACATGTGGAGTTGGGGAAGATGGACAACTGACCACTTGCTGAGCGATACAAAGCACACTGCGGAGGTCCATGACATCCTTCGCCCGTTTTCGGAAGAGTGAATCTAAACTGGTACCCAGGAGGTCGATGACGAGATAATCCCATTCGCCTTCGACGCCTGACTGCCACAAAGTCGGCATGCCCACGCCGCCCTGGAGTGAGGGGTAGAAACCGCGTTCGTAGCGATTTGTGGGGCATTCGACGTCCACATGTTGTAGTTTCAGGGCGACTATTTGGCCACTGTGCACATGGTGCGCTTTGAAGATGGAGCCTATTTCTCGTCGTTAGAACGGGAAAGTCATGCTTGGAGACGCAAGATTATGGATCAGAGGATGCTCATAACTAGATTCCATGGGCCCGCTTGGATACAAGTCAAGCACGCCGAGCTGGGTCGACAACGCTCTCGATCGCCCCACTGATGAACTTCATTGTGACTCCTTCAGAAAACGTCAGCCTCTACTTAGAAGAACATCAGTCTTCTATGCGTAGGGGCTGACGAACACGCTCGCCTCTGCCGTTGCAAATTTGGGATCCTCGGGAGCTCTGAACAGGGTTTGGGCATAACTAGCTATGACATCTTTGCAACGTTCCTTAAATCGACCTCATGTTTTGCAGTGTCATGCTGCTCATGTTCCTGTGATCAGAAATGTACAGACAGGGAAACTCACCCGAGTAACCAGAGCCCAGACATTCCCCAAGCCAATAGTTGCCGACCCTCTGAGGAAAATGGTTCTCTGACATAGGATCTGCGCGCAGAGTGAGGAAATCGGTAATTTGGTCGGGATGAGATAGAAGGATATAAAGCAACCACGCGGTGCTCGTGTTGGAGTGCGATAAAAATCAAGAATACGCGGCGAGAAATAGTAGTATTTGTCACGGTGATGTCGCGTCAAGAACAGACAATTCAGCACATGTGAAGGCAGGTGTTTGTTGTCTTCTGCAAAACGTAGAGGAAACTATGTGGCTGATGGAGGTTGACGGTACACACTGAGACAGTGAGCATGCTCAGGCATGCTCAAGCCACGAACGCGGTTCAACAGTCACGTGGAAGTCTCGTGGTCGCGTATCTTGCCGAGCGCCGGCTCAGCAGCGGCTGGACATCCAATTCCAAACGCTGCACCCTCTTGCTCTTGACTGTCACCATCTCTTTTCCAGGACATATGACTTTCACAACGCCCACCGATGACACGGTGCAGAAGGTCGCATGATAACAATATCTACTGCATAACCCCCTTGGGTCATGGGTACGATGTGACTGGAGTGTATTGAAATCGCCAGGTTCGGTACCGTTTCGCGACCAGCACCGATGTCTCGATGTGAGCGAGACAAATGCGGATACAGATACACACAGTTTATATACAGCCTACATCGGGGAATTGCGATAATAGCCGTTGTCAGCCTGGCAAAGCTACATGGATTCTGCCTTGAAAAACTCCGGACAAACCTTATCGCAATCATCGAAGAACGCAAGATACAGTTGCACCCTGAGAGATTTATCCAGACGATGCTTATACGCCTCTATCCCCAAGGAATCCTGAGACGGCATGACACTGTTGGATTTCGCGGTCATTGTCTGTCTCATCAATCTATCGCTCTGGCTTCCATGCATCCCTTCTGTGCCTTGACAGACTCTTTCAAATCGAAGTACTCAGTCTAGGCACCTGAGGGAACGATAAACGAACACGATGAAATGACCTGCATACCATATGGAACATTCCCCGACAACGCCAGTGCTGACACGAGGCTGACTATAATGTTTTCATCTAGTCGCTTGTAGGCTTCTCACTCCACTATAAATGCCGCTTTACTCGTACTCTGAGCTTCAGCTATCTCCTTGAGAGTATCTCCCCTCTTTGCTATCTCCTTACACGACTGGTCGTGTCTGAACGTTTGTAAAGCCATGCGTGTATCGTTGCTGCTTTTGATATGCTCTGTGCTCGCTTCACCCATTGCGGGGCAGCAGATCTGGGATATTGTATGCGTTTTCAGCTTTGTTTTTACTCGTTATTTTTTTCTGATCTGGTTTACGTGCATATAGTGGTCTACGACCTGGGACAGGTCAAAGCTGTTCACCTATACTAACCTTGGCCCGAACCCTATCAACTTTGTCTCGCCTGGACCTATTGCTTCTGCTGACATCGTCATCAACGATGGCACTCAGTTTCAGCCAGTGTATGGTTTCGGCGGTAGCCTTAGTATGTCTTTTTCTATCCCATCTCTATCGCCGGTGTCCGCGTACTAATTCCACATCTTAGCTGATTCGTCTGCAAAGCTTCTGAATAATTTGAAGGTAACCTTTAGTTTGAACTGTACTGTATCCACGATATCTGATGCACCGTGTCAAGAATTCCAACTCCGGAACATATAATGCCTTGTTGAAATATTTGTTTGACCGTATGTTTATTTTCATCTTGGTTTATTCGTAACCCGTCATCTTTGAAATGCAATTTGTTAGCTACCGACGGTGCCAATGCAGCCGGACTGTCTTACCTTCGCGTTCCCCTGGGTGCCAGCGATTTTTCGGACACGGGTGAGTATTTTTTTTTCTCATTCCGCCAGCGCGATTAACACATTCCTTGACGTATTATCCTTATTGTTCAGCCTATAGCTATGACGACGTTAGCGGGGATACCTCGCTGAGCCAATTCAACGTCAACAAGCAACCGTCATATGTCTTTTCGGTTATCAACGACATTCGCGCTATCAACCCATACCTCAAGATCCATGTTCTGCCATGGTCACCTGTATGTTCCCGTGCCTCCGTCCGACCGCCCTTTGGGTGCGTATATTGATTTGCATTTATGATAGCCCGGTTGGATGAAGGACAGTGGGACTGTCAAAGGTGGAAACTTCCTTAGCCAGTTCACCAGCCAATGTGAGCCGATCCTGTCACACTGTAATCGTCAGAACCTCATATCAGCAAAGTCGCACAATACCTTCTAAAGTCCATACAAGGTTTCCAAAGCCATGGTATCCCCATATACGCCATCAGTCTCCAGGTACTTGCAGAACCCCCCTCTAATTTAACCTATACATAGCCTGATACCCCTCTACTTTTAGAACGAGCCTCAAAATAGCAACCCCTCGTATCCCACGGCCAAGATCGCCGTGGACCAAGAGGCCCAAATCGGTCTTGCTTTGAGGACGCTGTTGAACAATAATGGCTTTTCGAGCACGAAGATCATTGGGTTTGATCACAACTGGAGTGGGGCTGGGTCGTATGCTGTTCAGCTTGTGAGTGAATACTCCATGTGTCATTTCCGACGAGCGTGAGAGTACGAAGAGAATGACCATCATTGCGTATAGATGCAACAAGCGAATAGTGCTTTCGCTGGTGTGGCCTTCCATTGTTACGCTGGAAGTGTGAGCAGCCAAGACACGTTCCATAATGCGTTCCCCGACAAAGAGATTTACTTCACTGAGTGCTCTGGGACAATGGGTTCGGACTGGTGGAGTGATATCAAGGTTTGTCTTCTGTCGAAAATCCTTTCCTTTTCTGTACAGCGCTGAGCTGATTGTATTGCTCCACTTCAGTGGAACATGGACAACCTGTAAGTCTGGTGGAAACTTGACATATTAGGCGTGCAGTCTTACTGGTGTGGACAGGTACATTGGCTCTATCGAGCACAATGCTCGCGCCGCACTGGAATGGAACATCGCCCTCGATGGAAATGGTCAACCGGAACTCCCTGGTTCAAACAGCTGTGGCAATCCGCCGTGCCGTGGTATTGTGACTATCAGTGGGAACAGCTACAGTCCCAACCAAGAGTGTTCGTCTCACCTTTTCTTCTGCACATGTTATCATCCAACTCAAATTCTTATCACATCGTGCAGTCTATTCCATGGCTCAAGCTTCCAAGGCTATCCTTCCTCGTGACAAGAACGGACCGTTCGGGACCCGTATTGGCGTTAATGTGGGTGGGAGCTTGAATTGGGCTCTCCGAGTAAATGCATGCGTCACCGGCCGCGTTAATCCCTCAGACTGGCTCCGTTACAGTATCGTTGTCTTGAACTGGTATGTTGTTCTTTCATGGCTGCTCTTAACTATGACGCAGAGCTAATGGAACTGCCTGATCCAGGGACGACTCTGCGAGTACCAGCTGGAACCCTCAGCCTGTGAAAACTACTATTGAATTCAGAGGCATGCAGGTAACGTCTCCTCGTTCGTATCTCACTTGGTCTCAGTTCTTTACCTCGTCTGTATCTTCCCGTTGTAGGCAACCTACACCTTCCCAGTCGGCGTCACCACACTCTGGTGGTATGCTCCAAAGACATCCGGAGTACAAGCCAACGCTTTCGGTAACGATACCATTCCTACTGTGCATAACATTACTGTCAGCGGGACGACCGTCTCCCCCAACCATGGTGTCTCGCATGCAAATGCGACGTCCACTTCATCTTTCATTTCGACTTCGTTCTCGTCGAACGTTCCTTTCACTTCTGCTGCATCATCCACCGCATCGAGCAAGGGCGCAAGCCCAAGTGACATTCCGCCTATCACAGTACCTGATAGTGCTGAGGCGGCAGGGCAGAACAAGCAGAAGCCCTTGTTCCGATTCCGCCGAGATGCATACTGAACATGAAAACCGGATCTGCCGCATACGAAAATACAAAAACACGGGAGTTACTTTTCTGGGGCTGCTCTGCTGTCGTTGTTTTATTCGTTTTACGTTGGTCTCATTGTATTAACGTAAATGAGTTACGTTCCTGACTTCACGACCTTCACGATCCATTTAATGTCCACCGTCTTATTTCGGATGACCTATACATGACCAGATAGATGACCGATAACCATTGTATTACTAGTTCACGATTCTCATGTCATTCACGAGTATATCCAACTGTTACATTATATTGCAATTCTGCTTTGGTCTTGCAATTACTTGCGGACGCGAACAAACCGGGAGGTCTAATTATTGATCATGCGTCGATCATTTCCAAGTTGGTCAAGGCTTGAGGTCACCAGAGGTCACCAGTCACTGCAACGTCGGAACCAGACCAGAGCGGCATGAGATGCAATGTCTTAGCCCGGGAAATCTGAACTTCATGACCGGCACGTTAACCACGGGATTTTCTAAAGTGTTGCTTGATGTCCGAGTGTCGAGACGTTAGCTCGCCTTGCAACTCTCACCACTGACATTACCGGTGTGAAGCGAAATGCGCGCGGAGGAAGGATTCCAGCCTGTGAGTAGTGCTCGACAGCAACGAGGACGCTGTAGGATGCATTGATACTTGAACTTCGTTTCACAGACACCTTATGTCGAGGGAAATCCTTTTACAGCTGATACCGTCCTTCCTAGTCTCCTGAAACGACTTGTACCTCCGAGTGTGCTCAGCGAAGTCGACGAGGATCTCCAGCGATTTGGAGATGTAGTCCTCACTAGTATGTTGAATTGCTCTCCATTATAATGGTAACTTAGACGAGCGGCTTCGAAACAGAGTTGCGACCCTTGAGTGCTCGTGCGGAACCTGCCCGACTTGTACAATACAACCAATGGGGCCAACGAGTTGATGACCTCCAAACATCCGAGGGCTGGAGAGGTCTCAAAGCTGCTCTGCAAGAAGAGGGCATGATTGGGATATTCTATGAACGGAAGTATAAGGAATATAGCCGTGTGTATGGGTTCGCCAAGATATTATTGGCGGTAGGCGACACACAAGTTGTGAGTGTCGATATGTGAATATTCAGGCTGAAAAAAACTCAACGTATGTATCTGTAGATGTTCTGTCCACTTAGTATGACGGATGGTTGCTCGAGGGGTAAGTATTATGGCCTTCCTGAGAGCAAGCTTTAATGAGGCAACCTACAGTACTCGAGTTGATGGGGACCCCTGAGCTTAAACGCGATGTTATTCCTCGTCTGACCAGGTACGTGATGATATGTATCATCGACCAGAGTGTCCCTAATGTCCGTCGCAGTCGCGACCCCAACATTGCTTTCACAGCAGGACAATGGATGACCGAGGTAATTTTCTTACAATCTGTTGAGAATGATCAGTCCTGAGTATCAATTTTATGCTGCCAGCGACCCGGGGGTTCAGATGTCTCACAAACCGAGACCATTGCAACACCAATTCCTAACATTACAAGCCCCTACGGACCAACCTACACCATCAACGGCTTCAAATGGTTCTCGAGCGCCACAGATAGCGATGTTGCCCTAGCCCTTGCACGTACAGGTCCTGTATCCGCTGGTTCACGCGGTCTTTCACTGTTCCTGATCCCACTTCGTCGACCACTCTTTCGAGGCCCCGAGGAATCCGCCCCTCCTGCGCTGACGAATAACATTCGCATTCACAGGTTGAAGAACAAGATTGGAACGAAGGTCTTGCCTACAGCTGAATTGGAGTTGAATGGATCTGAGGCATACCTGATTGGTCCGTTGAACCAGGGTGTCAAAAGCATTACTCCTGTCCTGAACATCACTCGGATGTATTCTGCTATCAGCTCAGTGGGGTATATCCGTAAAGCCCTTACCATTGCGACAGCCTACAGCAAGGCTCGTACAGTTTCATCCGGTGAACAGCTCCTCAAAGACAATCCTCTTCACGTTTCTGTCCTAGCCAAAGTGAATCTGCTATATCGTGCGTTGACGCACTTTACGTTCAGTGCAGTAGCTTTGTTAGGAAAAGTCGAATGTGGGGTTGCGAGCGAAGAAGAAGAGTTGAGATTGAGAATGCTGACCCCTGCTGCGAAAGCTTTTGCTGCGCATTATAGTAGTATAGCCATGGAGGAATGCATGGCTGCACTCGGTGGAATGGGCTATATGGAAGAGACTGGAATTGGGAGGTAAGTCAGTGCTTCCAACCATAGAGATGATGTTGATGTTACTTTGAAGATTGATCGACGATGGTCTGGTCGAGAAAGTCTGGGAAGGAACTGTCTCCGTCCTCTCGCTGGATATTGTCAGAGCTACGTCGAAACGCGGTGTAGTCGAAGCATTCTTGAAGGTAGAATCCACTTTTTTTCTCTGTTCAATCCCCGAGCTGATTTCACATCTCAGTGGGCGAACGGCGTGCTGTCCGCATGCCCACCACCTCTTCAAACGAAACTTTCCTCACCAATCTCAGTAATCCGGGAATCTCTTCCCTTGATTTCAGCTGCCTACAAAGCTCCCGTCTCGCCTCTCGCAACCCGTCCAGCACTTTTCCTCTTCTCCCATGCAACGTCGAGTCTCAACCTCCTGGAGCACGCTACATGGTCCTTCGCCACTCAGTCAACTTCAGTTGAAGTAGATATCGAGGTCTTCCGAAGGTGGGTGGAGGAAGGTGCATGGGGTGGTGGACTTGCGACAGCTGCAGAAGAGCTAAAGAGAGGGTTGGAAGCAACTATTGAAAGAGTCGCTGCAGATTCGAAGATTGTTTATGGAACAGAGGATGAGGCGAAGGATGCTGTTGTAGAGCTTGCAAGAGCCCATTTGTAAGGTAAGGACATTGGTCTAATTGGAGGAACCTTTACATGGATTATGTGCACATGCACATTTGTTGTACACCTTATGTATGATCGTGGAGGCTGTAATATGTGACACAAACACGTTGGAATGGATACAAATATGAACTTGTTGCTGTTATACAATGTCCATTATATCACTACAGAGAGAATAAGTGCTTCAAGGTGTCGGTATTATGCTGAATGAGGAACCAGATGACAACTGAAGAATACTCATAAGTCAGATACAAGAGAAATTAGGGTGCATGGAGAGAAACGTACCCAAGTAAACCACGTCCACCCCATTTCTGAGGTACGAGATTTAAATTGACCTCGTCACCGTTACGAACAACCGTAACTTCAATATTCAACTGGATAGACAAACATGAGTACGCTCGCACATATAAAAATGTCGATTCAGAGTCCGAACGTACATTCTCTCGCAGAGAAACGAAATCAGCCAGGGGCTGTAGTGAGCTCGTGGCGAAAGAGGCTTTCGTCAATGAACCGAAGGATAGTACTAAATCTTCTCTTAGAAGGCCCTGCATGTCAACAGAGATCATATCTACAAGTTGCTCTATGCATGCAATATGCTTAACGACTCACTGCAGTAGCGGCGGGACTTCCTGGGGCGACGCCGCCTACTCTTGCAAACGGTATTCGGGGTTCTGGTTGACTGGGTATCGATTGACTGGGCGCTGGCTGGCTCACTGGCGGTTCATTGTCTTTCGCAAGTGAGGGATCGTATATCGATTGCAAAGCAACCGCGATTGAGTCCAGTATTGCTTTGAAATCATTCCGCAACTCGATAATCCGTACACGAGCATGGCGCACAGCCCAAATGTCGATATCGTTCCTCGGAAATCCTTCCGCATCAACAAGGGATGTTGTGAAGTCAGCAGAGTTAGATTTGAGAATTTCATTCTGAACAGCGATTTCGGCCTCAATGGCATCTTTACGAGCTATGAGAGCTCGGACATCTTCTGCTGGGTTCTGCTGGGTCTCCTGTCTAGGGATCATCATTCCCATTAGCTCTCGATGAAGTTTACGAGTAGACTGAGTATTTGTCAATTTCGATCGTGGAGGAAAGGTGAGAAAGGGGTAGACACGTCTCGAATAATGACTTACGCGTATGCATCACATGATAGATTATTTAAGTGTCGGATAAGGGGTTGGCTGAGCAGAAATAATTAATAATATTGATCTGCTAAGTTATGATCGGCACCATTGTGTTCTAAACGTTGTACTTGAGAGGGCATCCTGGTCTCTTTCCTTACACCCTCGACGATGGACGAGCTCAATACAGCATTTTCTGCAGAAGGATCAACCGCGAGGCGACGAACTCACGCCCGAAATCGCTCTTTTGTTTCCCAGAACTCTTCCCAATCCGTCACACAACATACTCGACCAAGGCTGAAGACACCTTCCCTCCGACATCGCACTTCTACCCCAGATAGCCTACGCAGCACTTTGTGAGACCCTTCTTCGTTGTATTCATTTCTGTGAAGTTCATCGATCCTTGTACCTGTAGCTCCCAGTCGGACATCATATCGCCGATCCCGCGTCGACATCACCACCTTCAAGCCCATGAAAGCAGGCTTTGGCTCGATACGCCACCTCTCTCACCCACTTCTACGCGTGCTGGTTCTCCGGGCTCCACACGAGGCGTTACGCCTCTTTCCCTAAGACCAAGGCATACCCTGAGCTTTAGTTCGATAGCCGAACACGACCCTTCTCGGTCACATCATGTTGCTCATGATAAGAAATCCGAGGACAGTATGGCGCGAAGATGGGTGCGCTGGATGCACAAACATGGGATTAAAAACTACGTTATTCCAGCTGCGGTTCTGGGAGCCGCATTAATAAAATGGTGCATCGGTCTAGGATCCTATTCAGGTCAGTAGTTGCGTGTAATTCTAGTTGGAACGTGACTAGAATCTGTGAATTATTGTCTCAGGACAGGGTACGCCTCCCATGTATGGCGATTATGAGGCACAACGACATTGGATGGAGTTGACCTTGCATCTCCCTGTCAAGCAATGGTATTCCTACGATCTGGAGTATTGGGGATTGGATTACCCTCCGTTGACAGCATATGTATCGTGGCTTTGCGGAGTCATGTAGGAGTTCTTTCTCCGTCTCCTAGTAATATGTATTGACATGAGCTACCCTAGTGGAAATTGGATAAACCCTGCTTGGGTCGCGCTTGACAAATCAAGGGGTATCGAAAGTCCCGAGAGTAAGGCGTTTATGCGCACAACCGTATTGGCTTTCGATACACTTGTGTATATACCTGCTATCGTCCTGTTTACCCGCGTCTGGCAAGAAAGTCGCTCAACTCGGACTCAAGTGAGCGAATTCTTATGATCATCTCATGATAGGGAACCTCACGAAGACTGGTTCGTTTTAGCATGTAGCATTATTGACCTTGCTATTTCAACCTGCTCTGCTCCTCATTGATTTCGGTCATTTCCAATATAATTCTGTTATGCTCGGTATGATTCCCTGCAGTCGCTTGTCATCTGTATTCTCTCACCCGAACACTCTGCAGGATTTACTTTACTTGCACTCAACTTCTTCGCTTCTGGTCAAGACCTCCTAGGCGCAGTCTGTTTCTCGCTTGGTCTTGGATTTAAACAAATGGCTCTGTACTATGCACCGGCTATCGGTTCCTATCTAGTCGCAAAATGTATCTATCTCGGTCCTCAAAAAGGGTATGTTACCGGCTTTACAGCATTTTGTACTTATGTCGAGTTTAAACAATTTTCCTACAGACGCTCACTATTTATTCGTCTCGCCCTAGTCACCATACTCACGTTCCTTCTTCTCTTCCTCCCTTTCCTCCCACCTTTGGCTCCTCTATCTGCAATATTGGATCCTATCGCCCGAATTTTCCCATTTGCACGTGGTCTTTTCGAGGACAAGGTGGCGAACTTTTGGTGTGCATCCAACGTTGTCTTCAAGTGGAAAGTTTGGCTATCTAGGCCTCAGCTCGTAAAGATGAGCGCTATTCTAACCGCAGTCGGATTTTTTCCGGGTGTAGTGACGTTGTTGTATGGCGGGTGGAAACACCGTATGTTGTCTGAAGCCGACGATAAGAGTCGAGCCAAAGATTCGCCAAGTTCCTCAACACCAGAGCCTTTGCTTCCATTATTACCCTATGCGTTGCTTAACTCGTCGATGTCATTCTTCCTGTTCTCATTTCAAGTGCACGAGAAGACTATCTTGGTTCCCCTGTTGCCTCTCACGTTCCTGCTTTCTGGATCTTCAAGCGGCTCTGAGACGTTTGAACTTGGCGTATTGGTTAACAATGTCGCTGTCTTCAGGTAGATGTTCCTGTGATTCTTGCGGGTGTGATGTTCGTTCTTATGTATTTTCCAGTATGTGGCCGCTCCTGAAACGCGATGGACTCGCAATACCATATATCGCTACCCTCGTCCTGTGGAATCGACTCGTTGGGTACAATCCACTTCGTCTGAATTCTCAATCTTTCTTGCGGTATCTCTCCCTAGTAAGTCATGAGTTCTCTTCAGCCTCTTCTGAGTACTGTCGCTAAATATACGTGGCCTATTCAGGCGATTTATACCGCAATGGTTTCTTTGCATATCCTGGAACTTCTGATATCCCCACCTGCCCGTTTCCCCGACCTCTTCCCCGTCCTGAACGTCCTAATTAGCACGCCCATCTTTGCACTCACATGGTTATGGTCCATCAAACGTGGTGTAGAGGTCAGCTGGGCTCTTGGCGGCCTTGGCCCTTCATCAACGCCTGCTAAATCATCGCAGCCGGCTCTGTCCACTCTAAGACCTATGTTAGCAGAAAGAAAGCCGACATTAGACAGGTTAACCGTGAATGGACTGGACGGTGTACCCGAAGAGAACTTCAATTTGACACTGGATAAGGACTTCATTCCTAATGCGAGACAATTGAAGACGAGAAGTTTGGGTTTCGCAAGAGGTGCGAAGGTGTTGCAGAGGACGGCTAGTGCTGAGCTCCCGGGTTGATATCCTATGTATGTGTCATGATTGCGTGTTCGAATAGACTGGACTGGATTTGGATGAACAACTTCAGGAAGATTGTGCCATGTGGTGAATGAGACGAGCAAATAAGCGAAACGGTTAACCAGGTCATCCGAAGGCACGCTGCAGAGATTGAAATGAATGTCTCGCATTTTACAGGCCAGAATCTGATCCTATGAATATATTGTTCATACTCTACAGCTATCAGAATACAAATGGCGCAGGTTAGTTTCCCGCCGACGAGTGGCTACTCGTCGATCGGTACTTATCCCGAGGACCACGAAAAGGTCGACGCCCAGCTGGAGAACACCAATAAAGGTGCCCGACATCATCCAGCCTCCCTCGAGGTACATTGCGTGACAGCCAACATGAAGAAACATCAACTCCTCCCACCGCACATACCGCGGCTCCAATCCCACATAAACATCCCCCTGCGCCACACAGACCGTGGCTCCAGACCAACATAAACACCTCGCGCCGTACAAGACCACGGCGCAACGACATCCAACATCCCCTGCGCCGTACATACCACGGCTCCAATCCAACACGAGCCCTCCCCACCGCACAGACCGCGGCGGGCAGACAGATGTGGCGCACATCGCGCGTCGGACCAATGCATCAAGCCCATGCCATCTGCCCTGCCTGAGCAGCACAGATCCCAGGTAGCCACCGCCGACCCCGAGGCATCATAGGCGAACTTAGGTCCTAGCATCGACGACGCCCAACTGTCCGCCATCATGACCTCGGACGCCTTCAGACGACTCATCCCACCTCGCCAGTCGACCATAGCGAGGGAGGATGAGCAATCGAATGTGGCGTAGGAGGCGATGGGGGAGTAACGAGAACCTCCAACCCGATCCCCAGCAGATATCCAACAGCAACACTGGGAAGAGGTCTGGAGGGCCACCAGTGGCCCTCCCTCTCTCGACGACGCAGTGGCCACTAGATATTTCTGGCTCTGTAGAAGGATTGTGGAGACGATGAGGGGGAAAGAGGAAGGCTCACCAGGATGAGAGGATCTCGCCCCCCACCGGTGAAGATGGGGGTTAAAGAGAAAGGAGGGTGTGGCGTAACGCGACTCTCTTATGCCTTTCGGAAGGGTGGCTGACTTGAACTTACAACTCCGTGATCGATCGAATAGCCGAAGAGACTTCGGATCGAATTCCGGAGTCATTCAAAGTAAACCTTCCAGGTTTGTTACTCGTAAGTGGTCACGAAGCACGCGTATTCTCGCGTATTCCGATAGTTAGTATATGCGAACACATAATTCAGGATCAATTATGTTACATCACGCATCTGGGACATCCGAACGATGCCGTTCTCTCCGCAACCCACTGCGTTTTCTGATAGCTGGATCTTCAGGATGTTGCTCATGCATAATTTCACGAACTAAAGCCCTGCATAACATATGAAAGTGAATACGGTTCAAGCCAAATAACCTCCTTAATAAAATTTTACCGAGGTCTAGCGTGGCCTCCCTCGGACAAGGCAAGTCTAACCGTCTCAGGTGTATGTCGATGTTCAGGATCAGAGGCCATTTTCTCTCGGATGAGTGCAACAATTGTTTCTCCTGGAGGTGATTTGAGAGCGATAGGGATCCTGTACTTTTCGCGAAATTCCTTGAGCTTCGTTAGTCTGATAATACGAGTTGGTAGTGAGTGGCCATACTGTATTTAGGATATGATAACCAGTCAGGGTGGCGAAGCGAATTCGAGAAATTGTTGGCACCTCTGCTCGTGGGTGAGACGTTGGGTGGCGTATCTGTGTAATGCTTCAACGAGCAATTTTTCAAAAGGCTCTACGGAAAGGAAGTCAGCCAGATTTTGACTAAGATTACTCACCTTCGCCATTGTGGTAGCCATTATGTCCCGAGATATTTACCATGTTTGTATTTTTCAGAGGGTATACTTTTCGCGAAAGTGTAGAGATCCTATAGTTGAAGGGCCCTGGCAACAATCGAAAAGTCAAGTGAAGGTTGCAACAAAGGAGTTGCCACAGCGACATTTGGCCATTAGCGACAAATCATACTGAATCATGGCAAAGCATGCTAAAATACGATGAGACTGTGCAGTATATGAAGAGAGTTAGAAAACATGATTGCACGCATATGAGTGTTGCACCGCAAGTAGATTCATCATCGACACCGTCACGTCATCCAAATACTGCATTAGTATGGCTTGCAGAGTTAAAAGACATCGTCATGCAGCAAAATGTCCAGTGGTTACGCCTGGTTACGCTGGAGTTTTGTTGAAAGGAAGTCGAAGTGGCGACACTGTGCACTTCACTTGAACTTTGGAAGACTCTGGACTACAGGTCGCATGTGATCATTTCGGACTTTGCCAAAATAAGCTGAGACGAAAGCAACATGGATGAGCTTTCTCCTTCTCTAGTGATTAAACTTCACACCTGCATGCGCCAACATATCGCGCACAATACACGCACCCTACAACCAGACTCGGAAGTCCGCACAAGATCCAAGTCCGATTCTCAAGTAATCTTCCATCTTTCAACAGCCTTCAACACCAACCTCGCGATATCCTCCTTCGCCTGTTTCTTCGCACTATCCGTAATTCCCTCCAACGAGTCAATCTCATCCGGACTCGTCTGCAATGGATCAAATTCGAGCACATGCCCATCCTTCGTCGGGACTGCAACAAGTGCAGCAGCTGACGGCGTTGGCCCTTGATTTCGAGGGGTCTGAGGATCCTGGCTAGTGGATGGTGGCGTTTTGCGTAGGGGGATGAAACCGTTGTTGTTAGAGTTGGTGCGTGAATGTGTGCCGGTTGTAGGCGCGATACTAGCTTGCGAATCCGACCGAAGGTGATTTGATGAGGTTCCCGAGAGGGAGCGGACGATGATGCTATTAGTTCTCCTGTGGGCTTTCCCTGGTGTATTGATTGTATTCTGTCCAGGTCTTGTTTCATCATCATCTTCGTCTGCATCCGCTAACCAGCCAGCAAATCCAAAACTAAAACCTAACCGATATGGGTTTGCGAGAGGAGATCCATTGACAGAAAGCATGTTCTCGTCTTTACGTGGCCAGCGTAATTGAGTTGTCTCCGGTAAAGTGGGGTTAAATGTGGAGGAGGAAGGGACACGAACTTGAGGAGGATGGGCTTTGGAAGGAGAAGCTGGACGCGTAGGCTTAGATGGCGATATAAGTGGCTTAACGGGAGAAGTAGGGCGAGAACCGGGTCCTAAACGAGGGAATGCAAATGGTCTGCCATTGGCACCTGCCAGAGATGGTTTATGTGGACTTGGAGAGGGCTCCCGGATAGGTGGCCGGGTCCTCATCTGTGTGGAGTATTAGAAGGTAGGTAGCTAGGTCTGGATTAGAGTCGCTTACCGTGCTTGGAGTTTTCGTTAGGGGAAGTCGCGAGCGTTGTCCAGTTCCTGGTACATTCGAAGGACCAGCCTTCTTCGGAGTAGCTGTCATCATGCGGGCTATTGCAAAGTTCAGACATGTTCAACGGTATCCAGCTGAGAAGCAACTTGCCACTCTTCATTCCTTTACTGCCCTCGGAAGTTGAAACATCTGTCTCTTTAACCACTTCCGTCTCTTGGGATTCAATCCACTTCCTCTTGCGAGTTGTCCTATCGATAGCACCAACTTCACCGCCAAGCCGTTCCCTTTGCAGGCCCTTCAAACATTCCTGTATGTCTCCTCTGTATTTGGCAAAGTCTCTAAGCGTGACATCTCGCACGAGACGCGGTATATGTAGGATCTTGCCTTCTTGTCGTATGCGAAAGCTCTCTAGTTGATCAGCTAGCCATTCTTCGAACTGTTGGCGTTTCATTTCAACTGTAACGTCATGTTTAACGAGGGAGCATTAACATATATTCATTAGCAGACCTTCAAGGTCGAAATTCTGTAACATCTGACTCTTCTCTTCTGCGTCTAGTTTCCTTCCAGCTCGTGGCGTCGGAAGGGCGAGCGATTCCATGGCGATTTTTCACGGATAGTCCGCGAATGTGCTATATCAATACGAGCCCGTCTTCTCCTGCTGCGATCATAAAGAGATCACCGACGACAAAGGGCGGAGACTTGGAGATCCGGGAGGAAACACTTGAAGATTGTTGACCTAAATCTCAGGCTGTTTGAACGCGCTATCGGCGCCGATGGTTCTGGAACGCACACGTGAGCGACGCGACGCGATCGCCGATCGCATCAATGATCTTCAGAAGGTAGCGCTCAGCGAATGGATAAGAGAGTCGCGTTACGCCACACCCTCCTCTCTCTTTAACCCCCATCTTCACCGGTGGGGGGCGAGATCCTCTCATCCTGGTGAGCCTTCCCCATTCCCCCTCCTCATCTCTACACTCAATTATAACATATATACTGACTATCCTTCTACAGAGCCAGAGATGTCTAGTGGCCACTGCGTCGTCGAGAGAGGGAGGGCCACTGGTGGCCCTCCAGACCTCTTCCCAGTGTTGCTGTTGGATATCTGCTGGGGATCGGGTTGGAGGTTCTCGTTACTCCCCCATCGCCTCCTACGCCACATTCGATTGCTCATCCTCCCTCGCTATGGTCGACTGGCGAGGTGGGATGAGTCGTCTGAAGGCGTCCGAGGTCATGATGGCGGACAGTTGGGCGTCGTCGATGCTAGGACCTAAGTTCGCCTATGATGCCTCGGGGTCGGCGGTGGCTACCTGGGATCTGTGCTGCTCAGGCAGGGCAGATGGCATGGGCTTGATGCATTGGTCCGACGCGCGATGTGCGCCACATCTGTCTGCCCGCCGCGGTCTGTGCGGTGGGGAGGGCTCGTGTTGGATTGGAGCCGTGGTATGTACGGCGCAGGGGATGTTGGATGTCGTTGCGCCGTGGTCTTGTACGGCGCGAGGTGTTTATGTTGGTCTGGAGCCACGGTCTGTGTGGCGCAGGGGGATGTTTATGTGGGATTGGAGCCGCGGTATGTGCGGTGGGAGGAGTTGATGTTTCTTCATGTTGGCTGTCACGCAATGTACCTCGGGGGAGGCTGGATGATGTCGGGCACCTTTATTGGTGTCCTCCAGCTGGGCGTCGACCTTTTCGTGGTCCTCGGGATAAGTACCGATCGACGAGTAGCCACTCGTCGGCGGGAAACTAACCTGCGCCATTTGTATTCTGATATAGCTGTAGAGTATGAACAATATAATCATAGCATAATACTCTGCCCTGTCATATGCCAGACATCATTTCGATCTGCGAAGTATATTGGTTGTGGTTCGTATTCACTAGCATCTCAATGCTTTTGATGTACAACTTAATCTAGGGTCCGTAGGTAACGACACGTTAGATCTATCATACAAATTCATTCTTGATACTGTACAATGTGCAATGAGGCAGCCTCGATGAGAAAATAGAGCAGCATAGAAAATCCGGTGAGAACTAGATGGACAACAGGTAGGGGAAACTAGATTCTGAACTTTTCAACAAGTTTACGGATACCTGATATGACGAAGGATCTCCGTTTTCCACGAGACCGACGTGGAGGGTCTCTCGGTTCAACAATGGCAGGCACGCTCTGGATGGGGCCACTAGTACGAGAATTGCTTGGGAGATCTTCTGGTTGTTCATCCCTCCGCTGCCAACAACCGTCTGTGTCACGAATCCTCTCCAACCAATCAACCATGGCTTCTTCAGCCCCGTAACCAGCATTGTTCATCGGGCCCTTGCACTTCATATTGAATGGTGCAATGTAAAGGAATAGACTCCCTTCGCCTTCCTCGGATAGCCTATCGAACAATCGCATCACATCTAGATCGCCGCGAAACTCCATACAGCACGAGCAGTAGAAGTTCAGTGTGGGCGATGGTTGGAGCACGAACATTTCCAATGACTCTGGTAACAGTCTGTTCCAGGTCACCTCGGGTGCATTGGCGAACTGAGGAAGGTCTGCATCAATGGGGCTCAGATCTATGGTAGAATTGACTATCTTCAACTGAGCGAGCTCGGCATGCACCACTTCTGCCACTCGTTTACCTCCCCACCTGTCCAGCATCGAAACTCGGAAATGCGTTATGTTGGGTCCGATGGTGTGAACGAGCTCTCTTGTGCGTTCGAGATTGCCATAGGAGAAGCCATGACAAGGAATGGCGAGATGAAGTCTCTGAAGACTAGGCACCTCGCATAAAGAAAGCTTTAAGTTACTTGCCGTACTGGCAAGTTGAACCGGAGTGCAATGACTGCGTATAGTCAACTCGGTAAGATTTGGGTAATGTATAGCGAGAAGATGAGATAAGGGTACGGCAGATCCGTGATAATGAGCAGAAGAGAAGAAGGTCAGGGTCTGGAGAGTGGCGGCGGCGTAACTCAGCACGTCGTGCACGGACTTGCAAGGCAAGTCGTTGGGGAGGGCATTGTAGGCGGCATGTGGAGGACGTAGGCCTTCAGCGTCGTCGGAGATGAAGAGATGGTGTATCGATCGTCGTTCCTCTGCTACACTCGTTAACTCGGCGAAACGAGTGACGCATTTGGCCCCGACAAGGCAAAGCGATTGCCACTGATACGGAAACGAGGCTATGCGAATGTATCTAGAGACGTGTGATAGTGACCTGCCAGTCGTGCCATCATCAGTACAGGCGAAGGCGAAGATACGGGCATGGATTTCTGGAGGGCATTTATCCATGGCAGCCAACGACTTGAAGGTGGAAAGTTAGAGGGAAAGCTGTCTTTCCCCCTGGTATACGATATTTGACCTCAGTCAAGGTAGCTACAGCCTAGCCTGGGAACGCCAGCAAGTCCCGAGACCTGAGGTTTGGAATCTATTGGAACCGCTCTTCCTGGACTCAAACGCTTCTAGATCTGCCAGTGCTTGATTGCATTATTATTGTATTGAGAGACTTCGTCAACAATAAAATACTTTCAACAGTCTGACGTAGGCCTTCTGCCACGCAATGGGCCTCTGATAAGAGGTCGTTTTTCAGGAGATAGCTGTGGAAAAAAAATAGGATGATGATGGTAAGCGTCAAGCTGAAGACATGGCACTGTCACACGCAGTCTGACGGTTCAGCGCTATGCCACCATGTCCTGCGGCCTGTCCCCCTCATAATTCAACTCTGAACAACAAAGTGTATTCAGATCGACTGTATTGTTAACCAAATATCTTCTGTGACGTCTTTGTGCGAGAAGGGTGTGTTTCATGTCTGGTCAGCGACCCCTGCTGAACCTCGGCCCAATCTCACCGACACCACCACCGAGTTACGCGGCCGCTCACGACGACGAGGAAGATGAGAAGGATGCACCACCCAAACGGTGGTACCATTATCTTCCATTATGTGGTATGTTGGAAATTTCATTGGTGTCGGGTCCCGACTTATTGAGTGTATGTATGCAGCCACAGTGATAATGTTGCTTGCGCCGCATCCCTCAATGCTTTACGTTCTGGTAAATTATCATCTGAGGATACTGCACGCGCCGCATAGGTTCCTTTTGCACTTATGCATCACCTATGCCCTTACATTCCTGGCCTTTTCCTCCCTTATCGCTATTTTGATAAGGGACCCCGGTCCTGTGAATGTCGAGAAACGCGAACAGAGTGCGCAGTCGGAAGACATGAATGTCCTTCAAGCACTTTTGACTTCAGATGACGAGGATATACACACGCCGGGAAAATGGTGTCGTAAATGCTGGGCTCCCAAACCTGAACGTGCTCATCAGTACGTTAGCACGATCTGACATCGCGACTCCAAGCATTAACCTGTCTCTCATAGCTGTTCGCATTGTCGACGCTGTATACTGAAAATGGGTATGTCTGCTAGAAACTAGGTTACTTCGCTTTTCACAATGTTGGAATCCCTCAGATCACCACTGTGCCTGGCTTGGATATAAGTGTTTGGTGAGTTATTGCCGCATGTATGACATGTGTTATGCATGCTTATTCTGTTTGTACGTAGGGACATAGGACATACACTTCTTTCTTGCATTTTCTTCTATGCATTACTTTGCTGGCTCTGTATATCTCAGTCTTGTGTTCATCCGTAGTATACTTCGCATTTACCAACCCACTTTCTATCGTACGTGATCCCCTCTGGAGAATTTCCCACGTTTTGACGCATACATACAGGACGAAACCACACCAGTGCATGCAATGATGCTTGCATTCGCTGGTTTCATGATCTTGATTGTCATAGGCCCATTCGTTGCTTATCATGCCTACTTGGTTTCGTGCGTTATCCCCAATGTCATACATTTTCCCCTTACTGATACGCCCTGCAGTACAAACCAAACCACATTGGAGCATCTTTCCCCATTTCTACTACTCCGCCAGCTTCCCAAGCTTCCTGAAGCACCAGCTGGCCAGCATAGACTCTCTGACCCACCTCTGGAACACGAACTTTCTTATAGTCAGCGAAGGCTCATTCGAGAAGCACACGGGCACATTCGTCAATATGACATAGGATGGAAGAAGAATTGGGCTCAGGTCTTAGGATGGGATCGACCGTACGGCTGGATTTACCGAATAGTCATTGGCGGTGTAGGGTATGTTATGATTACTCTTGCTCTACCACCGTCGACATCCATGACGCGACCTATGCTGACAATTTCTTTGTCCTCAGGAAGGGCGATGGACGTAATTTCCCTCGTAATCCGCGTGCTGACGACATGCTAGCTCGTCTTGCAGCGGATTTGGTCGATCTGGATAAAGACCGTTAACGTTCAGACTCTCAAATGACCTTTTCGTTTATATCTACACCGGACTCTTGCTTATACCTCATCCCCGGACTTTGCCATTATATTGTATTCTCTTTACTTGTTACTTAGGCTGAGGGCTTGATATCGCGATGTGTCAGCTGTGGGTGTCAGCTGCGGGCCTGTACTTTTTCGGTTCTGTCAACATGGACGAACTTTCCATTGATTCCTCATTCAGGTACGTAATGTCCTATTTCCTACATTGTGTAATAATGGTCGTGTTCACATGGTGACAGGGACATAGAACACGGAAGCAAAAAGCTGAATTAGCCTGCCCCGCTTTGTTCGGATGTATGAGGATAGGTTTGCAAGATTCCCAGTGAGTCTATGAATATATGGTCCACCTCATTGGAGCCTTCGGATGGATATCTTTCTCGCAGCATTTAAATTTACAATAACGTTTGCCTTCACTGAGACAGCGCTTACAGCAAATACGGCAGCAGTGTTCAGGCGTTTCTCGACAAGACGTAATGTCGACGACAGACAACGCTGAGACGGTGTTGTGTTCAATGGCATCATCGTTACACAATCTGAAAAGGCGTGATCGATACCGAGTACTTAAGTACCTCAGGGCAGTACAGAGCTCCGAGTACGTCTATTCGTCTCGGTTTCCCTCCTCGCTGTCTGTCTTTCAGCCTCATGGTGGCGGTTCCAGGGCTCTTCTATGCCTCCCACGTAACCTGAACACCCTTTCACTCTTCTTTTCGCCATTTGGAATGTTGATGCCGTGATATCTTCTCGCGCTAGGGCACATGTCGTATGGGGCGTATCGTGTAGGCAACGTTCGTGCCTTCTGCGAGAGGACAGAGTTATAGGCTTAGTCCTTTGTTTCGTTCTTGCCCTTCATGAGACCGGAGCTCAGGGTCAGCCGACTTTTTGGTCCTCTGCAATGCGCTCTATGCCCACTAGCCATATCATAAAGTCAATTCGCGCCCCCGAGCCGGGACAAGGCAGTGAACTCGGTTGATGATACTTACTCAGGAATTCCGAATGCCGCTGTTATTAGGTGAAGACGGCATTCTAGGTCGGGGTTTCCTTAGTAAGTAGCGCCCTCATCGGCGTATGCTACTACGCCACGAACAACTACAGCGATCCGGACGTTCGTCTTTCTCTCATGAACGTGTCTATATTTCCCTGCAAAGTGGCATATCAGACATACTCATATGGGGGGAGAACGATCTACGCACTTGATGTCATGCTTACATCAGCACTAGTAGGTATCTCCCGCCCGTGGTGTCGGCGGCGAACCTTGGCCAGGTTTATAACTTCCGCTCCTGGTCCGCAATATGGCTGTCTATTATCCCCTGTCATCTGCCCCATCTTTTGAATTTTCTGTATCTCGTAATGGCGTCGCTGGGTCGCTTTGTCGAGATTATCGATATTCGCAACAATTATCCAAACAGTAGCAACGCATTCGACATCAGAAACGATATCGTCAAGGGGCTGTCTCTTCCTGCTGGACAGAAGACCATACCAACACTGCTTCTCTATGACGAGCGCGGGCTCAGAATTTATGACGAACTCACGACAAAGGCTTCGGAATACTATCTTTTTTCTGCCGAGGAAGAAATCCTGAAGAAAAAGGCCGATGCTATTGTCCGCTCTATACATTCACCATCGGGTCAATTCAGCGAGGAGGTTATCGTCGAGTTAGGGGCTGGGTACGTGTCAATTCTATGTTTCGAGTCTCTTCATTTCTTTTGCTTCACGTCTACCGCAACCATTACACTTTCCATGATTGGAAGAAAATGCTTCCGAGATTCTCTTAGATCTCGCATCCTTTATCTTGCGGCTTGTCGGGATGTTGTTACTCTTTGACAGTCCGATATCAGGTAGTATTCCAGGCTCCCTATGCACCCCACCCCACACGTGGATGTCGCCCCTTTCTCTGTGACTGATGAATATAAAATAGCAACTAATTCATCACCTCACCCCTCAGTTCGCTCAGAAAGACATCCCACATTCTGCGGGCTTTATCGCATCTTGTGCAATCTCCCATGTCAGCCCCTCCTATTACCTATTACGCGCTGGACTTGGAAAAGCGCGAACTAGACCGAACTCTACAAGACTTGACAGAGTCCGACGTCGGAGTTGAGATCAATGGCAAAGTAGCTACCAAAGGACTGTGCGCGACGTACGACGACGGACTTGCTTTCATTCAAGAAGGTGGTCTTAAGGGCAAGATGTCTGAACCTACATTGCGATACAAGCTGGAGAAGTCGGCTCGTGACGATTCCCCTGCTTCAAGCGCGTCTTCTCATACCCGTTCCACTGATACCGATGCCACACCGCCTTCAACACCCGGCTCGGAACAAGGTCCATTACATTTCCTCTTCCTTGGGTCATCCCTAGGGAATTTCGGTCGTGACGATGGCGTTCAGTTCCTTCGTTCGCTTCCTCTTCAACCTGGTTCCGGCAACACTCTCTTGCTGGGACTGGACCACGCTAACGAACGCTCTAAGATAGAACACGCATACAACGATTCTCAAGGAATTACTCGCGAATTCATCATGAACGGGTTGAAGAACGCCGCACGGACACTTGGAAATGATAGTTTATACGATCCGTCGAAGTGGGAATACGTGAACAAGTACAATGAAGAGCTTCGTAAGTCTTGCATTCGCTAGAGATGGGGAGTAGCACTCTTTGATATCGAGTCTGTTAGGCCGTCATGAAGGTTACTATAAGTCCAAATGCTCGCAGAGCATCGTCGATCCTGCAAGCAAGACCGAGTTCATCTTCCAACCTGACGAGCTCGTCAGAGTCGAGTTTTCGCATAAGGTAGATGAGATTGTTGTCGAGCTCTCCGCTCACGCTCTAACTAGTGCTGTTTTTATCAGTTCTCGGATGAGGATGCCTATAAACTATTTTCGGACTCCAATCTACGCCCTGTGCACCGTTGGATGGACAGCGCATCTCAGTATTCTTTGTGGCTACTCGAACGCCCCCAATTCACTTTCCCCCTACTTTCTGCTCCAATCATTTCGGACGGAAAGCTCACCTCGTCACCCTTCGGCATACCCACCATTGAAGAGTGGCAGGACATGTGGGCCGCCTGGGACTTTATTAACCTCAAGATGATACCACAGTCAATGCTCTACGAGAAACCCATAGACCTCCGTCATATCTGTTTGTTTTATCAGGGTCATATACCCACATTTTTAGATATACATCTGTCCAGGCTGCTGCAAGAGCCGTACACAGAACCTGAGGAATACAAGGTTCGTTGTTGACGCTTTTGTATCGTATTTTCGTGATCTCGCTTATGACTTGCGATTCTCTGTCCTTATAGTACATTTTTGAGGTGAATTCAATGATTTACCCTCGGCGAATTGCGATGCGACTGACTCCCTTTTAGCGAGGAATCGATCCAATTGTTGACGACCCTACTAAATGCCACGTACGCGTCTTGACATTACATGCACAAACTACTTTGCTGACCTTTCTTGTAGCCACACTCCGAAGTTCCTCGAAAGAAGGAAGATTGGCCCTCTCAAGGAGCCATCCTTGATTTTCAGGCTAGAGTGCGCGAACGCGTGCTGAAGCTCTACGACAACATTTCTTCCGGCAAGATTACTCTCACCCGCAAGATGGCCCGCGTACTATTCATGACTTTGGAGCACGAAGCATTCCATGCAGAGGTGCTATTCCACAACATTCATCTGTCACAACCCTCTAACCTAATATGTTCTGTCAGACCCTTCTTTATATGTTACTCCAACGTGCTGGGACCGGAACCATTCCGCCCTCGGGGTTCATTCCACCCTCCTGGTCAATCCTCGCCGAGACATGGGACAATGCACCCGCTCCGAGTCGGCCTGATTCATCAGTGACATTGGGTCCTGCTACGGTATCCTTAGGTCATGATGATGACGAGGCTAATGACGATAGCGCGGATGTCAATGGACACGAGTTCGGCTGGGATAACGAGCGTCCCAAACGCGATGTCCACGTAGACGAGTTTAGAATCGACTGGCGCCCCATTACCAATGGTCAGTTCTACGAATTCTACAAGAGCAACAAGGGAAACAGCAAGATTCAATTCCCAGCGAGCTGGATTGAACTTGATGATGGCGAGATCCAAGTCCGAACACTTTACGGTCCCGTTTCCATGGACGTTGCCCGTCGCTGGCCCATCATCACTTCCTACGACAATCTGTCTGTCTACGCCAGTGTCCAAGGAGGCAGACTGCCTACTGAGCCTGAATTGCGTTTGTTCTACGACAAGTTTGATTGTGGCTTCGAGGGTGGTGCGAACTATGGGTTCAGAAACTGGCATCCTATTCCGTGAGTTCACTTTTTGAGCCTGTACAAAAGTTTCGTCGCAACTGAGATTGTGATTCTTAGGGCCACGACGGGTGTGAAACAAGACCGTAAGGGCCATAACGGAGGTGTCTGGGAGTGGACTTCGACCGTCCTTGAGCGTTATGAAGGCTTCGTCCCGTCTCGTCTATATCCTGGGTAAGTCACTCATCAACGCCTATAGCGATATAAGCCATATAAGCCAACGATTTCGATCATAGTTACTCGACCGATTTCTTTGATACTCATCATCAGGTCGTGGTATGTTGTTTAGTCCACTGTTTGCTTGGGTATAAATTCTCAATCGTATTTCAGATTGGTGGCTCTTACGCTACCATTCCTCGTCTTGCCGGACGCCGGACGGTGAGGAACTACTATCAACATAATTATCCATACGCTTGGGTCGGTGCCCGGGTTGCGTACGATGTCAACAAGTAAGCACACCTGCAAAGTCGTTGTATATTGGACTGGCAGTTGGACTACACACTATGTTCGCCATTCTGTTATTCTGTTTATGCTGTAACTTGTACGCCTACACACATCTTGACTCGAAGGACTTCTTGCATTTTTGTACAGAATAGTTTAACCATGACCTCGTGTACCTGTGCAAATAGATTGATGTCATACGCAGAGAAGACCCAAGACTGATCAGACGTGTATAAGCATCAATCAGTGCAGCTTGCTTCTTACCATCGTCTCTTGATCGTCTCCAAGGACAAGATGGAAGAGCTCTTGACAAACCCCGCGAAGTACAACATTGAAGATTCAAATATCGCGCTTTTGGGTTCCGATGTGAGTAGAACTTATAACGTCATCCTATCCAAAGGGACTTATGAAGAGTTACAAACGTAGTTAGAAAAGAATGTCAGAGAGCATGCGGGGGATAACGACCCCGCTTGGGACCAAGCAGGCAAGAAGCCTGCGTTGCGTATATGGCGGATAGAGCAATTCCACGTTGTTGATTGGCCCAAGGAGCGTTACGGTTCATTCTATGATGGAGATTCTTATATTGTACTACACGTAAGAGCGGAATTGAGTCTCTTTTCGATGGGTACGTCGACTGATGTCGTAGCCTGTGACAGACATATAAGACGTCGCAGGACGCAGAAGAGCTTTCATACGACCTGCATTTTTGGATTGGTGAGAATAGCACGCAAGACGAAGCCGCAACTGCCGCTTACAAGACCGTTGAGCTCGATGATCGTACGTTCTCATTGCTCTTCAACCTGTGTGTTCAGCGTTAGAATGTGGCTCTATGATATACACAGATCTTCATGGTCTCCCGATTCAGTACCGCGAAGTACAGGACTTCGAATCGAGCAAATTTCTATCCTATTTCCCTCGCTTCATCTCTTTGAAAGGCGGTGTAGCGACAGGCTTCCACCATGTATCTGCTCCGCCGCCTGATAACACGAAGAGATTATACAGAGTCAGTGCGACTGGACATCAGCTCATCATTCGTGAGGTACCGCCAGAAGGCTCAAGTCTCGTCCCTGGGGATGCCTACGTTCTAGACATGGGGAACAAGGTCTGGCAACTGAACACGAAAGGAAGCGTTGGCAAGGAAAGATTCAAAGCAGCCGAGTTCGTGACGGTTTTGACAAGTGAGCGACAAGGTTCTTGTTGGGTTACTGTGTTCGGTGGGCGTGTATTATCTTGGAAGAGGAAACTGGTACTAATCCGTGTCTTTTGATAGATGAGGGCGGACACGGAGTTGGCGTATTCCTGTCTGAACTTGGCCTGGAAGCCATACCCCCTCCTGCCCCTAAGGAAACCATTTCTAACCCATCTGCATCCTTGTATCGTCTTTCGGATTCCACTGGTGCAGTTGAATTCACGTCTGTGAACCTCAGTCGATCGTCTTTGGAAACGCAAGATGCCTTCCTGCTGGACGATTCCTGTAACCCGAACGCACATGCAGTGTATGTTTGGCTAGGGAAAGAATCCTCTCTACGGGAGCGTCGACTCGCACTGCAGTACGCGCAGCAGTTTTTGTATAAGCATGGTGCAGGAGCTCGGGCGCATGTAGCGGTGACTTTGGTGAAGATCACCCAGGGACGAGAGACGGATGTATTCCTGCACGCCCTTGGTGAATGAACGGGTGCGTAGGACCTTGAATGTAGTGGGTTCATAAATGACGAATGAACCTGACAGACGTACTGGGCGGCTGCACCTTTATGTGTGGTTAAGTCGATAGCAATTGAGCCACCACCTTACTCATCTTCATCTCCGGATTCAGGATGGCATTGGTGGATCTCAAAGACATTCCCGTTACTCTCAGGCTCGACCTAGAGTATTCGCACACTTCTGAAACGACGCACGGGTCAAATAATGCGATAGTTTCTTCGTCAAAATCTTCCTCCTGCGGGCCCATTGTGCCCCTCTCAGAGAAGTTAGAGTATGGACGAAGCGTCGATGCTTGTGCTCATTCGTTGGCCTTCGATGCCATGTCTATGGTATTCCCCAAAGGTCTGAATGACATGACAATGAGGCTGAGATTCCCATTGATACGGCGACTACGCGACGAACGAAGAACGAGAAACGGCGGGGGCACCTGGCAGAGAGAGACCCAGACGGTGCGGAGAATGATGCATGATGGATGATCATAGTCTCCCAATATTGGGTTGGGTCAATAATTTTGAGTCCATGCTGAGTCATATCCAAGTATTTGTTCCTCGAGCTCTACAAGTACTCCGAGCAGGATGTTCTGCACGTTTATTTCTCACCGTAGTTTTCTCTTTCCTCTTCACGCAGATTCGTACTGGCCTTCCGTCCATTGTCTCGCTCGTGTCTACACGTCCAAAGGCTCGACATCTGGCGAATGGCACTGGCTCAGCGCTCTGAGCTTGACGTTCTTGGGCGAGTCTCGCTCAAGACATCATGTCTTCATGCTTCTCTGTATCTCCCAGATGAAGAATTCGCTCTTCGTTTCTGCCTTTGTGCTAGCGTTCTGTGTTTCTATGGCCATTCGACCACTCTTCCCTTCATGCCGATCATAGGAGCTTTTATTTGTGGCCATCCCATTCCCTCGCCCATGTCTTCGCTTCTACACAACATGAGTTTCCGTGTCGGCGATAGAGGCACGGGCTGTAGGACTGGCAAGTGAGGCTGAGGGAATGAGGGGGTGAGCATTCAGCCGTGATTGTCTCTCCCCCTCGGCCCCCCTTGCCTAGCTGTATTGATCCAATCTGTGTACTTGGGTTCTCTTGTAGAGGATACTGCCTCATGTTACATGCGTGGATCCGATCAGCTTGGAGTATTGGTTCATCAGCGCTCGGCCGCACCTTCTCTGGCATGAGGACGGTAAGGGCTCCTTATCAGGACTTTAGCATCGACCGCCTGGGCATAGTATCCTGCCGTACTCTCCGAGTTGTAGATTGGGGAGCAATGGACGGCGAGAGAATAAGCAACCTGTCCTGTTATCACTGTCCATCTCACTGTTGAGGGCTGTACATGTCATGACAGCTCTCGAGCGCAGTTGCCTTTCAACCACTTCGAGCTTCGTGTATGTCTTCTTCTGCGTCCTTGCCAGCATGCCACTTCCTCATAATACCGTGCACCTGCGATCAGATTGTTCCGTGGCTGTGAATGCACAGCGTTGCATGTGAGATGTATGAATTGTGAGCATCTTAGGGTTGTTGATAAGGTATATATAGATGGGTGGAGTGAATTGGCCTCACGTATCTTCTCGTTTCAACCAACCTGTTTCAACTCCCTGTTCCGAGCTATCTTCTGTGATACTTTGATCATGTCGCTAAAGAGTAGAGAAGTACAGCAACTTTCATCGTTGCCTTTGGAGATACATTTTAGGGTCATATATTGGGTGCATGCAATTGGCCTACATAACTCTTGGCAAGAAAGAGTGAGTTGAATATGCATTTCTGACATTGAAGATGATAAAAGTGTTGATACCATGTCTACATATATAGCAGTGGGCTTTAGCTGCAAGTTGTCTTACTTGTCATGCCTGGCATTTATGTGCATTGCCTTTTCTCTATAGACATATCAAGCTGAATGCTAATAAATCTCAACAAACTACACTGCCTCTTGTTAAGGTTGTGCATTCTGCTATGTTGAATGCTTACTCAGACCTCTTCTATTTTACTTTCAATCGCAGCCTCAATTCCGATCTCCTTCGTAGTCCTTAGTTCTCACATTCGTAGCGATAGCTCCTTCCCTCGTAGTTACCTTTTCTGGACAATATATTCTTACTCTCTCCTTTACCTTAAAGAAGAGTGAGCAACATCTTTCGAGTAGCTCGTCTGCTCCACCTACTCGAGTTACCCTTGGTAACTCTCCAATCTCCCTTTTCATCCTAATCTCAGCTTCTGGTAATCCTCTTCAATTACCTTCTGTCCCTCGCTGTCATGACCAGCGCTTAGTAGCTGAGAACAATCCTTCGCTACTCGCATCCGATGACAGTTCCTCATAGCTCAAGAATTAACATTGGTGGACACTGAGAGGAACCACCACTGATCAGTTGCCGGCAGCTCTACTGTCCTTCTCTATTGAAGATCTATGGGAGATGTTCTCGGCAATGCCGGTAAAGGGAAAGGAAGAGTGGGATTCAACTCATACGAGTTCCCCGACCTTACTCGAGTCCCGCCACTGACAATAATGACAGGGTCTCACCATCTTACTCGTTACTGCATCCTTCTCAATCCCAGTCATCTTTATTGACTAACACCTCTTATGCCTTCCCTTTTCGAGGTTCAGGTTCAGTCTTAGGCTTGGAAACTGATTCTCCCCTAATTGAAGAATCTGAGCCTCTCACCCATCCTCACTTTCCTAAGTCCAGCTTAAGAGGTCCCCCTCTGACACCCTCTATCTTCATATCGAGCCCTTTACCTGAAGACTCCGGCGAGCCTGATGAAGAAGAATCCGGCATGACTTTTAAGGCCCCGGATTTCACTTCTTCCCAGAGAGTCACCTCGCGATGGCTAGCTGCCATTCTACTCCCCAACGGTATGCTTCTCCCTCAATTGAGGAACTCTGATGCTATAGAATGAGCCATTCGCCCACTACTGGTCAAATCTCCAGATGGCGACTCCACCCTCTCACTTGCTTCCTCCCTGATCACTGCTGAACTGGCAGATGAAAATATATAGAACCTGGGTGCAGGCCAGAATGATCAATGCTATAAGCTCAAACAGGCCTACTTGCAAACTGTATTAGGCATAGTGGAACAAGTAGAAGAAGTCGTACTTACCATCTTAGAGTTGGATGGCGCATGAAAGGATTGGCAATTCAACAAGAACAACGAGCTGCTCAGACCACTGTCGGGTTGTTTCTCTGGAAGTATCCTAGTCAATGCTCATGCAGCAACACAAACCCATCTTCGCCAATGCATAGACCTCTTACTTAATCACAAGAGACTGCATTATGGTCTCTCTAGTACCAGTGAAGTAGCTTCTACAGCCAGCAGCTACTATAGCAAGAATTACGATGACCGTATCACTCAGTGAAAGCTTAACAAGTACCTCTTATGCCCCGAGTTCAGTCTGGTCATAACTCCTGAATACAGGGAACAAGTACACCAGTATGAGCACACATATAAGAACAACTTATCTGGTCCCATGGCACAATTTCCCATGTCATCGGTCCAGCGATTCAACTTCAGCAGAAGCGATTTCACCAGTCGAGTCCAATCCCACATTGAGTCCTTAGTGGAGGACTATCTGCCTCCTTCCTCTTTTCAGTCACATTTGGCAGACCTAGGAACAGCTGAAGAGGCTGAAGAGGAAGACAATGTATGTCGCACATTAGAAGCCAGTGAATCCCAATGAGGTTCAATCAGATCCACAGATGATCAACCTCCAGAGCCCCAACTATCCCATTCCAGCTTCTGCAACCCTGACTTTGTGCTCCCCCCTGCTGAATCTCCTCGATATTCAGCTTCTTGGCTTTCAGCCCACGATCGTGACTCATGACCAACCAACATAGTTCATACAGAAGTTTCTCATCAAACCAACCCTTACGAACCAGCTGTTGCTGCCTCATTCATATGAGCCCCTATCAGAATTTCCAATGCTCTTCCTTCGACTAAGGCCATGCATGCTATTCACAATCTTATATACCCTACCCAGCCATCCGTTCTTCATATGACCATAGCAAATCCTTCAACTCTCAGCATTTCAAATAGCATCTCATCTCATCCCAGACAGCCTCAAGTCACTTTCAATTTGACTCCTACTGCCATGAGTTACACCTCGTATGGTCCTTCATCCACTCTAGGAATTCACTCCGGCATCACTGGTCAGACACTCAGGGACAATACTAGTCTCATCCCTGGAGCTCTTTCGACAGTGCCTTCCGGAGGACATGAACCTCCACCGAAATCTACAAATAGAGGCTCATTCCCTCCTAGACCACCTGAAGGAAGTGGATTCCCTTTGGGCCCACCCAGTGGCAGTGGACTTCCTACTGGCCCTCCTGGTAGAAGTGGATTCCCTCTGGGCCCACCTGGCAGAGGCAGATTCCCTTTCAGTTCTCTGGGTGGGGAAGGATTCCCACCTGGCCCTCCTGGCAGTGGACCTTTCAACGGCGGCAACCTGAGTAATCCTCCAGACCCCAATTCACAAGTGAAATGAAAGGGTTCCCGAATTAATTTCAAGTTATGATTGACTGAATTACCTTCATGAAATGGGGAAGAGGATTCCCTGTTAGAGTACCTATATCAGATGTCATCTCTTGCGATCATAGATGATGAGTTTTCAGAAGACATAGGCATGAACACCTATCGAAACTTTATGGGCAATGCAAAGAACTGGTGGACCCTTCTGAATTATGCTGATAAGGTTGCCTTTATGACTGACTGGTGGCACCTTTTAGAGGGCATCCGCATTCAGTTCTTCACCGATAACTTCGTAGCTGGATTATAGCACTTATATGACACTCAACATTTCTGTCAGTGGGAACATGCACAGGAATCACCTATGGAATTCATCTACTGAAGATTGATACTTTACCGTCATCTGAAGAATGAAACTCAACCTGACGTAGTAGAAATTCGCGCCGTACTAATCAAAGCTCCCACTTTCTGGAGTTTCCTCCTTCCTATACATGCTCAAACTACTACTGGCGCATTCCTAGCCGATGTCCAGAACAAGTCAAAGATGCTAACCACAGCTGCATCATAAACAGTGCCTACCGCTGAGCTCCTCCAGAACAATGCAGTGAATCATCCTGTCCATGCTCATCGAGCTCATGCAGCAGATGTAGACCCTTCCCAGTCTTACGACAACTGACTCAGCTCTCTGCCCTCTTTGACCGGGTTTGCACCACTGCACTCAGTTCCAGAATCCTCTTCATCTGCAATGGCTTACGTGGCTTCTAATACCAAGCCTTCTGGTAGCAGCCAGGCCTCGCAATGCCATCCTCCAGGAGGATGGAAATTCACGTGAGAAGACTCAGTCATTAGTAAAAATTCTCCACATCGACCATGCAAGGTTTGCAGGAGCCCCAAGCATTGGGACCATGATTGCCCTCACTTCAAGAAATTCTCCATGCTATGAGATGCCAACATGATTGACTCCTCCCATGACATTTCTTCCGAGATGCCAGATGAAGTAGCTTACTCTACGGCTTATCGAATTCATGTCTTAGGACCTATCAATACATCTGATTCCTTGTACGAGTGGACAGAGAGTAAAATGCATGTAGGAAGTAGCTTTAAGACTGCCTATCTGGCTTCTCGACAACCTACAGTACTTTCAGTCCCGGAAGAGCAACCAGCCCAGTTAAACCCACTTCCATCTGACCACCCTCATATCTGGAAATTATCTCCCAGATATGAAGAATC